AGGGTGATCGCAGACGGCATATCCGCAGAGGTCGTCTTTCCGATATGCGCAGCGGCTGCACAATTGCGAAGTGCATTCTTTTCCGACCGTGTGGGTTCTTTTTTTTTTGTTAGCTCGATCAGGAGGCGCCGCAATCACTTGGCAGAAGAAACTATAGCTAGAAAATAGAGAAAAACTTGGTTGTCAGTGCCGAGGAGTACTGGCGCCTCTGGCTGTTAGGTCTGAGCTAGAAAGAGCGGAAGCCCTCCACATTATCAACCATCCAACCAATCAAACAATCCCACCACCAAGGAACTAGCTTAGGTACGTAGATACTCGGCCTGCTGAGTTGATTCGTGAGGTGCATGTAGGGGGGGTAGCGTGGTCGGCGACCCTCTCGCATGTGCACACGGATGGCCAGGGGCTTGGTAGAAAAAACGTAGCCAGGTGCATCTGCAGGACCGGAGCGGGGTTGGCGGGTCGTGGAGTGGCCATGGGTCCAGGCCCATCAACGTTGACATCGGTAGGCGGGCGCGCACTCTTGTCAGGGTTTTGCCTTTGCCGGACAGCGTCCCCCCTTACGGCACCCGCGGGTGACGCGGGGGCAAAGCTTTTGGTTGCGCTGTGTGAGTGCCGCGTCTGTTGTGCTCAAAAGGCTGCGTCTGTTATGTGATTTAACGACATACTTCTGCTCGTAGACGTCGCGCAGCTACCCTGTGCTGAGAGTAATTGACTTACGCAGCGTAATTCAAAGGGGGAGCGCGTTCCATCGCTCTCCCTCGCCGACTCTTTTATCTCCTGCCCGCTCTTAGCAGAGGAGTGGCTACCGGGCATAAGGTAGCCCCTTCGGTAGGGGTAACCCCTTCGGTTTCTGTTTTTCTTTTTGGTTATTTTTTGGCGATTGCGGAACGCGGTTGAGGATGGTGCACGGGGCGAAGCTTGAGGGTCCTAGTCTAGTGTAGCGTCACCAATATGGTCATATGTCTGGATTGACCTTAACGATTATACGTTGGCCGGCTCACCCTAACAACGTTCGATCTCTGTAGTGGCGCCGCTCTTTGTGCCGAGTGTCCACAGTTTGCGGCTTCAGATCCTAACTAGCCAGTGGCCACGTCAGAGCCCTACTCCTATCCGTGTTCGATCAGTAAGGGCACGTCAGATATGGCCCACCATTGTTCTAATTATGGGCCGTCGACTAGTATGCCTGTGGGGCTTGGATGGGCTCTCGCTTTTCTACAGCGGTTGCCGTCGTGCTTAATCGTTTGCGTAGTTGTAGCGCCTGGCCGTTGTGCTTCAGGCTTCCCGCGGGGTAATTAAATGCTCGCATCGCGAGAAATATAGACCCAGGCACCAAAAAAGAAAAACGCGGCAGTGGTGACCATGATAAATGAAAGAGTTAAGACTCAGGCTAAGGTGGCTCGCGAGCAGTCTGGCCATGCGTCATTGTATAATCATGATTGTTATATTTTTTCTGCTCTTTCGTTGGACCACATCTGAAGCACTAATTCAAGTGTTGTTTTGATGAAGATCGTCGTCTCATGGATGTGTATATCGATCCATCCTGCTACTCGTGAGGGGAAGGCCAAATCTGATGATGAACAAGAAGAATGCGAAATGCAGTTCCCATGGTGTAGAGCATGAATGTGGATAAAGATGCGACGTTAGCTGTAGATGTGGCTGGGTATTGGTATTGCACGCGGCACGCCATGGCCAGTCATCGTCTTCAGCACTTGGGACCATTTGTGTAAAAAATGGCGGCAACAGGCTACAATTATGGGCCCAATTATCGAGTCAGCAACGTCTTTTTATTCTACGGCGTGTGCCACAGCACCTCCTGTGAAAAATTACACAACTACACCTAAGGACCATAGCCAATCGATAATTTGTCGCAAAATTACTACTAAAAGCAGAGGTATGTGTCGTGAATGTTTACTTCTGTAGTTTGATTATGGCGCGAAAGGACAAGCTAGAACCAAATATATCTGAACGGGAATCAAGTCGGTTCCGAAGCTGCTAAGACAAATAATTAAATGTCGAAAATCAAGTATGAGCATTTTGATGGAGATAGATGGCGCTTGCACTGGCCGCAGACGTCCCGTGGCGCAACTAACACCTAAGATGCCCGACGAGGCGTGGTGAATACCCCTGTTAGGTCGTTGTGCGTCTCATCCCTATGCCTTACTGCTATACGTACATCAACGACTTTTACTCAACATACAAGACTACATCATCAACGACTACTCATGGTTCTAGGCATGCCGGCGCACAACAACATGTAAGAGGCGGCAAAAATATTTTCAACAGCATATATTAATCACATTTACATCATGACCGTACCATGAATATGTCCTCATGAGATGTTGAGTGCCGATTCAGTAAGAGCACCTCGTTTTGCTAGCTTAGATCTTCACACTCTTAGGAAAACACTTCCTCCTCGACGACGTTGTCATCATCTGCGTAGTTATGACCTCGTAACGAGATGCTCGCAGTCTATCCCGCATAGATTAGTCTACAATACTGAGTAGTGCTGTTCACAAATTTGGGATGTGTCGTCTTCGTATTTTTCCCTTGTCGAGGCGGGGACGTGGACGACGAATCAAGCAGTTGATCAGAAGTGGTACGAGGGCATCCCGCGTCCCGCCTGGGAGAAAGGTAATAGACGTCGTGGGATGGGTCAGATTTTTGCTACGTTGCACAGGCTGTTTTCAGCCATCCTATCTATTCGAACTCAGTCGGAAGAATAGAAGTGAACTTTTGTTGCGTGAAGATGCAGCAAACTGAGCACTGCGCGCTGCTCTGCGGACACACGGCGAAAATACCTCAAGTAGCCATGTTACGACACTTGTAGGAAATATAAGAATACAAACTTGACGAATTTGCTTTATCACCGGCACCAGACTCTCTAAGGTTTATTCAAAATACTAATTAAAACTACAACAAACACTATTTCCACATAGTAGTTCATCTTCAACTTTCTTGATGATGTCTTCAGCATGTTTTGATAAAACTTTCATACTGAACACAACAAACCGGATCTGAACGTCGTGCCCTCATCCTTCACCTCCAAGCATTGTGAAAATAGGACTTGTAAAAGATTTCTTGTCAGCATGTAGAGAACGTTGAAAATATTTTCTTCTTACTCATTTATACCACGCTCCTAGAAGAACATGAAGCCTTGCACTTCTGATGCCGATCAGGTGCTGGTGCGTGGTTTCTTCGCTGCTTCCTGGGTGGAAAAGCGGCTTGGGTAGTGCTCTCATGCGCCTGCTCACTGTGTTCGTGGCAAATTCAGCAGGCGTACTATAAGCAAACACAGCAAGCATGAAAAGGACTCTTATCGCAAGCCCGAGATCTTCTAATTCTAAAAAGCTGATTGATGAAATAGAAGCCGTGTGCTTCTTCTCCTGGATGAAGAACGAAAGCGCCATCTCATTGCAGAACAGAATGGAGGCAAGAAGATACATAATCCTACTTTTTGTGACGAAGAGAAGTCTGCTTGCGATACATGTTCCCTTAGCATTAATACCATAGATCGCCTTAGTCTCTTACTCTTTCTCGCTCGTCACGATTATGTAGCGAAGGAAAGGGCATTTTTTTATTACTTAGGCCCCCCTGAACGAGGCAGAAAAAGTTCGGACATTATAAATATCTTCCATATGATGTAGTGCCGAACTATGGCTACTATGACTAGATCTGAATGATTCCTAAGTGGTCGTTGTAATGTCAAAAAACGGCTTCAAAAATCCCTTCCCACGTAATGTCAAGACAAGGCGTACCATGGCCCCACAGCAGAGTTTGCGCAGCGAGACAAAATCGATTATTTGACTGACGAAATTCGTTGATGCGCCGTCTGGACGGCGCCGAGAAGAGCTGTAGCTTGGACGAGACCCAACCGCACACTTAAGTACGTTGGAGGATACTCATACTGCATGATTCGTTTTTGCTGGTTTTGATGGCTGTTTCGCGTTGCATGATTGGGAACGACGAATCTGAAGCTCAGAACGAGGTGAAGCCACATCGAAGAAAAGCGGGTGTCGGTGGGACATCACATCATCGCTTGGCGAGAAAAGTTACACTAGTTGCACTCTCGACGTCAGGTCTAGTTTTCACGGCTATGTAAGTAATATAAACGATAGCAACACCAGGAACGCATGCACGCATACGGCGCAGCCATTGCTCACTCTCGACTTCTGTCATTCGCCTCCGTCTAGTCTCGACACAAGCAGCATAAGTAGCCTGCCGATGAAAGAAAGTCTATGAGCTGGGCGGTGCACGAGCCGCAACTAGGAGGGCGCTGCGGACACGATCCATAAGTAGGAGGTGTTCGTGATCAGGCACGTTTTTTAGGAGAATAGATACCTCTATCGACCGCGGGTCACTCTAAGAGAATCGAATCACTCTTTAGCCCGCGTGGTACTGCGAGGGATTCCACACAACTTGTGGCGCTTCACATTTTTTCATGCCTCTTTTCGTATCCGACTAGTAGAGCAGTCGAGGGAAGAACATCTTTATTCGAGAGGCGAACCCAGCGCGTTATTTGAGGCGACACATGTGAAAGAACGCAGATAGATCGACAGCATCAGCATCCACTAGATTCAGTCGTCGAGCAATGTGCTCTTGAGATCAACTGCGCTCCGCTTGCTGCACCGATTTTTCTAATTTCACAGCAGAACTCCACGTTTTTCCTTGTGGGCACGTGAAGGCCGAAGAAGAAGTCCTTCGGTTCGTGGGCCGCTTCCAGTGACAGGGTGAGGCAGCGCGTGCCGTCGGTGTCTTTGAAGAAGCGAAATTGATTTCGTATCACAGTCTTCTGGTATTTTAACTACAAGAATAGGATTGACGCACAAACGAAAAATATTTGCGGAGCGTCTGCGCGCCCCCTGCTCTTGGCGCTTGCGAAGAGAGGCCAACCGCAGGACCACAGCACGTAGTGAAGCTAGACGATTGAAGGTCATCCTGCACAGCAAGCTAGAAAAGCAAGAAAACCAGTACTTAAGCGCCTTCGTTCTGTCAACTCCAAGATGGCGGACGCTGCAAAAGCGGGCGACACCAGCCCGTCAGGGAGGTATGAGAAAGTAGAGGTGAAGCTTCTTGGCGAAGGAACATATGGCGAAGTCTACAAAGTGAAAGACAACATTACAAACGAAATACTAGCCATGAAGAAGATGAAACTCCATGACGAGGAAGAAGGTACTTGATGTAGTCTCAAATGATCTGCCCTTTGACTACAAAAAATACCTAGTCATTTTGTTGCAGCTAGCGTGCTACAGCATGACGATACAACGAGTTGCGTCCTACTTCCGCAATAGAAATACGACTGCAACATTCAACAAACAACATTACCAGGTATACCATCGACAGCAATACGAGAGGTGAGCATACTAAAGGAGCTTCCACATAAGAACATAGTGCACCTCAGGGATATATTCTGCACAAAACAGAAGGTACTACAAAGCTTTTTTTTTCTCGTGCAAGTGGAGCATCTTCGAATGAAGTCATGATAAGAAACGTGATAAGATCCATCTACATATTTGTACATGACAGCCCAAAAATTTGTATCTTCATGTTTATTGGCTTTTTATCATGAGCAATTATCGGCGGATCATCATTTGATAAATTGAACACACAGGTAATGCTCGTTTTTGAATTCGTCGATAGCGATTTGAAGAAATATATGAAGAAGAAGGGAGGCGGCGCGCTCTCACAGCAGGAAGTGAAGGACTTCTCATACCAGCTTCTTTGCGGTCTCGATTTCTGCCACAATCACAGAATATTACACAGAGACTTGAAGCCACAGAATCTTTTAGTGACCCAGGATGAGCCTCCCGTTCTCAAAATCGCGGATTTTGGGCTAGCAAGGGCATTCACACTGCCAATACCAAAATATACCCACGAAGTCGTTACAGTATGGTATCATAGCAACAGCTTATTCTTCTATCTCGGTTTACCTATTTACTCCTCTCTTCCCGATCCCGGCTGTGTTAGAGTTTCTTCAATTTGCTAAGGTTACAAGGATGTTGTTCACTAAAGTACGTCTTTCATCCTTGATCGACTGGCGCAGTAAAGTCCTTCTGGTAAACATTGCGTTTATTTGATCAAATTGTGTCCACTAGGTACAGGGCGCCGGAAATTCTGCTAGGGCAGAAGGAGTACGCGCTTCCAGTAGATATATGGAGCACCGGTTGCATCATCGGAGAAATGGGGTGTGGTGCAGCGCTTTTCATGGGTACTAATTAAGATCTAGACTCCTGTTTCGCATCAGGAAGAGAACACATTTCTCACAGTATCTGACCCTAGATTCCTAGCAGCTGCACACTTCCTTCTCCTTCTTGTGAAGACGTCTATCGGAATCAGATAGGCTCCTTTGGTTGATTCATATTTTCCGCACAGGTGACTGCGAAATCGACACAATATTCAAGATCTTCCAGAAGTTAGGAACACCATCCTTCGAGGACTGGCCAGGCCTGCAGGAGCTAGAGGACTTCAAACCCTCAACCTTTCCAAAATGGCGCAAAAAATCGTGGACGGAAATAAGAGATCTTCAGAACAAAGTAATTATACTTTCAATTTTTTGTGGACGATTACGATTTTTCATTTTCTGGGTTTCTATAGACGCCGATAGGAACGATCACAGGACTTTAAGAACATAGATCTAAGATAGTTTTTTCTGCAGTTTTTTGGCTCTACTGTATTCTCATACAAACTCAATACCCATCGTTCTCCTTGTGTTAACTACTAGGTGGGACTGCAATGCTGCGACCTACTCGAGCATTTGATGAAATATGACCCGGCAAGACGACTATCAGCGAAGCGCGCTCTCGTCCATCCATTTTTCACAACACCAGGGCAGTGAGCAGGTCACAGTCAGGTCTGCGTTTACATTCCCCCGGGTCTGGGTTTACCTTCCCGATCAGAAATTAGTCACATCACAGTCCTTGTTTTGAACACAAAAAAGTAGTCTTTGCTTTGAAGTTACTTAGTCATTTGTCTCCTGTTTAAGGGACTCAAGTAATTGCAGAAACATCGCGTTTAACATCTCAATTACAATTTGTTTTTCACTCTCGTCAACTTCAAAGACTGGCCGTCTTGACTTATTATTGTCCAAATCCAAAATTCAGATTCAGTATCGATCGAATTCACTCTATATTTTTAACTCACTATTATAACAAGCCCAGCATCGCGTTCGCGGTCAATAAAATTACTGTTAGCTTGGTAAATTAGAATTTTATGCCGGGCTAAAAAGATGTAGATGACTGAGAAATTCATTGCCACTCATTCCTCTCTTTCGCGGACACGAGCAGACCCAGATCATGCATATCTTTACACGCACACCGATGTTGATGTCATATTCGGACCTCACCACTCCTCCTGGCTCATAATTTCTATCCCGAACTCGAACTCCGTCCTCACGCTGCTTGAAAATGGCTTCGTCGAGAAGCATTTTCTTCAGTAATTATGGGATTTCCGAAAACACGACACAATCGCGTGAATTCTGCATGCGGACCGCCAAAATGTGGCTGTAGGGCTCACATCAGTCGAAGAAGTTACGGCATCACGAACGACATAAGCGACGTGGTGTGGACCGTGTCCGCACATAAACCCTGACACCTCACGAAAATGCGAAACCACGACCCCCCGCACCTTTTGATCCCAACATCATCCCTCCACACCTCAGACTTGGTTTTGTCTCATTGACTCAATACCTGCAAAACTTGAACAGTTTTTGGCATAGATATACCATTGTCGCTTTATGTTTCAGCTATCGTAAGCTTATAAAAAAGTAGATCAGACACTTGTGTTCTAAGCATGACAAATTGTGCGTCTTCTAAAAATGTCTATCTCGTCTTGATTAAGCACTGAGAAAGTTAGAAAAAGCAAGATGAAGTTTTCAACTCGGCGAGATGTATACCATAGCTAGTGGCGTCTTCCAGAACCAAGAGGATTGAGAATCTTCAACATGTACGATTATTTGCCTTATATATTGCTAGTCGAACAAGTTAGCAAAGTATGACTCGGGAAGCAGCTACAGCGGTCTTGTGACGACATCCTTGCTATGACGATAACCAGTTACAATAATACTGCCTCTCATCATTAGCCAGGATACAAAAAAAAAGAAACTTTTTCTGATATCTCCAAATCCAAATCCGAATCCAAACAATGTCGACATTCTCTTCCCTGTCGAGCTCCTCTACCGGGTCCTCCGTTCAAGCGGGCTCAAGCACTATCGTCAAAAAAAACCTATTGCTCGGAGGGTTTGTTAGCTACAAACATTGGGCAGAGGTCATCGCCGTAGCAGAGCGAAAGGAATTACCGCGGAAGACTGCAGATATCAAGAAACATATTTCTCGAAAAATACCGGTGGCTCCGATTAGTGTGTGTGTGGATGTTTTCAGCAAGTCGAAGCAACGAAGGAGAGAGGCAGCGCTCTGAGATGATGTCGGTGAGCCTTTGCATGCCGCAGTCCCTCGTTCCCGAGCTTTCTAAGCGCCAGCAGGATGCAGATATCTGCAAGGCTGTGGGCTATTATCAACAGACAACTGAGCGGGCGCGTATGGGGTATACGCACTACGACATCACTGCTGAAATAGTTGATGGGGCGCCGCGCATGCAGTGCGGGGAGAAAGTGGGGCTAGGCGTCAACGTCATTGTTCATAGCTTGTGGCTTCGAGGGTTTCAGAATATTACGAATTCGCGAGAGGACTTCTACTGGGATCAGGATGACGTAGCCGCCGACCGTGACGGATTAATACCTCGGCAGCCGCTGCCTGTCAAAGTGGGATTTAGTTTGGTGCCGGTGGGCGCTGCTCATCATGCGATGCACCTTGCGGCGCGTGCTGCCGGTACATGATATTTCCATACAAAGCGACGACGAGAACCCCAGATGGAGCAACTCTCTCACTTTGCTCGAATCAACGCGAGATGGCGCAGTTCAGCAGATCCTCGACCAGCTTGATGCTTGTCTGTCACAGGGTGACACGACCCTGGAGATCACTCAAGAGCATTTGACCAGCTCCCCAGGCTTCCGAACGGTAGAGCGATACCCCTGCACGCCAGAGACCTTGAGGCTCTCCATGGGAGTTTGCTGGGGGACTATTCTCTGATTAGCGGTTTAGTGACCAAGTCGAAGAATTGTGGGGGCTTCGATATCGAGCGGCAGAGGCCGACCGCGGACGGCCGTCGTTGGGAACCCTTTTACTTCGATGAGGATGAGGAGCATCCGGACATCGTTGTGATGGCATTAACGTTTCGCCTTGTACTACTCGAAGAATGAGACTTATATTTATTTATAAATATCTTTTCGTGTAGTACGATTTGAAGATCCCCACTCAGTGACGACTGGGCCTGAGGCAAACCCAGTATGGCTAGTATCTATAATAAGAACTCCATTTGACCAATGTTATAGAGGTGAGAGTGACCCTCACGTTGCCTGCCACTCAAAAGTATCATCCCCAAGATATTGCGTACATTGTTTTTGCAAAGGAACCCATTAATAGCCAGCCTATCTTCACACCAACCGGAACGAAGTCCATAGACACTTGGCATCGCTATTGCAAAACTTGACTCTATTTAGTCCTACCGATCAAAAAAATGACAGAATCATCAGTGACTGGGTATTTTCATCCACATATCAGAGTAGTTTATAGCACGCATGGTACATGGAGTAGCATGGAGTGCATGGAGCGCAGAGCTTTAAGGGGCGCAAGAAGCTCCCCCTTTAGCTCCATGCTACTCCATGTGATCCATGCACTCCATGCCATGCGAGCTGTGAAACCTTATAAATTGCTCTGACATATTACTCTTTTTACGGCCGTCGGTGTCGGATTATATCTCTGTAAGCAGGAGTGCCAAAGTAGGTGCAACAAGAATTTCACTGTTGTGTAGTGCTTATCAAGGTGGTTGGGAGAGCAGCGAATGGGTGTCAATCGTTCGTATTCGGTTGAGCCCCATGTCTGTGTGAGTTTGTGAAATTTAGAGCCCCTATGCTAGATGGCGCCACATACGCATAGAGGAGGGATAGATGCACATACGCCTAGAAACCGATGTGAAAACCACTCTAAAAAATGCTGAATCGGTCCAAAAAAATGCATCACAACGACATGTTGTTACGTGGGCGGAGGAACTCTTCGTCTTCTCTACTTATCAAAAACCGTAACGGCTATTTCCGCAACTGAATCAGTCTTTCTTAAATTTAATCAGAGTGCAGAGTATAAGTATATAGACTGAAATAGATTTCCGATTGCGGTACAGAGTATGTGGTTCAGCGTATTTATTAATGTTGGTCGTTGTACACTTTGATTTGATGTTTCAGTAAATGATCATGGGAAAACAAAGGTTGGAGAAAAGAACTCGTGACGCTATAAGGGCCATGAAAGGTGGAAAAGGACAAGTACCAGATCAACCTGGATGCACAACAAACAAAAGCATGACTTCTACACAACAAGCTCGAACAAGTGGAAACCCGATTCCGTTGTACCTGAAGGATGCGCGTAGCTGCATCGAAATACCTGCCGCAAGTAAATCGAGTGGTGTTGGGCCAACCCTCAACCTTGCGCTAACATTGCAGGTGCCGCTGTCGCGCGGATTACTCGATCTCTTGTTGGAATACAGATCACTCTTGCTAGCAGAACAAGCAGGAGACAACTCCTCGCGACCACCTCCACAACTTGAGAGAACAACCACCGAAGCGACAGAGGCTTCAGGTAACGATACATAAGCGCAGCGTGACAGTTCGACTTGTTTTGCAAAGAAAAATGCAAAGTGCTTTGGGGCTATTATTCTTCATGGCATCTACATCTAGGCTTCCTTTTGACGCTTTGATTTGTGATTTGAATACACCAACGACCAACATCTCAGGATCAGTTTCGGACCTGCAGAGTTACGGTGGTCCTGCTCCACTTGCATCTTCCGGACCACTAGTAGTTAAGGGTGTTACCGGTCAACATGACCAAGCTGGAGGAAGCACAGGAGGTTATAATCTATCGTCCGCATCTAGTTGTTCTTCTTCTCCGGCAACTGGGGGTTATGTGCAGCAGTATCCAGCAACTTACCGGGGTGCAACAGTCGGTGCTGCGGCGACTGTTTCTAGTGCCAGTTCTGCTTTTGAGCAGCAGTCGACAACCACTGCCGGAGCTTCGAAGGGTAGCGGATACACTCAACATCCAAACGCGGCTTACGCCAATCATACTACTGGAACTTCTAAGAGCAGTTGCAGTAGCAGCTTCGGCTATGGTGGTGCTGCTGGCAAGCATGGAGGCGGAGCATCCATGCACCAAGAGCATTCGCAGCACGTGGGCGGTGGATCGCATGCAGGCCGGCAGCAAGGTGCTGGCGGCTACAACATATCTTCGTCATCCGTGTCCTCGGAGTACCATCGCTACAGCAAAGGGGTGCCGGGGTCTCACCACCATCACTACGCTGATTACTATAAAGGAGATAATAGCGGCAGCGTGCATCACAGCAAAGGGACGGAGCATGGCTACTACCAGCATCACGGCAGAGGGAGCACGCCTGCCTCTAACGTAGAGCATTACCCATACATGAAAGGCGGAAAGAAGAAACAAGGCGTCGTAATAAAGGGCAAACCAAGTAGTGGCTAGCAACGAGTCGATTCACACCTCCGCTTCCCTCTGACATAAATTGAGACCGATTTTTTGATGCCAGCGCTTCTGCGGGAAATATTAATGACCCCGCACCCATTTTTTCGATTTTGCAATAGAAGTTAACAGCGCAGGACGCCATTATCGTTATCAATCATGAAATCATTTTTATGCGCGTATTAGTATAGTGCTTTTTTTATCTAATTTAAATATATAGTTCTTCCTTTACTCCAGTCAACTCTTGTAGGACAACCCACAAACAATTACTCTTGTAGGACAACCCACCAACAACCACCATAGGGAAAGAAAATCCAAAAGTGACCTCTTGCCTCAGTCTCCTAGCTTCCTACGCGACAGCTACAGCAGAAAGACTAATGACTTGGCTCTAATGATATATTTTAATTTTTTTGTTTAAAGAAATATATCGAAAGAGCTTGGTCTTCTTCGGTTCAAAACATTATAGTCACGAAATGACGCATTTCTGTTCTTGACGGACCTGAGAACCACAACGAGAAAGCGAAAAAGAAACTAGTAAAGGAGCGGAGCAATATCGTCGGTGGAGCAGAAGCATGATGTGCCTTCTTATATCGTGATGTAGTAAGATTCATCGGAAAATGAAAAGGTTTTGAAGAGAGACGCGCGCTGTTCCATTTACCCAACCGGACCTACCCTACTCCTGTCCCCATGTGCATAAGTACTTAGAAGATTATAACTTGTGATATTTAATACGACAAAGATTCAGACCATTTCTTGCAAAAGGCCCTGAACAAAGGCTAACGCTAGTGATGCTTCTGAGCTGGAACTAGAATTTCGTCTCCGATTGAGAAGCCATGACGTGAATCGACTTTTTTGACGAAGCACCATTTACAACTACATCGAGCATTATTCAAGAACGTCACCATCTCACATCACCTTCGACAAGACAAAAGTACTGTATTGTAGAAAAACGGGTAAGTAGACACTTTTGAGAAAGAAACTAGTTTAAACATTTAGCAAGATGGCGGACGAGGATACAGAGCCGAAATACCAGCTGAAGGTGAAGCCTGATGGCGACATCCTGGACACCTCAAAGCATTTTGATGGCGATGCAGTCGCAACGTACTTACACTAAGTTAAGCCTTTCGTTCCTTACTTTTCATGCATAGATAACTAGATGGTGTATTCTGCCACATGAATGGGTACACCACTACTGTTACATAGACACCCACGAGGACCAGATGTCATCTCTGCGCGAGAATGGATGTTGTTGAGTTATAGAGTTGTTAGTGTAGTCATACTCATAGTCTCACATTTGTTGACCAATCAATACAGATTTTTTCTAGAATCCCCTGACTTAGTTACCAGCAATGAAAGGTACCTAAACAAAGACGTGTATGATGGGACCTTTCTCTCAGGCAGGAGAGACGGCAAGGGAACATACATCTTCGGAAACAACAAAGACTGGTACTATGTATTTGATCTTATAAGAATGTAACCACACGTCGCACACAATCTAGTTATAGATGCTAAGGAGAACGAGTTGCTTTATTTGATTATTTTCATGAAAAAAGCTCGACAAGTCGTTGAACATGCCTTTATCCCCCTGCAACACGCGCTCCTGACACAACTTTCAGCTATGCAGGCGGATACCTCGAGAACAAAAGGCATGGTATGGGTAGATTTGTCTACAGCGCGGACCCACCAGAAGCACCAGAGGATCCAGAAAATGCGCCAGTGCGTGGAGGCGAATATCATGGAATGTATACCAGTGAAGTAAAATTGTTCGGACTAGGAGTAGGAACACCGTTAATTATTATGGAATGAGTGCGCAGTGCCGGAAACGGAATGAGTGCTTTAGCTTCTTTTATCTTAGTCTCACCATCAGCGCGGATTGCTCTCGTTGTTCTTGGACTGTACCAGATGGCCATCGCGTTGAACAAGGCTCTTCCTGAAGATGAGGGGAACAAGAGAGACCCTGGGTGACCCTTGAGGGATGACCATGATGCGTCTGAGTTCTATTCTATATAATTTTATCAAAGTCGCTATAGCCTGGTGCTTGCTAACCTGCATTTTCATTTTCTAATTGAAATTAATTATTATTTCGTCTGTTCTGTATCTGCCTGGGCCTGGATATCTACTTATGCTAAGAGTGTTACTTTCCTCCCTATTCTTTTTCTACCCTTGAGAGTACTACTGCGACCGAGTAATGCAGACGCACTAGATCTTCTCGCCACTACTTCTTCTTCTGCGTCGACTTCTGCGGAGCTGCTTCGCGGAGCGTTTTAGGCCAACTAACTGCTTCCGGCCTTGATGTATTTGATCTGACTGCTGTAGGATTCAACTTATGCGCTTGACCTTCTTGCTGACTGCTGTAAGTGCAGTGTGTTCCACTACCCCCGTTTTTTTGCTCTCTTATGTTCTGTTGTCGGTCGTCGCGGGCTACTCATGAAAGTAGTGGAAGGTAGCTGTGCAAGGGGTGCTTAATCCGCTATCCCTGACCCCCTCGCGCCTCTGTGTTTTTTCGTCTTTCTTTCTCTTGAATGAACCCCCTTCCTCCCTGTTTTTTCTGGATAGTACTATGATGGGACGCGCTCCGGTTCAGGTTCTTTACCTCTAGGTGTAGTCTTCACTCATTTCAAGCACTGCTCTCTCCGCTTCAAAGCTTATTATGGAAACTATGAAACAACTACTTTGTCATGTTTATTTCGTTACTATTATGGAGAAAATTCAAGCAAGGTGGACTGCAAAAATCCGGACCGTATTAAGTCCGTCTGGGCATGATGTGAATCCGCAGAACACTCGCCGCCTACTGCTCTCCTTTGCAGAAAACCCGGCCCCGATTGCGAGCAAAGAACGCCGGGCACCCTCCAAATCCCCGCGCCCCTCCAGAATCCCCCAGCACACAGCTGCAGGCTGATGCGGTGGACTCTGGAGGGGCGCGGGGAATCACATGAAACGAAACCAAAAGACAGAAAGACCAAGGGGGGGCAAGTTACGGAAGTCCCTAAGCGGGGCACTTCCAAGACTAAGCGGCGGCAATAGTGGCCGCTCTCGTGCAGTTCTGGGCTGCCTTAGCGCCTACATCGTGCGACTTCATCAGACCCATCCAGCGCAAGGCTGCTTAATGATTGCAATTTGATTCTACTGAGTAACTCGACTCAAGGGCGACCCCTTCACCAGGTGGGCTGAAAACAAGCGCGAAGGAGGTGGCACTTTCAAGTATGTGAACGGTGATACCTATAGCGGAAATTGGAAACACGGAAAAAAGCACGGCAAAGGAGTCTACAGATATCAAGCCGATGGAAGCACCTTAGATGGAAAGTATATATTTCTGTAGATTTTCAATTTCCATGGATTACAAGAACTTTATGATTGATTGAAGGCACACTATTAAAGGTAGAGAATACGGAAATCAAATGGACTTGATCAACGTGGACTTTCGTCACCACAGCAAGCCTGCTTCGTCTACCTAATACAGGTGGGCTGATGGCATGTTTGTGCAAGGAACATGGACGTTGACATCGGGAGTGAAGTATGTTGGATCATTCAAATGGAATCAACCACTTGGAGACGGTATTTGCTGTTTTTGATGCCTTTGACTTTATTTAACTTTAACTAGTTATCGTTTTCTTTATTTTTTGTTAGCGTGGTCTATTGAAACACTAACACATTCTCATTCAACGACGAATTGGCGAAATGGATGTTGATATAGAAAGTATTTATGCGTCAGTTCTTACTACATCACGCCCTACGCACGGGCGTTCGAAGATGAGCATCAAAAACATCACACAGGTGTGTGGGTCTTTCCAGATGGGAACCAGCTATGTGGCACGTTCACGCAAGTTGAGGAGCGCGACGAGGAAGAGGCAGTGGAAGGTGAGGCGCCTGCTGACACTGCCCCGAAGAGTGTCGCTGTTTCCTGGAAGTCTAACGTTACAGTGACAATCTGATATATATATATGTCTAGGTCTTGTTATCCACTCTACTAAGCGAACCTATAATGTGATTGATAAAGCTACAAGACAATGATAAGCTTGATAGGTCATACAGTATAGTCAACCGCATTGACTTACACCACCGCAACGCGCCATAGAAGCGCCAAACACGACACCCGTTTTAATGCATTGATGATTCACTATGTATGAGTTCAATTACTACAGTAAAATCCCAGAATAAAGACTGTCGAGAATTTTGTCTCTCTCAATGTTTGGCAGGACCACAGACGACCTTGAAGTGCTAAGAGCACATTCACAGAGGATAGTGATACGCAAGGAAATTGATCATACACATACCTTTCCAACATCCTCCTGCTTGTGAGAAGTCAGGGCAATGGATTCGGAGCCGCACCTAACGGAATCCAATGCTTCCTAATTTAAGCTTGTGTGCGACTCGAAATCGAAAACCAGGCGCGTTCAAAGCAGGGTCGTCATTCTAGGGTACTGCATCTGTCAGTGAGGAGAGACGGCAGCATGTGATGCTGTTCACAGAATAGACAGCTCAACACTCGCAAGATTTTTTTGCGAAAATCAAAAAACGAAACAGAATTATCTAGGATATACTTATCAGCTCCTGTAAGCAAGTCTAATTGAAAATTCTCAAACGTCGTAACGCCCCTAAGGTTAACATTTTCTTCTTGACAATCAATGTCGTCGAAAACAAAAAATATGGTACCTACTCGTTCACTCACCACCAAGAGCAAGTTTCGCATCCTGTCGCACTCGCCGTTGATGCTGGTCTGTGACGACTTCCTAAGCGAAGAGGAGTGCAAGCTTCTTGTCGAAGCCGGTGAGGACCTTGCAATGGCCACGGTTGAGGATGCAGACTTGCGTGCCACCCTTCAGATATCGGGTGGTCTCGCACACGGCTTCGGACCTTTTCGACGTCTGTATCGCTTACCGGGATCGCGGAAGCTTCGGGCAGAGTTTGATTTGTCTCCAGGAACGGCACCAGAGGTGCATAGTTTATTGCACCGACTCGAAGGCTCCTTGGCACGGTTAACGGGGTGCGAGTCGCACGAAGACGAGTACCGCTGTGTGCTAAACGTAACACCTGGGCGGCCCGGCGTGCGGGTATCTGCTGCAGCTTCAGAGATATCGCCACAAACTGCTGATGCAGAAACTAATGCCGACACGGGGAACGGAGCGGCAGGGGATACTAATGAACATATAGTCGACGCCGAGCGAGGTGATGGAGCAGTAGCGCAACGTCATGTTTCATCGAGTCTTCTTGAAAACGGTCTCCACATAGATACGTTCAACGATGCGCCTCGTCGTTTCGCAACGGCCATCTTATACTTGAACGACCTGCGTCAAGAGCAACAGCAAGGTGGAGATGTCTTGCATACGAAGACTGATGATGAGTGTTGGGGCCATACCGTTTTTCCGTTAGCTCTTCGAACGGAAGAGAACAGCCGATCGTCTGACGAAAATAGCACGTGTAGTGGATCGCATGATGAGCCTGTTGAGGACCAAAAAGATGTTGGTGTTGGCAACTATGACAGGAGTGCAGGAGTGGAAGATGAAGAAATAGTACATGCTGGTCGACGACTGTTGGAACATCACGGGTTGATGACGACAGATCCAGCGGTTTTGGACGAGTATGATCCAGAAGAAGATTCGTTATGCGGGCGAGATTTGCGACGGAGCAGCTGGAATAACTGCGTTGAAAAGCTGGAAGAGCAGGCACACAGAGTGTTGACTCGGGAAGCTGCAGCACGTCTGGACGCACTAAAATTTCGCGGAAATGCCACCGAAAACGATGTACGAGTAGAGACCAGAACTAGTCGTATTTCTACTTCTCTTGGCGTAGCAGTGCGTCCAAAAGCGGGACGACTGCTCGTATTTTTTACACGTGACGAGGCAGGGGACGTTGATTTCCGTTCGTGGCACGGATCTGCAATAGTATGCCCAGAGGCAAATGAGAAGTGGACTTTGCAAACGTTCAAAGCTGTACAGCAATGTCACGGCTCTTCTAAAAATAGAAGCACTACTGGTTCGGACAACACTGGAGGTAGCGAAGCTGAAGGAGATTCGTCATGTGTTTTTAGCGAGGAAATGCTTCTGGATCATGAAAAGTATTGCAAGGATAGCGCATCTAATTTTTGGCGCAACTGTGCAGAAAGAGTAATTAACGAACCGCCCGAAGTAGAAGTTGCACAGAAAAAATGCCCTCAGCTTCTGCATCTTTTCTAGTCAGTGCGCGGGGACGTTCGCTCTTGCCGTGGCGTCTTGGGCGTGGATCGGAACTACTTCTTCCGATGTTTCCATCTTCTCATGATTTGAAGGAGATACACAAGCGTGGCAGAGAGTGAAGATGCATCTCTGTCCATCCGGTACTGAGACGAGAAAATCAGTCGAACTAGACGGTCTTGGTGAGAAGGCACAAATTTCAGTGAGGCACAGTGTGGACGTCGAGCGATGTGATCTATGTATATGAACATAATTGAGGTGGAAGGTATTCATTGATGACAAGATTCCTTTCCCCACATACCTACGCAGACAGCACGCAACGGAAGAGAAAAAGATGTTGTGTGAGTTCCTTCTTTTTTTGCTCTGGATGCTGACTTTCATGAAAGATTAGACGAAGACCGTTGGCTGCCCTTAGAAGCAAGTTGCACTTTGGAAGCACTCAAAAATAGTTGCTGCATTTTTTTCATTCTATTGGCATTGATGTTGCACTCTGATCTGTGTTGTAGTATACTTCTTGTTGTATTGATGATGTTCATGTTTTCCTGAAGAGCATAACAAGTTCGAGTACTCCTGATAGTTTTTTCGTTATTCTTCGCTGAGCATTCATAAAGATAGAAAATTGAAAGTGCTGTCGGGCACCTGTAACACGGACACGGTCGTTTAGAAACGCTCAGAACCTACCCCGGCGAAGCAAGGTCAATGGCCGCTGAAGATCCGTTTCTGCTTCTATGCCTGTGACCGACCTGCGTGAACGCCATTTTTTGCTCAGGCCGGATACGCAACTTCTTACCTTCCACTAGCTGCATGCTGTTCTTGGACGGGTATATCGAGATAGATACATACAACCACGAGCTTTAGCGGCAGGTCTCGACACGAGCTGTCTTGATTCTAGGCGCAAACGTCACTCAAGCTATACGCAACAAGCAGCTGAGCGCTTCTGCAGTTGTACCTCACCCGAGAATATTGTTCCCTGTTTCCCGGATCATTGGTGCCACCGACTACGGGCTCTAGCTCTATCCTCTGCGCAACAAGCACGACGTAGTCCACGCTATATCTTTACTCGCCTCGAAGAGCAGAAGACGTTATTCTCGGCAAGATGTTGCGAGGTCCACCGAGCCGCGTGCACGACCGCGCAAATCCCAATACAAAAGTGCTCTACGATAAAAGCCTCTCGGAATGGACCTCGAAGTACGTAAAGAACAAACGCGAGCTCGACAGAGTGACAACGCAGTGCGATCACCTGAGGCACGAAGTACGTACTAAATGTACTTCATACTTACAGAACTTACTAGCTCTGTGCTGTGTATCTTCTTCTTTTGAGACGAAATCAAAATTTGTAGTCTTATTTGAATTTCGATTTCGTATTCGTTTACTGACCACGTTCGACGAACTTGAACAATAATTTTTCGATAGACCATGTGGTTGTACTAATCTTTTACTCGTTTCTATTTTTGTTGATGTTGTTCACTGAAGACACTCTTTCCTTATCTTTATATTTCAGGCGCAGAAGCTGCAGGAGCATGTGGAAGAGTCAACAAAGACCCTGAAGGTCATGGAAGACAAATATAATCGAGAGTTGACGACACGATTCCAGGTACTGCTCCTGCCTGTCCTATTATAGAGATGATCACTGTCTTGCTCACGAGCCGTTAGCAATGGCTAGTACTTCACTAGAGTATCCACGTTGTACACAGTGAAAGTATGCATGGTCTAAGTGTGTAGTATTTTTATTGTAGCAAGCTTATTAGTCTCCTCGTCACGACGTCCTATGCGGGCGGTAACTTGTTTCCCTCAAACGTCCTCCTGGGGGCGATCTGCTGAAGCGGAGCAGTCACCTCGATGTGACAGCGAAGTAGAAGCATCCTACCCTATCCTATTCTCTCCTAGTATCTTGTTTTTCCGATCGCGTTCCCGTTTGTCCTAATTTTCCCGCTTAGATGTGTCAGCCTCCAGTTGCATATTTATTGAAAAAATGTTGTATGTAAATACTTTTCAGAGGTCAACTAAGCGGCAAACTTATCCCATACAAAGAAACATAGACTATCCTTTCAGCGCTAAGAACCTCAGCCATGCACTCCATCCCGCCGGGCGTTCTCGGATTTTGCCCCCCCATTCGAAGAAGAAAGAGACCAAGACGTCGCATTTGATTTACCTATTCGAAAGCTCAAAATAACCGAGTTACTGACTGAAATAAGGGAGGTAGCTTAACAGCAAGGCCACTCTTCCTTGTCATCAGTATCTCCTCTCGGTTATCCTGATCAGCATCAGTTACTTGCTTATTTCAGTTTTTCGAATAACATCTTAACAGCAATCAAAAGCGAATTATGAGCATGCGCTGCAGCAGAAGCAGATACTGCAGAATCAAATAGCTGAAAACCGGAAATTGAAGCAAACTCTTGCAAAAGAGAAAACCTCCTTGACAGCTGATTATGATCGCAAGTATGCGGAACTCACTAAGACTCTTGAACAGAGAGCAAAGCTCGACGAACAATTAGCACGGCTATCACAACAACTTGGGGATCTAGCGGAGGTATTGCTTTGGACTGTCATAGTTGCGTAGTAGGTTGTTTTTTGTCTTGTAGGAGAGGACGGAGAGACGTGGAGAGAAGACTTTTCTAGTCTCTTGTATCTGCTTGCGAGTTTTACTTTGACACTCTCTATGATCAACATAATACACAGGAACGAAAACGAGGAGAGAAAGAACTAGCGACGCTCCAGGGGCACTTGAAAGAAAACAGCGAGCTTGTTGATGTCCTCAATAGTGACATGGTGGATGTTAGGGAAGGTACCGAGTTAGCCCTACAAAATTGGCATATTTGACGTGTTTCATAATTTTGATTTGGAATTAATTTGATCTTCTTCTTGGCCGGCAAGAACAAGAAGTAGACTGTGGTAGATGTTACACCTGTATTTTTCATCGAACATCAACAGCAAACCGTGTTTAGAAGGAATTGGAAATCTACTTCCACCATGTTTCTGACGTGTGTGCCAGGTATACGCGCGTCCGTCGAAAGCCACATGCTCAGTTCGAGGTATCTCGACCCAGAGCAGCACGAAGGAGAGTGAAGCGAAACCATGAACACTACCGCCAGTAGCTTATGATTTTCCGCGATCAACCGCAACTTCGCAGCCGACAATTCACATGAAGACTCAAGGATACATAATGTCATGCAGAAAATCCTTTTTTGAGAATGTAAATACCATTACGTTTGTGGTGCATGAAGATAATCTTAACCATCTTGTAAAGTATCTATTTTCTATCTACTTAATATTCAGTAACTTAAACCTATTATCATCAAGTTCTTGCGAATTACCAAAACCAGCTCAGGCCTATTTCCGTCTCATGTGAAGTATGAAAATGCCTTTTCCACCTAATTGTTCAACGGCAAAGAGTGCGCATTCTTTCATATCAAACCGTTTTCGCTTAGCTCGGATTATTTGATTACACAATCAAAATCCAATTATGTCTACAGCTTAATCTCACTAGACCAAAGTGTCGGCTGCCTTGCATATTCAAACTCAAGTGAGAAAGCTACCGGGAAAAAATTGCACAAGTAGTTTTGAACCCAAAATGGATTGTATTTCGATGGCAAGAAATAAAAATGCAATTTCAATGTCGAATAGAACTGCAGACGTTTCAACACTTGTGTCAAATTTATTAAAGATTTGATGTAGTAGAAGTTGGTCAACGCGACGGGCAGGGGCAGCCATCGACGTCGAGTAGCCTGCCGGTGGGCAACGTGAACGAGCACCCCGTGGCGCTTCCTCACTCGTCGCTTCGTCACTCGTCGCTTCGTCACACTCGTCGCTTCGTCACTCTCGTCGCTTCGTCACTCTCGTCGCCTCGTCACACTCGTCGCTTCGTCACACTCGTCGCTTCGTCACACTCGTCGCTTCGTCACACTCGTCGACTCGTCACACTCGTCGCTGGCAGGCTGCTGGCTTTTGATTTTTATCCCCAAGGTTTTCACGACTATGCAAACGCTAGAAAATGAGGAAGGACCCCCCTGATCAGGGTAGTCGGGCTTGCGTGGCACCTACAAACCAGCGCGAAACCCGGCAGCGAGGGAGAGGGAGCGCGGCTCAGTTGCCGCCTTATCTATGGCGCCGCTTTTGGTCGCTATGTTTTGCGTACTGTTTTGCGTTGTGTTTTGTCTATATTTTGCCCCAAGAATCGGCCGCCTGCTCCTGGCGGGCATCTTTTGGGGCAAAATTAATTAACAAGCAAAATGTCGCGACTGAAGCTGCGCCAGCTTTAGAGATTCTGGAAGCCTTCTGAAAATCTGCTCTGGGAGGCGAGCTGCGGCGCCCTGCCGTGGTTTCAGGTCGTCCCAGCACTATCTAGCGGCGAAAACGCTCCAACCACCTGGAGAGATTTTCTGCCAGTGCAGTGACTTGCCCCAGCAAAATGCAGCCACTCTATGAGCAAAATACTGGGGCACATTTAGGAAAAGCCACCGCCTCGCCAGCTCGGCGCTTTGTCAGTCAATCGCCACCCTCACGCTCGTCGCAACGTCACTCAGCGTTACGCGCCCGCGCGTCGCTTCGTCAGCGTTACGCGTGTCGCTTCCTTCGTCACGCTCGTCGCTTCGTGTTCGTCACGCTCGTCGCTTCGTCACGCTCGCCGCTTCGTCACGCTCGTCGCTTCGTCACGCTCGTGCGTCGCTTCGTCACGTTCGTCGTCGTCCTCGTCGCTTCGTCACGCTCGCCGCTTCGTCACGCTCGGCTCGTCGCTCTCGTTTCGTCACGCTCGTCGTTTCGTCATGCTCGTCGTTTCGTCACGCTCGTCGCTTCGTCACGCTCGTCGCCTCGTCACGCTCGTTCGTCGCTTCGTCACGCTCGCTCGTCGCTTCGTCACGCTCGCTCGTCGCTTCGTCACGCTCGTCGCCGTCGCCTCCTCGTCTTCGCGCTCGTTGCTTTCTCGTCTTTTTCTTCACGCTCGCTACTGGTGCTGCTTCCTCGTGGCGCTCACGCTTCCTCCCCGCTGCTTCCTCGTCACGCACACGCCCGTTGCTTCCTCGCCACGCTCACGCTCGTGGCTTCCTCGTCACGCTCCCTCCTGCGTCGCCTCGTCACGCTGCATGCTCGCCGCCTCGTCACTCGTCTGTCGACGGACTCGCCACCCGTCGCCTCGTCATTCGTCGCCTCGTCATAATATTCCTTATCTTTCGTCGCCTCGTCATATCACTCGTCGATTCGTCGCAGCGAAATCGTTGCCCCGTGACAGCTCGTCGCCTCGTCGGCCTCAACATTCGTCGCCTAGTCAACGCTCGTCGCCTTGTCACTCGTCGCCTCGTCAACGCTCGTCGCCTTGTCACTCGTCGCCCCGTCAAGGTCAACGCCCGTTCGCTCGTCACTCGTCGCTTTCTCACTCCCTCGCCGCCTTGTCACTCGTCACGGGAGGGTTGTTGCTTCGCTCTCGCGGGAGGGTTGCTGCTTCGCGTGCCAAGCAGAGGCAAAGCTGGCAACGCCGAGTCTGCCAACGCCCCGAGGCGGATGTCTGTCACCAGTTCTGCTCTTCTGGGCAAAAGGGTTGAGAGTGAGAGAGAGAAACAGGCCGACTTTGGAGAGCCGGACGGAGGCCTGGCGCCGTACAGGCGGGCCCGCTTCTGTGCAAATCGACCACGTTGGAAGCTTGCGCTTTTTTCTCGCTGTCCTCGGTCCGTGGGTTAAATACAACGTAGGCGCGACGGTATGCCGGCTACGTAGAGCGGGCCCCCCTTCCTTTTGGTCGTGCTTGTCTTGCTCCCCAAAGCGGTGCAAACGGGCCTGAGCGCGTTCGCGGTCAGCGCAGTGCGCAGGCCTTCCCCCGTCTAAATATCGATAAAGGCCCAAAGGGCACGCGCTTGAACTGCGCCACGGACGGAGTACCCTACTCCTGTTTTAGCCGCGTCTGATTAGCCCGCGGGGCCACGCCCTTCGCCAGCTCGCGCAGCCCCCCGAACAAACTAGCGGGGCGCAGCGGGTCGGCTATTTTCCCCGCCGCTCTCCCCCCTGTAACGAGAACAACGCGCTGCCAGCGCGCTTGCCTGCACAAATGCGCCGCCCCATCCGCTCCGCGCCCACCAAGTTTGAACAATAAACGCGCCAGGCCTCCCCGCCTTGCTTTGGTTGCTCCGATCGTTGTTTCTTCGTTTAACTTTGCGGCCCTCGCTCTTGTCTGTCTCACGAGCTCCTCGCCCGTTTCCCGGTCCTTGCTGTTTTCGCGTGTTTTTCTCGCTTGTTTGCTCTCTGGCCTTTTTTTGCTGCTTTTGTTCCGAGTTCGCTTTTGTATTGTGACACCCACGCTCGGCGGACTGGGGCTGGAATGGGGGGCGCGTGGGCCTCTCCTTGCGGATCAGCTGCGGCCCTAGCCGTGTTGTAGCCCACGTGGGGGGCATCTTTCTGGGGTCGGCGTTAAATGAAAACGGAAACAAACGAAAAGACAGGCGAAGGTGGCCTTACGGAAAAAGGGACAACAGAACGCAAAGCGCGGGTAGAAGAGAGAAAGCGAGGCGCCCTCCCCTCGCTGCGCAGGGACTAGTTTGCTGGTGTATGTTCGATACAAGCCCAGCCTGCCTCGAAAAAAGCTAGCTTCGCACTGACTACTGGAGTAGCAGTGGAAACGGAAGGAGGGGGCGCGCCTGCTTGTCGTTAACAGCGAGGTGCGAAATTGTCGGCTTTGTTGCTGAGTGCGGCGGACCTCAGTGAGAAAATTCTTGACAAAAATAGGTGACGATACTAAACTCGGAACCCCAGAAGCAAGGCGACAGCGGATTGCCTCTCGCTATCGCTAACTTATTTAAAAAACTGATATTGCGACGCTTTTAGTATCTTGGATGGATTTAGACGGAAAATTCTTGGTGTTAAAGATAAGTGAGGATCTGAGAATCGGGATCCCGGCAGCATCAGCAAGACGACCGCGGATTCTTTGCGAAGAGCGTACTTTGGAAGAAAATGACTCCATCTTCAGAAGGATGGAGCTGCGCGCTCCCGTTTCAAGTCTGAATTCACAGTCGCGGGACATGCGCATTCGTAGCAGGGGAGGGAGCCAGTATCAGGAGCGCCCCTGTGCTACTTTATTGGTTGTGGAAATGAAGGTCACCGACGAAAGAAAGCGCGGCCGCAAGAATGGGATTGGAATAAGGCGCAGCTTCTACTTTTAGCCTTCGAAGCGCGTGTCCGATTACTTTCTCCTAGCACAGGGCTGGTAAGTATCCGTTAGGGACTTACCTCAATCCCCCTCGACGTTCGTAGGCGCACGCATTCCTTGCACTTGAGTTTCTGGCCCGGATCGCCGAGCATCGTTGTGGATATTACCGCAAGATATGTAACTTCAACAGCCGGTTTTATCGGTGTGACGCTTTGTGGTGTGCTAACTCAAATTCGGCACGTTGACAGTCTTCGCGGCTGAAATAACAGACAAAGATGCTCCAGCAGAGTAAATATTTGTGGTAAGCTGTAGCGGACTAGATCATGAAGCGGAGACGCTGGTGGAATGCAAGCATCGCAAAGACATAGCAATTTGATTGAGCGACACGATTCGTCGACGCGAATGCATAGCTTTTTTGGAAATACTGCTTTTTGTAACTACGGGTAAGATCTGTACTAGGTAGTTTAGTTACAACTATAACACGGAGCGAACGCATGACATTTTTTAGTATCTAACCTCATGCACTGTTCGAATTGTTGCTCACTCCTTGTAACAGTACAGCGCCTTCCTTGCAGTGTCCCTTTCGTAAACTGTCCCTCTGTTCGGCTCGTTCGTTAGCCGGTAAATAGCGAGTGTTCGAACCACTGCTCAGCTGGTCATTGTAACGAAAACGAACCATGGAGGACTTGGTCGCGTTTCGCATGATAGGACATCAATCGTCGCTGTTAAAGCGTCTAGTGCATCTAAGACGCAATGTTCGGCAGAGTTCTATTTACCTGAAAGTTAAATATTTCAGAGGTAGGTGGATCCTACATTACTACTGACTAAAAAGACATGTTGACACAATATGAAGATTCCACATTTCAATCCAGAAATAACGGGTTTGACCCGAGTGATCATTTTGAAAACGTCGCTCGTTGGAAACGCCATGTAAATGAAGAGTTGTGTCGCTGACGTTCGTATTAACTTCAAGAGTACGCCGACCGTTTGTCTGAACTCAGTACGTTTACGTCGACTTATTTGAATTTATTATGCCTTCCCCCGATGAAAAATGGGATCGTGAATAACTCTAGCATTTTTACTGGTGCGGATTCCACTCAACAAATTCCTCAGTTCGTGTCGCTCTCATCTTCTACATTGTTGTTACAAAAAATAGATTCTAGAGGGGCAGAAAGAGTCCACAAGGTGAAAAGATGGAAGGCCAGCCGATGCTGGGTGGTGCCCCTGGCGCCCCGATAAGTATTCATGCTTCCGATATATTTTGATATTGAAAAATTGCATGTTGTCTTCTTCAGTTGCGTGTCGAGCATGTCTGCTGACAGATGCATTCCTTTTGATTTATGATTCACTTTTACGTATTCAACATCGCAATCAATATCAAAGTAGATATTGATTTACTTCTTGGTTAACCTCTTTCCTTGGAAACTTACTGTTATTTAATGCTTCTAGTACATGCACAGATGTTTCACCCACTTGCATGCGCGTCTTGGCAATTTCAGGTCTCGGAACGAAGAAGTTTAGCGCGTCATGGAAGATTATATTCTTTGCATCGGCCGTAACGGTAATGGGTGGTTCAGCACTCGGGCTCTATTCAATGATCGGAACGCTTGCTAGTCCATTCGACATCATCATCTTTAGCTACCTGCTTCTCTTTGGGGCAGTGATGATGATCCTGGACATGCCGGTAAGACTTGATCCGACATTAAGAAGTACTTTCTTTAATTTGTTTTTTGAAGTTGAAGCTTGCTTACATCGGTTAAGTAGAATAAGGATTCTGCCTCTCCATCCACATCTATTTTCTCATAGTGAAATGTTGAATAATTCACACCAGTACTCACATCCGCGATTATCCGAATACCGCGTTATCATCTACAAAGCATGTCTTTTTCTGACGCGGTTCATCGGAAGGGGCGTATTCTACCTCTTTCTGGGGTGCATGGTTTGCGGAAACCTGTGGGATAATAACAGTTTGCCATTCCTTGGTACCAACGTGTTTAGACATATATTTTCTTATGCATTTTTATACATTCTCCTCCAGTGACGGTCGTGCTGATCGAGGAGAGCATTGAGTTTGAAACTTTTCTTGTTGGTAGATCTCTACAACTTGCATCACAGCGGATCGAGTTTATCGTTATCTCGTGCAGCACCTCGTCCTCCGCACCTCATCAAATTCTAATCATACAGGTTTTATTATCTTCGGATTTCTATCAGCAGTCGGGGTATGCGCCATATATTACGGTGTTAGACTCACAAAGAAACTCGATACGGTACGAGGAATTAATACATCTCTTTTGCATACTTAGAATCCGCAACAAAAACAAAACCTAACTAGTTGCCGTCGTGTCAGTCACACAGATCGATAAACAGCGACAGCACAAAAAATAGTGAAATCTTCCAACCTTATTCACCGCGCCTTCATGTCATCATCTTCTCGTCCACCCAGGTGCGCAAAGCTCTGCTGAATCGTGGAGGGCCGACACCAAGTATTTGCCCACCTCAGGGAATGCCAATTGCGAAATTCGGTGAGCTGGCTTTGAAAATTCAAGGAATCGCTTTCACAAACGAAGAACTGGGATACATTGCGAATGCATTGTAAAAATAATTACGTTTCGATTAGGAATTTTAGAAGTCGATACAACCATTACAGTATGTTCCTTCGTACATGTGAAGTGCTGATTGCGGTTGGCTTCGCAAAGTGAATATTTTGAACACGTTGCATCAGTAAGAAAGGATGGCGAACGCGAAGAGGAAGACCGATATGTAAGATAACTACGTTGAGTTTGTGCATGCATGCTACAAACTCTAGAGTTATTATTGCAAAGTGCAAAGGTCGTGACGTTAAAATTAATCAGGTCTCAGTCAATCCACGCAGATGACGTCATCACGCAAGCAGAGTTTGAATTCTGGTTGAAGAACCCGACGCCGGTGCTGATCTAAGCCTGCATCCACCAGAATGTGAACGACTTAGCCTGCAAAATAGAAAACTGTATAATTCATTTCGTAGTCGAAGATGTAGTTAGCTAACACGTGCTTAATGAACTGCATCACTTTAATTAAACACACCAGGGAAAAGTACTGTCGTACTTCGGAAAAGTAATTGATACCGGAAGATAAATCAAATGCCGCATATATTCAAACGTTTTTTGGAAATGATTTCGAGGTATTGCTTCGATACTAGACTGACTACCATAGAATCCAAAGTGAAACTACACAACAAAGAACTGGCGCTTATACTCACCACTATAATCGGTCTTCTTCCTTGCTGACTACTGGTAATATGCGAATCTGAATCAAAAGCATAGGACTGACTACCTCATACATAGGACTGAATGAAAACCCTTGTCCCGTTTATTTTGTCCCGGAGTCAAGGTCGCCTTCTGTCCAAATAGGACTAGAAGCAGGGTATTGGATTTACTGAAAGGCATGTTAAACCGATCCTGATGTACAAATCTATTGTGACGAGTTTGTACAAGGCTGCAAAAAGCAGGGTGTGCTCAAATGAAGAATTAGATGGGGGCTGCGAGGACTGAACATCATGTTACATCAAGGAGGATGATAAAGACTCGTCCAAGCGTACTGGTGTTTGTGCTCCTCTTCGACATCGAGAATATGTAGCAGAAGCAGACTTTATTCTGTAAGAAGGACAGCAGCACTTAAAAATGGATCCGCCCTCCTCTTGGCCACGCAACGCTTCTGCAGAATTGATGGACTGACTATAACACTACTTTTACCGCGTGGGCGTCTCCGGCCTGCCTCCTGCCTGTAGTGACTTCAACACATTTTCCATGAGCAGACACGACGGACTTCTGATAGATAAGAAGGTCAAAGTACATTCTTTTTTGGACGGCTAAGTGAATTCATCGACAACTACACAGAATCTAAATGATTTCGTCATCGTCTGTTCGGTCCCATTCATTCCTGGGACCCCTGTGAAATGAGAATTGATTGTCTTCGGGTTGAAGTGGATGAAGCAAAAAATCATTTGAGCACGCACCGAGATGGGCTTTATTAACGACCTTGTACATTGAATTGCAGCAAATTTGGTTATGAAACGATTCGGGAAAGAACAAGCTTGAATCGATTTCAAACAACGAAATGAGAAATATTTCCGATGAAGAAATGATGCGCGCGCAGGATAGCATATCGATGCTAGTTGTTCACAAAGGCTTCGCCTAGTCTTCAAGAAGTCTTACTGTAATGATCGTGCTCAGGACTGCCAGAAGCTATCCTTTTGAGACTTCTGCTGGCACATCACCTAGTTGTGCGTCTACTATTTGAGGACCGCTGGCTAGGCATTTGAAGACATTAATGCCCAGTGACCCATGTTCAAATTTTCGTGGAGTCAGGTAAGTTGGACATGATGAAGTCATAGTTATAGATATGATTGATGAAGGCAGAGAAGTGATGAAAGTAGGAAGAAGTAAGAAGATCTTAGAAGTAGAAGAGTTCGATCCCGAACCCGATATACGCGACTTTTGGCAACATACCGAGAGCGGGAAACACTTCTTAGTAGCCTAGTGAATTTTCCGGTCGAATCTATGAAACGAAAAAGTGCACTCACACTCAAGAAATTGGCTAGGATTTAAGTAGGAAAGTAGCCACTTTTTTTGAGTGTGAGCGCACTTTTTTCTTTCATAGAATCTCTGATGTAGTACCTACCATGTTAATCTAGGCCTCCTGCTAGTACTGCGAAGAAGTAGATCTAGTTCTAGTGGGTTGTTGTTTAGTGGGCAGGTTTTTGATCCATCTTGTTCGTGAAGTATTTGTATAGCTCATGATAAATTCCGACGAAAGTCAATCGTAGTCTTCGCATATCTCAAGAAACAAGTAAATGGCCACGAGAAGTCGCTCTCAGTCTCAGAAGTCCGTAGCAGCAAACCGTGCTTTCGGATTTTTCTTCCTTTGGTAAAAGTTCCCGAGAGTATCCTTTCTTGCCTTTTCCTCGTGCGTGTGAGCATCTTGCCTGCTCTGATTTTTTTTGTCCCAAGTCCTGCAGCTGGCGACGAGAATTGGAAGAAGGCTTCCACACTATATGTTTTTGTTTTTCGGTCACGGAATTAGCTCAGTCAGTGGCAATTTTTGTCCTGCGACAGTGGGCATACTGCGCCTCGGCGTAGTCTGTTCGAAAGCTCGAAAGCGGATAACTTACACCTACTACAACTTCGAGTGAAGCCGAATTATAGGGGCGAGCTAAAAGATCGCGTATACAGGGAGTCTTTGCAAAGACGATAACGCCGCGCGGCAGATGGTTGCTTCCGCGGCTAGCGAAAAGATGACTGTGAACGAGGAGTCAGAGCAGCAGTCCGGCCGCGGTGCGAAAGCCCAAGTCAAGAGCGGACAGCCAAAAATGGCTCGCAAACTCAACTTAAGGCTAGTACTTGAAGCATTTCATATTATATATTCACTCGCTTTATTATTATTTATATTTTTATGTGACGCGTTCGTTTCGACTTCAAGATCAAGGAGAAGCGTGCCGATTCTTTATTAGGCACGAATACTATACGCTGCGCCAGCCTCTAACGAATACCGGAAACCGTGCTGGCGCGCTCGATAACCGGCGCGTTTCGATCCCTGAATTTGCACAAAAGTTAAGAACTATCTCTGATTTCTGTGATCCACATAAATGTACATCAAAGCGAAGACACTAGCACCGAAAGCGCCCGCGCGCCTGGAACTAGCCTCGACGCCGAGAGGCGTCGCTGGGGAATAGAATACACCGACCCGCGCTGGCTACTCTGTTCGTCGGTGGCCCTGCCCTGGTGCTCATCGTGCTTGGCCCTCCTCGTTCTTGGCTCTGCTCGTCGCCGGCTCTGCTCAGCGCTGGCTCTGCCCGTCGCTATCCCTACTCGCCGTTGTCTCTCCTCGTCGCCGTTCCTACTCCTCGCTGTCCCCTTTACTTTACTCATTGCCCCGGCCCCTTTCTGTCCCAACTTGCCGCTTTTCCAGCTCCTTGCCGCCCCTAATCGTCGCTGCCCGTACTGTGCGCTCGCTGTCTCTACTTGTCGCCGGTCTTACTCGTCTGCCCGTCGCCGTTCTTCCGCGTCATCGGAGCTTCTTGCTGTCCTTTATCGCCGCTGCCCGTGCGCGTCGCTCTTGTCTCTGCTTGTCGCTGCTCTTGCCCGTCTCTGTCCTTGCTCTGCGCGTCGCTGTTCTTCTTGGTCGCTGTCCTTGCTCTGCGCGTCGCTGTTCTTCCTGGTCGTCGTCGCAGCTCCTTGCTGCTCCTAGTCGATCCGCCGCTGCTCGTACTCGTCGGTCGGCGGCGGTCGGTCGCCGGCCAGCCGTCGTCGGCCAGCGGTCGTCATTCAGCCTCAGCGGCCGTCGGTCAGCAATCGTCGTTCAGCGGTCCTCGGCTAGCGGTCCTCGGCCAGCGGTCCTCGGCCAGCGGTCTTCGGCCAGCGGCCAGCGCTCCTCGGCCAGCTGTCCACGGTCGTCGACGGTCCCTCCGCGGTCGTCGGCGGTATATGCTCGTCGTCGGTCCGCAGTCGTCGTCGGTCTGCGGTCGTCGTCGGTCCTCCCCGTTCGCGGTCGTCAGCGGTCCGCGGTCTTCAGCGTTCCGCGGCCGTCAGGAGTCCGCCGCCGTCAACGGTCGACCCGTTGGCTCATATTCCGGCCACTCCATTCATGAGCAGGTGCCTGCCCATTCCGCGCGGGCTGGTTTTTTCGTTACATACTCGATAGATTGCGCCCCGTGCCCGCGCGTGGGTTGGTCGCGTTGCCCCATTGGGTTGGCGCTGGGGTGGTCTGTGCTGCTTCGTGTGGGAATATGTCCATTTGATTTTGTCATGACACCCCGATCATGAAGACGAGATGAACGTGGTGAGCGCGCATGGTTTATTCTTGTTGGCTGCTCGCTCATTTTCTCAGTTAATTAGAGAGCACTAAATGAAGCCGGGGGCGACCAGTCGCGGCAGCCGCCGGGAAGTGGAAAAGACAGGGAGAAAGAAAAGCCGTCCGCGAATGGTATCCTTTCATCGACTTTGCATAGTGTTGATTGTAGTGCCGACTCCTTCGCGGGTTTTTATCGATACCATATTAATTCACACATACTTAGTTGGCGAAGGAATGGAAAGCTAGTGCTATGCTATGTATGTTCAATACGAACCTTTTCCTCGTTCCGTTGTGATCAGTTGATAGGACAGCCCTTGTTAGTTTTTGTTCCTTTGTCGAGGAACTTTTTGCAAGGTGCTGGGCAGTAGTCATGGCTCAGCATAGTCGCTATTTGTCAATCCTGAAACATTACTAGGCCCTTTGGACGATAGTTCCGAACGTGCAGATGTAGAATCCAGTTCGGAGGCTGGGAACACGGGTCACAAGAAGCGCAAGAAGGATCAGAATCAGAATAAAGAGCAGAAAGTTGACGACTCGAACGAGCAATTACGGGACTCCGACGAAGGTCTGAAGAAAAACGCAAAAGGGCAGGACCGTAAGCGGAGAAAACTTGAAAACACGACGCGGTCTTCACCAGGTCCGAAACGAAACTAACTACATCAAGATCAAGTAGATTATCAAAGAATCTACTGTGTTAACCCGTGAATATTATCAATCTGCGCGTGTTGAAAATTCCTTTCCCTTTCCCATCATTCACAGTGGCTGGGTGCTCTTTACCGGGTGCAGCTTCTGGCGCTTTGGCGCTCGTGCCAGCGGCGGATGCTCTTCCCCGTAGTTCGAGTAGTGCCGCGGATCACAACCTCGACATTGTTTCAGAATTGCATAGGCATTTGGACGTAGAACGGGAAAAAAACGAAGAAACTGGAAAAAGGCTTCTACAGTGTAGAGACAAGCTACGACAAACAAGCGTAAAAACTTATGAACGGGAGCGGCAAGAAAGGTACTATCCAGGCTCTCGATATTTGAATGCTCTTTCGTCGTTAAGCTTAACGAGTTCGTATTTGTTATCATTCGACGTCGAGAAGAGTCATGGGCTCACGAACTAGAAAAATAATTGCTAGTCTGACCACTGGTATTACAACAAGAAGTCGTAGTTTCTTGGTCGTGGCTTAACCACACTGCCTGCAAGGTTAGGACAAGTTATATTATCGTATCTTTTACTTTACATGAATCATACTCAACTTTAACAGACGGATAATCATAATACGATATGGTAAATGCAACTAGAGAAAACACATTACGACTTACTACTTCCACCTTTCGATTTGATTATTTTTCGTGCATTCTCATTCATCAGACACGCAAAGCTGATGGACGATACTATTCGACTCGGGGAGCGACCCGTATACTCTGTGGTCGTACAGAACGCCAGCCGTGACTGGTTGCCGGGGAAAGATTTTGAAAAAATCGAATCAGGGCTCGCGCGCATCAAGGAGGAGCGCGAGCATATTGGGGAGCAGCGTAAGCTCCTCACGCAACAGCAAAGCAAGATCAAAAAGGACCGCGAACAAGCCACGGAGGAGCAACAACTGGCGTTGCAGCAGCGAGAAATCCAGGAGCAGGTGGGTGGCGCGACCTCATCTTCGATTTGTGCCGCGGCCAACAACGGCGCTGGAGGAACATCCGAGGTGAACCAGGCATCATCGAGTTCAACCAGTGCTACGTCGCTTATCAGTGGAATAAGTGGAGCGGCAGTTGGCGACAGTGCCGCTGGTGAGGGTGCGACTTCATCAGGTAGTGTCGTAGGCAACGGCGGACCCGGGAGCGGCGAAAAGGACGTCAAGGGGGAGAGCGCTAACCACAAAGCTTCCGCTTTGTCTTCTAGTGGTAACGGTGGGGCCAACGGAGTTGCCGCAGCCTCAAGCAACGGCTCTGCAGCGGGTCTTCAATCCAACAGCGAGATACCAACAAATTTGGTCATGGGAGGAGTAGTTCTGCAAAATCCGGTTAACCAGTGGAATCTAGAGGAAGAAGCAATATTCGAGCAAAGAGAAATATATAGTGCGCGCATGGAATTCCTCAAGCGCGAAGAGCAAGACCTCATGCAACAGAGGGCGAGACTGCAGAGCGAACGCCTTATCCATGAGAAGCGCCTTAAGTTATGCTGCGTATGTTTCGTCAATGACGAAATCGTCCTTTTCTTTTTCACTTGTGAGAATACTTCAAGTACAGGGATAGTAATGCTGTACAATATCTCATTTTACCTGCGAGAATTATAAACCCGTTTTCGTGAAATTTCAACAAGAAGAGTTTGAGCACCTTGAAAACAGCATCTAGATGCACAAATGTGAAAGCATCGCTTATGCCTCTAACGCGCCTGTGGAATTTCGAGCGCAGTTCCAAGCATAACAAGTACCAACTGTTCCGCAACCGCTATCAACTTTATGATCACAAGAAGAGGAACAAATGCGAACGTACAACTATATTAGACTAGAAGTCCTGGCATATCTTCTATCTGTTAATATTTCAATTTCCAATAGAAATGGAAATGTTTGCTTTCCTCCTCTATGTATCGTGTGTTTCGTGTCTTCTCTAAACTTTTGGCAACCTGATCGGCCGTGGGGGTTTCAGTGAAGTGTACAAAGCGATGGACCTCGACCAAATGCGGGAGGTCGCTTTGAAAATTCATGAGGTGGGCTCAGACATGAGCGAGTCTGAAAAAGAATTCTACGTCCGACATGCAATGCGGGAAGCGGATATTCAAAAGGCCCTCAAGTCGAACAGCATAGTACAGCTCTACGACGTTATATCCATCTCCGAAAACTCGTTCGCGACAGTGCTAGAATACTGCGGAGGTACTTAGCTTCTCTCGGCTTCTACATCAGTTCTTCACCGATAGACATCAGGTCCCTGATGAGAGCGACAAAGAGATTATCATCGACATACATTCATTTTCAAAGTACCTCATTCCCAAGTGGTGACCAGAGAGTGTGTCTACACTTTTGAAACTACCCGCACCCATGGAAATTATCATGAACAAACATCTTCAAGGTGAAACGCTTGACGATCACTTGCGGGGCCGTCCGAATGGTTGTCTGACGGAAAAGGAGGCTCGTGGTGTTGTCATCCAACTCATGGGTGGCCTTAAGGCCATGAACCGCCGCGATGAACCTATTATCCACTACGACCTCAAGCCGAGCAACCTCCTGTATGACAGGGGAGTGGTATAAAAGTGTCTATTTGGAGCTTGAGACATAATACGATAATTAGCATCTTTCTCCCCCGGTCATCGCATAGGCACACTTTTTCATCTACATTTATCCTCCGTGCTAAAACTAAAGTTTATTAACTGTAAGACTGTAGTAAGTTGTATCGCCACAATCGACTGCTGACGACTAGCTACATCTAGTCTGGAGATGAATCAACAGGCCAAAGATAAGAGGAATGAATCTTGTCAATCTCCGAGATCCCCACCTCACAATCACTCCTGACTAGGTCAAGATAACAGATTTCGGATTGAGCAAAATTGTGCGAAAGAAGGAAGCTAGATCGCCGAGCAGCTCCGAGGAAGGAGCCAATAAAGAGGTGAGAAACGAAGAGTCTGGGCCCTTGATAGACGATACGAAGTTAACCATCAACCCAAAAATTCGCGACTACAAGGAGGGAGAGAACGAACAACATGAGTACTCATTTTTTTTTTCGAATAACAAATCTATCGTTTCTTGTCCGGATCTCGGGACCTGCTATGATATTAGGCTGTAGTAGCACTGTTAGATCACGTACATCGGTTATTTCAGCTTTTCGAATAGGAAGACAAATTGATCTTGAGAGATGATATTGCTAAATTATTTCCCTTAGGTTACATAAAAAGCTGCAGCGTGCGAATGGCACGAAAGAGCGGACCCCAGCAATCGAAGAAATCAATTCCGAATTCGCCGAACCCTCATGCGAACTAACGTCAGCTGGCTGCGGCACCTATTGTTAAGGCTGCAAGCAACAAGTGGCAAATTGTTATTGTACCTCTACCTAGCGATCTGTTTTTTCTAGTACACCAGTCTAAAGGAGGACGGAAGGACGTCTTCAACGTGGAGGATGCATGATCTTTTATGTCTCTAATTTTCGTATTTACCGATAGAGTGCTTCCCTCGTGAGGATACACAGGTTCTTGCGAATGGCAAGGTCGCCAACACACGAGCAACAACGACGAAGGTGAGTAATAAGGTTGATGTGTGGTCCGTAGGCGTCATTTTCTATGAGATGCTCTATGGCCGCCGTCCGTTCGGACATCGGCTGTCTCAAGACAAGTACTACCATGCTGCCCTACGGGGAGAGACCAATTTGGCTGTGGGCTTTCCTGATCAACCAAGGGTATCCAATTATGGCTCTTTATAATGACTTTAACTTACTTACAACAAAATCGGCTGACAACCGCCGGCCCGTATGTTCATTATTTATTTTCCTAGTGCAGGGTTAGCTCTTAGTCCTTTGATTAGTCGCCGTCTAGTCCACACGCGGCATGATGAATACTTTTTACCTTCACCACAATCAAAGCAATGAGAAGTATTTTGTTCTAGTTCAGCCCATGCAGCGAGCTCAAAGGAAGTTGGAAGTAAATAACAATTGTGATGAGCAGCAGCTCTAATCGAAGGAGTGCCAAGAGTTTATCCGTCGTCTACTCAGTCCCCAGCAGGATGATCGACCCTCCGTGTTTGACATTTGCAACGACCCGTACCTGACGAAGGGAAAAATATAGCGGCTGTTGGGGGATGCGTATAACTGGCGAAGAAGGAAGATAATGTGAGAGCAGAAGGGGCGTCTTGAGATGAGGTTTTGCGACAGGAAGAGGTGACAACTGTACTAACACGAAGAAGGAGGAGGTAATGAGTCCGAGTCGGAATTTTCCGAGATGTTCCCTTAGCTGCACTAAAGATGCGGCGCCTATCCCATGTTCATGGAGGTATAATTGAGTCATTGAGGCAACTGTTGACGTCATCTACAAATGTGGCGTTCTGAGCCTGAACTGTATGTGCATACCAAAGTCCTTTGATTCTTGTCGTTGAAGAAAAGCAGGTTGTGACTCATTTAGAGTAGAAAACCGAATAAACGTTGACTTTGTTTGTATTTTTCCATGTTGGTCGTGCCATGAGGAAGGTGGACACACAGCAGTAAAGTCGATGGCCAGATGTAAAAAAGACCTGTTGTGCTGCTCGCAGTTTTTCATGTGCATTAAGCAGATGAAATATATGTCTAGCCATCTTCTAGATCCCCATACCCACAATTGTAGAAAATTTTCATAATTACGAAAGTTAAAATTGATCGATCGAGCTCCAGCTCGGTCACAGTAGTTTGATGTCTTCGTCGACAAAGACACTTTTGGTCATGACAGCATCAATGTCTCAAAAAACCTATCTTGTTAGAAATCTTGATCCTACATCATGGTAACAACATATTTCAGCTCTGTCTTTATCATGTATTACTCTTTCCAGTACTATTTTCTCTTTTTAACACGCGACGTCAATGTCATGAGAAACTACTGCTTCATAGATTCATGAGTATTACCTGTTAGAAGATGGAATTTGGATAGGAATTCCACCCTTCAGAACGGCAACATGAAGCGATTGAAAGGATTACCCATTTTCAAAATCACGACACTCCAACGAAAAAAAGAGACCCAATCTATGTGTTATATTCGAAAAAAGCTGATGCTAAACCTAAATCCCATCCTATCCTATCTATACGGCACCCAGAGCAGATTCAAAATATTTTTTTTTACAGCGGGCAACCTTGAGGAGGGGTAGATCATCTTTGGTCACTCTCTGCGTCAATGCGGGACACGAAGACACTCACAGATGCAAGAAAACCACGACGCAAAGAGAAACTACACTAAACGTTGAGAGCAAGTAGGAGTGGTACTATTGAAAGAATCTATTAAGGTCGACAGCTAGAAGAATCATACTGGTGAGAAGATACAGCTTGATATTTTTGGCAGAGCCATGGGCCCTGCCTGTCGCATGCCAGAAATCTCTTAGACCATTCTTGATTCTTGGTCGAGACCAAATGATGAAAAAATGAGCGGCAGACCCGAGAGCGACTTGGAGAGACGATGAAAACAAAAGAACACTTTCTGCTTTCTTGTGAAATTTTTATTTTAGTGAGATATGCTTTTTGACAGTTTGCGGATGCGGATATCAATTTGCTGCAGTAGCGAAGCTCTCAAGGCCGTCGGTCTTTATTTGTCATCATAGATTTTTATTTAATTACAAAGCGCCAGGCGTGGTACTCGTGCTCCATCACGCTTTGGTTGCACGTGAATAAGTAAATAATTCATATAGAAGATAAGTCACTTGTGCTTGTGAATTACCGCCTATGTGATCAATACATAGTCGATGACACCAAATACGATGGTCCCGAACCCCATGTTGCATTGCTGAAGTGGATACTAGTTCCTTCCTGTGAAGGATCGCGAACGCGCTTGCAGGATGACGAGCAGCGTGAGCATGGAGCCGCAGGGGGGTGGGAGCAGTTCCTCCTCGCACTCTCCGGTGCCTGCGAGTCTCGGTCTCTACTGCCAACAGCAAGGATTTCCAGAATTCGCATCGTATTGTGGAACCCATCCGGACATCGTCCAAAATTGTATCGAGGACCTTACGCGCGCCCTACTAGAAGAAAGGCCAAAGGACCCGAGGCAGTTTCTTCTACACCGCTTACGCGATGAGTACCCTTTGGAAAAATTTTCGGTAGGCAGGCGGTCACTGTCGGAAGGATGTGAAATAGGCGTTGACCGATTCATCCGACTCTTCGAGGCCACGAGGAATATCACACACGAGATCGTAATCGCTCCTCTGCTTATAATATATGAGAAGTTCTTGTTGGATTAGGGTGCACAAGGCGTTTTTTACGGACGAGCTGTAGTCATCATTCAATACCTGAGAAATAAGTCCAAACAATTTTGTTGAGAACAGTCTTATTTTAGTTGCTCAAGCAACGTCTCCACCATTTTGAATTTTTTCTACAAGGCAAGCTCTGTAGGAAACAGATACCGCTAAGGAAGAGCATGGACCTGCTTGTGCAGGCTGCACGTTGAAGTCCATTCGTCTCAAAATACGCAGTACGATCAACATTACCCGCTCCCCAGGTGCCATCAGTTAAGGCAAGAGAGTAATCGTTCATCTCTGTAGTTGGTTTCCAAATGCAAATCCACAGTGCTTTGACAACTTGACAACATATGAATGTAGTTATTCGTATGCGCAGCTCATTATCAATTTATGCACAATCAGTATGTCTTATGGGAGCTAGATATCTGACATTTCTAATGCAGAATCGATTTCAATATGTATTCGGGAGAGTGTGCGACTCCTCCAGTGCGACAGGGTGAGCATTTTTATCTACGACAAAAAAATCAAAATGCTGATCCTTTCGGCGTCCAACTTATCTTAAGGCTTGCAGAATTTGGATATTTGTGTCCTTTATTTGACACGTTTGACGATGCAGAAACGTAGCAAAAATGAGAGACAAATATATCAGAGTAGTTTATAGCACGCATGGTGCATGGAGTAGCATGGAGTGCATGGAGCGCAGAGCTTTAAGGGGCGCAAGAGGCTCCCCCTTTAGCTCCATGCTACTCCATGTGATCCATGCACTCCATGCCATGCGAGCTGTGAAACCTTATATATAAATTGCTCTGATATATATAATACTGTTTCAGCCGCAGCCTTTAACTATCGAAGCCTATTCGTGTGAACCCCGGTCAAGGCATCGCTGGTCACGTCTTCAAGACAGGAGAAACCGTGAATATTCCGGATTGCTATCAGGATAGCCGCTTCGACCCATCCTTTGATAAGCTGACCGGGTATCTTATGCGCCGGGAGTAGTAATCTTCACCAGATTGTTCTAATTCTAACACTTCCTTAGGCAGTTGTTCCACTTAGAACATGAAGGTGACCGTCTTTTATTCTGATTAGCATAGAAGAATAATAGAAAGAATGCAGACTAGCTTGAGGAGTTCGTTGTTCTTATTTTTTGCCACCAAGCTTGATGCATTTTATTGCAATGTTTTGTTTGGTTTTTGAATGTTTCCCATGATGGATGACCCTAATCCCCAACCATGCTCATTGCTTCATCTGATATACCAAGAGCATGCTAGTAAAACCGATCCACGATTTTGAAGGCGAAGTTAGCGGTGTACTTTAAGGAATGGATGAAAAATCAAGCTCGTACAACGACCAAGAAGCAGAAGCTCAGAAGCACTTCTTGGTACTAGAAGTTTTTGGAGGCAAAGAAAAAGTTTTTCTAAGTCCCGCAGGCCATCAACAAGGACGATGGAATCACGACAGTTTTCACCGAGGCTGACGAAATCGTGATTCAAAACTTCATGCAGCTTGTTGGAATTACACTGCGGAATGCAGAGGTATATCGCGATGCCATCGCGCACTGCAAGCGAGCCCAAGGCATGATCAGCATGCTCAACTCTTTGCCAAAAAATCTAGGTACGCTTAGTAGAGACAACTGATGTATCACTTAGTTTTATTCTACTAATACAAACTAGTACCTACGCACTGAGTTCGGATTGTTTGTTGTTTTTCAAGAAGGATCATGGAATGAAGAGTGTAATAGATATTGCGAACTTTGATTATGATGATCTCCTTGATTCCCATTCAGGTTCTCAGTCGATGATCTTAACGCTGACGACCCATGCGCATGAGCTTGTCCAGAGCGATCATTGTGCGGTTTTTATCCACGAGGAGAGCAAGGGGACACTTTGGTCCTTGTCTACAGCTGAAGAAATGCGTATTTGAGTTTTAGTTTACGAAGAAGCTCGAAATTCTATCGCAGAGTAGTTTATAGCACGCATGGTGCATGGAGTAGCATGGAGTGCATGGAGCGCAGAGCTTTAAGGGGCGCAAGAGGCTCCCCCTTTAGCTCCATGCTACTCCATGTGATCCATGCACTCCATGCCATGCAAGCCGTGAAACCTTATAAATTGCTCTGCTATCGTTCATTCTGTTCTGCACAGCATAATTGACCACAGCGAAGCGGATCACTCACCTGATTTTGGTTTGAGTGTAGAGATTGAAACAAGGTGTCGGACACCCTAAGAGACCAAGGTGATGGGATCTTTGTCCACCAAAATCCACAGGTATACCGGAGGACAAGGGAATTGTTGGAGCGGCCATAAGGGAGAAGCAAACAATTAATGTCGAGAATGTGAATCATGATGCTCGATACTGTGAACACGAAAATCTCTGCGGAAAATCATCGTACTTTCATTTTCAACTTCATCTGACTATATTCGTGCTTCTCTGTTTCCTGCAACATCGTTATCCTTTTGCGAAACGCAGAAAAATGAGTCCCTTCGACCCTGTTAGTTTACCGTTAGTCTCCGTCTCGAACATCAACCAGAAACACCCGTGCTGAGACAATGCTTGTGGTCCCTCTTCTTGTCCCAGACGGCGCGCGAGCTCTGTATGAATGAAGCTTGTTTAACTTCTTCTTGACGGTATTCTAGTGCATTTTTCAAGGAAGAAAAGGGCCGTAATGATCTGCCTACGTAATTCAGATTTAAGTACTTACATATAGAAGATTATCGTAAAGACGCCTTCTACAACATTCTTCATACCCTGGGTCTGATCGTGATGCAAAATAAGCGAGAATTTGATGGGGAAATCGCGGCGTTTAACGATGAAGATATCGAAATCATGGAAACCTTCGCGAAGCTGGCAGCCGACAGAATCAAAGACTCCACGTTCTCCCACCAAACTAGTGTTAAGACAAAGTTTCCACGATACTGGTTTCATTTTCACGAATACAACCGGCTCTTCTTTCGATTCCTAGCATATTACTTCCCATTATGTCTCATTGAGATCGTCGATGATTAGCCTCGTCTTTAGTCTACCCCACTCGAAAAGAAGAAGAAGAAGAAAAAGAAGACCACCCCGCCCAGGCACTCCATCCCCTCTGGTGCTCTCGGATTTTGCCTCCCCCATTCGAAGAAGATGTGCTCGGCTTCCACTTCCCTACTTCACTTTTGGCGGGCATATTGTAATTAATTTGATGAAGAGGGGAACCTGAGGCAGGGAATCCCGAAGAAAAGAATTTAAGAAATGAATTACTCATCGACACTAGCGCTAATAGCAGGCCGAAGCTGACAGAAGCGGGACGAATCTTCGGATCGAACTTGACAAACAAAGGTCTAAAAACACTTTTATGTTCCGCTAAAATGGATTGAGATAGATACCAGACTTTGACTTTTTGTCGTAGGATCAACAAAGTCTTAATCATGGAGAAATGTGAAGTTTTTATGGACGCAGCAGGTTCCGGCGATCCGACTTCCAGTGGTAGCCTAGGCGCTGGACGCGCACGCGGTACTAGTACATATCGAAGTACGCGTGGCGACAATGCCATTCGAGAGGCCGACGATGAATTAGGAACGATTCTGACAAACGTGGTTACTTATAAGGACAAGTAGTGCCCTCTTTTTCATTCAAATAAAGTGTACACTCTCATTGTCGTTTTTTGAGTACAATTGGTTCCGGTGGTTTCGCTTAGTATAATACGGAGGATTAGTACATGTTGAGTAGCACCAGTCCTTCTACTTTCGCCGACGAAACATGTCAGTAGTGGACATTGATTTCCCTTTCTATTTGTTGTTTATCGAGCAAGGAGGCAAAGACTGATCGTCTAAGAAATGACGAGGAGGATCTAGAGATGCCTGGCAGTGTAAAGCTGAGTCCGCGGAGTAGTGCTAGAAAAAGTGCGAGACTTTCCGTGTCGGGGGTAAAAATTATGACTACTAAAGCAAAGATGTAATAATTGATCTTTACTAGACATCACCACTTTTCTCGTCCATGTTCCACTTAGAATTTAGAGGGTCTACACGGATTTGTTTTCAACTCCCTCCCCGTCCCTCGTCAGACTTACCTCGTGAATGGGTATACTGCTACTACTCTCATCTGAGTTTTTTCTTGACGTTGTCTAAACAATACGGCAAAACGGCAGCTGAAGAATTAGATCGATTGCTTCAAGAGAGAGGCAAAGAGAGCTCCCCCGATGCGGCGGGGATGCCAACGCTCTTGCTTATGGACCAGAACGCTGTTTAACAGTTTGTTAGATTTTCTTTTCTTGTATAGGCTCTTTCAGATTCATAAGATAGAGTAAAAGATCAGGATTCTTTTTGGATAGTCTCTAGGTGCTTACAAGGTCCTCTAAATCGAAGTCCGGAGGTCGCGACAGTGGCAACCACGTGGAGCTTGAGTCGACTGCATTCAGCAGCGCCAGTATGCGCGAAGATGCTACCGAAGTCGAAAAAACTGTCGACGACGAAAAGTGAAGATAATGGCACTTCTCTTATAGATTCTACTTAGATAGCACTAGATTATTTTTTTATAGATCAACACCAGAATTAGCTTTGTTACTTAGATCTAGACTACTCGAATCACAGAGTATAGATTCTGTAGCTCTGCTGGTTCAGAATTCGATAGATACGCTACTAGCGCCGAAAATACTCTTATTTCTCAGAGTAGACACGACTTCCTATAGTCTGGGACGTCTTCGTATAAATGAAAATAGATTAATCATCAACCTAAGAACTTTTTTCCTTTTTCTGTTTGCAATCGAATAAAAGTCGCAATATGTTGATCCTTGGCGTCAAGACGGCAATGCCTTCGATCCTCGTGTTATTTGCAACTTACTTGTGACTTATTTTTAGTAGTGACACTGGCATTACCTCACATAAAGTAGTACTTGTGGGAAATTGCGAGTGCCGGCTAGTAGAAGTTGCATCAGTTTTTTGCCCCTGCTAGCGAGTAAGAGATGAGTGTGTAGCACTAGTGCTAGTACCTTATATATTATATTTATATAGCTATGTTTGTTGTAACTGGCCTCAACACTGGATAGTTGCCATTTGGTCAGGGGTTCCATGACATGACATTAACGGTGACCTGCAAAATGAAGTCTGCGAAGTCTTGTATCAAAAATTTAAGACGATGAAAAAGAGAAACTACTACTGATACTGGTTGTCTGGAGTTGATGATAGCAAAAAAGTGTTTCATGACAAATGGCGTGCCTCGGTCACGCCTTACCTTCCTCGTCGAATGTCCTTCCACATAGGGAAACTTGTTTCGATGTTTACAGGTTTTCTAATTTTACTGCAATGATGAATTGAATATGATAAGCAAAATTTTCCTCAGACAAATCAACGGAATCCCCGTTTTCTTTTCATATTTATACATAGGTATCACACTTTCTTTTTTTAAAGTTTATTTCCATTTTGAATTTTTGGTATCTATCTACTTTATGCCTTTTTTTCTCGTTCTTCATATTCTTTTTCGACGTGCCGCAATGAATTGCAAAGCTTGTCAAATGTTTGTGGGGTTATTGTTGAATTGCATGGACGTGGACCGTGTCTGAGACTGAGGCGAGACAAAAGCAACAGATGTAAGATGCTGCTGCAACATCTCTTTTTTGTCTGTAGCGGTAGTGTTGAGAAACATCATTGTCGTCATCAATTGTAAGCAGACATTCTGGAGCCTTGGCCCCGGCAAAAAATCGCATGCCAGGAAACTCTTAATCTTAATCTTAACCGTAGCTGAATGAAATCATGGCGTCTCCCGGTAAGATGAAGCACGTACCAGCAAGCGGAACGACCGTTGAGAAGACGGCGCAGGGCGGAGACGAGGCGCCAGTGGGGGCAACGACGGGGCATACGCGACTCTGGTTCTGGAGGTCCACGTCGACGAAGTCGTCCCGCGGCAGCTTAGGAAGCCTCCTTGAAGGGCGACTGCTCTTCATGTGCGCGTTTTACCTGGGTATGCTGGTCTTCTTTCCTCCACTCGTGCTCTACTCACTCTACCTCGCGCTGTGGTGCGGATCGCTCCTGTGTCGGGTGCTTTGGTTGTTTGTTCTCGTGGACTACCTCATTCCATTGAAAACGCCAGGGATGTGGACCTTTTGGTGCATGCTGCAGGACGACACCTTCGCAAAAACGCGTTATTGGGATGCAGAAGTGGTATCAGAGTTTTTTTCTGCTTCAGCGAGTGCAACTATGAGCCGTGCCAGCTCTTTAGCGTCCGCAACCACCGGGACCACCATGAGTAGCAGCGTATTTGCCCCAGAAACGCCCTCGACGGGTAACGTCTTGAACAAAAACTTGGAGAGTAGTAATGCGAAGATCACGGCAAGAGCAGGCAGTACCTTTATTTCCAAAGAGCATGAAGACATCAGCTTCAGGAATCCTTCCGACGACGTGCTGATCGTGGATGAGGACGGGTATGACGTCACCGATCATAGTTGCAACACAGTGGAGGCGCCAGATTTTGAGGTTTTTCGCATGGAGCCAAGAGACTACAGAGAAATGTTCCAAAGTGCAATCTTCCAAGAACGAAAGGGCGTGGTGGAAAAGAACAACTACCTAGTACTCTACCACCCGCATTCCCTCTTCGGCGTTGGGCACACGCTTCTTTTAAGGCGGCTTAAGTCTTTTGGATCTTGTTTACTAGGCAGTGAGGTATCCCGAGCGGATGCCCTCAAGAAGTCAACGGAAGTATTCCAGTGCATCAGCCCAGGTGCAGTCACTGAAGGCGTGGGTCTACGTATGAAGACAGTTAAAGATGAAATTAAGTGGTCCCGTTCTTCTAATGTTTGTCAAGTACTTTTTCGAAACCAGTGGCGCAGAGCTCCTTTTCACGGGTGCAGATATCATATCCTACTTTCCGTTTTTACGCAGGGTCCTCGTGTGGTGGGGCTACACGAAGGTCTCAGCACCAGAACTGAAGCGCAATCTCAAGAGACCTTATCCCCAGAACTTTCTCACGCTGCTGCCAGGTGGAATTGCGGAGATGTTTTACGGGAACAGTACAGTGAAGATAAAAGCTAGCAGTAAACAGGATAAAGATGATGCCTCGACGCCATCTTCTTCTCTTAGCGAATCCGGGCTGATGTACCAGGACACGAGAAGCGCGCGCGACGCGTTGTTGAAGGAGCTTCGTCAATCCTCCTGCGCAGCAACTGCTCAGATCGACGTGAGAGGTCTGCTCACGGGAGAGCAAGTCGTGCTGCGAAAGCGCACAGGCTTTTGTCGCATCGCCTTGCAGAGCGGCGCATCACTAGTACCGGTTTACGCTATGGGGGCAAACCAGGTGTACAACCGTTTCTTCACGCAGGACTCGTTCTTCTCGCGCCTAAGCTCCAAACTTCAGACCTCGCTGGTCGTGTGGACGGACCGCCTCGGTGTGCCCTTTGGATGCGTGCCATTCTTAGGGCTTTTTATCTTTATATATACTATAAGTATCGGTAGGGATAGCCTCGCAATTGCTTTACTCATCTTTTCTCTTTTTAGTTCATGGAGCCATGGGAGCAAAAGTCCCTCTCCCCATTTCCAATTCCTGAAGGAGCAAAAGTCCTCCTTCCAACTTCCGTTACTGAGTTAGTCATGGGAGCAAAAGTCCCCCTTCCCATTTCCATTAGTCTTAGTCATGGGAGCAAAAGTCCCCCTTCCCACTTCCTCCCACCAGGTTTTTGTATGATTCATGTGTGGGATTACCTACTTATTTGTGAAATTACTTGTTGTGATGAAATATGATCAACACACTTGTTTGATAAATGTGAAGATGAGTCTTTCAGATTGTATATCAAAAATCTTCACCGATCATTGCTGGCGGCTTCTAATCTTCTCCGTGAAGATGGTCGTTGTGATCGGACGGCCGATTCCTGTCGAACGAGAGAGTGATCCCACTGCAGAACAAATTTCCGCACTCCACGAACGATACATTACGACAAGTTACATTCTCTAGCAATTCACGTCCACGAACGATATCTTAAGAATTACCAAGAAACTACGTCCTTCGCAATCGTATTATTTTGGCTTTTATTTCGTGAAGGAAATCACTCATGGACAGTAATGGACAAGAGTGCAAAAATCCTCGAGCACCCGCTCGCTCTAAGTATATTCGCGAGCTGCGTGCACTGTTTGACCGGCACAAACATCGTGCGGGCTGGGGACCGGGAAAAAAGCTCTACCTTGAGGACGAAGACCTCATAGTCGACGATGTTGCGTCGTTGCTACCCCCGTCACTGCGTAGTAGATCCAAAAAGGAGAAATAAACGGAGTGATGAGCTACTTCATCAAAAGGTCGCTGAGCAGTGCGCAGTAATGCCAAGAGGTAGAAGTAAGATTCTTGGAACGCAAAGGCTAAGCCGCGAAATGTGTACTATCGGGTCGCGCCTTCTACTATTTCTTAATACCTTCATAAGAATGAATCTGCAATGCCGAAACAACTGACTTATTTGCACCTCAAAATGAAATTCACGTGAAATGTTTGAGGTTTCCATATGATTCTCCTCTCCAGTTGTGCTTTCCCTTTTTTCTCTCCGCAGATCATCTATAGTCAGCTCGCTGCTGCTCTTTCTCTTTTTTCTTTCCCATACTGAACATGCATAAGGTGCGCACACATACGACCGCAATTCTCGGTATGATATACCAATTTCTTCTTGACAGGAGACACGTACAGGTATAGTTTTTCAGTAATTTCTGGCCTGTGTCTCTTTATTTTTCTGCCTTCACAAGTACAAGTTACGCGCGTGTGTGAGCTGGCTTGCTGCGTAGTGCATAGGTCGACGCCTCACAGGAGGACGTCCGGCGGTGGGGTGCGACACTTGTAAAGGCACCTCGCAGGCCTCGGTCTGCGAGTTGTTTTTCTTCTACTCCCTCCGCGCTTTTTTCCGCACTTTTTTCGGTTGGGTATCTTTTGGGGTTTTTCACCCGTGCAATTGAAACAGCCTGGCCGTCGCTAATGTCGCGCCTTTTGTCCATGACTCGCCAATCCCCGGCCGGGTCGCGTCCGCCCCACGAAATTCCAGCGGCGGGCCGCCCTGCAGAAGTGTGGCAGCCGTTGCGCACGTCGTGCTGGCAAAATGGTCCCTGGAGCCCCGGCCGAGGGGTCTCGCATAGGTCTGGGAAATAACAGAGGGCGCGCGGGTGGCGACGTCGGTCCCCGCGCGGGCCCCGTTTCCCCGGCGCGGCTGTGTTTTCTTTTGTTTTTTCTGCCGTTCTTCTTCTTTTCTTGTGCTGGTGCCTCGCTATCGCCTCCCCCGTTGCGGGTGGGCAGGTGGCTGCGCTTGTGTCTTTCAGTTTCCGCGCTTTAGCCCTCTCAAACTAGCCGTTGCGCGTGCTGTTTTATCATCTACTCGAGGAAGTCGAAGTTTAAGAATTGACAACTCCAGCGATCCGGATCGGGCGTTGCTTCATGCATAATATCTATTAAATTAGGAGCATAGTGCAATTGGGGTTGATTTGTTTCCAACTCCATGAAAAACATAGATCATGTGGGCAGGCTTCATCGTGGTTCTTCTTATTCTTTCTTGACGAGGACGCGTCGATGCTATAACTGCTTCCTCTTGATTTAAGCACTGTCACAACAAGAACCACGTGTGAGCAAATTTCACATTTTTTTGCTAGACTGATTTCGCCGAAGCGGTATATTTCTTTGTGGAGAAACACTTGTAAGCGCGACTAAGCCTGTAGCGCTGATGAGCTACAAGAGGGATGGAGCTCCTGTATGAAGTAAACTTAAGATTTTGGAGTGGTTCTTTTCGTGTGCTAGCTATTCCTCTTAGCTGGATTCATTCTCGACTTTTTGTAAATTATTTTCGCCGGTAAGGGTAACGATATGGATTTGGATATCTCATCCACTAGACATGGCGGCTCACTTTTAGACCAGTGTCTGTTTTTCTCTCTTATCATTGATATGTCGTGGACCATGCGCGCCACTAGTTTGATTGATCGACGGCCGATTAGATGATGAGTTCCGCTACGGCATTGTCTATCCAAGACGGATTTTGGTCCCTGATGCAATCCGTGGAGATGAACGTGCTACAAACTTCCATGTGCACCATTCGCCTGTTGTTTGAGTTTTCTTTTCGGTCTGAGTCTCTTCTTCATCTGTGAAGAACGCGTATTATTCATATCGTTTCTGTGAATTTACTTTAACACTACAAAAAGAAAAAACGAAGGTGTCTAGCAGATGTGACGCAGAGACAAAAATTGATATGGAGACAGATGACTGCAGATCGAGGCATTACGAAAGATGGGCTCATCACGATAGGACCGAAGGTTGGCGTGACACAGTTGGGACTACTATCATTGAGCAAGGGCTACATGAAGCTCCGGGGATCTTTAAAGTGATAAGCTACAAAGAGGACATAATGAAACGACAGTTGATACAACCCGCTTTGTGATAGCTACAAAAGCGTGGATCCCATGGACAATGGTGGTGATAGAGCAGGACTCTTCCAGAATTTCGTCGATATGCTCTATGGGACATTCCGTTCAACAACGTGATGTAGAGAAGCCGCTGTCGCAGAGGTCTACATATGATTAATGTTTTCCGATTGACCCATTTCCTTTGGTCGTTGCACGAGGCTAAGCTGGGCACTTCCCTGTGACACTGACTAGTCACAAAGGGAGCCGAAGCGGTGCAAATTGTGTCGGGAGAGCCGCCACAAGTATGATAGTCGATGTTTTTCTGGATGCAGGTGGTACAAGATCAAGCGCCCTGCTGTCACTGTTCTCACATTTTTCGGTCGTAACTGCGAGGACAAGAAGGACGCTGACGCAGAGAGAGAGCAACACCAAAATCAACGCGTGCATGACCACCACTCAGTGACAACGAGGAGGGGATTTTGATTCTCTCCTTCTCTGCAGCCCCTGCTTCTGGTGCAGTTTCACGTGACCGTGACAAGAAGAACATCCTCGGCAGAAAAACGGGCAAGCGTCATGGTCTTGCTGTGGGATGTCATTGCACTGCCTGTGGTGGCGGCAGTCGCACTAGTAACATTCATTGGTCCCTGCACACCATGGTTCCAGAAGCTGGCAAGTGCGCGTCTTCGGCGAGAGTTTAACTCTCAGCGCAATGCCTACTATGCGGCTGCGACATGCGGCAACGTACTGTTTCTCCTCCTAGTGCTCCACACAACGCACGGCTACGATCTCGACCTTTTGGTCCTCACGCTGTTCAAGTCTGCGGCACTTGTCCTCCACCGCGTCGATGACGTACTGCAGAGCATGCTCAAAGTGCTCACGATCGTTCTACTGTGGAAGTTTAAAGACCGCCTCCTGATGGCACTCGGAGTCGACCGGCCGGGCCAGTTATTCGGCGACCTAAGAGACTGGCTGACGTGCTGGGGGATGCAACGCTTTGAGCCAGTTGAACTCCACTTCTGGAAAATCGACCAGATATCCACCGAAAAGAACGTTTTTCTCAATGTAAAAAAAGTCAACTTGAATGTGCCGATTATGTTCATGCTTAAAGATGACCTCTTTAACCTGTTGAAAAAAACTAACAGGTGACAATGGGCTACAATCTGGATCACAAAACGCGAGTACGGACGCATCACGCACAATCTAGGACCGGTAGCGGCTTTGTACTCGACTTGAAGGAAACTGTACAGATAAACTACGACCCAATGGAGTCACTCGAGGTCCTCACGATTGAGGTGCGACAGCAGACAATCTATCGCAGCGAGCTCGTGTCGAGGTAATCATAAAATGTTTTTCTTAGTTTCACAGGAAGGCGACGTAACTCAACAAAGTAACAACAGAAGCTTGAATTAAGGGCTTGGACCGTAAATCCAAATCCAATGGATGCCACCACAGAATGCGTGAGGAGGCGGACAGAAAAATTCACCTGCCAGAGAGGAGTCATCATCGAAAGATGACAGATATTACAATATACCATGACAACCCTTTTTCTTGTTTACTACGAGAAATAGATTCCTAAGAATGAACATAAAGACATGTTGTAGTTTTCAACATCATTCATGTTTTACGACCAGGGTTCAAGTAGGGGGGCACCAGCTGCAAAAGATGATAGAGCGGGAGCGAGCACACGCGGACAATAACCCGATTTTGAATCCGTACTACCAGACATCTCGAACAGGGCAGGTTTCGCATAATACAACCCGTCTGCTCTACGATCAAGGCGACGACGGAAACCAGCTGTGGGAGAAGATAAGTCTGGTTCCAAGTGGCATTCTGTACATGAGGATAATACCTGTTCGCGAGTCGGTGTTGGAAATGGACGATCCTGTATGACAGAACAAACAAGAATCCACTGCTGCGCCACTATGTCCGATTTGATGAACAAAATGCGACTGAGGGGACCGATGGAAGCTTTAGGAATGCGGACACCCCCTGGTGGGGTGTCGCATTCTCCCTCGTCGTGAATGACGTCTTAGAGGATTTCCATAGTCTAAGAGAACCCTGTGGATCCCACAGGTACGCATACCATCGGACGCATGACATCTGTGCATGGGAAGATGCGATCGTGATAGACAAGATACAGGAATGGCTATTAGTTTGAGCACAGTAGATTCTCATAGATATTGACTGATTCTGAGGATGAGGGTGGGGTATCCCCATTGCGTTGTTGTTGAAATCATCATGACCACGCTTTATACGCGCACCAATGATTCCATCTTGTCCGTTGATGAATTGATTCCTTATTCGTGTATGGATGGTTGCGCTGATATCTCCAAATCCAAATCCAAAATGTGTGTCTCTGTATTCCTTCGCGCCAGGAAAGACAGCTCACTACTAACTGAAACGCCCAAGAAATAACAAGCGTGATGTGGTGAAATACCACCCTAATTAGCAGGAAGACGGAGCTTACCCGTCGTGCGCCCCCGTGAGTCGGCATCTGTGCGCCTGGTGATGTTGTCAAGTGTAAGACCGACGCGAACAGGAGATGAGAGATATAAAAAGATGGATTTGTTTTTGAAGGACAGAACAACTAGAAGATAGCGTTGCAAAGCAACACTCCTAATGAGTGATAACGAGGCACTGCTTATTGTTATAAAAATACTACAAAGAAAAAGTTGTTAAGGAGTCGTGGGAGTCCCAGTTATTGGATGGAACAAGACGTCGAACCACGTAAATGGTGAGAATGCGCATGGGGTAATGACCAAATGGCATAAAGAAAATTTTTGAGTAGATGATCAGTTCCCCTGCCCTCATCGGTATCACCACCCCATACACAAAGTAGCAAACAAAAACTAACGCAAACAATCCGTCGGAAGGCTCGTGTAGCTCTTCTATGAGAAACCTGCAACCAAAAGAAAGCCAAGCACTTACTTAGATATCTTTATGTCACAGACGAGGAAAAAGAGAAAAGGAGAAAAACAAAAATGATAGCCTTTTTGGTTCTTTTTACAACTAATGAGAATGAGGCAAATTCAATTTCCTAGTTGTTTAAATCTCGTTACACCAACACCAAAAATCAAACTGGAAGGTATATTCACGCTTTCTTGAGGTTTCGGTAACTTCGTTTGTTGAGGGCCTGCATGATAGTCCTTAATACACTTGAACACATGCATACAATCATTAGCGAAAATAGAGGCGTGTGAACGAAGGCACCACCATATTACACTCACGCCACCAAGAGCAAGACTAGGACATCACCAAGACTCGTAGACGTTTCCAACCATGAATGTTTCGGTTGTGAACGGGGAAGGCCTCCCCGATAAGGCCTACGTCAGCATTCGCATCGGGGAGCAACGCCGGCAGGCTCCATACCGCAGCGATGCGACACCGTTTCCGTTCCCCACGAGCAATCATGCGACGATGAAGCTCGACATCTTCCAGAAGGTACCGCAAACTATACGAAAGTGGCAATTAGAATTTAATTGATGTCATCCGACATGCTACATGTACATCAATGCCTTCAGGGGGTACATTCATTCTCATTCATTCCCTCAGAAGAGTCCTAGACCTTCTGTGAAATCCGACTACTCTTCTCTTTGCAATTTCACCAGGTGGCCTCCAAGATCGTTCCCCTGTCTTCGATGAAGTCGGATCCGAATTACCATGAGAATGTTGATTACGGACTGAAGTTCTTTATTGAGTGTATAAAACTATAATCGAGGGTAGCTTAAGGGGTTTATAAAATACATAGTCCTTTTTTCCCGCGCTATGCGCTAGTTTGGTGAACCGATACCCTGGAGCGAACTAGCGGGTGCACATAGCGCGGGAACCGAGCACTTCTCTGAGGCACGCACAGACCGCGGCCGCCTTAGATGAGAAGACCTCCAGGGAAGTTGGATGATAAGCGGCGCCTAGAATAGCCGGATCCTAATGCTAATAAGCCTGGCCATCAGAATACTTGACCTATAGTTTTAGTTATTCCATCCGTTTTTGTTTTTCGGTCTTTTCCTAGTTAAGTTGGCTCCACCAATTCTATCATAGTAAGACGACCGCACTCGTCTTCGTCCAGTTTTTCACTTCTTAGAAGTGTAGTGGTATTGAATCGGGATACTGTATATGCATACGGTGGTTGTCGGTGAAGAGAGACCGGCATATAGTGAATTGGGGCGTGAATTGAGGCTACGGATCAACACCATGCGCCCCAGGCCTATGATGTCGAGTGGCCTCTTTGTTAAGAAACAAAGAAATGAAAAACGGACTAGAGATGGAATCAGCCGGGCTATATCTGCTTCTAATGCGAATTAGATAACAACATGCGAGTGACGCTCGCTTGCACTTCGGAAGCAAAGGACACGAAATCTCGCTCAACCCGCCACGAAGCTGCTCTGCGTGCTACCAAATACCTTGATGAGCACGCTGTTCAAGGCACGCTGCAAAGCATGATTCACTTATGATGTCCATGTCTATGGTCGACAGCTATTGACTGAGTGCACCATGACCATAGAAAGACATTTTAGGTTTGAGCTGGTCAATAGCGATCGATTTCCGTAGCAAGTTCCCTTCCTGGCACTATTCTCTTCATGCTTGTAATAGAATAGTTTATAGACGGTGGGAAGGTGGGCGACGCTGGGCCGCTAGGCGGCCACGCTTGGCACGGTGGGCGGACCCTTGGCACACATGTGGGGCACGGTGGGCGTACGCTGGGCGCGTATAGCGTTGCCCCGCTGCTCCCGCCAATGTACAGGGCCGCAGTCGAGGGCGGCGCGGCGCTGCGCTCCTCTGCGGAGTGGCCACGTTCTCGCTGCTTGCGGTGCTTCGCTGCTGTATGCAGTGCCGCCTGGGTGTGTAGAGTGCGGCGCAGCGTTCGTTGCAGTGTGCGTCAGTGCTCTGCTGCAATGTGCGGCCAGCGCTGCTGGGGGATATTCCCAGGCGGGCCAGTAGGTGGGCGCTCCGATACGTCTGCAGCTTGCTGCGGATCCAGGATGCATGCGCTTACTCTGCCGGGGGGGGCTTCAGAAATGGACGCCCGAAGGGCGCCTCGATTTTTGGTCCCAAGTCTCATGGTGGGCGAAATCTTTCGCAGAAGACCCACTTAGGGGCCGTCCAGCGGCCCAGCGTGCCAAGCGTGGTCACCGATCCAATTCTAGGGAATATATCTTTTTCAAGGTTGTGAAATACCGATAAGTCACTGCGTCTGTTTCTGCTCTTCGCCTTCCTCTAATGTCCGGATTATTGGCGAAGCAGCCCGCTGAGCCGTTGGCATTCATGATCTCCTACCTCAACCAGCAGAAGGGTGATATCGAGTCGCCTGTGGGTAGTCCGAAGGCAACTGCTGCTGTAGCAGATGAAGTGAAACCGCCAGAGAAGGAGGAAGAGAAACCCGCAGCTATGCCCCGGGATATTCCCAACTACGGAGAAATGCCTGGTAAGTAGCTTTTGTAAGTTGTACTAGTTTTGAATTTAAGATTAGAGGAAATGGTGGAATTTTTGGTCGTTGAAGGTGCGGCGAAAAGGTTGGGTTAAGACTACTTTCTCTCGTCATTAACAAAGATTTCAGACGATTTTCAGATCATATGACAACTAGGGGACTATGTATTTTCATTTATCATTCACTTCAGCTAGATTTCAACGTAAAATTTCTCATGATTAGGTCTTGGTGACGAAGAGTACCCGGGATTTCCGGCTGATATTTGCCCGGCGCAGATGCCGGACCTGTCGAAGCACGCATCGATTATGGCAGATGTGTTGAAGAAGACCCCGTCAATTTATGATGACCTGAAGGGCCGCCGCACGTCCATGGGAGTCGGCTTTGCTCGAATTATCAAGACCGGTAAGCAGTTTGGTCTTCATTGATCATGAGGGTTGTTCAGCAAATCATAATGAAATCGTTTTATGAAGTGGAACTTTGCATTTGCTTTTGTAGCAGAACACTGTTCTATCATGTAGAATTTTCTTTTTACTTCTAGGTTGAATAGTCTCATCGCTATCATCGTGTTAAGTATGCAAAAGTGATACTTTTCATAACAAGCTGATTTTAGGTAGATATCGATATGTTGTGACGTGATCTTGCAATTAACATTTGTGCATTCGTGGTTGAACGTCCTCGATCGGATCTCGCTTCAGGTATGGACAACAAGGGCCACCCGATGGTGAAGACGTGCGGTTGCGTTGCCGGAGACGAGGAGTCCTATAGCGTTTTCGCAGAATTGTTCGACCCCGTCATCGATGTTCGTCATGGTGGCTACCCGGCAACTGCAAAGCACCCGACCGATATTAAGGATTACCATTGTTGCTATCCAATGTTTTGGCACTATCCTTGACCAGTTTCCGAATAGAGACAGAAGTCACGAGGAATGATCTGCAACAGAAATGCAATGGCGCAACTTCTAACAATGTGGACGTGTCGAAATTGCTCGATACGCCGATCGATCCGACAGGCCAGTACGTGATTTCAACCCGAGTGCGCACGGGCCGATCCATTCGCGGCATTGTTTTTTATGAACTTCGTATGAGGAGGACCTTCTTTTGCTTTTCGGATTGGACCTGGAATAATTAGACTGATGGGCTTTTTTATTGTAATTGTTTGATCATCTTCCTTGGAATGAAATAGCGAGCATGAAGATGAACGTAGGGCACGCAGCACAGGCGCACTAGGTAGTATGAAATAGCAAGGAAACTGAGGGCTAAGTGATCGATTGGTCTGTCCTGTTTCTTCTAATTCGTGCCGCCGTCTCATACACGAGATTCGCGTAGAGAACTGGAACGCGTGGTTGTGAAGGCTCTGATGTCTCTGGAAGGAGAGTTGAAGGGAGACTACTATCCGCTGGCGGGCAGCACGAGCTACGCGCCGAAGCCGACGGGCATGACCATGGACGAGGAGGAGCAAAAGCGTGAGGACCACTTCTTGTTCCAAGAGCCGGACTCGACCTTGCTCCTTTCTGGTGGCATGGGCCGCCACTGGCCGGATGGACGTGGTATCTTCCACAATGAGAAGAAGAACTTCCTCGTGTGGGTCAACGAGGAGGATCACACGCGAATCATCAGTATGCAGATGGGAGCTGATATCAAGGAGGTCTTTGAGCGATTCGCGACCGGCTGCAATGCGGTGCAACAGGTGGTGAAGGCTGAGGGCTACGATTTCATGCACAACGATCACCTCGGATACGTCCTCGTATGTCCGTCGAACCTGGGTACAGGTCTGCGAGCAAGTGTCATGGTCAAGATTCCGCTCCTCAGCGCCCGCAAGGACTTCAAAGTACTGTCTAGTAGCCCTATTGTGAATGCGAAACTTCATTCAACATTCATGTCCCCCATCTTACCTCACTCACTAGCCTTAACGCTTCTGGCACTACTTAGCTCACGCTTTACTCGTTATTGAACCTTTGGTCAAGAATCAACCTTGTAGGTTCATCGATCTACGCCGTGGATCTAAGTATTTGGTGTAGGTATGAATGATTTTTTGTCGCTTCATTAATCAGGATATCTGCAAGGGCATGGGATTGCAAGCCAGAGGTGGTGCGGGTGTCGATAGCGCTGCGGTTGGAGGCATCTTCGATATCTCGAACTCCGACAGGTCCTACTTGCTGCATTAAGTACATCTTTGTCTTGCGTACCTAATTTGTCCTACTACTTCATTTTGAGAGTGTCTGTAGTTTCACTCGTATCTTCGGTCTATCCTTCCCTCATGGTGACCATATCAATACTCAGACTCGGAAAGTCCGAAGTTTCTCTGGTGAATAACATGATTACCGGTTGCGCGAAATTGGTGAAGGCCGAGCAAGCGCTTGAGGCCGGCGAATTCATTTACGAGTTTATGCCGGGTCTCGGTGACGAAGAGTATCCTGGCTTCCCGCATGACATCTGCCCGGCGGAAGTTCCGGACTTGAGCTCCCACAACAGGTAGAAAGGGAATCTGAACTACTCGGAGGCTTCTATTTTCATAGAGGAGACCGGTATCTTTGATAAAATGCAGAGTGCCTGTGTACCTGATTTATAGATCTCCTGTCACTGTGTCCCGCCACACATCACATTATCTCTCACAGTATTATGGCTGATGTCCTGAAGAAGGATCCGTCTATCTACGACCGACTGAAGGACAAGTCGACCTCAATGGGCGTCACGTTCGCGCGCTGCATCAAGACTGGTATGGACAATAAGGGACATCCTATGATCAAGACCTGTGGTTGTGTTGCAGGCGACGAAGAATCTTGGACCGTCTTCGCTGAGCTCTTCGATCCAGTCATCGACATTCGTCACGGAGGGTACTTATTCTTATTTTCCTTTCTTCTTCTAACGTGTATGTGTATTTAATGATAATGATGGTGTTGTCGAAGTCCATCTTCCACCACGTCCTCTGGCACCGAGGACAGAAGCGCCCTGGTATGGTATCGCTGTTAAAACAACCCCAGATACCCTGCAACGGCGAAGCACCCGACAGACATGGACGTTGAGAAGCTGTCGTCGACCGACATTGATTCTAGTGGAGAGTACGTGATTTCCACGCGTGTCCGCACTGGTCGATCCGTTCGTGGCTTGCGTCTGCCGCCCTCGTGCACCAAGGACGATCGTCGCGAGTTGGAACGCGTCGTGGTGAAGGCCTTGATGTCCTTGGAGGGCGACTTGAAGGGAGATTACTATCCGCTTGCCGGCAGCAAGAGTTACGAACCTAAACCAAACGGAATCAGCTATGAAGAAGAAGAGACGTTGCGCAATGAGCACTTCTTGTTTCAGGAGCCGGACTCGACCCTGCTGCTCTCTGGCGGTATGGGCCGCCACTGGCCCGACGCCCGTGGTATCTTCTTCAACGACAAGAAGAATTTCTTGGTCTGGGTTAACGAGGAGGACCACACGCGGTTAATCAGTATGCAAATGGGCGCCGACATCAAGGAAGTGTTCACACGATTTGCCACCGGGTGCAATGCTGTGCAGGAGGTTGTCAAAGCGGAAGGATATGACTTCATGCACAATGACCATCTTGGTTATGTGCTCGTGTGCCCGTCCAACCTGGGAACAGGTCTTCGTGCCAGCGTCATGGTCAAGGTACTATTAAAATTAATGAACATCGATTATAGAACAATAGCTCTGGGTTCAGCGCTATGCTTTCTTGGTAATTTTCGTGCCGGGATCTTCGCACCCTTTCCCTTTGTAGCATTGCATTCATGTTAATTATGGGAGTGTACTCTGACGAGAAGTAAACAACATGGATTGAAGTCTTCCTCGTTTTATCAATCAAGATTCCGAAATTGTCGGCACGACACGACTTCCGTGATATTTGCAAGGGAATGAGGCTCCAGGCACGCGGCGGCGCGGGTGTTGATAGCGCTGCAGTTGGCGGCATCTTCGATATTTCGAACTCTGACCGACTTGGTGTGTCGGAAGTTGACCTTGTCAACAATATGATCGAAGGCTGTGCGAAAATCGTCAAGATGGAACAGGTATTGGAGTGGATACCATTACTCTAGCTTGTTTTCCAGTACCAACATTCCGATAAAAGTTGCAGCTGCAGCAATTCTAATTCAGCTCGATGATCGCGGTCGTTAGAGATAGAGAAGATGAGCAGCAATTTTGCCTAAAGCTGAACATCATGAAAATCACGACCCGAACCCATGTACAGGCGCTTGAGAAGGGAGAGTTTATTTACCAGTACATGCCGGGTCTCGGCGACGAGGAATATCCTGGCTTCCCGCACGACGTTTGCCCGGAAGAGTGCCCGGACCTTAGCTACCACAACTCGATTATGACTGATGTGCTAAAAGCGAACCCAGATATGTACGGTGATCTCAAGGAGCTGAAAACGTCGATGGGTGTAGGTCTTGCGCGTTGCATCAAGACAGGAATGGACAATAAGGGCCATCCAATGATCAAGACTTGCGGAATTGTCGCTGGTGATGAGGAGAGCTACGAAGTATTGAAAATTCACTTTTTTCTTACTAAGCACATGAATCGCAATCGCAATTGGGTCAGTAAGTAGTTGTTCTTTCTATTGAATTCATACGAGCTACAGTTTCAACATACGCATTGAATAAAAGGGTGCATCATCGACTGCTTTCGCACGGCAGTTAACGACACATTCAGTAAGGAGTTCGTTGTCAGCGTTTCTGATTCTGTTTCGATATTGTTACTTGCGCTTGCATGGAGCACATCTTTACCTTCCTTCACCAGGTCTTCAAGAAATTGTTTGACCCGATCATCGACATTCGGCATGGTGGTTACAAGGCGGATGCCATTCACCCGACTGACATGGACATGGAGAAACTCGACTCCGCGACGATCGACCCTACGGGACAGTATGTTATCAGCACGCGCGTGCGCACTGGGCGTTCCGTGCGAGGACTGCGACTGCCGCCAGCTTGCACGAAGGAGGACCGCCGGGAGCTGGAACGGGTCGTGGTGAAAGCGCTGATGTCGCTCGAAGGAGAGCTAAAGGGCGACTACTACCCTTTGGCGGGAAGCACAAGCTACGAGCCAAAGCCCAATGGAATCACGTATGAGGAGGAAGAGACGCTGCGCACCGAGCACTTCTTGTTTCAGGAGCCGGACTCGACGCTGCTGCTCTCCGGCGGTATGGGCCGCCACTGGCCAGATGCTCGTGGTATCTTCTTCAACGACAAGAAAAACTTCCTGGTGTGGGTCAACGAGGAGGATCACACAAGGCTGATCAGTATGCAAATGGGAGCAGATATCAAGGAGGTCTTCTCCAGGTATACTTGAGATCTTAACTTTCAAACTGTATTTCTACTTAATACCAAAACAGTGAGTGTTGCGAGTTTCTTTAGGATGGTTGGAAGTTTGTGATGAAGTTGTAGTAGACGAGCTTTCTCATTATATGAGGTTTCGAATTTTTGTCACTCAGGTTCGCTCGCGGCTGCAACGCGGTTCAGGACGTAGTGAAAGCTGAGGGATACGATTTCATGCACAATGAACACTTAGGCTTCGTGCTGGTGTGCCCGTCGAACTTAGGTACCGGTTTGCGAGCAAGCGTCATGATCAAGATCCCGCTTTTGAGCGCACTTCCCGACTTCAAGAGCCTGTGCAAAAAGCTTGGATTGCAGCCTCGTGGTACCACTTATACTTAAATGTGGCATCTACGTGATCTTTGCAGTGTGCTTGAAGAAATATCACAGTCTGTATGGTTCAGAAAATGTTAAGGTACTTCAAGCGTAAAAAGCGCTCCGTGTTCAAGTTGTAAGAGGAGGTGCTCAAGTTGTTTCAGTTGTGCGGTTGTTTCCAAATGAAGTTGCAACAGGGTTAGCTTGTGCTGATAAAAGGAACAAAGAAACCATGTGTGCAGGTAACAGACATGATCTGTCTTCTTCGAAAAATTTCAGGTGGTGCCGGAGTTGACAGTGATAGCGCTGGCGGTGTTTGGGATATTTCGAACTCGGACAGGTTGGGCAAGTCCGAAGTTGAGCTGGTGAATAATATGATTCGCGGTTGTGCCGCTTTTGTGGTAGCCGAACAGAACCTAGAAAAGGGCGAAGCCCACGGCCTTGAAGCGGCCATTGAGGCAGCAGCCGCCGCGGCAAAGGAAGTGGCGGCTCCGGCGGATGAGGCACCCGCCGAAGAGGCTCCAGCGGCAGCAGAAGGAGCCGCCCCGGCAGCCGATGACGAGACTCCGGCAGCGGCTCCGGAACCGCCGGCAGAAGTGGAGGCAGCAGAAGAAGCGGCGCCAGCAGAAGAGGCGCCTGCTGCGGCAGAAGAAGCTCCAGCGGCGGCCGAAGAGGCGCCTGCAGAAGCGTAGGAGCCTCGTGAGTGAGCTGAGGATGTTTAACTCTCCAGGAATGCTAGGATGTTGCGAGAAATAGTGATTTTTTTTTCATTTGCTATGACACTTTCCAACAGGACATGCATTGCTATATATTAGCAAAGAAACAATAACAAACTACCAGACTGAGACTTGATGGAAAGGGCATAGCGACGAAGGCTTTCGCGAAATGATAGCATAGAAGAATATGCCTTTCCCTTTTTAACATTGCTGCAAGATCACAAGATAAGTAATGAGATACAGCATCTTCATAAAAACCACAGATTCTTTCAAATTGAACAGTAGACTCTCAGAAAAAGTACCACTCACTCTATCAAAAACAGATTTATTATGTTGGAAAGCGATTCTTTTCATTTACTAGTGATGAAGACCATCGATGTCGGAAACAAAGATCCGAGATTTACTTACTTAGTCACATCATTGATTATCATGAAAATGGAAGACCCACACAGACCACATGGTGGTCATCGCCCGAACAGGTAAAATCGAGGACGCAGCATTGGGTCTGTTGAAACGCCGTAAGCGAGCGAGGCAGCCATAAAGTTATGATGGAGAATGTGAAACTTATCGTCCTAATCTCTCTTCTCAAACAATGACAATAAGTCACAATAACAAAATGCCTTAGAAGAAGCAAATCATCATAGACATCAGGTTTAGTGCTGTTCGAGGTCGTCGTCCGCCATGATTTCTCTAGATTTCCATCCCTGTAGCTACCGCATGACATGGGTTACACTTACAGCGTTGACTTGATCCAGATAAGCCACATCGAACGTTATGGAACTAAAAGTAAATCAAAATGATAATCGGAACAAATGTCGTCCTCATTGAGTAGTGTCTGACTATCTTCCAGGAGTTCTCATACACTTGTATCCTAAAATTTCGGAGGGGCCCGATGCACAGAATTCATGATAGGATATTATGAGTAAATACGCTGAAACAGATGGATGTTTTGCTCCTGACTTTGAGCTAGACGAAATGCACAGAGATGATTTTTGGCGTAGCTGCGATGCATCGACATTTTTCCATGTGTCATCACTTCTCGAGATAATCTATCTAGCATATTTACAAAGACTCGGTGAGGAGGGTCTACAGGTTTTTACATTAATGACATTATGAAATTGGCCGCTTGCGCCTTGCTGCTTTGCTGCTTGCGCCTTGCTGCTTGTATCGTGCGGCCTGATGTCGCACCGGTGCTCTAGGCGCAGGGTTGAGGCAGGCCCATCTGCATTTGAATCAATCTGCACGTTAGCTTTTGGCATACGACCAAGCAGTGAAAAACCACGGACGCGGACCTCTTTCCTGATTTTCTCCAAAGTCAAGTCGGCAATGCCGTTTTGAGAGTGACTCTTGTGATTCCACGGCAGCGCAAAACAAACTGTTACATGAAATAGAAGTAGCATCAGTAAACGTTGAGTTCTGATCCTGAATCGGAAAAGAGACGAGAGTAGAGCGAGACAACTTGCAAACCGGTTCTACTTCCATATTTTAAATGATGGTCTCACAGTACATATCAGGTTTATTGCTGCGAGTTTTAACCATCGACTTTCACAAACATCACGTCGATCGTAAATCTGATATTGAGATGAACATCAATATTAGACTTACTTCTACTTGTCATATTGGGTTTAGGTTTTTGACGATGAATTGTTTATCCTTAACTATTGATTCTCAAGGAACTTGTGTATTTAATCTTCATGTTTTTGCCACGGACAAACCACACAAGTATTGATGCCACTCTTCGTCATCAATCATCACTCATCCCAAATTAATTAGCCGCATTTTTGTTCGAGGACAACTTGTCCTTTTGGTTGCAAAGCAACTTCTGAGTTGAAGCCAGTCTCTAAGACAAGGCCGTACCACATTTCTCCGACAAAAGAGACAACAACTTTTGGCACCCAGCAAAGAGAAGAAACCAGCTACCGCGAGGACTGTCATCACGCCTTCTTTTTACCAGCAGGTAGTTTTCTGACTACGACGAGGTTTCCAGGATCTTGCCTTTTCCGAAGAAGAACATCGTTCGGCACTTTTCCTTCTGTCGACTACAGCAAGAGCCAAGCTTCGAAGTAAGTACTAGCAGTACCAGTTCAAGTTCAAGTGCCAGTTGTACTTTCAAAGTGGATTGTCTAGATATCGATTATTCAGCACCACGCGTTGCCGGAGAAGGAGACAAGAGAACTCAGAGAACAAGTTTTCAGCGGCCTTTCAACAATTCAAAGCAAAGAAGGAAGCACTCTATTGTTATCCGGAAACACTGCCACCTTGTTGCAGCCAGATAGCAACTTAAAAGTCAGCAGCTACTTCCGAGAATAACAATAAGCGAAGAAGTAAAATACCACTAGTTACTACGCCATCTTCGCAACGGGAACAAGAGGACGTCGGCGATAGTAGGAGCAAGCAAGAGGACAGTCTTATTACCAGGATACTAACTGCGAGTTTCAGTTTCGGTTTCGGAGCTCGCTGCGGATAAAAGCTAACAAAAATAAACAACTCTGTCAGAAACAACACAAAAAGTCAAAAAACATGACGGATGCAATGTCGTCTCTGGTTTCGGCCACAGGGCTGTCCGGCTGGCAATCGCCGCTGGAGTTGGCTGCCCATTTTCAAGACCCACTGTACCTATTGATTATTCCTTACATCGTGGGGCAGCCGCTTTTCCGCGATTACGTGAAGGTCACGAACCTGTATGAAGAAAACAAGCGGGTGTGTAAGGTACGGCGCATTACCTACAACTGCATGTTTTCTTTGCAGTCACTTCATTTTCAGATTTTAGTCAACTATTCTTCATCAATTTGAAATCAAATGAGAACAAACTCGAAAGCAAACAGCTCTTTTGCTGCGTTTTACACATGACGTCGTTTATGATACGGTAGTAGTTCCTGCCTTATTCGATTTTATTTCGGACTAGAAAACCACGCTGTCCCCTCTACTCATAACAGTGGATTATGTGCGCTTACAACCTGATTCTGGCGGCGTTCAGTCTTTGGGCTGCTGTGTACATGGTTTACATCATGGCTACGGAGCTGCCGCATGGAGTGTATGGACCTGGGCACTACGAATCGGAAACGTACAACACGATTTCCTGGTGGTTCTACATCTCGAAGTACGTTGAGTTCCTCGACACCTACTTCTTGATCTTGTGTGGCCGTCCGGTAATTTGGCTCCAATTCCTCCACCACATTGGAGCGCCTCTTGATCTGGGCGTCTGGTACCAAGTCGCAATTCTTTAGGTTTTTTAGATTTTTTAGATTTGCTTTCTCATCTGAAAGTATTAACTCAAGCAAGTCAGAGGAAAATATCATATTTTGTATGCTTAACCGCTAGAGTAAACTAACACTTTGTTCCTATCGCAGGCACAACAACCAAGTCGAGGGAACGTGGATTTATGTCGTTTTTAACGGCTTTATCCACACAGTGATGTACTACTACTACGCGTGTTGCATCATGAAGTGGCCCTTTCCGTGGAAGCAGATGATCACGAACATGCAGTTGTTACAGTTTGTGAGTGGCCTGGGTGTTGTCATTCCCTACGCCTTCAGCGCGCCGTTCTGGTCGGACCCAGCGAAGCGCTGCGCGTTCGGTTTCAACTATGCCTATGTGCTGATGAACCTGACGCTTTTCATCAACTTCTACCGCCAGACTTACCTTGCAAAAAAGAACAAAGCCGCAAAAGGAGCGAAAACTGGCGGCGACGGTGGTAACTGTCATGTTAGTGTACGCAGTTTTTCTTTGTTTAGTCGAGTAACACTAACAGATTGTTGATGAATTGAAGACGCGAGGAAATAGATGTGTTTAAGAATATTAGGTTTTGCATATTGTAAAGCACTAATGTATGATCTACCGAAGGATTAGCAACTGGTCTGGGATTGCGGCATTCATAATGAGGTTGTGGACTTTGTTTGCGACGACTCACAAATGAGAGTGTTGTGATGAGGATCTGAAGTTGTAGCTATCTGTGTTTATCTTCGAGATCGTGTTTTGTGATCGTCCAGTGAGTGTGGTATTTCGATCTTCTGACCAAAAATCAAAATTTAGTACAAAAATTTTGGGCAACAAGAAATCGATTTTCTCAATATGTATCCTATCTAGGCGGCGACTCGGACTCTTCGAAGACCCTGCTGAAGGACGATGACGATGCTGGTTCAAAGCCGGTGAAAGATTCGGATGCAAAGGCAGAAGACAAGATGAACAAGAACACGTCGTCCGACACAAGCCGCAACGACGAGGCCACCGCCGCGCGCAAGAGGAAAGAGAGCGCCATGAAGGATTTGCGGATTTGGTACAAAGGCCAGGCGATCAAGGTGACGCCGGAATGGCAGAACAAGCACCCTGGCGGCGTGAAGGTGCTGCGCATTTTCCACGATCGTGACGCCACGGATGTAATTCTTGGTATGCACAGCGACCAGGGGCGCGGGATGGTCGAGGCAATGGCGGCTGCCAGCGCTTCTGGCCAGCAGTTTGGCGAAGTCGATATCCCGGCGCCTATTGAAAAGGCAATGGAGACGACTCTGGAGGCTACGACGAAAATGACGGTGAACTACCAGGACTTGAAGTACGAGTACACGACAAGTCTGTACGAAAAGCTGTGGCAAACCGCGCGTGAGCGCGGCCTCTTCAATCCTTGTCCGTTGGACGAGGCGTGGAAAGCCTTTTACAACTTCGGCTTCGTCTTCTTCGGCATGGCACTGGCGTGTGGCGTTCTCGAAGAAAAGTGCGCTTTATTGTTTGCAGCTATCTCCTCCTTGTCGCCTAGCGATTCTGCGTCGATGTTAACCTTCGGCCGCGAGGCGCAACTGTGGGTGGGTCTTCTCTCTATGGCCTTCGGATGGTACCAACTTGGGTGGCTTGGACACGACTGGTCCCATCACACTTACTTGCCGAAGAGCAACAGCAAGAACTGCACGATGAACGATTGGCTCGCGTGGAGTTTGACTATCGTTCGACCGACGTCGGTGCTGTCGTGGAAGCTGCGACACAACACGCACCATGCCGTGACCAACGAGATGGGCAACGATCCCGATATCCGCCTGTCTCCGATCCTCCACTTCTTCGAGGATTTTGACCCTTCGGTGCTGACCGCGTTGCAGCATGTCTATTTCGTGCCGCTCGTGGGCTTCGTCCCAGTCCTCTACTGGCACGTCGACTCGTGGATCGGCTCCTACAAGCATTGGAGTTCTAAAAACAAGACGACGCGCGCGCATGCGCGCTGGGACGCACTGGCAATGCTGCTCCACTACGCGCTCATTGTGTATCCTCTGCTCGCCGCAAACGATTTCCGCGTTCTGCCGCTGCTCGCGGCCTACTACATCAGCGGTCTTTGGAGCGGGGTGATCGTCTTTGCTTCTCACTACGGTGAGGAACGCCTGTACGACAAGGATTTGGAGAAAATTGAAATGTCTGTGCCAGCGCTAAAGAACGAGGTGGAATCTGCCGTCGCAGAAACTTCATCGCTCTCCGCTGTTCCTATTACGGTCAAGCGCATCGGCTTGCTGGAGGAGACCGCACGCACGGTTCGCAACATTCAATCTTTCTCGCGTACCACGATGGAGGAGAGCTTCTGGTTCTGGCTCACTGGTGGGCTGAACACGCAATTCGAGCATCACCTCTTCCCGATGATGCCTCGTTGCAATCTGCGAGACGTGACGGCACCAGTGAAGGCCGTTTGCGCGGCCAACGGCCTGCGATTCGAGGAGGACAATTTGAAGGATTGCGTGGCGCTTTGCGCGAATCTGTTGCGAGACAACGTAAAACGCAACGTTCAACGCCTAATGGTGATGGGTGGTCGTGGACGCACCAAGCAGCCGAAGGAGGCCAGCGATATCAATGTTGACGCGGCTGCTGCCGAGGGTGATACCCATACTACCAAGAATCACGCTTCGTCGCTGACAAGTCCCTCGTTTCGCGGCTCGCTGACGACACTCGTCAAGGCTGTCGTGCTGCTGTGTTTGGGCAGTCTCTTTTCGGGCCAAAGCTGTGGCTTCCCGAAGTACATGGTTCCGGTCGGCATCTTTCTGAGTTGTATCGCGCTTACCGCAGTCGACTGCGTTCGCGAAGACTGTGAGCGATCGGTCTTTTCGCCGAGCAAAACGCTGAACTTTGTGCTCAAGTACGCTTTCAGCGGCGTCAGTCTGTGCACACTGGCCACTATCGGAACCGTCTTTGTGCTCTACAGCTCGCAGACTCCGGTTTTCTCGTGGTCCAATTTGCTTTACTCCCTCAACTACTTCGCGCTGCCGCTTTTGATCATGCGATTGAGCCAGTTTTCGCAAGCGGTTACTGGCAGCGACACCACGTCCGTTTGCCCTGGTCGAGTCCAGAGCGGCCCCTTGAGTGAGGATTCATTGCGTTCCACGAGCGAAGACACAGCAGGTGTTTCCACTACGACAAAGAGTGGACGTGTCGCTCTGGGTGACGCAACTCCTGATGGAGCAGTGGGCGGTCCGGCTTTGAAGCGGCGTAAGCGCTCTGTCTCGCCGAGAAAGCAGTTGCACGGCACGCCCTCGGTAGACCGCCTGGTGCCTGGCCTGGTCGGTAAGCTCGAGGAGTGGGCACAGTTCCTCGACGAAGCGACGCGTCCAAATGACATGCCGGGCCCGATGCAAGGGGGACTTCCATTCGCTCGCAATCGTTTGGCTTGTATCCCCATGTACCGGGTTTCGAGGTTTATGAAGGCGGTAGAGAACGACCTGGAACGCACAAGGGAGGCTATCTCGAAGGCCGCAGCCGATGCTGGTGAGCTGCTTCAGGAGGAAGCTGCGATGGTCGATGGCATCGATTACTCCTCTTCAGGCGATGACTCTACACCTGTCTTGAGAGGGAAAAACACGTTGCCAAAATCGAATGCCGCCAAGGAGGACACGCGCAACATGATGGAGATCTGTGCCGCAGGATGTGATAGCTCGGTGCTGGTTCTCGGTGATATCAGTCCAGCGTTTCGAAATGTTGCAGAGAAGACGAGCGCACGAAAGAAGCGCCACAAGGCAACTTTTCTGCGTAAGACACCCAGTGCAGTCGAGTCCTCGGATGGCTATGAAGAGGAGGGCTTCTCAACGATCGCTACCTGTTCTACGGCTGCGACCAACTCCGGAACGCAGACACCTGATGAGGAGAACGTCGCTGAGCAGTTGAATGCTTCTGCTTTCAAAGGTTTGGAAGAAGAGACCGCAGAAGTGATGTCGCCCTCGCAGGTTAAGGCATTTCCCGCTGTGGAGCTTTCGTTAACGACCCGCATCGCGCTCGCAATCTTGCGTGTGGGACTATTTCCAGTGCAGTGGGCGTTTCAAAAGATCTTTCTATCCGGTGACATCGAGTTGTACTGTGTGGTTGTAGCATACCTGCTTATGGTTTACGTAGGCTCCTTTTACTTCGCGTACACTCCGGTCTGCATCTTCATTGGACTCATCGCGCCGCGATCGCAGGGTACACGATTCCTGGAGCGGCAGTTTGCGAAACTGGAGAAAGCGATCATCCTAAATGAGGCTGCAACGGTGCAAGAGCTCGCTTCATCCGATGGTGAGACGAGTGTCGAGGTTGTGAATACGGAACAACAATCTAGAGTGCTCTCGTCGGCAAAATCTACCAAGCGTGGCGCCTCGTCCGGGGTCTACGTGTTTGGACACCGTCTTAACGTCTTCATGTGCTTTTACATGGGCTTGAACCACTTGATTGCACTACATGCGCTTGCGGTATTATTCTTGTTCGGCGGTCGCGATGTTGTGCTAGAAACGGGCGATTACATGCTGCGAACCGGATGCCAGATGTGTCTGACGAAGTTGACGGAACTTGAAATTATACCGGAATTGAGCCGGTTTTCATCCAGTGCTTCCAGTCCGCTCGCTCCTGCCATGTCGCCGATTGAGATTGCGCCCGTAAAGTGGCAAACACTGGCTCTTGCCTTCCTGTTGTGGCCGATTTCCGGACTCGGAATCACAGCAGGCGCGCACCGGCTGTGGTCGCACCGAAGCTACGAGGCGCACTGGTTGACCCGCCTCTTCCTGATGCTCTGCAACTCCATTGCGAACCAGACCAGCATTTACCACTGGGCGCGCGACCACCGCACTCACCACATCCACTCCGACACCGAGTCAGATCCGCATGATTCCAACCGCGGCTGGTTTTACTCCCATGTCGGCTGGCTCCTCGTGCACAAGCCCGAAGCCGTGCGCAAAGCAGGTCGCAAAGTGGACGTCAGCGACCTTCTGCGCGACGCGCTCGTGATGTTCCAAAAGAAGACCGACCCGTGGTGGAACTTCGCGTGGTGCTTCGCGGTCCCAGCGTTCATCTCGGTGTACTTTTGGCAAGAAACTCTGTGGAACGGTTTCCTCTTCGCCGGCGTGCTTCGCTACGTCTACGTGCTGCATTGCACCTGGTCCGTGAACTCCATCGTGCACACGGACTTCGGCCCGTCGACCTACGATCCCAAAGAGCCGCCAAGTGAGAGCCGCCTGGTCTCCATCCTGGCTATGGGCGAAGGCTGGCATAGCTGGCACCACGCCTTCGCTTTCGACTACGCCACCGCGGAGCTTGATTGCTTCCAGCAGTGGAACCCAACCAAAGTGTTTATCGACATGATGGCAATGCTAGGCCTTGTTCGCAATCGTAAGCGTGGTCTTCGCATGTGGGGTAAGCGCAAGGAGGCGATGCGTCAGGCAGCGGCCGCGGAGGGCATGGTGCTCGTTGAGAGTCTTCACGGGCCCCCGCTCTTTAAGGTTCGCACTATCGAAACTGTGCCGCAAGACAAGACGGCTGTTTCTCCGCTCTCACTGAACTCTGCGAAGGTGCTGGACGAGAATCCTTCCGGAGTCTCTGCTGGTGAGCTTGATCGTATCGTCGACATCAAAGACTGGGAGAAGACCACGGGTTTGACCAAAGACGCGATCATGTCTGCTATTCCAGACCGTCTGAAGAAACGTTCTGCTCTCACGTCCGGTGCGTACCTTGTGCGAGACATCGTGTATTGTACCTCAATTATCGTCGCTGCCATCTTTGTGCGTCAACGTCTGCTGCGCGAACTGACCGATACCAGCGTCATCGTGGAGGCCCAGGATCTTCAGAACGGGCACGCCAACATCTTCGCAATGTTGAAAGGGGCTGTTGGAGCTTCGCTTGCGAACTACGCGGCATCCTTGGTTTTCGCCGCTTTCTGGACCACCTACGCAATGGCTCTCGGTACGGCTGCGACCGGCGTGTGGGTCGTTGGTCACGAATGTGGCCACGGGGCCTTCTCGGAGAGCAACCTAATCAACGACACGGTGGGCTACTTCACGCACACACTGTTGCTTGTGCCGTACTTCGCATGGCAGTTCACTCACGGGAAGCACCACAAGTACACCAACCACCTCACGATGGGCGAGACGCACGTTCCTGCGTCGAACCCAACGTGGTTGAACAGACTTGCTGCGTCGGTTCGCCACATTCCCGGTGCCGAGAACATCACATCCCTCTTCGACTGCTTTTTGCACTTGGTTCTCGGGTGGCCGTTGTACCTCATTTTCAATCTCAGCGGGGGGCGCACGAACTGGAAGGGCGAGCGACTGAACAAGAAGAAGAACATTACTCACTTCTACGCCGCGAACAGCGAAATCTTCCCGCCGCAGTGGCATCTACGCATTAACCTCTCCGGCCTGGGTGTCGCCGCGATGTTCATTGGCCTTGCGCACTGGGCTAAGCAAGCGTCCCTCCAAAGCGTCGTCCTTTGGTACTTCCTCCCCTACATGGTCACCAACGGTTGGTTGGTGCTGTACACCTGGTTGCAACACACTCACGAGGATGTTCCTCACTTCGGCGTGGAGTCCTTCAACTGGCTGCGCGGTGCGCTGAGCACTATCGACCGCCCTTATCCCTGGTTGATCGACCACCTTCACCACCGCATCGGCTCGACGCACGTGATGCACCACCTGAACTTCCGCATCCCGCACTACCACGCTGGCGAAGCAACGGAGTACGTGAAGCCGCTCCTCGGGAACCTCTATCGCTTCGACGCGCGTCCAGTGTTCTCCGAAGTGCTGCTGTCTGTCACAAAGAACTGTGAGCACGTTGATGGAGTACAGGGTGTGCAGTTCTACCGTGGTGGCGGCATTGCGAACACAATGCACACAGTTACCACTCCGCTCAGTGCCAGGAAGGTTGAGGCCGGTGACAGTGATGTGTCACTGTCTTGTGGTCATCAACAAGATCCTGCGCCGTCTACGAGCACGAAGCGTATGGTTCGTTCGCCTACCACAGGTTTGCTACATGAAATCGAGTTTCCAGGAGCTCCGGTTGGGCCCCAGATCAATTTCAATGTCAACGATTCCAACACCGGCGTTATCACGACGCTTTTGCAGGACTCCACTGTAATTCCTTCGCAGATCGAGGTGAAGCAGCAACACGTCGGCATCGTAGATAAGGAAGCCGCAGTCGCCAAAGAAGACGAGGCCTCGCTTTCCTCTGATTCGGCGATCGAAACGAACATCGCAACCGCAGGTACTGTCGCTCCTCGTGGAAAGAAGGACTCGAAGGAGACGACCAAAATGGAGCTGCTGATCGATGGGAAAATTGTCGATGTGACGTCGTACATCGGCAAACATCCTGGAGGCCGCGTTTTGGAGTTTATGGCCGGCACAGATGCCACGGACGCCTACAACCAGTTTCATCACCGTTCGGAGCGCGCAAACAAGATTCTGCAGCGACTGCCGCAGCGAGAGCCATCCGATGCTGCTGAGCTCGAGAGCTTTGCAAACGTCGGCAACCAACCTCTGCTAGCTGGTATCCGGGCCTTGGAAATGGAACTGGAGCAGGAGGGCTTTTTCGAGCCGAGCCCAACGCATGCCGCTTATCGCATCTTTGAGGTGTTTGCGATGCACACCATCGGTCTCGCGTTGCTGACAGCGTCTGCGATGCCAGGAACAAGCACTATGGTCAGCAACGCACTCGTTGTGCTCGGAGTGCTGGTTTTGGCGATCGTACAGGGCCGCTGCGGCTGGCTACAACATGAAGGTGGACACTACAGCCTTACTGGAACTATGTGGCTGGATCGTCGAGTGCAGCAAATGCTGTACGGCCTAGGCTGTGGCATGGCGGGGTCCTGGTGGCGCAATCAGCACAACAAGCACCACGCCACTCCGCAGAAGGAGGGCCACGACGTCGACTTGAACACGCTGCCGCTTGTCGCGTTCCACACTGGTGCCGTAACGGAAACGCGCTTCGGGCGTCGGATGGCGAAATCTGCATTCTGGGCGCAGACGTGGCTGAAAAATCAGAGCTATCTCTTCTCGCCCCTGATCTGTCTTCTTGTGGCACTTTTCTGGCAGCTCTACCTGCACCCGCGCCATGCCATGCGGACAGGAAACTTCGCAGAGCTTTTCTGGATGGGACTCAGGTACTCTAGTACTGATGCATTCTTTGCATGCTAAACTACTATAGTTCGCAACTGGATTTGGTATTGTTATCCCATCTTTTAGATTTTATGAAGGTAATGGTAATGGCTGACACAAATCTAAAAAATCGATAACATGCTAAACCACTATAGTTTGCAAGTGGATGTGGTATTCTTATCCCATCTTTTAGATTTTATGAAGGTAATGGTAATGGCTGACACAAATCTAAAAAATCTAAATTATCGAAAGGTATGCGCTGTGTTTTCCATTTATGATGAGCTACTTGGGATGGAGTTGCGGCTTCTCTCTGCTTTGCTACATCGTCTATGTTCAAGTCGGCTCTGCCTACATTTTCACAAACTTCGCGGTGTCGCATACGCATTTAGCCACCGTCAAGGCGGACGAGCATCGCAATTGGGCCGAGTATTCTATTTTGGTTTTGTCTCATTGTTGCATGACGTTCTGCTCCCTGAAACGACGCAGTGAGCTGCTACCGTTTTTTGGAAATCAGATCTTGACTAGGAGAGTCCCATTCCGACTTGTCCTTTTCCGCGCTGACTGGTACCACTATGTGTATGTATCCAAGGCCAAGAACCGAAAGACGAGAACAGCATGCGTTTTCTCTCACATCACTTCTAAAAACTGGACAAGGTACGCTGGTGAGCACACGATGAATTGCACCTCCCATCCGGGGACGAACTGGTGGATGGCGTATTTGAACTTTCAGATCGAGCACCACTTGTGGCCGCAGATGCCCCAATTCCGCTTCCCACAAGTCTCACCGCGCGTGCGAGCTGTATTTGAGAAGCATGGGCAAGAGTACAAAGTGATGCCGTACTGGAAAGCAATTTTCCACACCTTGAAGCACCTGGACACGGTCGCAAACGAGGCACTCGAAATGACCGGATACCACGGAAACCACTGAGGAGGTCGTTACCGAATCCTAGCTGGATACGGATGATCTTCTCGTTCTAGGAGTCACTTGGTTTCCTTGTGCGGCGATGATTACAGGGACCTGCAGAGTAGAATGGGAGGAGGAATTAGCGCTATGGGACACTGCCGTTACCGAAATGTAAAGGGCTTCTTGTTTTGTCTTGGAGGCAATGCGAGTTCGATCGTCCACATGGATGCTGTTTTCCATATGAAGATTAATATTTTTTGATAAGTTAGCTGCAGTTCCAAGAAAATCTCGTCATAGAGGGAGTCATGTCAGTTCTACATATCTTTCTACCCAAGTATTTCCACAAATTATGCTGTATTCTTATCCATGTATACGGTGTGCTATTTATAACGCAGACACATCAGTGATTTAGATTCAGAAAATGAAGATGCTTTTGGGCGACAAAATGTAGTTATAGTACGGAGAATTCTAATTTTGGGAAGATTCATATTTCTATCTAAGTATCACTATGTATAGTTAGTAGTAAGTACTATTAGTCATTTTGAGATGTTGGGAGCACTATACCAAGAACAATAAAACGAATTAGTAGGATGGAGTACAAGTATTAAAACATAGGTATAGTTGGTCTTAGCATGTTTTAGTCTCACTTGGGTTTGCATTTTGCATTCGCTTACTCACCGGGAACTACTTAGTACTTAGTAAAATGAACCACTGAGCAAGATAATCTTGAAAATGTATGATAAATCGTTCGAATTTTATGAAGAACTCTGTGTGGTAGCAGACTGTCCGAAGGAGTCAATGATAATATTCCCATTCCTAGATGCTGAAGATTTTGAAGCGGGTTTAGGATGTGTGATTCTGCCGGTTGTACAGTGAAAGAAAGAGTCCCATCGTTTCGATTTGACATTTTGATTCTCCATAATAGATTAATATGATGACGAAACTCCACGACCCCTCTTGGTCTTCCATAAATGATATATTTTTGTTTGGTTTTTGTTTTGCATTGTTTTCCATACAGAATACTTTGCGGACTATCCCATTAATGTACTGAAAATTTGTTTTTGAGTATCGTATATTTCACGACATTCCCACGCCGACGCATCGAAGTGTGCAGATTTGGTCGGCAACCGAGGAAAGGCCCTGCGTCATACTGCGACCAGCGAGCCACTGCAGCTAGTAGCGAGCAACCTCACATCTTCCCCCCCTTCAAGGTCCTAATTAATGGGTATGACTCAACTACTCATGTCTGAACTCGTATCGGGATCATCTCTGTGCAGCAAGATCACGAAGCTAGCAACTACAACCTGCCCGTTGCTCGACACATGTCCCCCTCACAGAGCAGGGTTACTAGTGCTAGACACTCACAGGAGGGCTGCAGGACTAGACACATTTGAGCAAAAGGAAGGACAAAGGAGTGCGCTACTTCGGAACAACGAGTACTCGCTCGTCATGTTCTCGGACATACTTCCTTGCAACCACATGCCCTTTTCAAATACCTTCTCGAAATGTGTCGAATATGTTTCATCCCCAAAATGAATGGTCAAGCATTTGTTCTTCTGGCAGACCTGTCCCGATTTTCTTAGACAAGGGTGTTCTTTGAAGCACTTGATGTAGCTCAGATGCTCACCTGCAACATCGGTTCCGAGAGTAGTGGAAAAATCAAGTCGAGATTCGAAAATGCGTAGTATTGAGTTCTAGCCGCATAACAATGAATTACAAATCGGTGGGTCTCTTGGTTGGATTCGGTTATGTTCATAGTCTCCGTATATCCCTCCCCTTAAAAAGTATTTGTGTTACCCTAGCACCCCGACTCCTCGCTGCCACCTGATACTATAACGAATCTCAATCTTTTTTTGGGCCGAAATTGGTTCACTTTTTCATCGCGCTTCTTGTTTAGAACACTTCTGGGGGTATTCAATTCTTTCATCAGCTTCATTCTATGTATTGTGTATGTTCTTAAAGAGTGAGCGCTCAAAGATTCCGGGCTCTCTCACTGGTAGTCGAGCATAGACGCCGAGATGAAGAAGCAGTTGAAGTTGAAAAGCGCGGTTTTCAATACGAAGTAACGTCGCGCGTGTCCAGCTGAACGGTTACGCTTACGAGACTGATCGTCGTCAAGTGACGAGTTAACTCCCTTTTTCCGCGCAGCATATGTCAGGCGGAAGTTATCGAGCTGTGTTGGTACAAAACCCGCAGTCTTTGACTGTGGGCCTCTCATTTTCGGGGATCGACATTCAGCTTGGAGGACTTAGTACAATCGGGACTTAGTGCAAGTGCAACTACTATTGGTGTAGGTCAATGCACATAGGAGTTCTGATAGCGACTTCATTGTCCCAGCGAGGAGTAAGCGAGCACATTGTCTTTGTCTTTTCTTGTGGAACGGCAAGGGTTTCGCAACCACAGCGAGACGGCTGTTCCTCGTTTCATTTTTGTGCCCGCCGCATCGTTCAATAACTCCCACGTTTCGCAAATGACGTAAAAGTCAACGCATCTTCAGAGGAGCTTGCATACAAAATCTTCTACTACGAGCGAATAGTACCCCTCTTGGGATATGCAAAATCGCCACTTGCCGAATAACTACATGCAGGAGTTGAAGGCGAAGTAGGACAACAACAACGAAAATGTCGAGCTCAAAATTTACAGACGGGCCTTCCACACGGAAGAAAAAGAAGAAAGATGAGGTGCGACATTAAGGCTAAATCTAAAGCATATTAACTCAGCACCATTCCTGGCTCTTTTCCTACTTGAAAAATTAGTCAGGGGTGCTCTCAGGGATGCAACCGCGATATCTCTAACGAAAGTTGCGGCTCATGGCGGACCGAGAATACGTCGGTCCGGTCAAAACAAGCAGTGTGGGTGAGCAATTCCTAGAAGGAACCGGGCTCTATCATTGGGAGCATGCGGGCATCGTTTACGAAGGCCCCTTCAGAAATTCCCAGATACAAGGCCACGGAACATGTATTTTTAGACTTTTTGTGACGATCCTCTGAAATTCAAATTTAGATAAGATGAAAGACAGAGAACCTAAGGGGCCAGGCCAGGGGCGGTAACTCCTAGTGGGGTGGAGATAATCCGATTGGTGTAAAGCCCCCAAGATCTACGCTGTGTTTTAAGAGTAGGCTACTTTTGCCATGCAAATGCATTTGTATTTTGTATCTCTGCTGACCTCCTTGTGCTTGACACCATCCTCATTCAGGTAGATGGCATGATGGGCGGTTTTATGATGGAGAGTTTCAGGACGGTTACAGGCATGGAGAAGGGTTCTTTTTTGCCGCAGACGGCAACTCCCGCTTCAAGGGAGGATGGCAGCAGGGGGAGAGGCACGGCTACGGTGTCATGGTTTATGCTGTGGATAGTGAATTTCATCCAGTAATCCCGCCAGGAAAAAAACGCCCCTCACTAGATGCGGCTGGTGCAGGCGATGCTGGGGTAATTGTTTTTATTGGAAATGTGAATTGCCTTAGACTGCTTTCGATGATCCTTTCATCATCGGTAACGAAAGCACCAGTTCTTTATTTCTACGTCGTCCTATGCTCGAGAAGATATGGTCCTTACGTGTGAGGTACAAACGAGATCGTCTTTGACGATGTGCTACAACAACTGGAATTGGTTAAAACACCTGCACTATGTATCTTGATCACGTGCGATTCACCAATTTCCTCAATCGAGCCACGAGCTGAGATTTTAGGTTGATAGCCTTAGCGTTCTTGAGTTCACTTGAGTTTTCTCCTCTTTTTTCACCCTCTATACTTTTCTCTTTGTGTCTTTGAAATGTTTGCTTTCTCTGCGCCCACCGCTGCTGGTGCGTCGAACTAAATCGAAAAATTTGTAATTGTAACCTCCTAGTACAACAACTTGAACTTCCTGATGTAGCTGTTCTTCTGCACGTACTTCCTGATCTTCATCTACACATACCCCGACCCCCTGTATTGTTTAGGCTGCAGCAACGCAGACACCAGCAAAAAGAACTAAGGAGATGGACCCAGAGCAAATAGAAAAGGCCTTTGATTGCGGAAGCTATGACTCGTGGTTCATCGGTCACTGGAAAAACGGACTGAAGCATGGGTACTTAAGATAGATTCGATAAAACCCAGTGGACAATGCAATTGTAATGATAGAGGACACCACTTTTGATTCTGTTGTGTATGGCAGTTTGCACAGTCAGTTTGTGTGAGGTTCGTGGCATTGGATCGCAGGTCCTCTTTCAGGCTTTCTTGGCTAAGATAGAGATGTGTAGAGCGGTTCTATGTCGCATTTGATCTTAATATTCCTACAAACAGGAGTGGCATGCAGCAATGGCGGAAAGGTGTAACCTACGACGGCGAGTGGAGCGAGGGCATGATGGAGGGCCACGGCACAATGACATGGCGGGAACCTGGGAAGATCAACGAGACATACAGCGGTCAATGGAAAGGCAATGTCCCACACGGGGAAGGTAGCCATATATGGGAGGCCCTGCACAGTGCTAAGAATGAAGTAGACAAGCACACTTCCCAGCAAATGAACAACCGTTATAGTGGCGCTTGGAGGGAAGGAAAACGACATGGGTACACTTCTTACATACTGTCAAGTTAGCAATAAGCTTTGACTTTGTTGTACTAGGCCAACTCATCATGGCTAGAGGCATCATAATACTATTCGAAAACGTGTAAGGTACTGTTACATAGTGCAACTGGTAGAGGATTTCTTAGAAAAAATGTCAGAAAAACTGCGCTCAGAGCTGCATCTATGATTTCTCGCATTTAGTTTCGAATTCGATTCAGTTTTTTGTCAGGTAAGCTGTGAAACGACAAAACAGGTATGGCGTCTTTTTTTATGCAAACGGCGCAAAATATCAAGGGCAGTGGTACGACAATCTGAAGCATGACGAGAAAGGTCGCTTCACGTTTGAGGATGGGTCTGTCTACGTCGGGGCCTTCCGTTATGATACAATGGTGTGATCTGATTCTTGAAATATTTCGCTTGCAGTTGTTGATTTCTTTGTCAGAATTTCCAATAGGGTGGACAAGTTTTTCTTCATAGTGGCGATTCAGAGCCAGCAGATGAAGAGTGTGATCAGTCGAGAGACAATGCAAATCAGCATAGCTGGGATAGGTTTTGGATAAGTATATTGGATCAAGGAATTTGATAGTTGAACTAGTAGTACGCGAGACCCAATTGCAGCAATTTCTTATTTGCTTCAGGTGAATCCACCACGGGGGAAAGCAGCAGCGAGCAAAACGACCCTCAACATTGGAGGCGAGGACAATCCTGTGCGCCTCTGCATAAATATTCACGATTTAACGATGTGGATACAAGAGGACAAAACCAGAGTGGTCAAATTATGACTTTCAGAGCGGTGTTTCTGTTTGTTTCAATGTAAAAGATGAAAATACTAGAGAAACAAGCTTTGTGTAGACTCGATCTGCGTTGGTCCCAGCATTGCTCTAATCTTGGATCCTCTTACCGGCACATACAACTTGCTTTTGCGGTATATGTCGGAAACTAAGCAAATATATCTCCGATATCGGAAGATGCTTAAGAGTGACGAGGACGATCCATACGTGCTTACAGTACTGCAGTTCTGGTGCTTCGCGAGGGACTTCAGACTAGTGACGCCCTTGTGTAGTCTGGGGCGACTAACGAAGTGGATCGTCAGCGGACAAAGATGGCACCGCGAGAATTGCCCCGAAGATTTTGAGATGCTCGATAGGATAGGCGAAGTGATAGCGAAAGAATTCGGCTATTTTAGGCCTTTCGGGAACGCGTCACAAGTACAAAAAAAGATGGCTTTGATGCATTTGGTTTCTATCATGCCTGACCCAGTACAACGCACTAGAAGTAGATGGAGCACGCAGCAAACTTGAAAACTTGAACTTAATATTTACTTCTACATAGATATATCTTTGTTCTCGTTGATTTCGAGGTACAAGACGCGCATAGCTGGGAAGTAACGCTTTTGTTTCGCCACTTCCTTGAGGGTTTGGTTCGAGCTGCCGTGGCACGATACCCCTATATGACCGACCTAGAGAAGCAGCTAGAGCGGCTCTTTAAGGAGAACATAAAGCCGCTTCTACACGTGGCGTCTATTAGCTTCAACGCCTTCGACATGCTCAGAGCACCAGAATGGAAAGTGGTACAGAATAATAAAAATATGCACTCCTGTTTATGAACGACGTGGGGGGCGCTAATGTGGTTTCCTCTAGGGAATCCATTGTTAGAAATAATCTCATATTCGTTCTTCCCTTTCCCAATTTTCTTCTCAATTTCAGATACTAGAGCGGCACCAGGAGAGGCTGTTGCGTTTTTTCCATAGCATATCAAGTGGCGCCGGCGCTTTCGGCGTGGATCCACTAGGCCTTCCGGAGCGCGTCGGATCCGGAATAGCGCTGACAAACTCGAGACGGAGCCATGTGAACGCCAGGAGAATGATCACAGTTACTTTCAAGGAAGTCTTGAAAGCCATGCGAGGAGCAAATCTGCTACCAAATAAGCTGAACTTAGTGCCAGACTTGCGAGCCATGGTGATTCCCAACCTAGACGAGGTCGACGATGACGACGCACTAGGCGTCCTCAAGCAGACCATCACAAGAACGCAGATGCAGAGGGGCAGCCTCAACTACCGCGAAGAAAAGAAGCAAGGGTATCTACGTTGATGTATTTATGAGGCTGCTAATATCATCAACATAGTCATGATGATGTTGGAGGTGATAGCCATGGATTATTTTAGTTGCTCTTGATATCCTGTTATACCTTTTTGAGTTTCTTGTGTTTGCATTGATCTAAGAACCAGGTGTTCCTACTACAAATATTTACCCTATAACTATTGAGGCTCGCTTTTACGAACTTCCTTTTGCTATTAGAGTATACTTAATACAGCCAAGAAAGGAGCCTCAACTTGGATTTCTTTTTCACTTCCAACATGACTCTGAAACTAGGCTTGACGCGCTTTTCGCAAATGCTCTCGGAGCTAGACCACAGGAGGCAAAGGCTGAGGCGGTACCAGTGTATGAAGAAGACATGAAAAACGTCAATTGGTCCCTGCCTTTCACAACGACGATAGAATGCATGACCGAGGCGATGCATCCGCATACTACAAACGTGCTCCGCTACTTCGTCGAGTCGCAGCCAGGAAATGAGTGTACTTACATACAACCTATTACCCAGAAGCGAGTGTCGATCGATGTAGTCATCAAATCTTTGTCTTTCGGACTTGGTTGCCTATTGGGAGGGCATGGTTATCATCAATCTACTAGATCTATCGTTATCATATTCATCTGCTCCGAAATCCTGAACCGGCTTCATCTCAGTTATCGGGCTTCTGGAGTTCTTGGAGACTGAGATGAATTTTGCAGAATTCCTGATTTTTGTGATGCAGTACACGGAGAAAGCGAGCAGAGATGCGCAGTCAGGTACAGAGCTTTTGCCGGGAGTACTGATTGAGGACAAAGTCGATTCGTTCTTGAAGTGGGTCTTTCTACCAGCTGTAGAAGGCACGCCATATGCAACAGCGCCAGTGGACGAGCCTGCAGATTTAAGACTGAAGTAGAATTTCTCTTCGCTACTTTGTTCGTCTTGTTCGTTGTACTGCTTACAGCCACAACATATGACAAGTCGTTGACCTAGACTCTATCATCTTGGGCTTAAGTAGAGCAGGAGCGAGTCTCGAATATGTATTTAGTAGCTTCGTGTACATTCTAGCATTTTTTCCCACAGTTTTCAATTTGAAAAAACCGAAAAGATACCGACATTTTTTTCTACAACTCCTATGTCTAATGTGTGACGCGGGCGCGGTAGAAGACGAAAACGAGAATAAGGAGGAGGATGAAGAGGAAGAGGAAGATAAAGAAGATGTATCCCCCGAAGACGGGGAGGATGACGAGGTATTTTTTTTGTTACACCTATCATTGACTCTTCATTTTCTTGTTCTCTTAAAGAGAAAATCGTGTGCTCAGACTGGCTGAAACAGAAAGACCTTGCATGTGAAAACTAGAGACAAACTCAATGAATACCGAAAAACTCACAGGAGGGAAAAGAAGAAGACGAAGAGGAGCGCGAACTCAAACGACGAGCGGAAGAGGAGGCAGCGATACTAGCTGAGATGTCACGAGAAGTCGACCTGTTTCAGCCTAGTGACATCGGACTCGAGGAGGACCGCATCTTCCCGGATGACTACATTCAAAGTATCGAGGAGTGGAAGGCCTAGTAAGACACTGAGTTCTAGGTAACGCCTATTCCAGGACGACGCACACGTGCTCAATTTGGAATCATAATGAAGATAAGCTCATCTTCATGATTACACGGATCGGTCCGTAGCAGATTCCCAGCTTCCAAGCAGCATCTTCGAAGCCAATTTTTGGATTCCGAAACCCAAAAGAAGGCATATTCAATTTAACTTCTAGAAGATGGCCATGGCAGGACTTTTTTTCCTTGGCGGAAGTACTCAACTGTACTCAAACTCAACTCTGTTACTCTGTCATGATTTACATCAAGCGGTGTGATGATTATCCTCATCTATACGTGATTTATCAGAGCCTGCTATTTTTAGATTTCGATCATGAAAAACCTTTCGAAAAACAAGGAGTCTGATTGACACTTTTGCAAACACTTACAATAGATACGTACAACAACTCGTTTCTAATCAAGAGTTTAATCATTTTCGCAAACAAGATGATGATGAAGTCTAGAAGTTGTAGCGTTATAGCTTGAACAGATTCTCGGAGACTTGTTTCGCAAGCTTTTAACTATGTCAGACAGTATTGCCCCCCATATCTGGAGAACCTCTTCCAGGGCACTAGAACTCCCCGCTGATAGTAACCCGCTCTCCAGCCTGTACCCACAAGACCCTTTGTGCTCTTTCATATGAAATGTTTTTCTTACTGCAAGCAAACATTCGTTCAAAGCGTGAATGCACCAAGAAGTGAGTCCTTCAAATATTATTTATTGTAGTCAAACTCAAATCAAATTGAACTCCTGATTGAGTGACTATTACCTGGTCTTGTTTTTGCTGTTCGTTGGTGTGGTTCTCAAAGTGAATGCGGATAATAGAGAGAAGAGTGTACAAAATGGTTGCCCGTCGAGTTTGAGATTGAAGAGAGAGGCGTGAGATAGTGATTTGGAGCGAGTTATCCAGAGCAATGGAAAGTGTAATTGTTTTGATCGAAGAACTGCAGGTGTCTGGATGGGCACCACAACAATCTTGAAAACTCAGCAGATTCTGATCGTGTTTGATGCGCAAACTTTGAGTTGATTGTGACAGTGTATCAGTCCTTTTACGCCCCCCTACCCGAGCTTTGTAGGTTTATTCTACCCAAAACTTAAATTGTACAAGGGATGTCTGAAATCGAAAAGGTGCTGGATTTTGACCGCTATTCTGCTTCTTCTCAAGAAGCAAAAGAAAGAGCTACAGCGCTCAGACGTTTTGTGTAGTGTTTCTTCTCACATCGCGTGGGTATGATTAGGCAACATGTATTTTGCTATAGCTCGTTTGAGTTGTATGAGTGAGTACTTCTATGACTAGTATAGTTGATATAGAGTAAGAGCGAGTATACATAGAAAGAGTCTACTTGATTAGCGTGTTCTGGGTCGTTTTTTTGAAAGGAGAAGAAAAAGAAATATGCAGTCTACTTCTTCATCGAGCTCAGTAGGATCGATGAGGAACCTACCTCGCAAGATGGGGCAGTGGCCGCTTGCGACACTGGCAGGGTCGTTGCTGCTTGCCCAGGTGTTTCGAGAGACCTACACACGTTTCGACGCGGCGGTGCTGAGATTATGGGTAGGTTTTAGGTGATCGTGTTGCCGTTTGTTTTGATTCTCCTAAGGAGGAAGAGGATAACAAAGACAAACGGGGAACAGAAACACCAAGACCCCACCTCTAATGAGAGCGCGGGAAGTATTTCGGCCAGCAGCAGCACGAGCCGGCTCCTCAGCTGACAGGAGACGACGGAACAGACGCAGACGGCGGGGCCTTCAGCAGGTTGGAGATGATGACGACGCCGATGATGGAATCTTCGACGATGAAGTATCGACTAGGACGCATGCAACGGCGTCAGAGATGAACAAGAATGATGCAGCCAGGGACAGCGTCGATGCGACATCTGTAGCTGCAAACACACTTCCGATAAGGGAAGAGTATCGAAGTGGAAGAAATGGATCTTCTAGTTCTAGGAAAGCACTAGGTGAAGCAGGCAGCTCTGCATGCGCCAGTCGAGAACAGCATGGTGGCAGCAGTAGCAGTTCTTCGTCAACATGCGAACGAGTAAATGGCGTAGCTGGGGAAGCTATGACAATACAAGACAGGACTAGATCTTCGAGAACAAAATCTCCAGTCGTGTCATGGTCACGTTCTCCAATAGATCATGAGAAAATGATTCGGGGTGGTGATGAACAAGGAGATCTCACGATCGATCTAGGGAATTCATTTCCTGGTGGGCTAACACTCGTTAGTGATGATGGTGTCCCACTACGTATCGACACGGAGGGGCGCCGCGGTCCCTACCTTGCTGGTGGCTTACTTCCCGCAGTGGATGCTCAATCCACTGGTGCAGAAACGTTCGACATTCTTAAGGCCAGTATTTCATCATCGTCCAATAGTGTGACTGAGGGACTTAGTTTCCGAGTCTGAGGACGTAAGGAAGTAGTCGTGAGGCCACCTCTTGACTTCAAGCTGAGTTTTTGATGACGGGCAATTCAGAGGCAACAATAAGATTCGCGACTCTTATTACAACCACGGATGAAAATATCAATATATCAATGAATACCAGCCACTTCTCACTTATCAACAACCACGGACAAATCAATACTCGCGAGTGCTGAGCCTGAGCATCCTCTTCCGCATAGGACGATGATGCAATACTATTTCTAACATTCGGGCAAACCTATTCACCGACGGCAACTGCTTTACCAAGACCGAGACGAGGTTTGAAATTACAAAAGCTTTGTCTGTTTGATGTTTCCGTTTTTAAAGATATAAACGAAATACGAATTTATGTCTTGAACTAATCTATTTTTCTAATAAATGTGAATTTTGATTTTTCTCTGATATCACAATTATCCAGGATATTTGCAGCGTCAACAGCTGACATAAAGACCACGACATTTTCAGAGGTTGGTTCGCAGCAAGGGGCCACCGGCATCGTCTGTTACGCGAACACGTACCAACGTACATAACTGAATTTGTGTTGACATCTAGTAAACGAAGAAGCTACGAAAGAGTAGGGTTACATTCCCAACTACAACATCTACATGTTGAAATACTCTTAGTCATAACATGATATTAGTTTCCAAGTAACTATGATGTATATGTCCATGAATCGTACGCGTTGCCCGCAGCGCATCAATACGAACAAACAACTACATGAGTGGCGAAGCGCTCTTAATTTTACTTATGACCACCAAGAAGATGCCAGAGCCAGTGGCGTCGTCTGTTACTTACATTATTGAATGTTGGCTGTTTATGCGAAGAAGCGACGAAGGATTACTTAGGACTAGCATAAGGATTTCAGCATAAAATAATCTCATCCAAGGAGGTGACAATATGATCATGCATGATATGCTCTAGACTACAAATATCGACATCTACCGCTCAGCAAAACTTTTCCTTTCACCACTTCTCAGATTCGCCTCGCCCGGACCGGAGACTTCGGTGGCTTTCGATCTAGCAGTGGTACGATTTTTTAGCGGGCAAGTCCCGGGTTCTAACGAGAAGTTCAAGAAGACAATCAACCTTCGCGAATACACGGACCACTGCCGATCTACAAGTACGACACTCTGATGAATACAACTAGATATGGAGCAACACTATGCCAAAAGCGAGCATAGCAAAGTGGTTTTTTCACCCAAAGAACGCACATAAAATTCAGGGACAAGCTGGGCAATATTCGTCTCAAAGTGGCGAGTTTTCATTCTGAGACGAATACTTCCCAACTGATCCCTGAACTTTCTGCGCGTTTTTTGGCTAAAAAGCCACTTTTCTATGCTCGCTTTTGGCATAGTGTTACTCCATAATACTAGACTGACATGAGTACGATCACCTTATAAGACAACTTTACTTACTCGATCTCATTCTCGTTTCCATCAACATGACTAGATATAGAGAACTCGCTTTTCCATTTCCGGTGTTGCAACGATTTCTTTTCGGAGAAGATGAATCAAAATGGATAATTTTGAAATTATACAGTAAAAGCGCCGGTGCAGTCATTTGCAGACGAAAGTGAGTGCGCAGACTTTCTAGGCGGACTCTATGCGCGCTATTCCCTCATCCCAAGGCGCAATAAGGGAGGTCAACAGGGCGGTATAATTGATTTCATGGATGAGTCAATCTTCATGGTTGATAAATCAGATACACATGAGTGATCATTCTCATTTTTCCATGCGTGCTGGTTTTGCGAGCACCAGTAGACCAAACCCAATGTGCTTTTTCACCACTATGTTGATTCATCTTTCGCCCATCTTTCGTCTTCACTCCTCATCACAATCCTCACCACAGAGGACTATTCACCATTGAAGCTGGTGAAGCAGATGTTTTATCTCTCGAGTTCCTGCACCGGAAACCCCTATGTCACATACAAGTATCCAGTGACGAGGGAGTGCCTACGATATTCGAGAGGTACTGTATTTAGTGCTTACTATGTACGAGATGTGTGAAGTCAAGAGGTGGAGCTGGACGTCGTATTCGATGAAAAATACAAACTCGTGCTTCATTAACCTCCCTTGCGGGATCTGGAGCACGAGTAACAAATGCAAGAGCAGTTTTACGCGAGAATGCTCGCTTTGAATACTTCTTACGGCACATGGATTAGGAGCCATTATATTTTTCGTCTACGAATCCAAGAATCGTCCCTCCTACAGGTACTCGACTCGTCCTTCCTTTCTCCCATCAGGTACGCAGAACTTCTCAACAGACGCAGGATATGTCAATATCACGGAAAAGGATTATGAGGGAAGCTTCGACTGCAGCGGACCAACACAAACGTACTTGTTAAACTTGTGCAACAACGCTAAAAATCGTTGCTCAGAATTGGCTTTATCTTTGATGTCATGTATGTAACAAAACTAATAGATATTGGATATTACCACACCCACGCGTCGCATACTATTAACTTATCCAATCACAAGATAACATCGACAGGCCTTCTGGTACTTACAATTTCTCAGTTAGCGGATGTCTTCTTGCCTCAGCATCTACAGCTTTACTTGTTACGATTCCAGGTACCAGATGCAGATGAATAGGTGTTACGCTCTTTATGGAAGCCGAGGCTTTCGCTGGGAGACGGATGGAAACTATCTTGCCAGTAACGCAGTATCAGCGTCCGCAACCGGGTTTCTTTTTCTCCTGCTCTCTATCCGATGGCTAACCGAATCCCCCGAACTCTAGGTCCTTTTGTAGCTTCCCTTTCTGGCTCCTGCTAGATGAGTTAGTGGTAGCCGAACCAGCATCAGAGCTGCTCGCTGAAGGGAATCAAGACATTGAATGTGTTTGCTTTCGATATGAGCGACACGTTGTTGGAGTTGGAGTTGAACAATTATATTAATTTGATGCAGAATGCTCAAAGCCCCATTATTTGAACAGTGAATATCAGCAGCTTTGTTCTTGAACGTTAACGTTCTTGTCGATGTATCTTTAGTATCTTCATAGATGAGAACAAGAAGAGCCCCAACAGTATCGAGATCAACTCCATACAAGAACTGTGTGATGTTCTCGCTGCCTGTAGTCATCGCCCTGCGATGAGTGCAACTAGCTGAGCCGCTTTGCATGCTATTCTGCCCTATACGTGGTTTTGCCTCACCACGGATCTCATGCCTGCTACAATGGAGTCCTCATGACATTGCTGCATCATCCTCAAGTGTTTCTATGCAACAATCGGACAGGCGCACCTTCATTCTTGATCGGTCCATAAATGCGCATATCGCGTGAGCATTATGTAAATTACAGAAATGTTGATACAGACATCTGTCGCGTACAAAGATCCAGCTCGGTCCGTTCTGCTCTGTTCTTAGAGATCTCTTATTTAGCAAACTGCCGAAATGATGGACATGGATAGCGTTAGCCCATATATTAACGTGTTGCTTGTGCAACTAGTACGTCGAAAAAATGGAAGACATTGTTCATGATCATGAAAATTGAGTTAGATGCATTACAGATCATCCATATTCATCATAATCGTTTCAGGGTTTTGTCTCTGACCTCTCATAATACCTTTTTGTTTTCATTTTCCTGTTCCTCGATATTGAAATACAAAAGTCAATATGGTCGACATTTACAGTTGGTCGGTTGAAAAGCCTGCAGTTGTGCTAGACCTTGGGCAACGCTTCACGAAGATGGGCCTCGCTGGTGAGGCACGACCTCGGTTTGTGATTCCGACTCCGGAGCTCTACACCCCAGCATGGGTTTTAGAACGTGAGATAACGACTCAGAAAAGCGACGCGGAAACTAGAGGAGCCAATCAGCTTACGTCTAGTTTGTCAATTCGCGTTAGGCTTCACCTTGTTCTGAAGTAATAAGAAAGAAGACTACAACACACACCTAGCCGGATGCCGTTTTGGTCTCCAATGCCTAAGAGTTCAAACTGCTTATTTTGCTTATCCTGAAGCTGGAATTATTCAAACATATTTATAAGGTATTGATGCAGAAACAATGAGGAGCAGGAAGAGTTTTGAGCTTCTACACATTGATTCACATGGACATGGAATATCATCACTTGGTGCGTCTAGCTTTAATTGTGCACGCCCGAGATTTGCATCGTCGCCGTCAGAGAAGAGTACGTCCATGTCCAGAGGATCGCCGTCGCGACGAGTAGATTCAGCTTCGCAACTTGCGACGGTTGGGCGTACCTTCCGCGATTGGATTCGGGTGCTGGATCCTCTGCTCCATCGCATTTACTTTCTCTATCTGAAGTTTAAGGCTAAGGAACGCAAGTGCTTCAACTATTTTGACAAGAGGACAAGTATTTATTGCTGTCGTACTTGTATACGTCGTATGTATTCTGCTCGTGTGTAACGTGGAACCTCCTAGTCCTACTTGGTAGAGTTCGTTGATTCCTGAGGCTCGTACACTGATAGAAGTGGCCGAAGCGAGTCGTCACTTCTCCCGTTTTTTGGGAATTCAACGAATGAAACGATGGTAGCGCAGCTTATGATCATCTAAAAAGTGCAATCCCAAGGAGAGGAAGGTTGTACTTTGTGAAAACGCTTTTCTGCCCCTACCTTTGCGGCGGGCGTTTGTTTTTCTGCTGTTCGAGAAATTTCAAGCACCTGGGATGTGCTTTCCTCTGGCGCCGACGCTTCCTTTGTATTTGACAGAACATGCTACGGGAATAGTGATCGATGTAGCACATGCCAGCACGCGCATCTTACCAGTCTATTGCGGAACGCCGCTGTTAGGAGCCTCCGTAGAGATGCGGTACGGCGGTCGTGCTGTAAATATGCGGTTGCGAGAAACGTTGCTCAAGCGTTTGGACGATGCGAACACGAGTGGTGCCACAGCAGGTAGCTCGGAAGACACGTCGGAACAAGAGGACGTCCTCGTATCACGGCGCAGCGCAGCAACGACGTCAACCACGAGCCGTGGCCGTGTGCTGCTAGAACAGTACGATGAGCGGAATGAGGGTAGCTGCCTCGAAGCGTTGACGCTTTTAGAGGACGTAAAATTTAGGTTAGGACGAGTGCGCTACGGCGATCTTTTCACTGGCAGCCCTGAGGATGGGCAAGGGTCGGGAGAGACCTCCCTCTTCGAAAACCGAGACTTCGGAGGCGCGTTCGCAGACGTGGTCCGGTCTATACGAGTGCCTGACGATGTGTCCAGACCCTTAGAGATGTGCTTCACGCTCGCAGCTTCCACGGAAACTGCAGCAAGCGATGGTTTACACAATACGACTTTGTCGACGTCGAAAAGTCTGGAGGTATACCCTCTAGTCGCGGCATTTTGGCGGTCAGTCGATATGGCGCCTATCGATGCGCGACTGGCGATCGTGGAAAACATCATCCTCGTCGGCGGTCAGGCGATGACACCAGGGTTTTGGCAGCGGTTTGCACAAGAACTAGATCACAGCTTGCACGTTCAAGAGGCTTTGCCCAGAGATGGGGGCTTCGGAGTCTCCATCCCTGAGGAACGACAGCCTGCGGCGGCGCACCACGAAGGAGGAGGAGGTGGGGGCGGATTGGGGAGGAAGTTGAAATCCGCAAGTAGCAGACGACGGTCATCATCTTCGTTCGGAAGGGACATGAACAAAGGCGGACAGCTTCAGACTCCTGAGACTGTCCATAGAAAAATTTCAATGAAAACTCGAGCTCAGCGGGGATACCAGCCACGGTTTGCTCGGATTGACACGATACCACCTTTCTTGAGGGTGTGGACGGGTGGAAGCCTTGCGGGCAGTCTTCAGGGCATTCCTGAATACACAAGACAACAATATGACAACGGCGAGGCTATTCCTGATTGGACAGTCTCAGCAAGGGTTTGAGATCGACTTGATTGAGTTTTACTATGCATAAGCCCGCGATTCCACGAATAAGAAAGCACGTCGCTCACTTCCAAGCTCTATCATTTTTCCTGGTCAGCTGATGTCCGTGTGGTGCAATTCAACAGTTGCTCATCAGCCACAGCACCACTAATGATATTCATTGGCGTTCTTGCTGCAAACTACATGATCCTGGGATTCGTGTGGACTGTCCTTCAACACAAGTAGATGTTGACTTTTTTCATCATGGCAAGAAATAGAAATTCGCACGCGTAGTTGAAGGTCAAGGTCATCCTTTACCGACCACTCAGTGATTGGTTCGTACTAAACAGACTATGTTTTCTAAGAGTCGTGCTTGCTCATCTTAAGCTTAAAACTGAAGACAAGATGACTAGTGCGAACAATCAGGCTGAGCAAACCGTCGCGATCTATGTGACAGTGGAGATTAAGACAGACCGGATCGACGACTTCATGGAGGCGATGGCTTTCAATACCCTGGAATCGCGGAAGGAGCCTGGCTGCCTGCGTTTTGACCTCCTTAAATCGTCGGAAAAGGAAAACACCTATCATTTCTACGAGATTTACACGAATGCGGCAGGCCTCGCCGCGCATCGGGAGACTCCGGCCTATAAAAAGTGGGCAGCGTTTAAGGAGAGCGGTGGCGTAGTATCGCAATCTGTCTCGAAAGCCAACGGCCTGCTGTTGCAATAGTGGAAGCCCACGGCGTCGTGATGTAGTTACTCATGTGTAACGTCGTGACAAAGATAGTCAATGGGTATCAGTGGCACAAGGATTTACGCCTATTAGTGCATATCAAGATTATTATGTTATGATTTTTGAATTCCATTTCCAACGATGATGAGACTGATCAACATGAACATAGACTAGTGATACCGTTACCAGTTCCAGTTTTTGCGCTCGGCACACTTTTCCATAATCATATCATGGGGCATCATCGCGGTCATACACGAGACCACCAACATCTCGAAAGCACGCAGAAGCAAGGTTCCATCGTATGTGTTGCGCGGGTCCAAGTAGCAAGTGGCGCTTATCATTGGAGTAAAAGCTCTCTTCAGACGCGACGGTTGCTAAAGGAAATCCCTATCAGCTCTTGTTGAGAGTGAGATGATGCAACTGATGTGTGAGCGCAGACGAGAGCAGCGCGCGATGGATTTTGGTCTCTTTGAGATCTCTTTTTGCGCGTGCTGCAAAAGTCATTACGAAAGAAGAAAGATAAAGACGTGACTTAGAAAAGCAATGATTGCGTCATGATTGATGATAGTAGATATTGGTATGCTACATAGATAATATGCAGAGGTCGTTGACTACATCCACAGTCTATTTTCAGCTAGCTGGTGTCTGCGAAAAACAACAAGAGCGAGAGTTGAATCGAATGGTGGCCCCTACAGAATCGCATGCCAGAAATCTCTTAAAGCGGGTCATGAAAATGAATAGTTTCGATCACAGATTGTCTGTTGGAGTTGGACTTGGACATAAAACATGCGAGATCGTGATTCCTCTTCTGCCAGGGATCCCTTGAATTGAGGAAACACGACATGATGTGTTGATAAAAATATCCGATTACATGTCGCATGCGAGGTTGTCGTCGTTGACTTGTTGGAAAATCAGTATGCGCACCCCTACGTTCTCAGAATGACAGAACACGCACAAGAATTCCGTCGGATACCGTATCTTCGTTGTACCGCTAATATCACTATGCGACCGTGGTTTCTTACTACAGCATGGATCTTGCTGTCGAGCGTTGTTACAGTCGTGCCTTGCGAGCTCGTCAATAGAAATGGTGTTACAAGAACACCTGACAAAACTGCTGACGGCAAGATTCAACGAAGCAAAACGATGGGTGAAGGAGTCAGCTACAAGCTGCTACGAAGCGGCACAGAGTATTCTCGCGCCCTGGGGACACTTCTGCGAAGCGCGCGTCAGTCCGTGTTCATCGTTTCGACATTCTTCGACGGGAAGTTTCCGGTCATTGTTGACGAAGATACAACCAGTTCAAAGCCAGTAGCCACTTCAACGCCATCGACAGCCGCTTCCAAAGCAGCCAAGAATGACACACAAATATTGCCGCTCTCGATTATGCTTGCCCAGCTGAATTCGAGTGTCACGGAACGATACCTGCTCACTTCATCGCACCCAGATTTATGTAAATGCCATTTCTGAATCTACTCACTCTCACTCTAATTTTGATAGAACCAGTCGTAGACACAATTTTCCTTGTGCCTACTTACGAAAAGCAGAATCTGTCGGGTAGACTTACTCAACATGATAATTACTTATCTCCATTTTTGCAGTATCGCGAAATGAACAAGAAGTTTGTTTGTCTAGTTCTTTCATTAAGAATACGTCCTACTTCTAATGTCCACAGGAACCTTGTTCACCTCTGGACCAACAGTGAAGGCACTTGCCAAGGACCAATGGGCCGTGCATTGGCTAGGGTGGCATCGTGGTGTCAACGGATGGACGAACTTAAACCACGCAAAAATCGTACTGGTCGATGAAACCACGTTTATCATCGGTGGAATCGACCCCATGAGTACCAGGTACGACAACTTTTTGGTTTTTTTTCGCAGTATGTGATTGTCTGAAATTCCTAACTTATCGACGTTTTATCGGGCAATGATGTTCATATTTGTTGCGTGTTGAAAAATCAATATAAATCTCACGAAATGGATGTAGATATGAAGACGACAGACAGGTTTTCTCCAGCGCTGCATGATAGGCTGGGGTACGATCCGAATGTGCTGCAGGAGCGTCAGGACGTCTCGGTCCTGGTTGAGAACGCTCCAGCGGTGGGGAAGAAGCTCCGAGAGCGCCTGTTGAATATCGGTCGTACTGCAAATAACGCGCGACGTGCGTTTATGCTTTCGAGTTCTCTGCAAGAAGGGGCGAATGTGTGGCAACCGGAGTCGCCGGACGGCTCGTGGGACGCCTTCGCGCCACGCGGAAGAGCAGATGGGAGCGACGGACCCTATGAAGAGGAGCAGCTGCTGTTTAGTCTACTGTTCAACGGCCCGCCAGCATGGCCGATGGAGAAGCAAATGATCACACGGAAAATGCGGGAGTTCGCACTGGCCTCCGCGTTGGTTCCGTCAGCTGCACATCACACTGAATTTCTGCCGCACCACACAGGCAGCAAATACTCTCGACCCTACCGCTTCCCGTTTTTGTATCTGGAACTGCAGTACTTCCAATTGAATTCAGAGCAGACATGCAGTCGCTCACCACGCAAGTTATCCAACGATGCAGCACAAGAAATGGAGGCATCTGGTCCAACTAGTACCGGTGTCAGAATAAGCGGTAGGGCTGCCTCCTCATCTGAAACTGAGACAGGCAATGGCCCTGAAGGTGACGAGGAAAGTAGTGGTTCGGCCTTTTCCACTGACGAATCGACTTTCCGTCAGTACGAAAATGAAGTACTTATGGGCACGAAAAAGTACTCAAGTGTCGCAAATCTGCTACCTCCCCTTGCGCCTGAAGAAGATCCAGAGGATGGCGATAGCACGGAAAGCACCACCGCTCATACAGATGACAGAGACAGTATCGCATCAAAATCGACTACAACATCTGAAGATGACGAACTCCTTGTATCCGAGAAAAACGGAAACGGAAGTAGTACAAGTACAGTAGAGCCTTTTCCTTGCACAGTAGGATCGGCTATCCGCAATGCTATTGCGCTGGAGCAGAAGCAGCCAGATCCTCTAGAAGGTCCTCGATTCAGCGTCGCTGTCACAGTGCCATACTTGAACAGTGAGAATCCTGTAGAATCTGCAGGAACATGGCGGACGATGTCGCGACTGCAGGAAGACGATGAATTTAACGGCTATATGCAGCATTGTGGACGAGAAACTGCGGATGAAGTAACGTGTGATCGCCTAGCTTTCTTTCAGATGGCATCAGCGTTTCTCCTTATGCCTGTCGATGAGCAGATGGACGCTTCCAGCAGCCTGGATGAGCAAAGTGGTCTGGTCCAGAAGGCAGAGTCACCAAGCGAAGAGGATTCAGAAGCTATTCTTGAATCTTCTCGCCGACCGGAGCTTTTCCTGCAAGTAGATGCGGAGGATGAAGAAGCTTCTACTTCGTCCACTGGTAGGACACAGGCAGCAGAGAACAACATCACTCCGATAGCGAGTAACACTGAAGAGGTAACTCCTGAACCGTCGTCTACTCACATTCAAGCCGGAGCATCAAAGAGGAAGCCTCGACTCGAATTCTACGGTGTCTATGTGCATACGAAGATGCTCGTTGATGAGGCGAGCGCACTCGTCTCGTCCGCTAACGTCAACTCGCGCTCACTCGCCGGCACGGGCGACTTCGAAGCCGGCATTTACCTCCCCAACTGTGCGCACTGCGCTGAAGAGTCTGTCTTTGAGTATTTGCGGCGTAATACGTGCAACGAGGGGCGCGAGGACCAACACATGCCACATTCCCTAGTCAATTTGCTGACCATCTGCAGTGACGAAAAGATTTACGGATATCAAGTTCGAACGTAGACTGCATACTGAAAAAAATGTTTTCATGTTGAATTATCATGCGGTTGCTGAAGATGGTACTAAATTAGTACTAGCAAGTTATTTGCGTTTGCTAAATCTTTGCTGACCATTTGCATTCCCAGTACTCTTTATATTTTACTGCAAACCCAAACCCTACCAGGAATTTCGTTTTTTTCTAAAAGTTTTCCGAGCTAGCATCACTTCTCGGAGGACTTGACCTACGCGAAACACATATTGGCGAATTTCTCGCGAAAAGTGACGTAGGCACAAGCGTTCGTGGAAAAATGGAGTCCCTCAGCGGTACGCGAATCGCCACGTTCGACAACTTGGTGCTAGAAGAGGTGGAGAAAATCCTTGCTAAATATGGAAATAGTAGGTATGTTTCAGATTCGGAGATAATCGTCGGAGAAGAGGCCATTGGACAAACATTGAGTGGTGACCAGAAGATGAAGGATGTTGTGGTACTCGATCCACGACGTGGCGGCGGCACTTACAGGCGTATTCCGCTCTTTCGCGGTGCTCTGCTGAGGCGAAGCGTCACCCATCAAGTCAGTTTCGAGGAGCAGGACTTGTCGTGGGTCGAACGGCTCAAGCTGAGACTGCTGCTTGGTACCCCAATTCCGAAGGCCAATGTCCAGGCAGGAGACGACGCGCACAGCACTGAGAAAATTTAAGGGTAGTTTTTCACTATCCCCAGTCGAGTGGGTTGCCCTCTTTGCCCCTTAGCTGCTCCTCCAAATCCAGGAGGAGTCCACTCAGCATAAAGGTGCTTCCCCTGTTATATATAGCGCTTGTTTTGCCTTTTTGAAGAAGGAAAGGCAAAACAAACGGTGGAAACGACCACCAAAACCCTATCTCTAAAAAATGCAGAACACAAGAACGCGCACAGGAGATGAAGAGGCCACGGCTGTGCCCAAATTAGCAGTGTCCCTCGACTCAATAGAGGGCTCTTCAGCATCGTCGACCCTGCTACAACAAGGGGACGAGTCCAATATCGGTTCTGAGCCATCCAGCAAGAGCTCAACTACGCCAGCAGAAAGCAACATCAAAGGCCACTCGACAGCAACTAAAGGTGATCACCACTCGCAGACGGATCACCGCAAGCGGCGTAGTGTGTACGAAGTGGATCGTGGTCATCGACGTGGCGTTTTCGATTCCATATCTTTTCTAAACGATTTAGTTCAGTAGGTATGATGCTTTGACGTGTCCAGAAGTGCAAGCTCGTGCGTTTGCCTCTGTTCTGCTATTCAACGACTTGGTGGATGTACTCATCAACGCATATAGATTTCTTTTCAATCTCCCATTTCTCGTGCTGCAGTGTCGTGTGTTGCGTCGACACTTATTTTTTCTAGATTCTGTTTCACTTTGAAATTTTTAGTTCTTGCACCACTCAGCGAACGCACGCACCGATGGTTGCTGCTAGATGAAAATTTTTTGAAGTAGTGAGTACTTTTGTAAAGACGATTGTTTCCTGCAGCATAGAAAAACCGCACATGCGCACTCCTAGTATGAAGCCGCTTGGCGTATTGTCGAGGCAGCGATTGTAAAACTTCGTTTGCGAGTACGGATATAACATGTAGAAAGTCTAAGTCAGCTTACTTTTACGACATCATGTCATCGTATTTACATCCTGCACCATGCTCAACATGTCATATTCATTGATTTTTTTTATTTTTCAATCGTAAGGTCATGCACGCCTATAATGTGACTGTTAGTTATTTCTCTCTCTCTCAATATTTTCTTTGTTGTTTGTGAAACGCGAAGGTCAGCACCAGCAAAAGTAGGCACGGGCATACCATATCAAAGTCGGGAGCATTTTCATAAAGATAAAAACAAGAGTTCCGACCTCGACGGGGTGATACAAAATTACTTTCTGTCCATCACGACGTGAGAAAATGCTATCGAAATTCTTTGGAAAAAGAAAGCGAAGCAAGAAACTCATGAGCAAGCACCGTCGATCCCTTGCAGAAGCGGCTTCAGGATAGAGTTTTCAGGCTGGTCGACGGCAGGGCCACCACGGGGAGTGCGGCTCGGCGTGGCATTTAGATGTAGAATGAAAGATATGCTGGCGGCTACCTGCAGTCAAAAACAAAATCTCGTCATGAAAAATGTCCCCTCTGGTTTCTACTTTAATCATGGAGTAGATACCTCTTTAAGTTAGATTTTTCATGAACAGATTAGGATTGCAACAGTATATAGACATACTACGTTTAAGTAGTCACTTACTTATTCAATATCAATATGCACCCGAAGATGAATTCGGCGCCCCATCAACCGAGGTCCCATGGCTGCTTAGTGTTATTGTGGCTTGCTGTGTCCGATGTTTTCTGTGTCTTACGATTTCCGGACGAATATTACGATGTTCGATGGCCACTTCAGTTCGAGGACTGCACGAGCCCAGATAGATCTACTCTAGCACAGAAGAAGATGCCGACAGCGGATTGTTTGGAGTCCTTGCGAAAAAATATGCTCGACGATCTCGATTGCACCGCTATCACACCGGACAACGGCTACTACATTGTGCACGATGTCGACAAGTGGACGCTAGATCTCTGTGCGGATTATGTTAACCTCTTCAAGACTTCCTTCAGCGCTGTTCAGCTTGTGGGGGAAAGCAGAAAAAACACGGACTCTGAGGAAATCGCAGTCGGAGCGGAGCTTTTTTTGCAGCGAATACAAGAATCCGGTTTTCAGTCGGCGTGGGACTCGTTTGTAGCTCGCGTACGACGACGGTCGCGCGTCTTTCACGAATGGGGAGAACAGAAAGAGCAAGATGAGTCTAGCAAGGCAGGCGTCACGACCAGCGGAGCCAAGGACCATGAATCAAACAAAGAAACTGGAAAGCATCACTCCAGTAATGGAAAACAACAAAACCGGCAGTCATATTTGGACGAACGGGATATCATATTCACAGGGCTTAGCCCGCATTTCGATTGTAACCGGGGATCACTCGATACATCCGATCAGGTTGAGGAAGCACCATCTTCACCATCTTCTTGTCCCTCCGTGCTGCTGACGTCTGCGGATGGAGTACCAGTAGGTTCTGCAGCTGTGGGCGATGCTGCGTTGGCAGTGGCAGGAGCACAGGAAGAAAAACAAAAGGCAGCACGCGAATCTCTTTCACATGATCGTTCGGATAGTACTGCAGAGGTAGAAGTGGACGCCAAGGGTGTACCGAATACGCCAAAAACCGAAGGATTCGTCATTCTTGCCCATCCGGAGGTGGAAGACCGCTATGCAACGCTGAATCGGCCACCACGCTACGCAAATACAACCATAGCTATTGCGCAGCGTCACTTCGAAGCATTGCGGGAAGAGATTGATCGGAAACTCGCAACGTTTACCGCTGAGCCTGCTTTATCTTCCTCTAGGAATGAGATAGTCTCAACTATGCAGGCAATAGCAGAAGAGATACATCGTCGCGCGTGTCTACTGATTGAGAACTGGAGCATGAGTGTCTTGGTGAATTTTCACTTGTGGCAACTCGAGGAAATGGGAGATTTCGAAAAAGACATGCTGCGCAAACTGGTCCCTCATGGCTGGACAAAATGGCAAACAGCGGGATACGAAGAGAGTAATAGTGATGAGCAGGATAGTCGAGAAAACGATCAGGTTGATACAAGAGCTAGTTCAGGTAGTTCTGCAGGTACCAGTGCCAGTACTGCGATCGCCCGCGAGGTCGGAAAAAACGAGGCAAGGATCGTGGCAACTCCGTATATTTTCGTGGACATCGGGCCCAAGCGGTGGAATGTGTTGACTTACTTGATCAACACTCTGCTGACTCTACGTGGAGGTCGCGCCTTGAGCATGGTCGAGGTGGGCATCGACACAGCGAATTCGACCGAAAGACTGCTGCAGCAGTACTCCGGTTCCCAGCTTCGCTTGCACGTCGGAGTTGACCCCTACAAGAACCACCCTGCTCTCCCGAACAAGAACGGGGACGAGATGTACGCACATGTTTCGGGAAAGCTGTCCAAGTTTGGTGACCGGTCTAGTTTGGTGCGCGACACGAGTCTGGAAGCAGCGGCGCTGTTCCCGGACACCACCGTCGGAGGTGGGACCACGACTGATCCTTCCGCAAGTAGAACATCACTAGCATCATTCGCGCCAAGCGCCGGTTTCGAGCTCATTTTTTTGGACGCGCGTCACGACTACAAAGCAGTGGCGGAAGACGTCACGCACTGGATAAGGAAACTAGCTGCGACAGGACCCGCAGTCCTGTGCGGACACGATTTTCAGTGGCAGTATCCCGGCCTCCCTATGGCTGTTGCGGCGATCGCCCGCAGACTCCGCAAACAAGCCTACCTCTCTAGCGACGGCATGTGGTGGTTTCAGTTTGGCTTTTAAGGAAGCTGCCCTCGGTTCTGACCTTCGGTTTTTTCGTTTAGTCACGAAAATAGTGGCTACGAAAAGCTAAAATGCGTTGCTTAACGAAAACGATGATGGCCTCAAATACAGCTTCGCGCTCGTGTGTCGATGGACACACTGTGAATGATGTGATCCCTTTCAGACGCATCTCCGTGTCCTTGTTTGCGGTATCCGAGAAGTTGATGTTCAATATTTGGATCCGGATCGGTGGACTTCCTCTAAACTACCTGGTTGTATGTCCACTGGTTGCTGCATTGCCATTTCTGTTTCGCATTCGATCCTTCAGCTACCGCTTATTTTCTTGATGGCAAATCCTATTAACGATCAATAGCTGCAAGTGGTTCAGGTGAAGAAACCTGCACGTGATTTTCGTAGTGATTGATTAAATTGATAAGTATGATAAATTACTATGCTCTGTCGTGACTGTGACTGTGCTTGATGTCCTCCTTCATTCAACATCTTGATTCCTTTCGAAAAAAATTGAGCAGGGTGCAAATGAACTGTGTTGTCGTAGAGCAGAGCGTTGCAGCACTCTCCGTTTTTCTTACATAATTCCATCTCCAGCACCTAGATTTACCTGCATCGATGTTATCAGACCAATATTCCATCCAGATTTATTTGCTTGGACAAATTATTCTAATCCGATGGATAGAGTTGTATGAGTACGTGAGGCAAGCGGTCTTAGGTAGGCATCCGTTTTGAAGCAAGCACGGCGGTCTCGTCTCTGCTTGTCGTACTTGAGTTACTAGAAGTAGATATAAACGCAAAAGGGAAGAAGACCCTAACGACCTCTGTCATTCATTTTGAATAAAGGCGATTCTACAACAATATCTAGTACGTAGATACTATCTATCTTTTTCCATTGAGAATACACAATATATCACAAGAAGATGCTATTCCGGACTCGTAGTCGTAGAGGTTATCTCTACGCAGCTGCGTTGACGTTGAGCTTTGGGACCTTGGGAGGAACGGCGGTGCGCACAAATGCGCCCCCTCAGCTGCCTGCTTGGAAACACAAAGTACGGATTGGAGGGCGCACGCGATTCTCTGCGGCTAGCAGTGTGACGTCGATGGACGAGAGCGTCACGGACGTCGCGGGTGAAGACTCCCCGTGTTGGGTCAACGACTCCTTGGAGTTTCGAGACTTTGTAACATGTAATCGAGTGATCACTGTGAAGGCGGTGGACGATGGTGAGCACACTCTTGCTGATGTTCTTCGTCAAGGCTTCAAGCACTTACAGCAGATGGAGGCCGCGTCGTCACGGAGTTCTCCGAAATCGGGTAGTAAGAATATCAAAGCTTCTACTATGTGTGGAAATGCCAATAATGCACGTTGTGGGCGGCCTGCTGCACTTCGGTCAGCAGGGGATAATAGAGCAAATGGAGATGGACATGTGGGTGGTGGAGGCTTTGAAGAAGCGTCTCAAAACCAACGTCTTCAGGGTCCGCCGGGACAGCAGTTGCAAGGTGAAGAAAAAGCTGTGAAAGAGGAAAGGCAGCTGCAAATCGACGCTGATGGTGAGGATCATGAAAAGCGTGAAGTGTTGGATCTGAACAAGCTCTTTGTGTTTAAGGCGGTAATGGGCGAAAATGATGCGACAGTCACGAAAAGCGAGCCTCTGCCTCTAGAGAATACCGTCGTGGAAAACTTACAGCTGCCTCAGCGATTCCTTCTCCTGCTGGATTTAGACAAGCTACTCGACGCGGACGCTGAACAAAAATCTAAGATTTACATGCAACCGCTTTCCATGCTAGAAAGCGTGCCACAGGAAGTCTGGGCAGCAGTATCTCTTCACTTAAACTCAGTTTGCTACATATTTCCCTCTTCGTCTTCCTGGCTATGCAAGTTCTGCTGACATACATGCATTACTTAAGTCTTACATATTTTTCAACGATACGGACAGCGGCATTTTTGTAAAATATATTTATACTTAGACGAGACCGCGTGCATCTTGCCCTATCCCTTTCATATACTTCAATATCGAACAACAGGTCCTGCCATTGAATCAGGAGGGGGAGCAGACGAACACAAAGACTTCATTGATCACACCAAACATCTTCTGCATGTACCGAAGAGTGGCTGCGCCTGCGCGAGATACCGGGCCACCTGCAAAGCGCCAGTTTAGTTTCCAAACTCGGTTGCGTGCGGTTATGTGCATCCTTCGACAGATTGAGGCATTTGCTGGACTGGATGGCGTTGAGACAAAACGGCATACGCGAAAGATTAATGCATTGTTTTTACGTGTGCAAGAGTGGGTGTCTAGTATGTTGACGCCTTCCACCTCTGATGTGACTGTGAGTGCCACCAAGAGAGAGGCAGAGGTCTTGATCTTGAAGAAACTTCGCAACGAAATGCCCACCCATCTGCGCGATGCAGTACTGTTCCAAAAACTACGGAGTGATTGCGAGGAGATTCTACACAAGCGCGACAACTTGCAACCAGTTATGACCAATTTTACCTAATTTCGCGACGCTCGAACAAAGACGACTTCGTAGAAAACGAATTGCGCATCATCTTAATTATTTGATGGGATTATCTGAACATTTAGATTTGAAAAGTAGTGGTCGTTTTTGCTCTAATCTCGAAGCAAAGGGCAATACTGTCACACCTGGTGAGACGTTTTCCCCCTCTCTGCAGCAAGCACAGAGGAGCGAGGTTGCAGAGAAGTCCGGTCATGATGCGAAAACGGAAAATTCGCTTGCGGAACCTGTTGTAAGCGGTGCAACCAAAAAGAAATTGCTTGCTGAAGATGATGCGGACGAGTGTGAGGTTCAAATTATGAACGCAGCTATTCAACATTGTCTTACTGTATATCTATATTCTGCAATGATAATACTTTCATCTACTCCTTGTCTTTCTGCCTAGTCGTGGAGTAGTAGTTCTCTGTTATTTTTGTATTCTGTGCTTGTCGGTCTCGGTTACTTGCGTAGTAAATTGCACGTGAACCGCAAAGGATATTACTGCTAACTACAGGCAAAAAACTGTAAGCAAAATTGATTAGGTGGGAGATCCTAGCTCCTGAGGACAAGGATTAAGCAGGACTAATTTATTAGTTTTTGTGGCTTCAAGTACAAGTTGAAAAGAATTTCAGAATGAATCTATGTTTACGTGTAGCTGTTTATGTTGTAAAGATTGTGATCGGTTTCACTTTTGCAAGTTGAAAACGTTACACTTATATTATATTATATTAATATTATATTACGTTAGGTTGGACCACAGGAACGCAGACTGCTAAGAAAGTCGCGTGTAGTTTCTCGGTGAGAAACGCCGAGAGTGATGCGAATGGAACTCACAGCCTGAGACTGACTATCTCTGGCTGGTTTGATCCCTGTGAGTATTCCTGGGGGTTGCAAAGGGGAGGCCTCAGCTTCTTCTTTGGGATATCATGATGGGGAGAGTTTCGGGCGCTCATATGGGAACCCCTTCGCTTTTGCTATGTGTCATCATTAATCTCGTACGGAACGGTCATCGTTGTGCTCTATCGTTACCCATCTGGATCTGATTGAACTTAGTGGATGGATATGCATCAGATCACATTCACACGAGACCCATTCCGGGAATACCTTGCGGCGATCTTTATGCGTATGGAACTGATCAGAACTGACAAGACGAAACGGACCTCGTTACAGCTATGAACGTTCGCCGCCTCTGCTATCTGAAGACGTTGAAGGTCCTTTGTCTGTTGGTCATTGGTTTGGGAACCATATGCGTTGAGGTCTATGGGTTTCCTTGAGATCTTTCCGGTGGTGCTTGTCCTTGATCGTACTGAGAGACTTGAAACAGTAAACAAGAGAGAGAGGAGAAGCCAGAGACACCCGCGCGACGGTAAACCCGTCGGGCGTTTGGATAGTGCTCCGGTAACCTTTTGCCTGGCGATCTTGGTCATTTCGTTGATCTTTATCCTTTGGATCTTTGTGGATCTTTATCAAGTCTCAAGGATTCCGATCATGGCCAACGTATTATATGATATTACGTTGTGTTATCTTATATTAGAGTAGTTTATAGACGCTGGGCTACGCTGGGTGGCTGGGCGGCCTCGCTGGGCACGCTGGGCGGCAACGCGGGGCACGCTGGGCGGCAACGCTGGGCACGCTGGGCGGGCGCATGGATGGCGCTTAGCGGACTCGAGGGCCACACACTGGGTGTGCCGAGCCTCCGCGGCCGGTGGATTTACTTGCGCCGCGGGGACGCGGTGCAGCGCGTCCTCCCCGTGAGGACAAACAAAGGCGGCGCGCCGCCCTCATTCAAGGTTCAGAACAGCGCTGGCGCAGTGCTGCGCCAGTTTGCGCAGCAGCGGGCTGCGCGGCACCTGCTCTGTTCAGGCTTGCACTGCGTTGCGCTGCACTGCGCTGCTCGATGCGTGCAATGCTGCGCCGCTCCTGTGCACAACGGTAAACTCGCCGCCGTCGTTGGCCTTGCCCTACGCTAGACTAGCGCCGCCGGTGGGGTTCTCAAGCGGGCGCCCGGAGGGCGCCCCGCAATTGGAGACGCCCAGCGTCACGCTGGGCGCAGAATTCGGCAGATCTGGCAGATTTGGGTCGCCCAGCGACCCAGTGTGCCCAGCGTGCCCAGCCCAGCCATGTTGGGAACCCTTATAAACTGTTCTATTATATATATCACGGCGGCTTCCCTTAGATGCGAGGACCCACCCCCTTGTTGCTCCCCGCCTGGAGTAAGTATGGGGGTGGGACGCCATAGGCTGAAGCATCCTGTTAAATTAGAGTAAGAATAAATTAGTTTATCTGCTCTTGCCTTGCGTTTTAAACGTCCGCGACCTTTCGTTAGAGGGAAAGAGTGTGAGGGTAAAGGTACTCGAATTGAAACGAGTGATACAAGAACTTGTCTCGACAACAACTGGGTTAAGGGGTAAACTACACTTAAACATGCATGCATTATATTATATTATATCATATTATATTATTCTAATATGGAAACTCATAGTGGTGCTGGTGCCAGCAGTGGAGTGAGGACTGCGGCAACGGCAACAAGTCCAGCAGGATTTTGTCTGCTTCCTGACACTCCACGGAGTCCACATGAGCCTGGAGTCCAGATGAGCCTGTGCAGACAAGCGCCACATGATTAAGGCCCATATCTAAAAAGCTTCCATAGGCTTAGGCCTGTCTTTTCCCTTTGATTTCTTCTTTGTAGGTGCTTGGCGGCCTTCGTATACACTTGTTCAAGGTATAATTGGTGCATTAAGATTGTGTCTTGTTGGCAGGATGAGACGCCATAATTATGATGATGACAATGGACTAGGAGTAGGACTGAAGATGAAGATCATGTATTATAAACTACTTATAACTATCCATCGTATGAATTCTAATTTGAGACGAGGATCATCGAGAAAAAAGAGGCAGAGCAACGTAATGCGGGGCTATTGGAAACTTTTCAAAGACTTGGGATCTCGTGCAAGCGGATTCTATAGTAGGGGAGCCACATCATTATCTTCAGGGGAGCAGACACGTTTTGTGACTTATTCTGTAGGCAGTTATTCTTACTTACATCCAACAAAACGTTCTCATAAATTCCCGAACTGATAATTGTGACTTTTTTCTTCGTTTTATCATCACTGAATTATGCAAAATCGTAGTTAATTACGGGGCGATAATTTTAGATGAACATGTAGTAGCTGCTGGACGACGGAGACCCCTGTGTTTTTTTACGAAATATATTGGTATCAAATGGACTTTTCAAAAACTTCGAGCCGCAGTCACGGTGGGTGTTCGTGTTGCACTTTGCTTGGAACTGTACCACTTGAACATCTATCCGTGTATGGCTTGCACGCACATTGTGAATCCGGTCGTGAGTACTGATCCATTATCATTAATTAAGTAATACATGGGATTTACATTGACTAGAGTAGTCAACCTCAACTCATAAGTAGTACACTAAAACATGCTCATGCTTGAAGTTTAACAAGACCGAGATAGAATGTCTTTTTGGACCAGAAGGCTCCTCCCTTTGACGTCTTTCTTACAGATGTCTATCGAGCATTTTGTGTTCAAGCGGAAGCCCCTCTGAATCTAAATCTAAATCACGGATGATCATTGACGTGAGAGAGGAAAATTATCGATCTCCATTTTCAGTGACCCTCAATCCGTACTCTCTTATAACCATCAGAATAGAAATGACCCGGTAGAAGCGATTTCGATTGCCACAATTCATCGTATATGTTACTCGTTCGCTTTTTTTTGATTTTGTTTCCGCTCGTCGCAGGTACAAAAGGTTTATCAGAGAGGGGCACAAGTAAATTGGGTAGCATCTACTTCACCTTAACGCAGGTGATGTAAAACTAGCTTAAACCTGTGACCGGACTTGGTTTCTCATCATTATCATGGAAGATCAGGACTCCGTGCGGGTTTGCAAGCATTTTGCGCGCACTGGGAACTGCCGTTACGGCGCCACATGCCGGTTTGCGCATGTCGTTGTTGAGGGTTGTGAGAAGAAAGTTCCGGACGGACTAAAGAATGGCTTTCAAGAATTGGCTGGGGTTGCATTGTCCGACATCAAGGACACCGCGACTGAGCGTCAGCGGCGGCCTTGCGGGCGTCTTGTAACGAGGAATGCGGGCAAGAGCCATGTGCTACGGAGATTCATTCATGAAAAATTTATCGGGCCTTTGATTTCATCATCATCTTCACAGCTGGACGAAAGAGAAAAAGATCTGGACGCAGAAAAAAAGCAGAAAAGCAGGCGAAGAGGACTCCAGGTCTTAGACGTGGCAGGTGGCAAAGGGGAGCTTGGCTTCGAACTTCTACTGCTCAGTTTAAGGCAACCACTAATCCATCTCTAGGGGCGATCCTTCTTCCGTAAGAATCTCCCCAGGAATGGATCGGAGCCAGCTCTAATCAATCATCTCGTGACCAAAGTAGTAATTGTGGACCCTCGTCCATTGGATCTGAGGAAGTGTCGGCGCCGCTTCGACTTGTCCCTTTACACGCGCTCTGACTGGGCGCACGTTGACCTCAAAAAGCACGCTTCGTTTCAGCAAAGACAAGGAGTAAGAACTCGTGGCACCTTAGATCATGAAGGAAGGAGCCCGTCGCGCAGAATCACCGAAAATTGTGCTACAGCGAAAGACCAAGACCGCGTCGAAACACGAGATATAGAACACAATGCGCGCCAATTCTCAGACGTGGGAAAAACTCAATCAGCATGTTCGTCAGCTTCATACAATGGGCATGAGGACGGCCGCCTACAAGAAACTGTGCAAAAGGTGCACTTCAGCGATCTATCCGAGCAACTCGAAAGCTGTCAGTTGCGCTGCCTGCTACGTCGAGAGCTGTGGGCGCCCCTACAATGCCGTGGAGCATCTGGAGTGGGAGAGGGCAGAGGAGGTGGCGTCGATTTTTCCGTGACAAGGGACCAAGTCAAGAATGATTTTGCAGAGAATTTGAAACTCTCAGCAGCGTGGGACTGGAAAAAGCACGACAGGGGACACGAAACGGAAACGCGGGGACGCTGGCAATCGGTTATATTGGATCGAAACGAAGGCGACTTGGAGGCAATTGATACGAAAAGCATACCGTCGAGAGGAGATTCGTTTAGTATTTTTCGGAGGGGGAAGTGGTCTGAAAGTGTTGTGCCGCCATACTTAGAAGAAACCGATCAACCAGAACCAGAAGCGTTCGACGACGCGGGCGTGACGAAGAACAAGAATCGCATTCGTAGCCTCGCTGACAGCGTCGAATCTCCCTTCTGCAATTGTTGGAGGTCCGCTCCACTTTCACACTTCGACGATACTATCAAAGACAGCATCGCCGCAGATGGTTCGCTATACTGCAGCCCCTCGGAGACGGAGGAGACCGAACAGTTTCAACAGGAGCGCGTGCACCCCTATTCTGCATCAGAGGACAGGCTTGCTTCACATGTCAAAAGCGTAGACAGCAAACAGCCCGCACTGGCTTGGACAACACCTATTTCCACTCCAAGCAGTCCCTGCGGCTCCGCAGTCACCCGTGCGCCGTCGTCGCCTAGCACAGGAAGTAGAAGCTCACGAGAACCGAGGGAAAGCTTAGTACAAGAGTGCGGTCACGTACTTCATCGAGCCGAAGGGTCTCTATCGCATGATGAAATAGAAAACGAGGAGGGGGGACAGTATCAAATCGACGAGAGCAGCCGATTTCTAGATGTCGAATGTGTAGATGCGGACGAGAGCAGCAGACTTCTAGATGCGTATCGGAAGGTTATAGCTAGGTCTGATCTCGTCGTGGGCATGCATCCAGACCAAGCAGCAGAAGCCATTGTGGATCTGGCACTACACTATAACATTCCGTTTTTTGTAGTTCCTTGCTGCGTTTACGCAAAAGAATTCCCAAAGCGGCATCTTCTTGTAGACGACGTAGTGGACGATGGAGATGGGGAAGAACAAGAAGGCGGTCGGCTGGAAGAGGATGCAGGAACATCAACTTCACCTAGAAGTTGTTCAGTTCAAGATAGTCGTAATCGCTGGTCCGTCATGGAAGTACAACATCAAGAGGCTGTTACCAATTTGACATCGATCCCTGCCAGTAAAGAGACATCTTGTCATCGTGTTTCCATTACCCCACTACAGTCTTCAGTGACAACTACACTTAAAAACCCAAATATTCGTCCTCCAAAAAGAAAGAAAAAAGTGCAAGTGAAGAGCTACGCGCAGTTACTAGATTACCTCCAGGCAAAGCATCCCGCCATTCGCCGCGATGTCTTGGAGGGAATTCAAGGAAAGAACAGCGTCTTATGGAAAGTTTGATAGGGTCCCAAGCGTATCGTTTTTGTGCTGTCGTAGCAACTTGAACTTCCCTAGGATGGTGTATACCTACAATTCGGTTGATAACAATTCCGATTCCCAAGTATTGCTGCCTGAGGTCGTTGAGACTGAAAAGGTTTCCGACGCCTTGCTCCCACGAGAATCATGAAGACATCGCTCTCGCTTTGTCTCAGATCGTTTGAATGTTTCTCGTTGTTCGTCACTAGACCAGATATACAAGGTCGTAGTACACGGATTCGGGACCTTAGAGAGAAAGGTGTAATTTGACAAGACACCCTCTCGTGGTTACGTGACTAGAACTGCAGGGCAATATGATGAATCTAAAAAAAGAAATGCGCTTCTGTGGAGCATTGAGGGTTTCGAATAAGTGCATTGCGCAATGAGATAGCTGTTGTTGATGAAATAAGTTGCCGAAAAAATTGAATTGGCAAAGAGGAGAAGCGCATCTTTTGGCTGCAGAGGTGGAGAAAAATGAGATCCTCGTTGTGTATCGCCCCTCATGTTTGTTTTCCCTCCACTGACGATCGGAATCAACTGCATGATGTTGACATTGAGGAAAGAAGCACCTAGGTATATATTGAATGAAACTTCTTACAAATAGAAAAAAAGTAGATCACTGACTTCTAGTTGTACTTTAGTCGTTTCGACAGAGAAAGAGGCCAGGACACCACTTGGGAATGCAAGGGGTTGACTCGTCTCTAAACAGCGAGCTAGAATCTAGTATCACCCACAAAATTAGCGCGAAGCAAATTCATCATTATAAGGTTGTACTGTTTCCCAGCGTGTTGATCTTGATCGGTGCTGTGCATGTTATTACTCAGCATGGTAATGGTAATGGTTGTGCCTGTCATTGAGTATCTATTTGCGAGAACCTTTCCTTTGTAATTGTGAGAAGCACGACCATAATTGATAAAAAGTAATCCACCTTGCTCTAATCTTCAAGTTAAAGATTGATCATTATCTTCCTCTTCAGTGAATGATTCAAGGGTTCTCGTAAGCTCCTAAGAAGTCGCCACATGCCTCAAAAAACGGTGACGCAACTTGGGAAGAATTTAGGAACCGTACAACAGCATTTGCATTGTCGGGAAGAGGACGACTGCGAAAGCGGTGCTTTTTCGAAATCGTATGTACGGCGTGATAAAATACGACTCGTTTGCGTCTGCGAAAACAAGTGTGGTTTCAGCTAGACGTATTGACTATTGCTGGGACGTCAGATCTTTCGGCCGACGCTCGTACTCGAACGGCCCTCACCTGCTTTGCAGCTGATTCGTCGAGGCTCTTTGACGCGTTTCTGCAGAGGCTTTCCCTTAACATATTCAGGGAACCGTACGGCAGCGATAGATGGAGCAGGTTGACGTGAAAACGAATTGCCATCTTGTGTTAATCTCCGTTGAGCAGAGGAAGAGCAGACGCAAGACAACGCCTTAAAAGTCGTTGTATCTTGTTCGATTAAGTAGGAAAGCAAGAGGTGAGGCACGGACAGAGAAACATCACATAACGTGACCCTCAACGCCGCGGAGTCGATCGTGCCTTCCCTTCGTAGAGAGACAAGTGGTGCTGGTTCATTGCGACGCCCTCTGCATTGGCTCGATGGTAGTGTCGAGGAGATATTTTTGTAAGCACAGAAGTTAGTACAACTTTTTCCTTCGGGAATTCGAAAAGCGTCCGAGGTAATCAACAAGCCAGGTAAAGCTAACGATCCGAAACGATAGTTACCGAACACTGGGACCTTGTTGCTTGAGAGAAATTTTACCTTCAGAGAATCGGCACGGCAGAGGCACCGGCGACCCTGTTACTTTGATAGAATTTTCCGTCAGGAGCTGGACGAGATAGAAGATACTGTTCTCCATTTCTGTGCCTCTCGGATCGCTCGTTCGCACTTGTACCACGTCTACTAGCGCGCAGAATTTCACAAGTGAGTACCCCGCGAGTTCTATAGAAGGGAAAAGAAATATATATTATATAGAATACATCTACAACTGTTCGCTGCAACCAGTACCACGGCAACAACCACTATAGTTGCAAGTCGCTAGTGTGCAGTGACTGTAAACGGTGGCGGAGGCAACTAGTACAAACTGCAATGCTGCAGTAAGTTGAGCAGCAACATCAAGACGGCTTCAAAAGTTCCGAGAATCGAATGGCAGGGCCTCTTGTTGCGAGTAACGAGAGTAGCTGCAGTTTTACCGATGCGAAGTCCGGTTGATTCGCATCCAGGAGGAGAGGCGGAGGCGCCGATCCCGAAAAAGAGCAGTTATAAAACACATTCTGAGCAGCTCCAGCGGCCTCAGGGGAGCACCATGAACGTGAACCGCCTTGCCGGAAATTGGCTACAAGACGTACATATTTTCATATTTATTTTGTGAAAATCTTCTTTCATCCTCATCGTTAAGAAAATAGCTCTTACTTTCTCGTCAACAATATGATTCTTCTGAGACGCTCTACTTCTGGTAGCATTTTTCTCCTCTACTATTTTTGCGTTAACATGAAGAAGTCTGTATCTTGTAGCTGCAAGACCAAGAGACTAGTTAAAAAATGGATTCTTTCATCATGATCATTTTCTCTTTTCATTGATTGACATGATTAGAACGAGGCCAGCCGGACAATACGGCCCATGAGTATCGGGAGTGCGGGATCGCCAGTCGCGTCTCCGATAAGGGCCTCAACAGGCAGTACAACAAATTTCCAGCCTTATACGGGTGGTATGACTGCTCCTGGCCTCAGCATGCCGAATATCCTTATGTTGGTGACAAAATATGTCATATCTTGAAATACATTGAGATTGACATTGACAGAAGGTTGTGAAAGCATCACAATAGACCTGTAACTTCGGGGTATAACAATTATCACGGTGTGCAGTGAGACGTAGAAAGGGGCGCTCGCTGTTCTATCAGCTTTGGACTTACAACATGTCTATAATGAGTGCAAGCGGGAGCTCAACATCACAGCCCAGTGGAGGGAACGGCGTCGGTCTCGGGTTAGTAGGTGTTGGTCCGAACACAGGTGGCCTCGGGTCTTCGCTGAACAACACAAACGGTGCCGGACCATTGTCGTTTTCACCACATACTTCGCCAAACATAGGGGGGTCTGCAGCCATGAATGCCGCGCGATATGCTGGCAAGCATGGCGGACCTAGCAGCGGCGGCGGACATGAGGCGGTACGACGAACTATTTTCCTTTTCTTTGATATTTTAGTTGGTAGGTACTACAACTTTTACTTCGACTTTCACTTTCACAAAATTGATCTATACAAAGTGAGTTGCTTTATTGTGATTGTCGTTGTCATCGTCATCGTCATGGACTTCTTGGAGTATCGCCTACCAACCCCCACAAAAATTTTCAGGGTTACGGGTCAAGAGGGCTTGATGGCGGGTCCCGAGGAAGTTTCTCAACGAGCCAGCATCCCAAGCGAAAGCAGCCGCCAGAATACAATTTGGGGCCACCAAGAGATCTCTCAAAGAGAGAGTCAGTAAAAAAGCGAGATTCATCGTACTTCAGTGAATTTCACTTCTCTCATACAAGCACAGATTGAGACTCAATTTTTCATTGACATTCTGATGCTGAATATGCCATGTATAAATCTACATTTGTACAACAATAGATACTATTGCTCATCTAGATCTAGAAGATCTAATGATTCTAAATCCTTTAGTTTTTTACCGTTGCTGTTTTCGAGCTGCATCTTACATATTCCCATAATGAACTGTCATTCTGATGAAGATATTACATCGAACGATTCGAAGTCTATCTTGTACACCGAACTGATGTTGTTTTCACAGCTAATTCTAATGTTGATTCGCATTGCGAATTTCGCAATGATCATCTACGCACAAGCACATCGAACTGATAGAATTGTTCATCCAGGTCGCCTGCTCTCGATGCCGATCCGGATGGGTTTGGGGATTATCTCGAAAGATTACCAGAACCAAGCAATAGTGGTTTTGGCGTCGCAGGTGGTTTTCCAGATAACGAGCATGAAGCTGTTGCCATACTTACGGCTAGGTGGTGATTACTGTCTCGTCTGGGGTATCCTCAGCGAGGTGCCTACTACTACTTAAAAATGTCAGGAAGGTTATAATGGCAATGGGATCTAACAGATCATACATAATTATTTCATGTGTGAAGATAATCCTGAGTGGATCCAATCTCCTTGGTGTCAATGGGGCTTTATTGGGGGAGAGGCGAGAATCAGGGGGTAATCAAGAAGAATGAAAGTAACTACTCACTCAACCACGGGTAGTGATTGCCTACGTCTAACATACGTGCCCCTGACTCTACCATAATATTCTCTCCGAAGGAGCGACCAAGCATCGAACAAACAAGGTGCCACACCTGCATCTCAACCTCCATATATATTCGTGCAACAAAATTATACATAGATGAAATATAAACAACATCGAAGCGTGGTTGTAAAAAATTTTGTGTAAAATAGCAGATGGCACTCTAGAAGACGAGACTTCGATTGGTGACTGTCCAATATCTCACCACAACCACTTCCAGGATTCCATCGAATTTCCACCAAAGTGGGCAAGCGGGAATCTTCCCTATGGAGCGCACGTCTTCTTCGCCGAGCTCTCCCAATTCTATGAGAGAAAGAGAAAAACGCAGGGGCGAGCAAGGTAATGAGCAAACTGTGCTCCCACTCAGCGTGCCGATTCCAGGACCGACGTCTGCATCGGCCTCGACGCAGGTTCTTATCGTTTCTAGTAAATTTTATTGAATGTAGAACTAGGCATAGAAGTCTAGGTCGACTTGTACGAGCTCTACGTGAAAAACTAAAGCGACGTTTTATGTCAGTGTTAGGCTGCAGCATTCTTAGTGCTATTGATTGCCGGGTCTCGCATTATAATCTACGTAAGTAAAGAAATTAGGATTAGCAATCTAGGATCAGATCAAAGGTAGAGTCTTTTGTGAGACTTCTTTTGTACTACTTGCTCGAGAATATCAATGTATGCTCGACCACCTGCGCATCAGATGTTATCCGGTAGTAGCAGCAGTGCAACTGGGAAAAGTCAAATGACACCAGAGCAAGAGACGAAGGCTCTCCTGATGAAGCCATTTTTTAATCTTCCTGGTTTAAACATGCCGACAATTCGTTCCGACGAGTCTGTCCCTGTATCTGCGCGAGCCTCACAATTGTATTGCTCTAGACATTTCCTTTCGTTATTATCATAAGTACAAAAAACTTGATGCGAAATTTGAATATGGTTGTCCAATAGGTGATTTTTCTTGATGGCGGTGCTTGCGAAAATGACAAATATCAATTTGCAGGATGAAGAAATATTTGAATTTTTTGAAAATGATTACCTCGTCTGTCCTAAAATAATGATATCAGGGGTACGCTGGATGGGTGGATAAATAATATGAACCTTGGGCGTATAGAAACTGTGGAGCCGAAAATAATAAAACGCGTTAAGGAACTGCGCATAAATCGGGCGTTACGAAGAGACTTCCAAAATTTCGCGCAAGAAATCAAAGAGGTTTTCCCACAGGAAACATTAGACGTCGTCTTCCAGAGGCGGAAAGGCTGTACTTCTTTTACATGTCTCTATGCATACTGGTCCCTCTAAAGGTAGTGACTATTTTATGTACAACTAGGTTGTACAACTACACGAGAACGTACTATAGGTTCAGCAGGTACTAGACGTGATGTAATGTGAAAATATGAGGATGATTTTTCGTTGTCTTGCTACAGGGATTTCTGATTTGATTGCACTTCACAACTACTCTCAATTTCTTTGACTTGCATATTGATAATTAATTGTAACAACTGAAAACAGCTTCGATCAATCCGGTGGATATCAAGAAATTTGCGGGAGCAGGGTTGAATCATGAATTTATCATGATTGGACCCTCAGGAGGAGGTGGAAAATTGCTGATAAAGGTCATTGCCGTGCGCCAGGAAACACCTGGCGCTTCTCAGGGAGAGGCGGTCGAAACTGAGTACCTGAGGCACGTGTGCCCCGACTTACCGCGTGACCCAAACGTCTGTTTTCCCATCGCCTCATATCGTGGCAATATCAAGCGACCCAAGGATGCACATGCAGATGGTATCACTACTTCTACTTGAATTAAGTAGGAGTGCTCTGTGAAGAATGCAAGGTAGAGACGAATTGTGATTAGATCCTTGCTGAATAGCCATCAAATCGAAATTCGGCAAATAATTCTTGTGACTTTTGACTGCCGACGACAAAGAGAGGTATTGAACACCGTATCTACCGTCGCAGGACCCTAGCTTCATAAGCACAAGAATGAATATCCAGTTGCATAGCATTTTTCACATATGGAAACAGGTGGACTGAAGTATTACGATATAGTGGTGTTGAATTTTGTGGACGGGTGCATAAATATTCGCGACCTAGTGAGCGCATTTGATCGCGCACCACAAGAGGTCCAAGGTGACCTCTACGGCTACATGGAAGCCCTGATAGGAAACCAGATTCCAGTTCTTTTCCACCGGTACTACCTTTAAGGCGTGTTTTCCTATTCAATGCGAATCAGAATTTGTGATTAACTCACCAGAGACGCTTTTCTGAAAGAGTGAAAATAATTCTCTGAAGAAGATCTTAATAAAAAAGATGAAGCTATTGAATATCAAGATGAATGGTCGAGGCTTTCTAATACCTGAAACACCGACGAAAGATGGGTGATGGAAAGGCCGACAACATTCTGATGAGCAAGGACGGTAGCCTCCTTTTATGGCGCTTGAAATTTTTTATTTTTTTTCACTGTTGCTTATGCTTCCTGTCCCTCGTTCTCGTAAGCAAAGTCTTACAACTTTTCTCTGAGGTACAATTTGATGTAAGATAAGGTCTTCGGCAGATTGCCGAACAGATTCACATCATCAAGGTGAAGGAATTTTGAGAAAATCCAAGACATGTTATAGATATATGTGTCAGGGGTGGAGGCTGCCCCCCCCCTGTGGATGGAGCGGTGGTGGCGTCCGCGCGCCCATTTTTCCGCGGTGGTGACATGTAAGGACCTCCAGGGGGAAGGTCCCAAAAGGCGGAGCCGGAGGCTCCTGGCGGCTCTCCGCGTGTACCCCACAGGCGTCCCGACTCTTGGACCTTATCAGGGGGGCGGCCTCCGAGGGAAGATGAAGGCCGCCGAAGGCGGCCACGGTCGCGAGGCTTGGCCCCTTTGGCCCTCATCCCCCAACTGGTGGCAGCGTCCGCCACCACCAAACGCCTGGGGGGTTGAGGACTAAAGGCGAGGAGGAGCGGGGGCAAGGCGTGCCCGCCTGGGTTCTGTCGGATACATGCAGCACGGCGAAAGGGGTCAAGCCTTGCCACCTGCTGCCCTCGGAGGCCTTCCACCTCCCAAGAAACTCCCCCAGTGAGGAACCTGCACCCACTGGAGGCATGTAGGGCACAGGCAACAAGCCGCAACAAGCCAAGGGGAGCCCAGCCTTGTCACCTTCGGAAGCCTTGCACTCCCGGCCTTCGGTGCTTCAACGGCCTCAGGGATGGGGGCTCTGTAGGGTCCAGGCAAGAAGCGGGAAGGGGTCGGAGGTGGGCGGAAAAGGGTCCGGGGCGGGAGGCTCCCCCCCTCAAAAATTTAGCTCTGGGGGGCTTCGCCCCTGGTCCCTGGAACATATATAAAGGCACGAATAGGTGACGTCGTTGTCGACCCACTTCAACTCAATTACATATCACCAAGAAGAAGAACCCGAGTTCTAACCCTCTTGTGCGACATCGGAAGTACTTTCAACGCAGTCATTCGGCCGTGCGACAAGGGCGAGTTTCTCCGCTCGTTGCAACCAAGCCACGGAGACAGTCCGGTCAACCTTCTGAAGGAAGCCTTCGAGAGATATTTTCGAAGTACTTCAATGTCCACTCACTAGTATTACTATAGTTTTCATCTCGTCAGGGTCAGGGAAATCTACTTAAGTAGCCACCTTGCAGAATATATTCAAATCATCAATTTTCATCTCGTGTTGTACAACAATGTAGTCTTATTTTTATTCTCGTGTAATTACGATATCATAAACTATACTGCTCGTAAATAGGCTCCTCAGTAGCAACAAAGTTAGTCTCTGTTGCTTCCCGTTTTAGGTCCTCCGGATCACGCCACTGTGGACCTCCATTCGTCCTTTCCGACAGTAAATCAGAGGCATATGAATGCAGAGTTGTCAAAGCATCTAGAGGTTTATCTCAGTCAGAAGGGTGGACTTCTGCGTACTGGAGCAGTGAAGACAGGAGTACTTTTCTGTTACATATTTTTGAAAAAAAGCACATCAAACATAAGTCACTAATAAGTATGACTATCTCGAACCGCAAGCCTTCAATGTTACGTTCATCATCGTTGTCGTCTTCGTGATTTTTACTTCAAAGCTGAGCCTCAATCTCAATAACGCCTAAAAAAATGCTCTCAGCAACTGGGAGCCGGCGTCTCGCTCAACGTTCCCACACTAGCCTCCGGTTTGGGTTTAACGGGCGTGTCAAGTGCTCCACAAACACTGAATATTATGAAAAGAATTGAGTAAGAGTTTGAGAATGACAGAATTTAGAAGTATGATAATCGTGGACATTGCACAAACACACTAACAGGAGTAACAAAAATTCCAGCAAGGAAGAAGTAGAACGCAAAACGTGCTGCTGGGAGATGCCTCGTTTCTTTGTTTGTGGATCCATAATTTTTCATAGCTCTAATAATGTGAGCAATAAAGTGACGCTCCAGACGCCAGCGAACATGCCGACACTTGGTGCACCTGGAGGATTCACTTTTGGCGTTAATCGCTAGCTTTCCGGCCAACGCAGAGCCTGGAGAATCCAGGATATTCAGACTCACTTCATGAGTAGATTCCTGTGTGACAGACAGAGTGCTTGTATCCCAGAGAGCATCTACTACACGCATGACTTATAAATATATCCTATTTCTTCTAAAAAGTGTTTATCAATTTTGAGCATAGAGATTTCGTCACGATTGGAAAGCTGTAGAAGTAGAAGGCTGCGTGAGAATTACTTATGTAGTTCAGGGAAGTACTGTGTTTTCTCACTGGCCTTCTACAGACACGCTAATCATTTACCGGGACTCTGCAGATTCTCCTCTTTACGCTGTGTCACATGAAGACCTCAACGTTTACCCTAAGTCCTAAGAATTCGGATGGCTAAAGTGCTCTCCATAGAAATTCCTGATCTATAATGTTTTTTATGTTAACTTCGTCTAGCTTTTCTTTTCATTTCTTCGCAGTGCAGCAAGCACAAGATACTGAGAATGTCTTCGGTTCGGAGGCAGCATATTACCAGTTGATGACCGTATTAGCTTCTGTTTTGTCATGTCCTCGTATCTTCCCAGGAGCAACGCATTAGCAGTTTCCTTGTCCCATGTTTCTCCATAGCACAACGAATGTTTTGAAAGCTAGTACAGCTACAACCTGAACAAGTGATATTTGATAAATAACTAAGTATCTAGGTAAATAATATGAGAGTTGTGACGTTTATCAAAATTTCAGGTACTCGGATGATCATTCAAACACGTTAGGTCTACCACGCTAATGATTGCCTGCTAGGACTATTAGTCTAGTTTTTGCAGAGAATTTTGTTTTCGGGTGACGACTTCATCTTTTTTCAGCTTCTGATGCATATACTGGAGAATCGGCATTGATGGAGGGGAGCACTCCTGTGCATCCATGCAGAGTTATAGCCGAGACACATTTTTAATTTTATGAGACTGAGACACTCATGCGACCACTTTTTGAAGATTTTGATTTCACGACTTCGCTGGAGAATTATGTTAAAAAGGAAGATAGCTTTTCGGAATCGTTGGAACGACGGTCACCCTGCTGGCGTGCATCTCGGGGTCACCTCCGGTCTCGAGCAGCGCTTTGAGTTCGAGAGCGAGCAAAATGCATAATGGCGACAGAAGATTTGTCCTGCAAGTTGAGAGTCGTTCCGCTGATGTAGTCGAGTGTCGGTAATGTTTGTAATCATGGAGTAGAAGATCCTTGTCGTTTTCAAAAATTTCTAAGCCTGGCTTCGGCGTCGCACCCGCTAGGTGAGTTTCTCTAGCTATATGCAGATCGTTGGTTAGGTGCTAGCGCAACGCTAGGAATTATATACGCACTTGAGCGGCCTACTTTTGATCGTTAACCAGGAGCCAGCTCCCGAAATAAGTCGAAGATGTTGAACAATTATATATAAATGCGGAAAGAGCCATAGACTCCGAATGATTGCGGAGTAGCGTTTGCGCCTAACTAACTTCTAAGGGCAAAGTAAGAGGTCAAACAAAAAAAGGGGGGCCAGCATATTCGCGAGACCAGGACTGAAGTGTGGAGGTTAGTCTTTTCCGGAAAAACTTAACGACATCAAAGCTATTCGTTCTAGTTTTGAGCTATTTCTTTCATCGTCTGTTTTAAACGCAAATCACACATCACCACCTCCCACAACGAACCGGCTATGCAAAAATCAATCGCCACACGAATCACCTCAATTATGCAACCTTTCTACTTTTTGTCATGCGTTTTAACCAATTGCCTTGCTGTCATGCTCATGGATGTGGGCATTGAGGCTCTTTCTCAGGAGGAGGAGCATGAAAATGATCATAATCATCGTTCTAAACACAGATATTGTCTCCAGAACAAGGAACTCGTTTTATAGCCGGTGATGTCGGTGACGGTGAATTTATGTGCAACAACTCGCACTTTCTGAGTTACCGTATTTCTTATCGAAATCGGTCTAGTTGTATTTGTAATGACTTCAGAAACAAACAGGTATTTATGAAGCTTCCTATGGCTATGCCGTAGCCTCGGTCTGATGCATGTGATCGCGTATGCGCTATCATTCATCGGTTGTTCGTTGCGCTTATAAAGCACAATCTGTTGACAGGCAAAGGCGTGTGGCCTCGTCGTTACAATCCAGCGATCCAACAAGACGAGAATTTGCAACATACCTTCGATTTCCACGACCCGTCCTTGCTAGTGCTGTTAAGATCGTCCATGAGGCGCCTGCACTTCCTCATGCTTGTCGTACAATGGTACCAGAATTTGTTTTTCTAGAAGGTCTAGGGCTCTTTTCTAGGCCCTCCTAGCTCCAAGTAGAGTATGAGCATTATGGAAGCAAAAACTAGCTATAGTCTTAGTCGTAGTTAGAGACATTGAATATTCATTGGCAGGTATCTCACATTTCCCAGTTGTTGCCATATTCGATGGACGTGGAATTATCCTCATAAAAATAGATTTGCTTGTGGTGCTAGAGGGAAAGATCGAAAACCATTTTGCTTCTGAAGATATCCGCTTGCGGTTCCGACCAAAGTGAGAATTTGATCCAGCAACACGACGCGCCAGCACCTGTACCGACAGACGATTCCTCAGAGGGACTTGCTCGCTGCCACACTGGAGAAAAAGTAAGCGAAAAACGGAGAAAAACGGGTCCGGGTGGTCAATGCTGAAGATAGTGAAAGTGGTACTGGAAGAGCCCGCAGAAGCCGCGGCGTCACACTGCGATCAGTAGCGGCTACCAGTACTTAGAAGCCACAGAGAGTTTGTCTTTCACTTTCTCTTCCTCGTTTGTCGTCCGTTGTGATACAGAAGTGGATGGCAGACCTGCGGATAGGGTGAAGAATGTCACAGGAAGAACCTTCTCCAAAGCCCACAACGCCTCTAGGTGAAGATACTGCTCCTACGGAGCAGAAGACACAAAAAAGTAGTTTATTGTAATTGTTTCGCAAGACGTAGTCTTGTGCAATCCTGTTGAAGAAGAGGACGCACAAGTACTTACAATAACTCGTAAGTACTACTAACGCACGTGGTCGGCATTGAAGGGGAGATCCACATGACTAGAAGTTGCTCAGCAAAAAGTCGCGTTCTGGGCTGCATCTTTCTGCCTTCTTATGGAGTCGCCTAAGGACGCTGCGGACAACGGCAGTTCGAAGGGCATGGGACTACCGATATCAGATGAGGTGGTGTGCGTCGAGGTGTCATCGCCCAAGGCAGAGAGAGCAGCTGCGACTGGCAGCGCACCAGATGATAAAGACACGTGGTGGTCTATAGGTAGCGAAGCGCATGTTAGAAATCAGTGCCGACCATGCGCATTCTTTCATCGTCCAGAGGGATGCTCGAGTGGTCGGAATTGTGAATATTTATGACCACTTGCATAGTATGTAAATGTAAAAATCTACACGCCTACGTGATCGTCCCTAGATCGGGACAGTTTTCAACGTGGAGACTTAGAATTTGAACGCACAGAAAGAGAAACAATAAACACAACATGAATGAATATTGCGGGATACGGATAGTTCGTTATAATTGGTTAGAAGGATATGGTCCTCGTTCTTGTTCACGTCGGAGTGTCGCGTTCACCTCCAGCTTTCATTTCTTTGTCACCTGTGTGCCGAAGGACAAGGGAGGATACGGAAGAAAAGGAAAGCTCGGGAACTCCGAACCCAGATCCGGCGTGAGGCTCGTGCCAAATCTCGCGCAACCGAGCATCAGCGCCGACAGCTACATGCAGAAAACACACTGGGGGAGGAAAGTTCTTCAATTACGGCTCCCTGTCGTCCGCTTGAAAAATTTGTAGTTTGAACGTCTACTTTCTCTTTCTGTCCTCGGTTGTGGTATAGTAGAGGACTGTTTTACTACGTCCTGACGTCGATAATAATGATGAGGAAGCAACGACCTAGGTGAAAGAATAGTGCGCATCAATAGGAATGCAAATGTAACGTAGGGGCACGAAGTAGATTTTCTCGCAACGTTTATTTTTCTATCTTTCCCAAACCCAATCTCAACGATGGCAACGTGCATTATGTATGTAAGTAGGAGGCCATCATCAAGAGGGGAATCGGCAAGAGTACAACAATTGTCATGTACAAGGTAGGAGTAACAACACAGAAGAAGTATCACGCGCGTGACGAGAACCTTTTTTTCTTCACCAGAGATCCTTCTAATCCGAGCAGTGGAGGGTCTTTCTCGTCGTGTCCGGCAGTCCCCGACGGTGCGCAGGGCTCGTTGTCATTCGCTTCGATGACGCCAACAGATGAGGAAGGGCTGACGAGAAATAGACGGAGTGGTGGCTGTACCCATGGCAGCATCACAGGCGACGATGATGGAGTGAAACTGCTCACGCGCCAGCAAATGAGGTGTGACAACAAGCGAAAAAGGAAGAAACAAGATCAGGCAAAGGCTGGTGTAGCTGCAGCGGATCCGGGCCAGCCGCTGCCGAGCCCCAGCCCGATTGGCTTGAGTTGTAAGGGTAAGCATTGAGCTTGGGTAGGAAGATTGGCAGTCACGGTAAACAGCTACTTGAGAATACAAAAGAAAAAACAGTAACAAAAAATAACAAATTTGATAGTATTTGGCATGAGTTTATTCATCGATCTAGGACGAGTTTCTTAGGCTGCCTTGGAGGAAAAAAGTAAAAGAACTTTTATTTTTTAATAAATTGCAAGAGTCAACTTCAACATCTTCATCTTCTTCTGGCAATTTTGTTAGAGTTTCCCTTTCATGTGGAAACTTAGCTGCAGGTCCGGTTCTTTAAAGAAGGTCAAGATATTATATAAATATAATAGATTCGACATTGATTTTTTTTCCTTCTCCGCTTTTCTTCCTTGCAGTTGCACTTACACGTCGACGCTCTCCAGATCTTTTTGACAGTGCTAATAAAGAATTAGATCAAAGTCATATTACAGATAAAGGTCGTAGCTTTGAGTACTTGTTTCATTTATGTGTGTCTATGCATGCAGATATTGCATCAGTTACTGTCGGCTTCATGTAAAACGGGACTCAGGACAGCTTGCCGCCCAGGCATACATGCATCGAAAGTCGCGACATGGGGGCCTCGAATGCCGACCACACTCGGGGTGAGGCTGAAGGCGAAATGACAGTCGAACTGCACAAAAAGAAGAAGAAGAAAAAGAAGAAGAACCCTCTCGAGAAAACAGAAGTCGAGGAGCGAAACAAGTCTGGAGCAGCAGTACCAGATAGACATCCTACAGCTGGTTCGAAAGCGACGGAGGCACTATATGAAGTGACAGTCCCTCCCCCCGCGCCACATCGTGCAGTGCCTGCGACACCAGTTTTCCCTGCAAGCAGCGTCTGTTTATTTTAGGGCATCGAAAATGAAAAACGTACGAAAGAATTTAGTTATTACAGTATACCTATACTACGAGTCGCCGACGAGAGGGCGATCGCACAGGCATTTCTATGATTTTTTTTACCATTCCCGGCTTAAGATGAGATGACAATCGCCAATTGGCCTGTGTGATTTTCATTTCTATATGAGGATGTTTTGCTCGCGTATTTCTTGTTGTAACAAATTCTGTTGTAGAGGACAGGTGCAGGAGTTCACCCACGAGTGAGACAGGTTTCTTCTAATCTCATCGCGACGACCAGGCCTCAAGCTGGGGAGATCTCTCAGGCATCTCGGACCGAACGTTAAGATTGTTGGTTTACTGGACTTGTCTGAAAGAATTTCTCAGCAAATGGCCATCACACAGAAACAGACACTTTTTTTTCCAATTGTGTATTCTCGCTAGGAGGAGGCTTTAGAAGATCGATTGTTTTACGTATTGCGGGATGCTGTTGCTGTTCCAGTTGCGGTTGCTAGTGTAAGTAACGACTTTGATGTATTAGGAGCAGTTCCAGTTGAATTGTATTTTACTTATCAAGGGAAACGGCAATAGAATCGCTCCTGTTCGTCTAAGAATAAGTAGAAGTAAACGCAGATCTGCGCGAGCGCCGCCACCGCCTATCCACGGGTTTGATTTTACGCCAATGGAAGTCAGGACGTACTAGTGTTATTCTTAGCAATTTCAAAAACAAGTATCTAACAGTACCGCAACTGCGACGGGCGCTTTCAATTCACTCAATCAAAAATCAATAAAGAAAAAACACCCTATCATAGTAGGTTTACACCGAACGATTATTTTTTTGCCGGGGCGGTTCCCATATTAGCAGACAGGTGGAATTGTTTTCCGGCGACATCCTACGTGCCTCCCCCCGTCTGTACTCTCATTGTTGATCTACCTCCCTCCTTTTGATGTTGTTGCAAGAAAAAAAGAATCTTATAGATACTTTGAATTATCATCTTCGTGCTTTGGTTTATTTTGACAAAGAAAAATAGTGATACGAAAAAATGTGATTGTGAAATATATTTATATGACGACTTTCGTCTTCATGTTCATCTTAAATGATAATCGTCGCAAATAAGGGAATATCAAAATTTATTCAGGGCACAAGAACCAGCTAATGCTCGACCCGCGTACATCATGCGTTGCGCCGAATGTGACTTGGTCTAGTGGAAACGTGCCGGCTGGTGTCGACATGTTTGGGGTACTAACTTCTAAAAAAAATAGAAGATCATTTTTATGACGAATAAGCAAGAATTAATATGTAGTAATTCCATTTCCAAATTCAACGACTTAACGTCCGCGTTTTGCAAGACGTTCAATTAGGGGCAGATCAACGTTGGTTTCTTCGTTATTTGATGTTGGTCCTCCGTGTCACCAGCAAACTACTCAAATGACATCGATCATCCATTGCAACAGATGCAACCTGTCCTATTTGGCGCACCCTTGGGCGTGCCGCTGCCACCACCCTTTTTTCCGCAGTATGGCATGCCGAACCCTGAGGGCACTCCTTCTATGCAGGATTCGTAACGATGAATGGGGCGGCTCCTCCCGTACCGGATTCTGTCGTAGCGTTACGATCAATGAAGAAGTAGCGAAGTAGTACCGTTAACGAAGTGCCGTGGTTGCTGAATATGACATGTAAGAAAACATATCCTGCTGAAAGTAGAAAATTTTACGTTTCTGGGGTCGTCCAAGCTTCTGTGCTTCTAGCATGTGTATGCTTTTTGTTTTGAAGATTCCCATAACCCTTTCCAAGTCCAGTTTCCTGGTTCTCCTAGTCATTATTCCCCTCCCTTCCTCTTGCTCCGATGATTGGTACTATGCAGACACTGCCAAAAAATTCTATGATCATTATATATATATATAAGTATATCAGAGCAGTTTATAGCACGCATGGCGCATGGAGTGGCATGGAGTGCATGGAGCACTTGCGCCATTCCCACGAATGGAGTGCATGGGGTGGCCGCGTGTCACGCATGGAGTGCATGGAGCACGAGGTGGCGCGCTAGCCTCTGCCATCAGCCGCTCCCCTCCTGTCGATCGATGGAGCGGCGGCGCAACGCAAAAGCGGCCCAGGACTGAGAGGCCCTCCCCCCTCGCCTGTCCGCTTTCTATGGTTGCGGACCTAGTAGGGGACGCCACTGTGAGCCTCGGGCCGTTCCCGCTTGAGAGCCCGGCCTTCGACGAGCCCCCCCGGCCTCCGGTTCTGCGGGGTACATGCAGGAAAGGCGCCCCTTCAGCCCGGCAGACCCCGCCAAAAGGGGTCCCGCCGGGGCTGAGAGGTTCCCCCCTCGCCTTCCTAGGTCGGGGATGGGTATTGCGCCCTGGTTGAGCCCTGGAACACACATACACAGCCCCCCTCTTCAACTTTTTGCATGGGTCAGCACCGTGTGGCTGCCTAGAGCGGTGCAGCAGTAGCAAGGCCTGCTCCGGAAGAGGAGTGAACCCCCCGAGGATGCGACTTGCTGGGCCCTTTGCCGAAATTGCCGGGCACCGAAGTACCTGGCAACGACCACCAGGGGCAGCAATGTGCGTCAGGGCGCCTAGACCTATGTAGCAGCAAGCCCGGACTGCTGGCCAGTGTGGGCGTGGTGCTTCGTCCTCGAGTCGGCCGCCCCATCGTCTCATCGTTGCAGTTCAGGGCTGCAGTGGACTAGTCTCGGGCGGGCACCCCGCAAAATTTTCACGCATGGGGTGCATGGAGTAGAAGTGGGGGCTGGCAAGATTCTTGCCACTCCATGCTACTCCATGTGATCCATGCACTCCATGCCATGCACGCCACAAAAGCTTATAAATTATTCTGGTATATATGTATTCATTGTGCCTGGTGTATCCTTTGTCGAAGGCTACTTCAAAATATAGAAGGGTAATGTAGAAGACGTATTGATGGCTGCATTTGTCAGCACTATGATAGTGCTGGCTCTGAGCAAGATAAACCAGACTCTCACTTCGTCTGTAAGGTTAAATTTCCATGAATTAATGATGTTTTTGTTTTCTCTGATGAAACAAAAGCGTTGCAAGACATTAATTGATTCTAATTTTGGTATTGGTTTTGGTTCATTCTTGATAATTTGTATTGGTTGCGAATACTACACCTACAACATCAGCGGGTCACCAGAAACACGTCGAAATTACTAACTTATTCCATGAAACTCAGTCAAACATGGCTTTCTTTCTAAGCAAGTGGATTTATCAAATTCAAGATGATCATCATCATGAAGACTACTTAGAACTCGAAGTTAGAACTACAACCAATAACTCGGAGACGGTGCGATGACGTGACTAGTGCGTATCATTCTCCTCCTTGCCGACTCAGCCGGTGCTGCAACTGCATCGAAATTGTTTTCCACCAGAAAGAACGGAAGGACTCACCAGCATCTCCTCATTCATATCATTTGCATAGCAGATTCAGGAGCAGCGAGGCATTCCGATGAGGTAGATAAGCAGGTGGAGTAAGACGAGAGAAGGAACAGACAGGACACCAGGTCATCAAGAAGCAGTTCATGTTCTTTATGCGTTCTACTGATCAGTTGCGCAGGCTCATAGAAAAAAGTAGTGTCTTCTCTCATGTTCGTAATCCCGTACTTCAAAAAAATGACGAGAACAAGAGCGATATTTTGGATGTTACTTTGAGTACCCAAGGTGAACAGTGAAAGAGATGAGAGAGCGAAAATCTACACTGAGTGTTCAGCCATGCATTTGGCACTCATGTACACATTCTTGTGTAGCCCATTTCTGGCTCTTGCTGAGAGGTCTCCTTTCGTTTTAGTATCGGATTACGAGAAAAATATCTACATCATGAGTGTGAGAACACGAAGGCGTACTGAAGAATGAAGCTGGTGTCACGAGGAAAGGCTCTAGCTACGTCCTTGTTGTAGACAAGATGCTGGAGTCAATTGAGCATGTGATCCTTGTAGATATTGACGAGAAACTACGACTCATTGATGTTGGATCTACATGACTGAGAAGGGTCACGCTCATTTTTATCAGAACTATTCTCTACGGGTCGTGCTAGAGAGAGCACTAACATCTTCATGAAGTACTTACTTGATTTCGAAGCTTATCAAGCAACCAATCCCAATCAGGATCTCCAGCAGGCTTTCGCGCAACCACGCCTCATAATTTCATCTCGTCAAAATATATGTCGATCTTGAAAAATCGCCTCGGCCTGACAGAGCTCATCTTTAATTATTCTCATTCACGCTTTAATATTCGGACTAGTACCTATTTTCATTATAAGGTTAAAGATAGCATGTTCGCTTAGCCTTACATCTTATATACGACATCGAGCAAGTTCAATCACGAGGAATACAAAAATTTATCAATGAGGCAAAAATATGCATAACTTTATTCATAGCTTGTAGTTATTATGGTATTGGTACGCTCACTGATTCGATGATCATGGTCTCACCTTTAACAAGCAAGGGTGACCGCAAAAATCGTCTTGTCTCATGACTGTATTTGTTGATTGTGATTCTACTTGTCGATTAGCAATTTAGAAATAAGTAATTGCTGATAAAAATTTCGCCGAAATCAACTATGAATGCCTCATGTATGACATGAGTCTTACCTTGGTCAGTGACCTTGAGGTAGAATCATGGACATCAATTAACCATATGCAAGGCTCTTAACTTCCGCATGCAAGCTCGGGAGACAGAATCATTCCTGATTCACTGCTTTTAACTGTGGCATCTGGTTGATGATCACCCAGTCTTTTCGAGGAAAATTGTAAATACAAATAGCTACTTTCACCATGAGCAGTAGAAGCAGAATCACTAAACGAAAGGAAAAACCATATTTATGAATACGTTTGTCTTTTGTCAAAGTCAATTACATGCATCTACCTCTCCTTTGACTCATAGAATCAATCTGTAAAGACATGAAAATCTATGTAGATGTGTCGCGATTTTTTCGTAACGTCTCCGTCCTCGTGAGTATGTATCATCAGCGACCGAGGACACGAAAGGTGAGGCGACAGGCTTTGCCTGTTTTCGTGGGATCGATTCTGCTGCAACCAACGGGGACAAGCGCCGTGCGGCAGACGTCCTTTCTCAAGCTCTTGGTTGAGTGATTCAGACGACTTATTGGGTCTCGAAAGACGGCGCACCACCGCGAAGCTTGGTTTGCTGAGCGAGTTCGATTTCAAGTCGGTCTTCGCCAAAGGAACCCCGGAAAATATGACGGGCAACTACTAAGTTCGCGTGATAACGAAGAAAAGTCGGAGGCTGCGATACGCTTTTTTTATTCAGTCTAGTTCGTTTGTGTCCGGCGAGTGCTGAGAGGAGAACCGGTTCAATCTCGAACACAGCAGTCAAGCAACGCGAACGCGAAAATTAAAAGCGCGAGTGCGGGCAGGGGCACTATCATGCAGAATAATATCTCTTATCGCTGTTGCGTTGTCGCTCATTTTTTCGGAGACTCCAGTGGCAAGGTGGAAGGCTCAAACGGAAAGACCTGTTCGGGAGATAGACCGCCATCGATAACCCTATGCAGAGTTTCAGAGTTGGACTGAGATTTATCGACTGCAAAAGTATGTTGGCTGTTACCTCGGAATCGGATGTTGCGTTCCTTCTGAATCATGGGACCTTTCGACCTTGCTGATCTGTTCTGCACTTCTGGAACCTATACCTGCGTGAATCATCAGCTTCAGAATTATAGAAATACTGAATTTAAGAAATACTGTGTGTAGCTCGAAGATTTGCACGACCAGAAATCGAGGGCTAGAGTCTCTATCACCCCTTGCAAAGCGTCTCCATGCGAACGATGCACAAATAGGAAGCAAATCGAGTTCGCGGCACAACTCTTCGTATAGCCGTCTATTCGATCACGTAGTATAATCAAGGTCGTCGTGGGACAGTACGATACAACATCAACACCTCTTGCTCTTGCTTCTCGTAACATTCGATCTTCAATGACCGCCTTGGATCGAATGTATAGTCAGGCGCGGAGTTACCACAGCCTGCAGCACCAGTCAAAGTATGTCTGGGGCGCGCAGGACAATGCGAAATCGGCTTCCCGGCAGCAGCGTGACTTCACGAACGCACTAATCTGCCTCTCTTTCCTGGTACTCGTGAACATTGGGCTCTCTCTGGCAGCAGTGATTATCTCTCTCTACTCGCTAACCGCTACGTGCAATTATGCCGGATCGCCACCGACGGACCGGGTAGCCTCAAGTCGCGGCGGCGCAACTGTGCCTCAGAGCGGATTGGTAACTCATGAACAAGATGATGAATAAATAGAGATCAAACCGATTTGCTTTTATTTACCGTAGGACAAATAAAAGAATAAGAAAGCAGTGCGCCACGCTATTCTTGCACTTCCATAAATACCTATGCTACAGTACTTTACCCATTTATAAATATGTTATGATCGACATTTGCTGAATTTTGATTCGACGTTCCCATGCTTCTTTATTCATCACCATGTGCTACTTGTTCCAGATGTGCATCGATGTCAAGAAACTCTAGCTTACCCGTTCAATTGTTGGTCTCTTGTCCATGTCTCATTATTTCATACACAATCAGGAGGGGCATGCACCGCGGACCGGGCGAGCCCCCGAGCAAATCTATTCGGAGCAATACGGCAGTCGTGGCGGAGGAAGCTACAATGGCTATGACAGGCGGGATATTTGTGTTATCTTGATCTCTCTACGTAAGCGCATTCTGACTCTGATATACATGTTCGTTGTCCTCTGTTTTGGATTTTGAAATTGCCATGTTCGTGGACTAACTGTGAATACGTAGGAGATGATGTCGAAGTCACGATTGCGATTCCTGCGGAGTTTGTTCTCATATATTGTCCGCTTCACACGATAACTATCCAAGAAAATTTTCAATGCCAGAATTGTTTACACTTGTATCAAGGAGCCCCTGTTTAGTCAGCGCTTGGAATACACTGCACGACCAGTGAGTGTCACGAGGAGGTCTACTGTCTATGTATTATATGCAGTCTCGCGAAGGTGAGATCAAGGTCAATTACTTTTACTACAAAATCCGACTCTAAGATAGGATCCACGTGGATAGCCGCGGTGGCATATACATCACCCCGAAAAGCCCCATGTACAATCCGGAACCCCCTCTTCACCACAAGGATGCCTTTGGATACATGGACTACACAGCAAACAGCCAAGGGGCTACTGTGGGAACTCACTCTATTCTTATGAATGGTCGCTATCCCTACGGTGAAGTATCGGAACGTCGGCGTTGATGTCCTTTTGAGTTGTAGTACAATTTACTATATAATACCACTGATGTGCGAGCACTCACAATTCTTTCTCTTTTCTCACTGTGAGACCTATGGTGGCAGAACAAGTGTGGCTCCTTATATATATATAATTTATAAGCTTGTTTAGTTACTTACTACAGTTTCTATAGTAAGCGCTTACTTAGAAGTATATAACAACCATTCCTCATTATCCAACCCACACTCCAGAGTCAGGTATGCTACAGGTGCACGACGAACATAACGGCAGTCCGACCCATTCACCACTTGCTGGACTTGCTCATGATCAAAATCACTTACATCTGGGTTACAACTTTAACACTATATACTAGCCTCCACAAGCTTCGCCCGGCTTCAAGTTAGTTTAGCACTTTTCTGCGGCCTCCCACGGGCTACAGCCGCTAGAGTAGAGACAGCCGGCGGGTGAGCTGATGCACCTTACGAATTGACTACGACAAGAGCCGAGTGCCGGCGGTGGCCGACTCAGATGCGTCGACTCATGTGCAGGGCATTGCGCTGCCTTCGGTTTTTTTTTTGAGATTGCCGGGCGGGTCATGCAAATTCTTAAGAATTTGCAAGACCCCCACGGCAGTCCAACAAAAAAACCAGAAGAGAGCCACCAGACACGCACAAGAATCCGCAAGCCCCAACGCACGCAAGCGCCTCGCGGTGGCGCCAGGCAAGAACGAGGGGCGACCTTGATGGGCCAAACAAGACAAAGCAACGCAGGGCCGCGCTGCTTGGGTCTCTCTACGCGCTTACACCTGGCGGGGCTTCTTTGTTTCGTCAGATGTCTCTCGTCAGAAACAGGCGGGCGCACTTCGCGGGGTCGTGCGGCGTCGCGCTTCGGGCTGTGGCTGAAGCCTCTCGGCTGGCTGACGTCTTTCACCAAGCTGGAGACTAAGGCCCTCCATCAGGCTGATGCCGTTCGTCAGCCCAACGCTCTGCGCCAGGCTGGCGGCGTTCGTCGGGCAGGCCGGCGCCCCTCGGCAGGCGTCTTGGGTCAGGCTGAGGCTTTTCGTCAGGGTCGGGCGACGTCTCTCGTCAGGCTGAAGCGCTTCGCCTGGCTGACATTCCTCGCCGGGCCGAGACTCACGCCTTTGGTCAGGTTGATGGCTTGCTTCAGCTCGGCGCCGTTCGTCAGGCTGATGCACTCGCCAGCCAGGTGAGGCCTCTCTCCAGACCGGCGCAATGCTTCGCCAGGCGTCTGCCTTGCGTCGGAGGGAACAGGCTGAGCGGGGCCTTTCTTCGGGCTGCGGATGTCTTTCCTTCGTAAGATTGACCCCGTTCTTTCGTCGGACTGACGTGCTTCGCCAGATTGACCGCGTTCGCCGGACTGACGTCCTTCGCGAAAGGTCTTCGCTATCTTCAAGGGCCTCGCGCCACAGGGAGGCCTCGCGTCAGTTTTTCTGGCGGAGGTCGTTCGTCAGATGTCTGCTGTCGCGGGTCTCACTCTTGTCGTGTCGGAGGTCTTGGGCCCAAAGGTCGTCTTTGGTCCACGCACAGGTCGCCGGTGGTCCACAGGTCGCCTGTGGCCCAAAGGTCGTCTTCGGTCCAAAGGTCGGCTTTGGTCCAGAGGTCGTCTGTGGTCCAGAGGTCGTTTTTGGTCCAGCGGTCGTCTTTGGTCCAAAGGTCGCCTTACTTTGGTCCAAAGGTCGCCCTACTTTGGTCCAAAGGTCGCCCTACTTTGGTCCAAAGGTCGCCCTACTTTGGTCCAGAGGTCGAAGGGTCGCCTTACTTTGGTCCAAAAGTCGTTCTACTTTGGTCCAGAGGTCGGCGCACTTTGGTCCAAAGGTCGGCTTACTTTGGTCCAAAGGTCGGCTTACTTTGGTCCAAAGGTCGGCTTACTTTGGTCCAAAGGTCGGCTTACTTTGGTCCAAAGGTCGCCTTACTTTGGTCCAAAGTTCGCCTTACTTTGGTCCAAAGGTCGCCCTACTTTGGTCCAGAGGTCGTCGCACTTTGGTCCAGAGGTCGCCTGTGGTCCCGCGGTCGTCTTCGGTCCCAAGGTCGTCTTTGGTTTCGAGGTCGTCTTTGGTTTCGAGGTCGTCTTTGGTCCCAGTGTCGTCTTAAGTCTCAAGGTCTCCTGTGGTCCAGAGGTCGCCTGTGGTCCAAAGGTCGCCCCTGGGTCAAAGATCGCCTTTGGGTCAAAGATCGTCTTGGGGTCAAAGATCGCCTGTGCTCCAAAGGTCGTCTTTGGTCCAAAGGTCGCCTTTAGTCCGAAGATCGCCCTTGGTCCAACGGTCGCCCTTCGTCCAAAGCTCGTCGTTGGTCCAAAGATCGGCTTTGGTCCATGTGTCTTTGGTCCAAGGTCTTTGCCTTTTCGGTGGGCGGTCTTTCGTTGGCTGTCTCTCTTTGGACTTTTCTCCCCAGCTTGCGCCCCCACCCCCGTCGGCCATTTTTCTGCCTTCTTTTCTGGTGGTCTGCCACGGGGCCGCAACGTAAATCCCAACAAGGAAACGGCCGGAGGCTATCGGGCTTGAGACTGAGGGGAAAGGGCAGGAGACTATGGGCAATAGCTTCGCGAAAGAAGTTGACTAATCTCCGGTGGGTTAGGCGGCGATCAATGGCGAGATTAATAATATAGGTTAATAATATAGATTTTTTTTTTGTTATGTTTTTTATCTATCAACTTATAATAATTTATAAGAAATCATATTTCTATCGAAGAAGATGAACATACTTCAGAACGAGTACCTCTCTAACTTATCAGCCGGAAATATCGCTATGGAACACCACCACCACCAAGTTACCAGTAGCGCCAGTTCTTCACTCGTCTCAACGCCCAGTCAGGCATCGGAAAAGTCGGAAAATCACCATGCGACAGCCACTACGACGTGGAGCGACAAGGCATTTGTACAACAGAAGTCGACTCTTATCTTACGGCTTTGAAGGATACTTTTGTATTTGTTGATCCACCAGATCGAGGTAAAATAAGCAGGCTATGCCTGGGATGAGCGGCGGGCGAGGTCAATGGTCACTTGTCTCGCAACCCAACAACATCGTACATAGCAACAGATGGTTGATAATTTTGATTTACCTACCAGCTGAAGCAAGCGTAGCAGCTTCTTTCTCTAATGACAGTAAGGAATAGCAGTGCCGATTTACCTGGGAAACATGCGACGATTGAGCCAGATCTTCTTCACCTACACCAAAATGGCATATTGGCAGACCCTCCGGGGATCTCCTATGGAGCCGGCGTGCGCACAGCACTGGGATCACATAGCACTCACATTATTAAGACGCCACATTATTGTAACTGAAGCAGTTCGCGGAAATCAGATTGATATTCGTGGTTCTTCATTGGGAATTTCTTGTCTTCCTTGCATTCTGCAGGCTTTCCAATGTTGCGCCCCTCTCCTTCTCGACCATGCGTCGACTCGTTGTCATTGTGTAGTTTTTATCTCCTAGCCTTCAGCTTCATCCATATAATTTGTGTTGCGGAGCAAAGGCCATAGCCATACAAGTACTAGAAATAAGTAGTAAGAATGTCTTATTTGGAGTACTAAGCAAAGGTAAAGTCATTTTCAAGCAGTTCTTATTTCCACTAGCATATACTAGACGTAGTCTATTTGAACTTCTCTAATAATTCCACTTCTGCATCATCTGTGCAGCATGCATCAACTACTTCCGGAGGAGCTGCAGGGCAGCACAAGCAAGCGGGGGGGAAAGCTTTTCCTAGAGTGGTTGAAATGGAACAACAATTCGGAAATAGTATGTCACGGGAACAACCCGAAGCTTCATTTTCGGGAGAACAGCACCACAACGTCAACGTGAACGGAGAGAGACACGTGAGCAATGGGGGTCCATCTCCACCAACAAATAGAGGTGCTAGATCTGCGACGTCATCTTCATCACCTTCATCTTCTGCGGGCGCCAGCGCTGGTTTTTCAACCACAGGCTTCAGAAACACACCATCTACTTCGTCCAACACTGGTGGCGTTTCTAGCAGAAGTACAGCGTCGGAAATGACGGGATCGACAGTTCCAAGTTCGACCGGAGATCCACCAGTCGTAGGAACAAGGACAACTGCTCCGACGAATACTGCAGACCCCGCAATTACTTCTACATCAAATAGCGCTGTTGAAAATATAGAGCATAATACTGGATCAACTCAAACGAGATTAAGTTCAAGTACAACGACGCGTTACTTCGACGATCCGCGGTTTCCGATCCTCGTGGAGGCACCGCACAACTGCATGGGTCGCGGCTACGATAGCCGCACCAGAACGCTACACCAGCAGGTGCTGCAAAACCGGTCCCAGTTCGCGGGCGACGCAGTCCGACCTCAACTTGCAGTAGTCACAAAAAGAACCCAAAGAAGAACTGACGCAGCAGCCGATCTATGTACCGTTCCTCCTATGATTTTCAATATTTGTAGCCACTTCTTTGATGCTTAAGAAATATTTAGCCATGGCCTCTGCATTGTCTGTGCTCTACCGTTCACATCCTTGGTGCCTTTTTGAATAACAGGGATATATAGATTCCGATTCTTCTTGTACTTGGTTTATGGCTCCCAGCAATGCTGCATCCACTACCTTTTGGATTCTATCTTCGTACTCTTCTAACTTTGAACATGCAGGTCTGGTACCCTTTAACTTCAGCTACAACAAATAACATTATGATCACAGGGTCTTTGCTGCCGGATTTCGAAATGACGTACGTGTGGAAGAGGGGCAAACTGGTATCGCGGCCAGGGCAGACTGCGGCAGATTTGTCAGGTCTGAGAGTGTCTTTATTGGAAGGTAGCCATACGGGAAGCGCTTTGGGCGTGTCCTACTTCCATAGTGGAGCGAAGTTAAGGCTTGTTCTTGGCATAGAGTACTCTAGTCTTCTACCTAGAACTCCTAGAAGATTCAATTCTGCTACTACAACTACAACGAACTACAAAGTGTAAAATTTGAAAATTTTTCGGAGCACTACATGTACTTCTACAGAATTCTGTGATTTTGAAAATTATGTCTGATGACAATCAAGTTCAAGGTCGACATGCAGATGTACTTAACTTGATTTATCTTCGACAAGGCCTGAACTAGCTCGAGACGGATTTTTAGATCAGAGACATGAGCGCTCTAAAAAAAAAGACGGCACCGAGAAAAGGTAGTGTGATAGAAGATATCAATATCATCGCTTCGGCAACTGGACAAGGTTCCGAGGAGAACGGCGAAGACGCTTCTTCAGACGGCAATTCCGGGATCAACAATGACGCTGAGTCATCCTCGAGCAGCGTGGAGCACGATATTGTGATTGTCGGCTGCGTCAAGGTAGCAGAGTCCTGGTTTGAATGGCAGCATGGTGGACAATCTACCTCCCCAGGAAAAAGCAGCATAAGGGGAAGCCTCATGGAAATATTTTCGCCCTCCGCATGGCCTGGAGTGGACGCTTCCCTGCACGATTTCCTACGAGACGACTCACACAATTTCGACGCCTTTCGAACCCGGTTTGGTGCAGAGGTTGTGACAAAGACCGACGTCGGCGGTATACTATCTGTGGACAGTCCCTTGAGTCGTTGTTTTATTATTTCTAATTAGTTGAGGTTGAGCTTGAAGTACTATCACTAGCTCTAGCAATACGTAGGTACTTGTTTTAACAACTACAGCTGTGATGTAGGATACATGTCGTGCGTGCATGTGTGTATCAGCGTTCTCGACACTCGAAGCTGCATCTTTGTAAAAACTGACCTAGTTGTAGAAGTATGTGTACATGGGGTAGTACTTTTGATACGCGGCAGGTATCGTCATTTTGCGGTTGCAACTGAATCCTGGTACCACCCAGAGTGATGCAGTCAATCTTGCACGAGAGGGTTGGGCATCTTTATTGGAAAATAAAGGGGACGTATCATCAACCGCCCAGAAACAGGAGGTTCGGCTAGTGACTCTAGAAACACTCGGAGGCACTGCGACAGGCCAGTGGTCCAGTGCTGACGCTACTCCGCTCGTACCCCAAGAAGTACTTCTTCTTACATCTTGTAGGACAATTTGTAATTGTATTTGAGATGGGCACTAGTTTCTAATTCTACGACCCTTTGTTGTCATGTTTCAAGTGACTACATGTTGGAAGCGATAATGAGGTGTTTTGTCGTGGTTTAAGTTGGTTTTTTCTTCAAATTCAAACGTTGAAAATGAAAAACAATATCAGATAGAAGCAAGTCTCGTAAGATGGCTCCGGGGTATATCCTCAGGCCAGAATGTTGTAAGCACGAGGCTGCATGCCGAACCCATTACGGACCTGTTGCGTCATTGCAAGACCAAGACATGCCAAGAGCTGATCGCTCGGCTTGGTGAACACATAAAGTTATGACCACGATAACATGACAAGAAGATAACTACTCATTATTTTTCTTCTTCGGTATGGTGATAAAAATAGCTGGAGACGCTTATTCAATTACGACAAGAGTTCAAGCTAGAGTTACAGAACTCTAAGAGAAGTTATAGAATTTCATTCTCAACAACAGATTCTAATGCAAGACCATACACTGCAAGACGGCCACGACACTGGGGATCGCGGCGCCGAGTTGTAAAATATAATCTAACACGAGTTGTAGCACTGCCACTGGCACTGCTGCAGCTACTCTTCGAGCAGTCTTCAAAGCTGCAATGAGCAACACATTCGGCATCAACATTCTCCTCAACGTGTTGTCGTTTTCGCGAGTGAAAGCTGTGATTTAGTCATAATGCTTTTCCTGCTGTTTTCGTCTGCCGTGAAGTCAAAAAAAAGATGACGCAAGTTTCCGGATATTATCACCTGAGAGAATAATTCAGTCGCCACAATGGAAGCGCAAGATGGTCGTGAAAAAAAGGAAAACTCGTCCTTCGGTCCTAGTACAATTGCGCTTGCCTGCTCAGTGATGTCGTCCTTGATCGTTATACCGCATCATCTATGTACGTGCATATCGAGTTGATCGACGACGACGGAGAAACAGAAATACATACGACTGGTCCCATAAAAGTAATGTTTCGGTTGGCATATCGCTATCCGAAGGACAAGAAAACTCCTTGACGCTTTCAGAGTAATTTGAAAAATAAAAGGAATAGCACTTCGGCTAGGAAATCGCTGTAGGTGTTGTTGTACATGTCCATGCACATCGAGAACATCAACATCACGGCTTTTTTAATTATTGCCAAACCAACATTAAAAAGTGGTGAAAACAGTATTCGCCAGTCGACAAAATCGTCGATGTCGGTCTATTAATATATAAAACGATGGAAAAGAAGATAGATGAATTTTGAATACTCGTAAAATCAAAATAACCGAGTAAACTCAAAAATAAAACTTGGAGGCGTTGCCTTGTTGGAGATTTTCCGCCTTAAGTGTCCGGGATTGTGTTGGTCACTTTGGTTTTGGAGATGCTTAAGCTCTCAAGCTTGAAGAGGAAGGCCCAGTCTCGGCGACCTGGGTGTAAGGATACCCAGGGGGTTTACGCTAGGTTTTCCGCCGCGGTCCCGTAAACACGTTGCGCGGTCCGCGCAACGTGTTTAGGCTAGGATTTCCGCACGGAAGTAAGGCTTACCGGTGCGGAAAACCTAGCCTATCCACGTTGCGCGGCGCCGCGCAACGTGTTTACGGGACCGCGGCGGAAAACCTAGCGTAAACCCGAAAAAGCTCACTCCTCTGAGGGTCCTTTACTCTATCCATCACAGAGAGAGCTTTTGACCCAGGTAGGCCCCTCCCACACGTATCTCCCCCCGTTTTCTCCCATGTGTAGAAAAAGAAAACGCTTGCAAGTCTTATTGTTTTGCTTACTCGGTTATTTTAGTTTCTCGAGTACCAATAACAATACCAATCCTCCGTTTCGCTGAGCAAGTCACTGGATGAGAAAAATTTAGGTTGAGTAGAAATTTTCGATTTTTCGAGACAAAATGGTAGACGAACGTTTCGTCTTTAAGACGGAATGGTTCGACGGCGTCGCCTCCTTGATTCGGCCGTATCAGTTGAGCTTCTACCCGAAGGATTCGACAACCGAACTCTACGACATCAAAGGAAAGAAGCTCTTTTTAAAGCGGTCTGACGTCGGTTCGGTGAAGCAAGACAAACTCTACATAGGCTCGACACTATGTACACAGCAATTTTGATCTCGCCTTTTCTTTTGATGCGAAGCTAATGGGTAACTAAAACTAAGTAACCTGTAAGAACTACTGGAAGTCAAGCTCTGTCTCAGATGATGAAGTTTTTTTTTTTCTAATCAAGGTTTCTACTTCATCTGGTATCGATGAGTCACTTTCACTTGCACTCAATCGAAAAGCGTAAGGAGACATGACATGACCACACGATCAATCAAATCCTACCACTTGTCAGGAGACATCAAGCAATCAAACAACACTAGGTGTCCACTCACGGCAAATGAAAATCGTGGATTATGGCGATGTTTATACGTCAAAAGTATTCGGGGACAAAAAATCAAAAACGCTGGCGCTCATAAAACCTGATGCATACCAGCACATTGGTACATCAGAATCAGCTACAGCTGATGAGATGCATGCATCATAGTAGTTGTGATTATTGGCAAAAACAGGTACAAATAGGACATCAGCGGCTATGTCCTCTTTCATGATAATTGGAAGATGTTTATGAAACTACTGTTAAAATCTAAATCATAATTTCATGATGGCGAAATCAGGTAAAATCATCCAAGTAATATTGGAAAACGGGATGCTTATTGCGAACATTCAGATGCTAAAAATGACACGAGCCTTCGCAGAGGAGCAGTACGCAGAGCATAGGGGTACCCCGCTTGATGGATTTCAGTGGAGATCTGAATTAGATCAAGACAATGCAAAATTATCCTCTCCATCAATTACAGCTTTAATTTCAAAATCATTCTCTCCACGCACAGGGAAACCTTTCTACGAAAATTTGATAAATTTTATGACATCGGACGTGTGTGTGGCAATGGAGTTGATTGGGAAAAACGCAGTATCCTCATGGCGGGCCCTTATGGGTCCAACTAACACGCAGAAGGCAAGGTAAGACCTAACGCCTGGTAGTATTGGCAAACATTTGACGTTAATACATAATGATATGACCTGGTAGTATTGATGCTGATGAGAAGCATTTATCGTTAATTATACACAGAAATAAACATTTACATTTCATAATTTTAACAGATAGATGTACCTATATATAATGAGTAGTACTACATCATACAATTACAACGAACTTCTCGTTCTCCCTAAAAAATGTGAGCAGAAAACTACTGTGGGCTAACAAATGTGACATACACTAAGAATGTCATCTTTGTATATCATTACCTTTTTGACATTCATGTTCATAAATACACCTCGTTCATCAGGGAAGAGGCACCGTCAAGTATCCGAGCACGGTTCGGAACAGACGGAACGCGGAATGCGGCACACGGAAGCGATAGCAGCCTTAGCGCGGCACGAGAAATCGAATTATTTTTTGGAAAGAATGCTCACCTACCAACAACCGCAATATTCAACAACTGCACACTGTGTGTTATCAAGCCGCACGCAATGGTGCTCCTAACAACTGAGGTTTTTTTGTTTGCGTACGCTTATTCTGTTTCAAGACTAGCACATGTACTACACATACACTTGTATCCTCCAACAAGCTTGTTATTGACTTTCTCGTTACAAACAACGTAACAAATGAATTCTGATCAGAAACACACGGGAGTAATTGTAGACCGCATCCTGGAGGAAGGCTTCGAAATATCCGCTATGAAATCCTTCACGCTAGAAAAGAATATCGTCGAAGAATTCCTCGAAGTCTATCGGGGAATATTACCAGAGTACTACAATAGATCTGCTTATCCTTATTATGGCTAATAATGTTTTTTTCCGAGGTTCTTGTACTACTTTACAGACTTCATATCGACCGTCACCGTCAGCGTCACCTTCATATTCTTGTATTTCAATTTGCTTGTCCCGTACTACTACTACTAAGTCTTACGACGTTGCGGAGTATTTGAGGGAAGTGCAAGTACCCACTAGAATTTATCAGCAGCAAAAAGCAGGAAAATGATTACTTTTCTTTTTGCGACCTTGCGAAGGGACGGAATTTGTGTGCGAAATCAAGGTAGAATCCCCAATCATGATGCGTCCAGGTTTCACGATTTAGTTGAGGAGTTAGCCGCAGGGACTTGTTTGGTGATGGAAGTGCGACAGGAGGATGCCGTGAACACTTTCAGTATTGAGCTACTTAAGTACAAGTTTGATTTTGGCTATGCATCGCTAAGACATTTCAAGATCATAATTTATTTTGACACTGACAATCACAAAATCCAGATAATTATAGTTACACTCTTTAAGTTTAACTATGAGCATATTAAATAACACACTGAAAAAGCGTATAAGAGGAAAGAAACCTCATCCTTCCACATCATTTGTAGGGCAACTCGTTGGTCCACTGGATCCGGAGGTAGGGCAGCACCTTAGACCGAAGACGTTGCGTGCGAAGTATGGCGTGAACCGGGTAGAAAACGCGGTACACTGCACGGACCTTAGCGAGGACGGACTACTTGAGGTTGAGTATTTCTTTAACATCCTCTACAATAGGAAGCTCTAGTACGACGAGGACAAGAACGCATGTAGAGAGTAAAATAAAGTAGTCAAAGTTACGCCAAGTTGATGTAGAATAATGGAAATTATCGGACTTCAACGCTGAACTTGAAATATGGTGACACGAGGCGATTCTGCTTGCCTAATTATCCCGATTGTAGATGCATCTTCTGTGATTGGCGTATCCCAGAGGAGACGTGATATCCACAATGATGAGCATCACGCATCAGGCAGGGGTGGTTGGCTCTCAGTCTGGCATCGTGAAAAAGCACAAAAGCGGATTAAGTGACTATACACAATTCTTCCAACTAGTTTTGATCTTATAGTACTGACATTTCGACATCTACAAGTATTTGAGTTCTCATCTTAGACCGGGGGCAGGGACGCTCCTCCTTGCATGCAGAAACGTCTTTGAAGGAGTAGCAAACCATAACTACGACAATATCAATAATAAGAGTAACAAAAGCACATCGAATATTTAAATTGAAGAAGAGAAGATAGACGACCATATTCACATCCTTCAAACATCACGAATAAATTGTCTTCTTACGATTACATTCTGAAAATCCAATCGATTTTACTAGATCGTTCTGAGATTATGAGTATATGAATGATGGCGTTTCCCCATTCGCATCAGTTCCAAAGGGAATGTATATTCGATAGAGAATGCTTGACGGTGCTAGCGGGATCCTGAAGATGATGGAGTAGACCATCCCTTCGCCTCTGTTTTTCCGCACGACCAGTGGCGTCCGAGGTCGTGCTAGTGGCCCTCTGGGCTGCTTTGTTCACTTGCTAATGTACCAACCCACATACTTCGAAGTGAAGAGAATCAAGGAGGAACAAATTACTAGGGAGTACTGAGAGCGAAGAGGAACTAGCATTGAATTTGCATTATCTTGTCTATAGAATCATTTCTTATTTGATGTCATCGTATTGAATGCACATTTGTACAGACTGAAGACGACTTCCGCCCGAGGACCAGGACTTCCAGCGCAAATACGCTTTTGGAGGTGGGATTAGCTAGTGCCTCTCAACAAATATTACATTCACGCTGCATGATGAAATTAATGCGGATCACCGCACGCGAACTGGGAAAGCAACCAGTTATTTTCATTCAAACACCAACTCGTCCCGCCCTACAGGGACAGCGCTATGCGACATCCCGAGTTTGTTCCTCTCTGTTGCTGCTGCCGTAGTAGTCAAGCTTTTTATTCTTTTTCTCATTGTCATTCTCAGTCTTAGCTTGACAGGGTTTTCGCTGCAAGTAGAAGGTGGAGCAATAAGTATAAGAAGATGAGGAAATACATAAGAGTAGCTTCCTCTTTGTCACGTAGAACGGCGATTGTATCACGGTCCTCCTCATCTGGAGTCGGTGCTTACGACAGAAACCTCAATTTATCGGTTTCTGCTGTGTGCATGTAGATGAAGATTGATACGATGATGTCACGTACAGAGAGAGAGAGAGGGTGTCGGAGCAGACCCAGTGTTCGAGCGGTAGTTCTGAGCAGTTTGGAGAGATCGAGCGAGAACGAGGGCATTCTTTGTATTAATTTGATCCTGTACCACACGAGGCTTGGGCACCGCGAGCGCGACACGTGCGAGACGATAGGGTCACGCGCGAACATAATAATGAGAAACTCTTTCTAGTTCTACATCTACACGTCGACGTCGTCCACATCCTCCATTGGTTGTTCAATTACATGAATATTACCTCCTAGATCCATTTCCATAAGGACGTGGTTCTCGTTCACCACTAAATTTCGACTAGTAGTGTTTTTACGAGGTGAGTGGGCTGTCAGTCCGAGTCTGTCTCCGTGCTTGCCGTGTTTTCGCTTTGGGAGGACGATGGTGCCTGCCTTCTGCCGATCGATAGCGGCTGACGTGATGGAGAACTAAACGGCGCGTTCGGAGGAGGTGAGAGGAGACTTCTTCCTCTAGTTGTTCTTTGTAGTAAGGCTTGCTTGAGTAAGTTGCTTGGCAGGCGGTCTCACTCAGCTAGGAGCTGCAGCCTTGCCACATTCGATTGTCGCTGCTCCGTTCATCCGGGAATTCTCTTCGGATCAGCGAATCATCACTCAGCATTAATCATGAGCACGGAATCGACTACAATAAGTCGAAGCGAAACGCCGGCTCCGATGAGGGTCGTCATATTACAAGCGGAGACTCAGAGTCTCCACGAACGCGAAAACGAGTCCTCCAGCTTGAAGAGTTAAGCTGACGTCCTCGATGATCCTTGATTACTCAGTACTGCTAGGTCTCTTCCGATTCAGTGGATCATTGTTCGGATCTTCAAGTATAACCAGAAGGCGAGGAAATGCTGTGTGTGGTAGCAATGTAGAGAGAATAAGAAGAAATTCGCAATCCCGTGCTGGCCCCTTCCAGGTTCTGTAATATTGCTGACCCCCGCTTAAAGAGCAACAGACACGCTATTTCTGTCGCTAAGGATAAGCGACAACGTGCAGCATTGACGACGTCGGCGAGTCAGCGGCTGATGTGTGTGGTGGTCATGGCGCGGGTATTGACGAATCGCGTGAAACAGGCCGCGAGGATGCAGCATTCGACAATATCAATGCCGTCAATATTGATCAGCAGCATCAATATATGGAAGAGCCAGCGAAAACGGCTTTCTCCACGGATTTGATGAAGCTGAACGACTCGACCCGTGTCGGATATTATGAAGCTTCTCTATCATGTCTATTTTCCTGATAAAATGTAGATTCCGCGTCCCATAGTTTGTGATCATATAATGATGTGTAATCGCCACTCGGCAAGGTGCTCCACTATCGCCACTCGCTCGGAACGTAGATGCATGGGAATTTCTATGGTGCAGGGTAGGTGCGCCGACCACGTGCGTAGCCGCTGAAATATTCGAACCGCCGAGTGACTGTCACACTCACACAGCTTGATGTTGAAAGTGTAGCACAAACGCTCGCTAATTTCACCCGCAGCTTACTCTTGACGGTGTCGAGAAGACAGCAGCTGCCGGGGCTTTTTCTGCGCATCGTGCGTCGAACCCCTTCCCAGTTCAAATAGACGAAGAGCTGAAAGAAACCCTTACCATTGCAAGCTCTCACGAAGAAAGCCCGGAGGAAGTGACTAGTACTAAAAAACATGAATTTGCTATAGCTATTCAAAGTCCTCGTCCTCCACCCGTGATTAATAAAGATCATTTCTTTATTGTTCCAAATACTGATGGTGATGGTGGTAAAGCATCACACTACCATCAGTGAATGAGTATAAGGAGGATTGCCTCCAATGATCACCGCAAGTGCAAAGGCAATGGAAGCCCAAGATGAACGGCAATCTTCGTTTTATTCGTTCCAAGAATTATCAGGTACTGAAAACCGCAAAGAATTCTGCGCGTCCCCCGTCGATGGCCTCATGTTTGCCGACAACGGAGCAGATCAGCAGTGCAGTGACACCACAAAAACCGAGTATTTATTCTAGTCCCAATCTTGTTTCTTGATTAGCCAACATGTGTTTACGTTGGTAGTTTTCTATTTTTTAGGTGGTGGAGAAGGAGATGATACTTATCAAAGGGCGCCTGTTATTACACGGATACAACTGATCATGAAGGAAATGAGAATGTCTATGTCAATGTTGATGTCATAAAAATCTTGATTCCTGTAGCAGTGTTTTCATCGTCATCCATCTCCTCGACGACACTATCCATTCTATTTATTATATCTACAGCAGCATCAGCGGAAATTCACCAGAACTTATGGATGAGGCAGGTTTTGACACGCGACTCGATATTCATAGCACGCCAACCACAGAAGGTTTGACCTTTTGTTTAAATTTTGCTGTGTGCGTCTCCCTTTGAATTTGATTTTTTGAGTGTAAATAAAGTAAATGTAATAAATAGTACGAAAGAAGTAGTTCTTGTAGAAGTAACTCCACTCCTGTTCGTGTAAGTAAACCACGGATGAAAACACGGCCTCTACGAGTATGATTAGTGAGATTCACTTTTCTCATCATAGGACATTCGCATAGTGACCACTATTCCCAGGTCCCCCTATGAATGGAAGTGTATCTTCGGAAAAGCGAACGCCAGACGAAAAAAACGGTGATGGTTCGCGTAGCCAACGACAGCTATGCAGATCATAGTGTTGTACCGTCAATCATGCAAGAACAGGACAGAACTAAGATTAGACTTAGAGTACGATATTTTTTCTTACAATGATGTCGATTTTGTCCTACTTTGTTATCTGCTCATGATAAGCAAATGCAGATGGTACTAAACTAGATATTTCTAGTTCTGCGTCGTGATCTTCCTCGATGCCAGATGTACAAGAAAGTCTTTAGGAAGTACTAGTAGTACTAGCAGCTCCTACTTGATTTCCTGGAACCATGTCAGATTGATTTTGAGGTAGAACAAAGAAGGAAGTCAACATTGAGTCCTCGCTCTAAGCTTGAGCAGATCGCGCACTCCACAACGCGAACGGAAACGCCTGGCGCTTGATGAGCTAATTCATTCCACAGGAGTTCTCCCACCTCCGCCGCGGAGAGGAAAGAACGAGGACGCCACAAACAAAAGTATGGCCTGCAAATATCTCTATTTTCTTGTCCTACTTGCTGTATTTTTCGAACAAGCTGAATATAGACCGAGATGAAAACGTTTGTATCAAATTTAGATTGATTTTTCTTGGATATCGGAGCCTGAGCCTGATGAAGACAGAAGGAGGTGCTAGGGCTAGTAATAGATAATCATAATCTAAATCTTAATCACACTCACGACACCATGACCATTTCCATCACCTTCTACTTCTTCTAAGAAAAGTGGAGGCTCCGGGTCTTCTGACTCACCTCCTAGTGGTCTCCAGAGCGGCGAGGAAAGAAAGGTACAACTAGTTTTCAGAAAGTCTACTTCTACGATTCAGGATGAATCAACGATAGATATGCATATGTTATAGTTTTCTTTGATTGTTCTGGGACTTTTAGCTGTAGGACGGAGAAACCCACGACGCAGATCTATCAACCTCCCCATTTCCAGGGCCCTTTGCGGAGAGGTGGGACGGAGTCCAATAATTGGAGAAAGCGATCAACCTCACCGCGACCACTACGATCCAATAGGAATCAGCAAGAGCGAGGACAGCAAGAACGGGACCGCGACGTTCTTCCATATCCCAGCGGGAAGGGCAGCAGTAATATTCGATGTTCTACTAGATATTGCCATTCTTGGTTTTTGGATGGAACTAACTACTGACTTGTCCACTAGGTTGTAGAAGAAGCCAACCCATCCAAATAAACCCGCAAAATCAGCATACGTTATCTTACGAAAGATCGTTGTTTGAAAATGAAAACATTATCAGGACATCGCGAGCGTGAGCACAGTGAGCGGGAGATGGCACCTGCGTGGTCATTGAAAGGAACAAAGGGAAGTAGATACGGCAAGGGAATGGGCTACAGAGGCAAAGAATTCTGGTGCGAGAAGGGTGGTCGAGGTGGCGACTACTTCTTGGGATTCAACTACGGATCCTCTGGATATGAGTACTTATGTTGTCTATTATTTCATCGACATGATCTCCTGGGTTTTGTCTTACCAATACCTCTAGTTTTTGCATTCGACTCGTTTCATGCTCAAGCTTGCAGTTCATGAAGCAAAAGGAATATCGTCATTTGCCGGCCTCAGTGAGAATCGTCAACGGCAAGAATACGCAACATAAACTACAGGTGGAGAGACCACCAGCGGCGCATGCTGATGAATGGCAAGGACAGCAGGGAGAGTGCGAATTTATTGTCAGGTTTGATGAAAGGAAAGTCACACCTTGTCGAAACAGCATCTTCCACGGGTCGGAGCAGACATTTACGATTATTGACACCTTCCTCGTTCCCTACCTCTTTGGGGTTAGTTGCAAAGTTTGAAATCTGATGCAAATCAAGACATCGTAGCTCCATGATCGCGATGTATTTTCGGAAGTGAACCACATGGAGTGAGGGACTTCTACCCTAGCTGGCTTCTATCCTCTTCCAAAAAACTACAACTAGAAGCAATTCGGTCTTTTTTTTTCTAAGTAGGCACACCATGGATCACCGTGAGAGGGGTGGGAGATTCAGCGATCCGATGGCAATCTTACTGAACTTAAGGCTTAAAGTAACTCAGCTTTAGAAGCATCTTTGTCCCCTTTTTTAAGGGGGAAATACGTCAAAGATGCTTTCCAAGATGAATATCAAATTTAGAAAAGTTTATTCCTTCTCCAGAATTGAATCGGTGGGCACGGTTGGCACGCTGGGCGACCACGAAGCGCGTCCTCTGCCAAATATTTCGCCCACCGTGCGCCCACCATGAGATCGGGGGCCAAAAATCAGGGCGCCTTTGCTTTGGGTGCCCATTTCTCTATCCCCCTGGAATTGTAAGCGCATGCATCTTGGATCCGCAGATAGCTGCGCGCCTACTTACGGCTCGGGGCGCCCACTTACTGGTACCCTTCAGCAGCGCCGCACACTGCAACAGAGCACTGCACACTGCAGCGCTGCGCCGCACTCTACACACCCCGGCGGCACTGTATACAGCAGCGAAGCATTGCAAGCAGCGAGAACGTGACCACTCCGCACAGGAGCGCAGCGCCGCGCAGCCCTCGCCTGCGGCCAAATAGATTGATTGACGGAAGCAGCGGGGTAAAGCCATACGCGCCCAGCGTGCGGCCACCGTGCCTCTCATGTGTGCCAAGGGTCCGCCCACCGTGCCAAGCGTGGCCGCCAAGCGGCCCAGCGTAGCCCAGCGTGCCCACCTTCCCACCGTCTATAAACTATTCGGAATTATATGTAAGCTCTAATGAACCAGTCTCCTAGTGAGTTGCGAGAAGCGGAGCGTCTAGCTGGGCTCCTGCCGCAAACGGCAATGGATTCGCGTCCACCGGCTGGAGCAGAGAATCGGGAGAGTCGCCGGGATCAACGCCCTGGGCGCGAGGGCTGGATGCACGACTGCGTTGCCGAAATTTGCACGCTGCTCGACGGCGATCAGAGGATGATCATTGTTATGACCTGAACTATGTATGTTGAGTGCTCAATCCGTTTTATGCCTTTGCTTAACAAGGATCTTTGGTTGCAGTGTCCCCACTAATGAAACGGAGCAAGATGCTGCAAGCTGCGGAACGACCACCTCACGGGCCGCAAGCAGTTCGTCAAACGGTTCTACAGGAGCATCTCGTTAAGGCCAACAACCTGACTGCTTAGAAATGATATTTCTTAGATGAAGACACCACCACCACGACCACAGCGAGCAATACAACTACTCTAGTACAAATCGCCGCTTCCGCTCTGCAAGTCGAGTAGGAAGAGCACTACGTCTGACGTAGTAGAGTCTGGAACCGGAAGTAGATGTTTTTGAGTCTAAGAGCAAGACGCAACTGGAGCGAGCGCATCGCCATATTCTGAAGCCGATTGGCATAAATGGCTTGAAGGCTGGACTGCTGCCCCAAACGACCGACCATCCGCGCATCTTCAGGATATGACTTTGTCTTCTAGTTTCGACATTGACAATTCCATGACATTGAAGTAAGTGTGAAGTGAAAATTAATGTGACGACGAGCACCAGGACGAGCAACAGTTTGCAAGTACGTTCAACACGCGGCTGCATAGGATGTGTGAACAACGAATGAGTCCTGTAGCTGGTTTTTCTTTTTTTGTGATCCTCCTCTATCTCTATCTTCATGTTACGGCCAGCACATGATCTTCAACAGCGCAATGGCGGATCAACAGACGGGAGTCGTGCCATGGGAGTCCGTGATGTATTCGCGATGGCGAAGATTTCCGAACACGCTACTGCACCTGGCGGCATTATTAGTACAACGGGACCGGATAAAAGAAAGGGGGCCAGCATGACGGGAGCTTCTGCGAGAATGTCTTCGTCAAGCTCAGCTGCCGTTGCTTTCCCGGGCAGCGTTCTCGATTCATCTACCACTCCTTCAGGAGGTTTGGACGATTTGTGGCGAAGTCTAGAGTCTTGGACGAGTGGCACTTCTCCGTCTTCAAGCCTGCAAGCCAAGCCTTCAAGCCAAGCGGAGAGAAATTGCCGAAGTATAGAGGATCCTCTGAGTGCAGTCCTGGGCGGCTCCGTCGTCCGTACTGCTAGTTACATAGGAGGAGGAGGAGGAGTTGTTGCGGTGAGTGGCAATGGAGGTGTAGTGAACACATCTGGCACAGCAGGAGCGCATCAACTTGCCACTGCGTCTGCCTTGGCGCCATCCTCAGCGACGAGATTGGGCCAGGGACGCTCCCCCTTTGATGCGTCTCTCTTACCGTCGCTTAAAAGCCACAAAACTTCGGACCACACTAGCGCTACCGGAGGAGGCAATGCCGGAAACACTTTCAACCTGTAAGGCGAATACAGCTGAAGTCAAAGGTAATCAACGTCGAGAGTTTGATTTCGAAGTACATCACAAACCTCAAATTATCAACCTTAGTGTTAGTTAGTACTAACAGTAGTACTTCTACTTACTACACGATCTAAGGAACTTTGTTAACTTGAAAAATGTCGTACGAAAATGAAAGAAGTCTTTCTGAGTCATTCACACGCACCCTCTTCCATGTCCTTGACTTCTAGCATGATTATTGATGTGCGTGATTCATGCTGACACTCTTTCTTGTCCTCTGTTCATGATATTGGATCAATAGGAGCGTTGCTTTCGTCGACGACACCCGCTGCTCTCGCGAATGGTGAAGTGGCGCACGGCGGCCTCATTACCGCTCCACCTGGAATATCCGCCGGTGGTCTTGCGCAGGTCTTGCAGCCTTCCGGTGCTTCAGCTCCTCTGGTGGCCGGATTGGCTCAATTAAGGCCTGAGGAAATCCATTTTCCCCAGCATCTGGGTCTCATTTTGGAGGGAAAATGGGCACCAAGATGCTGACCGCGATGGATTTCTGCAAGTTCTAACTGAAGCTGGGGCATCCGACCCGCGTTCGAGCGAGGACCAAGCTTGGCAGCAGTACATGGAAATAGTAACTGGGACAGCTGCAGCTGGAATCTAGATTAAGGCTCCCACAATTCATCTTAAGAAGCATCTTACTTTGGAATATTTTCTTTTTCAAGAAATAGAAAGGTCGAAGATGCCGCTTCAAGATGAATAAAGGGAAGGTCTAACTAGAAAATGCTCTTTGCTCCTCTTGTTGTTTTCCTCATGCTCATGGCTAGACTCGAAGTTCTTTGCCCGAGAAGTCGTTTATAAGTCCGGAACTTTTTTTCTTTTTCATCGATGTCTACAAAAAACGTGTAGACACAACATTTCTAATTATCTATTGACATACACATATGTAGAACCCAGATGGTTGAGGTTGATCTGGTGCTGGTGGCTGCTCGTGCTTCTGTCTACCTGTGATACGATCAGTATTCTGGTGTTTGTTATTATGGGAGAGGTTGATCTTGATGTCGTGCTGTAGTTCTTGTGTTTCATGTGAGCATCTTACAGTCTGCAGCTCGATGAGTTCTTCATTCATTGTGTGCGTATGCGTTTTTGACCACGACGCTGATCTTGATGTTTACTCTAGTATCTTCCTTGTCTACAACTACGTGCCATAACCCAACGAATTCTTGTGCCATAATGTTTCTAAGGGACTCGCCTTTCGCGATACGTATCAATCACAAAGCTACATACGTCACATAGTAACGAATATTTGTCAACATGTATATCTACCTATATTCTTCGATGTATGAGCTGGCCTAACTTCTTCCATACTCAACATTGTTCTTCTGACTACGCCTGACGCCATGACTCGCACGGAGAAAGGAAGCGACTCAATAGGTACAGCATTCTTGTTACTACACACGTTGTCACGAACCCACTGCTTTCTATCTGTCGTAAGTAGTCGAAGCTATGAAGACCTTGGGTAACATGGATTTTTAATACCTGTGGATGGCAGAATCTAATCCCTGTCGTCCTGCTTCTACAATTTCAATTGAAGCTTCATCTGTCAGCACTGTAAGCATCGACGATGCAGCAGTTGGAATGCGTAATGCAGATGCTTCATAACATATTTAATCAGCAAAATAACTATCGTGGCATAGCACGCAGATTTTTTGAATGATTTATTTCGATGTAGGACCGTCTTGCCTTTGCGTAAGGTGCTAAATGGTTTCCACTATAAGCCTTGGCATCTTTCAGAGCAAGGAATATAACGTATGTAATTTTTGCGAAAACGAAATAGGTATTTTCTATGAGATAAACCAGCGAGTAATTCAATATAAAGATGTTGCAGGGCTCCGGGCTGAAGGCCCCCCGATCTAAATTTTTGAGAAGGAGGGCCTCCAGCCCCGGGCCCTTTTTCTCGAGGGACTGCCGGGAGGGAAGGCCGCCAAGCGCCCGCCTTCGCGCCCTCGCGGCTTCGTGCGTGGACCTTACAGAGCCCAAGCCCCTGAGGCCGTTCAAGCACCGACGGCCGAGGTTGGAAGGCTTCTGAAGGCGGCAAAGGTGGCAAGGCTTGACCCCCTTGCCGTGTAGCGTGTACCCTACAGATCTCCCGCGTGCGGGCTCCTCATTGGGGGAGTTTCTTGGGGGGTGGAAGGCCTCCGATGGCAGCAGGTGGCAAGGCTTGACCCCTTTCGCCGTGCTGCATGTATCCGACAGAACCCAGGCGGGCACGCTTTGCCCCCACTCCTCCTCGCCTTTGGTCCTCAGCCGAACCCCCTGGGTGTTTGATGGCGGCTGACGCTACCACCAATTGGGGGGATGAGGGCCAAAGGGGCCAGGCCTCGCGACCGTGGCCGCCTTTGTCGGCCTTCTGCCCCCGGAGGCGGTCCCGTTGCTAGGATCTCAGAGTCGGGACGCCTGTGGGGTACACGCGGAGAGCCGCCAGGGGACTCCGGCTCCGCCTTTTGCGGACTTCGTCACCGGGAAAAGTCCTCACACGTCACCACCGCGGAAAAGAGGGCACGCCGACGCCGCCACAGGTCCATCCACAGGGGGGCCCTCCCACTCCTTACCTGGTACATGTATAACATTTTGTTTTCAACTGTTGTCTGATATCTCTATGTCAGTCAGTTTTCGTCATATCAGCATCATACTCGTAAGTATTTATACTTCCTATATGTATATTTTGTTCATCAGGCAGCATCTTCAGAGGTCGTTGTCATATAACGACATCCAACCGTAGTGAGTCCATTTTTCATTTCGAGATATGAATATCTAGTTCCACTATGCAGTGTGTATTTGCCCGTCTGTTCTTTCGTCCGTTAATGTGTCCTCCTTCTGACGGCGTTGATGTTGATGCATGGCAAAGAACTGCTTCCCGGTGATCGTGTCTACGTGTGACCGGTTTAGTGACCTCTACGGTGACTAGCACTAGCCACTAGGACGGTCGTCATTTATCATATCACCATGACCTCAGGTGAAGAACAAGTACTCTCGGCCGATGTCTCCTGTCATTTTTATCCAAACTGAACGCTCTTTCATTTCCTATAATCTCCACCGCGATATACTGTACTAAAGAGTATTTCATCTTTATCTTCGTCTGCATGGCCAAGGTCGGATAATGATGTAGTCGTCGATCCAAGTTTGTGTTTGTTGTATCAAAAATGATGACCCGTCTCGTGTTGTGCCATTTGGGAAACGGGGACCATCATTGTTGAACAAGGCAGATCATGAGGTATTGATTGAGCAAAAGAATCCGACCGTGTTTGACACGATAGGCATCTATTCTTTTCACGAATCTGTCTTCTGCGCTGGCGCTGCCCGTGTTCGTTAACCTGTAAGTGCCCTACATATATTGTAAGGTATTGAGGAGCAACAGCAAGAAACAAAGTGTTGCTGAAAAGAGTGGCGAGAGAGACAAAGAAAAGCAAAATTGACGAGCGATGAGAGATCTCGAGATGTAATCACCACGCAGAAGTTACAATTACAATTACAAAGATACACCGGGGATATGGTGGATGGTATACTCGATAAAAGTATGGCCCAGGCCCACACTTTTTCCAGGGCGCTACCCGGCGACGGTGGGAGTGCATTAACCTCCTAGGCTACACGCTACAAGTTACATGCTTACACACATCGCGCCATAGATTTCGTCACGATCAAGTCTAAGAGTATGCAGACACCGCGAGGTTGTTTCGAGAGAACATGCACGCTAGGTTACGAATGCAAATCGTTTCGGTAGATATGATAGGAGCTGTGTTCCCTTTACTGTATGAGACGAGCATGGAGCGTTGAAAGCGTTTCTTCCCACTTACCAGCCAATGAGTTTCTTTTTGCTGCGTATATTTCAAGTGAACTTTAAGTGAATAGAAGTGGTGTACGCCCCTGCTGGAGTCGAAATAGATGGTAAAGATTCATAGAGCTTGAGTTTGACGCGGAGTTCGAATGGGAACAAAAAGACGGTGACAGTGACTACAGATGTCTTTCGAAACCTAGTGCTGTTTATCTGTTAGAACGAGCTAATTAGTTCCTTAGTTCTCCACTGATGCCTTCATATTGTTCGCAAATTTCCTCCACAAACAGCCAACCTTCACGAACTAACAAACTATAGTATTCTTTACGCCCCAAACGTCCTCTAGTCTTTGCTGTCAATCTCAACAGTTTTTACACAGGAGAAACTGCGGAATTTTGCAAGGAGAAAATGGGTAGATTGGTTATTTAAGCGTCACATACGTCAAAGATAGAAGCAAGGAAGTTCGTCTAGGCTACTTGTATTCCTCGACTGTCCTCCTGCCTGTACGAATTCTTGGTTGCAAGAGGTTACTTAGTCGTTCTTGATATTTTCAATCTACGTCATTACGACAATTTACATTGTTTGATGCACATTCATACGTCGCATGGTCTGTTTGGCATTTTTAATCATTATCGTTTTTTGATCAACTACATAATTTCTACATCTAGAGTCAGTAGTCGGTCGGAGCAGTCATTCAGATTCATATATCCGGCATTGGGATTCGCATAGCTCCTGCTGAGTGTGGGAAGTTATAATGCTCATGAGTGAAGAAAGTCTGCCGCTGCCCGCCGTTGCTTTTGCCGACGGGTGCGCTTCTCTTTCAAAGCAGAGAGGACTGCCACGTCACTGATTGCACAATGTTGCATCAAGGTGCTCCTGTAGGTGCGCCATCGGTGTCCGACCGTCGTGCGCGACGAAGGGGGCGCGGTAGCGAACTTAATGTTGAGGATAACTGCACATCTACCATGATCTGCCACAGTAGGTTGGAAACCGACTGGATGGGATTGAGACCGCGGCGCACTGCAGTGCGAGGTCACGACGGCGCTTCAGGAAGAATGCGCATAGTGGGAGGGCGGCGGCACATGCCTTCAAGAACGAAAGCAAGGAGGCTTGTTAGGATGCGCAAGGGCGCATCCACCTCATTGTCTAAGTCCAGCGAGGGTGCAATTGGCTGCAAGTGTCGGATGATTTCATCCGAGGCACGCGCAACTTTTGACGTTGCCTGTGCCCCGTCAAACTTTCCAAGCGGAACTTCGACGAGTCAACACGATTACAGTTTCGGGACCGGAAGTACGACTACAGATGCACTTTGCAATGAACAAGATTTCGACGACGAGTTGTATGATCATGAGCTTGACGATTCGTTCAGTGGTTTTTGTCAGCATGGATTCGAGGACCACAACGACTTCAGGCAAGAAGAAGACCAAGATGGCAATTTTCATGATGATGGTGGCTCCCTGGATGGAGAATCGGGAGATCAAGAACGTTGGCAAGGATGTGATGAACAAGTAGAAGCACACCAGACTGCGGCACAGCCCGCGCGAAATAGTCGAGGTTTTATTCTCGAGTCGTCAACAAGAACAATGAGGAGGCTAAGAGGACCTGCCTCTGTGGTACATCGAGGCAGAATAAGAAAACGGAAGCGGAAAGGGTCTTCATTGTCTGGTCATGATGGTGAAGCTTTTTCTCCACCTTCATCTAGTGCTCACGAAGATCGGACAAGAATGTTGTACGGAGAGGGATCTGGAACGTCGCGCGTTTCATCGAGTAGCAGTCTCTGGGAGAGGATTACACCCAAGAAGAGGTTTCTTCAACCGCTCAGATCTTGCATGGATCCTGGTTCGGATAGTTCTCTTCCTGTCAGGTCTTCATGTCTCAAGCGAAAACGCCTTTACGTCTTCAAGAAGTCGCAAAATACTCGGTCTTCGCTGACGGATATTCTCACGGTCACGACATCGCTATTTCTGCTCCTCATTGGTTGCGGGTGTCCATGGTTGCTGTTACCAGTGCACGCAGGCACAGTAGTGACTGATTTTTTTCCAAAGCGTGGGAGTATCGCCGGAGGCCTCGTGATGCGGATAACTGGAGACGGTTTTTTGGATCCAACGCGTGCTAATCTATATTCCTCGCAGACCGTATATCTTGGCCAGCATGTGTGTCCAGTGATACTACCAATGTCAAATACCACAGAAATCTTGTGTCGCACACCGCAAGTACCAGGTCCCGCTGAGCTCACACTCGAAGTCTTCGTCATTTCCGACGCAAGTGGAGGAGGTCTTATTTGATCGAAGTAAAAGTAACTGAAAGAACAAATTAGAATCATAGTGCAGCCAAAATGAGTCATCGCCAACATGATAGAAGTTGGATTGAAAATCACGATTGTGAATCAGAGATGGGCATTTTAATAGATTCTGTTCATACAACGGTTACGGGATTTTTTTTGCAAATTTCTTTTCGGTTCGATACGATGCTTTTGGATTTGGAGTTTCCATGTCTTTTGAGGTGCATATGCGCGCATGATCGACCGGTCCGGAGAGGCCCAGAAGTTTCGATATGAATACGAGCAAACGCCAGTAGTGAAGTTTGTATCGCATTTCGGTCTTGCAGTCGGGGACTTTCTTAGTGTGGGATCGAAGTCAAGCACCTACCGACCGCAGTGGCTGATAGGCGATACCTGGTCCCAAATTGAGGTGAAAGTCGGAGGTCATATGTGCCTTGGAGATGAGCTGCTAGTGGCGAATCGATACGAGTGGACAAGTGATTATCAGCTGCAATCCAACAACCACTACCTGAAGAAGAACGGACTCACTTGTAGGCTTCAGGGGTGGTTGCAACCGGGTTATGGTCGCTTCAGCACCCTGGTGCGCCACACGGGTCTGAACAACGTAGAAACGTGTTCGGACCTGCAGTGCACCTGCCACAGTCCAAACCATTGCCCAAACGGGTACGGCATGGCTCAGTTTCTCGGTTCGAAGTCGGACCAGCCGCATCCTTACGGACTTTTTACCCTCGGTATTGAGGATGGGGAAAATAGCAATGCAGACAGCGGTCGCACGAGTAACACTAACAATTACGTTGCTGGAGGACGAGGAGCCGCGGCATCCTCCAACAACGCCAGGGAGGAGGGGACGCAGAGTCGAGCAGCGGCAGCACCACGACTGCCGCCGGTCTCCTATGACATCGCGATGTACCCAGAAGTCTACGAAATTCAGCCACGATTTGCGAGTCCCACAGGAGGAGCAATTCTCCAGATTCGAGGAACTGGATTTAACCCAGCTACGACAAAAATTAACGTCGGCCCTAACAATGATATTCCGTGTGACGTCATTACTGACAAAAGCGCGAACAGTACCCACTTTTCGTGTAGAATTCCCAAAATTTTTTCCGCAACGTCTTATGGCAGTACTAGCGGAGGAGCGAGTATAAGTGGCAGCGCCATTTCGTACAGCGACTATGTGACGGCGAAGAGGGGCATTCTGGACAGCGCAGGAGCCGACGGTGTCGCCAATATGCCCGAGGCACAGTTGGGCGGGTGCGCCGAGGTCCGCGTACCAGTCGGGTCGAGCGGGGGCGCCGTCTCGGTGGATCGAACATGGGACATCATGGAGCACGCGCTTTCAGGCGGGTTTCCACTGCGGAGTTGCCGCGCGGATCCCGCTTCGACGCAGACAGGATTGACGCCAAGTGTCGCGACTTCTCCAGCAGGCATCCAGGTTGCTGTGATCACCAGTCTTCCGCTGCTTACTGGTGGCAGCAACAACCTCGGCACGAATCATCATCGCTACGTGTCGCCCGCCGAGCTTGTTTCGCCGGCAGGGACCAACTCCGGTCACAACCAGGGAGGCGCACAGGCAACCGTAATGTGTTGCGACACAGACGGTGAATTCTGCCACAGTGTGTATCGATCCGCAAAGCCATTTGCGAATCAGTACTACCGTTTACGGAGACAAGACTGCTACACCGCAGGAAGCGAAGCGATGAGTCTTCACGAAGCAGCGAAAATCTGTGCAGCGGACGGGCGACGCCTCTGCCAGGCTAGCGAAATGGCCAAGGGAATTTGCGAAGACAAACTGGATTGTGACGGCGGCTACTTTGTGCGGCCGGATGGCACGACGGTAAACCAGCAGATGGGGAACCATAATGCGCGACACGTCTGGACCTCGACCTTGAAGAAGTGGCAGACAATTCGTGTGTCCGCGTCGCAGGCGTGGACCGACGAGGAGGCAACCGTCTTGTGTACACAAGATTGCCTTGACTCGCACACTGCCTCCGCGCCGCCGAATAGTTCCAGAAGGGAAAGCACGCTTGGCGGCTATCTCGGAGGACGTGGTACCAAGTGGCGCCTATTTGGGGGCCTGCACCACAGTCACACAGAACAATTTGGCAAGCGCGCCTCTTACCGAAATGCCGACGGCATGTTTCCACATGTGCCGCAAGCCGAGGGGTTGCGCAAAGACGTTCTGCTTGGTGTAGGCCGCGTCCGAATGAAACCGGTGGACATCCCGGAAGAGACTGAAGGAATGATCTTCGTCAGTCAAAATCCAGCGGAGCACGTATCGCCGGAGCCGTTTGGCATGCCGAAGGGAACGTGGTTGCGCACGCCAATCCGAAGCCAAATCGCCACGGAGCACTGGGGATGGCAAGACCAATGGCGCAACACCAACTTCGATACCAGTGGATACTACCAGTTCGAGGAGGTCCTAGAAACTTACTTTGTGCCGCCAAGCTACTTCTCACCGGACGCGGAATATCAGTTTTTCGTTGCCGCTGACCTGTCAGCCCAGGTTTTAGTGGACTTCACGGGTCGCGAGCCGGATGTCACGCGTTGGACTGAGGTGGCAAGAGTGATGCACTGGAGCGATCGTTGGCGCCAGGATGATCCCTTCGCGTTTTACGTTTTCTGCACAGCAAGTGCAAGCGAAGCTTTCGTGCCGCCACCAGAGGAAATCGACAACTCCACCACGCGCGGAGGAAATCGTGGTGGCGCGTACTGCCCGCATCCGGACGGGACCTGGCTGCCATCAGGACGCCAGCGCAGCGAGCGTCACCGCTTTCAGCCCTTGGCAGGTGGAAACAGTATGGGTGCATACCCCATGCGCATCTACCACAATGACGAGAGCCACAGGAGTCTCAACTGGTTACAAATCGGTGTAGCGGTTTATGACCCCTGGCGGAACGGAACTAGTAACGTTTTCTCGATGCATCAAGCACAAGGTGGTACAAATGGCGAGACGAACAGGACCGATCATACGCTGGATCGCGTTTTCAACGAGTCCGAGAAGGATATATTTTTCCAGACGTCTGGCTTTTACGAGTTGCAGAAGATGACGCTGCGAGTGCAGACCAATCGAGAGAAGCACCTTCTGGTCGTTTCCAACAGCGATCAGTACTTCAGGGTGCGCGTCAAAATCTCTCACGATCTGGGGACCACCGAATACTTCACAGCCGATCTCCAGGCTCGCCTAGACGACCAGACAGCCACGGCGCTGGAGACCGCTCTGCGTACGGCCTCGACCGCTGCGGCTCCGGGTGCAACCACAGGTGGTAGCCCTGTTCAGTACACTAACGGCTGCTTGCCGACTGTGCAGCATTCGTCCCAACATGCCGTGTCCGCAGGCTTTGCAGTCGCCTTTGAGATCAAGTTTGACTGCATCCTGGGATCAGCCACGCACGGGCTTTATGGTAAGACCACTCACGCCGAGTTCGCACTCGTACCTCCAGCAGACGCGAGCAAGGTAACATTTGAGCGCGGGGTTGTCACATTGATGGAGGAGGAATCGGCTCCATTGTCTGGCAGCTTCAAGCTTTGCCGCGGGAGCGAGAAAACGGGCGCAAGAGTTGCGAAGGCGTGTACGACGTCGCTGGCGCACAACGCCAAGCGGTACGAAGTGCAGGAGGCGCTCTTGGCTATTTTCCCGCGAATCGAAGTGTTTAACCTCGGCAATAAGGGTGACGGGAACTACGAAACCGCGCCTGTCGAAGGCTTCTCTTACGGTCTAAAGTTTATCGAGCCCTACACCCACGACGACCCGGTTGAGCCGCGCAGGCTATACGCCGAGTACTCTGGCCCCGACTTCACGGACCTTCGTGGTACAGGTGCAGAGATTGCTTTTGCGCTTGTGCAGAAGGGAGGCAATCGTGACGCCCTCTTTTATGACTGGATCCCTGCGGACTGGTTACGAGTACCACATCCGGTCCCACAGGTGCAGATGCGGTCGAATCACGTTTTGGCCGCTTCCAAGTTCATGCAGAGTGCCGATTTCCAGTTTTCTGCAGCCTTTGCGGCAAAGATTGAATCGGTGAGCATCGACGGAGGAGCGCCCGTTTCCGGAAGCTCGGCCGCGTCGGTGACCGCAGGACAGGAGCTCACGTTTGTTCTCTCCAACGTCTTGTTACCAGAGGCGTCCCTCGCAATGCGCAAAACGAGTGCCGTGCCAGCCCTCATCTCCGGTGACATCGTTTTCACAAACGATGGCCACCTGATGTCACCTAGGGGTACTGACGACGTAGCGTCAGCCTACGTCAATGGCACTCTCACTATCGATGAGGCGGTGCTCCCTCAGATGAAGTCTTCTGGCATGAGGAACCAACAGGGTCCGGTGATCACGAACTCGCTCTTTGGGGAGCCGCTCTTCGCAAGGGTGAACGCTAGCGTCTATGGTTTGCGAACGAGCGACTTTCACATTGAAGTTGGCAACAGCGCTTGCGTGGTCAAAGATTATCGCTGTGTGGATGGCTGCCCCGACGAGAACGAACAGAATTTCCGAGCCTTCATCCCAGCCGGGGATCGCAAGTTCGATGCCGCTGCGAGTGGTTCGATGCCTTCGGCGAACGTTAGCGTCGTGCACCCGTTGAAGGACTACCACTTCAGTCAGCACTTTGAGGTAACCTGCGTACTGCAAGACGGGACTGTGGGACGGAACCTAGTGCCGGACATTGCGGTCGGCGGACAGGGCTTCGCCCTCTCACCTAATCTCACCCTGGATGTCGTGTTGGAGCTTCACTCGGTATACCCAATTGTGGGGAGCGTAGCTGGCGGTACCGAAATCGAATTTACGGGTTACGGACTTCAGCAAGTAGGCTGCCGCCACATTCAAATCGGTCAAGGCAATATTACATTGGAGGAGAGCGACAGGCCCACGCAGGACAACAGTACCAACTCGTCAGCCGCGGTTCCGACGTTCGTGCCGCACGGTGGTGCGAGCGGTCTGGCGAGGCACATTCGTCCCAAAAGCCTGTACTGCAAGATTCCCTTCATTTCGAACGTGTGCACAACCACAAGTGGGAGCAGCGGGAGCCCGGCCACATCACCGACCGCAAACCAGAGCAGCACAAACTCAACGCAAGCGCATCACGGTAACAACTCGGCCGGCAATGGTACCAGTGCTCCTGCTCCGTCGACAGGTAACTCATCCTTCGGTGGTTCGGCAAATGCGTCAACGGTGAACCCCATAACTCCAAGTAACAGTAGCGGCAGCGCGATGATGTCATCGGGCCATTCTCAAGGCGGTCAGAGCAGCATGCCCACGACGACTTCCACCGCAGTTCCTCCAATGGACTGCGACCAGGTCGGCCTCCGGATCCTCCGGGAAGAAATGCATGACTTCAATTTTACCTTCGATCCTCGACTGACACCGCGTATCGAGACGTTAACCCCGAACAAACTCGCCATCGGCTTTCCAGGTGTGCTCACGTTCCGCTTCACAGATTCTCCCGATTTCTTAGACCTTCCTGGGTTCCTTAATTCCGACGGCGACACCGCGTTTGACTACTCGGAGCACATTACTGTTGACCTTGTGGACTCGATGGTTTCTCGGAATGCTAGAACGAGCCGTAATTGTTTGATCAAGGAACTGTCACGCACACAGGTAGTGTGCCGACTGGCGCGAGACTTCGACACGCCGCGATATGTTGAGGATCCAAATCTGAGGGTTCAGTTCAACCACTATCTGCTAGATGAGGACCAGTACCGAGCACCGTCGGATTTCCTCCTTCAGCCGAAGATCTCGGTGAAACCCTTCGGTTACGCCCTCGTGGACGGTGCGGCAGAAGGACGTAATAACTTGGACACGGCCATGTACGTGACTAGCGTGGATCGATCTAACTGGCATGGGCTTGGTGGAGGTACGCCAACTGTGGTCAGCGGCGCCGGGTTTCTCGGAGGCCTAGACGCTCCCACAAGCGGTATGAGTACCATTACAAAACTGGTCCCTGGAATGGGGGTCGCGGAGAAAAGAAGAATCAATCCGCATACGACTATGGCCTTTGATTTGACGAACTATGCCGTTTTCTTGGACACGAACTTCACGTTTTTTCATCGTGGAGAGATGAACACGGAAAATTCCAAGTCTGAATGCATCATTGAGGAGATCACAGACACCGAGATTCGGTGCAACACCACTGCGGTACCCTACCGAGAACAGTTCGAGGCCATGCGGGTCGGGCGTTACTCCGGAACCGCGCAGGTCTCTACCACTGTTTCGGTCGTTGTCAACCTCGTGAAGGCGGCACAGTTCTGCGCACATGCGCATGGAAGTAGCGGCCAGACGCCTTGCCTGCACGATTCCTACTGGTCGTCAACGCCCACCGCAGTAGAAGTCTTTCCAAGTTCGGCTTTATCGGGAGAGTCGCTGGGCGTGGTCCTCTCAGGCGATCTGTTGCAGGGTCAAAACGTGGCCACACAGTACGCGCCCGCGCTGGCGTCGTTGCCGTCCGACAACACTTCGCGTCTGGACGCGCTAGACTACACGCCTCTGGTGCGCGCAGAACTTTTTCTCGGCGCCTACGACAACACGCGGTGTCTCCTCACATCCGACAATCGCGGCATCCGCCGTCCAACCGCATCGTGCCCACAGTGCGTCAGAGGCCACGGGGAGTGCGGCATCGTGGGTGGTCTTGCAGCCTGCATCTGTGACGGTGACTATTACGGTGTGCGTTGCGAGAACGAATGTAAATGCTCCGCGTTGGGAACTGAGCACTGTGTGAGGGGCGCAAGTGGCGGAACCTGCGTGTGCAAACAAGGCTTTACCGGAACCGAGTGCAACCTCCCACTGTCGCCCAACTACGTGCTCGCTGAGGTGACGACATTGCGCGCGCTGTCGTCGGGGGAAGATGGGAGTGCATTAACAGCGCGACCGATCTCGCGAAAGCCAAAATCGAAAGAACTGTTGCGACGATTGAGCGCCTTCGGATTCAAGAAGCCTCCTTCGCATCTTGCGGACGATGATAGTCGAGATGCTTGGGATCGCGAAACGCATGACGACGACGGTGAGAAACGCGTGACTGTATCGACAAACACGGGGTCGATGAGTCTAGCAAATCGAAGTCCATTCAGCAAGGGAGTAGTCGTTGCATCATCACGAAAACTTTCAGGCGCTCCGTCAAGCACCAGTGCTTCATCGAGTGGGCCGCAGCTCGAATTGAAGTGCGCTTCCTCCTTCAAAAGCACACGCCAGCCTTGTTCGGGACCCGGCGATTGCGCCTCTTGCAGAAGGAATTTTTATCCGAAGGCGAATCTCACCCAGACACTAGCAGCAAACGAGTCGGCAAGTCCGCACTTGCCACTACAGCTTCTGCCGTACGAGTCGGTTCCACGGAACGGGTCGCTTGACGTGCCATCGGATTCTCCCATCGTTCTAACGTTTTCTCACGCTATCAGACCGGTTTCGGGATTCGTAAAACTCATGAAGGAGACAAACTATTCCGAGTTGTGGGATCCTCAATATGTGGACTTTGTCAATCCGACGCTGGTTGTGAACGGTACCTTCCCACGTGATTTGCCGCATGAAGTCGCTCGGATTCCCTTGGACGATGCGTCCTTTTCGCCAGGCGGTCTCACCTCAAGCGGCTACCGCAATGCTGCTGGCCGTTCCATCAGTTTGTCAACTAAAGGGTTGACTTTGGAAGAAGACGCGACTTACTTTCTCGATTTCTCTGAGGCAGTGATCCAAGACGCTCAAAACCCAGCGCGAGTGTTTTCTGGGCGCGTTCCAGACGAGTTGGCGTCTGCTGGCTACGGAACTGCGAACGAAACGCTCTTCCGCTTTTACACGCAGAGAAGCATTCCCACGCATCACTCAGCGAGCTCGACAGCAGGAGCCTCCACTACTGCATCAGAGGCACCTCCGCGTCTCATGTTCTTTGACTACAAGATTTTTGAGGGCGCGGCCCCACTCGGCTCGTCTGGCGGTGGGCAGCACATGATACCAGCAAAGAACTACACTACCGCGCTAGTATTTCTTCACTTCGATTCCGCGATGGAAGCAACCCCCGAGGCTGGTGAGCAGCCCATGGAGATTCACATACGCGACTGTGGGGGTGTCGAGTGTCAATTCAGCGATTCGAGACTTCACCCGCTCAACACCACAGAAGTGCTGAACGGCCCCGCAACTGCGTGCGCTGACGTAGGGCTCGTTTTCTCGAATTTGACGACGCATGGCGAGTTTCCGAACTGTGCTTTCTACGCTGTGCAAGCGGCTGACGTTTTGTCGACTGCGAGCCCAGTAAACAGGCCAGCGCTTGCTTCCGAGTTCTTGGCAAACAGCTCATTGAACGGAATTGTCGTCGCGCGAGTACCCGTGCCGATGCCTCCTGCCACAGCTCCGAATCAGAAGCACCACTTGGAAGTGGTCCTTCGCAAAAACTTTGTCACTCGAAAGCTAGGCGGTACAAATTCCACTCACACCGCTGAGCAAGGTTCTAGTACTTCCTCGCAGGCTACTCGCCAGGAGTTGTATCTTCGGCTACCCATGGCCATTTACCCAGCTCGAATGAATCACGACAAAAACAATGTGGAACCGATGGTGACTACAGTGATGTGCTCTCGCACCTGCGCGCAGACTAACGAGTGTTGCGATTTAGCTCTTTCGGGGAAAGAGGGTGACAGCAGTTACCCGGGTGAGTGTGCGACGCGACAAGGAGCAACAGCTTGCCCTGTCAATCGGTACGGAGCGAACTGCGACCAAGCCTGCGATTGTTCTAGCGCGGGCACTGCGTTCTGCAACGACGGAAAGTTCCATCCCATGAAAGAGCATGCAGACGGCACTTGCGTGTGTAAGACGGGTTTCACAGGTGCTAAGTGCGACCAGTGTGCTCCTGGCTACATCAACTATCCGCACTGCAACTTTGTGTGCGCTGGAAAGACTCCATGTCATCCGCAGAACACGTTCAGCTGTTCCAGCGCACCCGGAATGTGCCAATGCAAGACCGGATTTCGAGGCGCTCTCTGCGATCAGTGCGACGTGGGATTCTATGGCGTCTCATGTGGGGTGGCGTGCAATGCGACAGTAGATTGCAGTGGCCACGGCGCTTGCGGCGCTTCGGCACGTCTCGTGAATGGCGTAATGCAAGACTTACTCACATGCCGTTGCGACTTGGGATGGAAAGGCCCGAGCTGCGCACAGTGTGACTCTGTACATTTGTGCAACGCTCGTGGCCACTGTGGCCAGATGCTGACTCGCGTCGTAGAGCGGGACGTGACGCGCAATGTAACGCGCCGCGTCGCCGTCAATGCTACCTCGCCCAGTATGTCAGGTAACACAAATAGCAGTAACAACATTGCGCTGATGTCCTCGAAGACCTCATCCTCAACCGTGAACTCTTCTACGAACGGCAGTAACTCTCCATCTTCAACAAGTGCAAGTCCACAACAGACGACGCAGTTTCGGGATGAGGTCGTTGAAGTCACGCGGATCGAAAATGTGACGGAGACGCGCGGACCGCAGTGCGCCTGCGAAAGCTTTTTTCACGGTGTCAGTTGCGAACACGATGCGCAGTGCCATCCGGGTGGCACCGACCGACTGGACGCGTGGACAGGAGAGTGCGTTTGTAAGCCCGACTGGTGGGGGTCACGGTGTGAGAACGCTTGCACCTGCTTTTCAGACCGCGTCCAAATGCATAACGGCATGCCATTTAGCCCTCTGCGTGTGCGCTCGGGTCAATGCAACGACGGCAACACAGGGGACGGAACCTGCACGTGCTTCGCCGGCTTCAATGGGACCAACTGCGAGACGTGCGCCGACTTTCACGTGCCTAGTGGCGACTGTGGGCAGCGCTGCGCACAGAACTGTGATGCTAGTGGCACGCAACGCTGCGGTGGCGTAAACGCAGCGACGTGCGAATGTTGGCCATGGCGAAGTGGAGCACGGTGCGAAGAGTGTCGCCCCGACTACTATCCAGCTCCTCCGGGATCCTGCTCCAAGTACTGCAAGGCGGAAACAACCTGCAATGGACGCGGTAGCTGCGACACGAATGGAGACTGCGTGTGCGGCGCTGGCTTCACGGGCCCGAACTGCGACATGTGCGCGATTGGATGGTTTCCGAGACAGCCTGAGCTGCTCTCTGGCCCGGTGCTGGATACCACAGGCTCGCATCCCATGCACGGGGCTTCCGCAGTGTCTGTCAAGGACAACCTCATTCTAAAGTTCAACGAGCCTATTCGTTTTGCGAATCTAGGCGCCTTGGAGCTCTGGGACGTGGCGAAGACATCCCGTCCAGAGTTCTCCTTTGATCTCGCGACGCTGAAGGACCAGCCATTTCATCGCCTCCTTAGCGGCAACTATTTCTACCTGACGCCAACGTCCGTGGCGATCGTTGGGACTAATCGGAGCGACAATACTGCTGCTGAGGCAACAGGCAACAGCAGCTCTTCGTCAGCGCCCTCAATGCATCCGGACACAAACAGGGAGCTACAGTTCCAGCCAGGAAAGAGTTACTTCTTGCGCAGCGCGGGACGGAAGATGGGGCTTTTGCAGGATCTTCAAGGAAACAAGATTGGCATTCTCGATACGCACCAGACCTACCAATTCTCGACAACTTCGTCCGCAAGCAATGTGGCCGTTTATCCGGTTTTCCATGTTGCGGAGCCACTGGAGTTTCTTTCTGCGGACGGGCAATTCTACCACGTCCTGCTGTCGGTTTACTTCAACGAGCACATCGCACAGAAATCAGGCACTACTTCAACGGCCATGCTCGAGGCGCACGACTGTGGATGGGATCTTGACTGTAGCGCAGCATGCGACAACATGCCACTTGACGGTGGAGCAGGCTCCACTGCGTTCGAAGCAGTAATGTTCAACACGGGCTACTCTCCGCAGGCTCTGCAAGTGGCTGGGGCATCCATGGCAGGCGTTCTTGGCTCCAACGGGGGAAATGCTGCTTACACCGAGAGCATCCCAGGTTTGCTTGCTGTGCAACTGCGGATACCGGCAACTGGTGCGGATCCACTGCGGCGCAAGATCTTGCTACGCATTCCGCCCAACCTGGTCACTGACAACGGCGGTAGCAATGCAAATGCACAAACGAGCGAATTCGAGTTCACGTTGTCTGGTGCAATCGATTCTCAGCAAGCCAACCCGCACGGCCTCTCGCCTTGCCACTGGTCGCCACCGCCCAACTCGACCATCAGCTCCTTTCAGCCGGACAAGGAGGGTATTTTTTGGGCCTTACCGAACACGACAGCGACTATGAATTTTGCCGTGCAGGTTATGAATATGCAAGACGACCGGGTGCTGGCGACGATGGGAGATCCTGGTGCTGTATTAGCGATTTCTCCGCTGGGACAGAACGCCCCTTTGGCAGGCGGCCACCGGGACATGCACGAGGTCCACATGCAATTACCGCCGAACAATGCAGATTTGGTAAACCAAGAAGGCCGCGGCATCTACTTTCGTGCAGTTCGTAGCTCGAATCTGAATGACGTGCTCTTCAACACGAAGACCTATTACTCGCTAACGTTGGCCAACAGCAGCATGAGCGAGCTCGTCGCTCTCGACACCGCATCCGGTGAGACATTCAATGCGCAAAATAGCAGTTTCCTCACTTTCTATCTCGAGTTTTCGCGCCCTTTAGCGACAGTGAACGCGCCATTGGCTATGAGCAGTGTGAATCTGACGGATTGTGGCGTGGACTTGGATTGCTCGCACACATGCGACAATGCGGAAATGCGAATCGAGACTGTCTCCATCTCTCCCTCGGGACACCTGGTGGTGTCTGCCAGTGGATACATGCCGGAACCACACAACGTGCCCATGGGGGTTGTCACACAGACGCACGCACGACGCTTCGAGCTAGTGTTTGATGAACCAGGAATAGTTGCGGACATTCACGGCACGCCGACCGCTGCGACGCCTCCGCTCCAGAGCATCGAAGTGCTGCTAGGACGAAATCACTTTGATCGAAGCGGACCTTTCCGCGACAGCCCGAAAATCAGCGTCTGCGAAAGTTTTCCATCGCAAGGGAAATATCAGTCCCATTCGATCCGCACGACTCATAGTGGACCAACGCCGCCGCGCATAACCTCCAGAGGCACGATAGCTCAGACGGGCATGATCGTTGTCACGTTCGATCGTGATATCGAGCGCATACCAGGAGCATTGGGTATGGTGCGCGTCGTTGGCCGTCGTTTGAACGGACATCGTCAGCTCTTGGAAAGCATGTATGCGAATAATGCTGTTCCAACCGGCGATGAAATGTTCGAAGAAGTTTTTGATGAAAATGGCGCACTGGAACGCTCTTTGAGCATGCATGCAAGTAACTCGACCCACAATGGCAGCAACGCTTCGAGCCAAAACGGCAGCAACGTGTCGTCTTCCGGTAATGGATCTTCCGGCATTGCTAACGGGGGGAACACATCCAACACCAGTCAGCCGATGGCAAAGAGCAGCGCGAAGAACGCGTCCAGTGGTACTCTTCAGAACACTTCTACAAAAGGTTCAGGTGCGACCGCTTCTCCAATGAACTCGTCACAAAATGGAAGCAACCAATCGGCAGGTCCTCAATATGGGGCTTCCGGTGCCGCTGCGCCGACGGCAGATATAGACCTTACCCACTTAGGCATTCCAGCGGACAAGATTGTTCTCGCTGGGCGGCACATGATTATCGCGCCTAGTCTCGGCAACTGCTCTGCGTCCGAAGGTACAGGACAGTCAATGATGGACGGTCCTGCGCCTATTTCGACAGATTGCATTCTGCGCAATCGGTTTGCTTCGGGTCATGACTTCTTTGTGGAAATTCCGGCAGGCTTATTTCGTCCTCGAGGACACGCCGCTTCGGGCAGCAACATGCAATTTGACACTGACGAGTACTTCAGCGCTCGCGTCAACGCGACGCCGTCCCTCGGTAATGCGGCTGCAATCGTCGGTCATCACGTGAGCTTTGATGAGCATTCGAATCGAACCGAGGTGCAACTAATTCTGTCCGAAGAGATCGCTGAAATTGTTCCTCGCGGCGCTGCACCGGAGGACTTTGTGAATGTCACTGACTGCGGCATTGACCTAGATTGCTCCCTAGCGGCTGACCATCCCAGCGATATGCCGCAAGTGTGGTTGTTGGCCAATTCGACTGCCTTCGAGAAAAAAACGATAGTGTTCCAGTTTGCTGGCGATTTGCGCCAGCGGGTGTTTGAGATCCGTGTGCAGCGTGATTCCCTTGTTGCTTTACGCAGACACTCATCTGGAAGCTCCATCACTGGTCCAGCCGATGCAGATTACGTGTTCGAGACCCCAAGATCGATGTTGGTGGATCCACGTGCGATGACGACGACATTGGCGAAGTGCTCCTTCCAGTGTGATTGCGTAAACGGCGACTGCGACGCGAACACGGGTCAATGTGTGTGTCCTGCGAAAGCTCCGAACGAGTTGAACGGCTTCTATGGAGCAGCGTGCCAATACTTCAGCGACTGCCATCCAGACAACACAGTGTCCGCGGAAGGAGTCGGCACGATTGAGGGGACGGGCACTTGCACGTGCAAGCCCGGCTTCTTCCGACGTGATTGCTCGGGACAATGTGCATGCCACGCTGCAGGCACGATTGCCGGCGGGCAGTGTGATCCCTTCACCGGTGCATGCACTTGTAAGCCTGGATGGGCTGGTGCCCGCTGTGACCAGTGTGCGGCGGGCTTCGTTCCGCACGGCATCTGTTCTCTCAACTGTGCACCAAAAATGTGCGACGCGCGTGGCACGATGGCCTGCTCCAGCGCGAGCTGCCTCTGCCGGCCTGGATTTTTCGGAGAGTTGTGCGATCAGGCTTGCGACTGCCACCAACGTGGTTCGCGCGGCTGCAACCAGCAGACCGGCACGTGCGACTGCGTCGATGGCTGGGGTGGCGCAAAGTGCGACCAGTGCGCAACAAACTTCTACCCAGAGGGGCAGTGCTACACGTTCTGTGACGCGGCGACCACCTGTAACGGCCATGGCAGTTGCAAGAGTGACGGCAACTGCGAGTGCGACGCCAGCTGGGCGGGAAGCTACGACTGCAATACCTGCGGCAAGGACTACTATGGCCCTCAGTGCGGTGCATACTGCGAAGCAACGACCAATTGCACAGCCCCGTCGCACGGTTTTTGCAACCCGGCAGATGGCAGTTGTAGTTGCTACGAGGGTTGGCTGGGATCTGACTGTGGGAGTATGGATGTTTCAATTTTGGATGCCGAGGTGTGCGAATTTCCCGCGGGCATGCAAAACTCGTATTTGAAGATAGAAGCCGACTACACAAACCTCACGGGACACAACGTGACCCTGCCACCCAACGCGTCCGCCGTGGGCAACCTGAAGCATCCTCTGACGTACGCGTTGAACATGACGGGTACACGAAGCACACCGAATTTGCGCTTCTCCCAAGCCTTCGACATGGCTGCTATCGACGTCTCTCGGGGATCCGTGGCCGGCGGCACACAGGTTGCTATCACCGGTCGTGGCTTCGGTTTCACGACAGGCTATCACTCGGTGTTTGTGGTGTACAACACGAGTCTAGACGCCGCGGACCCGACCGCCACCACTTGTGTTCGTCCCGACGTGCTCACGATCGGCGAATGCGCGATGAAAAAAACACGGCACGGCGAATTTCGCTGCATCATGCCAAATGCGGACGAGCCTGTGCACCGTCCACGCGCTTTCGATTCGTGGCGTAATGTGCCGAGCTTGCAATTTTTAGACCAGGATTTTTCTCGTTGCACAGCCTAACTTTTTTGCAAAATTTGGCTAGCGTAAGGAGGCCCAGACCTCTCCGGACCGAAGTCGCCACTCCACTGGCTTTGCAGTGGACCCGCGGAGCGGTGCTCCCCTCCCTGGGCTGGCGAAGCATGGACGCGGGAGGCGTCTCCAGAGGAGCCGCCGCCCTTAGGGCGCTCTGATCGGAGACGCTTGGGAGCGGTGTCAAAAAGAGGCCGAAAAAGGGCCCACTTTGACACCCCAAACGAGGTGGGTCATTTGGCGACACTTTTGGCCCCAAAAGTGTCGCCTTAAGGCACCCCCTTGGCCCCACACCACTAGGTGGGACCGTTTCGGTCCTCATAAAACGTGTCGACGTATTATTTCGAAAAATTGGGTGCAAAATGCACACCATTTTTGTCGCCACTTTTTTGACCAAAAAGCCCCCGTCTCCAGAACGCCTTGCCTGGGTCAGACCTTGCGCCAGGTGCTGCCTCCATGCGCGGCGGGCCGGATGGCCTTGGCGTCTGCCGCTCTGCGGATGTCGACGGCTCCGAAGGCCCAGCCACGGCCATGCGGTGTCCGGGGTGTATGGGAGTGCGCGAGGCCTTCGCAATGGCTGCATTTAGAAAAAAGAACTAAGGTTGTTAAACGAGAAAAATCCTGGTCTAAAATTTGCTATCCGCCCTACGAACATTGTGGCAGCGAGTGTCTCCACCGAAGGTGTTTGCCTGGCCGGTTCGCATGCGCCGAGGCCTAACGAGCGCTTACCCCTGGAACTGACAAGAGAGCAATGCCATGCCGAGTGTGTGGATCGCTTTTGGAAGGGGTGTCGTAGTTACAGCAGCGGCGTTGACCTGAAAGCGGGACAGTGTGTGCTGTCCTACGATCTCTGCACGCGTGTGGGGCGTTTCAATTCCCGCGATGAGGCTAACACCTTCAACTACCTTTCCATGGTGCCGTATCGTTTAGATGACCCGGATTCGATTGGTTATGGCGACGTCGAACACGAAATTCCTTCCTATTTGTCCGATCCAGCGCGTGTGAATTTCACCTACGACGCCTCGCCGTACATGGTACGCGTGTCGCCAGAGGCTGGATTTGCCGGCGATGCACTTGATGTCTTCGTAGATCGGCCGGTTTTCGCAGGTACTAGTGGACAGAACTGGACCTTGCCAGTGCGGGGAGACCATAGCATGCCTCCTGCGCATCCAGTCGTCGTTTTGGGTCGCGGGACAGATTGGGACACTGCGATCACGTGCAACGTGCAGTCGTACAATAGTTCCCACGTCGGGGCCGGGGGAAGTCACGAAATGCACGTGCGGTGCGTGCTCCCACCAGCAGTGCCGGCAGGAATCTACGAAGTGAAAGTGTACCAGCCAAACATCGGTTACACATTAGGACGAACTGCGAACGGAATTCCCGTGCAGTTCCAGAGTCTCTTCGAAGTGTCAGCGGTGAGCTCTCTCTTTGGCCGCTTGTCGGCAGGACCGATGGAAGTGCCGCCTTTGCCTCATGCAAGCGGCAGTGTGACGATGCCAAGCAACAATAATGCTAGTACAATGAACATTTCTGGGGCCGCTTCGCACACTCGTGCCAATTCCCAAGGCCATGAGGTTTCGCTCGCTTGCAGCGATCCGGCGGGTGGATGCTATCCGCTCCAGGGTGGCCTGGGGGGTGGCGTGGACCTTTACCTGCACGGGCGAGGATTCGGTCTGCACCCGGATCAAATGTCCGTTTCGATTTGCGGTCGCAAGGCCGAAGTCCGCAGCTCGCAGTACAACCAGATGGTCGTGCGCACACCACGGCTCCAGAACTTGGCGATTCTCAACGAGTTGTACTTCAACAAGAGCGACATGTCGAATCTGGATCGCGCCTACTTTTACGAAGACCTTCGCACTGCGGAGGGATTACCAGAGCCGGCGCGAATTTTTGGGGCACACTCTGGTTCGGTCACTGGCAATTCGTTCTGGCAGTTTATGCAGCTGTTTGACAACGACTTGGTCGACTTCCCGTCACTTCCCGGAAGTGACTGCTCTGTGGGCTTTGCGCTACCGGAGGGCTATCTGGCTCTGGTGAAACAAGTGAAGTTCTACCCGCCATACAGCCAAGACGATCGCGCCACGCTTCGGAACACCCGCTTCCAGATTGCGAATGACACGTCTGGCAGTGGCTACACGACGATGTACACCATTCCGGGTAGCGGGTATGTAAACGGGGGCTGGAACACGATTGATTTCGATGCCAATGACGGTAGCCCGTTCATCGGGCGTGTCTTCAGATACTTGGGTCAGAGCAACCAAGGTTGTCGTCTGCGAGAGCTGAAGTTCACAGGGTACATAATTCCAGCTGCAGCCTACGCTAGCGGCCTAAATTGTCCTGTCGTAGTAAAGAAAGTCGAGCATCCCGACGCGCACTTCGCCGGTCTCTCGTCTGATGCGAAAGCGCCGGGAAAGAAACATGTCGGCGCGGAGAACTTTGAACAGATTTCGACTGTAGCACCGAGCCCGATGCCGAGCAAAGTTCATGCGATTCGCACAGCACAGCCTGATATGGCAGGTTTCGCGTTGATTCCGAACACGCTGGAGCCTGCTTATCCCCGCGATTACGCACGTTTTGCTTTGCACGTGAAGAACGCTACGGAACCGTTCTCCCTGGAGGTTTTGGCGACGCGAAAGGATGGCTCAAGCTTCGTGCACGGCGTGCTCACGCCGGCAATGAGTGGCGTCAGTGGTGGCAATGCGAGCAGCACTGGAAGTATGGCACGCCGCGATATTCCTCGAGTGGAACTCGCGGGCACGACGGGAACGCCGGTGCTCACGGCGCTCACTCCAACGCCATTGACGGTGGACTCGCCCGGGGTCTACTACTTGGACCTTGCTTCCTACGTCCACAGCAGCAGTTCTGGGATTGTCGCGTCGGCCGTGGTCCACGAGGTCCGTGTCGCGCCAGGCTCGGGCTCGAGCGTGGTGCTGCTGCAGCCCTCTGCCGTGATTGAGAAGTACAACTCTTCGGCGCATGAGCCGCTGCACTACCGAGCTGAATACGGACTGACGCCCTTCATTGAGGACGTCGACCCACGAAACGGGACCGCGCGTGGCAACACGCTCGTGTCCGTGATGGGCAGGAACCTGGCGGATACTCTCTACCAAGGTTCGGAAATTCGGGACAACGACCTCTTGAGTGGCATGGAGGACGCGAACGCCCTGCTACCAGCCGACTTGGACCAAGTATTTGACCTTGTGTCCGCAGAGCGGTCGACTGCCGCGATGCGAGCCGAACGAGCGCAAAATATAACAGGGACCAATGGTTCCGCACATCTTTTCGCCAGCCGTTTTGCAGAAGTGGTCTTCAATGGTTACTCCTGTCGCGAGGCCACGCATTGGCGCAACCGAACGCAAGACGGTTTCCAGTGTCGGACCTCGCCACGAACTGACGGGATCAAGCCGAGCGACTTTTCGGTACGCATCCCAGGCAAGGGGTTTGCCTTCCGCAGCGACCGGTTACGCATCTTCTACCGCTACCTGGACAAATGGTCGGACCCAGCTAACTGGCTGAACGAGGAGAAGCCAAGAAAGGGCGACTCTGCCTGGGTACCGGAGGGCCAGGCCATCATGGTGGACGAGAGTGTTCCGGAATTAGGGTTGACTTACGTCGCTGGTGTGATGGTGTTTGACAACACGAGACCGCGGCTGACGTACGACTCCACGTGGTTCTGGGTGCACGGAGGAACGCTCGAGATTGGTACTGACCTGATTCCGTACAACAATGACGTTGTGATCACGCTGCACGGCGACAAGTATAAGACGGTCGAACTGCCCTACATTGGCCAGAAGATGCTCGTCGTCACTAACCAGGGCAATATTGGAGGCGATACTTCGGTAGCGCGTGCTGTCGGCAAGCTGGACATCCACGGTCGACGAACGCAAAACTGCGTCCGTCTAGGCTTCCCAGCAAACCCGGGAGAAGATTTTGTCATCGTGGACAAACTCCCGGACACTTGGCGGCCGGGCTACGATCTCGTCTTTGCGAATCCAGTGGAGGAGGCGACTTTGCGCAGCGCCAACACGACTACCTTCGATCGCGCAAACAACCTTCTCATGATAGATGGTAGCCCAGTTGTCGTCTCCGGCGACACGGTGCGAAAAGCAGAAGTTGACGTGCTTGCGAGCCTGCTAGGTGAAGAATCTGCTACCCAAGCGGAGCAGATGTCTTCAATTGGCGCTGGTCCATCAACCAGACATCCGCCACAGATAGAAGAGGTAGCCGTGCTTTTTCTTGAACGACCGCTGCAGCAATTTCACGAGGCCACTGAGTACCGCTACTTCAATGACGAGCGGAACACCATTCCTGATCTTCGACCACACATCTGTACGCTTACGCGCAACATTGTTATCCAGGGATCCGAGGACTCGCACTTGGCGGACTGGGGCGTCCACACCGGTGCCTTCTACGGCGGTGAGTACCGCCTCAAAGACGTGGAAGTGCGAAACTGCGGGCAGGGAGGGCAGATGGGACGCTACTGCACTCACTTCCATAAGATGTCTCCTGGGCGTAACGTTGATGTGTACAAGTCATACGTGCACAACAGCGCAATTCACCACAGTTTCATGCGTGGCGTGGTGGCGCACGGCACCTGGTTCACCGTTGCGGAGGGCAATGTCGGCTATTTGATCAAAGCACATAACATGCAAATCGAGAACGGCGACGAGCGGGAGACCAAGTGGAAGGACAACGTCTTCATCAAAGCAGTTCCGATGGTCCTCGGTCTGGCCGATGACACGACACCCGCGACGTACTGGGCCGTCCACGGCAGCGTCATCTGGGAGAACAACATTGGGTATGCGAGCGCCTTCGGCTATCGCTTCAATCCCAAAGGAGAAAACGCGCACTTCAGCATCCAGTTCAACCAGATGCTCAACAACACGGCCGTTGGTTGCGGAGCCGCCATTCAATTTTTTCCGGCATGGACTCCGGTGCCCGACCTCTACGTTAACAAGTTCACTTCTCTGCAGTGCAGCCAAGCCCTTTTTGTCAAGCTGTGCAACAACTGCCACTTCTGGGATTTCAACGTGATTGAGACGCCCACTGGCTATGGAACACTGAAGACGAATCCGGCGGACAACCCGACTCTTCCGATGTTCCAAAATTGGCTCTTCGTCGCCGACCGTCACGGCGTGAACCCGCTGAACCGTCCTGGACCAGCCTTCTTCCTGAATGGTTTCGACGGCTACTGGATGCACAACATCACGGTCGTCAACTACGGGACCACGCCGCCGCTCAAGGGTTGCATGGCGTGTCCCGGAAAAGGTTATCTGGTGCCCACATACCGCGTGAGCGGCTTCGCGGTGGAGAACACGACTGGAGGTGCTGTGAACACGGACGGCTTTTCCCGCTATCCGATTTGGTACGACATGGACGGATCAATTACCGGATTTAAGAAGCAGGGTGGCTACATCTCAGGCCAGTTCGGTTTCAATCGGTGGGACCGAGAATCACTCGCTGCACACACTCCCTCGTACGCCGCAGTTGACACCCGGGCTACGAGCGACTCGAGCTGGAATTACGACCGCGCGCAAACCGGTCAGGTATGTGTGTTCAAAGATGAAGGCCGAAGCGCGCAGCCGATGCACTGCAATCGTGAGCATGTCCACGTCCGTTACGGTACTGTCAACGATGTTTCAGGGTATGCCGTGGCAAACCTGGACAACAACGAGCTGCGAGTTTCGTCGCAGGTAGGCCACGACGACATTCCATGGATGTCCCAAGGTTCCGGCATCACCAATCCAGCAGCAGGATGGTTCTTCCCACTCGTCATGGCCAAGTTCCGCGGACAGGCTGTTGCGCCTGTTAGCGAGAAAATCGGGAACTATAATCCTCAACAGGCACAGATGCCAGAGTACCCGAGCACGGTGGGACATACGCCGTACCGAGACTACAAAGACCTCCCCTTCTGGTACACGATCGATCCGTATCCGACCCCGATGGACTTCCTGAAGATGCGCTCGCAGCTGTCGCATGGGTGGTGGGAGGACGCTCAGGAAGAATGGGCCGGATTCTTCTACCCGTTCTTTCGACCCAACTTCCGCAAAACCTTCCAAATCGGACACGAGAAGTCCAACTGGGACGGCGGCAGCGCGCTCTACCGTGTACGAAACGAGGTTGCGCCGACGAAGAAGCGAAACGCATTTCCGACACCCTTTGACGGACACGGAGCACATGCGATGTTCGTGCAGTTCGGTAGTTTTTCAAACTCGTCAGGTGTGAACGACATGCAGCACCACGGACAAGGCTACTGCTACGCCAACAGCTGGATGGCCAAATCGGGCCAAGCTTACTACGCCGATTGCAACGACGGCAACACCATTGCTCAGAGGACTAATTTAGCACAGTGCAAAGCGTTGTGCCTGCGCGAAACCAACTGCAAGTTCATGACCTTCAACGCAGACGGTGACGGCTGCTGCGCACGCTTCGCTGAAGGCGTCTGCCAGCTGTCGCGAGACGGGTACCATATGGACACCTACAAGAAGATCGTTGTTGAGTACCCAGGCAGCCGCTTCGAGACGGACGGCTCCGCCACTACAGGATGGACAAACGAGACCGACGTTCTAGAGCTGCGCACGACGCAGAGGACCACGCACCTCGTAACCGATGTGCTGGACTTGTTTGAGGTGCAGCAAAGCTTGAATAAATTCGGCATGCTCACGCGGGACTGGCGGGACCGGGACACCAACCAGCGCAAACAAACGTACCTGTCGGATTTTGTGTCCTACACAAGAATGGACACAACCAGTGGTAGGTGGGAGACGGTCAATGCTCTTGGTCGCGACGACCTCGACCAAGGCATGGTCACAGTGCCGACAAACCTGACGTTTTCCTACACGACCACGGACTTCCAGTACCAGAACATTCTGGCAGATATGGGAGCAAACGGAAGTTTGGCGGTGATGCACTCGCACAAAACTGAGTGGAGCACTTTGAACCCGATCGCGTTCCAGTGCCCCGTGGCTGGCTGTCCGATCGCGCCCTCGCAAACTAGCGCAACCGCGCAGCTTTGGGAGAACCCGGAGACTTGGCCTAGTGGCAAGGTCCCAGAGCCGAACGAGGTGGTGACGATTGACGAGTTCAAATCGGTGATCCTGACGACCGAAACAGCGCGCATTCGGCGGCTCACGATTTTGGGAAAGTTGACGCTGATGCCTCCGATTATGCGCAACGCAGAATGCACGGACGCAGGAGGTGTGCCGTTGTGTCCGGTAGAGAAACCATGTCGCAAAGACCAAGACCCCTCCATGCTCACCTGTCGCGGATACGAGGTGTTTCATAACGAAACTACGCGGGCTTCGCCATTCTTGTCGCACTTAGCTGATATGTGTGCGGTTGGGTGGACCGACTGCGCCAATCATACGACTACGCAGATGTTGAACGTGCACACCATCCAGCTCCATGGGCAAATGTTCGTAGGAAGCAAGCCGTTTCCATACCTCGGGAACGCGGAAATTTCGCTGCACGGACCAGAAAGCTGTCCCACAACGAACGCGGGTTGTCTGGCGGGCAACAATGGTCAAGGTGAGGGTTGGCCAGGCATCACGATGCGCAATGGTATCGACATGAACAACAAGCTAATCGGCGTTTTGGGCGAACTCCAAATGCATGGCGCACCACTCCGCTGCATCTTCACAGGTTTAGCAAAAACGGCTAATCCAACAGACAATGCGATTATGGTCGACTTCTGCCACGACGCGCTGCGAACCGAGTGGCGCGTTGGGATGCAGATCGAGATCACCCCGACCGAGTATCCCGCCAACGCGATGGAGGTGGGAAAAACGCAGGCGGAAGTATTCACTATCACGCAGACGCCGGAGCTGGTGGAGAACACACAGTTGTACGAATTCGGAAAGGCATGGCGTATCCCTGTGCGCCCACAGGTGATGAAACGGCATTTTGCTGGAAAAATTACAGCAGGAGACGCCGATATTTGGTTCAAAGCGCACGTCGCCTTGATTGACCGCAGCATCCGATTTGTCTCGGAGGAGGGTATGAACCAAGTGGTGCCAGACTTGAATCACGGTGCCGGCATCACGGTCATCGACAACGAGGACGGAAGTATCACAGGCGTTGCATCCTTGTCGTCAGTGCAGTTTACCAATACGGGTAAGCACGAGTATCAGATTCCGTCGTTGTACTTCTTCAGTGGCGACGGTCGCGACTTCAGCGCGAGCTCGGTCGAATCGTGTACATTCTTCTATTCCGGATTCGAAGCGGTACGAGTTGCGGGTCCAGCCAACATCGCGATCCGGCGCAACTTCTTTTCGCGACAGAAGGGTTCCGCTGTCCATGTTTTCCGTGGTCGCGCGATTGTCATCGAAGACAATCTCGCAAGCACCATGTGGCGGCACAACGACGAGCGCGTACGTCATCCATTCGGAAATTACTGGCCACGCGCGCTCTTCCAAACGTACGATTCCACGTACGACGGTTCTGTTGCGAGCCTTATGCGCAACATCGCTGCGGGCTCGTGGGATCACGGCTTCATCTTCCGTCCCGCTGCCTGCTCAAGCAGAGCGCAGCGCAACGTCTACGGAGCACACCTTCCGGATGCGCAAAGCTCTCGCAACCACGCATATGGTAACCTCGTTGGTTTTCACATTCGCCGTGGATGTCGACCGGCCGGCGGCGGCCCCAAGGCCTGCTCACGCGAGCCTATGTACCAGTGCGTGCAGGCGGAGTATCTCACTGCGTGGAAGAACGGCCACGTCGGTATCGTGTGGGCTGACCAGCCTTCGAATCTGAAGATAAGAAAAGTGACAGTCGCGGACAACCACATCGGCATCACGGGTCACTTCCACCGCCAGTCGAAGGAGTCGTTGCTCGAGTTTACTCTCGAATATTCCGACATTCTGGGTACGACAGATATTTCCACATGCTCGGACAGCCTCGATGGGCGGTCCGCGCGCGTGTCCGATCTGTACAACACCACAGCACCTTCGGTGGTTGGAAACGCGTTCCGACACGTCGGCTTGATGGCGCCACTGGTCACAAACCGAGGTTTCACCTGCGAGGACGGACCCAACGTTCCGGACGCCATCTGCTTTGCCGCGAGAGCACTCTATCCGGACCGCAACTGCGCGATGCCATGGGAAAACCGCTACGGAATCCGCGGAAGTCGCTACGGCCGCTTCCTCGTGGACACGATTCGCATTGGTTACTTCCATCACAAGGACGAGACGTATCTTGGCGCGAACATCGGCAAATGCGGACGCAACAGCGTCGCGGTCACCTACAATCCGACAGCACGCGACTACAACCCGAGCATTGATTTCCGTGGCGTCACATGGGTGGGACACAACCGTGCGAGCATGCGACGTCTGTCAGGCGACGATAAACGTTGGAACATCGAGGAACAAGCTCCGCATGTCAAGTTGCTTGATTATTCAAAGCCACAGAATATCTGGCACAAGCTTGACGACTACTTTTTTCCGACCTCTCCAGCGGATTATAGCGAGTCCACTTTGGACGATGCGGCAGCAGACGTTCGAGCGAGCTGTGGTGGAGACAGTGGAGCGTCGTGTCGATTGCGCCAATTGGAGCGAGAAGACGACAGCTTGTTCACCGCCGAGCAAATACGGCTGTCAAGTCCGTGGCTCAGACTCCTCGACCGCATGTCGAGACCGAAGAAGCTATCATTTGAGTCCACAGATGCGTCAAGAGCATCGTCAACGTTAGAAAGCAAGGTGATGTCAAGCGCTCTAGTTGCTGTTGGCAAAGGTTCTGCGTTGAGCACGGCCGATGGCGTTTCGTCACGACGCCGACGACGACTTGCGCCGGAGAACCAGCCCTCGTCCGATGGTCGTTTCTACCTCTCCTACTTCCGTGGCAAAGGCTCCTCGGACACCAGCTGCGATTACCCTGGTTGCCCAGGCATGCTCCACTTCTGGTTGAGCGATCTAGATGGCACACTGACGGGCAAGAGCGTGGCCTCGCCCTCGCAACGCGCCACTGTGCTTCCTGACGTGTCGGCACTAACTGATGCGTCGAAGTGTACGGATCCGGCGCGCGGCTCATACGTATGCCAGAACATGCCGATGGCTCTGCTAAACTGGGACTCTGCGGATCACGACTGTTGTGGTTGGGATCGACGCGAGCTAGGGCATTTTGCCATCACACGCAATAGCGACGGCCGCGTCACCGCTGGCCAGCACATGTTTGACCACTTGGACTGTCCGCGTGGTTGCGAGTTTGGACACTCCTTCTACCCCATGGCGATTGAAGTGAACAACGAGTACCAGCTGGTTGTGCCAGCTTCGATGCCGCAGGAGCAGTGGCTGCACTTTTTCTCTTTCATCGATACAGAGTGGGTCGTAGTGAAAATTTACTATAGCTCGCCCTTGAAGATTCGGCCCTACATCGCTGGCGAACCGATTCACGAACTTTCGCTTGGTGGTGACAGGCTGGAAAAGCAAGTTCCAATCTCTGCCTACGGAACCGGTCCTGGGTGCTCACGCGCGACACCTTGTTCTGGATCGGTCGCTGCGTCCCCGGAGGCTGCTTTTCCGCACGGTGCACACGTCCAAAATCCGCAGGAAAAGTTCTTTACGATTGTTTTGCGTGGTCTTGGCGGAACAATTCCCCACACCTACGGCGCAGGTGGCGGTAAACCCGGTACGAGTACGCGAACGTCCGGCATCGTCCACAAGGGCTTCTTCTTGCAAACGGTGGCGGTGGTGCAGGTGGACATGAAATTGTCCATGGACATCAGCACGTGGGAGAGCAACGCCGCACAGAACGAGCTCTCATTCAAGAACTCGATTGCCACGCTGCTTGGCATCCCCTTGGGCCGCATTAAGGTAGTGTCGGTCACCGCGGGTTCGGTCAACATCAACTATGAGGTCGAGGAGGACAAGCCCGTGCTCACCGACGATGCGATTGAGAGCAAGGAGACACCTACTGACTCCGTGTCTGCCGAAGCGCCACTCGCCAATGTGCCAACTAGCATCTTGCTTGCTGACGCACTGGCCGAGGGTAAGAACGAAACGGAGGCCGCGGCGCAGGTCGCACAGCAACAAGTGGAGCAGGTGGCGCAGGTCGCCGCAGTGGAGCAGGCAGCAGCCGCCAACAACATCACCTACGAGAGCTCTGGCACGCAGAAAACCGCAAACGAGACTGCGGCGGAGCACACGGCGGCCTACTCGTCCCTCGAGGCCTTGCGGCAAACCGTTTCTCAACCAAACGCGGCAATTACCAACGCCTCAGTCGTCGGAGAAGCGCTGCGGGCGCAGGGTCTGCAGGTAGAGGTCCTGGCGATATCGGCGGAAGTTCCTGTCGTACCCGAGGTGGTGACAACGCAGACCGTGACTACCACATCCTGCAACATCAATTTGCTCGATCATGCGACAATCGAAGTTCCGGAAAGTTGTTTGTGCACCAGCGTTGGTCTGCAGGCTTACGGCGACCGCTGCGACCAGACGAACTTGTGCCTGGTGAACGGTACAGGTTCCCGTAGTTTCTCTCGTGTAGGTGATGGAACCTGCGTCTGCAAGGACAATTGGATGGGCGCGTACTGCCACCACTGTGCACCCGGTTTCTACGGAAGCAATTGCGACCATGCGTGCACAGCAGGTGGGCTCACGAATCTCGCAGGTGCCGCTTCGAAGGCGCAAGAGCAGTCAGTTGCACTTGCTTCGCAGACTGCGTGTGGAATAGGCACATGCTACTCGACGTTCCAGTCGAGCGATGTGTACGGCCCACTAGTTCCGAATCTCTTGCGCCTGCAGCGGTCACTGAGCGCGGATAGGGACCCTGCAATAGGTTTCTCGACGCCAGCTGTAGCAAATGGCAGAACACTAGAGCAGCGTGATGATGACGATGCAATGGATACGCCAGAGGCAGACGAAGAACTCGATTTGGAACCCCGACGTCCACTGGGTGGAGATAAGAGTCAGTTAGAACTTGGTGGAGGTGGATATGAAACTGCCGGTTCTTCTCGTTTCGGCGACGCAGCCTATGGCTCGTGGATGCGGCGGTTGCAAACGCTAGGCTCCCACAAACCGAAGACCTTGTGGCCACGAGAGGGTGCGGCTGTCCACGATGCTAAGAACGCCCACGAGCTTGTATCTTCAGATGCGCTCGTGACAGACGTTCAGGAACTAGAAGCCTCAGAAAATCCAAACGTCGTACCGGAAGTACAGTTGCAATCTTCAGCATTGAAGCGAAACGCAGTGAAACACGCACAAGCATTGCGCACAAGGCGTGGATTCTCAAGTGCGCAACAGAGAGACCTAATGGAGATTATCGAGGAAGCGTTCGCGGATCTTGACATGCATGTGCTTCCTTCGATCGATGGCGATGCGCTTTATCTCAATTTTGACGTGTCATCAAGTACAAAAGAACTGACTCCCGCAAAACGTCGCCAGCTGTCGGACTTCTTCACCTCGTGGGAGGGTAGAAAGAGGTTTCTCCCGGCACAGGGCTCTCGTTTACTGTACACCTTCAATGCGCAGGCATGGTTCGACAACCTTGTGCCGGTCGTGCAGTGTCGCTGCAATCCGGGTTGGTACGGCAAAGACTCTACGTCAGAGCACTATTGTGTGAATCAGTGCGACTGCCATGCTCCTGGCAGTGACGGCTGCTACGACGGCCAGGATCCAGGTGTCATCGGCACAGGAATTTGCAAGTGCAAGCCAACCTTCTCTGGAACACGATGCGAACAGTGTGTGACAGATTGGTTTGGAACGAACTGTACAGTGAACTGCAATGCTGCAACTACTTGCAACGGAAATGGAGTCTGCAACACCGATGATGGATCATGTGGATGCCAGAATGGGTAAATACTAAATGCATGCCTGCTACAGATTATTAATTGATTTCTCATTGACTTTGCTGTCTAAATAAGAAGAAGAAGCTGGCTCTGGCTTCAACAGCACAATCTCTCGCACAACTAAGTTGAAGTTCGGAAGTCTTCTAAGTAGATTCTTTAGCTATGTTGATAGACGAAAATCAAATTCGGCTGAAGATATCTTGCTTGTTTGAATTTTGTTTACTTTGCAGGTATTCCGGGACGTACTGCACTTGCCCGCCGTGTGTTAATGGTGGGACTTGCACAGGAGGAGCGAACAGCCGTTGCTCGTGCGTAAATGGCTACGTAGGAGACCGCTGCCAATTGCCACCCATCGAAGGCGGGTTCTCATATGTCGAGGCATCCTCAAGTTGGACCGACTGCGAATATTCTAACGCAAACTGTGGCCCCGGGTACAAGTATCGACCCCTTGTGTGCCAGTTCCAGAACAAGACGAACCACGAAATTTCGATCGTCAGCAGCTTATATTGCGTGGGAGAGGGCGTCCCGATTCCAACACAAAGAACAAACGAGAAGTGCCCTGACCGTGCTGGAGTGCCAGCAAGTTGCAGCTGTACAAATACCCCGACACATCACACAGTCGCGAACATGGCTAGTCTAGCATCGTGCGCAAATGGGATCATCCTGCCCGCGAAAAACTGTACAGTGGAATGCCAGCCTGGGTAAGCATCTACATTTGTAGTGTGGTCCATTCGATTTTCACTCAATAAGAAGAGGCTTTGGAAAGACGAAGAATGAAAATGATCATTGTATTGTCACTCTATCACAATAACCTCAACAGAGCGTTACTCCTTACATCCTCAGGTACGACGTCTACGGGTATTATCTGTGTCACGGAGGCCGATATGTGCCAGGCATGGTGCCCCAGTGTGTTGTTAAAGGTGCGGAAATGCAGACAAAGGAAGGTCTATCAGCTTCCTTGGACTTCCAAGTGCCGACTTTCACAGCAGGTAGTGCGCTGGAAGCCCAATGGACTGTGGCAATTAGAACAGCGACCAAGAAGACCGTCGTGGAGCGACTTGCCATTGCCGAGGTGACAGAGGACAGCGTAGAGGTGACGCGAATAGCCTTCGGAGCTGCGGCTAGTCAAAGAAGACTAGAGCGAGAAGAGGACGCAGAATTGGTAGATTCACGACTAAGGAGGCTGCTTCGGGATGACAAACACCAAAAGCGATCATTGCAATCCTCACAAGCCGCAATAGTGGAATTTGTCGTCTCTGCTCCAATTGGCACACCAGCGAGCAACATTGGACTCACGTCATCGCATTTCAACACTCAAATGACATCAAGTACGGTTCTGTCAGCGTTCAGAAACGCCGTGGCGACATCGGACTCAACGCTCGATGCCAATACTGTCACGGGTATGTCGGTTTCTCAGCCGATGGCCGTCTCCGAGCAAATCCCAAGCGGTTCTTCGGGTGAAAGCTCAACGGAAGCAGGTTGTACTCCTTCTCCTTGTAGTTTTAAGTAGTTTTATCTCAAATTTCTAATTTCAGGTAGTGTGCTTACCTAAGCTAGTACTATAATATATTACCCGACTAGTAATAATTATTGGAGTATTCAGGTGTCAGTCAAAAGTAAGTTTGTTGCAAGATAGAGACCTTGATGTTCTTGAAGGAAAGAACGCAATGTTGACGCTCGTCCTTTTCCCAACATCAGCCGCAATGTTTGGACCGGAGATAATAGTTGGTGGAGGTGTGGTGATAGGCGTATTGATATTAATGGCCTTCTGGTACGCAATCCGCAAGCGCGGTGGAGCAGACAAGATTGCCGATTCGGAGAGGATAGACGTAGACGAGAGAACGAAGGAGCCAATTGACATCGAAATACCAGTAGAGGTTAAGGCTACTTTTAGAAGAGGATCCACCCACCATTCTTTCATTTTCTAAGTCTGTTGTACGTAGGTAGCTAAGATCGATGACAAAACAGCGTATGGGCATGCCACCTTCAGTATCAACATATTCTAGATACAAGTCAAGGAGATGGAAACTACCAGTACCATGGTACGCAAACGATAAAGTAGACCTTGATTGTCCGTAAAGGGATGGTGGATAACAATAATTGAGGGGATATTTCTAATTTACAACCAATCAAAGTCGACGACCGCAACAAGCCATACAGAACTAAAGAGCCGATCGTCTATCCAGACGGGTCTAGATATGAGGGATGGATGATGAACGGAAAGAAGCACGGCAATGGTAGGTACTTGCTGGCAGACGGTAGCATCTACGACGGACAGTTCCGAGAGGGCATAGTCAATGGTACATTAGACTATTAGATCTAGAAGACGGGCTGATGTATACCAACTAAAGTCATCAAATAAATACCTATTTCCATTTCATCTTCTCGTCCTGAGCCTAACACTGATAGTTTTTTACAAGGTCTTTCTCATCTTCTGTAGGTGTTACTCAAATTTTTTGATAAATTGCTGAAAATTACATCTACAGGTTATGGTAAGATCGAGTGGATAGAGCGCGGCTTCGAGAAAGGAGACAGCAAAAAGTACATCGGCCAGTGGCAAGAAGGCCACATGCACGGAAAGGGGGTCATGTACTGGCCAAACAACTGGGTCTTTGCAGGTGACTTCCGAGACGACGATCGCCATGGTCGCGGTCGCTGCGAGTGGGCAGAAGGTCTACTTCAGATCATAGAAGCTGTAGTGAAAAGACATGAGTAGACGGCTAGTAGGACTCGTTCTCGCTGTCACATTTTATGAAGTTCACCCTCCACATTGTAAATCCGACACAAAACCTTCATACATAGGTGCATTCTACGACGGCCAGTGGGTTGACGGTATTATGAACGGCATAGGAGAGCATGGTACTGCAAGCGGTGGCTCCGGTTTGTGGTTGTGGAAAGACGGCAATACTTCTGAGTTCATAAAGAGAACGAAAAATCCTTTCCGAACGTCGAAGCTGCAGAGTCTCCATTACCAATTCCCGATGCTGACGAAGGACCCGCAAGTCATCAACGATCCGAAGTTAGAAGTGGCAATCCCGGAACTAGGTATTCGTGTTGGCCACCCAAGTAGATGGCATGCGTCAACAGCACTTGGAGCTTTGACTGTAACAAAAATCATCTCCGATAAAGACGAAGGAGCGACTGCACTACGGGTACAAAAAAAAATTTGAGATTCAAGAATGAGCGATGAGTTTTTTGATGAACAATGAACTCGATGCATATCTTCAATGACGATTCGTCGTGGTCACCCTTTGTTTCCTCCATAGATTGACTCTTCTTTGTCTGATACTTGATATCTCTCGCTCTCGTGATTTTTGACCAGGTCGTCCGCGACAATTTGTTGCTGCATTCTACGATTGTCGGCATCAATGACCAGACGCCACAGGATTCGAAGGAACTGTTGGATTTGATAAAAACGACAGTGAAGAGCGGCAAATTCCCGCTGACACTGTCCCTTATGCCACCGCACTTAGACGTGTACGCGCAAAACCCAGACCAAGACAAGAAGAAAAATGGCAGGCGCAGTGGCTCTCCAGGTTCTGATGATCAGTTGTATTGATCATGCCTTTCAAGCGCATTGATGCATGAAGCCTAGAGCTTCGATACTGCTCTTACCCAAAAATAACGCATCAAAGTACTCTTATCTCAAGTATAGATTGCTTCCTGTATTCAAGTGTAGATATCTAGGCGCTCCAAAAGGTAAAGGAGCCTGTTGATAAAGTTCTTGTGTATACTAGAAGAGTGTGAAGGCTTACCCTTTGAATGTATAATGCTGTAGGTCCCCCCCGTGCTTGTCTGTACCCCAGACCCACGCACTCCTAATGAGCATTAGCTTTAGCCTAAAAGTAGAAGTACATGTTGATGTTGAAGCTTCGGAATTTTTTGGAAGAAGAAAGCAAAACGAGGAGGATCACGATTTTCTAGCATTCGCCAATGCTTGTGGTCGCCTCCTGAAAATACGCAAACAACACGAGGTGCGGAATTATGAGAATGAAAATTCGGGAACATAAATAGTTTGAAGAACTCTTGCCATGTGCAAAAACTAAAACACAGATGAAAAACGAAAAAGCAAAAGATTAGATGCCTTTCAAATCCATCCATTACAAAGAATCTACAACCAGTGTCACCCTGGTCGTTCTTCGCGAACTTGTTTAATATCTCATGCGCGGGCGGAACAACAAGATACATTTACGAGGAGAGGGAAAGGGGAACAAAGTCTCTATCTGTCGTAGCTAGTATGGAAGTTGAGTAATATTTTTAAGTATAATTAATGCTGACCTTGAAACCAATATTCTTGCGCGAATATGGTGGTAAATTACTAGAATCTAATCGAACAAGGAAAAAAAATACAACATAGAATTATTGTGCATGATGCCTTCATATTCATTTCAATTTCAAATTGTCATAACAATTGGCGAAGAAAATAGAGAAGTTGTTTGGCAGAAAGGGAGTGGGTCCCGAAGTATTCTCAGTCGTTGCAGCCCGCTCTTGCCCGGAGTTTTTTTCCTCTTTAGTTTTCTGATATACACCATTGAAAACGCATGATATGACTTAGTCGAACGAAGTTCCTGATCATGTCAAAAGTAATTGAACAGCCTTGTCTATCCATTATTGAACATGAAAGATAGAGTCAGAATATGTAGAGACACTCTTTTCTCCATACTTTCGTGGAGATCACTTTTTAATCTCGAAACGAGTTTGATTTTGTAATTTCTGAGTAAATATTAAATCAATGTCAAAAGTAAAAATGCTGCAAAGGGTCAATATGAATATCGTTTTGTAGAAGTTGCTGCTCATGTTTTAAGGAAAAGCAAGAGAAATTGTAATAGAATGAAGAGTTCAAGTTGCTACCAAGGATCACTCAAATTTTCAGTTCAAGTTTTCATGATGGAATTCAATAACCAAGACAGAGTAAAGGAATTTTTATGTTGAACTATATTTGAGGGAGCGAGAAAGAAAGTACTAGGAAACTACAAGGAGACCCCTTAATAATTTGGATTTCCGAAACTGGACCCCCAGCAGACGCCTTTTTCCCCCAAAACGTCTGCAGAAGCACAGAGGACACAAAATATTATGATTGGTGGTCACCGTCACACCGAGTAGCGCCTACGTGGTGACCTCCGCAATGCATTAGTTATCTTCAATCATGTGTTCCTTTTCGTAAAAAATAATGCGAACCAGACGAAGGCGAAGAATGTGTGAGAGGCAATGCAGAGAGACCGTTTGAGAGAAGAGCACTATTGAGATGTTGAGAGTGTTTACTGGGACTAGCCGAGCATGTCCCCAAGCCCGTAAAAGCCTAAATGTTGAAATGATAGTACTAGTACTTCTGCAGCAACAAGGACAACTGTGATTATTAAATGCGTGCGATATTGTTCTTTTCCCTCTCGTTGTTCCACCTACGAAAATACCTCAACGTAAACGTAACAAGAAGACAGAATACATAGAGGCGAGGTAGTGGATGTGAAGAAGCTTTTGGATGTTGCCTTGCGCCTGTCGTGTTTGCAGCCTCGTGTCCATCTTCTGCAAGGAGGTGATTGCGTATGCTGCATTCTCCCGTTTGCGTGTGTATTCTTTCGGTGGCGTCCACGAAACTGCAACCTTTCCAAAGATTTCCACGTCTCGTGTCCATGAAAGGTGGTTGCAGTCTCGTGTCCCTTCTTCTCGTGCCTCTACGTGTCCATCTTCTGAAAGGAGGTGATTTTCCCGTGTGGATTCTTCCGGTTATGACAATGGTCGTGGGATTTTGAAAAGGTGAAGCGATGACGTCGATATTCGCACAGTTCCTAGAACTACAGCGAGCCGGGATGAATAGCGCATCAGAAACACGGTCGGAAAGTGCTGCGCCGGCTGGTTTCTAAAAGCGGCAGGAGCGATTTCAACGAGTAACACAGTCGATTTGAGAAGCCTTCTGGTGAAAGACGTATCTCAGGATCGATCTCTGGTTCTCATCGCTGATTCGCGTTTGCAGCTACACCTTTGAAAAGTCAGGAGAAATCGGTTACATTGTTTAGCTGTGTACAACGCAAAGTCGCAACAACCACGACGACCTTCGATTCCTTTTGTGCAGAGACTCATTGTTACTTGACGAGCTAGGGCACAGCCGCCGCATCCGACAAAGCCGACAGAATGGGCCGAGGGAGCACTCCTGCAAACAAGAAAAGATATCAGCAAAGCGGTAGCAGCTCCGCCAGTTCGTATTCGTCTGCTTCGTCATCATCAGATGGAGAGTCGAGCTCGTCAAGCGAAGACCAGCGACCGCGAAGGCATAGCTCGGAACGCAAGAGCCGGCGTACTTTCGTCACTACAGTCTGTCATTTTATACTACAGCGGCTGGAAGATCTACAGCATCTTCAAGATGACCCGTCGAATATGTGAACAATTCTGCTCTGTGGTTGATGACTTTTTCGTTCTCCTATCATTTCAGGATCCTCGTCAGCAGGAATGATGGCGGCATCTGCACCTTTGCGCGGTAGGCGTCCGACTTCGATAATAAAAATAAGACAAGAAGCATTGCAGCGGTCGAGGGAGCGGGCACGAAGATGCATTCTTATCGTTTTACTCCTTGTAGTGGCAATCGCAGTCTTCCTCTTCCTGCTGTCGTGCTGTGGTGGTAATGAGACTTTAGTTGCTGCATTTGTTGTCGAAATTAGACCTCTAACCCTAAGCAACGTTTTCAACAGTACAGAGAATTGAATTTGATGAGAAGCCTCAATAATGAAGAAAAACAAGTAACTTCCTGCAGACAAAACTTCTACAAAAGGCAACAGATACAGAACGATAAAAATCAAAAATTAGATGCACCTGCTAATCGGAATTTTGCACCCAACATCAATATCAAAAATCATAGGTGGTGGGAGTAGCACTATGCCTGTACCGCCGCCTGCGCCACCACCTGCTTTGCCATACGGCGCAGTGCCTCCAGCACACGTGGCTCACCACCAGGCGCCAGGCTTTCTTGCACCTGGCGCCTACCCAGGAGAGCACTCAGGAAGACCCACAGGAGGCGGTTTTCTTGGGTCAGGATCAGACTCGTGGACCGGAGGTATTGGTGATATGATTCAGCGGTGGCTGCAGTCGCCAGCAATAGTTGCAGCCGTCATTCTCGGAAGTCTGTTGGCGGTAGGCGGTGTGCTCTGGTACTTGGGAGTACTCGTGCTTTGACGACGACTCGTACCCATGGAAGGTCATCCTATCCCTATCACCTTTGGCAACATACTCTACTTCCCCCGATTCCACGATCTGTGCTCTGTTCCGAAGATTTTCCTCTGCATTTCCCCTGGTTGAAGATTTTCCCTACGCACCATTGAAGACTACATCACCTTTTGGCTCCACGCGCGCTAGACTACGATGCACATTCACCACAACTTGACAACGCAATGCATAGCCTGAAAGGCAGACGACAGACGCACACTTAATGATACGCCTTCGATCACACATCATGATCAAGACATTAGAGAAAATTGTACCCATGAAAGAAGCAGGTAGTTGCCATGTAATTAAGTAGTACGTAGATGAATCCTCTTGTACATTTGATCCATGTAGAAGTAGAGCAGAACAAGCATATCGTGACTTTCGCCATGTAGACCTTGCAAGATACAATAAATTAAGGACAGAGACGATGCTCATGGCAGGATTCATCAGCAGGTCGTGCTGAACTGCAAAAATTGAGCTGAGTAGGACAAACGAAGTTCAAGAAGAGGCAAGAAGGGGTTAATAGTTAAATGATCATGTATCATATTGATATTCATTGCAAGAGAGTCTTCATACGACCCGACTGCTTCTCTATTTTGACTTTTGTTGAATCAAACAATGATTATTCTGAACAAAAACAAAATCATCGCTGCGTTTGCAGCTCGTGTGGAACAGTTACACGGAATCGAAGCAGTTTTCGTTTTGGGGACATACACATTAAAATCCAAAGGGAGCATCAACAGCTGCGTGGGCGTCGTACTTTTTGAGTTGTGGTCCACTGACTGACTGTTGTTGTTCCTGCTCGGGTCTGTTTGATTGTGACGCAATGTTGTTCTGCGTTTTTTTCCAGAGAAAGATCTAGCCTCCTTCTCCTTCAGGAAGATATGATCGTGACGACGATCTATCGCACAAGGAGAATATTGGTGCCATTCAAGATCCCGAGACCCGTCAGAAATAATATTTTACGGGCCGACCTGGACCTTGGACCGGTTCCCGCTGTCTTGAGCGGGACGTCAAATCATATGTGTCTAAGTCTGTGATTCGCTTGAAGAGATGAAGGTGATGCATAGCAGCTTCTCGCGCACCCAGAGAAGTACTGGAGATCGCGGTCTCTTGCGACGTCTTGGTTTAAAAGTCGTGTGCCTCATTTTGGCCGGGAGGTCGCTGTTATACTGGAATCAACTTAACCGCGCTTCCAGCTCTGCTTTGGTCTATGCGAAGCCTGACAAATCAGCGGCGCCAAAAAAGACCAGAAACCAGAGGACAAAAAAGTCAAGAGCCCAAGGCGATTTTGTAAACGGCGACAAAAATAGCACGAGTAAAAGTCACGCTCAAGACGGAGCAGGTCATGATGAGGCGATAAAAACGAATGAGACCACAGAACAAAAAGCACCAGATGAAAGGAAGAGCGGGACTAGAAGTAGAAGTCAGGCGTCTTTAACCGATAAAGATGCGAAGATAGGCGGACAAAGTGGAGACCATCTTCAGCCCAGAGTACGTTGGAATCAGAAGTCGGAGTCATTATATCTCAGCATACTAACGCCTGCATGTGGCGAACCTGGTTCGGATCCTCTTATTTCGAAGACGCGAATAAAGTATTCGTGCACTACGAAGGAGGGCAAAAGATACCTGTCAGAAATTAAGCTATTGCGGCCAGTGGCACCGCAAACAGCGAAAATAGTGAAGAATGCCAACGGCGTGCAGGTATCGACATGAAGAATTTGTGTTGCATGATGCTCGATTATTGGATTAAGTAGCTACTATTTCTTGCGACCACCACCTTCTCTTGATGAGCATGAATAGCTTCATGACGCCTAATGATAACATAAATGTTGTGCATCATATTTATTTCACGACCCGACCCGCGCATCGATCCTCCAGGTCTACGTTGACAAAAAACGGAAGGAGCCTTGTTGGCGGTACTTGTTAAAATCTCGACTGAATCCTGCATGGCTTTCGAAGGATTTCGACCAACTTTCAGCAGATGATTGTCAGCTCCACAAAGAGCTGTGGAGGGAAACATACTTTCGTGATAAATACAAACCCAGTGAAGCTGCTGTAAACGCGCCACCAGATGCAGGCCCAATTGACATGGAGCACCAAGTTAAACTCGCGACGTGGAATACAGCAATTGCTAGGATGAGAGCTAGAGCGAAACCATATGATGAGATCGAAACATTCACATTATGAGCATGATATAAGCGGAGGCTGATCTGGCCGTTTCGCTAAATAAGGTTAAAACGATGAAGTGCTGCTTGTCGAAGGAGGTCCACTGATTTCTATAAAGCAACGCAGCACGAGAACGATCACGATCTGATGTGCTCGTACGCACGCGAGGCCTGTTCCTGGGTTGTTCATGTGCGATGTTACAGGAATTCGGTACAGAGTTTCCATGTGTACTTTATTGAGCGGGACGAGCCGAGCAAATATAGAAAGGTGAAGAGGATTGAGACAAGCCATGAAGATGAAGGTGATCATGATTTTCAAACAAAAAATGGAAGAGTCGGCAGCATAAACTGACTTTACAAATCCATTAGTCGGTCCTCTCTCGCCAGAGTTGCGAGGACCACGTGAAAGGATGAAACTGGGGCCGGGTGGTCTTCTTGGTGTTTTTTGGTGGGGGTGACATACTTTTTCTTGCCAGCTGCATGCGATTAGCAGAAATGTCATTGAGGACGAAGATGTCGAATCCACTAAGACGTCTGCCTAAGTGGTCATCATGGCTTCTTGTGCTCGCTGGCAGTTGCTTCGCTTTCGAGACTGCACCAGAGGACTACCTGTGCCGTGGGTACCGTCCGTGGATGAATTTGCAGAAGCAGTTGATCACGGCTCTAAGTGGGCGAGCGCGCGTGGATCAGGTGGCACATTCGTTCTCGCATTTGCTAGAGACACGGGACCCCAACGAGTGCATACTAGGACACCTCTCACTCCGGCTTTTGCTGCAACTAGGCCGAGAAGAGCAGTACGAGCAAGACACGGCGATTCTAAACGGCGTTGGCTGGCACCAGGTGATGCGCAGTGGCTGGCCAGTTTTTCGGCTGCTGCGCTTTCTAGAGGTTGCTCAGATGGACGACGGTGTCCCAGGAACAGATGGAAAATCCGAGGACGAAGAGCAAGAGGTGGAGCTCAATAGTCTGTCAGAAATGAAGATTTCAAAAGATGAAGATCCGTGTTCGGTTAGAGAGTCTGACCCTTCAGGATCTTACTACCGGGAGTTTCTGCACCACTATGTCGTAAAGCAAAGACAATACTTCGGCGATGGCATCGTACCTGAGACGGCAGCTTACTTGGCTCAACCGGAAAAACAGAATCCATGCACACTCGCCGCTGCGTTCGTTGCCTTCGCATGGTCACGGATCCCCATCTACAATCATGAAAGCGAAAGTTTGATCCGGCGTGCACAGGCGGTCTTAGAAGACGTGGGAACCATTCGAGGCTTAGTGCGTAACAAACAGCATCCATTGCTGACCTTATTGGACGAAACGGCGAGTACTTTTCAGGCTTTTCTGATCGATGGTGGATATTTTTACTACGACGAAAATGCCAATGATGAAGACAACGGGCAGGAAGGTAAGAAAGATCACGAAGCAAAAGAAGGGAATGGAGTCGCCGATGGTCAAGCTTTACCACGTCGCGAAAAAAGTACTGGTTCAAGCGACAACGACGAACCAAAAGTTGACTACACGTTGCACATGATGCCAATTCGTAGCATGTCGTCTAGCTCTTCGTTTGAAAAGTTGCGCTCTTGTGTCGTTCCTTTCGCGACGCGCAGCAGCGCCATAGGAAAAGCGGACGAGCCTCTTTGCGATCCGTATGCAGCCATAGTACCGGATCTCGCGCGATGGCGCCAACTCGGAGTCTCCCAGGCCAGCGTCCACGCCGCCATGAATCAAATTACCGATGCGAAGCATGTTCTGTTTAGGTACGTCAAAGAGGAAGCAAAGCTATACCAAGTATTGCCAGTTTTCTCGCATCTGAACCAGTCAACGGGCAAAGCAGATGCTGATTTAGATGCAGTGGAACCAACGTGCCTGGCGAGAAAGATACTTTCGGTTTTGGAAAAGAGTCCTAGCATCGGATCCTTTGACTTGGTGCTGAATCACGGCGACATGCCTCTGCTGAGAAAGAAGGAGGGTGTGCCTCCCTTTTACAACTTGATGGACCAGGAAGCGCGCAGCGCAGTTCCGCTCTTCAGTATAGCGTCCAACCGGGAGTTTCACGACATCTTGTTTCCGAATGTATGCCGACCGCAACTAGTCAATCTCACGGAAGTGGTTCTCGAGAAAGCTCGTTGGAAACGGAAAAAGAAGATGGAAGGGGGTGCCCTTGAAAGCAGAGTAGATAACGAGCAGGACAACCAGGTTGTGGATGGCAACACCAAAGGAGATGATTTGATCTTCGGTGATAAACATGATACTTCTTTACTGCCTGAGTGGGAATCCAAAATTCCTATCGCATTTTGGCGGGGAACGGATCGAGGGGCCGTCAATTGGTCACGCGAGTACAGAGAGATGCTGGACCGCGGTTCCCCTCGACGGAATTTTCTGGAGATGGCTGCAGAATCGCCGGACCTCTTTGACACAGCTTTCTTGGACGACGATCTCGCCAATGTGACCGTTGTGAATTCCGACGCTAATTTCGTTCCTCTCGACGAACAGGCGAAGTGGAAGTATGCCCTCGACTTACCCGGAAATGGGTACAGTGGGGGCTTGAAGCAGAAACTCACGGGCACAAGCCCTGTGCTTCTTGCCACAGACATGGGCAGGGGAATTCCGGTTTACGAACATTATCACATGGGGCTGACGGGCTACGAGCACGTTTTACCAGTGACCTTGGACAACGCAGCAGAGCAGGTTCGGTTCGCGCGAGAGCATGACGAGGAGATGCAGCAAATGGTAGCCTCAGCAAACGGCTACATGCAGAATTACGAGAAGTTTAGCGCGTGTTATATTTGGCGACTGTTAGAGCGATACTCTTCGTATTTTCGCTACAACATTATCGGACCAGGAACCGTCTCGGCGAGCTCCGTGCCGTCAGCTGAGGACTTTCTCCGCACAAAATTCCCGGGAGCTCATTATCGAGAATACACGCTGCGGCGCACAGGAGAGGTGAGGATAGTTTCTTCATCCTCCTCTGATGAAGAAAATCAAAGTGAGGAGAGAGAAGGTGAGGCGCATCGGAGTGCGTTTGAAAGAGATTGCATTTTTGACTTGAAGAAATATGCATGATGGAAACGCGGCATGGGCGTACCTTCTATGGTATCGAAAGCCCAGAGAGAGGCGTGTTCAGTCTTGACGTTTGTCGTGAGTTCTCGAGCCGTGCGTGCCGGAAAGCACAAATCTAATGACCAGAGGGAAAACGAAAAATCCAAATTGATACGAAATGACGACAATGGATTATCAACTTTTACACAAGCAAATGATCATACTGAGATTTTTACACTTTTAAATTTCATTACTACAATAGCTAGTCCTACTCCTACTTCTAGTTCTACCACAGCACCAAGAACTAGCAGCTCAAGTTGCAGTCGCTAATGACGAGAGACTACGCAAGTAAGACTGTACTGCATAGTAGTAAGAACCTCCATGGCACTCAGTGTTTTGTTCATGAAGCTTTCTTGTTACAGTGTTCAAAAGCAAGACGAACATTCTTGATCAAATCGTTTATTGTGCAAACATATTTATTGTTCACTGTTGTTGATGGTCATGTTACCGTGAGAGGGACTTGAGGCACAGAGATTAAAGGTCATTGAGAGCAGTAAGGTAAGTTGTGAGCGTCAGCGCTTTGCTATGAGAGACATGTGAGCAGGATGAACAAGTAGAGTTATTGTAGTTGGTCATTTGCGTTTGCCATAGACTTGAGGATGTAGAACATGAAGGATCCATCAGCATCACCGCAACCAATGATCATCAGGACTACAGCGGACCGTTGTCATCCCCACAAGAACGCCCCACTTTTTTTTTACTGCTTGAATGAATAAAAATTGTCATTGTCATATGAAAAGTAACAAGATAGACGATTCTTCAGCAATGTGCCTTGTGTAATCATATCATCTGCACCTTGATGTCGTAAGTCGTTTTATTCTGTCTTCTGAGGATCCTCTTTGCTTCCTCCCCTGTGACGTCACAAGTGGTAAAACAGCAAGATGATATTCATTAGATCATGGCGATTGCTTTTGCTGACATTGAGATTGTCTAGATTTTATCATGGTAGCTAGTTGAATCAGCGTGTTGTTGATGTAAGGGTTAGGCGCCCTACACGCAGCAAAGAACAACACGATGATTCACGATGCTTACACGCTAGGCTAGGGAGTCTGTGGTCGTTTTGTGTTGACGAAGAGATAGGAGGAGCAAAAGTAATATGAAGTTCAAGTTGCTCTTGGTCTGATTCTGTCATGATACAGGCAGTCGGAAAAACGAACCTTGGACTGGACTCTTCCATGGAATTGGAAGCTCAAAGCCGTTCTCAAGGGCATGTAAATGTTCTTGTGAGCAACACTTTCCTGTAGTGTGACTGTTGCACCACGCTGTTCAGAATGTGGAATGGCGACAACATGCCAGCACGCATGGAGTCTAAGGAGAGCAGCAAATCATCATGGGAAGAGAAATTCCAACGCCAGTGGCAAAAGGATGACGGTCGAGGCTCGAACAACGCGTGGCACGACCTGCAGCAACCATCTCCAGGAGACTCAGGCATGCATGCTGCTCCATATCAAAATAATCCGGATTATCATGGAGGAACTGGAAAGCAGGGTGGAGGCTCATTCAATGCGAGTACCACCAGTTCCTCCTCAGGGGGACCGCAAAATCAGCTGCAGACTAAGGGAGGAAAAAAATATGGGAAGTCGGGTGCGCCAGTTTCTGGTGGAGACGGTTTTTCCTCTTCGGGTGGCGCAGGGTCATATGACGGTAGCGCAGTAACGTCTGCCTACCCGGCTTTTGGCACTCCGGCGGCAGCAGATACGAGTAGTGAAGCAGGAGGCGGAAAAAAAGGTGGCGCGACATGCTTTGCTTCCCCAGGTGTTGTAGGTGGCAACTACGGAGGCCTCACAGCATCGCAAGGACCGGCAGGAGGCGAGCAAAAAAGGTCATGGCAATCGAAAGGTGACAATAGCGCGAATAGTGGTTGGACTCCAGCACAGTCGTCTTCAGGCGGGGACGGGAGCAACGCCTACAATAAGGGCTATAACAACACGTCGCAGCAGCTGCAGCAACAAGGTACGGTCCCTTACAATCAACAACAGCAACACGACTACACCGGCGGCGGAGCAAATGCTTCATCATATGCGGGTAATCCGCAAGCGCAAGCGGACAAGAGCGCTGGCGCTACAACTTGGTCAAGCAAACATGCTAATTCGAAGTCCTCATATGACGCAAATGCCGGAAGCGCAAGTATAGCATATAATTCAAAAGGCTATAATGCTCCCACCGGAGTAGAGAATGCTGCCTATGGGAAGCAGGGTGCGAAAGGTTGGGATCAAGGGAAGCAAGCGTCAAGCAAGAGCTCCGGCAACTGGCAAGGTCCGTCCATATCAAATGCTCAAATGGACAACCAATACCAGAACCAGCCGCAAAATAACTACGGTGGTTGTTACAGTAACAGCGGCCCGCTTCCAACGACAAACGAGAGTAGTTACAATCATGATCAACATAATCAGCAACATAACTACAACAACGAGAGAAGTTCGGAATTTCCACAACAACAAAATTTTTCGGTTCCTTCCTACAACGCGCCTCATGGTTCGTCCATGCAGCTTCAAGGCGCCAATGATGTCAGCTATGCCTCTCCTCCTGGAGGTACGCCAGCCAACTATGATTACGCGCCACAGACGAGTAAGCAAAATCAGGTGGCTTACAGTAGTACAGGCCTCGTTCAGACCAACTCTTTCCCGCCACAACAAAATTATTCATCTAGTTCTCAAATGCAACTGGAGATAAACAAAACAACATCCACACACAAAAATATTAACATCAACTCAGATCGCTCGGTTGCTCCTGGAGGCGCTAGTAGTAGTTCCTACAGCGGTCAGGCAATGGAAAATCAAGAGCCTCCAGGGGGACCAGCTTCGTGGTGGAGCCCGCAGCAGCAGAATCTGGGTGAGCAGCCAAACGGTTCTCCATCGAAGTCACAAGATTGGTGGGCGGGCTCCACGCCTGGCGATTCGAGAGACTGGTGGGGTGCAAAAGCTGGAGGTCCTACTGCAGGAGGAGGCCAGTCAACCGGGACACCGGCTGGCCCAGGAGACGGACTAGCGTACAAAAATATCATCTACAACAATGCTGCAGTCGGCGGAAGTAGGGGTAGTACCGCTGCGTCGAGTGCGCACTACAAAAACAATCCTCAGTCAGCAGGCGCGCCTCCGTCTGCGACCCTAGGTAATGAAAAGTACCAGCAGTTGTACGACCAAAGCTACAGTGCAGCATCGGAGCAATACCCCTCGAGCTGGGGCAAGAATGCCGGTGCTGGAGCATCAAACTCAAAGGGATACCAGTATACGAATAAGACGAGCAGCGTTGGAAATGGAGGGAAAGCGACCACCGATAACATCTACGGAGGGAATGGGTGGAAATCTGATGGAAATCTAGGAGGTTGCGTCGGAGCTAGTTATCAATACAATTTTGGTTTTCCCACAGGACCGTCACAAACGACGAACCACGGCAACAAAGCAGGAGCGTTCCCAACGCAGAAGCGAGCAGGCGAAGGTGGGTACTCGCAAGTACAGCAATGCAATGCGACTGGAGCTAATGCAGATTGGAGCGGACCGTCTGTTTCTGGAACATGGAACGACACAAGCAATAACAACAACAGTGCCTATGCAACTGGTGGCGCCACTAATTCATGGCAAGAACAGGCCGCACGACCTTCTTGGGAAAACCAGGACAATGGTCAGGATACGAAAAAAGGAAAAAGCGCTCCGTCGTCGTCAGGCTTGTTGAACGCAAACGCCGCATATACCGTAGGTGGACCCCAGGACGAAAGCACGATGAAAGGCGCAAAGAAGCCATCGAGTGGCATCGGCGGGAAAGATCAGGCAAATGATTGGGGGTCAACATCTTATGGCGAGGATGCGAACTCGAAAATGAATACTTTCTCATCTGGTACAGGGACAGCAGGAGGTAAGAAGGGGCAAGGAAATCCTGTCGCAGTCCTCGGAAAAACTGGCGAGTACCACTACACGAGTGACAAGAACACAGGATATGGAGCTCCGACTGGAACGTCATCTGGGAATGGTAGTTACAACAACACCTATAATGCTGGTATGAGTGCTGCTGGAGCGCAGTATGCGGCGCCAAAATCTTCATGGAACAGACGAGCATCGAGTCTCCCAGAAGGAGTGAATCAGAACAATGGATTGCCAGACGCTGCTGCGTACAACAATCAGAACCCTTCTTCAGGTGGGAACCAAGCACCACACGCTGGTGGCAGCTATGACCAGACGAATGCTGCCTCGTGGGCAGGTGATTCATACAGCAACCAGCAAAATACGAGTGCGAACGCCAAAGGCAGCGGAGCAGCCTGGACGGGTTCAACGACACACGACAAATCCTACTCATCGACGGGTTCTGGAGGTAAAGCAAATGTTCAAAATTACACTGCCCAAGGACAAGGATTCTCCAAAGAGGCCACTTCAGGTAAAACCAAAGGTGGGCAGGATGCTCAGTCTAAGTGGGCAAATGAACAGTCCTCTTCGTGGGCAAAGGATCAGTCATCGTGGAGCAGAGAAAATATCAACAACTACAACGGGAGTTCCAATGCGAACGCGGATTACTCCACTTCTAATAAGGGAGCAGGAGGAAGTAGCAAGAAGGGCAACGCATCGAGTGCAGCATGTGACTATCGATACAAACAGAGTAAGGGAAAAGTAGTTTATGCCGAGGGCGAGAGAGCCACCTACTCAGCCCAGAACGCTGTGATGGAGACGGGCTTCGCGGGACGTTCGACAGCTTACGGAGAAGCAGAATGCGGCTCGTCAATAAAAGTTCATTCCAACACAGCAAGAAGCGTGCCATTATGGCAGAAAAACAGCGCAGCGATCGACGTCACGACGAAGGAGAACGTGCGAGAAGTGCATGCTTTTGCGAGAGGACGGCCACCACCTGGTGCACTGCAAGTGCCTTACGACAACTCCAATTTCAACAAGTCCGAAAAAACGCGGCACAGTCTGCAGGGAACAACGTCGACCTACTACAGAACGCCCAAAACCGTCATTGCGCCACAAAATGCTCTAGCTGGTCCTTCAAATAGTGGGGTCGGCAGAACTTATCCTATTCCTATAGAGCCTGCAGGCGTGATCACGACCACCTCCTCCACCGAAGCTTTCGATGCGCAAACCCGTAGGACGCACAACGCACGCGGGGAAATTCCTAGTGGTTGGAACATGCTGCAGCAGGAAAACAGCGCTAGTGGCTCGGCGGCTCTGTCACCAGGCGAGGCGGTTGCGATGGCGAGCAACACGCCTGTACCCCGTCACGACCTAACGACCCAGTCTGCTGAGGTCTCCGCAGCCCTGCAGCTATCGGCCGCGACCACTATTCCACTCGCTGCTGGCGCAACACCAGTCCTCACGATGCAACACCAGTCCTCTGGAATACCGCCTCCTCAGGCAACACCCTCTCCAGATATCGTTCACCACAGCGCGTTAGCTGCCGCAGGAGCAACGACAGGGCAGGCGGGTGGATGGCCAGGACCCACTACGGCGCCTCCTTCTACTGTACAGTCGACGGCGATGGTTTGGGATCCTGTGACTGGAATGTTCATAGTGCCAGGAGCGCCGACTGTCACACCTGCCGCAGGCGGCACAGCCATGAATGTTCCAGATCAAGTACCAGCGATAATCAACATCATTCCATTTCCAAATGCAAATGATCCAATATTATATATTAGTAGTACATGTAAGAGTGTGTACAATCTGTGAAACTAGCTAGTTAATACGAAGTTGTGGGAGCAGTTAACCTTGTTCTGTTAGCTGCCTGCCATTTTGCTTTTACGGTGATCACGAACGGTCACATCAGGAGCACACACATGACGAAGTACGGTTCATGGAGTCCTTTTGAAGACTGACAATCATTTATACTATCTTTGGTGCAAACACAAACTAACTACGAATAGATAGATGCAGATGCTCTAACTTTTTGATTTTGTGTTGTTTTATCATAAAGTTTCTTTACCGATCATGTGTATCTGAGTAATTCTTCGATGTGCATAGAAGTCAGACACTGATATTCCAATCCTTCTAAAACAAGTTTGTTTCTTTTCTCCGTTGCAGGTGCCTGGCGGTCTCCATGGTGTATCAGGCGGTGGCGTGTCGAGTAGTAATGAGTCGTTTGCAGTGCCACCTTGGCCTGAACTGTTGAATCCTTGGGCCATTCAACCCATTTTGGGACCTGTTGATGCGCTAGCGCCCATTCCCGGTTTGCTTAGTACGACAGTGGCTCCCCTGCCGCCATTTGGTGATGGCGTAGACACCTCGGTCGACATGGAACAAGTGCCACCTGCGCCCGACGGCACCCCTGGGCAAGAACAAACGCCTGTTGCTTTTCCTTCTCAAGATGCACCTCAAGCAGACACGCAAACTGCGACTGCCCCTGGAGAAGGGTCACAAACACAAGCACGACAACAAGAACAAATCATAGGACAGGGTGGAGAGCAGCTTCGTTCTGATAGTCACGTAACAGCTGGATATGAGAGTGGTCTCGCAGAAATCGTGATGGACCAGCCATCAACAAGTGGAGACGCTGCGCTGCCACCTATAAATTCTGAGAACGCAATGGACGAAGAGGATGCACTACTTGCGGATAAGAAAGTGCTGCCTATCAAGACATTGGAGGAGATGCAACGAGAACGCTATAGGGGATTGGCAGGACCGCTTCCGCCCAGAATACCAGCGCCAGCGGTTACTGCCTCGACGTCCACGCGACCAGCGAAAATTGACCGAATATTTCTCGACGCTTTCCAGCCACTCCCCGCAGGCGAACTTGATTCCTTTAGTTCCTCGGCATCAGGCGGGTTTGAGCAAAAAGATCAATTATCCCCTGTTGCTGCGACTTTAGACCAGCAATTACCTGCTGGGGGTCAGCTGGAAGCGACGTCGACTCCAACGCCAAACAACGAGCCGCCGGTTTTCGCAATAAGCGATGGCGAAATCACGCGCCGAGCGGATCACGCAGTCAATCTCTTCGCAGAAGTCCGTGATCGAGCAGCTTCGGCACCACTTCCCGGCGAAACTGAAGAAACTGCTTTCCAAGACGAATCCGATGAGATGTACAACATTGCGGTTACGCCTGCGGACACGTCAAAGCAGGGAACAGCAGCGTCAAATGACGTCGACGACGTAGGGCTAGCGCATCTGAGCTGCAAACGGCTCGTCGAGCAGCAGAGCAGTGCAAGCACAACGGCATCCGCCGGAGACCACGCACGTCTACCTACGTCCTCAGCGACGAGAGATGCTTATGACAGTGGCGAGCACAGAGACATTAATGGACAGCTGCATGCATCGCAATCGAGTGCTAGCTTTCATAGTCTCGCAGGGAGTGTTGGAACGAGAACAGGGGACGGCCGAAGACCCTCGCTTGCTGAGCTGGCGGAAACACATCACTTGCAGGGGAGAGCGAGTGCCGCGTCCGTGCTCTCATTGAACGGGGACGCCTTTCACGATGCTTGCTCCTCAGAGGGCGAATATGCCGACGCTGCGACGGCGTCTCCACTGCATGACGGTGCAGAGTTTTCACCACAGCTTGGCTCTGTTTTTTCCGGTGGAGCAGCGAACCAGGACTTGGCGTCCTCAACCTCTTCACGACTCGTACTCGCTCAGAGCCCAGATAGCGTGGTAAGCGGGAGTCCAGATAGTCGAGCGGCTTTGCGACTGACGCCCAATTGTGTCGCCTCACCCACACCAACCCCGAAGCTTACTCAGGACCAGAGTTTATCATCAGCTGGCGGGTTCTTGTCTGCTGCACCCCCACCTCGTCCAGTTTATCTGACACAAGCGCTGGGACTAGGAAGGATGGACAACGACAACGAAGCTAGAGACGCAAGTGCGACCCTTGATACTTCATCGGGCCAGGTCACACCCGCTGGAACAGCTGATCCTCCAAGAGAACAAGAAGGCGGCGCAGTGTCTTCAAGCAAAGCTACAAAGGCAACGAAGAAACCGAAGAAACACCGGAACAAAATTGATTACGTTGGCCGTGGATCCTGGTACAGCAGAAACGGGTTACTGGCGTTCCGTGAGGGCCTCGCCAACAAAGGCTGGTTGCAACTCACTCAGCGGGAGAAAGACAACATGTGGTTCACCATCCACGTTGATGATCTAGGGAAAATGTATGTGCAGACACCGAATGGACTCTACGGACGACGAGAGTTCGCGACACCTGTGCTGAATTCTGGAGGCGCAGGCTTTCATGGTTCATATGAATCCGGCTCGACACCTGCCCTGTCCTGGTCCTCGCAACAGCCCTCTTTCATAGGAGTTGCTAGTGCTGGCCCTGGCGTTGACGTATCGTCAGCAGCTCGTCCAGGAAGCTGGGGCCTGTCAGTTGGAGGCAAAGGAGCACCCTCAGGCGGAAACCGGTCGGCCGGCACCACACCAATTTGTTCAACGAATGCGAGCGGGGGACCGTTATCTTACATCGGGTACGGAGGCCGACAAAACGACCAATCATGGGGGAGCAATCAGCGAATATCCTGTGGTAGCGGAGCACCTCCGAGTAGACCGCGCTCCGGTGCGCCCTCCGCACAAGGAAGCGCAACCTTGCAAAGCACTGGACCACATAGTCGAACGCCTAGCCGAAGTTTGCTCGACTCACAAAAGGGCTCAGGTAAGCAGCGAGAGCGACTTGTCGCTGCAGTGCCTGAGACACAACGACAGGTCAACGGTATCTTGAACAAACTCGCGCCGGAAAGATTCAAGTATTTAGTTATTTTCACCTACACATATTTCTAGTTGACAGGAGGTGGCATTTGACAGGAGGTGGCAAGACCTACATAGCCACATTGTATTTTAGTAAGTAGTTATTTTTGACCGACTCGCTAAAGCTAATACCAGGGCCAGCGCCAGGGTTTGCGTGTTGTTGTTTTTTGCTTGAATGATCGATCTGGGACGAGTAACTAAGAGTATTCAATTTTTAGTAGCCATTACAGGAAACTATGCGAGACATTGGCGTCTTTATCCGTCAAGAGTGAGGGTGAACTGGAGATCGTTGCCACAGAGATCTTCGAGAAAGCTGTCTCACAGGGTGCCTACTGTGAGATGTACTCGGACATGTGCATGGTCCTGCGGTCACGCTTCCCCGAGTTTCCGCGAGACGACGGCACGAGCTTCAATTTTACCCGCGCTCTGCTGAACCGAGCCCAGCAGGAGTTTGGGCGCACGTCGACAAACAGCAATAGCGAGGTAGACAAAGAGCGGTTACTTGGGAACATGAAATTCATTGGCCAATTGTTTCTGCGTAAACTATTGTCGCAGCGAATCGTGCGCAGTGTGGTAAGTGACCTGATCTATGCTGCTGCGGAACCATCTGCGCTGTCCATCGAGTGCACCTGTGTGTTGCTCAAGAACGTCGGGAAGACTCTTGAAGCCAGCTCCAGCGGGAAAGAATACCTCTCAACCTTCATTCAGCGGCTGAAGGAGCTCTTGGAACGAAAAAAGAAGGCCACAAAAGAGGCGCTGTACTCTAAACGGATAAAGTTCGCGATACAGGACGTCATCGATCTCAGCGACAACAAGTGGCTCGAGCGAGTGGTCAAGGGAGCGAAGGTGCTGCTACTTCAATGTCATGCGTAGTCTACGACTACGAGTAAAATGTGACTAGGACTTCCTTTCTTCCCGATATCTTTAGAGTGCTCTCCATCTGCTCATAATTGTGTTCGTACTAGTTCGTGGTTTTTTTTTGTTTGGAAATAAATATTCCCACGACCTTGCCCTCGTTCATGTTCTCCACCATGCAGGTCAAGACGCGCGGAGCATTGATTCAGGATGCGCAGCGAGAACGCGAGTTGTTTCAAAGTGGAGAGCAGAACCCGTACGCTCAACAAGTCGTTGCAGGAGGTCGACCCGAGTACTTCCCAGACATCCTCAAGAGAACGAGCAGTAGCACAGTCTATGTCGAGGAAGTGAAGAAACTGCTGGCGTACTTCTTGTCTGTTTTTGATTGTCTTTATACCTATCGAGTAGAAACTTGATTTAGAATCTGAACTCTTGAGTACGAGTAGGAAGTGGAAGTGCGGAAATATTAGGGGAGAACATGGTATCTATTGGTACTAGGGGTCCGCTTAAGTGTGGTTCTGTTCGGATGACATTACATCCTCTTACATACTTTTCAGGTACTACCAAGAGGACTCCGCGATGGACGAGCTCATTTCCGGTTGGCGAGCTCTAGACATGCAGCCAGATGATCGAGCAGCAGCATGCCATTACCTAATTGAAACTGGCTTCAACGATTTCATGAAATGCGAGGTTGTTGCCAGTGCTATAGTCGGGCTTATAGGTATTTACCTTCTATTTCTAGTATAACGAAGAAGTATCGCAACAGCCGTCCTCTCCTGCCTTATGCTTCACTTTTTTCTTTTGATTCTGATTCCTGACGTGTCTATAAAATGTTCAGCGCACCATCAGCACTACCAGAAGATGATTTTGGAAAAGTCAACAAGTCCTAATATATCAGCATGCGGGTGCATCGAGATGGCTCAGCTTTGTTCGATTCTTGAGCCTTTTGTTGCTGGACTCGAGGACTTCATTCTTGATTGTCCAAAAGCCGATCTTTTCTATCACGAGCTTGTTGCGTGCATCGTATGCGAGAGGAAAACGGTACTCATAGGTATTTTCGAGTTTTCTGCGTGCAGCTTCTATTCAGCAATGAGTCTCCGTCATGAGTTGTTTCGTCGAGTAGGACCTTCTTTCCTTGTCCTACACTGACGACCATTACTTCTATTTTCATCTCATGATCAAAATGCCTCAGGTCCGTCTCTTCTCGAGTGAATTGTTCTCGGGCTTTGATGTGCCGGACGGTCCTCCGACACCAGCTAACCGAGTTAATAAAGCGTTACGGAATTCCGGCACATCGGGAGGCACCAGTTCGCCCGATGAATTTCGTAGCGTCGACGAGCCGGGTGATAATTCGTTATCAGAAGATGGTAAAGAGTCCGAAGAAGGTGGGCAACGCGCGTTGCACGAGTGTTTCTACGTGCAGCTATGGTGCAACACACTCCGACAAGTGCAAAAGAAGGCTGGCTTAGCTGGTCTGCGAACAGCGATCCAGGACACGAATGCGCAGACAGCGGCTTTTTTCTTCGGAAACTTCATCTTCGAGGACTACCGGCAGTTACATGAGCTCTACACGAATGCAGGATTGTTCAGGTACTTTGATCGCACCCCGATTTTCGACGAGCTCGCAACACTATGGCTGCAGCGTGGTGGCACTAGCGATGAAACGAGGTCGGGTGTACTGGATCAAAACACTTCGCAGCCAATCTTCGATGTTCAGAGCGTGCTCGCGCGAACAAGCCCGGAGGAGGTCCGCGAGGACGTTTTTCTGGCGCGTTTAGTCGACACGGTGATTGGAGTCTTAGTCCTGCAGCGAGGGAGCGATATTATCGGAGGTGGTACAGTATCGGAAGTCCAGAAGTTACCATCTTCTGGCGGCTCATCCCAATCAGTCGCCTCAATTGGGTGTGGAGCTGCCGGTGGGGCCACTTCCTCGTTGTCACAGAACCGGCGTAGTCGCGGACAGCAACGAAGCGGCAGCAGCACGGCGTCAGCAGACAGCTCAACAAGCTTGCAGGTGTCACGGCAGGAAGCGGCGTGGTGGCGTGAGCAATTGGATAAGGGTTGTGATCCGCTATTGGAGCACTTCTTCCAACAAAAGAGAATTGCCCTTCTCCACGAGCAGGACGACGGGGACACGCCAGGAGGTGAATCTGCCGTTAACAAGCGGGGGGATGCGTCATCTTCTGTCCCGTCGCCAGGCCTCAACAGCAGCAAGAGCCAGGACACTGCGCAGGCACTCGGTCGCATCTTCCTTGATGGATTGCTGTTTTGTCTCGGACGGGTGCCGGAGATGTCGGGTGCAGATGTCGTTGGCGTCTTGAGGGCGCTTGTCGCACGTAGTGAGAGCGCATCTCACAGCGTCGCGGCGTCGACGACAACACTGCGCTACCTGCGGACTCAGATGAGCACATCCACACAAGACGCCACCGCCCTTCTACTGCAAGCAATCGACGTAGTACTCACCCTGTCTTCGACGGTTTCGTAGGCATATTGAAGATCAGCTTTTTGACCACGCATAATCGCTACCGGGATCGTTTATCTTCTTTTCATAACTACCGCTACCCCTTAACGTTCATCTTCATACACACATTGATATTTGGAGCATACATACTAGACATCCACTCAGATTTGGGTTTGCGCGTTTGATGTTACGCGTACCCAAACAGATTTCGCCGATAAGATCTCGCACTGTGACCCACATTACCGTCCATATTATAATTCAGTATTAAGTCTCGCTCTCGGTCACTTCTGCTGGATGTGTCGCATGTAATGCAGTAGTTAATAAGATGGATTGTCTTTGTCATCAACTCAAATTTTCAACGTCAGCAAAAAGGCAGATTATAGATGTCTGATGTTACAGTTACTTACACTTTCTTACGTCATGCATAATTATAACTTTACGTAGTAGACGTAGAAGATGATCCACAATCAGCCAGGTCAAAGGCGAAGGACTCTTTCAATAGAAGTAACTCAAAGAAGTTTATTTTAGGCCAGCCAGTGACTGTAACAACTATTATACCATCAGAAGAAGTAACAAAACAGCACTCACATCATCATCAATAAGAATATTCACACAACTTCTGCATCTGCTAGTGCTCCTAGTGCTCCAACTTGTTGTGGACGACGAATATAGCATCTACAAGTCGTGGAAACTTGAGTCGATTGGGTAGGTAAGACTTTGCGCCTGGTGAGCTTTCACGGTCGATGCAAGACCCTCGACTTTCGAGTTGCGCCTTTGCATGGAGCCCCGTCCCATATCTCCTAGTACGCTACCACGACTTGACAATGTCCATATTGCTCTCACCTTCCGAACTCGAAGTAGAGGTGTAGATGTACTTATATATAGCTTGTTAACGATATTAACTCCTACGAGTCCTCTACTGTACTCGATGAAATATTTGGGCAGCCAGACGCTCATGCCCTCCGACCCTAATCTGCAGCTTTTTGAGGCTCTTTGTCCAACTCCAACTGAGTGTTGTCAGCGCTCCGGTTCTTTATCTTTGTGCGTGTGTTGCTACACCCATCAAGAGAACTTAAGGTTAGGGAGAGAAATGAAACGCCCATTTCTGTTATTTCGGTTTGAATGGTATTGCACCTCCACGGCAAAAGGGTCTACCGGAAGAGAATATTAGGCAAGATCAGAGAAATAGAATGCATTCCTTTGTCTGTCACTGTTTCATCCACAACTTCTTGATCCCACATTTTTTTGAATCTCATATTCTCATTCGGCCAAGAGCAAGACACGATCTCGGTTTAAGAGCAGAACATCAAGTAGAACGTGTATGCATGATCATAGATGATTGCATGATCTCTAACGTTTAAGCCTAACCTAATATCGTCTTGATTTGGCCGATATTATATTACTTGCTTCTTTGTCGCTCAACATCCTCATGAGTATTTTCCTCGCGACTGGACTCCAATCTGTTGGACACGTACAACAAGCCAGCGTCTTTGGGCACCACGCTTCTCGTTCTATGGCGTTTTCAGTATCATCACCATTGTTTTTCCAACAAGCCGCTACTTCTACTTCTACTTCGAAGACCCTAGTACAACGTAATCATCACCTTTACAGAAAGAGCTCTATCTCTTTGTTTTCTACGAATACAACTAACAAGATGCCATCGTCGTTCCCGTACGTAATCGTCGGCGGAGGAAACTCCGCTGGCTATGCCGTCAAGACTCTAATGGAAAGCGGTGTTGCCGGTAGCGAGATCTGTATGATCGGCAGCGAGCCTGTTGCTCCGTACGAGCGACCAGCGCTCACTAAGGGTTATTTGCATGCTCCTGGCAGCAAGGTTCGTGCGCGACTCCCAGGCTTCCATACTTGTGTTGGCGGTGGAGGCGAAAGGCAGACTCCGGAATGGTACGCAGAAAAAGGTGTAACACTACGACTGGGTTCGCCGGCAACCAAACTCGATGCTGGGAGCAAAACCGTCACGTGCAGTGACGACACAATTGCCGCAGATAAGGCGCTCTACGTTGCCACGGGCTGCAATGCGCGTACCTTTGACATGTACCAGGGAACGAACGTCTTCACTATCCGAAGTGAGGCGGACTGCGCTGGCTTGGTTAAGGCCATGGAGGGGCTACAGGGTGGCAAACTGGTACTTACGCTGTTGTGCTTATGGATGGAGTCTTTTTTGAGAATGACAGACAGAAGTCCAAGAAGAAGAGAAAAAGCGTCCGAGCTGAATTTTTAAGATCTGTTTTCCTTCTCGTATCAGAATTGCGTCAACAAAATTAACATGACTCAAAGAAGACGTTTTACTTCTACTTCCAGGTCATCATCGGCGGAGGCTATATTGGTCTTGAGGTCGCCGCAGGGGCCATGGGATGGTCAGAGAACTTGTCTTCTCTCACCATTCTCAATATGGACAACATAATCATGAAAAGGGTTTTCTCTGACGCTACTGGATTCGCAGAAATGTTGCAGGCGAGTGTCACGGTACAAATTTTTCTTCAAATAGTTGGTCCCCCAAGAGCGTTGATGAAGCGCCACAGTTTGCGTAGGTTTAAGTAAGTAGGAGAGGAATTGGAATGCGAATGAAATCGTCAAGTACTAACTACATTTTTTTCCGCTTTCATTTGGAAGTTACAAACAAGTTTCACCTTGACCTCCAGGCACCAGCAGCCACACCCCGAGCCATTGTCGAAAACAACGTGCAGTTTAAGTCACTGACAAGAGACGAGACAGGAAGAGTCACAGAAGTCGTGACAGAAGAAGGGGCTTTTCCATGTGATATTGTCGTTTTAGGCCTCGGGACTGTGCCTGCGACGGAGTTCATGCCGCCAGAATTACTCGAGAAGGGATTTGTCAAGGTACTTCTTTCTTCTTGCTGGACTTCTACTTTTAGGAGTACACCCCTCACCGTCACCTTATAATGCGTATTCTTTTGGCAGCATTGACCTCTCGAAAGAGAAATGATGGGTAACGACAAGCTCATTGCGAACTTTGTCTTTTTCTTTTTCGATTTCTTCTGCCCTAGCAATCTATCTGTATTCACATTATACTTTCAGGTCGACGGAACTTTTAAGTTTGCAGATGGCTGCTACGCCTTCGGAGATTGCGCGCTCTTTCCCCTGGATGGCGCTCCAACCGTGTTGGAACACGTTGCCAACTGCCGCGCGTCAGCGAAGCACGCTGTGCTGAGTAGTTTGGGTAAAGAGAGCGGCAACTACAGCTTGCTCCCTTTCTTCTACAGCCGGATGTTTGAGTACACCGATAAGCCCCTGATCTGGAATATGTGGGGCAACAAGACGCCGGGAGCGACGCCGCATGTGACCAAGGCTGAAAACGGCATATCCGCAGTCTGGGTAGATGGTGGTAAAGTTGTGTGCGCCTGTGTTATGATGCAGAACCCGCCACCAACACAAAAGCAACTAGATGCAGCGAAGTCGCTGATTGGTCAGGAATATACACCGAAATTGTAATCCTAGGAGCAACTATAATGTCGTTGTCGCTCGCTGATGAAGCTCACACGATATTCCTATAGCGGCTCCACCTTCATCTTCATCACTGCCCGACCGTGGGAAGACCCAGATTGCCCTCGCGGCACCAGCGAGTTGGTAGTAAGATATGCGGCCCTAGTTCGACGTGTACAATATCAATATTACTAACATGATTCCCCAGATCTAAACTGAAAAACAGATGAATACCAGCACTGAGGGTACACGCTAATCAAGGACACGCAGTTCTTCTTCTTCTTTATTTCAGACCTAGCCTATTCGGCGCTTGTCATGTCAGCGATGGCAGTGGCAAAAGAAGGCTAGCGCTTTTGACAACAAAAGGGACCGAGATGAGCTCACACCTCGTTTAAGGTAAAGGTTTTTTTTAGGTGGGTCAACGGAGAAGGCTGGTCATTGTCCTGTTCACTGCCCACGGAGAAGACTATTCTCGTAATGTGTGGGTTATACCCATACGATTTCAACACGTGCGTGGTTCTAGCCTTGCTCATTTGGCTTCAGAAGCGTAGTTTTCTGGTCATACTAAATCATCCAGCTGAGAGCGAAGAGTCATTGATTATAATTAACGGAGTTAAACTTGACACTGAAATTGAAGGCCGTGAAGCAGAATCCGTTCACGCAGTCCTCTCCGATCATCAGGATAAGGTTAGGCGACCTTGTGTCGGAGTCAGAGTCTGTCCTACAAAGTCACAAGAATGTGACTTTCGCTTTGCGAATGGCCTAAATAAGGAAGGTTTGAACTCTTAAGTAGTTCTTCTTCTCAGTTGTATCTATAGCAGGTTTAGGTAGGACACGATCTGGAAGTGAGCAGGATCATGACGATGAAACTAGAAGGCAATGGTCACGTCAAGCGCGGGACCGCCTCTAAGGTGTCTGTTCTAGAAGCCGCTTCCGTACCAAAAGACTCGGAACCTGTTCGCATCCGATGCTTTATCAATGGCTGCTTTGATCTTCTTCACTTCGGACACCTGAACGCGCTCCGACAGGTTAAGCAATATGCGCATGCAGATCTCATTCCAGAAGGGGATGCTCAGATTGAAAAAGCACGATCTTCATCACACTCGAAGGCTGTCGATGTCGTTGCAGATGCTGATGCGTCAGCGCTGAATCGAGCTCGTTTGAGTCAGCAAAGTTCTTCCTTGACCAGATTATCAGCTTCGAGAAAAGGAGACTCGCTCCGAGATGTACCTTTACCACCTCCTGCCAGCTCCGACTCTGAGGATATTCTTTCTTTTGTCGAGCCTGCTAGCTCGAGCAGTGCGGATGAACCTGACTCGGTAGCGAACGGGCCGTCACCAGCACCAAGATCCTCTGCTTCTTCGAAAAACACTCTGCTGATGACGTCTAGTAATATCGAGTTGCACGTGATTGCTGGCGTGCATTCAAATGCGGAAATCCGAAGAGTCAAGGGGGGAGCTTTTATAAATTCGGAGCACGAGAAAGAGCGTCTGCTTCTCGCTTGCCGATTCGTCGATGAAGTAGCGCAGGACGTCCCGTACGGTGTAATTCAGCCTGATGTCTACAGTGCAGACTTCGTGTTTCATGGAGACGATGAGATACGCCTGCCTGGTGGTGGTGATATGTACTCAAAGGCGAAAGACGGCGAAAAATTCCGCTACATACGCAGGACTGAGGGGATATCAACGACACTAATGGTCGAACGCTTTTTTAACATGACATCGGCGACAGCACGTGAGATGAAAGACGAAAAGGACAAAATAAACGTGCCTGCAGTTACCGATAAAGGGGTTCATAAAACTACTAGAACACTTCAGCACGCTGTAGACGTTGAGGAGGATGAAGAATTTGATACTATGAATGCAGGTGCCCAAAGAATAGCACGATTCGTTCAAGAGGCTGCTTTCACGCGACAGAAACAGGAAAGCAAATCAAAGTCCGTGGATCCCCAAATGTCGACTGGAGGTAAGGACGATGCTGCAGCTGTTGCAACGACGCCCCTCCTCAACGACATTCATCCGGAACGAAGAGTCGTCTACATTCAAGGATACTGGGACTTGTTGCATGTTGGCTATCTTGACATTTTGGAAGAAATTCGAGCTCGTGAACAAGAAGCCGCTCAAAAGCGAGGTGTTGAATTCGACATCTATTTGATTTGCGGGATCTTAGAGAAAATGAAACCACCAGTGGTACCTTCTGGAAAAGGATTGATGAAGATAGGCGCAAACAGAAATAACGACCGACATACTGCCGCGGCGGCGAAAACGCTAATAAAAGGGAACGGTTGTATAAAAGAGACAGTGGATGATTATAGTGCTCCTGGACCAGTAATCAGTGAGGCAGAGAGCATGACAACTGTGGAAGGCATGGGCGCTGACGTCCATCAAGATCAATCGTTGCCGACACCAGATGAGGTAACCGAGGATGCAAAAGCTGCAGAGGAGCATAAGGGTGAAGATGGTAGCCCGCGATTTCTGAAGAATTTCAATTCCGAGAAGCCTTACAAGATGGTCGTGGATCGATTTTTTACCTCTCCGGCGTCACTTGCTGGCGGCGTTGAGCAGCAGGGTCGAATATCATCGAGAAATGAGAATACATGTCTTTTCCAGACCGTGCATGAGCGAGGACTGGCAATGCTGTCCCTGCGGCTGGTCGACGATGTTGTTTTTGGCGTGACACAGCATCGCTTCTCCGAAAACTTCAGACGGAGTCTTGGCATCGACGTTGTTTACACTGTTACAGGCCACCCAGATTTTGAAGGTGTCAGAGAGGAACTGTACGCGGATAAGGTTGTGGAGGGTGGTTCCATTTTGTCCAGTGCTGATATCGTGCAACGTTTCGCGGCTAATCGAAGCGACTTCGAGCGGAGACAGGCTGTCAAAAAAGAACCGGAACTCAATCCGACAGGGGCAAAAACAAAATCGCTATCATGAAGAAAGTCACGCATGTAAGGTTGTATTCTCTCATCGCCATTTTGTTCGATTTTGATGTTGTACATTATGAAAACAGGAGCCACACTAGCTACTTTCCCCGGGATCTATGATTCGACCTATTGCCATTGCGCTGCAACGCCTTCGAACAGACAATTACTCAGCACTGCTGCAGGGATTCAAATTTAATGATTGTAGATGTGTACCTGTGTTCCATCAGCTATTGGTGTGATTTTCGGAGCTTCGATAGCTCCCTGAATTATTTGAGAGCAGGACGAAAGTCGTTCTGCGCCGGCGCAGCTGGTCTCCGCTTTTTTGATCAAACAGATAGACGTAGCCCTACTGGGTAAGAGTCCACACTACAAGTGAGCGCCACTCACAATAAGAATAAAGTACCAAGATAGAGCAAAATGGCTTCCTCCTCGTCGTCCGCCGTCTCCGCCAATGCGTTGCGAATTGGTCGGAACTCTGCCAATCGCGTGATCTTTGGCCATGGCCTTGGCGACAGTCCTCGGGGTTGGGCAGATGTCTGCGCTTACTGGAGTCGGGAACTTCCAAACGTCCAGTTCGTGCTTCCTGCGGCGCCGATGCGGCCTGTAACGCTCAACGGGGGTGCGGAGATGCCAGCCTGGTACGACCTTCCAGCACATTCGGAATTGGCAAAGTACTCTTCGAGGCTAGAAATGAATGTGAATGGGATAGAAGACGCACTTGCGATGTACTCAGAGCATGTCGTAGACCCAGAGTCAACGGTCTTTGCTGGCTTTTCACAGGGAGCTGCTGTTGCTCTCTATACCGGAATGTGCGCTGCGATAGTGTCGAAAGCCAAAGGTAAAAAAAGCGTGCCACGAGGAATTCTTGCGCTGTCAGGGTACCTGCCAGCCGCAAAAGCGCTCATGGCTGTTGCAGAATCTCTCCAGAAAGACCGGGCAACCACCCCTGAAGTGCCATTAGCAGCAACAGTAGCACAGAAGGTATACATTTAAGCTTATGCCTGCGCCTAAAAGTCCAAATCCTGAAGATGTTGTGAACGAAAATTTTCTGGATCGAGAGTTGAGAGATCTTCAATGTTGAAAAAATACATTTATCACAAACTCTTTCAACGCAATTCTCGTCAAGGTATGCAACTGCTCACACGTGCCTGTGCTTCTTTGCCACGGGCGGCAGGATGAAATGGTATCCTATTGGAACGCAGAGAAAACACAAATATTCCTGCGAGAAGAATTTGAAATAAATGCTGAGTTGCTCTCCTATGATATGGGTCATGAAGCATGTCAGAAAGAAGTTGATGCTGTTGCTAAGTGGTTGCACGATAGATTTCCGAAACATGATGAGAAATTTTTGGATGAGCATGGAGCACGAATGTAGCCTGGGTTGTACAATCGGGAGTCCCTTATACAATAAAGTCTCACAAGCTCTTATCAAGGCATGGATGTAGATGTTGTTCGACTGCGCAACCAAGTGGAAAACCCCAGTAAGTACAAAGCACCGATCGTTCACACTGAGCAGGAACTCCAGCGATGAAGGAGCACGATCCATTTGGAAAAGATTTCAGCGACTAGTGTTTATCATCAATTCTGTACTAACGCTGGTCACAGATGGATCTTTATTGTGGAATGAGAATTTCGTTCTAAAGATCTTTAAGAATGTCGTGATGAGGAAGCGATTTCTGGTAATTATTTGCCCCTGGTATTGAGTTTTTACATATCACATAAGCTAGTAGTAGTACTCTACCGCGAGTACATCAGATTTTTTTGATCGTGCTACTGCTACTGATGTTTGAAGAGAATTTCACGGATTTTTAGTTTTCCATCTTCTATTCATCAGTGATTTCCACAGAGACCACGAGGTGCCGGAAGGTGAATACATGTCGATATATTTTCTGACGATCACAAGTATGTAAGTGACAAGGACAACATCAACTTCTTTCAACTTCATGTAGCTAGTGTAACATTGAAACGAAGATGATGTTTGCGAGTGACGAGCCTGCGTTTGCTTTCCGCGCTGAGATGGAATGGTCAACAGGTGAGCATTTGCGAGATTGCGAAGAGGTCCGGTCCCTGCGGCTGGTGGAGGCGCTAGGCTCCGGCGCTGGTTTTTCCAAAGATGAAACCTCCCTCGTTCGTGCTCAGCTTTTCTGCCGATTTCTCAGTGCACTCACTAATGGTCCCAAGGCGCTGTTGCAGGATCCAAACGACGACTTTCAGTTCTACCCACATCCATCGGAAGCGTCGTACCGTAAGAGTCGACTTCGCACTCGTACCAGTATGGAAGAGAGGGGCCACGACTCAGATGCGTCAGGAACTGACGATGCCTCGGAGGGTGGCGAGGCTTTAGTTACGCCTGAAATTGTTCCCGTGGAACGCGTAGACGGTCGGCGGCCGCTTCTGGCTATGCCTTCGTCCGGCAGCACCTTTATTGGAGCGAGCACAGGAGGAGGAACGGGCGCTGGAGGTAATTCATCAAATATGCTTGCGTAGAAAGATAGACTAAGATAATCAACAGAAAACTCCAATGCCCCGCAGATAGCGTCACCAAGTGGCGGCTCTCGACTTTCTGTTTCTGCTTGGATAACTCAAGATCGTTGGTGTTCGCTCTATTAACTGCATCAAATTGGAATAGAATTAGAAACGAAAGTAAATATATAATCGATCATCTTCATCACAGCTGGATCATTGTCGCGCCGCGCTGTTGCAAATGGGCCCACTTTTCGCGGACGCGCAGGGAGCGCGTCTCGACCAGGCCGTGGCGTGGTCGTGAATGCAAGACGCAACAGTAGGAGGCGCAGTCGAGGTGCCAGCGCAGCCTCTGGTGACGACCAAGGTGGTGCGGCAGCCGGACTGTTGGACCGAGCAGCCGCCCTGATGAATAAGCAGGAAACTGTTGGCGGTGGCGAGCACATGTCACGACCCTTCATCAGCTGCCTCGACGGCGGAGCGCGCGTCCATCTCCTGTGCAATGGACGGCCATTATCCTACACTTTGCACTTCCTCGAGGAGTTCCGATGTGCGGACTGGCAACCAAACTCGCGTACAGGCGGTCTCGCCGTTGCGGCTGGTTCCACATTGCGGTTGTACCGACTCAACTTGTTTCACGAAAGTCTGGAACAAATAGCAGCTTTCCGCCTCGCGAACTGCATAACAGCTGTGAAGTGGTACATTTTTTCGCTTACGGAAATTTGGTCAACAAGTGCAAAAAATCATGTTCGAGGGTCGAACCTGTTGTGTCGGAACCGGAAGGTTTTGTTACACTTACCAGGAAGCTAGTTCAATCTTTTCCATGTTTATGAAATGATCATGGTTACCTTTGCTTAAAAATTGTATGCGACGTTTTTGCATCTATGTATGTATCAGGGAGGGAGGCCGTCCCTGTGGATGGATCTGCGGACACATTGTTCGGAAGCCTTCCACGTCCGCCCTTCATTGCTTCAACGGCCTCCGGGATGGTGGCGCTGTAGGGTCCAGGCAAAAAGCGGGAAGGGGTCAGAGGTGGGCGCTTCGAGGCCTTCACGCCCGGCAGCCGCTCGAGAAAAGGGCCCGGGGCTGGAGGCCCCCCGCCCCCTCTCAAAAAGTTAGATCGGGGGGAGGGCCTTCAGCCCTGAGCCCTGGAACGTGTATAAGTAAAAGTAACCATTTTCATTTTATAATGTTCACATTCTGTAACCAGGTCCCCAGACGGTCGCTTCCTGGCTGCTGGAGATAAGTGCGGAAACGCGTATGTTTGGGAACACAACTCCAAGCTACAGAGCCCAATAGTTCTCGGAGCCCCCAGTATGATCGATAGTGGAGAAAATGGTGGAAATGGCGGTGTTCTGAACTTCTTTTCCTCAGCGCTAAGTGGTGTGACAACTTGGAGCAGTAGCGCCTCATCGTCGAAGAGCGGGGGTGCTCGAACTGTGCGCGTCGGTCAGATTCTGTGGAGTCCTGATGGGAGCTCTATGTGCACCAGCGCTGTAGTGCCCACTGGAGGAGTTGGATTAATGGGTGGTCTTACCAGGGAATCTTCTTCGTCCTCGTCCGGCCCAAGGCATGCAGTCCACATCTGGGCGACAGAGACATGGGAACTCGTTTCTAGTGTGCGCCTGGATTTCAAGCCTCGCATAGCAGGGAACTTGCCTTCGCGGGGCACCTTCCTTGTCGCAGCGGAAAACGAGGAAGGCGCGAATATATTCGAGGTTGCGTGGCGTCCACCTGACGCACCTGCTGGGGGTGTGTACTCCTTTATGAATCCTAGTGGCAGCAGACAAGCAAGCGTAGCGCCAGCGGGATTCCCGTCCCTTTCAGGCGCACCATCAGCTGTCGCGATTGGGAGTGTTTGGCTCTCATTTCCATTAGGCCAAGAACGGCTCATAGACGTGACTATGGATCGAACGTCGCATGACCGAATAGCTCTTTTGCTTGACACCGGGTTAGTGATCATTTGCGAGCTGTGGACGTGTCACGCTGACGATCCCTTGAGAGACCAGCAACCCTTAGCAATCACCGCATCTCAGGTATTCTGCAGTTAGACCCACCACTGAAAACTGCTACGAATACTTGATATATTTGATGTGTAGTACCTAAACCTACAATTCAACAGAGTTCATCTTGGAAGATGAAGATTCACTTGTCCCATATCTATAAAAGGGAAACAAGAAGAAGTTGAAGAAAGCATCAAAAATTGTCCAATCAAATATTAATATTTTTCAGATCAAATTCTCCTCCCCGACACTCGACGGTCTTTTGCTGCGAAGCGTGAAGAGCATAGCGCACACTTCCTTGCCAACTGCTGTAGAATTTTCGCCATATGCACGCGATGCGACACTCGCTACAGTGTTGTGGCAACAGGGAGAAATACTGAGCTATGTGGTATAGGTTCTAGATGCGTTTATGGGGCAGGGCAGTATTCGTATCCATGATTGCGAAACCATCAACATGATACTGTTACATACTATCTTCGAATTCGAAACCCACGAAATCGAAGGAGATAAAACGACATTGCTTCGACACGTATTGATCCAACGACTGACTTCGCAACAATATTCGGAATTTTAATTTTTTTAGTACCGTTATCGCATGCTTGTTTGCAAGAAGCAATTATGACGAGCGCTTATCTTTATCAGGCACTCTACTTTTGGTGTACACAGTGCCTTCCATTTATTGTCCCTTCAGCCACCCAGGGTATCCTCAGGGGAAAGAACAGCCGTGCACAGTTGCAGAGACGATCAAAAACAAATCAAAATACGCAATACGGTCATTATGTGCATGCTGGTTTCACTGGATCAGGCTTTGAGTGCTGTGTGGTCCTGTTTCATAACAGATCCGAATTATGATACCATGCTATTGCTTTTGCTATGCTATCAAATTCGGCAGTAGCCAGCACCAGCTTGGAAGTTCTCACTCTGGTCAAAAAAAGGGATAGACATCATCAAGCAGCAAGGTATCTCGTGTTTCGCGCATGAACGCGATATCCTCAATTTTCTAGGCTACGCCGACAGCTATGTGAAATTTAGAGGGTCAATGCGACTGTTCTTGATGTTTTATTCTTAGTGGGGCACCATGAACATGACCATCGGCATCGCATTCGCATCTAGATTTACTAATAGTAAATCTATGTATAATACATAATGTATTGTGTATCATTCAATTCACGTAATTTTCTCTTTCAATTTCAACTGGAGAATTATATAGTTTGCTTTTCTCAGCTCTCAGCGTTAGCGAAAGTTTTATTCACATTTCTATTGTTCGCTTCCGTCTGACTTTGCCTCTTACTGCTGAGTAGACAATTATAGAATATAGACTATATTATGTAGCTGTAGTAACTCCATGACACATGGGCAGCGGAAAGATAGAAGCCAGGATGCAGGCGTTGGTTCAAAGAACGCTCTGAGCGAGCTAGGACAGCGCCCTGCCGCGGTTGAAGTTGCACTTTCAGAGGAGAATAATGCAGATCGTGGTAGCTGCAGCAACTTCTTTCCCGTGGAGGAAATGGGGAACGCGATGCACCAGAGGACCTTGGGGAGGCTACCTCGTGAACTTGGAGTAGCTGACGTTCGTGGAGTGGAAAACGAAAGCATGATGGAAGAAACTAGTAGCGATCATCGCGTGGGTGCAACTACTGGGACAGGTACTTCTGCAGGTGGGCAAGGGGGAGCTGCAGGCGTATCCTTGTCGCAACCGACGCTGCTGGCACTCGAGCCCCCACCCCTGGATATGGACGTCGATATGGACGGGGGCGCGACTCCCGACGCCCACGCGGAGAAAGCGGCGATAATGAGTTTGCGCGACAGAGATGACGGGGACGGCCTTTTTGACGACGATTCGAGTGCGATGACAGCGCTTGTGCCAATTGCTTCTGCTTCCAGTGGACACAGCACAACAACGTGCACTCCTCCAGCGACTGGAGGGGGAGGTGTTCGAAACCCGATGGAGCGCGGTTCTCATGGAATGAATTCACCCAGCAGCACGTCTGCAGGTACGAGTATAGCCACGCGCCGAGCGATGACACGGCGATCCTACTCGCGAGATCTTGTAGTTCGTGACAACTTGCTTCGCGGAACACCCGGGTTTGCAGGCACTGCATCTGAAAGCATGCAGCCACAACGCCGCAGCCCGCAAATGTTTGCAGATTATGGACGAGACGACTCCATTGCGCGTGCGGGTGATTACCGGGATGGTCCCAAGAACATTAATATGTATAGAGATCATCTTGGAGCGAGTGCGTCGAGGTCGAGCCGAGCGCGACGCGGGGGGACCGCCTCGGCTCGTAGGCGACACAGGATGCCGACGACAGCTCTTGGAGATACAGCAGATGCCTCCATGGAGCAGCAACTCGCATCGACGTCCCTTATCCCGACGACAACCACAAGAGACAAGAACTATGGTGTCAGAGGAGCGGCTAGGGGAGTCGGCGATCATCACGGACATCACCTGCGCCACCAACTTGCTTCCTCGCAACGTGCCCCTTCATACATGTTGGATCAGCAAACGGCTGACAGAAGTTTTCACTCTGTGCTGCTGCGCCACCCGGAGCAGGGAGTTCTCGTCACTTTCAATCCGCTGTCACACAAAATTGAGCTACTGCGGACGGGAACAGGTGGTAGCAGTGACCTCCTCTACGATTACTGTCCGTTTTGTGGCCAGGTTGTCGATGAAGAGTTGCTAGCTAATTTGATGGCCTCAGACGGGCTTTTCGCGCGTGCCGCTGCGGCTGCTGCTTCAGGAGGTGGAGTTGGAGAGGATGACTTAGATTTTGCGGATTCTGTTTCTGGCGATGGGCCACTCGAGACTGATGTTGAGGATGAAGAGGAAGAGCAATCCTATGACTCAGACGATGGTGGTAATGAGATTGAGAATGTCGACCAAATAGAAGAAGACGAGAGCAACGACATAGTAGAGGACGTCGAGGATGAACAGGACCTTGTCTTCGAAGATGTGGTAGATGACACTCGTTTTAGCCAAGACGACATTGAAGCATCAGCTGTTTATGCAGAGGAGCAAGCACTTGTCGGGTACGAACAAAACAAGTCAACAGAAGACGTTGGGGCAGAAGGCGGTGCGACCCTTGTTGACTATCCCGCTTTTGGCAGATCGCATGCGCTTCGCGGAGATCCAGAGCTGACATCGCTTGCCACGGACGCTAGGACTGGTGCAAGCTCGTCATCCACGTTTACCGCTCTTTCACATTTCGATGCTGGCGAGCAGGAGGATGCGACTGCGCATCGTCCAACGATGGCGTCACGGCATAGTCGAAGCCGGAGAGTCGGCGGGGCGCTTTCGTCGGACACCGCCGTAGTGGAAAGTGGACTCGGACCGACTCCATCGAGTAGCTCGCGAGCACCTCGTTCTTCCAAAGGAGATGAGGCAAGAAAGAAGCATCACCGCGGTCCACACCGTCTTGCTTCGTCTTCATTGAGCACGCCTAGCAGCGTTCTGCTTCCTGGAAGCACCCCCTCGTCTGCCTCCATGTCAAGAAGTGCAGCATTAAACGCAGCGCGGATTATGCGGCATCACCATCAGCAATTCCATCCCCGTCAGAGATCTCCTAGGAGTAACCTTTTTTCAGCCATGCATCATCCGGGCTCGCGTGGTGCACCATCCTCGTCACGTCAACATGCAACTATGACATCGACCGCTCTTTCACCAACAAGCGCGCCCAAGGCGCTTCGCGAGCCTCCGCCATTAGACCTGCTCGCGTCCGCCGACATGAGCAAACTTACAACGACGAGCCGCTCGGCGCGTGGACCCCCCGGTCAGCCCAGTTACATCGCACCCAACTACTTCAACATTCTAGCCACCGTTCACGAATCAGAGATGCAAACAAGCGGCTCTGCCTCAGCACCTCCTCGCTCCGGAAGTCTCGCGGGGCCATCGTCAGGCGTTAGTGCGCCTTGTAGCAGCGCGCCAGCGATCGAGTTGAATGATGCAGCTGCTGGAGGGAATAGTGCGTTACGGCAACTCACCCCGACACTTGCGTTAATGCCGGATCCCGATGACCACGAAGCCACACCACCAGGAAAGGGAAAGATGATTGAATCAGTGGATGACGAGAAGGAGAACGTGAGCATGTTGGACGTTGAAGAAGTAAAGAGCAACGACCTTTCTCGAGGTTCCTCACCCAGTGCAGGAGAGCGGGAAGTAAAGGAAGGTGCATTGTCTGCGCTCGATAAAAGCAAGAGCATTAGCTCATCGAGCGGAAATCTAATGGCAAGAGCAGAGTCGTTTCCAACCTTCGATACCACACCCAACATGAACGATGAAGAACCATCACTGGATGCCACTTTGCAGTATCTTTCTGGTTGGGCCGCTGCTGCGATGGGCGGCCTCCTTGCGGCCGACGGTGCGCCTGACTCCGTATGCGACGACACGCGAATAGCTCCAGCTACAGCGGATGCTGTTGGCACGGCGGCCTTAGCGCAATTAGCGTCGACTGCTAGTGCTACCGCTTCTGCAGGTCACAGTGCGACGGCGTCCGCGGTGCGCGCAGGTGCGTCAGCAGAACCAAGCACTCACCTTCCCTGTGGGCTTCTCAACGATGGATACTACGAGCGATTTTTCTTCGAGGTCGAGTTTCTCGGCCGTGGCAGTTTTGGGCACGTCTTTCATTGCCGGCATATGATTGACGGTGAAACACTGGGCGACTTTGCGTTGAAGAAAGTGGCTGTAGGAGACGATCGCACTTGGCTGCGAAAAATAATCCGCGAGGTGAAGGCGTTTGAAAGGTACAATTTGGTTTCGAATTCTTTCTTCTGCGTAGATTTGCTTTACGCACGACAAGAAGAGTAGTCCAATGCTAGCACTAGAAGGAGTTCTTTCTCGTTCCAGAGTGAATGATGGAACATTTGTCTAATCGTAAAATTGCACGTCTTAGTGCAGCAACATCAGGATCGAAATGGGAATACTGTCTTATCATCATGACGACTTCGACTTTGCTCTTTTCTAATAAAGTAAAAGTTGTCGCAGTCCCAGTCGCTTTCATCCACAAATAACATGAACAATTAATCCCCAGGTTAAACCACCCGAACGTGGTTCAGTATAAGCATTCGTGGCTAGAAAACTGGCAAGCGAACCCTTGGTGTCCGCGGGTTCCGTTTCTGTTCATTCTCATGCAGTATTGCAGTCGCGGCAGTTTGCAAGATCTGATCGATCGGAGCTGTGGAGCAGATCGCGGTGGGCTTCCCGTGAACATGATTTTCCCTCTTCTTGACGACATCCTCTCCGGTATTCACTATCTGCACACACAAGGCGTCTTGCATCGTGACCTAAAGTGTGAAAACGTGCTGCTGCATTGCGAGGGACCTCTGAAAACGACACGGGCGCTACTCACCGACTTCGGGACCGCGGAATGGAAAACAGCGGCATTCAGCGTAGGGGTTGATGTTGAGGAGGCGCACAACTTGGCCAGCACATCTGACAATCACCATGCGCGAGGATCCTCATCTACTTCAACTGCACAAAATACGACTGCGCCTGCACAACAGATCGGTGCTCTTCGAGGCAATGCTGCTACTTCGTCTGGCAACAATCCGTCACGACCAGGAGGGATCGCAAATGGACAACCCGGTTCGTTGAGACCGGATACTACCCGGAGTAGGTCTCCCCTTCGAGAGCGGCGGTCACAGCAAGCCGGGACGGGATCGAGCAACTTTGGCACGACAGAGTACATGGCACCTGAGGCATTCCACTCCGTGGACCCCTTCTATGATGAAAAATCCGACATGTGGTCTCTGGGCGTCCTCTGCTACAACATGCTTTTCGGCAAACTTCCATTTTTCGGCAATTCACCGCTAGCAACTCGACTCTTGATCGAAAAATTTAGTCGGGGTGAGCTGCTACCAGCAGATCTACAGGCCCGGCCATCGGGCGACGGACAAAGCGGCTCCCTTATCCTCACTGCCTTAGTGTTCACGCTTCTGCAACCAGAGGGAGCGCGTCGGCCGAGTGCGATCGATGTATTACGAAACGACGCCTATTGCAAGGCCCGCGACAGGGCGGCGGCGGCCGAATTCGCATTTGAGTCTTCACGCGAGCGAAGTGGCACAGGCCAAGCGAGTGATCGGAAGCGCCCCCTTCCGATAACCACGACGAGTGAGGCCACTAGCTAACAAACGGGGCTTCAAATGCCAGAATCAACGTTGCTTGGAATAACGCACTCAGAAGGCAGACTTCTCTTTTTCATAAACACAAATCGGCTTCGGCATGTATGAATGTGACCCTGTGTAAAAATATCCAGCAATTGATTCATCAACATCATCATTTTCATTTTCACATATTCATATATAAATTATGCTTTCCATGACGACAACATCGAAATTGCTTGACGCTGTTGCTTTGACCAAGCACATCAATGAGTCGCAATCTTGCGACAATCAAAAACTTATACTCTTATCCCTATCGATTCCTGCTGCTCACCGATCGATGTCCAAAGAGAAACACATAAGTAGCTAGGCGCAAAATCGCCACTGAGGTTCAGGTGATTGAAGTCAACGTGTTTCAAGAGATGGCTTGATGAACAAAGATTGTTTGATGAACTTCAACTTCGGTATGTTTGCAGCTAGCCATGTGGAAAAGGGTTTCGATAACTTTGTTGGAAGCACCATGCGCATGTCTATGATCAAACAATCGGTGGTTTTGCTTGGTGAAATCCGATTGCCATTCGTTTGCTCAGTCTCGAAATAGGCTTCAGCCCTGCACTATTGATGAAAGAAAGGGTTGAACTTGAAGAACGAGTTAAGTACATCGAATTCGGCGAAACGGGGAATCAAAAATGAAGCAAAGCAAACACAAATTCGAAATCCGGGAAAACAATGGTCAGCGTTGAAATCATTTCTCGACATCGAGAATTCACGCTAGAGGACATAGAACAGAAATATATTTTGGTATGCAACTACATCTACATCATTATTTCCCTGTACGTAGATGAAGCTCAAGAAATATTGACATACATCAAGGGGAACAACTTTTAACCACTGTTAAGTGGATTTTTTCTCGTGTTTGCTGGCTGAGAAGTTGCAATTGATTCATTTACATTTAATTCTTTCATGATGATGATATCCTCTTAGTAAGAAATTCTCTGAAAAACAAAATGATAATGGGTCTAGGAGGACCGTAGCTACGAAGGGCCTGATTCGTGGTCACAGGGATATGGTGGAGCGATATTTCGTGTCCACGCGCCCGGATTCGGAGAAGGCGCATCAACCCCTCTGTTTTCCTGTGAGTCGTTTCAGTGCCGGCGCTTCCATTTTATCTTCGCGACCTACCAGGACAATGCTGGGCCAGATCATTGGGGCGTGCAATCCGCAGGCTAGAACAGGAGTACCTTCTTGGGTAGCGCATTGGCTTCGCCCTCAACATGGGCGATTGCGGCTACGAGACCCTCCATTGGTAGCAGGCTTACGAACTTTCGGAAAAATTAACGCAGTTTGCATTGTTGTATTGTCGTACGTGACGATTCGAGAACTACAGCTTCGTTACCGTGACGAAGAGCGCTTGAGTACTGCTTTGGCTCGGAGGTCGCGCTTTCATGAAGACTGGCTGCTGTCAGACAGAGCAAACAATTTTGGCGACGTGGACTACGACCAGGATAGCCGGTTTACACCTATCAACAGCCTGCTTGGTCACAATGAGAAGAAGCGGCCACCGCTGATTTTTGTTCCTGGATTCAAAGCTTGCGCACTGCGGCGGGAGCCTGACGAAGGCAAAAAGTGGAGCTTAAGACACCTCTGGGAAGATTGTGTAGGATGGGGCACCATGCCGTCCGTTGTCAAAGGAATATTTTCGGGCCGAAGAAGGAACTATCAGCTCGCACTATCAGGTCGCTGGAGCAGACCTAGCTTCGCAGATGAGAAAGAGGAGACATTGTCTGGGGACGAAACACGTACGAAAGCTCACCCCCTCACTCGTGCGGTTCAAGAATCAGACGATTTTTTTCCGACAGGTTTAGTGCCTGCTTATCGCATATTTAATCTGTTCACGCTGCATCCAGGGCATACACTTGTGGACCGTTTTTTGCGACGGGTCGCAGCCACTGAGGACCGGCTTGTCTATGAATTTGTGTATGATTGGCGAAGAAGTGCAGTCGAAATTGCATCACAACTGGATGCTTTTGTAGAACATGTCCGTACCGATAATGACGGAGTTGCTCCACAGATCATGGCCCATAGTTTTGGCGCTTTGATGTTGCTGTATCTGCTGGTTGCGAAAAGAAAGATCTTTGGTGGAGTTGGAGAAAACCCCGATAGCAAAAAGCAAATAGGGGAAAAGCAGCTCTGTCAAGAGACTGACACAATGAATGTGCCGCCGAAAGCCTACCGATACCGGAAGTATACCCGTTCTGCGCGAGGTGCAAAGGAAAACTCTGGCTGTGATCCGGGGGAAACATCGTGGAAGGCGATGCGCTGTTTTTCTAAAGCTGCGCGTGCTGATGTGACAGTTTCGGAGGGAGAAGTCGAAAGTTCCAGCAAATCAAGCAGGTCATTTGGCGATCGCGTTCACTCTGTCCTGCTGATTGCGCCACCAGTACGGCTGACACCCTACTTTTTGATGGATATGCTATACGGAGATCCAGACTATTTGATGGATGGAGCGACGCATTTTACGTTTTCCAGTGTCTACACTTTCTTTCCCGACAAACACTACAATGCAGATGGTCGTAAGGTGGAAATTTTTGGGAACAGCAAAGCGGTTGACGATAAACACGTGTCCTCAGGGAAAACAAATGCAAGTGGAAGTGATTGTTCCGAGTCGAGCTCACCAGCACCGGTTGTACATAGAGCGACGGCATTTCAAAAAGATATTGAGAACCAAATATTTCAGCCTGTCTGCGGGTTGGGCGCTGCGCCACAGCTGTCGTTGGGGTTACTGCGGCTTGGCCATGCCGTGGACTGTGCTGGGCTAAGTAGATACTTGCACGAGCGGCGTTGTGATATTAGTGGTAATCTGTGCAGCGGTATCAGTGCCGTGGCGTCTTTTTTTGAAGCTCTCCAGAATGGCGTCGTAAAAGTCACCGGTAACAATTGCAGTTTTCTTATCTCTCCAGAGCATGACTACATTGACAATGACTACAAGGAACCGACGAAGCAGCGGAGTATTCGGGCACACCAACTACCATGCAATTACCCAGATAGTGATATTACAACACATGAGGAGTCGGCAAAGTTGTTTGACTTTCACGACGTTGAGACCTGGATGACGAGATTTCCCATCGCAAAGGGTGTCGACGACGCAACCGCACGACACCATCTTGCGCATGCACTTGCCGACGCAAAGATGTTTTGGACGCAACTCGCTGAAGGGACGCAAGAGCTTGATCGGGAGTTTCTGACCCGCGAGAGAGGAGCAAGTGATAGAAATCGGCGTCCCCGAAACGAAAAAGAAAAACGGGGAAGCGAAATCAACGAGGAAAAATTTGGCGATACAGATTTGCTGCCTCCAGTACGTGTCATGATCGGAAATGGGCAAAAAACCGGTGAAAAGCTTGTGCTTGTGCCGGCAGAGACCCTTGAGCTTAGGAATAAAGGTGACGAGTCTTCTTTCTTCTTCTACGGTAGTCCACAGAGGGTTGCTGGTGACGAACGTTTACCTGCGAATCGTATTTTGCCTCGAGGAGAACTATTTCGAGACTTGCCAGTTCACACTACGAAGTTGGGACACAGCCGGATGCTAGGGGATTTGGAGACGGTAAGCGAAGCCCTTCTATGTTTAGAAAAGGATTGGATATCACGCCAACGCGAGGCACAGACAGGACCTGACTAGAAACACCCAAGAAGAGACGACGGCCGCGCATCCACATTCATAGCACACAGTTGCAACTACATATCAGAGTCCTCAGTGACATCAATGACAAGGTACTTTAACATTCCGCAAGGGCAAGCTCTCTCATCCCGATGGTCTCGCAAACGGTTGTCTAGCACAGCCAAAAGTTGTACAATCTGTAGATGGAATTAGAAGTGAAAGGCTGGGGCAGCTCTTTGTCTCAGCTGTTATCATGGTGCGAGTGTTCGAGTTCGCAGCTTTTTCGTAACTGAGGATGGATCGGCTCGACGCTTCAAGCGGTCTATTAAACTCAATCGGTAAGTCTATGTCTAAGTGTAATGGGGAGAGGTTATTTGTAGTCGAGAGATGCCGACAGTAAAGTCAGATGACATTCTTCATCAGTCTGTTTTGGTAAAAGTGAGTGCGAGGTAGGCGAAACACAAAAAGTGTAAGTTTTATCAATCGGTGTGAACATGAAGTGCATCGCTCTCTGTTGAGGCCGAGCAACCTTGATGAGAAACTTTGGCTCTAGAAATTGGGTCGAAGAACTTCTACTGCAAGTTAGAACAACAGAAACAACTGCCCCGTCCCCAGAAGACATTTGGCTCAACTCTTCAGCTTCTTTGATGAGTTCTCGTACTTATCACGAGCACGATGTTTCCTAGGTAGTAGTCGATACACCAGAGAATTTCTCCTATTCGAGGAATCAGACAACGACAATCACAATCTACTCTTCACAAATTGACTTCTGGTATCATTCTTTCACTTTCCCGTCAATCGCTTGGTAGCCAGGAAAATATCAGTTGTCGATCAGTCCCTCTCTTTGAGTAGAAAAGATGAGGGGTGGTCGCAGTCGTACTTCGTTGATTGAGGAGCCTGGGCTCGACGGGCGGGTGAAAACCGATCCGATGATGCCAGTGCTCGCTTCTATGGTAAAAGATTCGCCTACCGAACTCAAGAGCCTTGCCGACCTCTTTTCCGAGACCTTTGTGGAAACATCATCAGGCGACATAGGTCTGCAAGTGCGCAACGGCCCACTGTTTCGTACGCATTCCCATATTCTCTCCAGAGTACCTGGATTTCTGGAGCAAGTGCGAGCATTGAAGCCGATGCCGCTTTATGTTGATCGGGGAGGCAGAATGTCCATCCGTGACTGGATGATCAAGAAGCGCATGCCACGCGCACTTGAGGATGTCAAGTTCCAGTCCTTCACAGAGGACAGATACATACAGCCAGAGCATGTCCCGTATGAAAATGGCTACAGCACTGCGCATGAGCAGTTCAACAAAATAGGGGCGCTACAGCGGAGAGACCACTTGAGGTACGATTTCACTTGTTTCTGTTTCAGTTCATTATCATGTTTAACTTTAAGAGTTGCGAATGGACAAGAACTCCTTTACCTTTTCTCCCTCCAATTATGGCTGGAACCTGAGAAATCGATATTAACGATCTTGCAACTGCTAGTCATGACCTGCCTCAGGTTAGCGGAAAAGTACGAGATCATCGAGCAAGGAGATCGTGTAGTAGAATTGTTGCGGTATGTTTACCTAGGCAGAGTGGACTATCTTTGGATGGAGCCGCATGGAGCAGAGGCGAAGAAACAACTCATGGAGAATATGATAGCGATGCTCTTCTGCGCAGGTATTCACAATTCATGTAATTCACTGCTGGCGTCATTGTCAACCGTAATATACTGGAATTCCTATTAGAGTACCATAGGAAATGGAAACTGAACAAAAGATGAACGTAGTCGTTCTTCCCAAGGTGAATCGTCGCACTTCTCCTTCGCCATCCTTCTCATCCTCCTCCTTAATAGCTAAATTCGCGTTAGACGATTTGTTCTATGTGCTGATGAAGTGGTTCCCGCTGAAGTGCAGACAAGTCTGTGGCGACGACAATTTCACAGAGAGCTTCTACAAAATCGAGTATTATCTGCGAAACCAAGTACAGGAGCCACTCTTCCAGCGAGATATGCTCAACGCGCTCTTGCAAATGGGCTGTCGACGAGAATACTTGATGCTCATATCATGGGACTCGCGGTGGAACTCCTTGGAGTCCAACTTTCTCCACACCTTCCTCGACCAGGATCAACTAGCGATTTTGAATGAAGGTATTTCTTGTGGTTGGTTTTTTCTGAAATTCTCGAATGTAATTGTACTCGAAGTTAACTACGCCGTTGACTCATTGTATTGAGGGTTGTTCTATTCTATCCCTGTTTTTGTAGTTTGAGATCACTGCGACAATTTCTACCGATCAGGTGAAATACTCCTAATGGTCGAGCGATGGAACGCCAATCGTGACAAGCAAACACACGAAGTCCTGGAGGTTCTGCATGCTTTCCGACAGTCAGCAGCAAACCTGGACTCGATGATTCAATTCCTGTTTGCGACCTCGATCCTTAAAGAGGAGGCAGCATCAAAGACAGTCAGGGATCCGAAGAAAAGGGAGGCGCGGCTCCACAAGCAAGTATTTAGCATGGTAGCGCCAAATAATAAGCCACTGAGGAGGTACAAGCCAATGTCAAAGAAGCAAGAAAAAGAACTACAAGCGGCACTAGCAGCTGAGCAAGAGAAAAAAGCGGTGCAAGAAAAAGCAAAAGAAAAGGAAGAAGATCCGGATGCGGACTTGGGTAAGTACCCCTTTCATCTTTGTTTTTGTAGTTCCTCTCATGTAAATGTGTCTTGAGTTTCTACTCGAAAAGTTAGAGTCACGCACGTGAACAAATGGCCACTGATCCTTCCCTATCCCCTCTCCAGATCAATTCTTGCAAGTGCGAAAGATGGACGACGACAGCTTCGTCGTCAAGAAGGCTCTCAGCTTCACGCTGCATCCTATTGATAGCTTGCTGCAGAAGAGGTCGATCTGTATGCCTGGGAATTACAGAATTCGACTTGCATTCACACAAAAGCACGTAGGACTCTGGGACCGAAGTCACGAAGTCTACATTGGAATCCTCTACGGTGGAAACAAATTCTTCGGCTACCTATGCGGAGCTAGTCCTTTCATCGGCATCTACGACATCAGAAACGTGTCTGGTGTGTGCCAGCGGCCCGAACAGAGCTGCTTCTTGACGGGTTCCGGGAACAAGATGGAGTTGGATCTGGATGTCACGATAGGGATGCAGCTCTGCAACGGAATTCACACCGTCAAATGCGCAATACTAGCCAACAACTCGACTATTGCCTCCGATGATGTGCAGTGGACTAACGAGACGATGGCGCAAGGTGTGCGAATTCAAATCGTCCCGGTGGGATTTCAGACGCGTGACGAAATCGACTGCAGAATAACATGGGTCTCTAACGGAACGCAAGGACTTAAAGGTGATGAAGACGCGTAGATCATTTAGATAAATACATATACAAAGGCTTCTAATCATTCATAAAACTCTCATGAGTCACTTGTAGAGGAGACGGAGAATGCTAAAAAGGCAAGCTTATGCGAATTTTGGAATATCCATACGCATACAACTGCTTCACAAAGAAATGCAAAAGAATGATTATCTAGACTGCATCACCATCAATCAACTACATCATGCTAACTCGAAATTGACATACGCAACCCTTAAACCCCTGTAACCATGTATCTTCGTCGTTTTTGGATTTGGAAAGGATCATTTGCCACAAACACACACACGTAGACATGATGAGAAAAATAGATATTCTTGTATCATTGCACAGTGTCAACACACAAAAGTATGCCTTACGCATATCTACCATAAAAAGAACATGAAATCTCAAGACTAGGAACGCATATTAGCTCATAATCGCATATTCTCATCGTTATTCACATATACAATCAACAGAAATTTTGACGTAACTACTAAGCGTGCCGAAATTAACAACGAAACAACAATAAAAAACTCATTCGTATGATTCGACTTCGAAACACATTCATAAGATTAGACCTATTCCTAACTTAATACGTAGACGGACTACTTTTACACATAATTATTCCAATATTAATCATATTGCGCTCGCGCGCTCGGTCTCGATTATTATTTGCAACTGCTTGCGAGAACAATTAGTAAACAATTGTACCTAGTGTTGGTTGGCGGATCACGATTGCAAAGGTGATTTGACTTTATGCATTTGTACTATAACTTGAACTTGTTGTTCTTGTTTGAACTTGTACTTGATTCTTGTTGACGAAGGAAGTTTCTTTCACTGTGGATCAACTAGATGTGCAAGAGCACAGACTAAGTTGAGATAGTAGGCTCCAATGGACCAGTGATTGTGACAACTTTATGAAGTAGTAGTCTGGACAAAAAAATTTAGAAGTCGCTTAGAGCTCGAGTTGTAAAACACAACATGACGAAAAATTGCATTTGCCAGCAGACGTTCATGGGTCGTCGCTCAATGTAGTTGGCTGGGTCCATCGAGAGAAGATTCCGAACGCGCTGTCCTTGAGGCAACAAAAAGGAGTCAAGGATTGAAAAAAACATCGTAAGGGTTTCCCTACCCCTTCTGACATCAGAAATAAGAGGAAATTGCTCGAGCACGAACTTCATTCTTCACAACAAAATGCCGCCTTTTGCGAGAGCCAGCTGCAGCGCTTTTTCGTCGTCTTCGCAGGCTTTAGTTTCTCGACGCGCGTGCGGCGGTCTCTTCCGTATCGGAGCATCCTCATCGAGTTCATCTGGTTTCTCTCGAAATAGGGAATTCGGAATTCTTTTATCGAGGCCCACATATTTGGGTTTTGCCAGCGGACGAAATCAAAGAACCTTGATGACGGTGACTCGTGCCGCACAGCAGAAACTCTCGCCTGTCTTTGGCGGCACGCCGTGGGATGGCTTCGGCGTACATAATCTTCCGTACGGAGTCTTTTCGACACCCGGAGGTAGCGGAGGACAAACACGAATCGGAGTGGCGGTAGGATCCAAGATCTTGGACTGTTCCGTACTCGCAGATCACGGTGTCCTTCCCTCATGCCTCAAGTGTGCGACCCTGAACGACTTCATGGCACAGCCGAAAAGCGTGTGGAACGAAGTGAGGACAACTTTGCAGGAAGTCGTCACAGATTTCGATCAATTTTCGACGAAACACAAAATCGACGGAGGCGTTTTAGTTGACCGCACTATCGCTACGATGCACTTGCCGTGTCATATCGGAGATTACACGGATTTCTACGCTTCTCGTGAGCACGCAACAAATGTAGGAATGATGTTCCGAGATCCGGCGAAGGCCCTGCTGCCAAATTGGCTTCATCTTCCGGTCGGCTATCACGGACGCGCGAGCTCAGTGCTCGTCTCGCCTCAGTCTGTAGTGCGACCAAAAGGCCAGGCCGTCGCGAAAGACGCGCCGGAGGGTCCACCATCCTTTGGCCCTTCAAAACTCGTAGATTTCGAGCTAGAAGTGGGGGCATTTGTCGGCGGGCCGCCAATGCAGATTGGAGAAACGCTCACTCTGCAAGAAGCGGAGGATCGGCTTTTCGGGCTCGTCTTGTACTGTTTGCATTTTCGTTTCTCCTATGATCTCTTGAGTCATCGATTATCATGTAGTAGGTAATAAGATGCCATTTCATCCAGTGGGCCCTTCGCCTCTTTTGCTTCGTGACATCTTTGTCCTATCCGGACTTACAGATTGAATGACTGGTCTGCGCGGGACTTGCAGAAGTGGGAATATGTGCCGTTGGGTCCTTTTACAGCCAAGAATTTCGGCACCATTATCTCTCCTTGGGTGGTTCCTCTCGCTGCCCTAGAAAAATTTCGGGTGCCGACTCCTGCACAAGTTGATCCAGTCCCCTTACCATACTTGCGACAAGCAGAGGGAACGAAAGGTAAGTATTATCTCTGTCGGAGCAGTAGACTACAAGAAAACACCTGTTTCTGCAATTCTTACGTTATATTAAGGAACAATAAAGAAGTTAAGGTCAGAAAGATCAAAAGCTGGCCGTGTTCTACTGCTGCATAATTAAATGTTTTTTTAAAGAAGAAGAGGCGTCGTCTGGCGTTTTTACATGTAGCACTACATGTCATGTGAAAGAAGCGATCGACCGAAGTCGATCTGAACATGGTTGGCCCTTGGGCGTTTTACATTTACGGTTTCGTATGTAAAAATCCTGCTCCGAAGTTTACCCGAAAATGGTTGGTGCTTGAGCGTTCTACATACGGCTTCGTATGTAAAAATGCTCCTCACGCTCATAGCCACAGGGCAACGCACGAAGGATAGACAACTGCTCCTTTTGCATTTGGTTTCGTATGTGAAAGCGCTCGACTGGTGAAGTCGTGTTCCTTCTGCATTCGATTCCGTATGTAAAACTGCTCCTCCGAAAAAGCAGGCGACACGAGAAGGGTGGCCGGTTGGCGGTTGGTGCTTTCACCTACGGTCTTGTATGTAAAAATGCGCCTCCGAAGGTGCCTCGAGAAGGGTTGCCCATTGGTGCTTTTGCATACAGTTCCGTATGTGAAAATGCTCCTACATTCGAAGAATGTGACGCGAGAAGCCTGATTCCTTGGCTATTTTTTTACATACGGCTTCGTCCATAGTCCTTACGTCGGAGTAGGCGACTCGAGAAGCGTGGACGGTTGCTGCTTTTACATACGGTTTCGTACATAAAAGCGCTCCTCCAGAGCCGATGCGAGAGGAGAAGCGTGGTCGGCTGCTGGTTTCACATACGGCTTCGTATGTAAAAAGTGCTCCACCTCCGCAGGAGACGCAAGTAGGGTGGCCGGTTGGGGCTTTTACATGTGGCCTCGTATGTGAAAATGCTTCTCCGAAGTAGGCGGCGCATGAAGGGTGGTGGTCGGCTGGAGGAGCTTTTGCATACGGTTTCGTATGTAAGAATTCTCTTCCCCCGAAGGCGACAAGAGTAGGGCGGTCGCTTGGTGCTTTTACATGCAGTTTCGTATGTAAAAACGCTGCTTATCCGAGGGAATGAGAAGGCGACGCGAAGAAGGGATGGCCAGCTGCTTGCGCTTTTACATCCGGTTTCGTACGAAAAAGCGCTCCTCCTCAGGCGACGCGAGAAGGGTGGTTGCTTGGGGCTTTTCGACATGATGAGGCTCGAAGTACTACAGAACGAAAAAACTAGAAGACGCGGCGTTTCTTGCGCATTTATAGGCTGCTAGCCTCGAAGGACATATCTGAGCGTCTCACATCTATCTTAGGTAATGTCGATCTCTCGTTGTCGGTCACCTTGGAATCGGGATCCAGCGGTCGGAAGAAGAAGGTTACTGAGAGCAATCTCAAGTACATGTACTGGTCGCTGGCTCAGCAGCTCTGCCACCACGCTTCTGGTGGCTGCAACATGCAACCTGGCGATTTGATCGGAACAGGCACAATATCTGGTCCCGGAGCTGGAGAGCGAGGCTGCCTTCTGGAGATAACATGGGCTGGGCGAGATGAAGTCGATATGGGAGGAGGGGAAACGCGCAAGTTTCTCCAAGACGGTGACACGTGCATCATTTCAGGGATGGCCGCTTCCGACAGTGAAGAAGAGGGAGTCAGAATAAATTTCGGGGAGTGTGTATCGAAAGTATTGCCGGCAACGCACAAATTTTTTTGAGATTGCATGCTATTTTCCTTTCTCTACTTTCACATTTTTATCAATCGCTTGCTCCACCAATCGCATCGTCTCTGAACGCATGATAACATCCGCTTCTACGCTTATCTACAAGCGCAAGTTGCAGTTTTAGTCGCCACTGTGCAGGCCCTGAAAGCGCACCTTGGAAATAAGTAAATGATTCGCAATCGCTTTATTTGCTGGCTATATGAATTTTTGAATTTGATGAAGGCGCTTTTCGTTTCTATGTATACTATAAAGATGGCGAGCTTTCGTGTGTAAGACTCGAGCAACGAGAAAAGCGAAGCACCGGAAGGATGCATTCATTGGCAGCGCCTCCTTGGCTGTTAAAGTTTCTGAGTCCTAGAAGTAGTGCTCTTGGGAGATGTTCTTATTTAGCTTTATTATTATGCTGCGTTTGAGTGAAAACTAGCCTTGTGATGTTGGGAACAAGCGGAGACAGCATCTGCATCGCTAACTTGATGAGGATTTATTCTGCAGAAAGATATTACGGATCGATGTACTAGACTTCGAGAGCACCGAAGAACCAGGAACATGACATTTACTAGAACAACAGTTTTACATCGAACGATATCTTAGACTTACTGCTATCGAGATTGACTACGAGGAAGAGTAAAGTGCGGTAGGTCGCGGGGCGGTGGACGATGTTTTTGTTTCGACGCAAGCTGGTGGAGAGCGTCATCGAGGCTGGCGATTATCAACGTGCTCCTGCGGAATCACCTGGAAGCGAAGCCAACGCACGTGGCGGATCCGGAGACACCTCCTCTCTGCCAGGCAGCTCACAGGGAAGTATCGCGAAAAAGCAGATATCAAAATGCAGTAGCACACACACTCTCGCTGGAGGCGACCTGAAGAAATGTTTGACCTTGCCAGACCTGGTTGCTTACTCTGTGAGCAACATGGTTGGTGCTGGCATTTTTGTGATCGTCGGGAGCGCAACGATATCAGCAGGGGGTCTTCCAGTAGTCTTCAGTTTCATCCTCGCTGCACTTCTTTGCTCGCTTAGCGGCATCACATACGCGGAATTCGCAAGCAGCATACCGACGTCCGGAAGCGCCTACGTTTACGCATTCACTGCAATCGGCGAACTGCCAGCCTTTATCATAGCTCATCTTTTCTCCCTTTCCTGTTCCATTGGCTCCGGAATCGCTGCGCGTTCATGCGCTGGGTAATAGATACTTCATTGTCCATCGGTGTGAATGCACGATCACGAACAAACCAATCTTCCTGTTGTCTTCTATGGTTATCTTCCTGTTTGGAAACGCTAGGAGCTAGATCACAAAGATGCTCTACATGAAACTTCTTCTACGTGCAACTCTATTTGATCTTCCTCCGATTGGACTCGAGTCTCATGTCCTTGCTTCACATGCTTTCCCTCCCCTAAAAAATCACACAATAAAAACAAACAGGTAGAAAATATAATACAAAGCTTATATAATAATAATTGTACAGTTTCTAAGTGACGACTCATTTCTTGGTCGTTCTGAAATTATTGTCATTTTTCTTTCTCCTTTCGCATCATAGTACTGTGATGTTTTTTCCTCTTCACAGGCTCGAGTACAGGAACCGGACACCTAGGAGATCTGCAATTTACTCTATATTCAACTTTCAGGTACATTCGAGCGTTGGTGATACTGCTGTTCGGTTCAGATTTCTGGATCTTTCAGTCATGGTCTTTTCTGGGCGGCATCCTTAGCGTCAATCTTGTTGGTCCCACTATCGTTTTCGTGGAAACGATGCTATTACTGAGAGGCGCCAAGGAGAGCGCGTCGCTGAACAACTTTCTAGTAGGGATGAACGTCAGCCTCATGGCGCTCTTTACAATACTGGGATTCTACTTCTCCGACTCGAAAAACTTTGAAGTCAAAGAACTAGATGTTGCCGGCGTGCTATCGGCGACCGGTCGAGTCTACTACAGCTTCCTCGGCTTTGATTCCGTTTGCATGTGTATGGCAGGTTGATCATCTATTGCTATTCTTTGCGATCATTTGTGTTTACCTATATTAAGTATGTTCGGAAGAATAAGGAACGTGAATAAGGAAGCACCAACATGAACATCTGAATATTGAAGATTTCAAAATAGTGTTACTCCTATGTCTCAGTCTTTCCACTCCCTAGTCCTTTCACTGCTTCCTCTCGATGATCACATGCTGTTCAAGACGCCCTCTATTTTCACCAACTTCATCTTCCATTCATGCTATTAAGCCAAGAAACGCCGAACGCAAAGCGAACGATTCCAGCGGCCTTATTTCTGGGACTCGGAGTTGTTTGTGTGCTTTACTCTTTTGTCGGCGCAGCCTTAGCCGGAATGCAGTCTGTAGACGCAATCGATGTCGAAGCTCCCTTATCCAGCGCTTTTTTAGCGCACCATTTCAAGTATTACTACTTCGTGCTAGACCTAAGGTTTATGAGGGTGCTTGCTTGTCGCAGCACCACCAAGAGAGAATTATAAATATGTCCTCGAAAGATACGTTGACGAGCTTACTTGAGTTTTGCCCAGATAGTTATTTGTTCTTCTTTTCTTTTGCGTAATTACTGGCCATTCAGGTGGGGCTTCCACCTGACAACTTTTGCAGCAATAACGACAACGTTAGCAGCAACTTTTGTCGGTATAATGGTTCAACCGCGTCTATGGATACATGTCGCGAATGATGGACTTCTGCCCTCGTTTCTAGCCAGCGTGGACCCTGAGACGCAGACGCCCTTCTACGGCACACTTATGAGCGGGTCGTTCGCAGGGATTGCAGCCGGCCTCTTTCAGGTACTGATTGTGAACTTTAAGTTTTCTGTTCATGTCACTACGACGACGAATTAGCTGATGCTAACCCTAAGATTGGTTTTCAATTTTAATGTTTATTTTCAAACCAGGTAGACCTGCTAGCTGACATCTGTTCTGGTGGCATGCTAGTGGCGTACTGCCTACTCAGTCTTGCAATCGTCATTGTACGGTATGTGGGTGTACCGACGGCCCACCCTGAGCGTAGTGCTGAGGGGCTAGGCTCATCAACAAGCAAAACTGCCATTTCCGCGCTTATTTTATGAAACGAAGAGCATGCCTAAGATTAAGATATAGATAATTTAACTAAAACCAGTTAATTTTTCGATTGATGTTTTATTTATTAGGTAGTTTGATTCAACACAAAGTGTAGTACTAGTTCTAGTGCAGGTCCTTGTCCTTCTGACCACGAGAAATATCGATCAGCTTATTCCTTCTAATTATCGTGTGCGTGATAAGCTTCTCGTGTATCGATCATTTCTGTGTGCAAGCGACCGCTGCGATCGGCCTTGCAATCGCGCTAGTTGTGCTTAAATGCACACAGACTGAGCTCCCGCTCGCAACGCAAATAGCGAAAGCACAGGAAGCGCAGCAATTTGACAGCCCTGCTTCCACTTTAAGGGTACCGCTACTACTCGGTCACAACGACATCGTCGGAGGTAGCACTAGTAGTACCTCGCCACGTCTCTCTCCTGCATCAAGAAGACAAGGAGATCAAGGCAAGAGCATTGACACAACTAGGGCGGATCTTGTTCAACAGTCGAGGAGCGCTTCAGTTTTCTCAATGTGCTTCCCAACAGCCAACGTTGTCGCGGTCCTTGCGAATCTTTATGTCCTGAATAGTCTATCACCACAAGCGATGCGAGGGTTGATGTTGTGGATTTTGCTAGGTCTCTTCGTCTACGGCCTGGCAAACCTCTTCGGAAGTGATAGGCAAAAAGGAGCGGGAGCCGGCCTTATCGGACTACCAAAAACACCAGCGTCCCTTTTCGACAACCATCCTGTAGTAGAACGACTCGACGGAGGGGGCCGTGAGGACATGCAAGATTTGAAAGTTGGCAGCGACAAGCCCCTACAGACAAGTTCGACAAAACCTCAACAGTCAGTTCCAGTGGCTAAAATAGATAATTCTTCGACCAAGCAGGCAGATCCTAGCAGCTACCTGTTCTTCTCAGACAAAGATCGCGCGGGGGCTTGTGCAGCTAGCGCAGCCAACCAACGAAACTATACTATTTTCCCAGGGGCTGACAACAACAGCATCACGAGTGGCAGTACCGCGTGTCTCGCAGCAACAGCTTCGGGAAGCAGCAGTCGATCTAGCAGCTTCAGCTCGTCATCGCAATTACCTCCGGAGTGTTCTACTGAAAGCACCAGACACCCACCCAAAACGATGACAAGTGGCAGTTGCAGCAAAGCAGACGGAGCCGATGGGGAATCGCTGATGACAATCTCACTCGTATAGCGCTTGCATCGGTTGTAGTATAACCACCTACAACTAATTTTTAATCTTCGAGTTGTTCGACTACTTTTCAACAATTGTTCCACTACTACTATTAATTTATTTTTGCTGAGGGTACTGTTGCTTTTGGGTGGACTGCTGACTAAAAGGGTCGTCTTCGACCTGGTTTGCTGAACTCATTTTCATATTCCTATTTTTTTCATCTTCATCAAAATCAAAGGACGGAATGGAAGGTAACTGTGATGCGTGTTCATAAATGAATCAATCGCTGCATAGTCTAAGTCTATATCTAATGTTTATAGTTTAGATTCGTGCAAGTAGAAGAAATTCCTTCGCGTTTTCAATGTGCATGCTGTGGTCCATTCTCATGACGACACAGAAACTAGTTCGACCTTTTTGATTTTTTTAAGTAAATGCTCCGCAGTACGACCTCCACGCCACTTGTTTTACAAGCAGTACTAATAGAGCTGGTCGTGCACAAGAGATCAAACGTTGTATTTTCCAGATCTTTTTTTTAGGCAATGACCTTCGTACTACGCCGATCCAAATCCCAAAAAATCCGAATGACATGGAGAAAAGTTATGGAGAAAAGTTATAACATTAACACTTCCGAGATCACATCAAAAACTCAAAATTCTTTCTGACCTTAGTACGTCAACGACCACGCGCCAAGAGGTTCTACCAACACGTCGAGCTTAGCCCATAAATATGCAAAGACATGTTGTTATTGTAGAAGATCAAGATCTTCTCTAAAATAAGAACCGTACCAGCATCATCAAGATTTACGATGACCATGCAAAGGAAAATGCACATAATGCGATGAATTGTTGACGACTACGATTATGGTCATATTATTTCTTGTGACTACGAGGCATTGTAATTGTTTGACTTTTCAAAATATATAATACGATGTCTTTTCCCGTTCTCGTTCCACGAAAGAATCGAAATGCCATGCAATTTTGTTGAAGCATCGATTTGAGTTGTCTACCTGTAGCTCCCGCGATTAATCATGCTGACTATGTATAGTACAAAGGTGGAGTTTTTATGGACGGGCCCGACTTCTCCTGTATTGATCAACTATAAAACGGTTTTCGTCGACATTTCAAATCTGGTAACGACGTACTGCGTCCACGCTCTTCGGACGATTAAAATGATCGACTTTTTCACCATTAGATAGGAAATGGAGCCGATCAGTCTGATCAACGGTCAAAAAGATCCACAATAAACACCAGAAAAAACTGTCACCTGACTAAACGGTGTATGATCTGTTATCGGAGATCCCTTCTTGATCTCAGGGTACAAGTAATAGGATCCGGTCTTCACTTTCATTTACAATTTCACGATGCAAAAGATCTCTCTGTGAGATCACTGCGCATACCCTACGTACTGAGATATAACGAGCCGCCCGCCCCCCGCGAATAGCTGATATCGTCCGATAGATGTGAGGCATGAAGACGATGATCTACTTCATGAAAAGGAAACCTACGCTGCACATCACTTAGTCTTAACTTTTGATTTTAACCAATACAGCAGCACCAGGCGCCAAAGGCGTGCAACTAAAACTAGCGCATGCGCTGCATAAGTTGTATGACTTAATGTGAATCCTTATTCCCTGGAACTCCTCCAATGGTATCATTGCCTTTGAATTCCTCTTGTGAGTTGAATCCACCTGTTCTCTTTAATTACAGATATCATTTACTTCGATGAAGATGATCATGATGAACACCCACCTAGAGTATCTCTATGTCCACGAGTGATGACCCACGCTGATCGTTAGAATGCTTACTAATACTGTTCGTGTTCGTTGAGGATCAGGATAATACGTGTACGCACCCATCACCATCCACGACTTGTATCTTCTACCAGCAATATGTTCATCCCCTTTGACCATTGTTAATGCTTTCATCATCATTGTTGACTCTAACGTTTTAAAAAGAGTACTTAATCCTCTTCGCACCTATTTTCTTAATACTCGTCAAAAAAAAGATCCTGCACGATGCCAATGGGTCGTAGCGTATTCACAGCGTCGTTGATCTCTGATTGCGACATGGAGTCGTCCTCTTCATCCTCGTCTGACGAAGAACGCGATCATGAGAGCCTCTCACAGGAGTTGAGGTCGCGCACGCGCCAAAATGATAAAGATGCTTCGCGTTCGCGGTCCTTTTCTGCTGATGATGATGCCTCAGCCAACGTCCACGTCGCAGAGGCTGCTATTAACCCTGCTAAGGACCGGACTCTAGCCGATCGGGGGCTCAGCACATCCAGAAGAACACGACGTAGCTTTATCGACAAGGAGGGTGTTGGTGGAGGAGCTTCTTCGCCTATCGTTAGACGTCGAGGCTCTTCCGGGGCATCCGAATGTGATGAGGATGGATCATTTGTTCCCTCCCCTTCTGGATTCACTGACATTACCGGTGATGCGACGCTCTGCAATTCCTTTGCCACCCTTGAAGAAGGCAGCGACGAGGATGGCGATGATATTCTCGGTTTCAAAACCGTAAGTGTTAAGAAGCCAAAACGCCGCGGCACAGGATCTGGTTCGGGGAGTCTGAAAAACAATGCTAAACGATCAACGGAAGATGTCATTGCGAGTAAGGAGAGACTGCAGGGAAAGGTATTTTTTCGATAATAATGAAGGTCTGGGGTTTTTAGTATGCTTTTATGATTTGATTCATTTCATCCAATTCTTAATTTTAAATACTAGATCTATCATGATCCTGATCATCGAATAATGCCAGCACGTGTCTCATCTGGAAAGCAATTTCAATCTCATACTCATCAAGAATATCGACTTAATATTCACACTCGCACTCACAGGTTGTGAAGGTGATGCAGGAAGGTTACACGATGCTTGTGGAGCCGGAGGATAAGAAGTTGATACCGCATGCCGTTCTGGCTCAAAAATCGCATTTCCGAAATGCTGCCTTCAAGAATTCAAACTTACAACTTTCCCCTGAAAATGGTCAACACCACGTTCTCACGTTCGAATTGGGACGCAACCCACAGCATAAACCGGGAGAGGATTCCGAATCGCGGCGTTTCATCGCACTAGAGATTGAGATTAAGGAAAGCCATGTGCTCCGTCTCTTACAGGTTGCCGAGGCTCAGCAACAGTCCGGGATGTCACCGATGTCTAACAACAGCGGAACATCTCCGATGACCCAGACGGCCAACTCGTCTGATCAACCTGTTGGCAAAGATGCTGCCGCAAAGAATCGCTCCTCCTCGCGAGCTGCGTTGTCCTCGTCAGCCAAGGCGCTGCAGGCTTCGAGATCTTCTGCTTCCTTGTCAGCGTCCGGCGCGACAATTCGCGCGTCTCCTTCAGCCGCGGGGAGCGGAAACAAGAAGACTGGGACGCTGCGAGAGGCATCTCTCTCCGGAGAGCAGTTGAGGAAAATGTCGTTCGGATCCTCTACACCTTCTTCGTATCACGCTGATGGTGCAGGAGGAAGTAGTCGTAAGGAAAGGCAAAGGGGCAGTAGTATGACGAAAACTTCTGCAGCAGGGCGTATGAGTAGTCCTACATCAGAAACTTCTGCGAGTGGGCTTCACCTGCAGCTACCGGCAACAAGTACGTCATCAAACGTGGTCGACCATGTAAATTCTCGCGGTACTACGAAGTCCTCTTCGGCGATTGCGCGAATTTTTGATTTTGATGGCAAGTCTGGAGCGCGGCCCTTGCTACCGGAAGAATACCGAGAGTCCGGCGAAACGGTGCGGGGGAAAGTAAAGAAGGTGATACAGGGCACTCCTCCCTGCGCGCTTCTCGGGAGCGAGCGTATGGAGGGTCTTGTGCTCTTACCTTGGGTCGAATTTCCGGTTGATGACCTCTGCGAGGGGGAGCACGTCTCTTTTGTTGTGGTCCCCAACCCTATCGTCAAGGACGATCCGCGTAAAAAGTGGCACGCTAATGCCTGCACTCTGATCGAAGATGGCAAGGAGATTGTGTACGGCGGAAGAGGAGCATCCAGCAGTTTGGACAGCGCAACTAGGTACGGCGCACTTCATCCCGAGGGAGTAGAAGAGGACGGGCTACCTCTTGATGGGGACCAACAGGTCACAGGTGGTGCACAGGTTGCTGCGAAGTCCTCGTTGTGCTTCTACTTTACTGACGATGAGAACAGCGATATTCATGAGGAGGATTTGGATACATCCACGTCATTCACTGGCGTAGTTGATGCACGTGATCACGGCTGTTCAAAAAAACAACGCAGCACGCTTTTTCCAGACATGGATCTTTCCATGCTTTCGAGTGAGCGCGACCACTTCAGTTTTTTGATGGGCAGCACCAGAAGCGACGCCGCTTCGCCGACTACGGCAGATCTGCTCCTTGGAACTGGGAAGTTTCGAGTCGTTCGAGGTGTTAATGGGGAGAACTTCTGGCGGGCAACAGTACAAAAAGTGACATCTAACGCTGCAATGTTAACTCTGCCTGATCTTGTCGCGAAAATGTCTAACTCAGTTAATGGAGTGACGCGCTGCGGCTCTTTGAGTGGAACGGGAATGGGCGCATGGGGCGGCTCGTCGCCACCGGTTTCAGCGGCACACCTTCCGCCCGTCTTGCTGCCGCGTAGCGACTGGCGCAAAATTCAGCGATGCCCCGAGGCCGGGGTCGGAGAATCGAAGAACCCAGCCGTGCATCCTGGGGACGAGCTGCGGGTGCGTCTCCGCAAAGAGATCACGAAGAAGAAGGAGACACGTTGGATTGCCTACGATGTTAAAGTGCTCTCCTCTCAGAAACAAGAGCAGCTGGCGCAGCCCGAACAAGATGCGAAGAATAACGAGGAACGGGGACAAAACGGTGAAGACGAACGGCAAGGAGACAAAGCTTCCCTTAACGCTTTACTTCTAAAGGGCCTGGAGTCCAGTCAAAAGGATGAGGATAAAATTAGCGAGGATGATCCCGAGTGTACTACTAATCTCGAGAACAAGATCATGACACGAGGCCTACAAAGCAGCGTACTTCCCGGAGAGGAAGTTCTTGCAGAAGTCGGGAGTTTCCTCAAGGAGGATCCAGATGAAGGAGGCAGGAGTTCGGATGATCAGCTTCAGGCTGGGGACGCAAGATCGGGTGTGCTAGCTGAGCAGGCATGTTTGGGTACTAACGACCACGCCTCCCCCGAGGTCATCAAGAAGGTTACTGCTTACCAGGGGACGGCGATAGCCTCTCATTCTGAAAAAGAAGAATATGAAGAGAGTCGCGGCGATGCCACACTGCTGTCCCAGACGTCATCTGAGGATCACCACGATTACTTTGGCGCTGCGCCACTCCTGCATGGACCTACAAGTACAAGTGTCGATGACTTTGCCTTGCGAGTGCAAGTGGTCGAAGGGGAAGAATCGACGCAGTCTCACATCCGCACGGAGGAGGAGGTGACCAACGATACTCGTCCACTTCCTCCTGGACTCGCCTCAGATCGAGAGGAGTCTGAAGCGCAATGCGAACAGCAACAACAACAGACCGCCTCCGCATCATACTCCTTCATAGACTCGCTTCTGCGACAAAATTCGGTCGACGACGCTGCCGCAGAAGTAGCCGCTCGTCATGGGCGAGGAGTTTATACATTTTCCGGTGGTGACAAATACGACGGCGAGTTCAAAGATGACAAGCGGAACGGACGAGGAGTGCGCGCATCATTTGCCAATGGTGACAAGTACGACGGTGAGTTCAAAGATGACAAGCGGAACGGACGAGGAGGTCGCGCATCATTTGCGAATGGTGACAAGTACGACGGCGATTTCAAAGATGACAAAGCGCACGGACAAGGAGCGACATCCTCGGTTGAAGATGGTGCGAGGCATCATTCTCAACATGTTGGTGGTGCGATAGGTGGCGAGCCTTCCGCGGTTGAAATGGGTGATGTTAGCTTTGTGAGCCACCGAGACGCGACGCCAGGGAGCGGTCACCTATGGATGGGAGGAATCGGCTCCCCCACAGGATTTTCGTCTGCCCTAACGCCTTCGCCTTCCGGAAGGCAAGGGCGCACACCTCCCCGCCCAACGTTTGCACCGCCGCCTGCGCCTGGATGGCAGGGAAATCAGACGACACCGGTGAACAGCACAACTAGAGACGAAAGTGAAACATGCTCCAACGGGGGCGCAAGGGATGAGGCTGGTGCACTGGCCCTAGAAGATAAAGACAAGGTAAACTGCGCTTCGAATGTCTTTGAGGAAGCCGTATTAAAACTCTTCGGTACAACAAGCTGCGGAGAAAACTCTGTGCTCGACAGCCATAACGACTGCAATAGCGCAGCTATTACTGCAAAGAGCAAGAGCATTGAAGCAAATGAGCCACAAGCTCCATTGCCCGACGCTTGGAGGGCACTTGCAATGGCAGATGGGGACGCCAATGCGGTGGAAAATCTGGTCGCTCAATATGGAATGCAACAACCCTCGTACACAGGAACTGCGTGGCTGCCTCCGACTGAGCAGTGTGCAGCTACGTGGTCGACTCCTGCCACGATTTTCGACTACCCCCCTAGCCCTACTATGGAGGTACTTTTCATGAAGAGTCGCCAACAGTTTTCTAGAAACATGATGATGATACTGTGATATATTTAAATGGCGGCGAGAAATCACGCTAGCGCTACGAAATAGATGAGAATTTAGAGTATCTTATAATTTATTTTGTTGGTCTCACTCTGATGCATAAACCTGAAGATTCTTGGTTTGTTCCAGTATCTATAGTACCCCCTTCATCTAGGTATCCTCGTACAATTCGTCGCACCAACCTGCCCAACTGCAAGTGGTATCCACCGGCGAAGAGCGGATATACCCCTACCCACATTCTTTCGCTCAACCTCAAGACAGCCATGTCCATGCGCTCCACCACGTCCAGACGCTCAACCCGTTACAAGACCTCACGCCAAAACTGCGGGAAGACGTTCATTGCTACGCAGCGAAGATGCTTGAGCCAAATAACCCGGACCATATTCCGGAGGCACGTAACCACATGGAAAATCTTATGGACAACCCCAGCCAGTGGCAGGAGATTTTCAGGAACGCGCCAGTTCTGCGCACGTTGTACCGGTATCACCAAAGTCTTTTCTCCTGCTGGCATCCTTGTATCAATCACCTCGTCAACGCCCCGACGCCGGAGAACATCTGCCAGTTGCCGGAAGACGTTGTAGAGTGGATGTTTCCAGATCAACACGACGCACGAACACCCGTCTTCGATTCGACAGAGCCTCAGGTACTCGAAAACTGAAAATAACCGAGTTACTCACTGAAATAAGGGGCATAGCTTAACAGCAAGGCTACTCGTCCTTCTCGTCAGTGTCTCGGTTATTCTCGTCTGTTACTCGCTTATTGTTATTTCAGTTTTTCGAGTACACACATGATCACTGCAGCTTGAATCATCAGGATGCAATACCAATGGCAATATGATTATAAATTCATAATTTGCACCTTGGCACATCTTCGAAGGCTTGCAATTAATAGATTACAGGTTAGTATTCTATCGATTTTTATCTTGGTTATGGTTCAGAACGTTTATTTGCGTCCTCTCATAATGATAATTGTAATTTTTCGTTCACTGCAGGTCCTCGTTTCATCGGGAAAAGCGCGTAGTGCTTTGGGCGGTGCAACAAGCTTTTCTACTTCTTTTCACCAACAATTCCAAGCTACCGCACTAAATCTGAATCAAGCGGAAGTTTTTATTTCTACTTCTGGTGCAAAAGCAAAACCCTCTTCTACGAAGTTTCATTTTGCAGAAGAAGTAGATGAACCAGAAGAGCTTCCTTGCAGGCAGCTTTCGGGTTGGTGGCGCGTGCGCAAGCAAATGGGTGAGCTCGCAACTGCCTATTGCACAGAGCACTGTGACCCCAAGTATGAAAATGGTTACTGCGCGGTGTCTTGTTTCGGTAGTTCCCCGGGTTTGGTGACGCTCCGCAAGAAACAACGGTTAGAAAATGCCAGAGGCCTCAACCAATTTCTGCGGGCGGCTTTCAAAGACTTGCTTGCCTTTGATCAGCGTCGCGAGGGTCAGTTGTGGATGAAGTTGCGGACGACCACTCGTGGAAGCAAATCAATTATTGCCACTGTTTCACCAGGTTCATCTTCTACGAAAACTAAAGACGCTGGTATTACCCCAGGAGCCACGTCATCTTCAGACAATTCTTCAACCAGTGCGGTTGTTGAGGAGAAGGCGCTAGCGCAACAGCTTTCTTGCGAAGACTCCCGAACGCTGATATCGATTATTGATGAAGTTCTTTTTAAGAAAATGGGAGCTCTTTTTGGCAACTCCGAAACGCGGAGTGAGAAGCGTAGAGCCAGAAGGTCTGGACATCAGAAGCAGCGGAAGACATCATGTTCTTCTGATGTGGAGAGTGGTTGTGATGATGGTGGGTTAGTGAACAAGCACAACATTTCTGCGCTACCCTATGACGAAAAGGGCGGCATCCCACTCGATGACTTGAAAACCTCGCCAGCAGTGGATGGCTTTGTGAAGAATTTAGATGGTAAAAACAAGGACCACCGCGGGGGAGGCGGCAATGCTTGGAGCGTGATGAATTCTCCTTCCACCAAATGCTCGTCAAGCATCCGATCGAAGTTCAGCCTGCTTACCTTTCTGAATTCGCACCAGAATAGGTACATTGTCTCGCGTTGCCCAAATCAAAAGCTCCGTGTCTCTGTAGTTCCTACGGAACAGGAACGGGGTCAGATATTTTCAAATGCTTTTTACCTCGCTGTGGCGAGTCTCAGGGGGGCACCGGATGTGGATCGGAATTCGTGTGCTCTATTGAGCAAGGTCGAGCAATCATCCCGCATTCGGGGTCTACGCAGGAGCTTTGCTTGGCTGGGTCAGCAGGAACGAGGTTCGAAGAAAGGACCTTCCGATGGCGCAGCCGAAGACGCGGAATTAACCGTTCGTGAGCTGCTCTCGAAGTATCAGCAGCTGTTCCAGGCGCAAGACACATGCACCTGGCTCGCTGACTTTTTAAATGCGCCAGCTGAACCAGATCTGTTGGCAGGCGCTTCGGGAGCTTCGTCAAGTTCATCCACGACGTGCAAGAGCGCGGTCGAAGTTACCAAGGGCAAGGAAGAGACCAGCACAAAAAAATCGACAAAGCTAGACGTTCTGCGGGAGGAGCTTCTTACTATTGTGTGCCAGGTCGTTCGTGAAAAGGGTAAAAAGTATGGCCGTAAGATACCTTGCGCTTTGTCTGAAGACGTCGCAAACGATCAACGATTTGCTGTAGTGAAGGCACAAGCAGCAAAGTTACCCCGTCCAGCAAGGCAGCGCGACTGCTTGCCCGGAAGCCCTGGCGCGCGAACGATCGACGCCGACGCAGCTGCTGGCTCTCGCTGGAACTGGTCGTCTGGAAATAAGACGACACTAAAAATGTTTCTAGGTTACTTTCCTGAACGATTTGAACTCGTTGTGTGTTCAAGACATGCAGGCACCTACTGGATCTACCTGAAGAATCAAGAAGACGAGCAAACCGAAAGCGCTACCCGCGCCCAAGCTCGTCCAGTGTTATCAAAGAAAGATCACAACGACGACAAGCAGGTTCAGCAAGCTATCAACGGTGAGGTGGGAAAGGAGAACCACAATGTTCAGAGGAAAGATGAAACGACGCAATTCATTAAACCCTACGCGAGTACGACTAGAATCAACCGATTGGACGTCTCACAAATTGTGGAGCACTACTCTTCTCTGCCGGGTGACCGTGAAGAAGACGCTTTTGCTTCGAACAACGAGAACTCTCGCAGCAAGCTAAGCGGTCGTGAAGAATATGACGAGAATCATCGAGAAAGTGGTGCTTTCTCTTCCTTGAGTGGTGTTGGAGGAAAACCTAGTAACGCGAAGCCGCACGACGTCGGAGCAGTCGGAGCACCACCGGAAGACAGCGCTAATGGCCACAATTCCAATGGCCCTTTGACTCTGACTTTAGCATCTGTGACGGGTTCTCCAGGTGCCTCGTCCAGATCTCAACAGCACAACTTCGAGGAGACAGCTGCAGAGACGCGCGAAGTACAACTACTATCGGGCGACGGAAAGAAATGTAATGCAATTTCATCGATAGTGGTTCCAAGACGACACAACAAGACTGAGGAGGACATTGCAATCCAAATGCCCAAGCAGGACATTGCAGATTTGACGGAACTCGTGCGCGACCTTCAGAGAAAACTCGAAGAGAAGGAGGCAATAATAGAAAAACAGGCTGTGACAAACGAAAAACTGGTCGTTACAAACGAAAAACTGGTTGTTACAAACGAAAAACTGGCAGTGGCATTGGCGGAGCAAGGGGCTCTGATTTCGAGCCTACGGGGCTCAGCATCCAGACAAACTGTCGAAGAGATGATGAGTAAGTAACATGAAGCGACATGTTCCTGGACAGCTATGAGTACTCCAGGTCGTTAGTGATGAATCCAATTCAAAATCTAGCGTAATTTTGAAGGGATGCTGGACTGCATGTAAATGTATTATGTTTTACGACTGCTTCGATTTCGATTTCGTTTCCGCAGTTGGACTTACAATTCTGGTTCTCATATTAGATTACCGAGTCAGCATCCTGCATTCAGAGTGTGTCACTCGTCTCCTTCTAATATCTTTATCTTTGAGTAGTTTGATGTTGATCATAGAATTTCCTTATTAGATTCAAATGTGCTTCAGCTAAGATGAAGGATTACATTATCAAATAATGAAATTCAAATTGTTCTCATAATGGACATCCTCAACAACCCCGCTTCAAAATCGAATGAATTGCAATCATCGTCAATATCGTGTAGGAAAAAATCGAAAAATCAACACGAAATAGATTTATCTCCACACTAATGAACACTAAAGGAATTAAATACACAGGAATTATAGGAATAAGAATATTAGACAAAAAATTCGACGAGTTAAGGATTAGATTATGATGTGGCTGAGAGTGAGAGTAATCGAATCGAAATCCAGCTTCCTTCAGATCAATGTCACACATAGTCACTCTCATACCAGAGAGTAACCTCTAGCAATATTGTAGGGGATATGTCGAACAGCGTTCATCTTCATTCCGTTCGATTTTAATGGTGTAGAAATCAGGTCTAGCCTCGGAATGCTATATTATCACTGACACTTCTATGTTATGCTCATCATGGCAGAACATATTCGGGGATAGTATATATTCGGGGGAAATATAATGAAGGTAGCTCACCCTCACTTAAGATTTTTTTATGTTTAACCGATCCACGCAAGCAAATATTGTACCAATCAATGGGATCTGCGAGTATTGTGGTATCTCCTTGAAGATTGTTTTCATGACACGTTTCATTCTTACCCTTTCAGAAACAAATACAAAAAAAGCACAGAAATGCAGCGTGAAAAAAGTAAATGACGAAACTTATGGATGAGCGTTTTCATCGAAGCAACTTCTACTCCCAGGCACACAATCTTTACAACTCTGCTGTGTCACACGACCTAAATTCTAAAAAGATTGATCATTCGATCCAAATAATTTCTGCGCGATGCGGCCTATCTGGCCATTGTGTCAGTCTAATCTCAATAGCTTCTACGGCGGATTGTTCTGAGCTGTAGACAGTTCACTTCTACATTTTTAAGAATATACATGCTCTAGCAAAATTTTCAGAATTTTGAAAATACGATCTCGATCATTAGAGACACGGTAAAAAATAGCAATGTCTTAGGTGTAGAAGAAGATAACGTTAACGATGTCTTGGTCTTTTTTATCTTGTAGCTGCAATTCCCTCGACCGCCATACTTGTTGATATAGATTTCGCACTCACCTTGACCTTCGCTGTTGCACTTCGACTTGCAGTTTCGGGAGGAAATAAGCAGTAGTTGTATTCAAGAGCTGAGAAACAGACGAGAGTAAATACCATACAACATAGATGTAACTCACGATGGTCGTATAATGAAAGGAGTGGTGTCCTCCGTCAGCCTCTGCACGCGGCTTCAGCCCACGTCTTATTGTGGCGCAGGACGACGGGCAAATGCAGGAGTCAGAAGAAAGAGTCATGAATCGTGTTCCAGCACCATACCACTAACAGACGACGCGCACTTTCATCGAGAAATAAAGCCGGATCCGCATGGACATCACAGGCAGCTGCATATGATTGCATTACTTCAAAAGCATTATGGCCCTTTCTCGACGACGAATCCTGTGAGAGCAGGCAAGCCCACGATACAAATGCCAGAAAGTTGTCGTCGATATTTTGCTTCCCATACGCTGCAGAGTGATATGCTCCCGGAGATTCAAGAAGCGCAAAAGTTCTTGGAAAAGGGCAATTGGCGGAAAGCATTGGGCCCGATCGACCGCGCGTTGGACATTTTAAAGGTTCCAGGTCTCGAGACCGACCAGATACGCGCCCTTGCGTGGTCCGCGAAGGCGAACTTTGAGCTCGGGAATTATTCAGGTGCATTACGAAGCCTACAGAAAGGAAGCGAACTTTTCTCACAGATGTCTGGAACCGTACCGGGTGCTTTGACCCAGGAAAAGGAATGCCTAGATCTTCTGTTGGTTATCCTTGTAGCAGAGCAAGGCGCTCTAGGAGAAATCACTCAGTCGCTATTCCCTGAGGCAGTGCAGCGGAAAGAAATAGAATCCTCCGCAGAGAGAACAGACGAATCTGCTTCTGCACTGGCCCGATTTTTTCCGACCCTATGGGTTTCTGAAAATGTCGCTCAAATTCCTGAAGCAGAAGACTCGCTCCTCGAACGCCTTTGCGTAAGTGTAGAGGCGGACACCGATCATGGCAACAAGTATCCATCGACGGAAGTATTTGTGGATTTGGATAAAGCTGCACTCGCATCTGCCATAGGGAGTTCTTGTACAGCAAGAAATGCGGAACAAAACATCTCCGCTGGCGGAGCCGCAAGAATAAAAGTTGACCTCGCCTCAAAGTTCGCAAAGACCCTCCTCAAAGTTTGCAACGAAGTGAAAAGCAGCACCACCTCCGAATTCAAAGAAGCTCTAGAGCGGCAAACGTGCCTGTTGGAGCGCCTTTGTGCGAAGCAAGATTTCAACTCAGATACGACAGTCTTGGATCGCATTGTCCGGGAAAAGGTGATGCCACTGGCGAAACTGGTGTCTAACGTTTTAGAGGAGACAAGCGGTACTGATGGCAGCCGTATATGTATATCGCATCATAACAGAAGTATCTTACAGTGTTGCAGAGCGCGGCTCTTAGCTGCTGCAGCGCATGTGCTTCTCTGCCAGCAGCAGATCGTTTCCGCGGAAGGACTTTTGCGGACGGCGAGGACTGCGTTGGACACCCCGCCTGAGGAAAGCTTGTCAGTACGCATGCTTGTATGGAAGAAAAACGTGCTCGAAAGTTACACGCATACATTGTCGAAATGGGAGCGCAGAGAAAGAGATATTGAAGCTATACGAAGCGAAGTCACAAAGTTGGAAGAGAAGATACGCGTGGAAACAGGCGTTGAATTGGACACTGGGGAATATCTAGTAGATGACATGACAATACTCGTCACAAGTAGCTGCGTGCTTCCAGCAACTGACATACCATGGCCTTTCCAGACTTAAGAATATCATGCCGTTCTTTTTTATTTTCCATAGCTTGCTCTTTGTGGTACCTACTTCTAAGAAGTCGAAGATGAAAAGGAACAACTTGTAAATACATAGCCGGCAACATAAGACCCCTGCTGCCTTCGTGGCGCCAGAAGGCCTCCTCTTGGTGCAGGCAAGAGTATAATCGCTGTTGAGGGCCTTCTGAACAAGTCTCTTTGCTACTTAGGAGTAGCCGTCATAATGAGTAAGAGTATGAGTATGAGATTGAGAATATAATAAAGAAACAAGGGCACATCGGGTCTTATTCCTTTCTGTTCAGATCATTCCTCGCAGAAGTAACCGATGTTGATAAATTCAACCATTGTAATTTCGGTTGGCCTTGGATCATGTAGTCTGTTCACTTTCACTCTTCATGTCAGGTCCATGAAAAGTTGACAGTATAGACGATGACGATTTGTGTTGCAACGTGAAGTGTGTAGGTACAATGAAAATCGAGCGTTCCACACAAAGGGTAGAAAGCTGCTGGAAAGATGTTTTTAGTGAAGACGGACATGCGTTCGAGCGGCAACGGCCTTGTGAAGACACGTGCTACTACTTTGAATATTCAGAACCAGGCATTTCTGAGTCCTAGTGTGAATACAACAGATACTAGATCTAGATGGCCGGCGTTTGAAAATGTTGAGTAACTGAAGGACGAGAGCAAGACTGTTGATATCCAGATGGTTGCTTCATGTGCGTATCTCAAAGGTGTCATGACGCTTCTTGCGATGGTGCCCATTCTTGTTCACCACGGCCAAGGCTGGAGATGGAGTCGCGTTCCATCATACGGGTTTCTGTTTATGTGACGATTCGAAGGCGAACAACATGAGCGAAGGGGACTTCGTCTTACGCCTCGGGCGCAAGCAGCGAGCATCATCGGCGATTCACCTGCCGAAGCTAGGTGAAGGAAAGACCGATACCGTGCAGGAGGAGGATCCGACTGTCCTTACAGGCATAAGACGTCGAAGACGAAGTAAAACAAGCACCTTTGTACGAAAGTTGAACGCCTACGTCCCGACACCGTTATTTGCAACTGGCGATGATGGAGAAACCCGAAGCGGGAGCAATGTCGAAGAAAGCCACGCTGCTGTTCGACGAGAAGGGGAGACCGCAGCTTCACTTTCTTCTGATCGTGTTGCGAGAGGACGAGATGACCGGGAGCACGGCGTTAAAAGAGCAAACTTCGTCCCCTCCGCTATCCATTTGCGATGGCGAGGCTGCAATCTGGAAGAACGGTTGGGTCCTGTGGAGCAAGGTGTTGGAGAGAACACACCGGCATCTGAAGCTGGATCCACAGTGAGCAGAAAGCTGTCAGTGAGCGAGCACTTTGCAAACGAAATCAAAAAGCTTGGTGGGCATCCTAGCGTAATAAACCACTACGCCACGCGGCCATCAAAGCAGGCGTCTTCTTTGATCGCCCCGTTAGCTAGAAAACGGATGGCGCCGACTATGAGCGAACCCAGCGTAGCAGTTACTGGCCCTTCGCACGCGCACTCGAAGGCACAGAAGGTCGACAAGAAAATGGATAATAAGCGTCACAAGAAAGCACAAACAGCGCGCAAGATTCAAGAGCACAGAAGCAATTCGCCACCTGTCTTTCTTTTCGCGGAAGCAGCTGACGCGGCGAAGCAGAAGCAACACAACCTAGATTTTGCTGCTTCGTCGTCAACCGTGGACGCAAGCAAGGAAGGCTCGAGGCCTCAACAGGGATTTGATGAAGAGAGTTTTATCGAGAATGAACAGTTGTCGGCTACGATCGCACGCGAGGAGACAGGCGCTACCGCGAAAACAGATCCAGACTCTGCTGTGCGGCCCTCATCAAAATCCGCTCTTGCCCTTCCACGTGCGATCACTGCATCTTCCCGGCAAACGCTCAGCCGCGGGCGACTCCGCAGTGGTACGGCCGGCGAATCCGCTGCCACCGCTGGCGTAGATGAGGTACTAGCGGTATCACTCCATTTCTTGCGCGACTATTTCCGTCTGCACGCGGAGCCGGGATGGACTATCCAGAACTTGGCTGACAATCGGCGCGAGATAATGCAAGGAAAACGCACTCGCGGCGACGCCCCTGCTTTCGTCACGAAGTTGCTAGAATCCCGTGAGCCGCATTGGATGGATTCCCGCTGTCCTATGGTAGTTGGCGAACGCAGCCTTGGGCCGCAATTTTCCGCACTCTGTGCCCATAATGCATTTGATGAGACTGCCGACGAGGAGAACTCTTGCGGGGGCGCACCAGATCTTCGAGTCCAGCCTTACGCGCCATCAAATGCTTTCCCATCATCAACTACCACGCCTTCTGGGTTCTATTACTTATGCGTGTCCTGGAGCGTCACGTGCGACGTTTTGCTAGCATACCTCGAACGCCATGCGCTAGAAAACTCTTTCGACGAGCGCTACTATTTTGACCTTTTCTGTGGAAAGGACTTTCAGGCTGGCTTCCGCAACGTGGACCGAACACTTCAGAGGTGTTGTGCGGAACGCGGGTTATTACTCATAGCTGACGCCGACTGGTACGAAAACTGCTGGATCATACACGAAATCAACTCCGCAGCACAAAACTCTGTGCCAGTGACGCTCCTAGGACCGGAAAATCGTAGACTAGCTCCTTTTAATATTTAATCCTCATTCATCGCCTCATCCTCTTGAGACTTACAGAGCCATCCAGCCATCTTGTCCATCTCCATTGGAACCCTAAAAATACACTCAAAACTCAGTACCTAAGAGTCGTCCCTTGCTATTGCTTAGGTTGATAATTCCGTTAATGCAATTACAAAGCGACAGAATGTACTAGTACAGCCCAACTAATAATTAAATCTGCAGAAACCTTCACATTTTGGGAGCAGCAAGTGGAGCGGATTGACATTCCCGCGGCCGACGACCCCGCGGCCAAGTACCTTCTTCGGACGGGTGGGACAGAGGTTGAGCGCATGTTAATTGCCTTAAAAAAGTTTGTGCGGCGTGTTGTCTATTCTCAAGTCCTGGTACAGCTAGCACGCGGAAAGGGACACGGCGCGGCAGAGCTTGTGGGTGATGCAGCTGGCGTGGCGGTTGGTGCTGAGACAACATCCAGCAGCAGCTCGGCGTCCAGTAACAATTCCGCGAAAGCAGAAGAAAAAGCGCGCCGAGCAGAGTTTCTGACGAAGCAAGCGGCAGCAGACGCGGCAAGGGAACAGATTGCGACTTTAGAGGATTGTCGACGGTGTATTGCAGAGGGAGCGAACGTGGAGTCAGGTTTAGCGGAGGAAATTGCGGCTTTCCACGGTCGTGATGACATCACGAAGGCGTGTTTTGCTGCCCGCGTTGGAGATGACCTAGCCGCAGTACACGACAAGCTTTTTGAAATGGATGCCTTTTTCGATCTAAGCGAATCCCTCGCAAAAGGCTGCGAGGCGATGGAAGAGGTGGCTCAGTGCCGAGGTGCTAAAGCTCCGGCAGCTGCTGGCCTTGAAGAGACTCAGGAGAACGAAGATGTCAACGGCGAAGACCACAACTTCGGTAAGAAAGAACACCACGCTGGCGGTGACCGAGACGAAACGGGCGGCTCTGCATCCTCTTCGAACGACACAGGGCCATCTAGCACAGAGGCAGCTGCGGTTTTTGAGTACCCGGACGGAGTCAATTGGGGAGCCGAAAAACGCAAAATTATTGCGTCGTGTCGGAGTAAGGGCAAACAAGAGCTGCTTCGCACAGATAGCCGAGAGGATGTAACAAAGGAGATTTCGCCAAGAAGTGCAGTCGACGCCAAAAAATCTCCGCGTGACAACGCAGCTAGATCATTAGGGCAGAAAAAGAATTCAAAGGGCACATCGGAATCGGTAACGGAGCAGGGCAACAAAGGAAACAAACCTTCGAGAGGCCGAGGTAGAAGACGAGGCAATAATAAAGGCAAGAAAGTAAGAATATCCGCCTCGACCGGTGAACCACCTCAACGGACCGTTCGCTCCTCGTCCGGCGAGTGCGTTTACTCCGACTCGGTGGACGAAGACGGGGCCGATGCCGCAGGAGTTGCACTAAAAACGCCGCGAAATAGAAATCGAGACGAGGGAGCAGCAGCACGGCAGCGGCTTAAGGAAGTGAGCGCGCTGAGGAAACGGCAAAGAGAAGCCGATCGAATCGGTGTGGGATCACCCTTGGATGAGGATCGGGAACGCAACAAAAGACATGTGCAAGCGACTTACGGGCGCAAAAATGCTGCACCGCTGCACACCGACGGCGTAGCACGAGTTTTGCACACGGAAATGGAGGCGCAACCGACTCTGACCCTTGGCGACGGTCAGGACTCGATGGCAGACTTCTTCTCTCCAGTGAAATTTGAACGATTCGGAAACAACAATGATGGAACGCTGGCGATCGACCTTGCTGCTCAGCACAGCCCTGGAATGACGATGCTCCAAGACGTGGACGCGACAGCGAAATCAACGCTGATGACCTCGAACCCGCATGAGCAGCAAATGATGCGTAGCTCCTCTAGCTCTGCCTACAGCGGTGGGTCAATGCTGAATCGCTACCTCATGGACAACACTGCTGTCTTCGACTCTACCCTCAGAGATGTCGACGACGCACCGTTTGCAACTGGTGCGTTCAGCAATCTCTACGCCACCAACGATATCAGTCCCCTAAGCGCAGCAGCAGAAGCTGCATTTGGTGGCATGGGACATGGGGGAAGTTTTCCTTCAGATTCTGGATTCACGCTAGGCCCAGTCAACGAAAGGGTCATGCGCCAAGGCAAGTACGTGAGTGGCAAGAAGGCGGACGTTGCTGACAACCTGTTGCGACGTTTCAATCGCTCCTTCTATATGACGCAAGAGTCCCAAGGATTTCGACATTCGACACGATTCGAAGGTTTCGAGAATGGCGACGAGAATCGTGGAGACACTCCCACTGGCGGCGAAACCGGAGGAGTGGCTGGCAAAAATATGAATAGTTAAGTGCTGGCTCGGAGTTGGAATTCGAATTCCAGAATTCATGTACCTACTACATTTGTTTCCGGAGTTCTTAATACTACATTTCTTCTTGCTCCCTTAATAATCTATTTGATGAATTGGGTGCAGCAAGCTGCAGAACGAGAGTCTTTAATGATGGTAAGTAGATTCATTGCTTGAAGAAGTTTTCATGGACATGTATGCTTAAACGTTCTGCTTCTGGTGCGTCGCTAAATCAAGCACCACAACATCTAAGCGTAGATCAAAGGAGCTGGCGCGTCATCAAAAAGGAAAGCCAGGGTTCTTGGCAGTAGTGGTCCTCATCTGTTTTACAGTGATTCTACTAGCGCACCCGTTTTTGACCTCGACAGTGCACGCGCGAAATGGACGTCAATGAAAAATTGCTCACCTCTCGACCCGGCGCAATTCAAGTTTGCAGGAATGTTTTCGCCCGACGGCACTGCGCACACCCAAGCCGCATCCACCGCACGGCAGCGGCGAACGACGAAGACGCAATTAGACACAACAATTGAAGAGGTCAAGGTGGACGACGGGACTATGGAGTCGTAGCAAAATTGGCTGGGTGCTTTCTTGAAGCACGATGAAAGGAAGCGTGCAAAACGAGTCATCTTGATTGGGCTCTTCGCTGATGATTATGTTCTTCTTGATTTAAGTGCTCGATAGCATGACGTTGCTACTTTCTCTGACATGATCTCGATTACTCCAACATTTCCTTACGCTAAGGCTCATCATGGCATCAAACTCCGACTCTTTCTATGGCTTGCTCCAATCTCAAGGGCCACTCCGAGTAGTTGAAACGCATGTTCTTGTATAGTACGCTTCTTGTTGACATTGACTGTCTTCGTCCTTGCAATTGTAAAACCGCGCTGTATATCGGCAATCTTGTTTCTTGTCACGACTACTCCTTGTTTTGTTGAAATGTACCATTTGAATTTGTTGCCCGCTCCGTGCATGATTCACACTCAACATCCAGCCATGAATATTTAAGCTATTACATTTTCTTTTTGCCAATTGCAATTGGTTGCCCCTTATATCCACCTCGCTCATCATCATCAGTTCCCCTAAATGAAATATCGAAGCATGATCGATAGATGATCAGATCATGCTCTACAACAATCATATCATATTGTATGCTATGACTCGATAAGCTTCCACCTCCACCATGGCGGCACGACACAATTACATTCACATTTTCAGCCGTTTGGTTTTGAATGTTTCTTGGTTTTGTAGTCTGGTTTTCTCAATGATCCGAGACCGACCTTGAATGACAGAGTTCTCTCTGTCAACCTTCTTGAACAGCGCCTACACATCCCCGCGACCTGCACGCATAGTTTCCTCTTACCGACTCCGACTTTCACGCGTGACGATAAAAACTAGTTTGTTGACGATGGTCATCGCAGCGCCTTGACGTTAACTCAACTAAACAATTAGAAACGGAACCAAAATCATAATTTTCTTCGGTATAACATTGACACCAACCAGAGCTGTCCGGCGTGAAGTGAGACGCTAAATCCATAATACGCACCATGGTGTATTCCCGCGCCGCCGCGGCCGATAAAATCAACGAGGCTCCTAGAACTCTATGTAGAAACCCAGAAGAAGTATGAAGATCATTATAATCATAATCACGCGTGAAAAGCGAAAGGCGAAATTGTCGTTGACAAATTGGCGAGAAACCAGGAATTGAATCTGACGTCACATGTTGGTGACAAGATCTAGATTCATCTGTTTGAGCTGAGAATACAAATGGCATGAGAAACTGAGAGAGATAGAGGAATCCAAATGGAGATATTCACCTGTCAGCACGACTATTGAATGAGATTTTTCAGAAGCTAAACGCAATCAAACATTTTTTATTTTGAAACAAGAATATCTAGTACGTCGCAGAATAGAACCTCTTCACTCATACTACATGATTGCAGGCGGGTAATATGTAATCGTAGTTTCCAGCAGCTTCGTGAATGCACTAGTCCTTCTTTGTTCTAGGAGAGATCAAGGATGTTGAACTAACTTGTATGTAGTCTTTTTGTATCTTGAGAGGCCCCCAAAAAGGACAAGTAATAAATGTACACTACCTAGTAACTCCGACTACCGCTTATCAATCTTGGCATTCTTGATACTGATTTTGACTATGACTTATGGAAATTGTGGTTGTACTTCACCGAGATACAGGGACTGAACGTCAAGATGATGAGAGTAAATCATGGCATCCGCTGATCGACAAAGGCGAAACATGCCGGCCGGACCAAGTAATATCGATTTTTTTTAGAGAGTTAACGAACTAAAAAACCAACGAAAATAGCTGAAGCAACGAACTAGTAAAGAACCATCTTGTTTTTGAATATGATAAAAATAGTGATAGATGTCAGTTGACAACCCAACTACAAGTTTGCATTATGACAACGCAGTCGCACGTGTTGTAGGTGCAGAGCAAGAATAAATTGCGTCGTAGACGAATAAAAGCACGAAGGTGCTGCATTACAAGTGGTTAGAAAATTGGAAATGGAACTGTAAACACATATGCCTTTAACACATGAGCATGACCATGACGTGTATTCATCTGCACCAGAGTGAATCCAAAGTCGTTAATACTTCCATGCCCTTGCTTGTGTAAAGCAATAGAAATAGTGTTGATGTAACTCTTCTAGGTAACCATTGAAAAAATGGCAAATAACTTTCTATTTTTCATCTCCTTTGTTCACGTTCTTTCATGACTAAGTCTAGGGTTGTAGTAGCTAAGTCTAAGTGAAGTATTTATTCTAATTTTCAAAATGCTTTGATGCTGCTAGAGTGAGTAGTTTATTCTTGCCTTCATCATCATTTTTCTTTTATTGGTTGCTTAGATAGTTCATAGTTCCCACCCCCTTTACTAACTCAATCACTAGAAAGAATGGAACGAAAAAAATTCTTGATTATAATTTGAGAGACTAATACACATACTCAGATGCTATAATGTTGAATCATGAGAACAATGGTTACCGTTATCAGAGTGTCGTAAGGGATGGAAAGAGAAAACGTAGGGGGAGGAAGCAGCGTTGACAGAGTGCAATTTCTTGAATACTTCTGAACAACACCACCTTTTTTTCGACCATCTCCCTGTCTTTCTGATCCATCAGAAACGAGCACGGCCGCGGGTATCGAGCCCCTCCCTGGAGGCACTGGTCCTACGCTACCCCCTGGCAGCGTTTGGAGCAACAACCCTTCGAGGCAACAAGGGAGCAGCGACCCTCAAGGTGCATCCGCCGGTAGTAACACAGCAGTCACAGGAGCTGCTTTCGCACCAGACACGGGTCCTTCACTCGCTGACTCCCTCAAGCAAGCAAAGGCGAAGTCGGCCAACAAAAGAGAAAGAAACAAGAAAGCAAATATAGCGACCAGTCCAGGAAAAGGAGGACCCATTAATGCAGCAGCCTCCAGCAATACCAAGGATCAAGCGGCAAGTAGTACAGTAAAAAGCACTTCAGCCGTTACTCCGGTCGTCGACGCGGCTACCGACAAGCCTTGTGCCGCCGAGGAAATAAAGGGTGCTGAAACGTCGCAGGCTGCCGCGTGTGTAGCGAAGCCAGCTGAAAAAGCAGGAACCACGGCATCTCCACCTCCTCCAGTAGAAGATACGACGTCGCTCAAGACGCCAGAGCGGGCTACAGGGTCTTCCAAAGGTCAGGAGAAAGAGACCGATCCGGAGAGCATGCCGAACGGAGGGGCTATTGACAGCGACACCTCCGGTCTGATACCGCCGCCACCTCCTCCGCCCGAAAGCAATAAGACGTCGCCCGTGCTCTCCCTAGATGTTCCTCGGGACCACTTGTTGATGAACGGTCATCCTTCTGGGACAACGAAGCGAAGCACCACAGCAGGTGCGAATAGTACGACCTTCAACGCAGATCAAGATAATCCAACTCCTAGATCAGGAAAGAAGAACAAGAAGCTTGACGAGAACAGTCTGCAATATCAGCTGAACCTCCACCTCTGCGGCGAAGCGGGGCAGCATACAGTAAACGCATCCACTACGTCTGGCGAAGAGGCGAAGCTGCCAACGCGTGCAGACCTCGAAGAGTCGGACTTGAAAAACGTACCTCCGCCACCACCACCAGCCCCGGACGGAAACTACTTGTTTTCTCCCGCCTCCTCGTCGCCAGCACCGCCGCCTCTGCCCCCGGCGCTGCCACCGTCAGGCTCGGAGACGTCGCGCAGTGGATCGAAGAACAAGAACCTGTCAGCAGACGCACCGGCCTTCATCCCGCATGCGGCACAGGCGCACGCCTTTCCAATCTCGGCAGCCTCACCTACGTTCATTGGGACCGTGAGCAAGCAGCATCTTGCGCAGCTCGCACCAGCGCCAGGCCTCGCGAAAGCGAACGGAGTAGAAGCGGCTGGAACTCCTGGACACACGAGCCCCTACGACATCAGCTCGCACATGATGAAAACGCACCAAACACTTGCACAACAGCGGGTACTAATGATTTCTTATTTGACCCGATGGTGCTCTTTATTTATAATATATTTTTTAGATGATACAGGTTCAGGTAAAAGTTTGATAAATGGAAATTGGAACGAAAGGAACTTTTCGCCATGTCTCAGTCTCTACTGGTAAACTGCCGCTGTCTTGTTCTTGTTGTTATTCTCAGTAACAAGCATCTTGATTTTCATCATTTAAATCTGTACTACAACTTCTACTTTAGCACCAGCATGCTGGGTCTCAGCCACCAGCGTGGACCCCGGACATGCTCAGCGCAGGTTGGACTCCCTCACAGTCATCTAGCGGAGCCAAAGACATGAGCAAAGGCGCGTATGGTTACAACAGCGCTCACGACGATTCAGCGTACCCGAACCAGATGTCTAGCATGGAGAGTTATAACTATGGCAGTGAGCAGCTGAACAGCGGCAAGTCGAGCGGCTACAACAAGTATAGTTACCCTGCCTCTTCGCCGCAAGGAGCATTATCATCTGGTGGCCCGACCAACATGGCGCAGTCCAAAGGTGCAGGCCCTCCGTCTTCAGGACGAGGCGACAACGCGGGGGGCGCGACTCCAGGCGCTGCTTCTAAGGGTGCAGTCGGCAAATCCTCAGCTTCCAAGAAGGATGGTGGATACCATCACGGCATTCACATTTCGGCCGGAGCCGGAGGCCTTAGCCTGCAGGGGCACACGTACTCGAAAGGCCTGCAACTCGGCTCAGCAGCATCACAGCCAAGCAGCTCCTCGGGACCCTCGCTCCAGCCGAGTAAGGACACATCTGCGAAAACCAACACCCCTTGTGGTGGCGCAACCGGAGTCGCAGCGTCCTCTCCAAGCGTGTATGGCGGAGCAACTCCTCTATCAAAATCGAACGCTGTCGCCAGCAGCACCGGTGGATTTGACAACAACGCTAACCCGCCGTCATCTGCTTCGTCCACTATGACCTACAATCTTGAATCCGCATCGTCCCCAGTTCACCGCTCGAAGCAGCCAACATCAAACAACATGACCCCTTCTCAACGCATAAAGGGTGGCAGTCAAGCCGCAAGCGTTACGCCGCAAGGGAAGACCGGACCATCCGGAAAATCAGTGCTCAGCGGTAAGAAAATGGGACCACCTGCAAGAACCTCTCAGGTACACGCTATTAAGTCTATTTGCACTTCTCTTCTCCACCACGCGTATAGTTTTTAATTTTTTGGACATCTTGATCTTGGCGGATTAACATGCTATGCATAGATTCTCGTGTGAAGATGTGCTAGAAGAAGATGATCAACATAGTCTTTCTACTTCTAGTGCAACTGAAAGTACAAGTCGTAGATATTATTGATGTTCAGAAATTTTTTCAGAATTTTCCACAGTACTTCTTATCAAAGGACTTCGTCTTTGACATTGACTGCGACATCGAGATTATATATGATAACTTATTTGTATTTGATAAAAAGTAAAAATAACAAGAATATCAAGTTCAACTGGGGCTCTTGCGTCAGCATGTTCTGTCGCAGTATAGTGTCTAATTTCTGTTCAAAAATATATAAATTCAGTCCCGCTTTGCAAATGTAGGAGCACCAACACCAGGAGTAAGGGAGCACTACACAGTCTTGCAGCGCCCGACCCGACCCACTCTTGGTGGAGAGGAAGCAGTGCGTCCCACTTCCCGCTTCCCAGAGTATCCTCCGCCAGTGTTGAGCCAATCTGAAGCCCGTAACTTCTATTCAAGATTTTCACCCTCGAAGCCCTTCCTCCCACCCATCTCCTCCCCTGATCACCATCATGATACACATGCTACCCTGACCGTACACGAGCACGATCTTCACGACGTTCATACTGTTGTCCCTCGTCGACAAGAGCATCAAGGGCGAACCCTAGCACGTAGTTCTAGAAACCTTTGCGGTCCACCGCCACCTTTACCGAGCACGACCATGCTTCTGTCCTCTTCGGGTGCCTCTCCTTGTTCCTTCAACAAGGCACTCCATCCAGGTCACAAATGCAGTACCAGCTACATTTCCTCTTCTTGTTCAACTCGAACACCCGATGACTCTATATTGATGCTGTCCCCTTTTGAGTCTTCTCGCTCTCGTCGTGCTCACCAGGCAGCGTCCGATATGTCCTCGATCGGCGGTTTCCCCCCTCCCGGCTCTTTTAGCAGTTCACCGGGAAAAGGCGATTTTGGTGGAGGCAGCAACCGCTCATCAACCGAAGGCACGCCGCAGCACATGTTTGGACCCGCCGGTCGAGCTAGTCCGGCTCACCATAAAAACAGCAGCACTTACAACGCTTCGTCTTCGTCTTCAACTACTGCGGGACCGCCAAGTGCTGGAGTTGGAGCACCCAGTTCTGCTGGGCGAGGCTATGGAAATGGGGACACAGGCATGATGAGCAAAGGCGCATCTACGAGCACGCCAGCTCCGCCGTCTTCGAATGGAACGGGAGACGCGCAGCGCAGTGCGGGTAAACCGACATCATCCGCTTCTTCAGCTAGCGTTGGGAAACTGATGACTCCTTCTAGCCAAGACTCCCGAAACGGCGACCAAACCACGGAGCAAAGACCTCTCGACGTGGCACAAATCCAGTATGTGGAAAACGAAAACGATAGGCGCTTCCTCCAAGGACTCGATTACTCCTTGGTTGGCCCTGTCAATGCACAAGACTTGGATCGCTATCCACGAATCGAGAACTGGCTCCTGAGTCAAAAGGTATCTATGCATACGAAATCATTGCTCTAGTGGCTCTGATTCTTCTTAGTACTTAATGATATTACAGAAGAGACACCAGCAGATGGTCATGACGCAAGCGGAATGCTCGTTGAAAGCAGCAGCTTGCCATAATACAGTTAAGTAGAAGTACTTACTTTGTTGATAGCTTTTCATTTTTGTAATCGAGCCACTCTTCTCAACAGCTGCTTGGTGTTGATATGAAGCACAACGTGATTGGACGAGACGACGACTATCAGTATTGTGCCTTGATGAGTTTCGCAGCCCCCTCGAATGACGCAACAAAGGAGCCTGCTAAGGTGCTTGTGCTCCGAACCCACGATGGACAGGCTCTTCCAGACAGCGTTGTTCAGGTACTTACACCAACTACAACAAGTACCTCTAGCCTGCAACTTCTTTTACATTTACAACTTTTCACTTTCCTTGTATTAACGCTAGCTTTGCAAGTTACAGATAGCGAAAGCTAACGGCCAGACAAATTTTTCCTCTCGGCAATCCTACTTTTTGTTGTTTTTATTGACAATATGGAACTACATGAAGGTAATGATGAGCCGCACGATTGTTAAAGCCATTGTGGGTGGCCTGGAGCAACACGTGAGCCGCATGCAGAAGTCATTTGGCATCGGTTTCGCGGGTATGAAGGATCCCGCCGAAGTCGCAAAAGAATATGGTACTAGGCAGGAAAGTGTTGCCTTGCTTATCCCAGCACTACAGGTTCTCCATGTAGGAGTTGCAAAAATCTCAAACTAACAGTATTCTTTTTGCTACTAGTGCTTCCATCAATTATATTCTATGTAATAATTTTCAATATCTTTCTCTTTCTCAACAGATGGCGTCGGGCGCAATGCTGAGACCGGACGAACGGTAGAATTAAGCTTGCGACAGATGTTCAAGACTTTCGGATTTCCCTGCATTCACGATAAGCGCATTTCACTTAGCAACTGGGAACGCGACAAACTTTCGTACTTCACAATTTTTATTTTACTAATCCTTCGCTTTAGAATTAGAAAAATGCATATGCAAAGAGTTGGCGGACGAACCTGGTGTAACGTTTTTAGACTAGCAAGACTGATAAATAGGTCATCTTTTTTGGCATATGCATCCTGCTACACCTCAACATTGTCTGACCACAGACCGGCTCAAATCCGTTGCGCCGCAGACGACGGATGGTATTCTCTTCAAAGCTGGCTGAGGCTCGAAGAGTTGCGACGCGAGCGACACTCGCAAGAGGCCCGCCACCGGAATTCGAAGGGCGCTCGTAACGCTATCCGTGAGTACAATGCCAACCTGAGTTCCGGCAAGGAAGGGGCGAAAGGCGGAGGCATACATGCAAAGGACACCGCAAGTGCCGGTGCTGCGGGAATCTATCCATACGTTCCTGCAGGAATGCTTCAGTCGTCGGGGAGCACTAGTAGCGCAGGTGGTGGCAGAAGCGACTACAATCAGCAGAATCAAGCGGGAAGCGGCTACAGTATGAATGGCTCTTCCTATGGTGGTGGTGGAGACTACCAATACGGAAATCATGCCTACGGCGGAACACCCACCAGCAGATACCCTCCAAGCGCCAGCCCTGGTGGATATCAGGGATACAACTAGCCGAGAATCTATGCAAAGGACGATCGTATCATCAGGTTTTTAAAAAACGGATCCCAGTAAAGAGGTAACCGTTCTTGGTGCTCGCCGTGTAGAATCAGAAAAAGCCTAGTTGTGCTTGTGTGGTAGGAGAGCGAACAACAAGCGAGAACATTTTCCCAGTGTTACTCGCTAAAGAAAGGATCCGATACAGTAGATCCCGACTTTTTTGTAATGACATGATATGTTGGAGGCGGAAGACTCTTCAGGTTGAGTCACCATGTAAAATTTTCATCATTCCAAAATGTTACTTAGCAGGAGGAGAATAAAAACACAGTAATTACAGCGTATGAGTATGAGACTCAAAGTTTAGGCAGGTATCAATCAGTCATCGTTTAAGTTCACGAATCAACACTGTATTTAGGAAGTTTAGTTGTATTTTTACCTAGCATTACAAAAACTTAGAACATGATGAGAAATAGCAGGAGCAGGCAAAAGTAGGACCACCTGCGTTGACAAAGGGAAACATCATTTTTGGTATGATGTTGTAGATCGAGTTTTCGCTTTTTTGTGATTTCTAGCGGGCGTTCATGTAAAAGACTATATTTTCGTTTGGTTTATTCTTTGTTGCTCGCATGGTTCTGGTTGTTGTATTCTCGATTAATCCGAAAGATGAAAAATTGTTGTTTAGCAATCAAAAAATTCGAGCTAAAGAAGCTAGCATCAGTTCCACATTGACATTCTTGTACAAACTAAGACTAGCTAGAAGCCTGCAGATGAAATTCTATGTCTCCTGCCAGCAGCTTTTGAAACGTACGCTCCATTAATTATGATAGTGGCCGATCCTGTAATGTTTTGTTGTCTGAGATTGAGAAGTCACTGGTATTGTATTACATGGTCCTGATGAAGATGATCGTACTCGTTCTATGTTCATGCATTCTTGTCATTTCATATTCGTGCTGTATTTTTTTCTGTATCGTGAGGTATTGATGATGGGGGTTCACTCTCCCACCTTCAAGTTGTAAACACAACTCATCTCTCACTAATCACTGGCCTACCCCTAGAAGTACTTCCACTATTATAGACTACGACTTTTTGACTGGTTGCGAACGAACTTATGGCTGTGTAGTGTCCTTACGACGTTTCGGGGACACACCCATGAGTGAGCTAGCACCCCGGAGTCATGGGTGTTATCCTTGCCCCGTTACGTGCGAGCACCCATCTTCCTGTTCATTCTTGTCCTGATGGGACCTCCGGTGGCTGGAGTAAGGACATACACTTATTCGTTAAAGCGCTATAGATACTTTAATAACTAGTTTTTATTATTATTATTATTCTTAATTTTAACTTTCCTTATTTGTATACTATTCCACATACCTATTACTGCCTTCTAAAAGTATTTTGGTACTTTATCTATATGTTACCTTCTCTGCTTCCTACCCAACTCAATACTCATAGCGATGCCACAGTGGACTTGATGCCGCGGCAGTAGCGGATGGGATGGCTTCTTCGTCATTAGTAGTCAATACTCATACATCAAGGGGAACAACGCTCTATACTATAGAACGAAAAATGAAATATTCACCATCACATCGTCAGCATATCATCTATATTCAACATCTAGTACAAGATCATTTCATTGTCATTGAAATTGATCGTTCATCTTGCTTTGGTATCTCCCCGCGCACCGGTTTTCTTACAGCTAGGGAGCATTGACTCGTCGCATAGAGAGGATGTTCCACTCATGAAGGCCAACATACTATAATGGTTTGACAGAAACAAGAGATACTCGGTAACAATACTTGTCAAGTTCGGCCGATCCGGTGCTTCAGGCGCAGGGCTGAGGTGGGAGCCCATCTAAATCTAGACCTAATCGCCATTAATACCCGTTGTTGTAGCATTTTGAACCTGTACACCATGAACAAACAAGGTGGCGAAAGAGCAATGTCTAACATCGCCTAACTATGTATGGAAGAAAAATCTGTACTCATTCTCGGAAACGAGACTCAAAAACTTTTCGCGTGTTGAGATTTCGCCGCTTGGCTGGCCACTCACAACCGGCGCCGGGCGCAATCCATACGGCGAGGGGACAGGCGTGGCAGGGGAAACCCAGGAGAGAGGTCAAACAAAGCCACCCAAAGCAGTACAAGCCAGCCCAAGAACAAGGGCGCCAGGCGCTCACTTCCTGCGGCTCGGGCGCCAAGCCATCACCTTGCTGCCCTTGGGAGTCACCCGCGCGCACGCGCGGCGGGTGCCGGTGCTCATGTGCGTCGCTGGTGACGAGGCACACGCCAGACAGCTCGTAGCGATGCTATGCCAAGAGAAACAGGGCCCACTCCTGGAGTGGTCAAGAGCTACGCAGCCAGCACCTCTCCGAGGGCGGCGCACAGGGGTGACGCTGCGCGACCCTCTTGGGGACTTGGTGCGCGTGTGTTGTTGTACCTTCTCCAGCGGTTTGAATTAAATTGCGTACTTTTCTCAACGCCTGCGTCTGGGGTGTGACTCAACCCCTCAGATCCAGACGCTGAAAAGATTGCCCATCTTAATTCAAAGATAGCAGGAACCTAGTGCGAGGAAGCTCCCGAGAGCAGTCCAGATCTGGGAAGGCTCCAGCGCGTGCAAATTTGGACAAGCTTCGCGAGCCTTTTCCCACTGGATTCCGCCCACGTATGGACTAAAGTGCGTCTTTTTCTCAACTTTTGAATTTTGAGGGTCAGGACACACCGGAGGCGCGGACGTTGAGAAAAAGATGCAACTTAATCCACCCCTCGAGCCTCTCCAGCACTAGAACCCGTCACCTGGTGTGTGCTCCAGTCGGGCCCGATACCCTTGGCGCAGCTCTTGGGCGAATCTGCTGAAGGGCTCCGAGAGCTGACAGGCGGCGGCGGCTGCTGGCTCTCTGGCTGAGTGCCTTCACGGTCCGCAGCGCGGCGCCCACTCCTGCCCCCGTTTCGCCGGGTGTTGGTGCCTATTTTGCGCTGCTTTGGTGGATTGCTCCCAGGAGCCGCGTACCGCTCCCTTGGCGTCAGAGTGCAGACGGCGGGTCCCTGGCGTCCGATTCTTGGGTTGGTTTGTGTCGCTTTTGGTGGTTTTGGTTGGCTTTTCTTTGGGGTTCGCCCGCCACGTCTGTGCCCTTGCTATAAGAACGGAGATCGGCCCTCGTTGTGGCTTGCCAGCCAAACGGTGAAGTCTCAACATAACAAGAATTTTAATTTTTTAGTCTCGTTTTTGAGAATGAGTACAGTTTTTCTTTTTATCTCCATACAAGTAACCTTTCGTTCTTGAGTCGCTTTTCATCATAAGCATGATCTCTGGTTTCCAAGGAAATCGACGTCTGAAGAATTCCTTGTTTCACTACGCAGAACAAGGGATTCTATTTTCTTTGAGTTCAACGGCCTCAGATCAAGTTGTACAAACGAAGTTTGCGGAAACAAATTGCGGTCTCACGACTACAAGTACAACAAGAGGCATGTTGCTACTGCTTGTTTTTGTATTAAGTACATAGTTCTTACCAATAGCAAGTTCATTCAATAGGTTTGGGGACATTTCGGGATGCAGTCGTCACTCGTCATGATCCAATGATTGATTTGTGTTTTCGTTCTATTTTTTTTCACAATAAGAGATGTTTCGGGAGATAGCATCGCCGCTGGTCTCTCGCGATTTAGGCTATTGGTGTGTCAAGTCTTCCTCTAGTACTTTAGGCCTACATATAGTGACCGTCAATAAAGCTGCAGATCAATATTTTTATGACAAAAACAAGATGGTCATGGTGGTCAAAGTACAACCGCCATCGGATCAATATGTTCATGGTTATCCCGTTTAAAGCGAAGCAAGTTCGGTAGAGGCTGAAGCAAAAGAGCAACTATAATATGTTAGCGCGTGGTCTCCGTCGTAGCCACTAGGGAGCTTGCCCTGGTCATCCACCTCTTGTGTCGTCGACGCGTGTTCACGTACTGCTTTATTATTGATATGCAAGAATAGCGAACGCGTTCGACGTAGCTAGTTCGTTGGGGTGTGTACTCTTGCGCTGACATCGGTATCCTCTATCCTTACCTCGTACTCATATTCTTGGGGGCTGCGCATCCTACACGCAGCGCACGTGACCGCCCGGCCCGTGTGGTATTCGTATTCTGTATTCGTATTCGTACTCTTGTACTCGTGCTCGGTATTCGACTCGTATTCGTATTCTACTCTACTCTTTCTTTTCTCCCTCCCTCCGACTCATTCTACTCGAATTCATTGGTTCAAACGAATCGGATGCCGTTTGTGGGCTAGTCTGTCCCGTTGACTGAACTAGCAAAAGAGTACTCACCCCTCGCACGTCAGCACCTTCATGTATGCACCTCAATTCACACCATGCCGTCGGCCAAACCCAAAGCCGGTTTTTCATACCTCAACAAAGACGCAAAGCGACAAGCAAAAGGCGACTTGGTTCTGCGTGGTGTGCGTGGTTTCTGTAAGCTTCACAATTTTTGTCGTACGGCGTCGCCGCAACGCGAGCCAGTATAATATCTCTGTCTTTCTTATTCTTTTCATCTGTGCGTCATTTTTTGCGATGTTGGGTCTTCCTTCGTGATCACGACCGATCCTATCAAAAGAGCCTTTTTTCTTTAAAGTGACGCAACATTAAATGAGAGCACCGATTGATCTGAAATCTGTTTCTGCAGACCGGTTGTAAGGCTTTTTGTTTTGCTTTGCTTTTTGGATCTGTAACTCAACATCGGTTTACGTTTAATCTGTGCAGCTGCTACTTTGTCCATGTCATCCGTGAGTTTTTTTGGGTTCTTTAGCTCTTTTTTCGTTCCACCACCACCTAGAAAAGCAGGTCCTTTCTCATTGTCACTGCTGTCAAATGTTTAGGTTAAGGTTGCTAGCTGCGGTGTACTTGTAGTCCCTGTCACGATACGTTATTCTTATCATCTCCATAACCGAAATGCTAGTGCAAGATAGATTCTACTAAATCCACACACTTTCGAATTCGATTGAGTCCAGGTAACATTGAACGACAAGCCACCTTTCATGCCAATGGCAATACGAATTCCTAAAACTAATGTCTAACAGTGAATCATTCAACAAGAAAGCGAATGAAAGGTGTGATGCCTCACATCTTAGCAGCCCAACCTGGAGATATTTATATCCTTATCCCGCGTCTACAAGATTAATAATCAATATGTTGTTTTCGTTGGTGTCAATATTCGATATTCTCTTGTATTTGTGTCTCTTTTTCTTCTCTGGTTCTGTTTTTGTCACTGAGTTTGTCGTCATGCTATCAACCTTTCCTGCTCTGCGGTGGCCGGCAATTTTTCAATGTTATATTTGTTAGGTTCAAAAATCGTCAGCTGCATTTAATTAACTTTATCGTTCTTGTTCAAGTTCATCTTCGTCGAGAGTCAACGAACCATTCAAAAATATTTTGATTAAGTTCTTTGATTACGTAAAAAGGAGTAGAAATAGAAGGTGTATTCTCGAGTGTATATCACCAACAGGTCGTGGATCATCAGGATCAGCGAAAGCCCAAAAATGAATCGTGAGGATCCTAAGAGGGTTCATGTTTTAAGCGCCCAACAGCGCGAGATGCTTGTAGAGTTCGTCTGGAACTGCGAGTCTAGTCTTGACGGTGCTATAGGAGCCTACAACTTGAACGCTGATTTGGATCAAGAACTCTTTGAGCAGACTACAGACGTCAATCCTCAGGGGTACGGCAATGCGCAGGGTGACGATGAAGAACTAGTTGTAGAGGTAGACCAGACAGAAGGCAACCGCCAAGACGAACAGGCTCGACCAGCTGTAAGGCTAAGCGGGAAGTTGCTGCCCACGCCACTCCATGCCCCGCTGAGTCCAACAGAGACGAGCAAAGGTGGAGCGAAACTTTCTTCGGACGTCTACGTGATTGAGGGCCATTTGGAATCAGGTGTAGCTATTCCGTTGGACGGCGAGTTCAACCCGAAGCCGAAACGAGGAGTGCCCATGATGTTGTTTACACCAGGCATAAGGGACGACAACAACTATGGGAGTATGACTAGTAAAGCCGGCATGATGTTGTTTACCCCATCAAAAAGTAACCGTACTTCTAGCTTCAACAGCCTAACGGCAAAAACTTCGTCGGTGGGTAAACCGAAACATGGTGCTGACAACGGCAACGAATCCTTGTCTAGCACACAGAATCAACACGATGGGTCCCTGCGGGACCCACGAGGAGCATTGTGGAGCTTAGAGCAGCCAAATGCTAGCTTTCGTGTCGGCATTGATCTCTTTGGTGTCGCCCATTCGCTTCGGGAGAGCTTCGCATCCCTAGGTCACGGCGCCAGGTGTTTCCATGCCGAATTTCCGCCAACAGAACCACTCGGAGCAGGAGCACCACCTCACAGTGCTTCTACTTCCTTAGGACTAGCACACGGCCAATTTGACGACGCTTTTCGCTGGGCTTACCATGTTTCACTGCCGGTGGGTGTGCGGCAGCTCATTGCCCCCCTAAGCCGCGACGATCAGAAACTCGGCAAAATTAAAAAGCACTTTCTAGAGACGCTACGTGAAAAAAGGCTGCGGTCTCGAATGCACGTAGCAGTTGATGACACAGGTGTCATTCGCCTGCTGCCACTCGAATGCCTACTTCCACAGGAGTGCAGCAGCAATCAGGATGGATTAAAAGTTGAGCAATTTTGATGAGAGTGATTGTTGTAATTGTAGTATTCACAAAGCGCTTCGTATAGCCATCATCTAGTATGTTGATAGTGATCACTACCTGAAGCTCATACTTCCTTCAGATGTCCGCGTGCCCGCATTTTTCGAGACACTTGATCTAGTGTTTTTTATCGGAGCTACCAACATTTCCAGATTGTTTCTAATAGAGTGGACGAGCAAGTGCCGGATACCGATTCGCCGGATAAAGAAGCGCGCGAGCCGATGATACCCCACGGGACCAATCGTTTCTTATTCACGCCAGTAAAACGGTCTTCCGCCACGTCTTCAACCGATGGTAATCAGAACAAGCAAGAGCTAGGTGTATGTGCAGACAAGAAGAAATTACCGGAAACGACAAAGCACGTGCAACTGGCGGTGGGTAAATATGACTTGGAGCAGCTAGCGCTCGCTGCGACCCTGCTTCAGACCGTGGACGAACGAGCTGGACCAAAGGCGCGTCTGAAGATGGCGCAGAAAAAACGCAATGCGCGGCGAAAAAAACATGATTGTATGGTTGAGGAGCTGATGTCGCCACTACTAGACGATCGCGCTGTCTTCTTCTATGAGGCAGGCAACGACGTTGTTGAGGATGGAGACTCACTGAACTTCGAGGAAGTCAAGAACCCCAAGAAAAATCCAGCACATCGTGGAAGCGTACCCTCAGGAACTAGGACATCGTCGGGAGCAAAAAATTCAGGAACACCAAAAAGCGGCCGCGCGGCTGCGCCTTACGGGAGTGCTTCGTTCTCCGCGTCTCCAGCGCCAGCCAGTCGGAATAGAAAGGGAATGAACACACAGACAAACTCGAAACAACCCAAGAATCCATTCGTGTTCAAAGAGAGCGAGCACATTTACGACAGGTCAAAGATCGATTCTCCTTCATCCTCGCCAGCAGAAAAAATCGCTGCTACCTTCTATCTACCTTTAAAGCAGCAGCGTGATGGAGCAAAGAAGAAAGCGCCAAGAGGAGTAGGCTTCCCTCCCTACGAGGACTACTCAACCAACTACCCACAACGTAGCGCCTCCTCCAATGTTGAGATGAAAGGGAATAGTAACAGCTCAACTTCTATGACAAACGGTGCTGCAGCGATCGACATTAGCACTTCGCTGCTGTACGACCTACCAGGTCCACCACCAGTGCTCTCTGCAGACGGCCGCGTTGATGTGTTTCCAAGTTTGCGAAACCGTCCAGGTCCTGTTCTTGACGTGCCAATCAATTATCAAGTGATTCGGTCCGATGACGACAAGGTGAAGGTAGAAGATGCACAACATACAACGCGGACAGCACCATGCTCTCCGACGCGCGAGGAGAACTATGCACTGAGACGTCGCCGGGCAGCGTGCAAGCAGGAGTGGCGTGCAGCCTACCATACCGGACCACAGTGGTCCGCATCGCCTGTGGGAGGTGTGCAACCGCTGGCCGATCGCCTCATCTCCACTGCGGTTTTGGCGTTGGATAGCGACGGCGTGCTTCACGACCGCAACACTAACGCTTCTCGCAAGGCGCAGTTCCGCTCTTTCCTGCGAAAACTCCGCAATAACCGGCTCGAAAAGGGACAGCAAGTACTCGACGTCAAGAAAACAAAGAAAGAACTAGATGGTGAAGGTTGTCCATCTAATAATAGGATGCAGCAGACTGGTGCACGAGCAAGCGCTACAGCACCATCAAAGGTGGACCGCATAGATATCGCGGCACAAGATGAAGAGCAAACAGTAACAGAAAAGGTCGTCGTTCAGGCACCGAACAAAGGCAGCACCTTGCAGGACTCTAGTGGTATGATCTGCATCGCAGACACCAATGGTAGTGTTCACCTGTCCCTGGATGCGCGCTGCAAATCCCCACGCGCTGCCCGTCGTAAGAAAGAGTTTCGGGCTTCTCGGCGCATCAATGTCTCCGCGATTCCACTGGGAGATCGACCACGTCCGCTCCACAGCAGTAAAAGTAGTAGCGGCACTTCCGGTAGTTTCGTCCTGGTCTCGGATGACGACCTATCCGAATCCGAGGGCGAGCTTGCTGCGTTTGCGAGTTGAAGTTGAGAACCACAAAAACTATCTTTGGAATTAGACTTAGCCCCGTAAAAATGAAAAATTTGTTTGTTGAAAGTTTCTTTTGTATTTAGCGCACAAGCATATTTATACCTACTGCGGTCGTGTTCTTGAACACGACTCTGATGTTTATCATCCTGGGATCTGTAAAGATAACAGGTTATGGCATTCATATCATCCATCTTAACGTGCTGTCTATGAGGCCTTCGGCAGGTTCCTCTTTACAGAATGCTTGCATGGGTGGAGGTCCTCGTGTACAAGCAATAACATGAGCGTGAACATTTAAGTATAGGTTTGTTCATAGTATTAATATGCAGTGAATAGATTTTGGTGATCATAATGTAGTCATCGAACCGATACCGAATCTCTTACATATTATAGTACAAATAGCCTTTCAGAAAATAACCCGGGCACCTCTTCTTGTACATTTTTGCTTTGGTGATGAATGTTGCTTCTGACTTCAGGTATCAAAAAAATCGTTTAGTACCATGCATAGATATCGCATAGACCACAGACGCTGTGTTGTAGTAGAAACCATACATGAAGGTATGTAATCGATGATGTAATATTTTTTGGCACCGTACGAGTTCTTGTAAGAGCCGACGGAAATCCACATCCAAATACATTTTTTTCAACTATTATTTTCCTATAAACAAATTTTGAATTTGAATTGAATTTGAATTAACCAAAAGAATCGCAATCGTATTTGATGAAGTACTCATAATTTGGAAGTCGACTCAATAAAATGAATCATAGGGAAAAGCCATCGGGTCAAAATCTGTACTAAGATCAACTTCGTTGAATCAGTTAATAGTTGATGCATGCCAGGTAGATTTTTCAACAACATGGGAATACATGACATGGTGAACATGAATGAGAGTCATAGAAATAATCGACATATATAAGTACGTCATAACGACAACACGAAGATAGCATAACGTTCTGTAATTTTTTGAAGCCTGGTGGATGGATGTCGTCGAGTGGAGAAATTGATTGTATCAGCGAGTTCCGCCTGGAACAGACGCTGAGGTGGATGTCTGTCTATCAGCGTGCTGTAGACTCCTGATTCATCAGACGCATCGACGTTGAAGCATGTCATCTTGTTGCACATAAAAGATTGTTGAAATGAAAAATAGAATCGAAAAATGCACCAGATGGAGCTGATGAAGCTTGATCGTAGTGTGTTCATGGAATCAAGAAAGACCCATCACAATGTAAGTAGTTGCGTCCGAATCCTTCTACCTTGGTAGTTTTGCACGTTTCATCTCCGGCAAAACATGGAAAATATAAACACCATACAACAAGACGACGCTTGTTGGTTCCAATTGAGGTAAGAAGAATTCAAATCAATGCCACGAGGGATCATCTAAGTACCTCCTAGCACTATCCTCGCGTCATCATCAAGACAAATGGCTAGTGATCGATGTTGTCACGGAGAGGAATGCAAGGCAGCGGACGCAACATCTGCGAAACGGCGAGAGAATAGAAATTGTTTCTCGTACATGCGATGATCTCTCCTCTTCAACTGCAGTTGCGATTGTAAAAGACATCATTGACATTGTCTTCGTAAGTAGTTTCAAGTACCTACATCTTTTTTATCATGCGAAGACCAGTATTTTATGTTTTGCCAGTATTTTTAGTTTTTCTTCATTTTCTAGTTCTAGATCTAATTCCATTTCGTCAGGCCTTCACCGAAACTTGACCCGCGATACTGAGAGCCTCCCCGTGGCTTCTTTCCTACATAAGTGCATTATCTCCTAGTCCCATTTCATTCTTCGAGTTTGTTTCTTTGCATCTTTAATTTCGTCTGCTTTATTTTGTTCTGGAGCCTACGCCTAGTGACAATACATTAGAAGTATCTGGTAAATGGTATTGATCATCCATGTGAGGTAAGGAAATTGTATGTCTTTCTGCCCTCTCGTACCCCTCGCTTTCATCTCGATCAAATCACATTGATGTTTTAGTTTTTCCATGCTCGGTGTTTGTTGAAATTTTTTTAATCCTTGAGAGACCACGAAAAAATGTTCCTCGTTAACTGGGTCAAGGAGAGCTTCGGAGAGTTTCTCTCATGGCTCGGGTTCCTCCCAGAAAATTCCAAAATCCTGTTTCTGGGTCTCGATAATGCCGGAAAGACAACGTACTATTTTTGGACGCTCGCAACTGACGAACTAAAACAAATTATGATTCATTGGTTTCGTACAAAGCATGCTTGGCGTTGAAGTTGTACCTCCTTCGCTCGTTTATCTCTTCAATCGCACAACAGGTTGTTGCATATGTTAAGGGACGATCGAATTACAACTCATAATCCCACGCTGCACCCGCACGCAGAAGAACTGTACATCGGAAATAGGCGATTTCGAGCATTCGATCTTGCGGGCCACGAACTCGCTAGAAGAATATGGAAGGTATGGATCCTATATATAAATGATTCTGATTTTGATGTAAATGTAAAACAAAAATGGAAACGTGTCGCTCCGACGTTGTTGCATTCTCATCATGTACCACTTGTACTTGTAGTAGTCGATTCTCTTTATCGAATGAAAGTATTAATATGATGTAGTTGTAGACCTTAGACTTCATCTTGATATGTTTCGCTCCTCAGGGCGATGCAAAGGCAACCTCTCATGTCCTCCTCCCTGTGCATCCACCTCAGGACTACTATGCAGATGTCGATGCCATCATTTTTTTGGTAGATGCAGCGGATAGGACAAGAATGGCCGAGGCTAAAATCGAATTGCAATATCTTTTCGAGACCGAAACTCTCCGATATGTATTTTTTCTTTGAAATTATAATCCGTGTGCTTTTCCTCGACGCGGCAGCATCTATGATGAAATATGACGTAAGTAACTGGTTGTACTAAGTAGCGGTAGTAGTAGAGTAGTACTACAGTCGACGTGTGCAGCTGCAGCTAGTGCTGCTGCTGCGACCGAGGTACGGCGGACTGAATTTTCATTGCTTGCAGTTTGTTGCACCTTTTTTTTGTTTTTCCTACATACGAGTTCAACAAAAAATGAAATGTTCTCCTAAACCCGTAGGTGCCCTTCGCAATCCTCGGAAACAAGATCGATATCCCCACGGCGTGCTCTGCAGAGGAGCTTGTGCAGTTCCTGGAGCTTCCTATGGCCTACAATTATCAGGGATATTCCAAGGTACTGATTGTGATTTTGATTTGTGATTGTATACTTAAACATATTTTATACTAAAAGTAGAAACGCGAAGATGAATATACTTGTACAACATCAACATGGGATTCTTATACTGGAGAAGAAACAGGAACAAACACCTCTCGTCTTGTGGTTGTGTCATTCCAATTCCTTGACGTTCGATCTATTTTTCCAGAATGATTCGCAAAATTTGCATTTTCAGCCCGGTTCGGGACAGTGGGCCAACCGGCCGAATGGTGGACCCATTGAGGTCTTTATGGTGTCCCTTGTAAACAAGATGGGATACAGTGCGGCTTTCAAGTGGATTTCAGAGGTTCTCAAACAACAAAAGGCTCAGGGTGGCCAGAAGCAAGGACTCTAAAGATTTAGTTTCCCCATTTCCTTTGCCTCTGATCAGGCGAGCTTGTTCTACTAGAAGTTCTCGTTGACACTACTTCACACCACGACAAATGATTTTAATCGCTACAAGACAAGAAGATGAAGCCGAATGCTGAAGGAGAAGTTTAACAAGCAAGAGCTACTAACTAATTGTGAAGATGAGTGTCAACAAAAGCAAGAAGAGATGACTTGCTCTGTTGACACAAGGGCCTCTGCCTGAAGAAGATTGAACTAGTGCCAAACCCAACTTTATCTATTCAAGCGTGAAAATTCCAAACTCAACCATTGTCGAACAGTTTTTTCAAACTAACAGGAGCTACTGAGACTCGGTGCGGAGAAGTGCGAACGTTGCTGTGCGCGTGATCTTCTATGTATTTTGTAACCGATGTCACAAAAAAAAATGAAGTCTATCTCCTAGCCGTAGTAGCGTCTATTGTTACCGACTGGTGTCTATTGTTACCGAATGTTTGGCCAACAAATATGTATCTATTCATTTTTATACTGAGAACATCCACGAGCACGTCATAGATTTATTTTGAGATCACTGCTCACATCAACATACGGACGGCAGCGACACACTTCTATCTTTCGCTGCCCATGAAGAACAATGTATGCAGCCACAACTACTTCGAGCTCGACGTCACCAAAAACTTCCCTATACAGCTAATGACTCACAACGAACAACAAAAATGCTTGCGTTTGCCAAGCAACCTCGCAATAAAAAACAGCGACACTGCTTTACGAAGCAACCAAGGGCGTCCTTAACATTGATGTTCCTTCGAATGAAAGACCAGAATCTAACCTCAGACCTTTACGTACACAACCGTCGTAGAAAATGGCAACTCAATGTGCTGAAGGGTTTGGAGAGCGTTGGATTTGAGGAGCGATATTTTCGAGGCAGTGATTTGAGTTTTTGAGTGACACTCTTTCGAGCGAAAACTTGTGAGATCACAGATCCAAAGTCATATCTTTCCGACTATGCGAGATTTATTGTATTGTAGTATCCCGATTTATATTCTTATTGATCATGTTGATAAAGCCGTTTGCAGAGCCTATCTTCATTTTTACATGCAAATCATGCTCTGGTCTAGTATTTGTCTCGCTTGTAAGTAGTGTAACTTCATCTCTGAGGGATTAGCACCAAAGTAGTCGGCTAAAGTTCGGTCCGCATTGTTCTTAGAAATGAATCAAGAACAAGAACATGATCCATTCACCTCGTCTAGCGTGGGTCTGGCGCAGGGCAAATGTTTTTCGCAAGCAGGAAGAGCAACGCCTTTCACCAACTCCCGGATCAAAAAGGTGTAGATGGCGGGTCCGGCGAGCAGTTTATACTGGACTCGCACTGCTGTACGTCCTCGGGTTTTTGTCCGCACATGTTTATGAAAATCTTCAGCCTGACGGCGACGCTTACCATTTTTTACCTCCCGCTTCGCCCGGCGATGAGCCAGTATCCACACATTCACGCCCAGCACAAGTTGTAGCAGCTCCTTCCGGAGGAGAACGAGACAGAGATGCACCTCGTTTCCGCGAAAGTGACAAGTCCTCTACTTCCAAGACGCACTCTCTGCTTCGGAGAAAACTGCGTCAAACAGATGTCCGAGGCAGCAATTCCAGCGTGAACGAGCTACGTGTTCTGAACGAAACGCACACGTCTATTACTTCAGACTCTCAAGCTGCTGCAGCAACAACTGCTGGTAGTCAGTTGATTCGCCTGATCGCGCGGACTTTTGTGGGCAAGGCGTTCACGGTAACGTGTCCCGTCGTGCACGGGCGGTTGCGTGAGGCAGGCTACGACTTCCAGCTGCTGTACGCTGGAGCTGATCGCAGAAGGAGGGTTCGACCAAAATATCTGCAGTTTTGGTCAGCGTCAGGAAGAGCGTCGTCTACTCCTGAGGATGCGGTGCCAATGGAGAATCACCCGAAGACAGAACATGCCAATGGCAAGGAAGCAAACGCCGAAACGAGTGGCACGGAGACTGACAGTTTCTCGGCCACATTGGGCAGACCTGGAGGTCTCCTATTGCAGGACCTCGGAGCTGTCGTTACCTGGGGCGTTTCCGCGACTGAAGCAAGCGCACTTTATAAGACAATCAGACCAACAGGGCGTCGTCAGGGACCTGTCGCTAATGCTGTGGCAACTGCAAATGGTGGCTCGTCTCTGACTGCCCGCGAAATAGCAGCTGCTGCATCTGCTGCAGCAAAGAATCGGGAGCAGCGAAGTGCAAAGCAGATCGAGGATGATACGGAGGAGGTTGCACTCGCACGAAGCGAAGATTTCGCGTCGAGGCGAATGGCAGAAAATGGTCAAGCCACAGGGGAACTGCTTGCCGACTTGAATCAAATGTTAGAAATCCGAGGAATCGCTGGGGGATTTTTTTCTTCAACGCCGACTCGACCACTACACAGGAGAGTACATGGCCCCTCATCGATTGTATCAAACTCACGTGTCTCTAAAAAAACGACAGGGGGAAGCACGACACCAGATCAAGAAAGCGCCATTGCTTTCACCTGGTTTGGAACTTCCTCAGAAGTAGAGAATCCTGTCGACCAGCCGATCGACTTTTCGTCTCCCGTAGTCTTCCATCTTCGAATAGAAACAGCTCTTTCTTTTGCTTCTAAACCTCAAAAGGACGCGGGGAAACAGAAACATGAGAGAATACTCGAGGAGCAATTGGCCACAGTGACCCCTGTTACCTCGTCAGCAGTCGAGGCAGCGCCTGGATCTTCAGGCCTCGCTTCGCTATTGCAGAAGTTGCATATGTCGATCGATAAGCTGACAAGCCACCTCGGCACACCGTCTTCATTAATAACAGCCGCGGGAGGAGGAGGGGGCGGCGGAACAGCGGACATAGAACACGAAAAGGGAAGTATTCCGAAGGAACGAGACGAGGCCCGATCAGCTGACTCTTCTCAACCAAATTTTGTTTTGCCTGCTCTTTCCTCTCGACGTTGGGAGCATCCTCGTAGCGTGCTTGTAGTTGTGGCACGAGCCCTGGCCTTTGTCAGTCATCAGCATCGCCTTGGTGTGGCACTAGATGCTTTTGCAGCTCAGCACGACATGTTATTGCGACGCGCTGAAGGCCAAATTCTGCGCAGTGACCACATCTTCGGTGTAGGACACTTACACCACGCATACAACAGCATTTTTTCGCAGCTGTTGCACTTGACAGCATTGCAGGAACGCTTCCAGCAGTTTCGGCGGCGCGTCGAGAGTCCGCCGAAGGCGCTCGCCGTATACTCTGGTCCGCCCAATTCAGAGAGTACAAAATTAGGATCGCTCTCTGCAGATCTAGCACTGAAGTGGCGTACTGGCAGCGACGAGCCGACCACTGCCCTGCGCTTGCGCGACTACGCCCACGTCGACTTGTCTGGCCTGCAAAACAGACGTAGGATGTCGGAGAAGACTACAAGCGATGCAGAAGAAGCGTCGGGAGATGCGATGGTCGCATTGTATCACGTAATACAGGCTCGCTTTGAAATGAGCGAGCTGTTGGAGGAAATGGAGCGAAAAATCGAGCGCCACAAGGAACGAGCTGAAGTATACCTGGAGCGAGTCAAGTTATGATCAGACAAGAGAGAAAGTATCAAAAACTGTTTCCCAAACTTGTCCGAATTCTTCTCTCTAGCAAGGTCATTGTCAAAATCATGCTCGGTTTCATTTTGATATCTCAACCATGCTGTTTAAAAAAAGCATGACCCTAGTGCCTTGAAAGCGTTTCCTCTATTCCTTCTGTCCTACTTCTACCTCTTACGCAGGTAGGTTCAAGCGAAATAGATATGATTATAAATATATTGTACAGATAATTAGACATAGAGATAGACGAGCTACAGCTATTCAAATGAATTTGAATTATAATCGTCCTCTAATGCGACACGACCACAGTTCGTATCTGGAAATCTGGATCATTATCCTGATCGTGATAGAGATCTTGCACGCTTTCGCGGAGCACGGCGTTTGGGAAATGTGGAAGAGTTTTGGTGTGTGCCTCTGTTGTGGAAAAGTAGCTTACCACGCACGGACAGGCGAGCTGTTGCTTCTCGACAATAATCCAGATCATGCTGACCATGTTGGATGCTCTGAAAACGGTGAGGATGAAGACGAAGTTGATACTGTTAAATCTACTTCTCGAGAAGATGAAGCAGCAAATAACAACCAAAAAGGTTCTCGTAGTGGCAGTCCCTCAGTTGTAAACGCACATGATCGTGGCGTTGTTCTGGGTGTCTCATCTAGGCCCGACAGCGACGCTGATGATGACGACGGGAGCAGGGCCAATGTTAGGCAACCGACTGGAGACCACTGTGTCAGTGGAATGGGAGTAACAAGGCCAGGGACGGGCGGTATACTTTACACAAAACTCGGTGGGACGAAGTGAGTTTGTGCTTGTGAAAACCAGGAAAGACGAGTTGCTCATGTTGTATGTGCATATGCGACTTCTTGTTGAGCTTGAAAACTAAAACGCATACCTATTTTTTGTCTGTATTTGTAGTGCTTGTAGCGTAGGGTAATGCTTTTCGAATTCGTAGCCATCACGACAACTGGCGATTGCAAGCTCCTGCTCACAACAGGCGTTAGTGTATTAAAAAATGTACGATTTTGATTCTGCAATGCTGTCGCCGCTTATCTCCACCAGCACAATGAAATCATTTTCTGTGCTTGCGTAAGTAGATGATACCTGTGATATTTTTATCACCCCTGCCTGTGTCTTCACCTGCAGATTTGCGGAAAACTAGATTCAAGAAGATCTTTCGGGCTGAATGCCTATGCATCTTCTACTTGTTCTTCTATTATCAATAGCGTCAATATTACCGATTCCAGATTCATGGCAGCACAAACGGAAACGGATCACGCAAAACATCGGTGAATCCACCAGCAGCTCAAGCCCTAGGATCAATGTCACAGGATCTTGTTCATGTTCTTGCTTTTTAAATTTAGTAGGGATCGAGCGCCCGCTTATTCATCTTGTTCTAAAATCCTAATCCATTTCCAACATCATACTTATTAATACTCAAAGAAAGAGGACCGATCATCATACTTATATTGTGAAGGAAAAATAATACCCGAGTTTGTTCGTCTTTTGAAAAAAATGAAGCACTTTCCACATGCATGTTCTTTCGTTTTGCTGTCTCCATGCGATACTAGTGGTAGCACAAGTACTAGTACATCAATGTGCATGCTGCTGTTGTGAGCTTTTAGAGGCAAACTGTAGTACAAAAGCCGCTTGATAAAAGAAGCGAAAAGGATCTTAGAGCTGTCACCACGAAGATCATAACAGCTACAATCCTTTCTGGAAGACAAATCTGCTGAAATCTGGTGCCTTTTTAGGCTGCGTCATATCCGCTAGTACTAATTACAGTTCCGGATGACAATGGTTGCACCCAAGTTTGTATCTGGACGCCGAATAGGGGTGCTTTTTCATCCTCCTAGGTGTTTATCTGTTCGCCTGGGGAATCCGATAATTGTATCAGTATCCCGTAGCGATAGGACGAGCAGAAATACACATCCTAGGAATTTCAGTTCTGCAGGTAGTGCTGCAACTTCAACGTGTAAAGTAAACAGGAATATTTCAACAGATTCTTATCTTGACAAGATCAAAAAAATACAACAGGGGTCTACTTTTGCTAATGGTCATTCAATATCACCACACCAAAATCCATTCGAGCAAGTCGTGACGTCTAATTTCTATCGTCAAGGATCAGTCTCTTCGTCTATTGTATCTGGTGCTAGTTGTTGTACAACATCCACTAGTGGTGCTCCTTCTGTAGGAACAAATTGCAGTGTTGTACCTTGTGAGACAGGTCACGCTCACGGCGACCACGCGGATAATCAGCTGGAGAACAGTTCATTTACATCTGAAGGCGTGCTGGACATCAATTCGTCGCATACACCGGCATCTTTTCTTTACCCAGCGTTTAGTTCCGGAGCTACTAGAAACACCGCGATCAAACTTGATTACGTTCCTCCACCAGAAGTAACAATGCCGACTCTCTACTGGGGATACTACGGTGAAAATTCCATCCTCGTGACGGGCGACACCATTCAAGTGAAAGGAACACTGAAGGAACTCGGTGGCAATTGGAACATGAAGGGTACCATTACTATTACAAACCCTTTGCAATTCTTCTGGGAGGAGCGACTTGCATTAGGATGGATGATTCATGAGTTTTCTAGTAATTGCTGGAATATAGTGTTCTCACAGCGTATTCGGTCCTGGTCGGACCATATTGGGCTGCTCCTATGCGTATCTATGATTAGCAACTACTTTTTCGTGGAACTCGAATTCGATGAGGGAGACATCAACAACACTACGCACTCTTCTACTCAAAGAACTCTTCACAAAAAACAAAGAAAAACGTACCAATACCAATGTATTATGATATATCCAGAGAAAGGCTGGATGATGCAGAAATCGAAGTGGGACGGTATTCAGAAGAAGCTGGAAGAGATGTGCATCGTGAAACAGCTTGACGAGTCAGGTGAACCAGTTCCCAAGCGGCAAAAAACAGAAGACAAAAGCAGTAATCCTTTAACTGCTGGACCTTCAGCGGATGACAAGTTCATCGATTTAGGCCAGAGCAAACGCGTTGCTTTGACTATTTTTAAGGCTTCCACAAATCCATCTTCATTCTTCGAGAGCATCCTGCCTGGCTGTGACCTCCTTGTTTGAGAAGTGGGGAAAGAAAGAGGCAGTTCTAGGATTCGCCTCAAGATGGATTTAGGGAAGGTCTAACATTTACCAAGGAAGGAAAATGATTAACTTCCGAGAATTCTACGAAGATAAGGCATCAGGCGAAATGAAGCCTGGAGCAAAGGGAATTACGCTCACTGCGGACAATTACAAGAAGGTACTCACGATATTTTTTTACAACTTGGAACTTCCACTTTAGTTACGATCGTAATTTGTAGAGGTAGACATAGTTATACCTACAGTCCATTTTTCCATCTTCTAGACCAAATGATTGATCTAGGCTCTCTCTTTATTTTTGTTTACGTTAAATATATACATTCATTCTAAAAAGGTACAAGTAGCTCTCGCTTCAGCAAGGATAAAGTTTCAATTTAATCTTAATGTACATCAATCCTTATCGTTATCCTACAACACAACTACAGCTATCCGATAAGTATGAGCAAATGGAAGAGGCCATTGGAGCTCAAGAGGACGCTTGGTTCGAAATTGAAGGTGGGATCCAGACAAAGCGTTACTTTACTCTCAGCTCGTACAAGGGCAAGTGGTATGTCGCCGTTCGGGAGTACTGGAATTATGGCTAGTGCAAACTGTAGATGTAGTTACAACGTCAATCAATTTCAATGTATATCCCTAACCCCACGTACTGTGGGGCAGACGATTAAATTGTCGTCCTTCAGAAGCACAACTACTTCTACCGCATTATATAATTTACGAGATGAGTTAGAGTTGGAGACGATACTACAGAGGACATTTCGTAAAGAACAAGGGTAGGATACTCTATGTCCATGATAACACCATGATCACTCGCTCTTTCTAATGAATGCCGGAGCTCGAAGATGATTTCAAACCAGGAAGGAAGGGACTGACAATCAGCGTCGACCAGTACCGCAAGATTTCGGAGAACCACGAGACTATCTTGTCTTGGTTGAGTTAAGCACAGTCCGTTTTTGGTGAACCGGTGCTACCAGGAGACTTGACGCAGAAGTAAGAAATGCAAAATGTGCACGCAGAGGAGGACAAGATGCAAACAATGGGAATTAGGAGGGAAAAGGAAACTAATCCGGAGGAGAATAAGCTGATAAATATGCACTGGATTTGAGCCGCTGTATCCACCTTGCTCATGCTGCAGCAAATGTGAAAAAGAACTCTACTAAACCTAGCGAAATTTCTATGAATCCACAGCTTTATTTTTATAGAATAAAGAGAGACCTCAAGGTCAAGGGTAAGGCTGATCCTTAAATCTAAAAGCCTGTCAGGTCAAAGCCCTCGTTCTGACATCACTCAAAAACATGTACCAGAAACAGAATTTTTGTTTGTTATATTTTGAAGCCACCGATGGCTGCTACAAAAATCACCATCATACATAGAAACGACAACACGTGTTACATGATACTCCCTATGATAAGACCCGCTTGATTGTACGATTATTCTGAATGACGAATATGCTGAGGAACAACAACATCATGCGATAGTAGCAGCCTCTAAAAACTCTCAAAATCCCATGACATGCCCCAGCACCTGCAACAGCAACAGGCGGAACGCTTTTTATTGTTGATCTAAGAAGTACCCGTATTATGTTCATGACACGCAGCAGGTCAAGAATGTGGTGCTTAATGGAAGCCACCCGTCCGGAGACATGGTTGGAATGGAAAAACAAGAACAAGCACTAGGATTCACGTCCGGATCAGGCGTTCCACATAAAAAAAGTTCCGACGCAGGCGACGATTCGCAGCACTGCTTTCTGTCCTTGTATTGCTGACTCTGTCGGTCGTGCACAAAGAAGGACCGACTTACAATCGAGAGACTGGCGAACAACAAGAGCGAGTGATGAGTAGTTGTAGTAAAAAGACATTGGTCAATGGAACAACAACAAGGTCCCACAAACATCAGCTTCAGAGATCCCATCGGTTTACTTTTCTTCACCGCACAATGCGAATCCTAAACTTGGATTTTCATCAGGTTCAGGTATGAAGTCATATGGGGACTATTTTCCGTGATCTGGAGCCATTCTATTTAGCACTGAATTTTTCAAGCCCAGCAGTGCTATTCGACACCCGATTGAGTTTGAAATAGAAACAACTAGTCGTTTCCCGGGTGTTTAGCGGTCCGAGAGGAGGGAAATTGGAACGATGGAGAATGAGCTGCTAGGGGCAGGAGAGAGAGAGACCGTGAGCGAAGGAAAACGTCCCGACTAAAGCGACACCACTGCGCGTTGAGAATATACCCCGCGTGAGACCCGCTTCAGGACAATGACCCCCCCGCGCGTGCAGGTTTCCCCGCAGATTCTCGGTGAAAACACCCACACGCAGCTCGTGGGCGGGCTCCAGCCTCCGGCCCCCCGTACCGCGGGCGGTCTCCCCCCGGTGCGCGAGCCGATTCAGGCCCCCTTGCGGTCCTGACGTTAACCGGCCCAAACGCGGCTGGCGGCCGCGTTAGAGCCCGCTAACGTCCGCGCGACTCGGTGAAACAGGGTCTCACGGCGAAACTCAGACCCGCCGAAACTCGGAGGCGGGAAGCCCTGACACCCCGAAACTCTGAGGCGCGAAACTCTGAGGCGCTAAACCCTACCACTGCGCAACTCTGAGGCGGGAAGCCCTGACATGCCGAAACTCTGAGGCGCGAAACTCTGAGGCGCTAAGCCCTGACCTGCCGCAACTCTGAGGCGGGAAGCCCTCACATGCCGAAACTCTGAGGCGCGAAACCCTGAGGCGCTAAACCCTGACACTGCGCAACTCTGCGGCGGGAAGCCCTGACATGCCGAAACTCTGAGGCGTGAAACTGTGAGGCGCTAAACCCTGACATTGCGCAACTCTGAGGCGGGTAACCCTGACATGCCGAAACTGTGAGGCGCGAAACTCTGAGGCGTTAAGCCCTGACCTGGCGCAACTCTGAGGCGGGAAGCCCTGACATGCCGAAACTCTGACCCGCGAAACTCTGACATTGCGCAACTCTGAGGCGGGAAACCCTGACACGCGAAAACTCTGACCTTCGAAGCCCTGAGGCGTTAAGCCCTGACCTGGCGCAACCCGAGGCGGGAAGCCCTGACATGCCGAAACTCTGAGGCGCGACACTCTGAGGCGCTAAGCCCTGACCTGGCGCAACCCGAGGCGGGAAGCCCTGACATGCCGAAACTCTGAGGCGCGACACTCTGAGGCGCTAAGCCCTGACCTGGCGCACCTATGAGGCGGGAAGCCCTGACATGCCGAAACGTGACCCGCGCAACTCTGACGCGGGAAGCCCTGACATCCGCCAACCCTGAGGCGGGAAACCTTGACACGCCGAAACTCTGACCCGCGAAATTCTGAGGGGCTGACACTGCGCAACTCTGAGGCGGGAAGCCCTGACATGCCAAAACGCTGAGGCGCGAAACTCTGAGGCGCGAAGCCCTGACATTGCGCAACTTTGAGGCGGGAAGCCCTGACATCCTGAAACTCTGAGGCGCGAAACTCTGAGGCGCTGAGCCCTGACACTACGCAACTCAGAGGCGGGAAACCCTGAGGCGGCAAAACTCTGACCCGCGAAACTCTGAGACGCTAAACCCTGACCCGCCGGAACTCTGAGGCGGGGAGCCTTGACATGCTGAAGCTCTGAGGCGTGAAACTCTGAGGCGCTAGCCCCTGACCTGGCGCAACTTTGAGGCGGGAAACCCTGAGACGCGAAAACCCTGACCCGCGAAACTCTGAGGCGCTAAACCCTGACCCGCCGAAACTCTGAGGCGCGCGCGAAACTCTGAGGCGCTAAACCCTGACCTGGCGCAACTCTGAGGCGGGAAGCCCTGACGTGCCGAGCTCCGAGGCGCCGCGCAAAACTCCGAGGCGCTAAGCCCTGACCTGGCGCGACTCTGAGGCGGGAAGCCCCGACATCCCGAAACGCTGAGGCGCTAAGCCCTGACATTGCGCAACTCTGAGGCGGGAAACCCTGAGGTGCCGAAACTCTGAGGCGCTAGGCCCTGAGATTGCGCAACTCTGAGGCGGGAAACTCTGACTTGCGCAACTCTGAGGCGGGAAACCCTGAGGCGCGAAAACTCTGCCCCGCGAAACTCTGAGGCGTTAAACCCTGACCCGCCGAAACTCTGAGGCGGGAAACTCTGAGGCGCAAAGCCTTGCCCTGGCGCAACTCTGAGGCGGGAAGCCCTGACATGGCGAAACTCTGAGGCGCGAAACTCTGAGGCGCTAAGCCCTGACATTGCGCGACTCTGAGGCGGGAAACCCTGACACGCTGAAACTCTGGCCTTCGAAACTCTGAGGCGCTAAGCCCTGACCTGGCGCAACTCTGAGGCGGGAAGCCCTGACTTGCGCAACTCTGAGGCGGGAAACCCTGAGACGTGAAAACTCTGACCCGCGAAACTCTGAGGTGTTACTTAAGCCCTGACATTGCGCAACTCTGAGGCGGGAAGCCCTGACATGCCGAAACTCTGAGGCGCGAAACTCTGAGGCGCGAAACCCTGACAAGGCGCAACTCTGAGGCGGGAGCCCCTGACTTGCGCAACTCTGAGGCGGGAAGCCCTGAGATCCGCCAACCCTGAGGCGGGAAACCCTGACGCGACGAAACTCTGACCCGCGAAACTCTGAGGGGCTAAGCCTTGACACTGCGCAACTCTGAGGGGGGAAACCCTGACACGCCGAAACTTTGACCCGCGTGACTCTGAGGCGTTACACCCTGACATTGCGCATCGTGAGGCGGGAAGCCCTGACATCCGCCCACCCTGAGGCGGGAAACCTTGACACGCCGAAACTCTGAACCGCGAAACTCTGAGGCTGTAAACCCTGACACTGCGCAACGCTGAGGCGCGAAGCCCTGACATTCCCCAACCTTGACCCGCGTAACGCTGAGGCGCTGAACCCTGGCACGGGCGAACCTTGAGGCCGTCAACTCTGGCATGCCCAACCCTGAGACGCAAAACCCTGGCCGCAATTCTGCCTGCAAAACCCTGAGAGTGAGAACTGGATCCTGACTTTTGTGCCCATTTTTGCAAACCCTGAGATGCCAAACCTTGACCCGACTGCGATTCAGCCCACACTGGCCCCCCTGGGATTCCCTGGCTTTCCCCTTAAAACTCTGAGAGTCCTGGCCCTCGGTTTTGTGCCCCTTGTGGTTCTCCTTGCTCGCCCTTAAAACCCTGACGTCAGACCTCGACTTTTGCCGATCATTATTAAAGATAGAACTGCTCATTGAATTTTGTTGCGTCCACCTGCTCCTGTGCAGCACATATTTTTCAACATCAGACCTAGCTAGCACTGAAGATAATCCATTAATAAATCGATTCCAGTAATAAATCCTTTACGGCAGCCTGTACTGAACTTTGTGCGAGATTTATTATAAATATATATGCTATTGCATTACCCCAAACGACAAAAATGACGGTCATGATTGCCCCCGACGCAAACGACAAAAGTATCATCTCGTTGAGCAATGGCGATAAAATGCCACAATTAGGATTAGGAACGTGGAAGAGCAAACCAGGAGAAGTGGAGGCAGCGGTCAAGAGTGCTATTGACGCAGGCTATAGACATATTGACTGCGCATACGCTTACGGAAACGAATGCGAAGTTGGCAATGGTAATAGAGGAACCTGGTCTGAAAGCTCTTTATTAGACAACATGATGTGCTGGCGTTAAGTTAAGGTGATTTGCTCTATGTATCTCGTACGAACGTATGGGCCCTTAACTACTCTGCTGCCCCACTGTGTTCCGGTGTAAGAATAAATAATAATAAGGGAGCACTCTAGGCGTTTCCGGTTCGCGATATACTTTGTTACCTCGTGGCCGTGACTATCATTCTACTGGCAAGGCTATGCCTTGTTCTGAATCAGTCAGATTCTAGTCCTTTCGCATTTATTAATAAACGACATGAAGAACACCTTCACCTAGTTCTTGCACAAGTATCACACGCTAGCTGTCAAGTTACAGGGTGTCCCTGCGCTGCTGTCAAGTTTATTAAGATGGTTCGGCTTGTCTCGTATAAGCAACAGAACCCGGCGAAGACTTTAACACGGGAAGGCCACAGACAAAAGCCAAAGCCTCCACAAACAAAAGACAAGCCGCGGTGGCGGAACATCCGAGGCCCATGAAGGTGAAGGTGCAACGCGCAAGCCCAAGAACCACAAAAGAAGAAAGGGGGCACAAACTGCCAAGGCAATCAAGACAAAGAAGAGGCGGAAGAAAACGATGACGAAAGGAACCGATAGGGGAAAAGTCGACGGCCGCAAGGAAGGACACAGGGGGCGCGTAGGGTAGAGTGGTCCCATGGAACGGACAGAACTCAGGCGCGGACACCGGCAACGCAAGGTATTGGGAACGGGGGTGAGGAGCCAAAGGGGTGGGGCAGGGCGATGACACGTAGTACATGGATCCACGTGAATACTAAGAAGCGAGAAGCTTCCCGGAATCTTCCCAGAATCTTCCCGGATGAATCTATCCCGTCTTCTCGCTAGCAATGGCCCCGGAATCTTTCCAGAAACTTACCCCAGTCACGACTGGGAAACTTTCTGGAAACTTCCCAGAACCTTCTCAGAATCTTCCCAGAAACTTCCGAAAAGTCACAAAAGTGGCGAAGTTTCTGGAAAGTTTCCGCGAAGTTGCTGCCTTCGGGATTCACGTGGCTGGATGTTTCTAAGGAAGGGGCGCCTCCGTGGGTAGCGTTGATAAGCTGAGGCAAGGGCCACGCGCGGGAACATACAAAGACGACGAGAGAAGCAGAGCGAGGGCAAGAGGCAAAAAGAAGGAGCGAGCCAACGCAGCACCAAGACCACCCGACCAAGGCGAGCGACACAGACAGAGGCACACGCCGGCACCAGAGCCCGCCGCCCCCGCGCCCGGCAGGTGCCGCGCGCGCTTAAGTGAATCAATGAAACAAGGGGAGAGCGAAGCAAGCGACACCCCCACCCGCGCCGGATGGAGTCTAGGCGTGTGTCTGACTTTTCGCCACTGTTTCCACCTTCGCTATCGTTTCTGTCGCCGAGGGTTGTCTTCTTTCAGCGTGTTCGGGGTCATAATTGGCTTGCCTGGCGTTGGTGCGGGCGTGCTGCTTTCTGGTGCTGTGTGAGTGTCGCTGGGGGGGGTGCGTAAGTAAACACGCAGACGCAACCCGCGGAAGCATGACTGAGGGCGGTCTGAAGTTTAAAACTTTGCTGCTTGCAAGCATCAGCGTCCTCGCCCCGCGCCTTGCGTTTCGTCAGGCAGCACCTGCGAGCAGTCTGCGCGGCGCGACGCGTTCGGCATGTGTACGCGGGAGGCCGTCTGAGCTTCCTCCAAAGGAAGCGGAAGCATAGTACTGCCGCCCCCGCTTCCGTGGCTATCGTGTTGCCAGCCTCGGGCCTTTCGTCTCTAGTACTAGCATTTCTTTTCGTTGTGAAGTGAGCATGCCATCAACTTGTCTAGAATCCGTGGTGATGGCATCCACATCCACCTAAACAGATTCAGTCGAGTTTTGCGACCAGTTACTTATTACCAGCTATGCCAATGACAATTATGTCTATGACTGTATATATGAATATGATAAAAGACGAGTCCTACCAAATAATTACTCAGAAGTAACGTCATTCGCAGTCTCCTTCTCCTACTCCTTCAGCCATAGCAGACAAGATCGCTGACGGGTCAGTAAAACGGGAAGATGTTTGGGTTACGGGAAAACTCTGGAACACGTTTCACAGGAAGCAGTTCGTGGAAGAAGCAGTAAAATGCAGCCTTCGGGATCTTCAACTCGAATACCTTGACCTTTTTCTGATTCATTGGCCGGTCGATTTTAAATGCAGGTATTACTGCTTGTTCTCCTAACTTCTACTGTTCGTGACTCCAGAACATATGCTTTTGATCTTGATGGTCGTGCGATCACAGTGGACAAAAGAAACAGTACGGCCAACACAATGACAATCCAGATATCTTCAACTTGTTCATCTTCGTGTAGAACATTTCATGTACTCAACACTAACATGATAATGAACGATCCTCTATCTTCATTTTTTTAGTTGGACTCCGGGCGAGCAGATATGTTTCGACGCGAGAAAGGCTTTTCCTATTAAGGGTAGATAAAAGGTGTTTCTGTGACCGTTCGTTTTGCCTTTCTGAAGAGGGAAAGGCATAACGAACGGGGTAAAAGAACACAGAGAGCCGATCTCTAACCCTAAATTGGAAACCGGCAAAATGGAACTAGATGAAGTGGATCTTACGGAGACTTGGGAAGCGCTTGAGGCTTGCGTGGACAAAGGCTTGCTTAGGAATATAGGACTCAGCAACTTTAACGAAAAACAGATCGAGCAGGTAAAGAAACTGCATTGATATTTTTCTCTTGATGAAAATCAAGATGGACATCGACATTGAAAGCAACAGGATAGAATTAGAAGGAAAAGCAACTACAACTACATATAAATTCTACTTTCACCGTAATACTCCTTCCATTTACTGCATAAACATTAATTACTACTAGAAGCACATTTTCATTATCAAAAATTTTCAGGTCCACACAACTGCGCGCGTAAAGCCCACAGTTCTACAAGTAGAGTGTCACCCCTTTTTGCAGCAAGCAGAGCTGTTGAAATTCTGTGCCGCGAAAGAAATAGCCGTAACCGCTTATTCCCCATTAGGGGGTAGCACGAATGATAAGCCCGAAAACAGCCCAACGCCGCTCGCAGACCCTGTTGTGCAGGAGATCGCCGCTACGCACGGAAAAAACGCAGGCCAAGTATGCATCAAGTGGTGCTTGCAGCGTGGCGTCATTGCGGTTCCAAAGAGTGTATCGCCTTCTCGGATAGCAGGGAATGCAGACATGTCAGGCTGGGCACTCACGGAAGCAGATATGGCGAAGCTCGCTGAACTCGAAAGGGGATTTCGGAGTTGCGTGCCGCAAGTTATGGTGGACGGCAAAAGTCTACCGCGAGACGCAGATCATCGTGATTATCCATTTGCATAAACATTTCTTACTCTTATGTCCTTTCGTCTCTTCATGAACGAAGTAGACTGTTCTTGATCGTAATCATGACAACATAAACATATCGTTATCGTAGGCTTCAGAAACAGTTTGAGTTTTCTCGAAATTTGTGCGCCCATGGCATGCTTTAAATGAGGTACCCAGTACGCAACATGAGGGACGTCAGGACGTCACCGCGGCCGCGTGCCAGGAAAATCATATTTATATAACACTCTCAGTTTCTGTTTCAGAGTCAAACATAGGTAATCGCTGTAAAAAACATCGCTTTATCATTGATGCTGACGTACACCGAAAGACCGTGCAAAGAGCCCGCAAGAAACGGCTGTATTTTCCCCCTAAAGTAAGGGTCAACGGTCGGAGTACTGCACTGGCACGAGAGAGAAGAGTAAGAACTCATGAAAAATGAGCGAAGTGAGAGCTTTCTGGGAGCAGCGTCAGTTCATTGGACAGCAGTGTAGTCACAGGCGCAAGAGAGAGTGTGTATTTTCATGCGATGTATCTCGAAAATTGTTAGTATTTACTCTTGGAATCAGAGGAAAAAAATGAAGCGTTTTCATCTCCGTCCTTCTCGAATGAATGGACGACATGCGTCTATCGTGGCTGTGGCGTCTCTCACCTCCAATGGCGCTCTTGGACAAGCTTCACGTTCCGCAACAGCAGTAGCTCCGATAACAGAGGTTGATGAGTTAGCCGAGATTTTGGCCCGCGTCGATCCTGTCCTATTGCAATCGCTGGTTGAGGATGATGACTCTGTATCTACTACAGGTACAGCGACCCCTAGACAAGCTGCTTCCAAGATGGTATCTTCAGCGAAGAACCCGCCGTCTGTAGATGATGTTGTCATCGAAGAGAAGCACAAGAATCTGGCTGAACGCGTGTTGGTCGAGTACAAGCCGCGCTTTGGACAGAGCAATTCGCCAACCTCCGCGAATTGCACGTGGCGCTATTTCAACCAGCCCTTGGACCACTTTGCAGGGATAACAACACCAACCGAACCACAATTCGTTTTACAACAGAGAACCTGCTTCTACGAAGATTTTCACGCGGGAGCTGAAAAGCAAAAAGATGTGAAAGAAAAATCATCGTTCAGACTTGTTTTCTTTTACGTCGGGAACGAGTCGCCGGTTGACGTGTACATCAACAACACGGGTTTAATGTGGAACCTGGCGAAGGAGATGAACGCAGGCATTATATTTGCGGAGCATCGCTATGAGGGTGCGAGTGTGCCAAAAAACTTGAACGGAACTGCGAATTGTCTGGCGTACGCCAGTTCCAAGCAGGCCCTTGCTGACTACGCGCTGTTGATCGAGACGTTGCGTTTGACAGATCCGCTTTATCGTGACGCCCGCTTTGTTGCAGTCGGTGGGAGCTACGGTGGCATGTTGGCTGCGTGGGCTCGCACGAAGTACCCACACGTCTTTGCCGGAGCAATTGCAGGGAGCGCGCCGATCTACGGAATTCCCACTTTTTTTCCGCAGTTGAAACTCGATGCATCCGCAGTTGCGGTTACGCGGGGACTTTCTGCACCGGGCGGCCAACCCAACGATTTCTGTGCCGACAATTATCAGGCAGCATGGGTTCTGCTTGCCTTTTGGCTGAAAGCTGAAAAAGGCGGAGACAAAATCCAGAAGGCGATGAGTCTTTGCACGGAGCCAGGTACTAAATAGCAATGGAAGTAGTAGTAGAAAGCTTTTACGAATCGAGATCTAACAAATTACATCAAGTAGAAAACCGACAAGGACAATGTTTGAGCGCAAAAATAGTATTTTGACGTTTTATCATTATTGTGCACCCTCAAGACTTGTACTCTTCATACAACGTCCACACTCTCTTCACCTAGCACTCTCTTCGCCTACCAGGACCCGACGACGCGGCCCAACTCTTGACGTATCTGCAGTCGTCTTTTTTCCTAATGGCTGAGGGCAACTATCCCTTTCCGAGCAACTACATCACTGGGGCAGTCGGGGGAAATACCTCCGCCATGCTGCCAGCGTGGCCCATGAAGCTCGCCTGTCAGGGACTTACAGAGAAGCTTCTAGCGTTGTCGAAATCAACAACAGACGGAACCAGTTTCAATATCGCGATAAAAACTTCTAAATCTGGTCAAGAACAAACATCAACAAGCGCTTATGCAGCTTCTGGTTCTCCTACAACTGGACCAGCCAAGACTGCCTCGAGCAGCTCCACCTACGTCCTGGCCGTCACGGGAGATGAAGTCGCGGACGTTTCAGCACCAGGCACGGCGTTCCCAGAGGCGTTTGTCGCAGATTTAATGGGCAAGGTTGCGTCAGGTGTTGGTGTTTGGTACAACGTCACAGAGCACGTGAAGTGCTTCGACTGGCAAGCCGCACCACCGGATAAAAGCGCAACTCATGTTCAACACGTAGAAATTAGGCATCAGCACAATAAGATGGAGAAAGAACAAGCTGGTAGTAACGACACGACCACGAGGACAGCAGGTGCGGCGTTATCCATGCTAGCGTCGCCGGTAACTTCGAATAACCGGAAAAGCATGACTATGTCTGTTTCGGCTAGTCCACAACAACGCCATTTTATGCGACCCGGAGGACCTGCCAAATCCGCTGACCGAACTTCTTCGCTCCTGTCATCCGCTTCTCGCCCTTCGGAGGAACTACCGCACATTGACAGAAAAAGAGACCACGAGGATGACAAACAAGAGTCAGCATCTTCTTCCAGAGCTACTAGAAGAACTACGTCAAATTCAGAAAGCAACGTGTGTCGATATGATGTCCCCGGCAACTTCGTCCCAAGCGCCTTTTCCTGGGGTCCGACAGTCTGTAACGATCAGATGTTTCTCGTAAACTATGCTAGTCAAGGCTATGGTCGCGATTTCTATTGGCCACCTTCGGGGCCTCGAAATTTGTCAGAGCTGTACGGTCCGTTGAAAAGCATCATAGCCGAAACATCTCAAACCAACGCATCGAGCTGCAGTATGGAGTACGGAGCACAAGGTCTGTTCGGCCTCAACGCGAGAGATGATCCGTACGGGCAGGAGCTGTCTTCCTATTATGGAGACATGACGCCCGCAGCAGATGACTATACGGCGGCCGGCGCTTCGAACATTGTCTTCAGCAATGGCCTGCTAGATCCCTGGGTCGGTGGCGGAGTAGATGTCCCACAGAGCTTGGCAGCTTCGCAAAAATACCATGGAAGACTGATCTTTATGATGATGGAAACTCAGTCTCAAAATCCAGCTCATCGAAATTAATGTACAACAACTAGTTTTTTTGTTGTTATATTAGAATTAGAGTTCTCTTCTGCTTCGAGATGGACAACGATAGATAAAGATATTTCCACCATTCGTACTCAGCATCATGATCATCTCTGCCCCTCTTCATGCCCTATCCGGCAAGAGGCTCGTCTGTGAGTCACAGTCTCATCGTTGCGCTTGTAACACTCGGAGCACATCATCTGGATCTCATGTTTCCCTCAGAAGGCGACCCTATGGAGGTGAAGCTTGTGCGATGGGTAGAGAAGCGCCTCATCCAGAAATGGGCCTTATCTTCGAGGAGAAAGAAGCCCAGAGGAGCCGCAGTGCTGAGCACTACTAGTGCAGGAAATTCAGTGGGATCTTCATCGACTTCCGAGAATGATGAGTTGCTGGTCTGGGAGTAATTTCTTCACGGTTTTTGCAGCAGAAGCAAGTCCCAGCTTCTTGTCAGTGACAGTGTTCAGTAAAAGGTGGAGTAACCTAGTAGACATGCGATCATCGCGACCCCATCCGGGGGAGTCCCCCAGAAATATTTTTTTTATTACTTTTTGATTCTGATTCATTTAGATTTTGCAAATATCTTGAATTTCGTCCATACGCTTAAGTAGCCGTTGTAAAGTGTTTCGTTTGCCATTGACGCACACACAAAGTCGGGAGAGTCGGTCCTTTTGTCGACGTTTCATGGAGTTAGAGATTGAGATGCGAATCTGAATGGAATCGCTGATACAATTGTAAATGTACATACTACAAACACCTGACGCTCAAGAAAAAATACAGGGCAGGAATATTGCAGGCAGCTAACATGAACTAACCAGGGCAGCCAGCCAGTTGCTCCTCTGGTTGCTGCAATTTGGGGTAGAAATTATACCAGGAGCAAGAGCAACACTGCATGGGTTCGGCATGACACCAGATGGGTCAGCATTCTAGGTTGGGAGATCAATCTAGTCCTGCAATGGATCATCAGCGGCGGGGAACGGTAAGATTGGCTTGGATGTTCCATCCGACCCGGAACGATTATGATCAACGACAATTTGGAACGATCTAAGAACAGATCTCTGGTGATCCCTCTTGCAACTTGAATGCTGTGCCGAATCCGGTTGCACGGATGCTGTTTCTCTTTTTTCAGGCTTTGGCTCCTCCTATTCCCTCGAATAGTTACATAATGTCAATGATGGCTCGGGCTCCTACACCTATAAATATTTGGATACCATCCATATGTCCTTCTCACGGAAACCGACTCAGCATAGTCATTTCCAAACGCCAATCACTCCTTTTCTTGACTTGCGCACCAGACGCTGACGCTTGCATCTGCTTATTCTTGTTGATGTTCATGCAGTTCCCATTCCATTGCAGCTACTATTTCAACTTTAATTTTGAAAGATCTCAATTTATTTCATTGGATTTGAATAAAAAGAAGTTCGCAATCTTTGGATCCCGTCTCATAATTCTCGGGTCTCTCTTCATTGTATATGATGGTAACACCTGCCTAGGAACAAGCGCTCCTTTGTAAACGATGGAAGACCAGTCAGGATGTCAACGAGGTAATAGTCGACGATTTCTGGGCAATGACTGCTCTCGGCCGAACACTTTCGGTTGAAAATATTCCTCCTTCCCCTCCAAGCCCCACTAACGCCCACCGCGATGCGAAGGTCTACCCACGCCTGTCCCAGGTCTCCACTGGGAACCACCGCGGGACCCCTACAGGGGCGAGAAGGTTAGAAATTGAAATCCTCCTTGTAACTTTGGTTTTTCAAGAAAAGCAAGGGTTTAGATGATTTTTGATTGGTATGATCATGCTGATGCTGATGTAAGTAAACGCATTGCTTACCACATCTAACATGCATGTTCTTTTTGATTGATGAAGACGACTAAAACTGCCAGTCCGACTTCATACTATGATAATGCGTTTTTACGCACCACCTCCAGGTCCGACCAGCTTCAGCCCATTTCGCATGTGCGTTCGTCGTTCATCTTCTCTACACCACCGGACAATCGCACGGTTGCCGAGAAACGAAAGACTTTCTATCAGGAGATGGACGAGCTGTCCACGAACAATAACGCGGTCAGCTTCTACAGAGATTTTACAGGTATAGCGAGAAAAAGGACTCATCAATTTCATTCATCTTCTCCTTTTCGTTAATGTTGATCAGAAGATCATGCTCTTTTCACCTGCGTCCCCACGCGCCCTGTGTTTTCACCAGGTATCAAATTGATCGGCGAGGGCTCTTTTTCTCGCGTTTTTCGTGCGCGTTATCGCATAGATCAGAGGGAGTACGCTGTCAAGCAGTGCACGCGACCTCTACCTGCGCATACGGTTCTTCCGGAACAGCCATCACCTCAGGAGTACGACAGTCGCGGCCGAATCACGGTCCAGCATGTGGACGGTGTTGAAGAACCCTCTGCGGTATTCTCGTCAGCAGCAGCGAAAAATTGTGAAGTGCCACTAGAGAGTGAAATAGCTACATCTTGTAAAATAACTAGATCAAGCATTGAACGCATCGTGAACGAAAATGAGAAAGCTTGCGGAAGTTCGTCATCATTATGTGGCTCAGGCCACAGTGGCCGTGGCGGAGCTGAAGCGACGGGTGCGTTTGAACAGGACCTTGGGGTACTTCGCGGAAGTAGGTTCACTGATCGTTCCTCAGGGAGCTTCTTGCAGCGCAATTTCAGCGGTGACTCATTGCTTTTCAGCTCGTCGTATCATTCTGCTGCGTCACGCAATAAACCGATCCCGCGTGGCAGGGCTTCATGTTCTAGCGTTCACGGATCGGTGTCGAGTCGCCTATCTGGTGTGGGACGGGGGCTACAACTCCTGGATGGACCACACCACCACCAGCGAGGCAGCTTACACCGAAGTAGTTTCGCCTTTGCTGGAGGTCGCGGAAGTGGACGACGAAGCTGTGGCGTTGTTGGCCGAAAGTCCATTGTTTCGTCGCAGCTTCTGGTTGTCGACGAGGACGACGAGCAGCCAGAACAGTCAAAAACAACTGTCTTCGATCCCTTGCTCTTAGCACGTGCCAGCAACGAAAAGGAAAAAGAGAAAAGTGTACCAGAAGCGCTTTATGACCATCACTTTATGAAAACGGGCGTTGGGGTTGGCAATGGTAATGTCACGAAGGGAGTCACGGTTTCTTGTGCTGGAGAAGTTCTCAAGGACGGCACGAAGGACGGCGGCCCTGCGAGTCCCGCAATCCGCCCCAGCACGCTGGTCTTTGATGATGACGAGAACAGCCCGCTGAATGGTAGAAATCTAGAAGAACACTTTTCAGGGCGACACCTAGACGAAAAAGAGGGACTTCGTCAAGCAAAAGCCGAAAAAACAAAGCTTACCCCACCTCCTCCTTTTGCCTTGACAGGAGACCTCGATAGTGCTGCGCCTGGTGGAAGCTGTCGAGCATTCGCTCCTTCAGTGAGTTCTACCGTGTACCACGGATCCTCACGAGGACTCGAAAACCCCTCGTCGACCTCAAGTAGCACGAAATCAACGAGTCCGGCCTACGTTTTGAAAGTAGAACAGTGGATTAGGGACGAGACGAAGGATGAAAAAACGCCTAGCTCAGCAGGTGGAAGAAGCGCTGAAGTGCACAATCGTAAGAGACCGAATTCCGACGACAGCGTTGCAGATGGCCTGCGCTCTTACCAGCGAAACAGTTTTGGGGACGGCTACGCAAGGTTCTGTAACTACGCGACCACAGAAGTCGAAAGCTGCAGCACTAGCATCCAAGGTCATAGGGCAACACTTTTGCCCAACGCCGATGGTAGCCATACTACAACGCTTCTGTCTGCGACTGCGTCACCCTCATCTCGTGTAGCTCAGGAGCAGACCGATGACGCAGGGGCAGGGCGTTCCAGCCAAGACGTAATCGACCTTCGTCAAGAAGAAATTAACCGGTACACGAGCGCGAGTGGAAACTCTTCAAGCGCGGGCGCTTCCAGCTCGTCGCCGGCATCTGCTTCTGCAGCATCGTCCCCGACAACCGACTGCGCAAACAACTACACGAACTTTGGAGTTCAACCGGGTCCAGATGGAAACGATCAAGAACATGTTGAAATAACGCGCGACGGTAGAATAAGTGAAATCCGGTCAGGACGAGACGATGATCGCAAAGCAAACTCGTCGCGAAGGGGCAGCAAGAAACGGCATTCATTAGTTTTGGTCAATGGCCCAGACGCCGAGGGACCCGTAGTATCCGGCTTGAATTCAGCACGATCCGACTACGTCGAAGCGCTTGACAGAAGAAGCAAAGATCCTGAAGCACTAGGCGGAATTCAGACGAGTACGACCACTGCGGGCTATGACAGCGTAGCACACCCTGCTTATGACGCAGATGGCGATGGCATAAGCGGGGAACATGCTGGAGGACGGAAAGCGCAGGACTTGCACGTGTGGTTTCCTAGTCCAGTCGGCAAGGCCTTAGCAGCGTGTGTCCCTGGCAGCAACAGTGGTACGATGAAGAAGCGTCGCCGAGCGCGGCCAAAAAAGAGCTTACCCTCCTCTGTTGAAGAGTTGTCACCTGCACGCCCGATTTCTATTCGGATAAGGCGAGAGGCTGATGTGGCACCAGACAATTATGTTGCCGATGTGCTACTGGATCTTGATCGTGGGAATAGTGCCATCGCAGCTCTCCCATCGGCAGCGTCGTCGACCACAAAGCAGAGCGGACGAGACAGTGCGCCATCATCGACGTCGGGAAAAGCGTCGAAGCACTACGCTGCTAAGACACCGATGCCCATCTCGAGGCGCTTTCAGGAGGATGTAGAATTCGAAAAGCGGCATGGAATAGGAAGCTTCCGACCAGAGAAACGACACAAGCATACGACCAACACTAGCACCCCTTTGTGGAGTGGTGACAGAACGGCCGACTCTACTTGCCTTACCAAGAGCGGGAGTGTGAAGAGAAGAAGCAGTCGTAGTTTCCGTAATTCAACGATGTTGGCATCATCCGTTATACCCAACTATTTGACAACTGGCACAACGCCGAGACAACTAAAAGTCGGGCCCGCCACTTGTGATGAAACTGGCGTTAAGAGTCGACCTTCGCCACTGACACTGTCTCTTTCGCCAAACTCGAAGCAACATCAGTGCCGCCTTGATTCTTTGTGTTGTGAAGGGCAGGAGCGGGGGAAGAAAAACGTGGGCGATGCGAGCGCTGAAGAGGTAGAGCACAGAAAAACCAGCGATATCTGTGTGACGCCTTGCAATCGCGCAACCGTAAGGTATGTGACTTCCAAAGTTGTCGAGGTTAGCAGTGTAGAAGCCGCTAAAAAGAGAGCAGGTGCAACGCCGGACGCAGTAGATGTGTTTATGCGAGGCAAACATGATTTAATTGATGCAGATGAGGCCGCACGAGTTGAGGAAGACGATGCAAACAAGAAAGCATCCGAGGAAGCAGCTGAGTCTGTCGTTGACGCCACTCGGCTAGTAGCAGCATGTTGTGACAATAAGATAAACACGATTGCAACTGAAGCTGTTGTAGCTGTTAATCAATGTGAACCGGCGCCAGCTCATCCCGTAGGCCCTTGTTCACTAGTTGAAGGTGCAACGCACACGCAGGCGTTTTTCCAAAAAACTCCGGTCCCCAGTCGAGGAGAACACGACATTCTGAAGACAGTCGCTTCGTCCTCGAGGTACTCGTCAATGACGAGCCACAGGACAACAAAGCGTCATATTGCGCGAAGCCGTCCGCCGCGAAGTAGCAATCGAAGGCACAAGAAGGAGAAAAATGCAGTGGACTCTGATTCTCCCATGCGAAGCGGTGGTCTGATTCGCCATCAGCTCTATCGCACTGTCGGAAGTGACGCGGGGGCAAGAACCGCCCAGACAGTGTATGACGAGGATAGCACACGGGTTGCTTCGCCGACAAATCTGGAACGCATTTTTCAAGAATTTGAGGACGGAGAAGCTGAGCAGGTACGTGGTAGGGATGAGAGCTTGTCTCGCAAACAGCTGGAGGTTTCGTTTCGTCGTCGGATCGGATCCACGTGTTCCTCTGCGTCGTCTTCTTCGAAAAAATCAGCTGAAAGCAGGCAACGACACGAGATCCATCGTCTCTCGTCCTCCCGACGATTCTACTCTTCCTGCTCGCCTTCAAACTCGGGCATTTTTCTGAGCGATCCACTTCCTCGCACGACATTGGAAAAACAGCGCCGGAAGAGAAGAGCGTCAAATGAAAGACAGGCTCGTGAAAATGGTCACCAGCAACGGAAGTACCACCTTCGTTCCTATCAACTACCGGCCGATGATCTGAGATGCCACTCTGAGCACCTAGGCTGTTCCCGAGTAGAGATTTTGACTGATCCAGCTACAAAGATTCCGACGGGGCCTCTGGTGTTTCCGACGCAGTCGCAGCTGCAAGAGGAGTGGCGTGGCCGGCCCCGGGCCCGTTTATGGCGCATGGAACGGAATCCAGCACGAGGTGCGCATGCCAAATATCTTAGGGCTGGTGCCAGAGACATTTATCCAATGACGAAACGTGCACACGGTCCTGCGTCAATGAGTTCTAGTATAACACACAGTAAAGGAGCTACCACTTCCACTTCCCATGATCTCTTCGCGAATACCGTGGAGAGCACCAAGATTTGCGGTACGCGGTGTGTAAATGACCGTCTACTTTCATCTCGCAGTCGACCTCGTCCGGGCAGACACGGCTCCCGCCAAGTGAATGCGACGCCGTTGATATCTGCTTCAAGGAGTGCACTATTCCAGCTGGGTGGCCAAACATGTTCAACTACCACGAGACACAGACAGCATGAGGGAAGATCTGTTGACCCACCGCAGGTGCAGCTTGAGTTATCCCCTTACTACTCCGTGCTTAGAAGTGAAAGCTCGAGGAGGATGCGTGCCTTGTGTGGCTTGATGAGTGGAGCACGGAGCAGTCGAGACCTCTTCACTTCTGAGGACCAGAACAACGCTGATGACAAGCTTACACTTGCCTACATGGCGGGAGATTTCGACGAGGACCACGACGCAGGAGAGGAAGCGAAAAACGACTACACGACAACATCGTCGCTAACAGGTGACGAAGCACTGCATCAGGAGTTTCTTCGCGCCCTCTCAAAAACTTCGAGCGCACCGAGTGCCAGCGCATCCGCTAAAGATATCGATGAACATCGTCTATCCTCACGAATAAGCGAACCCAAAACTGTTCCGCCATTAACACCCGTAGAGTCTGGATCACTGCCTGCTCCGAGCAGCTCAACCAAAAAGATAATCCTTTCGCCTCGAAGTCTTCTTAAGAGGGAAGCAGTCGATCAAGGCCCTTCTGCAGCTCCACGCGCCAATGGTGAAATAGTGGTGGAAACGACGCGGACGCTGCAACCATTGGAAAGGAACGTGCGGAAAGTGATCGACGCTGATGCCTCGCACGCGGGGCAGCAAGGTCGAATCGATGAACAGGCATCGAATGACGATGCGCACGACGGGGACGCCCCTGCGGCGCCGCCTGTCCCTATCACCCGAAGAAGTGAATCCACGACTGCAGAAGCAGGAAATGATCCCATTATATTCTCCGACTTCGTTCGTGAAGATGATCAGACGACTCAAAGGCGTTCTGCCGACCCTGGTGGAGAGACCAGCAGCAATAGCAAAGTAGGCACCGCACAAGACATGCTGCAGCCCACTGCGAAAAGGCCTTCCTCGATTGGCTGTGGAACCCAAGCACAACCACAAGCACCTTCGGCTATAATTCCGGGCTTACGAACGTCGCTCTGCGGCCAGCGCCGTTCTTACCTACCGCGAAACACTCATCTTAGTACGTCGTGTAATATGGGGACAACGACAATGGCTGGTGGCATCGGAGGCCCGGACCAGGAGCCGCCGTTTGTTGCACCAGGAGACCTGTTGGAACAATCACTGCACATGAGCATCAGGCATCAGCATGTGGATGGCGACCCAGATGTAGAGGATGAAGATTCTACCAGGTCGCCACCAGCGCGGGATACCGGAACAGCGACCGAGGAGTACTTTTCGCGACAAGATGAAGAAGACGATTCTAGGGATACAGACAACACGTGTCGCGCTTCGGGCTATCCGAGGGGTACATCTTCAGCGTATAACTTCGGAACCAGAAGGCTGATGGTGTATCCATCGCCAAGGAATAATCATGAACCAGCTTTGTCAACCATGACATCCGCGGCACAGCACGGCAGGCCAATCACTGAGCCAGCCCCCTTGTCAACAACGCCAACTGCTCGGCTGGTTAAAACACGTCCAGCCATGTCAGGCAAAGCAGAAATGATACCAGAAGCAAGCGAAGTACTCCTGGCACAACCGCAGCAGCCCGAGCAAGTAGTAGATGACGCAAGCACGTCGAAGCCTCGATTGTCGCCCACCGCAACTGGAGCGCGAATGATGAAACCGAGCCCCGCACACATTCTGCAGAGTTGCGACGTGGGGCTGCATTGTGGAGTGCAGAGCACGAGTCCAAGCGACTCGCCCCACTCGATTGTCGATATAGACGCTCACCTTGAGGGGAGGGAGTCTTCTGTTCTGGAGATGAATCGAGGCAACACAAGTGGCACGAATGCGACTCACGAGGTAGTTGCAGGAGACCAAGAAAATTACAGAGGACGTGGCAGCGCCCCTACAGCAGCACGAGGTGAAGCAAAACAAGAATTCTCGCCATACATATTCACTCCAGAGCCGTCCTTTACGAACGAGAACTCAGGTCAAGCTGCAGGGAAAATACCGAATAACGCGCTACTGCCACCGTCTATTCGTGGAAATTGCGATTGTCGTCAAGATGGTCATGGTGGTCATGATCAGAGAGATGTCGAGATAAAAGCTTCCTCGCCTCCTCAGATCGGAGACGACCTTGTCTTGAGAAGAACGCTCGACTTTGATGAGCCAGCACATGTGCTCCACGACTCCGCGCGCAAGAAAACTAGCACAAGCGGCGGGATACGTTTTCCTTCAATAACGGGGGCTGAGCGTCGTGAATCTCCTTCCTCTCTGGTGCTCACCGTAGCGAGTCCTCGTGGGTTGCTAGGCGAAAATACAGGGAACATATCTTCAACGTCAAGGCAAAAACAAGGAACGTCACCAACAACCAGATTGAAAGGAACGGTCATGGAAAAATCCGCTGCTGAGACGGTGGCTCGGAATCTTTTAGTCCAACACGGTTGCAGCGAGGAAAACTCCCTCGACGCGAAGACGGAAGCCAGACCTGGTTATGAGGAACACAATTATCCGATTGATGAAGATTCCTTTCTTCAATTCTGTGACGAGCAGCAAAAAAATTCGCCATCGGTTTCGCGGCTTGCAGCATCTTGTACAACTACAACAACAAGGACGCAAAGGTTCTTGTCTTCAGCAAGTGTTTCCACCTCAGCAAGCTCATCCCTTAATGCAGCATTGTCGAGTAGTCAATCGTATGCACCACCTACGGCGCGTACGACCGGGATCCCTTCCCTGGTCAGTTCGTCTTCGCTTTTTCCCGAGAATGCCTCCGAAGATCATCCGCGGGCCACACAAAACAGTCTTCCGCGTTCTTCGCATCTCTTGCTCTTGGAAGACGAAGAAGACGGTGTGCAGGCTTCTGCCGACAACACTGGCAACCTGCGGCAAAAGGAAAAGGACGCGCTCGAGGCTGGAAACATGAACAGCACAATATCAGCTTCGGCACTGCGGACTTCCGTCGCATCGAGCTCCCCACCAACTTCTCATCCACAGAGCTCCCCACCAACTTCTCATCCGCAGAGGTCTCCTCCGACGCCGTCATCCTCGCGCTCCGTAACTGCTCTGGAGCCTGCAAGTTGTCTCGGTCATGGAAGACATAACGAACATCGCGCTTCCGCAACCAGAAGGCAAGCCGCTCTTTCTCCTGCGATAAGACAAGACACGACGCATTTAAGCAGAGCTGCAAAAAATAAAAAAGCGGAAAATATGACGAGCAGCGTTATTACGAAAGCTCCCTACAGCCGAAGCCAAGGAAAGGACGACACCGGTGCTCCTGCGGAGCAGCGTCGAGAGGAGAAAACCCGAGCGCCCGCTTTTGTTTTTGGCTGTCAGAAGCGGCAACTACAAGAAGCACATGGCCGTTTGACGAGGGCTGACAATTCATCCCAGCAAGTCATGGATGCTACTCGTGGCGCACTAGCAGAGGCGAAGACACTCGCAGCACTCAGCTCTTGCCCAAACGTAATTCGCTACCACTTCGCGTGGATAGAAGAGCATCGGCTTTTCATCATGCTAGAGCTCTGTGACACTACCGCGAAAGATATCCTCAGCAAGAAACGTACTGTCTACACCGACGAAAATTTGCTGGCGACCATATTCGTATTCAACGATAAGGTTACAATGATCGAACGTAGCAACTTGTGAATGAACATGATTAACATCCTTCGTAGTACTCATGCACTGCCTCTGGTTCCTCTTGTTGCTCCTTCTCGTTCTCCTAGTGGTCCTACATTATTTCGTAAAAATGCAACAGTGCGTGACACGGGGCGGGGTTTGCAAGATAAAGAGCTGAAGCCGATAGTGCGAGACGTTGCAAATGGACTGCGTTTCATTCACGAGTTAGAGGTCGTCCATTTCGATATCAAACCTGAAAACATCTTCCTCGCTGTCGACGGCCTCTACAAAGTTGCCGACTTCGGACTCGCCTCACACCTACGAAACAATCACCGAGACAACCTGGTGATACTTACTTTCTTAGCGTGCTCGTGCTGTCTCACTGGCATTGATTTTTAGGATTACGTCTACGCGTCGGCGTCTAGAAAGACGACTACGGCGTGAAGAGAAAGAGTCGCCCAAAACTCATGAAGATGTAGGAGTTGTCAGTGACTGCATTGTAACCAAAGAACCAATCATCTCCATCATCAATTTGCGTCGACGGACTTCCCTTGCTATTTTTCTATCCACTGACACCCAGGTCTCCGAAGGCGACTGCCGTTATATTGCTCCGGAACTTCTCGGCGGCTGGATCGCCGAGCAGCTGCCGAAGGCGGACATTTTTGCCCTCGGTGTTTCGTGTTACGAGCTGATTGTTGGGGATCCAGGAGAGCCAGATATATGGGCCAAACCAGGTAGTGAGAACACTTGTTGATCTTCTTCATGATTTTCGTCCTTGAACTTGGACTCGAAGCAAGTTGAAGTAGTTGCAAATGTAATCATTGGAGCTGGAGTGAGATGCTGCACAATTGCAATGCCTATATCAAAATCAATGTGAATTCACGCACCGAAGTGACAATTGACTCTAGTGGTTATCCATAGTAATAAGCTGTCGCACACCCACACGTCGCACCTCTTGATCCTCAGGTGAAGCACATCGTGGCGCAGCCCGGTTTCTGGAGCTCATGAACCGGATGACCGATGTGCTGTTTTTCCATTATGAAAGGCTGGCTCGCGTAGACTAGAATCATTCGTTGTCGCTGAAGATACAGGAGGAACTCGAAAGTTATAGTAGGAACTCGAAAGTATGAGCAGCTTCGAATATTAAAGAGCTCGTCAATGCCCAATGTTGTAGCCTCGCCCTCTAATTTCTGCTTTTGCGGAGAATGGTGAGCTACCAAGTTGCCGCACGACCCTCTGCCGCAGAAGTCAGTAACTTTTTCCGTCATCAAAGCGAAGCCACTCCTGTCGCAAAAGAAGGCAACACATGCTCATGCGATTGTGCGTCGCTGTCGAGACGGACGTCACGACGCAGGTCCGTCACGTAGGTGGAAACAATAATAAGAATAAAGTAGCAGCAGTGAGAAGCTAGAATTTACACTGAGAATCGTTCGTAGAATAAAGTAGCAGCAGTGAGAAGCTAGAATTTACACTGAGAATCGTTCGTTCCTCTTGGGCCGTTCTTGCGTTATATTCCTATTGCTATTGAGGAAATTCTTTTTTGGAAGTTTCCATATTTATTGTAGTTTCAATCCGCCCCCGCTCAGGCTCCACATCTACATTACTCGATCCACCTTCTACCTTGAATGACTACTATGAAAAACTTCATCCTACCCTTTATGTTTTTTCTTCAGTCATTGTGCATGTGCACGAGGAGCGCCCGGTTCAGACCTGACTTTGATGTTCTTCTAACGAATAGTGCTGGCGCTGGCAGCTTTGTCGTACTTGTCAGTCGTGCTTTGATATTGTTGCAACCCTTGGCCCCACATTTTGTGCATATGCATGCTAGTTCTAGCACGATATGCGTGTGCGTTTTAGGAGAATCAAAATATTCGGTGCCTGTATTTGATGTGATTTCTTAAATTTGTCTTAATCCTGCTAAACCTAAATTGAAGGTCAACGAAGCAATGCCTTCAACATTTTTCTGTATTTTCAAATACATGTTCCAGGGGCCAGGGGCCAAGGCCCCCCTCGATCTAACTCTTAGAGGGGGCGGCGCTTCTCGCTCCGGGCCCTTTTTCCCGAGGGACTGCCGGGCGGGAAGGCCTCCAAGCGCCCACCTCCGGCCCCTTCCTGCTGAGCCTCGTCCCTGAGGAGCCCCCGCCCCTGAGGCCGTTGAAGCACCGAAGGCCGGAGGTGCAAGGCTTCCGAAGGTGACAAGGCGGGGCCCCCTTTTGCTTGCTGCGGCTTGTTGCGTGTACCCTACAGACCTCCCGGGTGCGGGTTCCTCACTGGAGGAGTTTCTTGGGAGGTGGAAGGCCTCCGGGGGCAGCAGGTGGCAAGGCTTGGCGGACCCCTTTCGCCGTGCTGCATGTATCCGACAGAACCCAGGCGGGCACGCCTTGCCCCCCCTCCTCCTCGCCTTTGGTCCTCAACCCCCCGGGCGTTCGGCGTTGGCGGACGCTGCCACCAGTTGGGAGGATGAGGGCCAAAGGGGCCAGCCCTCGCGACCGTGGCCGCCACCGGCGGCCTTCTTCCTCCGGAGGCTGTCTTCCCCACAAGGGTCCAAGAGCAAGAGTCGGGACGCCTTTGGAGTACACGCGGAGAGCTGCCAGGAGCCTCCAGCCCCGCCTATTGAGGCTTTCGCCCCCGAAGGGACTCACATGCCACCACCGCGGAAAAATAGGCGGGCGCGGCCACAGGGGGAGGGAGCCTTCGTAAGACAAAACGAACGCCCCAGGGCTCCCGCGTGACGCGTGACGCCTCAGGCGACGCCCAGAACTTCGGCGTGCGAAGGGTCACAGAAAAGGAGCGCGGGGAAGAGCGTGACGCGGCTAGAAATTCGGGCGGGGGTCTTCTATGTCTGGAGGAGCGTGCCGCAGCCAGGGCCTTGGGGTGATTTGTGTGCGCATAAGATTGACCCAGCAAGAGCCTCGGCGTGGCTTGTGTGTCAGTGAGCCGCCAGCGGTGTCGCTCTTTGTGACGCTACAAGCCTCGGCAGAAAGAGAAGCAAGCTGGAAGATGATGACTGAGAGGGAGCTGCGGCCGCATAGTTCTGCGCATAAACTTGCCGCGCACGGCCTCGGTAGCGACACAGCCAGGGGAAAGATTACGAGAGAGATAAAAAAGAGAGGGAAACAAGAGCGACGCAGAGAGGAGCGACGCTAGAGAGATGGCAGCGACGTATACAGGACAGAAAAACGGCGAAGAGCAGCGACGGAGGCAGGGCAGGAAGATGGTGAAAACAGGCAAGGCGCTGGCGAAAGTGCTCTAGTTTGATAAGCTGGGCTGCGTAGAGTGGCGCAGCGCAATGGGCTGCGGCGTTTAGAAGGGAACCGCGCGAACGGGTCACGGCTTTTGGTGTTTAATTGTTGCCTTTGTTACTCTCGCTCTGCCTCTGTTTATTTTTAAAGCTCTCAGAGAGACAGAAGGGAGCAGGTATCTGCTGGGGGCTTTGCGTGTTTCTTCGACTGGAAAAAATTACGTGGCCCTTTCAGATCGGCGAGGGTGTAGGCATGTGGGCTTTCCTCTTGTGTGTGCCTTACGTACAGGCTCGGGCGATCGCCTGAAGAGGCGAGGGGCGCCGCGCCTTAGTGGTGTCCGGCTTGGCGCGCTATTTCGTCATTAGCAGGGTGTAGCGAATTAGTAGAATTCGTGGCGCTTGCGTGGCATGGCTGGGACTGGGAGTGGGACAGCCCAACAGGTTCAGAGAGAGGCTGCCAGGAAACAAAGACGATCGAAGGGCACAAACAGCCAAAAAGCCGCCGGGCCAGCCGTCTCCTCTCGCTCAGTTCTGGCGGTTAGATAGATAGCGGCGACTGACGAGAGGGGGGGGCCGTGGTTTTCGGGCTGGCTCTCTCACAATTTTGAAAGTGGTAGCTCAGGGAGTTGCCTGACGACGCGAGGGGAGTGGCCGGCGGGTCAACAAGCTTGGGGCCAACGCCAAGTGCGTGCGCGGTCGGCTGTCGTGGGCTGGAGGGGGTGGGCCTTTTTCTTGGGATTCTGTGGGGGTCATGCAAATCTCGGGGAATTTTCGTGACCCTCAAGAAGTTCCAGGAAAAACGCGCGGCGAGATGGTTGGAGCAGAATGGGACCCCAATCGGAAAGCCCCCAAGCCATGCCCAATCGGAAAGCGCCCCAGCCATGATGCATCGCGCCGCTCGCCGACGTGCGCGGGCCGGCGGGGAGTGGGGCAGGCCGGCGCCGGCTGTGTGCGTGTCGGGTCTTTGGTTTTGAATAGAGGAAGAGGAAAGGCGGGGCAGGGCATGGCGCTTGGAGGGCGCCTCGCCTGTGGGTGGGGGCTATTGAATCAAGGCAAGGGTATCTAGCTCAGAACATTCCCCAGACAGGATAGCTAGAACATCCAGAAAAGGACACCCAGACAAGAGAACCCAGGCAAGAACATCCAGACAAGCACACCCACCAGACAAGGACTCTCAGGCAAGAACACCCAGACAAGAACACCCAGACAAGGACACCCAGACAAGAACACCCAGACAAGAACACCCAGACAAGAACACCCAGACAAGAACACCCAGGCAAGCACAGCCAGGCAAGCACCGCCAGGCAAGGACATCTAGGCAAGAACATCCAGACAGGAACACGCAGGCAAGGACATCCAGACAAGAACACCCAGACAAGAACCCCCACGACAGGAACACCCAGACAAGAACACGCAGACAAGAACAGCCAGGCAAGAACATCCAGGCAGGCCGAACAGCTAGACAAGAACACCCAGACAAGAACGCCCAGGCAGGACGAACACACAGACAAGAACGCCCAGGCATGACGAACACCCAGACAAGAACATCCAGACAAGAACACCCAGACAAGAACATCCAGGCAAGAACATCCAGCCAGGAACACCTAGACAAGAACACCCAGACAAGAACACCCAGGCAAGGACATCCAGCCAAGGACATCCACCAGGCAAGGGCACCCAGATAAGAACATCCAGCCAAGAACACCCAGACAAGAACACCCAGCCAAGCGCGCCCAGGCTGGGGCCAGGCGGATGGCTTGGCGTGTGCACAGGTGGGCCATTTCTCTCCGTATTGATCTGCTTGGAAGTGGGACGGGCGCGCGCCCCGCAACGCCGGAGCTTGTTAGTTTCTTGTGTTTGTTCTGCTTTGGCGCGTGACGCGCGTCGCGCGTAGTTTTTGCGCGTACGTTCTGCCGTAGGGAACGAAGGTCTGGGCCTGGAGCGTGACGCGCGTCATGCGTGTTTTTTTCACGTTCTTCCCTAAGGTTCGGGCTTGGAGCGTGACGCGCGTCGCGCGTATTTTTTTCACGTTCCTCTTGAAGGTTCGGGCTTGGAGCGTGACGCGCGTCACGCGTATTTTTTTCAAGTTCTTCCTCAAGGTTCGGGCTTGCTTGGAGCGTGGCGCGCGTCACGCGTTTATTTTTTTTTCACGTTCTCCCTTAAGGTTGGTTCGGGCCTGGAGCGTGACGTGCGTCACGCTTTTTTTTTCATGTTCTGCCCGAAGGTTCGGGCTTGGAGCGTGACAGAGTCCGGGACAGAAAAGGAGCACCACAAGAGGGGAGCACCACTAAGGAAGGGGGTGCTTTGGCGTCTAGTGGGTTAGGAGCTCTGGGGCGTTCGTTTAGCCTTACGGCGAGCCCCCCACCCCTGAAACATACATAGCGTGCTCCCCTCTCTTGGCTTTCTATCTTATACTTATTTATGATGATGCCCCTCCCACTCCCAGATCTATCCCAAGACTCAAGCAAATAACTACTAGCTTCTGCTTCAGGTTGACGATCGTGACATGCAATTCTTGCGCGAGCATCTTGTCATAACTCATAAGTTACTCATGTTAACGCGGAGGTCTCGAATTTCATATTCTTTAGCTGTCTTTGTTGGATGGAGAGAGTTAGCCCTCTCCCATCGTCGTTCATGTTTATATTTCTAGCACATCAGTCAATTTATTAATATCTGACTCATTGTTATAGTTATTCGGTTCAGGATTTGTTCCATCATATTGAAGAATCATGTTTTGCTCACGTGGTGTATAATAATAATAGTTAGTAGTACACAGAAAATGTAAATCAATGAAGAACTACTCACGCGCGTATCTACAGGTAATATCGTCTACAAGAATCTAAACTACAACAATTTCAATCTATGGCTTTGAGGTCGCCTCTCTCTCTTTCGTCACGCATGGCACTTGTGGTAAGATGCAGAATAAATCCTTTTTTTGTTCGTTTGAGAAAATAGATTCAAATAAATTCTTTCATCAGGTCTTCATCGACATGCTTAGGCCCTCTTCTCCAATGTATTTCCTTTCATATTTAAAACACCTCTGCTTCTTCTCTGAGGATACAACAGGAAAAGCAAATGAAGCTGAGTTCGATAATTATGGCATATTATGGGTGTAAGATAGATTCAGTCCACTATCGTTAATAGCGGAGTCGCGACGTAATATGGCTATAGGTGCTGGTATACCAATACAACAATCTATCATATGAGGACGCATAAACTAAAAAGTAGTCATGTTTTGAGTGGTTCCTACTCGTGTAAAATATTGACACTAGTAGAACGTAGAGGCTGCGTCAATAGTTCATCACGATATTGTAGATTTTTCTACATTGACTGACTCGTTTGCTGCTCACGTATTTGCTTGATAATCCATTTTCAATTTAACAGAGAGCTAAATAGCATTAGGATGATAATTCTTGGTCGACGTCAGTGGCGTGGGTTTTTTCATGTATCTGCTCGGCATTCATTTTGATTAATTTCGCGCTTGGGTTGGACGTTCTAGCTTGTGTGTGGCTGATGAACACATATAACTCATACGGGAGTAGTAGGTCTTGTACCTTATCGAGTACTGCAGTTAATTACTTTGCTCGTTCTAGATAGTGTAGCACCTGTAAGTCGCTATGTGCGTTGGAGCCCCCTAATTTGTTGCGCTGCTTCAATCCGTTCCGGTGTAAAAACAGACGGAAGAGGCGACAAAACGTTTCCGGAAGCTTCTTACTTTCTAAATCAGTAGAGTTGTTTAATGAACTTGCTCGGTAATGTCTTGGTCAGTTGGATCTTCGTGTATTTTTACTCGGTGTTTTTCCTTCCCGTTAACTACCAAAGTCGTTTATTATTATCTGAAGTCTTCTATCATCCGGATACCCCTTCGAGTTCGAGTCGCAGTCTGTCCGCATACACAGCGCTTAGGTTTTTTACCATCCACAAATAGATCGAATGCCATGAGTACTTACAATGTGCAATTGCGTGTTCGCATATACTGCTTATGCATGCCTGCTACACATCTACTATAAAAGATTTCCAGGAGCCGCCAGCATCATGGGAAAATGTCTCAACCTAGTAGACGAGGGTCGGCGACGTCGCAGGCAGAAACAAAATAGAGTGGAAAAGTACATAATAGAAAATAGAACCAGTCTGGATATTGTTTAGTCTCCGCTATAGTTGTACCTGTGCGACTAGTATGTAGCTGAGACTCATCATGCCATGCCACGAACATCCTTTTATCAAAGCCTACAAATAACGACTGAGATGACCGCGAGAGTGAAAAATGCTGTGAAAGATGTCGACTCCTTCGCGAAAGATAGCAAACGGAAGGAGCCGATGTTGTAGTAGGGTCACTAGATTTGCTAGACGCTATCTTGTCTCACCGATGGTAGAAGATAACCATTTGAGACTCATGATGATGATGATGATGATGATGATGATGATGATGATGATGGAGCGAGTGTCGAGCGCGACCTAGAGCTAGAGGGCGTGAGAGAAAAAGACCGCAAGTCATTAGAAAAAGAGGAGGGATTGGAATGGAAGTCCGACTCGTCCAGAAGAGAAGTAGCTCCTCCACCTGAGAAAAAATATTACTAGCTTAAACTGAAAAGTCGTCAGGGAAATCGTGAGCAGATTGCCGAATAGATTCACAGCATCAAACTAAAAAGAAACGACCCGGAAAAATCGGGAAGCACTTCCAGTCTATTATGGTCCATTAGCATTATGGCATGATGGACGCCAACACGAAGAAGAAGGAGAACAAGATGTCTTAATAAAGGCCAAGAGAACATAGGACGAACGCAAATGTCGAGAAGAAAAAGCTGAATTCAACATAAACACGATATCGATAGGGTTCTTTAACGCTCGTCCCCTCCCCGCTGCAATATCCTTGCTATTTCATCTTCTTCGGAGGTAAACATAAATTTCCTCAGAACTGATCAAAATGGCGGGTCGTGGTGCGAATCCGAGCTTCGCGATCCAGAAGCAGATTCGGGATAACTGCAAGGGGGTGCAGAATTTAATGGATGACATCTATCATTGGTCCGAGGATATGGCAAAAGAGGAAAAAGCAAGAGATCACTTGCGAAAGAACCCAACAGGAGGAAAGTCCGCAGGAAACAGAGACTTATGTTGTCAATGCTGAGATTTTGAAGAGGTATCATCTTTTTATCAGTTTCTGTCAGGTTTCAGTATCATTCGGAGAGAGAATGTTTTAAGAGCTGTCGGTTTTTCCACTGGATCGAGAACACTATTATGGTGTGCTCTTATTATACCACATGGACCAGTACAGCGACATAACTGGACACTTGCTTGGCGTCATGTTTATTCTAAAGAAAGCGAAGGTAGCAGCGCCGCCCATCCGTGGACGAACCGTTCTGCCTCCGGTCGAAGCCAACAAGTCTGGCGCAAGTGCGAAGCGATCAAAGGACACTGAGAAAAATTCTAGTGAATCGTAGAAAAATAAATGCACCACTTGCACTGCCACTTTCATCAACACGTTTCTATATTTTTTTTTTACTCAGACTGACTGACGAAGGAAGACATGGAGTCAGCAAATGATATCTTTGTCAAGAAACTTCTTTTTTTGGTAGATACAATCAAAAATTTTGAATCTAAAATTTCGAAATTGAGTTTCGACAATGGAGGATGAATTCTGATTAGAAGAGCTTTTCCAGAAAATAAATTTCTTTTTTTGAGCATAAAAGCAAAAATTTTGGTTTTTGGGTTTGAAATCCAAATTTGAGTCAGATTTAGAAATCAAATCTGAAGGGAAAATTTAGAATTTGTTTTTCTCTTGAGAAAATAGCATCTTGACATAAACTCAGAGACACCACCTACCTATTTTCCTTACTGCTGTGACAATTTCTCTGAAGTAATTATTTGATGCGAGGTATATAATCCCTGTAGGTCTGGATCGATATTGCCCACATTGACCTTAGCTCGATCTCAGAACACATCCTCCAGGTCGGCTTCTACGAGCAGCTCATCAGCGAGTACGTTGGAGCTTGCCAGAGACACAACAAGTCTGCCCAAGTATTACAAGAATTGGGGCAAGTACAACGTGGAAGAGGAGTTGGAGAAGCTCGAGGAGCCAAAGACCAAGAAAGAGGACGACTTCGATGTAGAAAAGTTTGTGAAGCAGAGGCGGACTACCGCAGCGCGACCGAATGTCAAGGTGGCAGTGAGGAGTGCGGCTCACGCTACAACGGCGGTCGAGTTCGCGACCGCTAAAAAAGAGGAGGCAAATAGGCTTTTCGGCAAAGCACGTTTCAAAGAAGCGGAAGTCGCATACGGAGTTGCACTGTTATGGCATACAACGACGTGTCGAGTTTGACATCCTCCATATGCTGCGGTAGTCCTACGGTTCTTCAAAATGCCTTCGTGGGAGGGAAATTTGAAAACGTAGTTCCTCGTATCCCTAGAGTTTTTACGGCTACGCTAGTTCTACCTACTACTGCATGCATTTGTATAAGAACTACTAAGCGTCTAGTATTTCTTCAGGCTGTTGCTGTGATCGAAAAATATTGAGATCATCTCTTTCATTTTTGACCTATCTCCGAGGGGAAGATGTTGCAGAGCGGGAGCTTCAGACCGTATTGCACTCGAATATAGCAGCTTGCATGTTGAAGCAGAACGACTATACAGGTAATTACCTTTGTAGAATCAACGGTTTCTAGTATCCTTCAACATTAAGGTGGATAACGTAAACGAAGACTCCTGGCTGATGTGCCCATCATAAGATTCGGACCGATGAAGATGATTTATTTTTACTTCAAGGTGATGCTTTTTCTCCATCTCAATCAAAACTTTAGGATGCAAACAATCAAACACATAAGAATGACCTCATTGCCGGAAACGCGCAGATGCTGAGTCGATGCAGTTCTTTCTGCATAAGATACAAGAATGTCTTTTCATTTTTTATAGAAGAATCGTTTCTTGAACTCTAAGGCCTACGAGATTACATTTGTCCTTCTCCTCGCTGGAATCTCTCTAAGACATTTTCGCAGGTACCATCGATCAGTCAAGCCGTGCGTTGCAGGTAACAGAAGACCATGTCAAGTCACTTTTTCGACGCGGGTCAGCTTATACACAACAATGTCAGTGGAAAAAGGCTGCTGCAGATTATCGTCGCGCACTGCAACTTGATCCCAACGATGCGAAGTGTACAACTTAATACCGAAAAAAAAGAGCGAGGATCCAAATTTTTGTTATCTCGCGCTTACAGTTACAGCTATCACTATGAATATCATGTTGACATTGTAGGACCAACAATCTGCATGATGTTATCATCCATAACCTTAACCTATGCATCAATGCAATAAATTGTTTGCTATTTTTTTCTACTTCTCTTTTGCAACAACTACAACTAATGGTCTTCGTTCAGGCCGTACCGAACTAGCGTATGTGGAGCGGATGCTTGAGGAGGCGCTTGCAAAGGCTCGCGCGCACGCAAAGTCGGTGATGCAAGATACGAATCGTAAGCCTGTTCTGCAGCAGCTGCGCATGCAGATCGCAGACAAATCCGAAGCGAAGCTGACATGGGATGAAAGTGTACCATTGCTTTGAATTGTTACGGGATTAAGCAAGATGAGAATCGGTGATGATAGTGTGAAGATGTGGCTGCTTGAACAAACATTATGTGTAGGGTAGATTTTAATGCCTTTCGTGGAAAAGTAGTAGAAATGTGTGTGTGCCATATGTTTTTCACAGGATAACCCGCAGAAGGCGACAGTGGCTGTCAAGAGGAGAGCGGATAATGCTCGCAGTGACGAGGAGAGGAATGCTAGTGGTGCAACGAGCTTGTTCATATCTTCTGCTGGCGAGCAAGAACGCCGGATCGACGACAATGGGAAGTACATTCCAAAGAGTGTACGCATGGCAGCGAGTGGGGCGACGAGCGGTTCGAAAAAAAGACGCGCACAGACTCAAGCCAAGGGTGACACGCATGACGCAGCGACAGTGCTTTCTTCGGCATCCAATTACGTGTTGTCAAAACTACTTTATTTGTAATTGCAAAAGATTTCATCATACTATCCTCATGCTCATATCACGCATCCTTTTCTTTATGAAGATCCCTTGTATATGTATGTACTCTAATGACTCTCTAGTACACAGTCGACACAAGCTGACCCGCAAGATGACGACAGCGAAGTAGCAACTTCATCAGCTTCTGCGCCGGCAAAGCGAGCAGCGGCCCGGGATGCAATGCGCGGAAATTTCTACAGCTTTGAGCGTGATTGGAATTTCGCAGCCAAAGGCAGCATGCAGGGGAACAGCATGAGCGGGCAGTGCGTTGCCAAACGTTTCCAGTTGCTCGAGCGAACTGAACTATTTTCTGATAGTTTCACAACCGAGCTGCTGCTAGAAGTCGTCGCAGTCTTCGAGCAGATAGCGCGAGACTTCTCGCCAACTTACTCGGAAACAGCGACAAGTGAATCATCAACTTCTACTTCGAAGCGAGACACCACACCAGTTCTTTTCGTAAGTTGGGAGGACTACGTGAAACGAAAAACTGCTATCGTGAAAAAACTGGAAAGCATCAACCGGTGGGAACTCATCTTGCAGAGTCTCTCAACAAGCGAGAAGCAACAGCTTGAGCGCGCATGCTGGTCGCAAAAGCGACCAGTAGCACCACCAGAAGCACCACGCGTGTCTTGCCGCAAAATCATTTCAACAGAATCTACATCCACTTCCACGTCTAGCAACACGAACACCACGAACACAGGAACAACTACAACGACGAGCCCCTCACCCTCACCGGCGTCACCGGAGTCTCCGTGGACTCAGGTAAACATGCGAGCAGACAGTAAAGATAGCGCCGACTGGGTCGACGTGCGAAAAGAGCCTCTTGATCTCGGAGACCTGGATGATCTAGACTGACCACGACGAAAAGGTAGTTGCTTTTTTTCCGTTCCGTTCTTTGAGCTCGTTATAAATCCCGGGACTATTTTGAGTCACAATCTACAGTGAAGATCAAGATGTCCTTGCGGGCAAAGTCCTAGTAGCTCCAGTATGGTACAACTAGGACTCGCATTTTCATCGCAGCGAGGACCTATAAACTTTGCGCATATTCTCGCCAACACAACGCGTCTTCGCGCAATACACCAGCCCAATTTATGAGGACGGACGTCATACTACTAGCAGCACCTTACATGATTTTATCCTCCGCCTCATGGTCACGTGTTCGTTGGCCGTGTTCGCGTTTCTCATTTTGAGATGCTTACGTGGTCGTTCAACTTCTTTGCCTGGAAGGCGTTCAAAATCATGTATCATCATCCACAGACACAGCCACGATCGCCTCTTTGATCCAAGGATAGGCGTCTTAGGAAAATTTCCTCTAGCTACCTCTCTTCATGATCAATGTAGGACATTGGAGAGTCCGAGTCGTGGTCGTTGTCGTGGTTACAACAACTACGCTGCTATTCTATCTCGGGTTGGTTTACCTTTACACAAGCTATTCTATCTGTGGTTACAACAACTATGTTGCTATTCTATCTCGGGTTGGTTTACGCAAGCTATTCTATCTGTGGTTACAACAACGAACTACGTAGCTATTCTATCGAGGGTTGGCTTGGGGTCGAATTCATCATACTATCCTCATCGACCACAAATAGTCCTCATCCTCATTGACCATTACCGTGACATACTAAGCTTAGTGTGGTTACAACAAGTCGTAGTTTGTATCACAGCCTATCCAACTAGCAATCAATATCAAAATCATGTCCCGGGCGTCCCAACAGTCGCGTCCTCCTGCCTACGTGCAGACCTCGTTGCCGATCCTGCTGGACTTGCAGAACCGGAATACCAGAGAGCAAATAAACACTGGAGCCAGTCGTCCTAGCGCCTCCTCACAAAAGTCAGTTGCAGAGCAATCGAAAGATGAGTGCGCACGCATCATGCAAGAAAGCGGTGTCGAGTTCCTTCAGAAGCGGCACCTGTGCAGTACTACTCAAATTCTATTTTCATTTTTACAGTACCAAACTGCTTGTTGCTCTTTTTGCATATTAGATGATGGTCTAATTTAGATTTCGTTTATTCAAAACTAAAGAGGAGCTCGAAATGTAATTTTTCGTACTTCTGTTGAATGATTTAACGGTGTTTACTGACCACAGGTGGTTCCGGACCACTAACACGGGAGGACGATGTTCGATACTTCTGGGAATGGGTCCGGGAGTTTCATAACGAGTACAATGACGACTGGTACACACGCAACATGCCACGTCTAAAGCAGGAATTCTACCCTGTCTGGAGAGCCTGCGTGCGACAGGAGACTCAAACAAACAGTATTTCTTCTAGGCTGAAAATCGAAATAGACCTAGTCTTAGACTTACCAACTAGACATAAGACGTATGCCACACAAAGACAAACTACATCAACCCCGCCATGCTTTTGCTTGATCTTCAACGAGCCTATCACTTGAGCCAACGCGTGATGCTGCCTCCTACTACCTATGGCTTAGGCACTGCAGGCGGCACAAATGCGATGTCAACAGCGACCACATCTGCGCAGGCTGCAGCACAGGGAGGTGCTATCGATTTGTTAGGCGACATCAACCCGGTACCGTCTCCGTCGAGTACTCTAGCATCAGGAGCACGCGCGCAAGCGAGACTAGAAGGAGAAGCAAGTCCTGTGCGCCCGACCCAATCAGCTATGGATGATCTCCTCGGCCTCGAAACAGGAGGGACATCAAGCACTGCTGGAAGCTTTGCCCCTAAGTTTAGCGCCAGCGTCGCGAGTTCAGGTGAAGGTGGACTCGATGACCTGTTGTGGTTGCAGCCTCAGCAGCCACCACCAGCTGTATCAGTAGCGCCTGCAGCTACAAGCAGCCCTGCTTTGCCTCCATCAGGTGGCGCCAGCTTCGATTTGCTTGCTGAGCTTTCTTCGACTCCTGTCCGAGCTCAAACAACGTTGCCCCCAACAGCGGCCCGAGGACCAACAACAGATCTTTTGGGAGAGCCATGCGCGACTTCAATCTCGCTCGGCGCGGAAATCGGATATGCACCTGCCGATTCGTCCTCGATTATTGCTCCGGGTCCCATAGTAGCAGCATCTTCTAGCGGCGGCGGTGGAGGTTCTTCTCTCGCTGAAGCCTCGCCAACCAAGAACAAAAACAATCTCACCGCAATGGTCGACGATCTTGGCGACCTTTTATCCGGAGTTTCGTTATCGCCATCAAAAGCGAATGATCCAGCAAACAAGAGCTCGAGCCCTGGAGTTAGCAGAACACAATCCAATAGTCCTACAAGTCCCCAAAATATGAGTCGTGGGCCAAGCAAACAAGAAAACTCCCTTAAGCTGAACAAGATAGCGGACGAGTCTGATCCGTTTGCTGGGCTGTTGGGGTAGCACTAGTAATTGTACATTTGTTCTATCATTCCCAAACACGGTGATTTCAAGCGCATCACTTATTTTCGCTAGACGTAATTTACACATTCACGACTCAACATACCGAATCGCTGATGTAAATCAGATGACTACACGTTCACGTCAAGATGAGAGAGATGGAGATAACGTTTTATTGAGTGACCGTAACGGACGGAGGGCGAGAGACGGACGAGAGAGCCATGCTGATTATATTACGCGGTTTTCAGATATTCTAGTCAACGTCAAGGAACTGCTGTCTTTGAGGTACAGGGCGAGACGAATACACGAGGACAGAGCGAGGGTTTACTGCACGAGTTTAGGATTTTTTGAGTGATCAACCAATTGCCCAGGACTGCATGTCGATGAACGTAGAAATTTTATCTTATCAGACTGTCAATATGATTTTCGTTTGTCTACAAGAAGAAGAATATAGAACGATCGAATAACAGGAGCAGGACGTGGTAGTCGCTAAATGCAGAAGGCTAAGAACTTTGTGTAGGCGAGTGAACTGGCACAGCTACGTCTTACGAAGTCTACTGTATGTGAGTTTGACTGTACATGTAATCGTGCTTCGATCTAGATGAGTTAAGAGCAGCACCAACAAATACAACTATGTACATAAATATGGCTGAAAAGCAGGTGTATGTGTAACTACAATGAAAAATGATGTGGTCTTCTACATGATCTTGCTAATATCTGCTTGGTTGTCTTAGTTTTAGTAGTTAGTACGAAGGCGGAATGCTCGTTCGAGCCAAGTAGCGCTTTCTGGGAATAGCTTTTCCTTGTTCTGGCAGACAAAGGATAAAGAACATCTGTTGCGCTTGCGTTTGAGGACACGGAACTCCTGAACCACGCACATCTAGTGCGGCGAGCTCGACTCCACAGCGAACTCGACCACTCACGACACAATCGAATCAAATCTGATTGGCAACCGAAAAGATGATGTCTTCTCCAGTAGCAGAACTCTCTCGCCGATTGGGCGCTTTTCTGTCGCTTATTTTCGTGAGTTGCAATACGCTCATTATCATGACTCCGACAGAAGTAATTGCACAAAAATATGCTATAGGAGACACTTTCATGAGTGGAGCCTTCAACATCACCCAGTCAGCGCTGAATTGCACAACCCACTCGGCGCCATGTCAGTTCAATTTATTAAGACTTCCGGGAATCCATCTTCAGAAGCATCTTCTTGGGGCACCTCTTTATGGGAAAAACAGACACAAGATGACTCTCAGGATGGATTCCGGGAAGATCTAAATTTAAGAACAGGCTGCTTCGCAGGAAAGCTCTGTCCCCCAGTTGTAGTCTTTGAGGGCGAAATCAGCGGGACGATTGAAATGAACGACTGCGACGTGGGAGTGATGTAACAAGAATTTGATTAGATTAACCCTAAGCCCTAGCCCTAGGGCTGCTCCACCACAAATAGATGACAAAAAAATGTCATCTAGAATTGTTCGAGAGAATAAGAAATGCAATTTTTTTTATGTCTAGGGTCTACCTGATTGATTAGATGACAAAAAAAATCACAATGAACCGATCTAATCACATTCAGTCATCAATCATTTTCAGAGCCGATCCAATCACATTCATTTGCGTCCTAATCAAGTACGATGAAGAACTCAACGTACAACCTCGCGACGCGTCCTTACACGACAGGTACAGCTTCGTGAACCACGGATCTAATGAACTCGGTGTCGCAGTTCAGCATATTGGCGGTAAGTACGGAGCTGTCGGCGTGGCGCAGTACGGTGTCGGTACATGTTTTTGTTACACCAATTCAAAATTGTTATGCGGACAACGGTGAGGATATTGGAGTCGGAACGCGAAGAACGGTTGCAGATGGGACTCCACAACTATCGAACGCTTTTGATTGCTGCAAACTTGGTCTATGCATTTCGCCGTGCGCATAGACATGTCACCTCGTCAGCGCGGCAAAGATTCTCGTTCATCATTTTGATGTGCCCTTTAAGTCTCAGTCTATGTTTCGGGAAGTGACAGAGACTTGAAGCACGTGCATGCCTGTTGTGTCGACGCTTCATCTATCGCCTCGCAACCTCCGCCTCTATGTCACAACAACTCTCGTTCCGTGTGCCGTGTCATGAGCACGTGGCCGGAGATAACTATTCTTTGTTCTCGTTCTTATTTTTTACGATTGGCTTGCGTTTTGTGTTTGTCGGTAGGGGCGGAATTTCAATTTGAACTTCGGTCTTTCAGTTGTAGGCGCTAAGATGATGTCTGTGGATTGTGTAGTTAGGCGGATCATGAATCTGAATCTCAAACTGTTTAACTCTGGAAAAATCAAATTTGCTGCTCTGTCTTCAAATTAATGTTAGTAAGTGACCAAGGTACAAAGACAATCAAAAATACTGAGAAAGTTGACTTTTCGGTTACTTAGTCTGTTGTTCTGTCGTCCTGTCTGTGAAGAGAAAAGTAAGAAGTCTGTGCAAGAAGTGCTCTCAAAGCGTGGAAGAAGAGGCAATGACCCCTACCCTTCTGACTGGACCGCTCCCGGTTTTGAAGTGTTTACCAAGAAAAGTTCCCGAAAAAACGAACATTCATGGGAATTTCTGTTGCTTGTCTCAAATTTGCTTAATAAGCTTTCAGAAACCAACATGTATTATAGTCTATAATAGTTTTCAACAGTAACTCTAACTACTGGGTATGCATTTTTATTTATGTTTGTTTTTTGCATCTGCCCGAATAGTATGAAACAACCAATGAATGATATGAATGATCTAAGTAAGTAACAACTACGCCGGCTGTGAAAGTTTCGCTTTGCGGTTTTTTATGATTGTGCGGATAGGATAAGGATAAACACCTGCGAACGAGATAAAATGGGCGGCGTTGACCACCAAAAAGAGGATGGTCCATTCCCGACCAGTGCTATTGCGTCAGAGCATGGTGCTCATGCGAATTCCTCACGAGTCGCAAAGCAAAAGAAAACGCCATCCAAGATCAAGAAGGAAGATGACAACAGCTCTTTATTTGCCTGTGAAGTGCATACGCTGGGAGGCGAGCTCCTCTTTGCGTCGGATAACGTTGCCAACGAGAAATTCTCACTCCGGAGACTGTTAGAAGAGCATGTGCTTCCTACAGTCAGGACTTCGACGCGTGTCTACTTCGATGAAGTGATCGGAACACTGTCGCGCATTTGCGAAGAGATCAACGCTTCCCTCGAAGAGCGCAACAAGAGAGCTGTTCTCCTGTCTTCGATGGAGCTAGGTGAGAATTTCGCTGTGGGAGAGGTAGAGGCGACGGAAGCAACAACGACGAGGGCCGATATGACCAAGACTAGTTATAGTTCGGCTGAAGACGACGAGCATAACCCTGGACACGATTTTGATGGAGAAAGTCGTGATTTTGATAGTGAAGATACCAAGAAAGTTCAAGTCGAGACAGGAGTTGAAGAAGATACCCATGAGGACAATTCCAAAACCGTCCGGATGCACTTTAGCGTGGATAATGCACGGGGAATCTTAGTCGACTCTGATTTTTCCATTTGTTTCGTAGCTCGAGCACGGATACGCTTCGTTTTTTTTGATCCAGTTCTCAACGGTCATGACGACAACGATTCAAAAGCTGAAATCCGAAAACTAGTAGAGCGAGATGACGAAGAAATGGTAATGGAGGAGCGTGACGTCATTATCTTAAGGACGAGACGCAACAGTGTGATTGTGTTGATACAAAATGCCGAACCTCGAGTTCGGACTTAAACACGCCGGAATAGAAGTACGTGGCAAGTAGGACAACAACTTTAATCGATCATATTCTGGGTTTCCCTGAACAAGTCCTCATTCTCATACGAGCACTAATGCAGGGCTTCCAGCGCATGTCAGGCCTTGCATACTGTCAGGTGTTGCCATTTCTCGCATACATACGAGCGGACACAGTTGTACCTCGAACCTGCGACGAATTTCATTAAGGTGGCACTTTGACTTGCCCAAGAACTCCAAGACGTCCAAAGTTGACCTCAAACGAGGACACGACTGTCACACATCCTACATGGTGGAATGGATGCGATTACGATCGGTTTTCTTCTGCTTGAACATAAGGTATGGCCAAGAAATCTAATGTCGGAAAGCGTGCAATCGGGGCGGGCGGATCCTCACACAGTTATTTGCGCCACGTGACAGTGAGGATTTGCAGGCCAGCGCAGCTGCTGGGATGAAAGAATTTGACGTGCCGGTTATCGTCGCAGAGCACGACCTGCCGGAAACAGCTTCCCATGCGTCAGATCCCGGCGCTCTCACCCCGGTTGAAGAGGTAAATAGAGGAGGAAGTGGAAGAGGACAGATTTGGGAAATCGACGGCAAGGAAGTGCTTGCCATCAGAATGGCTCCTGAGACACTTATGACTGAGTAGTTAATCTTCATTATGTTGCAAACTCGGTGTGCAAAGTACGGAAACTGTCATCTAGAATGTTGTTATCATCGCGATGACGTTCAAGCCCATGCCCAGATGATATGCAAAATGCATAGCCCAATCCACATATGTAATCTTGCGATGCAACATATAGATATACATAGCCATAGACAGAGGCAGTAGCACCTCTAATGAGTCGACGTATGTGCATGGTCGCAGAACCAGAAGGTGCAAGCCCACGACTTTGATCAGCTTCGAGGACACTGACGATCGTGCTCTTTTCTTGAGAGTACTTTATTAGGCTACTGCTCATGTCCCGTTCATGTTTTTCATCCCTTCTCCAGGCTTATGACCTTCCTGCATTTGGCGGAAGTGAAGCGATAGAAATTTGGGATCTTGTTTTTTCAGTATTGTCGGCACTTACACCATGCCTAAACCCAATTCTGAAATTCTAACAAGTTCAAAAGCGAATTGGAGGACTGGTTAGTGAGAAAACACCAATAATCATCACTGTCAGCATATGCGATATCTCCGTGGGTCGGCCACCGAAGGGCCAAACCTTCTTGAGCTGCAGTTGAGAAGGGTTTATGCGGATCGAGTATGGGACGATGTGGCACAACGCTGTCAGCGGTCTCCGAACGGAAATGCAGTTCTTGATACATTGAACACGCTGGAACCGATCGTAGCGTGGTCCAGTCGTGCGGTGTTGGTTTCTTCGGAGCAAGGAGATGATGGGGATTGTGAAGAACGGAGTCCGAAGACTGTGACTCCAATTGTAGATCAACAGAATCGAAGACGTTTCTGGCTTATGCTTTTGATGAACGACTAGTTGGGGTCATGAACAAGACCATGATTAGATTCTCGCGAATAATTTCCAAGAAATAGTAACTTGTACAGCTGTATGCATAGACAACTGGAAATGATGAGGCACCCTTTTTTGATAACTTTGGAACCGCGGAGATGTAGTGTGACCATTCTATTCATCATGATGTAGGACACACATGATTGAACATGACACCAACAGAACATTTAATGTTTCTGTGAATATTTCGATTTCCAATTCCAAATGTTGAGCCGCAGCTGCAGCATTGCGGGCTCCTGGAAACTGCACGTTTTGTAGATGTTCCATTGCTAGATTGCCTTTGCTACTGATGTAATTATACTTTGATCTAGAACAGCTAAAACGAAATTTCGTGAAACGGAACGAGAGAAATCTAGACGACGCGAACGAGAGCAGCATCAAGGACTAAGTTGTACTACTGCAACTACTAGGATTCGTTTAAGAAAACCGGTCATTGTGGTTCATTCATCAAGTTGAGCGGAAGAATCAAGAAAACAGGACGAGGAATCGGATCTGCGGCATGCTGAGTGAGACTGAAAAGCAATAGCAAAATGGCGCAAAGGTGCACGTCGAGAGAGTATTTCAAAGCAAGAGCGACGACATCAACAAAAATCAATCAATGAAACCCGCATTATGTCACCATCTCTCATTGTCATCGGCTGTCTGTATAGATGCTAAGATCTGGTAGGAAATTGAATGAAACAGGTATCCGTCGTTGATTTGAGGTCCTTCTGTTTCTTCTGCTGTCGGAAAAATATTCCTTTGCGATACGTCTAGGTCCACAACGCTTTCCGCGTAACATCAGTCCGGGTGAACAAGAAAATGAGCCCTGCGGTACCGGGTGAGGGACGCGCCGCGACCACACTGCTAGAGAATGAGAACAGTGGTGATGAGAAGTTGTGTGGCGGAAAAGGTGAGACCGCCGCTAAGGCGAGCTTGCCGGAGGAGAGTTGCGACAGTGTTTTGCCGCAGGAGACTAAGTACTTGAAGCCCGTGAAAGACGACGCTGAAGTTTATGAGACTGAGATCGATTTAAATTTATGTAACTTGTCACTGTGCAATGCCAATCCGCCTGCTACATCGCCCACAGAATTTTCGTCACGTTGACAGCACGCACACACTCACTTGCATACTAGATGTGAAATGAAATCCAGTCGTGCAGCTTTTGCTCGTCTAAAACAAGCATCCTGATGGACTGAGCTTGGAAGAGCTTCGCCGAGCTCTGCCTGCACACGTTTTCAAGAAGGACCTTTTTCGCAGCATTCGCTGGATGCTCTTGGACCTGGCAGTCATGTTTATCACGCTTTCCGCTTTGAAGGTTAAGGCCATGAAGAGAGCGAACTCGTATTTGATGAATTCAGTAAGCCAATCATCCGCTTGAAATGTTTGGAAAAGGCTAGAAGAACTTCTTACGAATTCATTGTTCCTACGTGGCGGCATTCTTGTATTCAGTTTGTGTTCGGGGCAAGAGTAAAACTCTAGTTCTCAACTTTATCTAAGACAAGCTTGTACCGGGAGAACGACGCGCTGGCGCAGTTTCGTGCGCATGGAGCCATTGGACAGGCCTCTGCACGAGTTTACAGCGAGGCAAGCCGTGTCGCATCTCCGGTTTTTGGCAAGAAAGGTGAGACGTTGACAAAAAGCCTTCTTGGTCTTCGGGATGAAAGCCTTGTCGAAGAGGCACCTGTGTCGAGTGATCCCGGTGTTACACAGAGGAATGCCGCGAGTCCCAATGTGTTGATTGGGACGCTCCATGATCTCCAAGGATTCTGCGCGGCCGATGCGGATCATCCCTGGGGCGCTCGCGGAAGTGGACCAACCACGCCACTGGATGCCGTCGACGCTTATTTGCAGAAAAATATGTCGGGGATGAATGCTTCCATCACTACATCAGAGACGGGGGCTCCTTCCTCCCTCGCTGAACGCTTGAGCAGGTGCGCGCTCTATGTTGTGTTGTACACGATCTGTGGATTCTTTATGTGGGCGAACTTTGTTGTCGGCCACGACTGCGGACACGGATCTTTCAGCGAATCCACATCACTCAACTTTCTCTTTGGTCTCTTGACGCATGGCGCAATCCTTGTTCCCTTTCAGTCATGGGCACGCTCTCATCGCAAGCATCATCTCAACCACAACCACTTTGAGAAGGTGCGCTTTATTTAGTTTTACAGGAGTCCACTGGTACTGCCTACGTGTCTAGTGGCGCAACTTACTATATTTCTGAAAGGAGCTTGTGACCATGAAAACGGATTCGTAGTTGTTCGAATGAGCATTGAAAGGAATAGAGAATGCATCCGTTTCGAGTAAGAAATTCAGTTTCAATTTCTTGTCCTTCATCTTTTGAAAATTTAGGACTACTCGTTCCCGTGGTCGCATGATCCGAAGTTTGACCGGGAAGGCTGCCTCGCTGCTTTGGAGAAGTATCCCGCGATCCCAGCGACTTTGTACCCCATCTTTGGATATGCCTTCTACCTGATCTGGCCGCAAGGGTATGGCGGTGTCGACGGAACCCACTTCTTCTTAAGACGATCTGGTTCGAGGTATATCACCATCTGGTCCACTGTGAGGTATACATCTGTATCTATTACAATCTGGCGTGATCTGTAGGCTACCGCTTTGTGTTTCCTAGAAGATAGAACCACGATATTACTTATCTCGTTGCTTGTTGAGGTAACTATTCTGTTCCCGAGAGAGTGAAGCTTTAATGGGGAAATATAGTCATTTGCTTGAAGGGGAAACGAAACTAATGGGAAAGATTACAGCGATAACTGACTCATCCACGGATAGTTACTGATCGCCTAGCGCTAATTTTACCGAAGATGTTCAAAGGATGCCGACTCTGGGATGACATCTCGAACGATGAACTCATCAAATGCTGGATCTCTGTGGCGGTCGTTTTTGGGTATTAAGTAGTGTTTTTTTTATACTACAATTACATCGAGTCTCTTGTGGAATGCCGTCGCTTGTATATTACGATTATGATGAAGTAGCTCTCCATTGGAGGCACTACTTCTTTGGATGGCTCCATGAGTAGGCCTCTTGCCGGTTTCTCGTCCAATAGTTAAATATTACGAGCGTGTAGACAGTAGGACAACAAAAAGAAATAGCTACTCAAAAGGTACCATGACATGACATGACTGGACGCAGACCGATCGTTACAAGACAACAACTACAAGATATTTTAGATACAGCACACCATGAGATGCGCATGAATCAATTACCATGACTCCACCTCACCACTTGATGACCAGGTATCTGTATTTGTTTTTCACTTCGTTTTTCGATGGTCCGACGGAGTTTGCCGTTCTATACCTGCCGAGCTGGTTTGTGCTGTGCTTCAACTTGTACACCGTGACGTTTCTGCAGCATCACGCTCCGGAAACTAAAATCTACGATGACACGACGTGGAAGTACTCTACTGCAGCCTTCGAGACCGTGGATCGCACCTATGGCTCAGTCGTCGACTTGTTCCATCACCACATCTCGGATTGCCACGTCATCCACCACATCTTCTTTACCAAGATTCCGCACTACAACCTACCTGACGCCACGGAAGCTCTCAAGAAACACCTCGAAAACAAAAACCTGGGGTACTGACTGACTCTGATCATGTCCTTTCTTTTCTTGGAAATAGAACAAACACGTGTGAAGAAGTACTAGAAGTTGAAGTTCTATCTTAAGAATATCAACCATAAGAAATCTAAATTCCAAAATATACATAATTGATCCGCACTCTTCCTAGTGGATGCGAAGTTGCAGGTAGGCACTCATGTCTCTGAATCAATTGCATATGAATCACATACACATCTTCTCATAACCAAATCAGGCACCTTTACCAGTTCGAGAAGACACGAGACTTCTTCATCCGCGTTTTTGTCTACTCGTACAAGTTTTCAACGCGTGCCAAGCTGGTGACGAAGGATTCGAAGTTTTTCTAAAGAGCGCTGGCAACAACTATTTTCCGGAATATGCATGATGAAAATGGGAAGTCAAGGCATTTCTGCGATTCGGCAGTGATACGATAAAGTTCTCCTATGCTAAGGTGTTGTTGAGAGCGAAAATGCAAAATTGATGATTAAGTTATTCTAGTTTAGCTGGTTTCGTTCTGTTGTAACTACGTTAACATTTCTGACATGAATTTTGTTTTTCCATATCCTGACTAAGACTATATGTATCAATGAGGAAGAAAATGAAAACTAACATGCACATAAGAAAGCCTATCTTCACTATATCTTCGGAGAAGCTCGTTTTGATCCATACTACCTTGGAGAAATAAGCATTTGCATTCTATTCAGATTCTTAATATTTTTCCATGAAATTTATTTCCACAATTATATGATTCATGGTTTGCCTTTTATCTTTTGACTTTGATATCGATGAGCATTGTATGTTGCTAATGTTTCCATGGTAATCTCTTGCAATGTGTATCACAGTTTGCAAACGAAAGCGGTCTTCATGTCCCAAGAATTTGCTGAGGCTGTATTTTCACTTTGAGTCAGTTCATGAGTAAAAGAAGTAGTTTGATGATTGAAGTAATGTACCAGTAGGTGGATGGGGGTTCGACTATGTCAGTCATTTTTTTTATCTGTAGAAGTAGACGTATCCCTTAGTTCATGATCCATACAGGGAGTTATTGGCTGATATATTTTTTAACGAGTTGGTGAAATAGTACAGCCAGAAATAGTACAACTGCCTCGCGTGTACAGTTTATAAAATTTTGAGAGGTGAATGTGAATGAACAACATATACAAGGTAGCACTAGTAGCCTAATCTCAGGGGTTGTGTGTAGTGACTTCGTTGCCAGAGGTTGGATTCAAACCCCGAGTGGAAGCACGCCTCCAAAGATGGATTTCCAGCAGAATTAGGACAACGCCTAAGAAGAGGAAACCAGGCTGTGCAAATTTTTCCAGAAATCCAAATCTCCAAGACGGTGTTCTTTGATCCACTTCTTGGACTGGAAGCGAAAGCGAACCCTAAGCCCTAGCGAAGTAAGGATGTGCTGTCCATCGTGAAACGGTCTGAAACTCAACAAGATCAATAATCCTAGAGTAGAAGTGTCGCTATAAGAAAGAGATGAAACATAAAGGTAAACATTTGGACTTGCGGTCTTAAGATATTTTTTTCTACAAGAAAACGAAAAGCGGCGATGTTGATTTTAAGCTACAACGAACAAGAACGTGTCGATGTCTACGTTGCTTCTGCTGATGGGAAGTGCGCATAGAGTGAGGCAATAGAATTTTCTTAGAGGCAGGCCATTCGTGCATCTGCGTTGGATTCTGTGCTTCTTCAAATTCACCTTTACGTCTTGTCCCAGCGGATTCGTGAAGCGCTGATGAAACGCAATGTCGTAGATGACGGCGATAGACGTTCATCCGGTGTGCTTGGACAAAAAGACGAGGACATCAAAGAGTGCTGCATCGAAAATGAATGTGCCCACTGGAGGTGACGTCCCCGCGGTCAATCGTACCAGCCTGGCTACCGCTAGCATTTCCGGGAAAGATGGAAACAACTATCGACATGAATACTCACACTCAGTAGGCGCAAACGGAGTGACCTATTCATATCCAGGGGCCCATGTATCTTGTCCATCTTCCCCCAGCATATGCACGGGAACTAGCCATTACGGAGACAAGCATTTAATTAAGGCTCAAGATAATTCATTTCCAATGTCACTCTCCTTTCTTATTTCCTTCTTAGGATATTGAAAGAATGAGACTGCGTACGAAATGAATTGTTTTGCGCTGTAATATATAAGCAAAACAAAAAGGCGAAGACAAAAAAAACAAAAAGAGTACCAAGGGAAGAAGGAGTCGAAAATACCACGTCTCTAGTAAGACGCCCGCCCGAGGACACGCCTCGGCTCCGACTCGTCCATCGGTCAGTACCAAGTACGTAGTGCGTCTATGCTTACCGAAGTCAAGAGGGTGGCCTTAATCGGCTGCACAGCTACGGAAACCCAGAAGACATTTGTGGCACGAAGTCGAAGGAGGGGAAGCACTTTGTGGAAGCATGATGATCTTGTCCTGGCCCCCTTATTCGACGAGGCTACGAGCATTTTTTGCACTCCAGTGGCAGACTCTTGGCCTCGCGTGCGCTCCACCTGGGCTTGTTGCGGATCATATTTCTGGCGCTCTTGTTCTTAAGGCTTTCGGGAATCCATATTCAGAGCATGTTGGCACACGCTTCCAAGGGAAAAACATACCCAAGATCGAAATAGGTGACTTTCAAGATGGATTACGGGAAGATCTAATGTTCCTAGTCGACAGGTTTGCGCTGAATATGGGTAGCGGGTTGCGGTCTCCGCCACACAATCTATCAGAATGTCTATCTCACACGCGACGCTTACCTTTCGCTTTTGCATGCCAATCAAAGCCCGACGTCGTGGCTGCTGCCCCTAATCTTGCTTCAGTTACGGCTTACAACATACTTATATTCATCTTGTTGACAGACATCTTGGACGCGCTTTATAGGGGAAAAATAGGTCAAAGATGCGCTCCAAGATGAGTATTGGTAGAGTCTAAAAACTCAGCGCGAGGAACTTACTCAAGGACACGCGCCGGCAGCAGGCGGACGTCGAGAAACGGTTGGTGATCTGCTGCAGAGACAGGCGAAGATCGACTCTCTCTTCTACACAGAACAGGGGACGAGTCCGGTTCAAAAACTAGGCGCTGTATCTCCCACAGCTGACTTCGAAAGAGGACTGAACTCGGATGATTAGGAGGAAGCAGCAGAGGATGAAGCAGCGGAGAAAGCCGAGGATGCGGAAAGGCTAGCTGAGGAGAATAAAGCAGCAAAGGATGAAGAAGAAGCAGTGAAGAAAGCTGAGGATGCGGAAAGGCTAGTGGAGGTGAGTAAAGCAGCAAAGGATAAAGCAGTGAAGAAAGCCGAGGATGCGGAAAGGCTACTACATGAGGAGAATAAAGCAGCAAAGGATGAAGCTGAGCAGAAAGCCGAGGATGCGAAAAGGCTACTAGCTGAGGAGAATAAAGCAGCAATGGAAGAAGCAGCGAAGAAAGCCGAGCATGCGGAAAGGCTAGCTGAGGAGAATACAGCAGCAAGGGATGAAACAGTGAAGAATGCCGAGAATGCGGAAAGGCTACTAGCTGAGAAGAATAAAGCAGCAGAGGAAGATGCAACGAAGAAAGCTGAGGATGCAAAACGGCTAGCTTCGGAGATAGCGTCAGTAAAAAGACAGTACCAGGGTAATAGGGCACAATTTGTCGTCGAAAAGAGAAAAAGGCCGTCGAGAAAGTCCAAAAAAATCTCGAGGAAGTTCGCAAAGAGAGGCACATGGGATCACAGAGAACAGCAGCAGCCCTCCAGATATCTCTAGACTCGACTCACCCTTCAGAAGGCAGTCGCGTGGACCTGGACTTGGATTTGCGAGTTGCTCCTCCACACGAGTGCGGTAGTGTGCGTGGGGCCGAAGTGCCCATCGGACCCAGGAGTAATCATGTTCAACATGAATACTAACGTCGGATGCTGCGGCCGCAGTGGGAAGTTGGACGTGGACTCGCGTGAGTGGGAACCGCGACCCATCGAGAATGTTTTCTTTCAACGGTGCGCACCGGAGGGAAAGTACACAGTAGTCGTCGAAACTTTTAAACACTTATACGGAGGCTTCCCGAAACAAGGCACTTACTCATGGAATTCGGACAAGGATAGACGCAAAATAAATGAGCTGTACAGGTACACCTTTCGTCGGGATAAAACAAAAATACGCAGTGATCAGATTAAGGCGACAGGAAATCCATCTTCCCCAGCATCTTGATTCCGTTTTTAAAGGGAAAACACGGACCGAGATGAATCCGAAGATGCGGGCTTTTCTTAGTCCTAATAAGAGAGTGGACGTCAAATTTCGACTGGTGATCAAGCATAGGGATGGCACCAAACTGAAACTGGATGGATTGCCCCACAGCGGTCCATTCGTGATTGAGCGCACGATAGAAGGCCCACCAGAGCAGGATCAGAATGACGTACGCGAGAAGCCGAAGCCGACATTTGTTATGGAGTTTCATTATTCCGGCAACAGCTCTGTGCCAGGCATCGACATCGCGCAGCAAGTACAACTACAACCCCAAACTACAGATGACCTATGGACGAAGGCGCTAGTGAGTCCGGTTCTCAGAAGTCCACGTAAAATGTAAGACACTATCGAAATCGTTCTTTCGTTGGACCCAGCTGTTGATGAGCTCGCCGACATTGGTTAGTCTACGACATCGGAGCCGGAATGCGGGCCACAATATTGGTATTCTAGAAATTATCGACGCCCCACGAAAGAGGTTTTAGATACATCATCTGTGGCCTATTATCACACAGCCACATGGAGCAAAGACAAGCGCGGGCTGGAGCGCGATCTTTTTCGCCTGCATGGTTGCCTGACCCGAGGTACAAAAACCAGCCAGAGAACAACTACAGAGTTTTCATCGTGCCTTACTCTTCAGACTCCAGAGTCTCTGTCAGCAATGTTCCATACAAAGTAATCGTCAAGCAGAAAGGCACGTCGAAAATCATATGGGAAGGCTTGGCATCTGCGAGTCGACCTCCCTTCGATCCGACATACGAACAGCTTGGTCCAATAGTTAGGGCAACAGCAGATCCAATACAAAACAGATTTTTTCTACAGCATTTTTGTGGGATCCTTTGTGCTCCTTTCAACAGATGATCATAAACTTTATGAGATAGTAGAGGCTCTGGCTTTTCCACCATGATCAAGTCTCACTTCATCTTCAGAATATGTAGTGGCGGCTACAGTGTAAGCACATGATTGAAAAAGCCACGGACTATGCTCTTGCTATCTAGATTACCACCAACTCTTGAAAGTTGCGATGATGAACAGGAAGCTGAACATACTAAAAGTGACTAAAAAAAATTCAGTCATTCTCATGAACATGATATCCATTTGTAAGTTCCACTCTCGCTCTCCCGTCTGCTGATGGTCCGAAATTATGTCTCCCTCAGCGACCGGGCCGTGTGTTTCGGTCTCGGAATCCCGATAGGAAATCCAAAAAGTCAGGGTTCGCAATGACAAGCGATCTTTACAAAAGATATCAATTATATCATGGTTAGAAGATATTCTTATTCATGGATCCGTCAGCGACGATCAAGACCTGACAGAGATCAGTTGAGATCATGGAAGATTCATGCTTCCAGTCAAAGCAAGCTCAAAAGTTTCAGATGGACACAAATTAGTTGAAGTCAACGAAAAAGAAAATTCACCTCGAAAAGCGCGATGGTGATGGATCGTTGTTCATATTATTTCTTCACAAGATATGATCTGCTGATGTTGACCAGTACCTCTGCCACTACCACTACCACAGGCAGCGAACTTCTATAATTTTGAAGACGCCATGTAGTTCTCTGGGTACTGAATCTGGATTAATCAATGCACAGCGTTGGTGGTAGTGATTGCATCATATCATATGAGGTTAGTTTGATTTTCACGCCGTTTTATTTATATATCGAATTATGATGTTAGTACGTATTGAGATTGACAATTGAAATTGTGCAGAAAAAATTCAAATGATGTCGCAAGCATTCTCTTTTTCGCAATTCGAGTTGGATTTGCTCAGGACGGAGACTGGCTGTCGCGTCGTGCAGTCTGGGGAGCAGTCACTTGCTGCATTGTTGTGGTTATTTCAAGAGGGAGACTACTTTGGTGTTCTTAACGCCCTCCGTGTGTCCTCGGCCAGCCAGCGCGGGGAGCTTCAGGATGTAGGCAAACAGCAGGAGAACCTCCTGGAAGCTATTTGTTGCCTGCAAATCTTTCTGCAGGCCAACGTAACTTAAGGCTACTTTATCACTATCCCATGTGTTGTGAATTATGCTGAGTGTGCCCCTCTTGATTTAAAGGGGGAACTGAGAGGGAAAAAGGGGACCATACTCACTCAACCAGGGATAGTGTGTGAAGAAATAGCGTTAAGTAACAGGTCCCGAACTGGGTCAGGAGGAGCTTGATTATTACGAACGGGAAGAATGGACGACAGCACGACCTGCGCTCCCCGATGTTGATGGAGAAAGCATCTACGATGGTATCAAAGTACCAAAACTGTTGCAAAGAAGCTACGACATTCTCTCAAAACTGTGCTTGATGCAGTCGGGTTCGAGTACGGGTAGTACGACTTCTTTGCTGAAGAGTGCGCGCGTCTGGCTAGCGCGCGTAGCTTTCGCGTGGCAGCGAGCGTTGGCTGAGGCAAGCGATCGGGGAAGCGGACACAGCATCACACTTCAAAGAATCGCAATCTGGGATTTTGCATCCTGGATAGCAAGTCAAGATGCGGCTGTCTACTCCATACTCTCTTCTGCACTGCCTGGGCGGCGGTGGATTGCTCCATCAAATGAAAGTCAAAATGAGCAGGAAGGAAGCGGAGGTGTGTTGCGGTCAGCCCTATTAGCTGAGTTCTGCATCCGGTGTTGTTGGTACGGATGTATACCTCGTAGCGCTATTGAAGCAATGTTGAAGGAAGCGGCAGGAGCCATCGGCTTCGAATACAAGTTCACAGGGATTGAGGGAATCCGTCGCAAGTACCAGCGAAACAAAATTGCGCAGCTCGTTGTTGTCACGAAGTGCAGGCAAAGAATTTGCAACGTGGAACAAATATCCGAAGTAGAAAGTAATACTAATACGAAATCTAGTACTTTCATTCAAGAGCAAGTAGCAAGTGTGACCGCAGCAGAGGACAAAGAGCCAAAGCGAAGTGAGAGTCATAGATTGCTGAGCAGCACAGAAGATGATGTAGAGTCTCCACCACGCGATGCACTCATGGAAGCGAAAGAACGGGCACGAAATACAAATCGTCCGGCAACGTTGGCACTAGACGAGGTGAGTCCAGACAATGACATTCTAGAGGCTCCCATGCTGGTTCATCGAAAAGACGAGATGAATATAGGTGGAGCTACGAGTATGACAAAGGATGGAGAGGAAGAGTTCTTACCTGACGCCGCACTCCCTGGCCCGGAGCAATGTATTCTGATAGCACTCGGGCACCTCTTCTACACCGGAGAGATCCGACAAGACAAGCTCATGTTGGAACAACTCGGCGCGATCGCGGATCGTGTTATTGCTCTGAGCCAAGACGACATCAAAGCCCAAGTTGACAAGGCGCGCCTAGAGAGCTCGAAAAAGGGAACTACGGCCACAGGCAGTTGTGCCTCAGACTCGCCGAGGAGCACGCAGGCCAGTGACGGGTCTTTAGACGCAGATCGCAGTCCTAGGGAGGGCGATCAGCCCACACTGAGCGAGCTTCGTCAAGCAGAGTCCACTGCCTTGTCTACTGCAAATTGGCTCACGTGTGCTGCTGGACTTTGGTTCAGATGTAAAAACGAGTACGTGCGCGCGCACACTAAGGAGCGCGCGTGCCTGCAGCTACAAGCCTTGGTGGAGCAGTTCTGCGACCCTGCGCCTGACGCCCGCGAACGCCTGCGCTACGTGCATGCAACTGGGTATCCTCTCAGGCATGAACTACAAAGGGAGTTCGGGTATTGCATGATGCGATACGGAATGACATTGACAGCTTACGCGCACTTCCGAACCTTGCAGATGTGGCCGGAAGCCGTGGATTGCCTCATTGCGGCTGACCGCAAGCGAGACGCAATCGACCTCATTCACGAGCAGCTGCGTCGCTTTCAGATCGAAGCTGAGGACCAAGAAACAGATAAAAATGGTAGCTTGAAGTCCTCCGATAACGCAAGTGGAGGTGCCAATAGCAAGTCCTCGTCAGTACTACAAAACGATCAGCCGGAGCAAGCAGAGCAGCTGAGCGTGGGAACGCAATGTCGACTTCTGTGCTGTTTGGGCGATATCGCGGAAGACATGTGCGAAGAGACCTTGCAAGAGTACGGTCTTAAGTCTGGGGGTGCCGCAGCGTATTACGAGGAGGCATGGGAGCTGAAGCGGTACACACGCGCTGGCCGATCACTTGGCTTTCTCTACTTTCGACAGGCGCTGGCCCAGCCGCTCGGCCCTGAGGATCACAGACCCCAAACAAGTACGACTGGCGGGGTTGGTGCTGGTGGTTCTGCTGCCGCTGTGCCCCAAGCTGCTTCCCGAGGCCGCGCACCGCTGACGAAACGGGAAATTTTGTTAGAGAAGGCAGAGCAGTTCTTCACACAGGCCTTGCGCCAAAATCCTGCGCATCCCAGTTGCTGGTTCTCTCTTGGCTGCGTGCAAATGCGTCGTCGCGACTATCGCCTGGCGGCGTCGAGCTTCTTGCGCAGCGGAGAGTTCCGTCACTGCAATGCCGAAAGCGGGGAGGACGAACAGGGCGCTGAGTGTTTCGGAAACTTAGCTGCTTGCTACAGCTACTTACAGGATTACAAAGAAGCGCGAACTGCCATTGCGGAAGCGTGTCGGCGATCCATGTACAACTTCCGTCTGTGGCAAAGCAATCTTTCCATCCATTTGTACCTACGTGACGTCGCCGGCTGTTGCCGCGCACTGCGTAAACTCACGGTGGACCTCAAGAAAGAAATTGACACACCGGTTTTGGGTCTTCTCGTGCAGCACGTGCTGGACGACGAAGAAACTGGCGAAATAGACACTAGTTGTTCACAATCGCATGAGACTGCTTCTATTAAAAACGAAGCTCTGCCATCTGTTGTAGATGCACAAGCCAGGTCTCAACAGACAGTGACGGTCGAAGAGGAAATCGATGAGGAAGTAGCTGCCCTTTTGGAGGACCAGGACTTCGACTTCTTAAACTTGAACACAAGTAGTTCTCAAGGTGCCATCAGCAACCTTTTTACATCCACGCTTCCATCGACATCTACTAGTACAGGAGATGTTGGCGCAACAAGTGCACGTTACACCGCTCCATCTGCAGCTACGGATACCCTCGTTGATCACGAGCAGTCTAAGGCAAAACAAGCCCAGCAGAGGGAGGCACAAGTAAAACGAAAGAGGGAGGAACGCAAACAGTTGATGGACACGATCGCCGAACTGACGAAAGCGACACCAAATGTCGAAGCGACGGTGTGGAAGATCCTAGGACTGCTTCAAGTAGGCGAATGTTTGACTCGTGAAGCTTTCGACACCAGAATGAAAGAGTTCCGTCAGCTCAATAGCGGCTTGTGGATGAATGTGGAGACACAGATGGTATACTCTTGGGTTGAAGATGAAACACAAAAACAAAACGCAACAGTTATCTATATCTAGCTTCTAGGAAGAACTTGAACTTCGACTCGCGTTAATCTTAGTGTCAACATCGAACTCATTTTAATATCGGCATTCCTTTATAATCGATGACTTCTACTTCGCACACACAGGTGACGCTGCAGAAGAGCAAGCAAAAAAAGGAAACTTCTGGTCCCGGTGACACGGTATTCGGCCGACGCCTGCGCGAGCTAGCTGAAAATCTCGCAGCACTAAGTACTCTTGCTCCACAAGGAAAAGACATTCGCAGCCTTCAGTTTTCTGTACGCAATGTAATGCGAAAGCTTTCGGCGAAAATCGACGACACCGCGACAGTCACTTCCGATTGGCGATCGTTCATGAAACAAATCTACGACGACCTCGCAGGCACAGTTATGGAAACATTGGAGGCGCGTTCAAAATCGTTGGAAGCAGCAACTTCCGGTGGGGCGTAGATGACAGGTTCTTGTTGAAAATTGACACGGACGTACTGCTCTTGCTAAAAATAATGATTTATATTATGGCTAGAAGACAAAGGCGAAGCAGGTCATGCAAGATGATCACAAAATTAGCTGGTGAATAGCAATAGCCACTTCGGCGCAGGGTCATCGATGCGTCACTTTCGAGACGGTGAAACGACGCACCACAAGCATATTGTCCTCTTTTTTTCTGCGCTACCTTTTTATAACAGCTTTTACCATCTGACTCGGCACAGCACGACGGATAGCAGATCAAGACCGTGTTCAAAAACTATAGATGGAAGTTATGTGAATTCGTGGATAGTAGTAGTACCTTGAGTTGAGTGACCTTCAATCCGCTTCTTCAGTAAGCTGAGCGGACTACAACAGGGACAGAGTAGAAGCGGGTAATGCTCCAATACCAATGATACCCCACGTTAATGACATCTCGTTCTTTCGGCAGTGATGATCTCCTTGTAAACAAGTTTCCAGGTGGAAAGTTCCAAAAATTACGTAAAATTTAATTTTTGATTTGGGCGATGGCGTGGCGGTGGCCATAAGCATAATATCACAGAAACTATAATATTCAAGAAAGGTACTGTAAAAAATGCCCGTTAAGAAAAATACCTGCTAAATTTAAATAGCTCAGCGAACACGCCAAGAATTATGCCCATCCTCCCCTCCTTGATCTTTCATCTCGATATTTAGCATCGGCACTTCTTGACTTTCTATTCTACTTCTTGCATGATCATCTTCTGCCATTCTACAGGAACATCAACAGAGGGACTTATATATAATCAGAATAGAGTTCCTACGAGCGCGAGAAGATGTAGATCATGCTTCTACCAAGGTATTTGGGCCATGATGCTTCTTCTCCCTATGCTTTGGCCGCATTTTGGCGCTAAGGCTAATGAATAAGTGGACTTTTTCTTTTTCGCCGTTTTGTTTCTCCATCTTTCTCCTCGCTGTGGTTTACAACTAGTCTGCGGTTTTTTAGTTTCATTATCATAGAAGAGCATGATGGGAGACGGGGGCCAGGATGTCGCAAACGGTACGGGCCCTTCGGAGATAATGCACGTAGCAAAGCACAATGATGTGTCTGCAGAAACGCTGAAGGCTGATCCTGCATTGGAGCTCCAAGTGCGCGCTCAAAGTACTGCCTTACTTGCGCGCGTGCGAAGTGAGAACCTTGACTTCTTGACACTGCGTTCGGATCTTGAAGCTGCTTTAGACGCAAACTATCGGCTAAATGACGCTCTGCTGGAGGAACTGAAAAGTCAAGTCCTAGCCGCGATTGAGGCCGACGCGCAAGCTGTGGAATTAGCTGTGGAGACACCAAGTCGTGCAAGTGAGGGGACAGAAGTAACGACCGCGTCGTCCACGAGGACGATCACTAGCGGCATCTCGCCCCTTCGGAATCGACGGCTTCGGTCAGCGTTCCGAAGGTACCAGAGACTGGCTGACGAAGAGCACGAAATCGTTCAGATTTCCGTCTTGCAGCAAAAATTTAATGTCCACACGCTCGTCGCGCGGAACGGCCATGTTTGTCGCGAAACGTTTCGCAGCCATACAAAGGTGGTTCTGGATGGTTGCGTCAAATTCCAAGACCACTGCGCTTTTGCTAGTCGCCAGCTTCTTGCCTCGGTACTGGAGAACGCAGCAGACGCGATGCTGGACATCCGATACAAGACGGGAGAAGTAGCTTCCTTTGCGATTGGAACAGGCAGTCATCCTTTCCAAGAGCAAGACGGTAGTGCCAGAAATGCAGAATCAGGCGGTTCTCCAGGGAGAACAGGGGGCGCTTCCGGCCTCAATCTGATGAACACAACAAGCGCGCAGCTACTCGACGTCGGCCAACGATATCTCGACGCAGTGGTAGCGGACAGTACTACCGCGGTGGCTGATTTTGTGGAGGCGCGGAGAGAAAGGGCACGCGCAGCTGCAGATGTCATGCTTGACCTCGCACAAGAGCAAGCGAAAGATTTCGGTGTGAAACCGAGCGACGTTGATTTTCTCCGGGCCGAGGACGGGAAGATAATCCTATGTCATCTTTTGAAAGCAGAGCAGCATATAGCGGAAGCAGAACACACGCGTCAGTATCAGAGGGCAGAAACAATAACAAATAACAGCAAGATAAAGGAGCAAGGCGGAGCTCACTTGCGGAAGAAGGTAGAGCAGATGGGCGGCAGCATAGTTGTCGATCCGATACAAGATAGTGGTAGTGCAAGTACATCAGGAGCATCAGGATCGCGCGTGCAGACGACGCGCTATCAATACGGTGGCGCAACGTCAAGTACACAGCCATCTGCAAGCGGGAAGATCCCAGCTCATGTCGAAGAGCGGCTTGCGCAGCAAAGTGAGAGAAATTTAGCGGCATTGGAGTGTTTAGGAGACGGGACGACAGACGGCAACGCGCGAGCGTCAGGGGTACCACGGTCGACCCGAGAGATGTTGATTGACGCAAACTACTCTTTGTTACTCGATTGCCTCGGGTGGGTCGCTCTGTGCGAACCTGCGTCTTCATCTCTCGGCGGTGGCTCCAAGAAAACAGATCACACGTCGCCTACCTCTTGGTCAGAAGGCAGTGCCAGCAAAAGTATCGAAGAAGACCAAGACGAAGATGATCCTGAAAAGGCAATAATCCGAAACGGTGCCAGAATCAATTATCAGACAAAAGCAGAGAACATTGACGCGTCTAGTCCATCAGCCAGAAAAACCGAAAGACAAAACATTCTCCAGCAAGAACTCGAAGTTTTGCAGGGCCTCGCTCTGCGCGTCAAACTCGCCCTACAGCAAGCATCCGCCAACGCTCTGAGCCAGTGTGAAGATCGGTGTCCTCACTTTTCAGTTTGGAAAAATCATCGTGCAGCAGCTGCTTCGAAAAAACGTATATTCTTAGGCCTCGAGAAGCAGGGACAAAGTGCGAGCGATGATCATCGGATTCAAAATAACAATGTACCATCACATTCACTTGCTGCAGCTGCAGAGGAGGCAGTAGTAGAGCTGTCTTCACGTTCACAATCACAAGAGCCCCAGGTAGCGCCACAAGACAGCAGCTTCCCCGGCTTTCTGCTGCGCTGCGAATCACAGTATAAGGAGTGCCATGACTTTCTGGCAACGTTTAACAACCAAGGCCAACGTACTGTCACCGGTGGTGGTGCTGCTGTTGTTCTTGATGGTGCTAATAATTTCATTTCGTCAAGTGCGCTGGAAGCAAACGGCTCCAATTCGGCAGACGGGAATGGAGTGCACGACTCATCGTATCAGTTTTCACCCTCAGAAAGAAAGCCTGCAAGTAGCAGTGGCGATCAGCGTTTCGGCTTTTCGTATTTTGCTCATCAGATGCATCCACGATCGCCACTCTCAGGTGCCCAGAATCTGCGGCTTCTGAGCTACAACTTGTGGCTCCAACCTCCACTACCGAATTCCTTTCACACCAATGGTTGCGACGACTTCAAATTCGAACGTTTGGAGCGGTTCATGGATAAACTCCAAGGTTTCCAGATAATGGCGCTTCAAGAGGTGTACGGAAGTTATTCCGATCGGCGGGATCGTCTTGCGGAAGCTTGGGCGAAGACATCGCGTGTAGATGGTGCCGCAGGTGATGGCAGAAATGACCGAAATGGGTACGTCTCTGAGCCGAGAGAACATGTGAGCGATTACGACGTGGCTGTGACAGCCATTTCAACGCGCGAGCGTAAAGATGAAGACTCGGCCTTCTGTTTTTGCAGCGATACTGCTGAAATTTGGTCACGCGGCTTTTTGCTCGACGCGGGATTGTGCCTTTTTTCGCGCTTTCCCATGTCGAGACAAGAGGAGTTGACTTTCGCCACGCGAGGCCGGGGAATCGAGAAGTACGTTGCCCAGGGTGCGCTTTATGCGCGTGTGACTGTTGGAGGCGAGCAACGCGGAATGCGGAGAGAGCCTTTTCATCTTGTGACGACGAGGCTGCAGCCGGACCGCGACGAGTGGTCGTCTGCTGCGCGCCACGACCAATTGCTTGAACTTATCGTATTTTGTTTTGCTCGGTGTCGCGACGACATCTTCGACTACAGTGCCGAATCAATCACGGCTGCTGCGGGTGCCCAAGACGCTGACAGAGTTTTTGAGTTGCGGCATGCGCGCCAGCTGCATCAACAGCGCCGACATCGACCGGGATATCCTCATCTGTCTAATTCCCTACAGCGGGAGGAGCTGCAGGGGTTGAAGAAGCCACATTGGGCCGACGGCGATTACGATGAAGAAGAGGACATTGTTGTTGCGACGCGACGCTTCTCGCCGTCGTATCTATGCGAGGATCCAAGAGAGGCTGATGATAATGGCCATCCTATTGGAAGCCCGTCGTCTTCGGCAAAGTACGATAGCTATTACGCGGGTGCATACCAAACGACAATACCTGGGGGAGTGGCGGCTATCAATGAGGATGAAGAGACAGAGTATGACAACAATGCAGAAGATCATGCTGCTCACGCAAAGTCGTTTTCTGCCGCCTTCGTGGCGGCTCATCGCGAGACCACGCGATCCGAATCTGAGCATGACACACTCATGGACGGAGACGACAAGTCCGAGCGCGACCACATGAAGAGACAAGGAGAACAAGGCGATGACCAACAAGACGATGCAGGCTCGTGCGGCCCACCGCGGCCGGAAGGATTTCGACTCTGGCCTCTTGTCCTCGTTGGTGATTTCAATGCAAATGATGCCGAGTTCGAAACTATGCTTGCTCTGATGCGCACTTATCTTGGTAGCGATTGCATCGATCTATCCGCGTCGTGTGCTGGCTCGGATCCTCGATCTGGTGCGAGCCGTCGCGGGAGTCGAGCATTCTTTTTTCCAGCCCGAGAGATTCCAATGCCGAAACCAAGACAAAAGACTGGAGCGACGGCTTCTAGCGGCAATTGTGGAACCCGCGGCCTCGATCATCTGTCTGATAATGACGACGAGAATGAGAGCAGCTATCTAGCGTCTTTGAGTCCAGAAGATTGGGCCGATCACTACGAAGGCATGGAAAAAGAGATGATGGATAAAACGATCGCGAAAGTGACCAAGCTCGCGGCAGAGTCTCGAAAAGCGCCTATTTCAACTCTAGCGGACCCCCGTGTACTCGAACAGCTGCAAGGATTCTGGAAGAAACTTTTTTCCACTGAGGATCGCGATATCCAGCCTAATGCTGATGCAAAAAAGGGATCGTCGAAAGACGAAGAAGCGCCATCTTCTTCTTCCGTACAACACAAATCCGACTCTGAGAAATCCGCCAAGGCTTCATCGAAAGCTGCGAGCGATGCTGCGACGCCTCTTGAAGTGGACGATTCCCGAGCTCCTTTGAAGAACCCAGGTCCGCAACTGCTGTCAGCGGCGGCCTCGCGCCGAAACCAGCCGAAGAGCAGCTTTGGTGCTCCGGAGATGAAGACTATACCCCACCCAAGCACTCTAACCCCCCAATCATGTGGCCTTGAGCCATTCGCTATCGATCGCAGGGTCGACATCGGCGCACCCGTAGTGCAGTTATCTGAACACACTGGAATTGTCTGTAATTTTCTGGTGGACACCAGGCAAAAGGGCTAGAAGGAGGTTGGCGAGCAGGGTCCATCTCGCTATATCAAGTCCTCGAAAACTCTAAGGTTCTTACTGATATCACACGCACCCGAACTTTGAAGATGTTCTTTTATTGAAAATCAAAATTAACGAAAGCAATCATGGATGCCCAAGACCGGTGGAAAAAAGCAGCAGACGGCGGCAGGCCCAATCTTGGCAACTTCTCATACTCTACGATCACAAGTTCTTTACGCAACTCAGTCGCTGAAAGTCTGGCTAGGAACAACAAGGACAATGCCAGATGGGAAAAACGGACAATGCCAGATTGGAAAACGTATTGTCAAGAAGAATGAAACATATTAAAAGGAAACTGTTTCCGCCTGTGAGCACATACTGAGTTTGAGAGTGAATGGCAAGCCAAGCCCAAGATCTAACTTAATTTTAGCGAGAAACAGACCCGATGAAACGGAAGACGTTTAACATTTTCATTTATCACAAGAACACCCTTGGTTATGGTCTAGAAAAACGTTAACATTGAGTGTCACCGTGGCAAAGTTGATGTCATTTCTGGAAGAAGTTTTCGATTTGAAAAAAAAGCAAGCCTGACTTTTATTTTCGGATGCATGAGGTTGAGGATGAGACACCGGGAGAAATTCAAATTGATACTCCCTAGCTTAGGATGACGTAGAAGTAGCTATTGCTACAGATTTGCGATCATAAGCATACCATGTGCTCGGGCTCGCCCTCGCTGTATCACTCCAGGAGATGTTCTTGCTATCGATTCGCACTTTAATTGGTTGAAGAAGATGGATCGCAGTCTTTCACCCGGTACTGCTGGACGAAGGCCGTCCGCAACATTGGCAAATAGCAAAGCCGGCGTTCCAACCGGTGCACCTGCGCGCCGAACGTCAAGTGCCGCGGAAAATACTGCCAAGGCGAGGCCGAGCGGGAGCGTGCCTGCCAAAGCAGCAGCGGCCGCTTCATCGACCACCAGAAGTCTGAGTCCAACTGTCAGAGCATCAGCAGCCACTTCATCAACGGCAACAAGACCGCCCGCAGTTGAGCAGCAACCTCCTGTCAACGAAGTTGCAGCTAGCTCAGGAGCGGCTACGACCGAGAAGCCACCGGCTGCGACGACCGCTCGCGACGTTGGTAACATGCAGGCTGATCAGGCGCAAGCCATGCAAAGCCAGAACGGTGAGAGTGACGGAGATGTGCCCGGGAATGTTGTGAATACTAACGGCGACGGATCTGCCAGAATAAACGAACCTTCTCCAAGCAGGTCCAACAACAACGCCGTCGGGACTCTATTTCCCGAGGAAACAACGAGAAAAAAACCTGCAATGCTCGATACAGCGTTGGCTGGCGTCGGAAATTTCTTCCGAAAGCTTCTCAAAAGCAGAAAATTATACACTTTCGCGGGCGTGTTGCAGATGGTTTTTGGTACTTTCCTGCTCGCCTAGCCTAGGCGGCCTATGTTTTGGCTGTCATAATCTTCGCTGTTTTTTGATTGTGATACACGACATCATCGAAAAAAGTCTAATCACATTGCCCTGACTAGTATCTACTCTGCTGTTGACTATTGCTTTCTTAGTAGGTGCCGGTGTGCTCGTAACTTTGTTTTACGTGCCGAGTTTTGCCGTCGCGCAGGGATCAACGTGGGAGGCAGAGGGTTTTATCGCCTCATTGCACTTGATAGCCGGATGCTTGCTTCTGCGCGCCACAATGAAGAAGCGGCGGTCCTTACTCCGCTACTACTTCTTCCTCGTGCTTGTGAACGCCTTGACGTTATCTTTGCATTCAGTGCCCAGCGCTGGCGTTAATTTCGATTTTACACCTCGAAATATTTGGCACAGTAGCTATTTTACAACTCGGAATAACGCGGACACATCACCGACGCCGCCTGACTCGAGCATCTATGAAACAGATGCTAAGGCCGCGTCTTCTTCCTCAGGGACGTCCGGCGGTAGCACCTTTTTCTCGCCCTTGCTTCCTGCGACAAGCCACACTGGTTTGTGGTACTACGATGGGGAACAACTGTCCTGCAGTTGCCGGTATGCGGTTGGCCTCGACGGTTTTGCGAACTGCGAATTACTTCGGGCTTTCGATTCGAAGCTGATGAATCCCTACCCGAACGTCGTAGAGGAGCCAGAGCTGTTTCTTGCGCCACCACCGGGAGTCGACTTTGTAGAACAGGATGCGGTTGCGACTGCGTCGGATGGCCGCGGGTCGATGTCAGCGGCAAGCGGTACCTCACGTCTGTTCACTCCTCCAGTGCGGCCACGCCGATACGAGACGGTCTCGGAGCTTCTCCGAGAGTTGGGGATTACACAATCAAATGCAAATAATGCATTTGATGCAAATAGTTTGCAGGAAATGAAACCACCCGAACCACGCGAGCAGGTACAACAAGTACAACGGGATGCGGATAGTGAGAGTGACAAAGGCACTTCTACTCCTACTGCGTCCGGACCTGCACCGACCCTTCCCGCCGATCCCGCATCGGAAACGCAGAAGCATCTTCAAAGCAGCGACTCACCTGCAGCAACAGAAACCCCCAAGGCGGCTGCATTGGAACTTCATGAGGCGTCGTCTTCCTCCGCTCAGATGATACTGTCTGGCGTGACAGAAAAAAATGTGTTGGCTCAGCAGCAACCGACGATGGAAAATCCCAATGCAGCTCTGGCAGCTCAAGTAGCTCAAGCGCTTTTGGCAAGTACGAGTGGCGCAGCGACTAATCCGACAGCGCAACTGCAAAGTTCGATAGCGCCAATCATTTTGACGTCCCCGACCGGTATTGGGGCACAGCCTATCGCTGTTCCTGGGAGCCTCGGTGCTACATCCGTGTCGCCGCCAGTGCAGACGCGTGTCGAGGTCACGATCGCGAAAACGACAACGCCGCTCATCAATATTGGTTCTGCTACTGCTTCCGCATCTATTCCACCAATCCAGACCGTTGCAGCGCCTGCGCCTGCACAGCCAATTATAGTGCCTGCCCAACCGCATGCCGCTGTCCCCGTTGGCGCTGGCGCAGTCACAACTTCCTCTGCAGCGCCAGATCCGGTTCATCCGGTTATTTCGAAGGTTACGCACTCCGCAGAAGAAGTGCCGCAGCCACACCCAGACGATTCTTCGGCTCACCATATTAGTCACGCAATATTCGTTCCATCTGGATCACCAGGTCCAGAGGGAACTTTTCATAGTGGCGCAGCATTGCCACATGAACATTTTCCTGCCACAATTGCGAAAGCACCTACCACGACCCCAGAGCACACATCGCCTCCGTCCTTGCCGGATCAAAACGTGTCGCCGGTTGGAGCGCCTCCGGAAGCAAGCATCGATGCAACAGAAAAGCCTGTGGCGTCTTCAGTAGCAACGCCACCGGCCGTCTCGGGCTCAGACGGCAACGAAAAGTCAATTATAGGCCTCCCTGAACAAAAAGAAAGCGGCATTGCGGAAAACAAAGATGAACAAGCACACGCGGCGGAAGAGGTGCGCAACAACGATAAAGATGGAAAAGCTGCTGAGCAACATGGTAATGAGCACGAAGCCGGCGCCGCACTACATGATGCAAATGGGGCTGATGCTGAGGCAGCAGTGACTGAGCAGGAGAATCCAACAACACATATGAATGGAGAGAGCGTAGGCACTGGCGAAAGCACGTCGCCTGAAAGTGCAAGCGGATCGCCGAGTCCGTTTGAAGAAAACACTGCCGGAAACGGCAGTGGCGATGCGTTAGCAGAAGCAGGTAGCGTTGGCGCTGATGTGGAAGAACTAGAACATGGAAGGGCGACTGGGGATAACGACGATGAGAAAAATCATGTTGATAGCGCCACTGCGACTGCAGCTGTTACCGCGTCTCACAGTGGTACCGCGGAAGCACAACACACGAGTTCACCTCCATCGACGCTTGCTCCTTTGGTTACGGGAGCCGCGTCGAAAGGTAATTCTGATACGGGAATGCCGCGAATGCCACTCGAAGAATCAGCCAAAGATGATGATGCGACCGCAGGTCCTGTTGGAGCAACATCTGCTGACGATGATGCGACCCCACAAGCAGATGGAGGTCTTCCGGGTCAGGATGACGCAACAGATAAAGAACACGTCGACCAGAGTCCGTCGCTCGAGGACCAGCAAAAGCGAGCTATACCTATACCAGCGCCTCCGCCAGGAATTGGCATTGTTAGTGGTCATGACGACGGCAGCGGACAAGACTTGATCGCGCAGCTCGGAGACCACGCTGGGGACTCCGGTGCCGCTCCTCTGGTGGCCAACGGTCCCGGTCCTGGCCTGGCCAATTACCATACTCCTACGACAGCGCCTGGTCCTTCGTCCATTATGAGCAACACACACGGTGCCGCAGCAAAGAATCACGAAGACGGAGTGCTTTCGCAGGAGAAGCCGTTTCGGTTTCGGCTCGCTGGCGGAAAATCGTGCGGAGCAGTGCTTGCTAGTATCGGGAAGCCGATTAGTAAACTCGCGGTGCAGGCAGACAGCTTTGTCGAGCGCGTGCCAGGTTATCTTGCCGACCATGGAGACCCGGCAAGCAACGGAGAGAATCAGCCTGCGCCACCTGTAACCAGCAGTACCTCGAAGGACCTCATTCCCGGAGACGCAACCACCCGACCTGAGGCTCGTACTCATTCTGATGGCGATATGCGGAGAAGAACTGAGATGCATCCACACGAAGACACGTATCTGAAAATTAATCCGAGTCTAATCAGTGGGGCTGCCACAAAAAGCATGCACGGTTTTGCTGGTAGCCACGCGTCGCCTGTGCCTCCAAATCGTGGTCGTGAAAATTTTTTTTCATCTTTTGCAGATGGGGGTGCGTCCGCAAGCAGAGATCAGGAGGAAGTTAAACACCAGGGAGAGCATGAAAGAGGTGCGGTGCCCGATGCAGCTCCGCTGAAGAACAGTATGACCACGAAGCCGAATGAGGCTTCCCCACTGGCTCGTGGTTCGCCCATCACGAGTGCGCATCTGCCAGGTGCCGACCAGACTGCGGCAAGTTCAAACGGTCGCAAGCAGTTGGATTCTGCAGCACCACTCCGATATTTCTACGCCTTTCGAGATCATGAGGGCAAGATCATGTGGCTCATGCTTGTCTCCGTTCCGCCCCACAAGCGCCGCCAGCATACGCATGAAACCCCAGGAAGCGGCAGCTCTCCACCCTCATCTGCCACATCAGTGTTGTGGCATGACAAGCCGCACCTCCTTCAGAACAATATGGATGAACATCTCGAAGAGGAGGACCTAGGCCTAGCTGGCGAGCGGTTTGTACTGGGCAGGGTCGTGCGTGACGAAAAAGATAGCTGGTTTGCGCATTATCGTTGTCAAGACCTGCATTGCGAAGGGAAGAAAGAGCCTGCCAAATCGGCAACTGGAGATCAAGGCAAGGCCGCAGGGCCTGACGAGAACCGGCACCTAGGTGCGGGAGAGGCGAGTGCCTCAGCTGACGCGAAGCTATTGCACGACCCGCCGCAGCCTCCCGCTTCTGCTGCGGAAATTACACCAACTGCTGCATCTCCCGATGGCGCATTTGGGTCTGCGTCGGAGCGGAACAAAGAGGCCCCAAGGCATCATGGTGCAGAATTGCCTGAATCTTCATCCGCGCAGTCCGCTTCTCCTGCTTCATTTGCTATTCCGACACAAGGTGACGCACCATCTGCCGAGCACCAGCAAGTTGGAGATGCCCATCATGTCGAAGGGTTCTCTTTTGGTCGCAATTGGGCGGGTTTTGAGTATTCACACCGCCCAGAAACTGATGAGACGTTCGTTGCACTGCCTGTTGAACCGGAGAATGAGGAAACACGTGAGAGACTCCAAGCGTTTGTGCGCCCTGCGCTTGAGACACTAAAAGCAGAGGACATGGCGAGAAATGCTCATGCTGCTGCAAGTGCCAACCCTGTTGCTACTCCGCCTCTGGCTTCCGACACGAGTTCTGCAGCGACTCAGTCCATTGCCGTAAGTGATGGGGCAATGGCGCCGGTCCACACCGTAGCTCCCATACTTCCAAGCGCTCCGGTTACCGGAAACCCGGTCTCTCATCCAGCAAATCAGCTTGTTTCGGGTACCGGAACCGTAAACGCGCCAGGCATTTCTTATCAGGCGTCCGGATCTGTTGGCACGCCACCGGTAACACCGGTGGGTGTCGTGGGCCAGCCGATTTTTACTTCAACGCATCACGTAGTCATCGCCACCACGACAGTGCACAGCGATTCACCACAACATGCCCATTCGTTTGCAGTGCAACAAGCGACTGCGCCAGTCGCCCCACCAAGTGCATCTGTGCCTAGGAATCAGGGAAGTGTGGCTGGTGTAGCTATCCCAGTGGCAACTCCAGTTGTCTCTGCACCAACAATAATCACTGGCAAAAGTAGTAGCAGCACAGCACAAGTACAGGAACATCAGCTGTTGAGACCTTCGACGGATTACCCAGAATTCCAGCAACCGCGCGTGAAGATGCTGAAGGCCACGAAGCTTGACAAGGCGCTGCAAAATGGAGCGTCGGGAACATTCTTTGAAGAGAGCAAGAGACGCGGAAACACGCGGCAGGACTTCTTTCGTGTTTTACGCTCTATTTTAGACGAGCAAGACCATCTCCTAACGAAAGCCGCACGCGAAGCTGTTGCCATGAAGCTGGAGGCTGATGACAAATTTGAGCCCACGGAGTATCTTCTTGATCGCGGCATCGTTCGTAAGTTGGTGTCTGGACTGCTTGCGCATGACGCTGCTGCACACTACAGTTCCTCTTCCTCGAAATGGCAGCATCCACACCTAACAGCGGTCTTTGCAGGACATGCGGCGCCTGCGGTTGCTGAAAAAGAGCAAGACCATGAGGAGCCGCCGCAACATCACTCACGCTTCGCATCGAAGGTTCTAGGCTTGGTGCAGACGAAAAGCCATAGTCGCGCCACTGTATTCAGCGATCACCCGCAGCCGGTTTCAATGACAGCGACCGGCACGACGATGACACCTTCGAGGGTATCTTCTTCCACTACAACTGTTGTTGCCATCGTTTCGGGAGGTTCCGGAACGCCAAATGGAAGTGGGCCACTTCGCTTGCCCGTGCTGCCTCTGCAGCAACGTTCGTCTCCGGTTTTCGGAGCAATCGATGGAGAGCAGGCCTTGTCGCTGCATCGCAACAGATTGCCTCCGTTACCAGCGAGTAGCTCACCGTTTGTACATGTGAATCCATTTCTTGGAGCGTCCACCTCATCTAGAGCGCCAGACTGTCGCTGCAAGTCGCCGTGCTACGCGTTTCCACCGATAACGAGCGGTCCGTGGTCTAAGATGGCGCGCTTGTTTGCATCTGTTCGTAACCGCACTTCCGCATGGTTTTCAGATGAAGATCGCGACCGCGAGGCTCCTGCGTCGAGTGGTGCTGGTGAAGGGCATACAAATCAGGGACGTGACACGAGCAGCACAAGCGCTAAACAGGGAGAGGATGCGGATCACGCATCAACCGCGGAACAGCAACCCGAACCCTTACATGCCAGCCACACGAGTCCTTCATCTTCATACTCATTTTTGCAACTGAATAAGAAACTGTTGCGCCGGGAGGCCATGAGCAAGAAAACGACATTGAAGCAGAAAAAAGTGCAGCAGACGGAGAAAAGTCGTGGATTTTCAGGAACGGTTAGTTGGGGTCTTCGGTTTCAGATGCGGTGGTGCGAATTACACCCTGAGAGCCTTGCGGGATGCGCAGCTCTCTCGTTTTCGTATGTCGAGGGCCCGGGCAACCGCTACTATAGTCGCGACGCCTGCTCCAAAGTGGACGAGTTCAATTGCCACTGTTCGGGTCTCCTCCTTCCGGGTCACCCAGGAGAAGCTCAGTGTGTCTCGCAACCCACCAATCACCACCCTCATGGTACTGACCATCGATTTCCCACAAAAGAACTGCGGCACAACTACATCTACAATGCTGCTCCTCCAGCGACTTCAACTGCTGCAGCACCACCAACTCCCGCAGTAGCTCCAGGCAACCACGCGCCTGCCGCGACTGACCAAATTAGAGCAGTACCGAAGCCGCGGGTTCCCGCGGTGCCGTCCGCAGTAAGCAGTGGTGCTGGCACTGTGTTGCTAGTACCTACAGGATCAGTCTATGTTGAAGTTGAAGAGTCTGCAGCTTCTGTTGCCACCACTGCAGCAGCTCCTGGTCAAGACCAAAGATTGATACCACCTCCAACTCCACCAGATAGACCAGTGGTGGCTCCATCTTTCAATGTCCCGACGCAAGGACAAGAGCAACCTAAGTATAATGGGAGTCCTCAGGTTCAGGTTGTCGATCAAAACGCGGAGTTGGCAAAAAGAACATCACAGGGGGCACAGAATGGTATCAAGGCATCATCAATAGGTCAAAACAACCACGACCATTCCTTTCAACCTCTACGACCCGTGACAATTTCGAGTACAGGAGAGGCATCAGCCGAAGCCCGTGAAGATTCAGTCGCATCTCTGACAACTTCTTCAGATCTTGGCGCTAGTACTACTGCTGCGAAACCCTCATCCACTTCGTCGGAAGAAGCGAAAAATGAGGTCGTGCCGGCTTCACCACTACGGCAATGGTGTCACGTATATCCGGAAAATGTATGTCCAGACGCAGGTCTAGGACCGCTGACGACCTCAGCGTTCGCGTGTGCGGTCGACGGCCGCGCCGCCTGGAAGCCGGAACTCGCAATGGAACGTTGCAACCTTTTCGTGGGGTCGTTTCGTCTTCTCATCGTTCTAAACCTCTTTGTATCGTTTTTCATGCTGCTGGCAGTGAGCATGACTCTCGCGAGTGGTGCAGCGCCTTTACGGAAGCCGCAGTCAGCTGCCACGGGAGCCGGTGGCGAACGAGCATCAGTCCCAGGAGCAAGAGCAGGCGTCGGTCGTGCTCAAGATGCAACAACCGCGGGAGGAAGAGGAGCAAATGGTAATAGTAATGAGAACACAATTCTCCAAGAACTACCCAGCAGCGGGATGGACGTCCGTAACAACGCTACAACCCTGCAACTACCCAGCGGTGGTACAGACGTACCTTCAGGGCGTGTCACAGTCGAGGTCGAGCGAACTACTTCGTACTACTCGTCCTCTTACTCTTCCTCGTCGTGGAGCTCGAGTTCTCCATCTCGCGCGTCGTCTGATAGCAGCCGCGGTGGTCGACGGAACGAGCCTTCTCGTCTCTACTTTTACGCAGACCATGCGGATATCGATGATATCCAGAGTGACGCACTAGTTCAACGTGAGGATCTAGACTTATTACAACATCTAGATGTTGAAGAAAATGAACAATGGAGTGAATCTCACTTGGAACAAGAAGGATTTTTAGGGGGTCGTGGGAGCCTCTCGCAAAGAGGTAGACACCAATCACGATCTGGTCCTCCGAAAGTCATACTGCGCGATTTGCGCGAGAGCAAGACAGCACCGAGCGGTGTTGTTGAGCACTATGTTATCGCATCGGACGACGAAATATCAGAGGCTTTTGCCTCCTCTTGGACAGGTTCGGGGGCGAACACACCCCGACTTTTGGATAGTATTCGTTTTGCACAGAAAGACCTCGAGGATAGCGAGCGGCTAATTACTTGTCGAGACAATGCTATTGCTATTTCCCAAAATTTGAATTCATCTTTTGACCATCTTCATCATTTTGATTCCTTCAATAGCAATATGATAGCAAAAAATGAACCTTTTTCAAACAGGGGCATAGAAATAGAAAAAAGTGTAACATTTTCACACGTCGAAGACACCGGTTTGTTTAAGTTTGAGAATACAGCAAATGCAAAGGAGCATGATAGATCCGAACAACAAGAAGTAGAACTAGGTGATGAGCCACAACTTTGCGTTGATGAAGAGGACATCATCTCCGATCGATCACACAGCTATGCGGTGGAGGATTACGGTTATCTGCGTAAAGAGACTATCTCGCCGCTCGGGCAACCCACCGAAGATGTTGATAACGATAACGAAGGCACATAAGCCTGATGAAAGTTTTCACTTTCTGAAAATATGTGGAAAGCCCTCCACGATCACGTCACGTCATTAATAGTGTCTCTTCGACTTCGTGTCCCGTTAGCGTGCTTCAGACTAGCGTAATGCATTGTTCTAGTACCGAGGCCTTTCGATGTTGGCATCGGTCGCACTTCTCACGCCAAATAGTAACTAAGCAGAGCTTTTCCTTTTCAGTCGAGTGATTCCGATAGGTCGGAATCGAAGACGCGGTTTTTTGTGTCGCACGATCTCGGTCATGCAACTTCGAACGGATCTAGAAGGCTTTGTTGTACAAACTTGAAAAAAGCGCACGAAGAAATAGAATAAGACAAGAAAGACTACCTCCAAGAAAATAGAAGGCTTATGAAGGAAAGTCGTTCTTGGGATTGAGTAGACAGTCAAACACGACCCAATTTTGTTTTATCTCCTCGGAGAATGAACTAGTTGACCATGATCGAGCCGATTATGATTGAAATTGACAAAAGCCTCAGCACGTAACTAATTGAAGTTAAAGTTAAACGAACAATACGAATACAAAATCAACATGGCTGCAACAGTGAGCGTGCAATTTCGCCTGGCAGCAGCCCATGAAGAGGTGCAACTTCAGCGTGAGATGCGTACTCGGCTAGCACGGCGAATGTTCCGTCGCTCTCTAAATGCGTACGAAGTGTGCACGTACAGGGTAAGCGGCGGTATAGCGATCGAGAAGGGAGTGCTCCGCATCATCGCTAATTTTTTTAACCCACTGGACGCAGCTGAACTTCATCTCGCTGCGTCGTTGCCAGCCTACTGCCCTCGAGAACTCTCGAAGCTTGTTGCGGTGGCAAAGAATGGTAGCTCTTCTTCCAGTTTGGGGCGCTTTTGCTTTCTTCCAGGAACGCTGGATACGCAGAGCTTCGTTGCTGTAAAAGTGCTGGTTGGATCATGCGCAGTTGCCGGGGACAACAACGATCTGGAAGTCAAAACGATCGGGTCGTTGCATCGTAGCACGTCTATAGGGGAACTCCGCGCACATTTTCTCTTAAGATGAGAGCGGACTTGAGTCAATTCCAGTATATCACCAAGATGAATAGAAGGTTACTTAGTTCGTCTAGAAGCACTTTCAGATAACGTCTCTACGGTCATCAGGAAAGTTGGCAACAAAGGCATATGCATGCATGCATGCATGAAGGCCGTGAATTAAGTAGATTCGCCATACGCTCCATGTGCTTGCACAACACGAGTATGTAACCCTGTGAAACAAATCAATACAAATCGTGGTCAAGAGATGGACCGCAAACGAACTAACTATAGATTCCTGTCTAGGGTTGTCTTTCTGATGTTGTTCTGCCCGTCTCTTTTTATCTTCATACTAGCGAAATGGGCTGTTTCTACCACCGATCCGTAAAGATCATCGACATCCAGGAGACGGTTGCGCCCTTAAGGTTTTGCCATTCTTCGATGAGAACGCCCGAGGTGTCGCTCTGCAAGAGAGTCTCAGTAGGCGCCAAGGCCTGTCGCTTCACTGCGCCTGTCATTGGGTGAGGAAGATCGCTTCCGCTAAAAGCAAACACACCAACACGGGATCGCAGGATTCAAATAACTCAAAGCGTAGGCGACTAGACAACTCGCGCGGAATGAATGGCACTACTAGTGCAGCTGCTTCTCGACCATCTGCCTCGACGACTCCAAGCGAAAGAGATATTAGGAATGAGCACGGTGAAGCAGCTGCAGCGCAGGATGGCAGTCCGCGAGGAAGAACAAGTGAAGATAACGATATTGCTTCTACTCGTTCCGAAACGGATGAGCTCACGACTCCAGAAGAGGAAGAAGAGAATTTAGCTGATCTGTACAACACACCCTGTGCTCCAGCGGATATGGAGAAACTGACGATAGGGCAGCTATGGCAGTTTTTTTCGAAGGTTGCGGCACAACGGGATCGAAACGAAGCTCACAGTACTTCTAATATAACCACAACAACATCGTCTTCCACGACATCCTCATTGCAAGCAGAGCAAGGTTTACAGCAGCGGACCATCTGGCTACGACTTGTCAACACATTTGCTCCAACTCCTTGCCCGAAGTGCCGTCTTCCTTGCGTTTCCTCGGTCGACGGAGGAAGAATGCTACACAATCATGCTTCGGCTGTCAAGTGTGCCGGCATTTCTCCAGCACGCATGAATGGTCAAGGGAGTGTTTCATCGTCGTCTCGTAGCTCAAGTAGTACAATGTCTGGTGTCGAACATTCCCCATCAACATCAGTTGCGGCATCAGCCAGCCGCGGAACCAGGACCAAATGGACATCAACAGTGATCGCATCCGACCCTCTCGGTAATAAAGTGCATGAGGGATTGCAAATAGTTCATCTCCATGGGGTCTACCAATGCAACAGATGCTGGCAGAAGACTCTCTCTGTCAAGGTGCGGAGTCACATGGAAGATCGACGTGGCTCTGCAAAGATGCTGAATGCGTTAAAAAATACGTAGAGTTTTGCTTTCTCAATGTTGAATTGGTACAAGTCTGGCGGTACTGCGACTGAAACTATGGACTTTTTCTGCAGCTTGCTGTTGTTTTTTGTTCGAAATAGCAGCTTTAAGATATAATAAAGAAAGCCGAATTTTTAGTCTGATCGGAAAGTAAGTGTAAAAAGTCTAAGTACCTACGTCGGTCCTCTAGTAGAAGGTGAGCAAAAACGTTTTCGAAGGTTGAGAAAAGGTGATCAGACATAGAGTTTTTGCATACTAGATGAAGGATGCTACAACATGTGCATTGAGAAACTGAAACATAATGATTCCATGAAAATTCTATGAAAACAAATTTATTTTCTCCAGAAGAACTTGTGGGTGGCATGCAAATTATGTATCAGACTTTATTTTCTGACAGTATTTTCTTCCACTTGCACTTGTTAATGTTACTAGTACTCTTCTATTATTTGTTGCGTTTTGTGACGTGAGGATGAAAATGATCGGGTACTAAAAAAGTCGTACTGCTTGATCGTCGAGAGACCCACACAAAAAAAATGAATGCTGAGTGGGAATGGGATCTTTTCAGACTTGCTGACGGTCTAGAGGTGGAATGGGTCGAGCCTCGCACTGAGGGCGAAGGCATTTCCCAGTTAGCTAGCTACAGCGTGCGCGTATATGTACTTTCGCGCGAACTGCCTCTCTCATTCGGATTCAGCGGAAGCACAGAGCAGGCCCACGCTGCTTCAGCGTCAGAGTCTCCCTATCTTCAAGTCGGAGATCGGCAAAGCACTATGCACAAGAGTAGGACGCCGAGCACGACCACAGCCACAGGCGCATCATTCGGCGTTTCATCAAGTCGTGGACATCAAAATGGTGAAGACGAAGAAGATTCTGCCAAGGCCATGCGGGCTGCAGCAAATCTATCGCAGTTTCAGACGGGCGACAATGATACATCGTCCTCAAGTGACCGCGAATCTACATTCTCCTCCGATGCTGGTGACGAGGAGCAGGACCGGAAAGGTCAAGCTGCTGTCGAGAATACTTCTACTGCTGACGAAACTCAAGGACATGCACGGAGCAAATCCAATATTGATGGCGGCGGACGCTCTAGCACGAGCTCAGCAACGTTCACTGCTGATGTTGATCCAAGTGCAGGTTCTTCGTTTTCACCACCAGCCCGTACCACACGCAAAAGTCAACAAATCAGCACTTCGACGTCTTCTTCTGCATCTACTCCTGGTCAAGAACACATACATCGGCGTCAAATTGCGGATGTCAGACGCTTTTACCACGATCTCGTTTGGTTGTGGGATTCTCTGCAAAGACAGCATGAGCATTGGATACTACCAGCATTACCGGGAAAAAACATTCTTTCGTCTCTCACAGACAAAAAAAAGCTCCTGGCGCGCGGCCGCTGGTATGTATGGACGTGATTACGAAAAATTGATGCTGTTCTGATTTTTCCCATCATCTTCTCTTTCTTCAACAGACGTTGACGTTTGGGGAGTTTTTTCTTTAGCATAGCAAAATTATCATGTAACGCAGCATTGATGAGATCAGGGTTCTAAATGTGTCAATTGATGAAGAAAGCGAAAGGCCTTGCGATCGTAAAAGTATATGCACCTGCACCACATATTCTACCCACATCGTTCATGCTTGACCGATGCCATGAACCAACTTCTGTCTGAGCAGTTAACGTCTCTGCGCGCTAACCGATGCGTTTTCGACTTCCTTTTTTTCAGTAGCATTATTCGCGCGCAGCAAACCTACAAAACTTCTGAGAGCAACAATCAAGATCAGCTCCAGCTTACATCGCTAACGCCTTCTCCTGATCCTCAACCTGGCGACCTTCACGAAAACCAATTGTTGGCGTCATCGTCTAGTAAGAATACACTAGTACTAGGGCGAGCGCTACAACGCAAAAATAGCAGGAGTACAACTGGCACGCATTCGACGACCATACCATCTTCATCTGTTGCTTCACAATCGTCTACATTGTCTATGAGAACGGGCATTCCTCCAGCTGATCATGGTGAAGCAACGACTACTGGTACTGTTTCGGATGAGGATGGGGCAAATCTGCCTGAGTTGCTGCGAGAAGCGCACCAAGCCAACAGGGCTTTATCCGTGCAATTGCGGATGTCAAGTGTCGTTCGCGGTGTTACTTCGTACGTAAGTCAGAATCTTCTGCCCACCTACGCTTCTGATCTTCTTTCTACGACCAGATGCCGGACTCTAAGGAACGGCCAAATAGACGGCGCGTCTCAGCGTGATCAAGTTGGGAGCAAAGATTCCGCTGCCATTTGGTTGGACAAGGCACGCGCGCGATTTGCAATTGAGGATGCCTACTTGGCTGACCGGCTTCGAACAGTGGATAAGTCGTTGCAGAATATGCGCATCGCTTTTGCCCGTTTGCTCGAATGGCGCGATGCTCATTCAGAAGTCGGCTTTTTGTTGGAACGTAGCGATCGGAGCGTTCAGGCGCTCGAGGCGGGCAGTCGATACTTGACGCATATAGAAAGTTCAGTGCTTTATCCGCTTGAAAGACTGTCCCGGTCTATTTTGAATGCACAGGGAACGCTGAAGCGAAGACACAAAAAACATATGATGACAGGCTCATAGCTACACTGGAAACTTTCATCTTTGTCTACTGCACAACTAGAGGAGGTAGAGGAAGTGGAGAATCATTTATCCTCCAATCTAGTTTTGCAGAAAGAAGTGATAGTGATACTGACCTTATTCTTATTATATGTCTATGTGCATAGTTCACAAGCACAACTGCTGTTCCTGGTGACTTTATCATTGGCGTGGAAGATCCAGATCCTAATCAATGATTATCATGATTGAAATAAAAACTTGCCTCCCGATAGTAATGCTTGATGTCCTGCTTATCCTCCTCCACTTTCATATGCGTGAACCTTATCGTGGAAGGGGAGGATATCGCTGCCGCCAAAAAAAGACAATATGTGAAGCGCCAAGAGCAGATTCGACAGAAACTGGGACAGCTTGGTAAGAAAAACTTTTTTTTTTGGATGAAGTAAGATCAACATCATCATGACGTTATTGTTACTCAACTGTATGCGTCACATTATTGGTGAGAAACATCACACGCTAATCTACCCATAGTGATCCATCTCCATCTTCAGGTGCCATGACAGCACCTTTATCTGGCAGACGTGGCACCTCGTCCACATCAAGAGATCCACCGCAAGATGACGCGACTCCGCAGGCTTCGGCTTCCGATGACCCGACTAATTCCCCAGAAGCCGATCTAACAGTAGGAGCAGGAGAAGGTCAGCAGAACACCTCCAACGCGGCCTTCCGCCTCTCTGAGGAGGATGAGGCACAACAAATCGCATTAGCGGAGGACATTTCTCGTTGGCAGCGCGTCCTCGTGACAGAGAGAGAAAAACTAGAAGCTTTCGACGACGCGGTGGAGCATGAGGTGAGCCGCTTCCAGTCTTGGCTCCAAAAAACTCTATTGCCTTGCGCTGATGCCTGGGAGGAATCTTTGCGAAATTTTGGCAGCGGCCTTGCTGCAGTAAATGTGGCGATTCCTCGGTAAAATGAGGCCATGAGAAGACACAGCTTGATCGAGTAGGCGCTTCTTCTGGTCCTGCTTCTGCTACAACAAGCAAAATATTGTTGATGGATCATGCAGCAACATGACCAAGACCACCCTGCTACTTGATCATGTAAAAGAACTGCATCAACCTGAACGCAGCTTTGAGTACACAAAGTAGAATTGCAAACAAGACTGGTATTCTTAGCCTGCGGTCGCTACCTGCTTAAAATCAAGAACGCTTTTGCCGAATGGTTTCCGTCTTGCTATTCTCTAATATCGAAGCCAAAAACAAATTAATAGTGTGGCATAGAAGCACCGAATCATCCACTTTATCTGTATGTTATGTCTATGTAGTCACGAGAGGAGGCACTCGTCATCGGGGTAAGTACAACCTCAACTACAATCGCAAGTGTCGGTAATAGTTGATCGGTTTTTTACAATCTTTTGGGAAACCCTTTTGTATTCTGTATTTCCCTACAGTTCGAAATGATCGTCAACCTCACCATCCATCCCTCGCACCGCTTTCTTCATGGCGTCCGAAGGTACAAATTCGTTGAAAAGCTGTACTGTTAATTTTTACAGCATGGCGCGCGCTGGCTGTGGCTATGGAAAAAAACGGATTACATGTCCTCGATTCTCGTCTCGCCTCCCCAGTAGCTTGTGTTTGTGAATCAATGTTGTCTTAAGAAGTTTCGATGACACGTTGCTTCCTTGTTCATACTTGTTAAGTACAACACAAAGAAATTGCACTCGTCCATGTGGTACAGCACACCAAGATGTGATGAAATAGCCTAGTGCACCCGGGCCAACTTCTGCTAGTTCTTTTTTTGCTTATCCATCACCGAAGTAAAGATGCCAGACGCGAGCGGAGGACCGGAGCGCGTTATCCAGGCTGACAATGTTTTTGAGATGAGCAGCTGGGTAGTGAACAAGCCGAAAAAGGTTCTCCAGCGGCGCGCCTCCGAGGGAAAGAACTTTCATCGGGGTGGCCACAACATCGATCAAGAAATGCATCATCAAGACGGAGCAGGCTTCGCCCCAACATCCAACGCGGCTGCTGGATGGTCTGACCACGGTATTGCAGAGCCGACAAAACAAGCAACGTCGACTGCAATTCCCGGTATCAATGAGGAAGACTTGTTGCGAACCTTTTGCGGCAAAGCACAAGCTGAAGCGAACATGGGGATCCAGAAGTCCGAGAGCATAGACCGTCTCAGCTGTCCGAAAGGCGTAAGCCTCGCGGGCCGGATCGCGCAGTCCGTTTTGCACAGCCGATCATACAAGAATCTGTTCTTCACCAACCCGTTTCCGGAAGATGTAAGGCTTGATAGACCTCAGTCCGTTTACTTAATTCGACGCTAGAGTTAACACATCACTGATGCTGATGATGAGTCTGGTGCTCAATCTTTTCGATCTGTAAGTTATTCTTTTGCTCTAATTTCTATTTCATTTGAAGATAGTTCCAATATAAGATTAAAGTAGTAGCTATGGATTATAGTCGTGAGCTGTACTGCTCTCTCACTCTCTCTCATATTTGGATGTGAAGAAGCCGACGAAGACAGAGCAGGCAGCGCGGGACAAGGCCTTGTCACAACCCGTGAAACCATTGGAGGCTCGGTTAGAGAAGTTCACGAGTCAGGTTGCTTTCGGCCGAAGCGTTCCAATACTGGAACCGCTTCTGGAGGAGAAACTTCCGTGGAACCAAAAGAAGGGAAGCAAGACCCGATCTGGTGGCGGGCACGCCATGTCGAATAGCGCATTAGGAACGCACGATAGCGAACTCCCGACATACTACACGCAGAACGGACGCAGTCTAGGAACTACAGGGCAAGGGGATCATGGATTGGACCCACAAAACATGGCACAGATGCCACGAGGCCCGCTTGCGCCAGTTCCGGAGGCGGACAGTGCCATTGACGGTGGTAATCGACAGCAAAACTTTCTCTATTACCAGAATCCAAAAGTTAAGGGGGAGCAAGATAGGTTTCGTCAGGAATTCGTCACTTTCACCTTATCTGATACTGATAAAGGAGAAACACGATTCAATTACTCGGGTGTAGCATAGCATGGATAGCTTTGTCAGGTTATTATAGCACAGCATGATGATGCAACTAGTGACTTCTTTGTCCGAAAAAATCTAATGACGAAGAGGCGAAAAAGCCAAGAGATAGCTGGGTAGACCGTTTGAGCAAACCGCGTGCGGTGACGGAAAAGTTCGAGTTTCCGGTTTTTGTCGTGGACACTGCGCCAGCTGATGTCGCTGCTTCACACGAAGACCACGATCAAGGAGAAAGCGAGGACGCTAGAAAAAGCAGCAAAGCGAGTAACAGCAAAGCAGCATGTAGTAGTTCTCTGCCCGCGAGTCGTCGCGCGTCGCTGCGCAAGAACTCACTTGGGAACAAGGTTCCCGACGAGTTGCGCAATGCGGTTCACAAATTGGTTGAGCAGAATCGAAAGCCGGAGATTGTCGTTCCTGCAGACGACCCTTACCATGTTGGCGAGCATTTCGTGGATGGAACAGGGCCCGCATCGGGTTCCGCACCATCCGGCGTTGCTTCATTATCCAGTGTTGGAGTAGCTCCTAGAATCAGCAGCGATGGGCTAGTATTCGGAGGTGTGAAGAATGCAGGAAGCAAAGACAAGCTGTGGCCTGGCGAGGATACAACTGGCGGATTGTCGAAATCACGGCCATTCATCCGAGGATTGGTACCACGCTTGCCCCTTGGCGCTCCGGGAGATCATCATGCCCAAGTTGACGGCACACCGACAAGAATGTCCGGAGGAGACCAAGAGCTCCGTCTCGAAGACTGGCAGCATCGTCTAAAATCGGTATCGCAACTGGAACAAAAAAGCAAAAGTCGCCGTATTCCGTTGCAGACCCTAGACCGTAGGATTGACCCATCCGCTTCAGAACATCAATCGTATCACTCTTCCTCGTCGACATATGGCAGTCAGAATTCTTCGTCTTCTAGTGGAGCGGGAGCGACTGCGGGCTTGGATTCAGAGACGCAGGCTCGCGTAGAGGAGCTCTTTTATCTGTTGATCCTCGTGTGCCGCAAAACAGGCGGAAACCAATCGCTCCGACAGCGCGTGCAACAGTTACTGCTCGCAGATATCCAGCCCGTCTTCAAGCGCATAGGTCGCAGAGTACCCTTTCATCTCGTCAACAGCGCGCCCACGGGAACCGGAGGCTCTCAAAACACCTCTCAATACTGTGGATCACCGGATAGCATGGTGCCAGTGCTGCAGGCTTTTAAAAAGCACTGTCCGCTGCTCAGCGAACAACTCTCGAAACAGGCCGAGCGGTGTTTAGGTCGCGAACGCGTAGACAGTCGTGTGGTACTTGCTGTGCGAGATGTCTTACTCAAGAAAGAGTTCGTGCAGACCGCAGTCAACGGTGCAGGTGACGGAAACGCCGCAGGTATGGCCGGCGCTGGTGGAGGATCTTCTAATGCGGTGACCCCAACCGCCAGTAGGTCCGTGAGCAAGGCGTCCTCCTCGTCTTCATCTTCGTCCTCTCTGGCTGCGCTCGCAGGAATTACTACTAGCACAAAGACTGGAAGAGGGGCATCTGCAAACAGTGGAAAGATACGTGCTCCTGGAGCGGCCCAGGTAGGCAATATTACAATCGACGATGGTGCGGAGGCGGATCCTTTCGCCGAGATTAGTGCGCTTTTCGTGTCGGAGTGGGAAGCTGTTCAGGAACAAAATCGGATAGACGAAAGGCGGAAAAGGGAGGAAGACAAAAGTAGAACGTACAAAGCCCCACCACCGCCGAAAAAAACCAGTGCGGAGCAAGAAGAGGAGCTTGATGCTCTGGGCCTGTGCTAGACAGCGTCTTGTTCTTGTTGATCCTTTGGTCGAGCACGACCGACTTCACGCCTGCTTAGTGCATAAGCTGGATGCACCGGTTGCGGAGAAATTGAAATTAACTCGACGGATGACTACATTTTCACTTACACTTGTAGTTATATATTATAAATATATATGTTCCAGATCCAGGAGCCAGGGGCCAAGGCCCCCGCCCTCGATCTAACTTTTTCAGGGAGGGGGGCAAGCGGACCCTTTTTCCTGAGGGACTGCCGGGCGGGAAGGCCTCCAAACGCCCAACTTCGAGCCCTCGCGGCTCTTTGCATGTACCCGGCAGAACCCAAACCCCTGAGGCCGCTCAAGCACCGAAGGCCGGTGGAGGAAGGCTACCGAAGGCGGCAAAGGTGGCAAGGCTTGACCCCCTTGCCGTGTTGCATGTACCCTACAGGCCTTCCGCCTGTGGGCTCCTCACGTAGGGAGCTCTTTGGAGGGGTGGAGGGACTCCGAGGGCAGCAGGCGGCCAGGCTTGACCCCCTTAGCGTGTTGCATGTGCCCGACAGACCTCCCGTGTGCGGGCTCCTCACTGGAGGAGTTTGGCCCCTGCTGCCCCCGCAGGAGGGCCAAAGGGGCCAGGCCTCGCGACCGTGGCCGGCTTCGGCGGCCTTCTTCCCCCGGAGGCCGTCCCTCTGATAGGACCCAAGAGTCGGGACGCAAGTGGGTTACACGCGGAGAGGGGCCTCCGGCTTCGCCTTTTGAGGCTTTCCCCCCGTGAGTCCTTACATGTCACCACCGCGAAAAAAAGGGCGCGCGGACGCCCCCACCGCTCCATCCACAGGGGGAGGCCTGCACCCCTAGAACGTATACTCTGAGGATTGGCCACGAAGGAAACCAAACGTCGATAGACCATTCTTAATACTGCAAATTTCTACTGCGGTTTCGGCGAAAAAAGATTATACCGTGTCGCAGATTGACATTGATGCTAAAGCTGAGCTTGAAATTTCCCATTGTTTAAATTTAGGTCAACTTCAAGGAAAAACGATGAGCAGGATATTCCACGCTTTTGCTTCTAGAGTACTTTGAAATAATGAGTTCATGAAATATGCGCTTGATATTTGAGATTACAGCTTGTAAAGGTAAACGAACCAGGATTATGATTATGGTTATGCGCCGCAGCACACGCGCACGCACTTCTCCTTGAAAAATGCTTACTCCCTCGACGAAGAAAGTTGATGTTGTGATTGTGAAGGACGCAGAAAATGTTTTTCTTGCAATCTTTGTACCCTCCCTCGCTTTCAAGATAACGATAAAATGACTGAAAAGGTGAAAACTTATGAGAACTGGCAACTCGTCCAACACCACTCGTCCTTTCCTGCTTGTGTTGCATACCTTTAGTGCTGTTCTCACCATGCGAATGCAAGCAACTCTTCTCAGACTTCCCTGGGCATACTTACTCACTACTCCTCCAAAAGAGATGACGTTGTCAAGGGGATAGCTGAATGAAGCGTGCAAGTGACAATCCAACTTGATTTTTTTTTGTTTTTCTTACAACAAATCCATGGGGAAATTGCATCAAGCTTAAGGCAGCGACAAACCGAACGCGAGTACAACATCGTACCAAGGTATGATACGTCATTTCGATTTCGTCTTGCGTATGCTTTCTGTTTCTGAGACGATACTAGATAAAAGATCAAGAACTACTTCATCTTGAGTAGTTCTGTTTATAGCGACAACATGAAGTGATTGCGGCCTTTCTGCGCGCGGTCAGAAGTTTTTTCGCGGCCCGACAAAATAAGTACTGCGGTGGCCTGGAACTGGTCGAAGTCACTGAGATTGCCGCGACGTTAGAAGTCGTAGAAATTCGTTCTAAAGTTGCTAGTACGCTATTTCGGACTATATCAACAGACTATAATTCCAGCTCACGGATAGTCATTCGTGGCAAGCAGAGCCATGGGCGAGCAGGACTTGGAGCGCAGTCTGCTGCTCGACGAGCGCGGCGTCGGCGAAAATGACCGCTATAGTGGCGTGCTTGGTTATTTGCTCTCGAAGGTGGAAACGACGCCAACTGTGGATGAGCAGGAAATGGCACGCGAGATAAAATGTCTGGTTGGGGTACCTTACGACTCGGAAAATCCGCGCCACGTGCAGGACTTGCAGCAGTTCTGGAAATTTTTATACGTGCTACGCGATGCGGGTCCTGGATCCCGTACAAATCCTTCGTCGGTGGTATTATGTCCTATTCTTGTTCTTGGAAGCGAAACGATGTGACAGGTCTCCTCACTGGCTTGCTGTTCTTGTATTTATGGTTCATTGATTTCGGGTACAATAACTTCCTCATCTTCGTTTTTAGCTTGTACCTCTCAGAATTCGAATCTACCAGGAGTTAAAAGTGAGCTACACAAACTTGAAACTTCTAGAACTGTAAACGAGTATCTATACGAACATGCAACGACCAAAACTTTAACTGGCACCTTGAATCATGGGCTCGAAGGACCTCTTGTTCGTCGAGACCCGGAAGCCAGGTTTATGCTCCTCTAACAATTGACACGACAACCACTGACGCGGCCTCCCGCGAAGGGGCGAATGCAGCCGCCCCTGAGCCCGTCGACGACCGATGGAAACAATTGGGCTTCCAGAGCAAAAATCCTGCTACGGACTTTCGCGGTGGTGGAATTCTGAGTCTCTACTGCATGATGTAATTCTTATATTTTTTCCGATGAATTAAAATTATAAGATTGATTTTGCTTCCTAAAAAAAGTAAAAATCTTCGATTACTTAAGAAAAAGAGCTTCAATAATCACTTCTGCATCTTCTGCAGGAGTAGGTCTGCTTGACAAAATTCCTCCTGCGCTGGTGACCAATGTTCTTCTCTTTTGTGATCAGCTCATTTTTTAGGTTCTTGATCATTTCTCCCAGGTACCTCGCCGATAAATATCCCGTCGAGTCGCGGCGGATGGTTGAGGAGTCACAGAGGCAAAGCTCATTTTATCTCTTCGCCTGTGCGTGCATCAACGTCACTGTGCAGCTGATATTTTACCTGAATCTGCAGACGCCGGACATGACATACCAGGGCACGATAGTGCCTGCTCCTGTCGCTACGAAAAAACACGTCATGCACATCTTCTCAGAGTCCCATTATCAAGCGAGAGACGCCTTCGGCGAACTCTTCTCGAAGTCGATCATGAAGTTACACGGTACTTCGTAGCCTTGATTAGTATTGCGAAATCGATAAAAATGCTGCTTCATCATTCCCTTGGTCGTACTTCGACGTTGATGTAGCTATTCTTGAGAATGAGAGCGAAGATGATTTAGTAATTGTTGTAATGCTTGAAAATCAAAACAGCAATTTGGATCGAGATGTCGCTGCGTCCCGAAGGAGTAACGTTGCTGAACTTCGGCGAGGCATTAGAAAAGAATTTGAGGGCTCTCCGAAGGGCGTGCCAAGGCGCCAGCAGCTACGATAGCCTAGAGGATTTCGCGAAAATAATGGGAATTGACCCAGATAAGTGGACAACGTTGGCAGCGGCATATTACAACGATCTCTGTTGTAATGCCAGTGAGTCAGTTGCCTCTGTCCTCTTGCGCTTGATGGCTGCAACGCGGAGCATAGAATATTCATCTCGTCCGGCAAACTTTTGATCTTTTGATGTGTTAATGCAGACACTTTATTTTGCATGTGATGTCTGAGCCTCCTCCTCGCCGTCGTAATACATTTCCAACAAGTAGCACAAGCACTACTTCTATGTCACAACCGATCTCTATCGCTTCACTGTGAAGGAAGGCATGTGCATAGAGACTAGGCTCAACGGTAGAGTGTTCGTGCGCGCACACCGCTATCGCAGCATGAATCTGGTGTGGTCTTGCTGTTCCCCGACGAAGCGTGATCGTGTCTATCATCGCTTTCATTTACCCACCAGTTGTACTAGGCACAATACGCACAAGCTTCTTTGAAGTAGATGAGGATCGTTGACACAGCTCTACTTCTCCCTCTGGAAGTTTCCCTTTCTTTGAACAGGATTTATCGGTGAAATTATGGCGCTTGCTTATCGTCGCTGCCGCCATTTAAGAATGGAGGCTTGTTCTACTTCTCTCCTGAAATTCTTCTTGTTTGTTTCTGGCGTTGGTTCTTTTGCGACCGTGGTTAGCGCGGCAAGGGTGGTGACGGCGGACAGAGATTCGACAGTACACGGGGACAACTGCGATGGCGCAGCCGCGGATGCAATGTGGAGCCAGTTGTTGGAAAATGATCGTTTGATTCCATGTCGGCTGTCGCTTTCATCGCTTGGCGAATTGCAAGTTGCGAGTCGCAATTTCGCTTATCTAGTGCCTCGACAGTCATTGCTAAGTCGCGCGAAATATCTGACGCACGCAGCAACGTCTACTGAAGTTGCTGACGATTTCGATGGCGAGCGTCTGAATCTTGACTGTCGTAACGAGGACACCACAGAAAATTCCCCGTCATTAGATGAGGCACGGGGAGCAAATTCTACTGCAGGACGATCAGCTAGCAGTACCCCTGTAGAAGATGAAGTAGCACTGCGGCCATCAGTATCGCCAAGACAAGGTGGAGAAGTACAAGACGCTGTGTCAACATTACCGAGTCAAAGTTTATTTGAGGGAGACCAGGAACAGTTCTTCGTGGATGAGGTTGATGTTGCGCGTTCCTTGATGCGAGCGTCCCGGAGGGAAGCAGTGACTACAAACAATAACGTGATTTCAGCAAGAGCAGCCACACCAGTAGGTGCATCATCTTCATCAACAACTACGCCAAGTGCGGGAGGTCCAAGTTTTATGAGTATTGAGACAGCGAGAACGCTCTTGGCTAGGCCACTTGTTTACCAAGATCAAACAGAGTTAAGAGCAACAACATCAAGCGCAAGGGAAGTCGAAGACGTGGGAGAAGCAGTAACACGCATGCATGCGCTTGGAAGCCAACGCGCGAGAGCAATGGATGAGCTTGTGGAAGCGCTGGCTGCGCCAGGCTGCCGTGCAGCTGTGTCAGCAATTTCACGGATCATAACCCAGCAAAGCGCACCGATTCGCGTTCGCGTTCGTGCGATGCAAGTGACTATTGCGAGGATTCAACTATGGGCGGATGAACGGCTTCAGAGACAGCGAGACGACCTTTCAGCAGCCTTGGATTCGGTTGAGGGCATGTTTCCAGCAGCTGTGCTAGAGCATGACCGCGACGTGCGGTCATCCACGCCTTGCAGTGGTGCGTACGAAACCCTGGTGCCCGCGCTGGCTACTGTAGCTTCGAACGCGAGACAACCCGAGCTGTCACCAGGTCGAAGAGTCGGGACGCTCGTTATTCTGGAGGATGAAGCGATAAGAGAACAGGGCTTGCTGGCTGACGTGGCGGTGAACAGTCTCGTTCAGCTGACCCTTATGGCGGGAGCGCATACCGTGGGACGCGCGGCACTGCAGACGCTGTTGCGGATCTTCCAAAACACCAGTGTATCCGCAAAAACAAGAAAAATAGTCCATAACTCACTCTGTCGCTGCTCCATTCGACAGCAACTGACGACGGATAGAAACAGCCCCAATTACTTCGAGGAAGGAGCGGAAGTAATCCGGTACTTGAACTGGTATTGCACGAGCCAATCCTGGCCGTAGAATGCTCTCCTACAACGATGGTGGGTGTGTTGCGCGCACCTCGGATCCTTGGTAGAGGCGGAACCAATGAGAAACACATCCTGAACATTCTTTCTAGCACGACCCGCACGACTGACGTTATCGATATCGTCATGATGACAGTGATAGAAAAAGCACAGAGAGAGACATAAAGATACACTGCCACACATCTGCAACTTCAAAGTAGATTGTGGTTTCCAAAGCAGTAGATAGAAACTCTTTTCGATAACAAGAATAAACATCTACATCGTAGAGTAGTTTATAGACGCTGGGCACGCTGTGCTACGCTGGGTGGCTGGGCGGCCTCGCTGGGCACGCTGGGCGGCAACGCTGGGCACGCTGGGCGGGCGCTTGGATAGCGCTTAGCGGACGCGAGGGCCACACATTGGGCATGCCGAGCCTGCGCGGCCGATGGATTTACTTGCGCCGCGGGGACGCGGTGCAGCGCGTCCCGTGAGGACAAGCAAAGGCGGCGCGCCGCCCTCAAGGTTCAGGGCAGCGCTGGCGCAGTGCTGCGCCAGTTTGCGCAGTAGCGGGCTGCGCGGCGCCTGCTCTGTTCAGGCTTGCACTGCGTCGCGCTGCACTGCGCTGCTCGGTGCGTGCGATGCTGCGCCGCTCTTGTGCACAGCGGTAAACTCGCCAGCGCCGTTGGCCTTGGCCTACGCTAGACTAGCACTGCTGGTGGGGTTCTCAAGCGGGCGCCAGAAGGGCGCCCCGCAATTGTAGACGCCCAGCGTCACGCTGGGCGCAGAATTCGGCAGATCTGGCACATTTGGGTCGCCCAGCGACCCAGTGTGCCCAGCGTGCCCAGCCCAGCCATGTTGGGAACCCTTATAAACTGTTCTAACATCGTTGTAGCTGGTGGCGGATATTTACTTTACCAGGTTATGCAAATTTAACATTTTTTATGATCAAAAAGATAGACTTAGACACAGTGATTCATTTGCTTGTCATTCTCATTGTCGCTTTCGAAGATAAAAGCACACCGACAACCTCAACCCCTGCGAAACAAATATAATATATAGTGTTGTAATATATGATGAAGAACAGCAAAAATGGGTGCTACTAGTCGATGAGTATTTTGCAAAAGTGCCCGGCGCTATATCCGGACGACGTCGTCTCCCAACTTTGACCCTGCCTTTCTGTATTTTAATATGTGAAAATTGAAAGTATACGTATAGCCGAACGGAGGATGTGCCGAACGATCAAGCAGTGCAAATCTGTGACTACCGACATGTAGAGATCTTCATTTGAATTTTTGTAGTGCTGGTCACCAATCATGGAATCAGGAAGTGCCAAAAAGAGCTAGCCACATCCTTTTTACAAGATTACGAGCAGGAGAAGGATCTCGCTAACAGAGCAGCTTCAACCTGTAATAGCGGTGAAAGAGTAAAACAAGTGATGCTCGTCGTCTTCTTTCCGGGCACATATTTCGGTGCTGAGCAGCCAAGTCACTGCCTTTTTTATTTTTTCACAGCAGACCGTGGCCATAGGGACGGAAACATCAACTCACAGGTTTTCATGGACTCCTCCTCTCAATCTCGTACCATGTTGAACGCGATGAATGAAGTGTTCCGGAATTTACGACAAACAAACTCAAAGATCAAATCGCGCGTGTTGGATTTCATCCAGCCGGGTAATTTATAAGCTGCAGAATTCATTTTACACAGGGAATGCGTCTTGTAGAAAGTTGCAACTGCAAAACTCATGAGATGAATTGAATTCCTCGTCACTACCAGTACCATTAGGTAGCGACTTTTCACTCGTATCCGATTCCGAATGAGAGATCAATAGGCACCCCAGTGAACAAGATGCTGGAAGTACAGGAAGAGAAAGGGGAAAGATGGTGCGCGGCAAAAAATTGTACGCTATCTGAAGAACATGACCAGGACCCGTCAGTTTTATAGAGGGACAGTATTGTTGCTGTTGACCACGTGTGCGAACGAAGGCATCACTCTCCCCGGTGGGATTAGACATAAACAATGACACGGAGACAAAATATGGTTGCGGGGTTTCCCTGGATGAGTGAAGTAGATTTGCATTTTTTCAACAATATGGATACAATCTGGCCTTAATAGTTCCTTAACTACGAGTTCATTCTTCTTCCGCTTCACAATCTCCGAAATAGCAGATCAGTTAGTGTTTCTCTGTCTTCAGACAAAGAATACAAGTAGTAGTAGTACGATTTATAATATAGATTTAGTAAAAGTTACTAATTACAATTAGGCTCAGCTTTTCTCTAGCCCAAGTCAAAAAACAAAAATGGCGAAGATTATCTCTGTAAAAGCCCGTGAGATTTTCGATTCTCGCGGAAACCCGACCGTTGAGGTCGATTTGGCTACAACCAATGGCCTTTTCCGTGCTGCAGTGCCCTCTGGTGCTTCCACTGGAATTTATGAGGCCTTGGAGCTCCGTGATAAGGACCCCGCCCGTCTCATGGGAAAGGGTAATCATTTGTTTTGCCATTTTTTGTGTTCTTGAAATCCAACACGGTTGGTCTACGGAAACGGTGGAATTTCGTTTCTGTAGCGTCTTGGAAGCACACCTTCAGCGCTCCTCATCCCCCTTCTGGACACGCTCGAACATAATTTCCAGGTGTTTTGAAGGCTGTTGAGAATGTTAACGATATTATTGGCCCGAAATTGGTCGGCATGGACCCCACGGCCCAGGCTGAAATCGATAAGAAAATGGTTGAAGATCTCGATGGAAGCCAGAATGAGTGGGGTTGGTCCAAGAGCAAGCTCGGTACCATTGTTTTCATAGCGAATCTACTACAATGAAGGGTCGGATAATTGATATGTGATCTGGTTGCAACTTTTCAATAAAGATTAACCTCATATATACGAGAAGATTATTCTACATAGATGAACCACAACCACAGGTGCCAACGCTATTCTCGCGGTTTCCATGGCTGTGTGTCGTGCCGGTGCTGCAGCGCAGCAGATGCCGCTTTACAAACATATTGCCGGTCTCGCCCGCGTGGAAACTGACTCCTTTTTAATGCCAGTCCCGTCTTTTAACGTTATCAACGGTGGATCGCATGCGGGAAACAAGTAATGTTTTTTTATCGTTCAAGCATGCTGAGACATCGAATCTTGGGTTTTGTATGGTGTATGTTGTCATGATTCTAGTGTCCCGGGAAAGGTCGCTTCGCATCTAACAGTAGGAGCCCCCAAGAAAAAATATTCAACGCCACGCTCCAAAAAAAAAAAATTCAACGCCAGGCTTGCTTGCCAGGAATTCATGATTTTGCCGGTGGGTGCTGCCTCCTTCCGTGAGGCAATGCAAATTGGGGCTGAAGTGTATGCCCATTTGAAGAAAGTAGTAACGAAGAAATACGGCCAAGATGCGGCTAACGTCGGCGATGAAGGAGGATTTGCCCCAAATGTGCAGGACAATAACGAGGCGCTTAGCGTTCTGATGGAAGCTATCAAGAACTCCGGTCACGAAGAAAAGGTACTGTCTGTGTCCATTACTTAGCATTGAAGATGAAGACTTTAACTATGTATGATTTTTTTTCCTCGGACAACAGAGAAAACAATATATTTTTTATCAACTGGTCGCTTCGGAAATTCTTACTTCTACAACGTCGAGTTTGACTATGTCACGACAGGTCCGTATTGGAACTGACGTTGCCGCCAGTGAGTTTTATCAGGAAGGAAAATACAACCTCGGCTGGAAGAACCCAGAAGCAAAGGATGAATCGCAGAAGAAAACGGCTAATGAGATGATCCAGTACTACAAGAGCGAGTGGATTGAGAAGTACCCCTTCGTTTCCATCGAAGATCCGTTTGACCAGGATGACTGGGAGGCATACACCAGCTTCACAGCACAAGTTGGTACTACTGTTTTTTGTACGTTCGTCAGCTTGTACTGAAGACAAACTGTAGATGATCATCTTCTCTTCGTAGAGGTAGATAGCATGAAGAACTGACCAACCTTACAACCTATTCCGTTACTTAACTGCGGTCACATCTTCGGTAAGCGGGCCTTCCAAACACAACACTTTTACCCTTCAACAGGTAAAGAGATTCAAGTCGTGGGTGACGATTTGTTGGTCACTAACCCGAAGCGTGTTCAGAAGGCAATTGACACCTCAGCGTGCAATGCTCTCCTGCTGAAGGTGAACCAGATTGGTAGCATTACTGAGGCCATTGAGGCCGCACAGATGGCCAGAGAGCGAGGTTGGGGCGTTATGGTTAGCCACCGATCGGGTGAGACGGAAGACGTCTTCATCGCGGACCTTGTTGTCGGACTGCGAACAGGACAAATCAAGACGGGAGCCCCGTGCCGTTCCGAGCGCCTGGCAAAGTACAACTTCACATTAGATTATTACTGCTTTGTTCGGATTCGGTCATTGGATCCTAGGTAATAGACGTGAGTAAGTACGGGCAGTAATTTTTTGGTTGACATCGTTGGCGTTCAGAGATGAGAATGAGATGTTTTCCCATTATTGAATTTGAAGGAAACGCTGAGAGAGTTACTCCGTTTCTGTGTACGTTTGGGTTTTCATCCTTAGTTAGCTGCGAGAGAAAATTAGCTTCATCGACGTTGCACATGGACACGCAGGGTTATGCTATTCCTACCACACATGTACGCATCAATTTGTCGCCATTGTCCAATCCCAGGTACAACCAGCTGCTCCGAATTGAAGAGGAGTTGGGCGGAAAGGCGTTGTTCGCGGGTGAGAAATTCCGCAACTTTGACCGAAAGAACTAAGATTTTCCTCGAAGGTCATAAAAACAGACTCGCTGCTGATTCTGCTACTGGGAGCCGAGTCGTGGAGCTTCGAATTGCCGGTGTAATTGTAATCTAGTATACATTTTTTTTTACGTCAACGTCAGATGTGAAAGAGGATTTTGCTCGTGGTGCTGACGGTTGGATGGAGTTCGCCTTGGGGTTCTCTTTGACTTTGAGAAGCCGAGGCTGTGACCGCCTCAGCACGCGCTGCCAGGCATGATGGTACTTGCCCGTAGTCGTCACTGCGATTCACTGTGAAGATCGACACGTCCTACATAGCTACTGACTCACGCCGCAAGTGATACCAAAGCACTTGTTTTTGAATTTATTGTAGTTGATGATGAGATGGAGATAGGCTTCACATAAACAATTGAAGATATATGAACGACTTTGCCATACTCATATGGATCTCTTAATGCCTTCAACTTTTTCGCGCACGTATTCTCGTTGAAGTGTGGCCTGGAAGCGTGTTACTAGATGCCTTTTGCTTCGGATACAGGATGGCGACGTTAGTTACAACATGTGATCACTTCTACTAACTGACCACAGAAATTTCCACTGAGTTCTCGTTGCTATTCACTGCTGCAGGACGGGCACAGAAAATCGATAGATCGTGGATTTCCATTTTCCTTCGTCACTAACTTGCTCCTGTGCGATGCCCATGTATCAACACATTTTCCCGGATCCCCTCACAGGCTTCCACTCCCTGCATAGCCCAAGCTACTTGCCGATTATTTTCCCGAAACACCGGATGTTTCCTCGTCCAGCACTGCTCCAGTATTAAAACCCGTTGATCATAATGTTTGTAGAACCACTCAACTTCCATACTTCATATTTTTCAAAGACATACTCCGCCTAATCAGTATCACTGGTTGTTCTTGGAAGATTTTCCCGCCCTTCGTGGCATATCCAAACCACACGCGAACCCCACACAGGTGCGCTGATGGTTCAATCGGCAATATGGATATTGTCGTTACTGACTAAAATTCACTTGCTGTTTCTGATTGTGATGATATACAGAGAGAATAGCTAACGAGGAACAAATACAAATACCTATTTGCCTCTCGAGGCATGCAGTTCTTTCTCACGCAGGAGAGCTTTGCATTTCTTGGTATATGGGGCACAGTGTCTGCCAACATTTTGTTGCGAAACACGACAAAAAATGAGACAAAGGCTGTATCTGTCGTGGCTAAGATTGTATGATCTGAGATGTTGGTAGGAAGTCAATTGTAATTCTGAGACTCAGACTCGGCCCCGAACAAGCTTGCCCCTCTAGGAGAGACCCAGCCCCGAAAGGTAGCATGTCGCGTTTGTCTGCGACGTAAAATAGAAGCTCGAGCCCTGTCCAAAAGATCGGTCAGAGTCCATCAAAATGTGTGATGAAGATCCTACACATAAAAGAGAAAAGTTCTCTGAGTGGAAAAGTGGCAAGTGCGCTGACGTTGTAGCAATCATGACAGGGAGTTTGCACAAGGCAAAAAGATCGGATGATTCTCAAGGAATTGTTCTCCGTTCTTGAAATATTGATCAGACAAGCTTTTCCTAGATGAAGAATGAGTCACTGGCCACTCAGATTCCGATCATTGTATTATTGAAGCAGGCTATCAGTAACACTATGAGCATCAACATCTCAACTCGTCTCTGTCTCTTTCTTCAGCCTCAGCCAGGGGGCTTAGATGAACATGGATGAGCAGTGCCAACTTTTTAGTAATACCTGTTCCAGATTTAGTCCTCTACAAAATGTAACCTGGTGTTTTCTAGAAGTAGAAGACTGTGTTCTACAACAAGTCGCGATAGCTTCAGGGTGTTGTAAGCATATTCATCCTTACTAAGTTTGTGTTTGTGGTAGCAATAACTGTCATCTTTCAACAGTAGAAGACAAACAAATCATGACGGAGACGTCTCCTCTGCACGCCACGGAAAGGCGTCCTGCGGAGATCCGCGTCCACGAGATTACAAGTTTGAGCGATCTCGGCTTCCCTTCTGCGAACATTCCCAACACGTTCATCACCGGCGTTCACGAGAAGGCCCTCGATGAACTTCATGGAGATTCTGACTCAGGAGTTTCCGATATTGACCTCGAGAGCGCCATTGTGGGTTCCACAGGGCAAGTTTACAATAAGATAATTAAGCCCGGCGACTGCGTTCTGGTGGATATCATCTTGGATTGCGGTACTGAAGGACAAGTAAAGGGTGGGCCAAAGCAAATTGACGAGGTAAAAAAGAGTCTTTCACCGGGATCGTCACCAAGCGACAAGCGTGCCAATTCTCCGGCGAAGCGGGTACTTGCTAACACTTTTCTCATTAACGCTATAATTTTATTTTGGATGGAAGTTTCCGTTTCAGAAGCGATTATGATTTAACTCATCTACAGCGACGACCAATACTGCTTACCTACGTAAAATCCCGAGCCCCGTAGTTCACGTTCGCCCTCGTAATTTCTTCGACAGGCTAAAAACGCTGCTGTCGAGAATGGTAAAGATCATGTCGACGCATCCAACGACTCAAAGCGTGGTGGCTTTTCAGAGTCGCGGAGACCGACGATGCCTAATCTCGATGGATCGCAGACGAACGAAGAGACAATGGCTACTCATAGCGGGAAGAAAAGCTATTACAGTGCGCTAAATCGTGCCGGTCCTCGCGGAATTTTGCACTTTCGTCCCTCGCAGACAACAGCAGCGATCGTCACATGCGGCGGCTTGTGTCCCGGACTTAATGCAGTGATTCACCATATCGTAAACACACTTTGGCACTCCTACGACGTCCGCAGGATTATGGGCATTCGTGGAGGCTTTCATGGCATGACCAAATTTGGTGGCGAAAAGGACTTCGCTCAAGATCTCTTCGGTACTAGGCCAGCAAGAAGCGGACGAAGGGCATCAGAGGTACTCGCACAATCGCTCCTGAAAAAAAGCGCATTCCCGTATCATGTTGATCAGAAGAAACCTATTCTGAACTAAAATGTTTGACTAGATGAAGTCTCATGTACTAGGCATCGGTATCCTTGTTCTATCTATTAATAGTATCTTCCAGGCATGTATTTGTATACACCAGAATCTGAATTTCGCAGGTATCTCCAGCCCATGCGGATGAAGCCCTGAATGAATCCGGGATAGGCCAGACTCCAACGGGACGAGATCGAATGTTTTGTCGATCAGGGTCGATTATGCGACTCGGTGGAAACCAGTTTGATCCCATTCGATTGACACCGAGAGTTGTTCACGACATCCAACATCTTGGAGGCACGATTCTTGGCGCAACCCGCGGCGGCTTCGATATCGACAAAATCTCAGCCTTCATAGGTATCACTGATAAGATATATTTTGAACTCGCTTGAGTAGGAGGAGCTGGCGCTGGGTGCGACTTTTCACCTCTTAATGATTACGTTTTTGTAGTCTTGTGGGTGTGGCAGCACAGCCTTATAGTAATGGTTCAATATTATGACTCCAACTCCAACTGAAGCAACCACATTGAATTATGAGTTTTTGCACCATCCACGAAAAACGCAAAAAAACTTCCAACAGAGAAGAACAACATTGACATGCTTTTCATTGTCGGAGGCGACGGCACGCATCGTGGGGCTTACCGAATATCACAGCACTGCATAGAAACACTCAAGAATTGTGCTGTATGCGGCATACCAAAAACCATTGATAACGACATCGGTCTTATCGACCGATCCTTCGGCTTTCTAACGGCTGTTGAGGAAGCGAAAAAAGCGATCAGAAGTGCTAAGGTGGAAGCGGCTTCGAACATGCCGAACGGAATCGGCATTGTTAAGCTCATGGGAAGAAGTGCAGGGTATTTCTGCTAGAAAAGAGATATACCTGACTTTCGCTCTGCTGCTGAAGCGTCGTGGCATTTTCGGTAGAAGTAGTGTATCTCTATCTTCAACTCCCAGCACCAGTGAGTCGCCTTCGTCATGATCGATTTCTTAAAACAACAACTAGGCTACGCAATATTTTTTCTTTTTTTTTGTACACCTCAAAATAAGATACATATCCGCTTTGTCGACTATCTCAATGGGCTCGAGCGTCGATTTGTGTTTGATTCCCGAAGTCCCTGTGGTGCTCGAGGGTGAGAAAGGCGTGTTACCACATCTAGCACGGGTACTACATACTCGAGGACACGCGGTTGTCGTCGTTGCTGAGGGCGCTGGTGAAGAGCTCATGGGTTCGGCGGCAGAAACCGATAAATCCGGCAACAAAAAGCTGCCAGCTATTGGTACTGCGACATCAGTCAACTTGTTTTCTAGTTTTTTCAGAAATCCGCGTCATGGTCATGTAGATTGTTCACTCTGATGCTCTGCAGAATCCATCTTTTTTGTTCTTTCTCTGCAGCTTCGCTCCTTTTACTAGCAGGTCGTGCCACTTCTAGAAGTAGTCTTTATTCATCATATTCATATGAATATGATCCGTCTTGATCTGTCTAACCAACCAGGTGAGTTCATGACGAACGCGATCAAGAACTATTTCAAGAAGCTTGAGGAGGAGGTGACCGTGAAGTACATAGATCCTTCCTATATGATCCGCTCCGTTGGGCCGAACTCTCTGGATGCCTACGATTGTATGGTACTTTCATCGGGCGCCGTTCACGGAACGATGGCAGGGCTTACATTAAGGCTCAACTTTCCTTGGTCACCATGTAGATTGGGGTCACTGAGATCGAAGAGGGGCCCCCTTGAGAGAACATGGGAAAACTAAGGGGCAACAAGTAGAGTAGAGAGGTGTGGGACCCCTCCCGTTCAGAGTCAGTGACCACTGACAGCTGGCCTTTAATTAGAGGCTTTACTGTTGGGATGGTAAACAACCACAGTTGCACTATCCCGATTCCGCTGATTGAGCGTCTCTCACCGCGTACGCTGAACCCGAAAGGTCGCACTTGGGAGCGCGTGCTTGCTATCACACATCAACCTGTTCCCTAAACCTAAAGTATGAAGAACGGAAAAAGTGTACTCATACTCACAGAGTTATCTACTTTTCTACTTAAAACCTACCTAATTTCGTGAGGATGAGTACACTTTTTCCTGTCATCTGAAGAAATGACATTGACCTGGTTTGCCAGCATCCTCAGAACACGGCTATAGCATCACAAAAGCAAGTTCTTAATGCAAGAACTACAGCGGAACGCGTGCGTATCGATGGCTCATTAAGGGTGTCGACGCTGCAGGCACACTACGTCGAAGAGAAGACCGGTTCTTTGTCTGCCACGATCGTTGACTTCGTCCTGGCCCTGGTTTTTTGTAGGTGCAACCTTGAGGCAGAGGTAATGCAAAGATTATATATATGGTGCCTCCGTAAAGAAACAAGTCCGACTATTTTTCGTGCACCAAATGAAGTCGAGGCGCTCTCGTTTATGGGGGATCAGAGCACACAGCAGGTGCGTGTCGAATCTTGTGCATGCTGGAAACACGTGCAGCGCCTACTCCGCGTTCACCTTTTTTTACACGAATTATCAGCATGAGAATTGATGAACAAGCAAGGTGATGCTGCAATCATGCCAATGCCTAGTAGCAGTTCATAAACAACAACATAAACGCAATCGCATTTTGAAATATTTTGAATCGCCAGCTCTTGTTACACAAGGAAGTGAAATATGGAAGGTTCCTGTTATAGTCAACGCAGCTAGAACTAGCAGAGAGAATTTGTAGAGCCAAAGGCCGACTTGCCGACAAGAATCAGAGGCTCAGTAGGATGTAGGACGTCTACAGTTGTCGCGAGGCGTAACTCATCTTGATCTCAATCTATTCATCATGGGTCCTCGTTCAGGTACAAGGAAATACAACTTCTTCTGCTTACAGGGATACATATCCGATATGGTGTAGCAGTAGACGGATCATGCATCGTTCTCTTTTTTCCGTAGTACAATCTGAAACGTGTCGACATGCACATCAAGCACATTCTTCAAGCGGACAGTGACAAGTTTTCTTCAAGAAAATGTTTAGTGTATGTTTTCTGCTTCTGAATGAAGCGTTTTTCTCTGGCCCATGTTAACAAAATCGATTATACGAAGTGACGCTGGAAGATGGACAAAAGGCCTCTGCGCTGATTCTCGCCGATTTGCCGACTCACTTATGCTTCTCTCTCCTCTCTCTCCGGCTGAATGAAAATTCTTTTTCAAGAAGAAGATCGCTATCGTGTTCGCGGTTGACGATCTTTATTCCAATCCCCAAACTGGCATTTTCATCGGGCGTCTTGTGTATGTAATAAATCTGTCACAGACACAGTGAAGTCTATTAATCTAGTTTTTCTCTAACTCTATCTCTAGCTCTTCAAAAACGCAATTGCAACGAGATCCTTCTCCACCGAAGGTGCAGCATCCCCACAAACGAGTGCGTCACGTCTGAGAGAACGGCTCATTGTGAGAGATGGCATGTGACTACCACGACAAGATCTACTTTTAACGGAAAAATCAGGCGCGGTGATATTGATTTTGGCTATGGTCGGATTTGGGTTGATATTGTGAAGGACCAGCAGTACCTAGTTTATTTCCGTGTTTACGGCGTTCGCTTAGGAACTCTAACCCTTGTAAATACTGCATGAGTAACTCTCTATGTATGTTCTTCTTTATCGTGGTTCATTCTCCAAAAATACCTTCACTGAAAATGTAAATGTGTAACGGAGACTAAAATGGCATGAAGATAAGGATGGGCGGTCGTCCAAGTTCGTTTGGGATGTTGAGGTAGTCCGAAGGGATCGCCATTGGCCTGGCCGGGCAGTTGTTGTGGGAGTTGACCTTTGTGTCGGCTGCCATTTTGTCTCTACGGTGACAACGAGGGGTCATATCCGGGGCACTCACATGACATCCAAGCTCGTTCCGATGCTTTTACTTCTAGCGGCCAGGGTAGCCACCGAGATATGGCAAGCGTCTCCTTTTGACGTTTTTGAGGGTTAAGTGCGTCTTCTACGACTGCGTGAACGATGATGCAGCAGAAAACACCACAGATTCAGGCAAGCTCGACCCATGTCGAGTTTACGTCGATTGAGCATCTTTTTCGGACCAAGCCGCTAGCAGAAATCCGCTCGCTTCATAGAGAAACGGAAAAGAACCTGTCGCAGAAAAAGAAAGATCTTCGCCTCCTTGTCGGAAATCATTACAGACAGGTAGCAACTTTGTCTTCTTATAAGGTAGGAATTGTTGTAGGAGTTCTTAATCTTATCGCGAAGAAGTGACAAGCCGAAGGCTTCAGCTCAAGCACCGAACAGACATATAAACCACAGCTAACGATCATTATCACGACGATGATGTATTCCTATTCCCAGGTCCTGGAGTCCTCGGACTTAGTCGGCGAGATTCAGAAATGTGCGGCAGAGTTTCAAAACTCGTTGAACGAAATACAGAAGATTCAAGCCCAGCCAGTAACATGGAATTTAGTATCCGTAGACAGAAAGAAGCTCGCACAGCTTATCGATGCTCCTGCTCCGAGAAGACGTACAATTCGTATTCACTAGTTCTTGAACAATTACTTCGACTTTTTATTTTGTTCTTCATGCTCGTCGTGGTTCGGCATCATGTTTATTCATCGACTATTTCACAGGCGATCCAGGAAGCAGCGCAACAGGGGCAAAGTTAGCTGAAGATGCAGCTTCGAAGCACGACGAGGAGCAGGCTCAGGAACAGACGTACGAGTTTTGCCGCAAGATGAAACAACTATTGGAACTGCCGGAGACGATGCGCGCAAAACTGTTATCGCGTAACTTCTTTGAGGCGGTCGAGCTGTTGCTAGTGACATTACCTAGACTCTATGCAGATGTCGAAGAAACAATAGAAAAGAACACTTCTCAAAAAGGAGGAGCTGATAGCAGTGCTAGTGCTGCTAGTACGTCGGTTTTTGCACAAAGCCGAGAGCTCGTTGCGCGGCATAAACGCCAAATGGAGACGAGTCGGAGTGCGGTCGTGTCGGCGTGCATGGAAGCTCTTTCGGCGACGTGGCTGACGCCGGAAGCTTTTGCGGAGGCTGTCGCATGTCTGATGTACTTCGCGCGGGACAGGCCGTTGTCACATTTTCTAACGCTGTTTGGTACACGACGACTTGAGACTATGAAGGCAAAAAAAGCGACTGCGAATTTGGAACGCAAGCAAGACATTGCTGCTAGTGCCTCTGCAGGAGGTGCGAAGATCGCGTCACGACTACAAGCATCTCCTGCGCAGTCACCAGCCGCGAAAGGTACCACATATACCGCGAGCGACGCGCCACAGGAGAAGCAGCACATGAACAGACTCTGCGAGGAGTTGATTCTTTACGAGGCCAGTTTTCTCTGTCTTCACGCAGCGCGAGACCGTGTTCGGGACAACCTGAAAACTTAAGGCTAGTTTATCACTACTCCATGTGGAGTATCTGTATGCTGAGTGGAGTGGTCCTTGATTATGAACCCAAGGGGTAACTTACTAAGAGGGAAAAGGGGGGACTCATTCTACCAGGGGTAGTGAAAAACTAGCGTTAAAAAACGTTGGTTGCACTGCTCGCGGAGTCGCCGGAAATGCTCGCAAAGACGGCGCCTTCGGCAGAGAGTCTCCTCAATCTCCTAGTGGTGGACGACAAAGCGCCAGACGCAGAGCAGTTAGCTGTGATGCATCTGTACGAAAACCTACACCCAGGCTACCGCTTTCCTCGCTGCGGATCCTTGCAGCGCATCCATCAAGTCTGCCAAGAAACGAGCGAATTGCTGTGGTCCTACCGTTTTCAGAGCGACTACAAGACACTCTGGCCAGCGTTTATGGAGTACGGTGCCAACCTTCCAGACACGCTGCTCGTCCTTCGCGACAAAGCGGCTACGGAGATGACGGCGTTGCTTGTATTTTGATTTCTTATCTTCATTGGCATTCTCTGACTCTATGTAATACGGCTCCTTAGTAGGTAAAGGTAGTTAGGCTACGACTATAACACGGAGCGAACACATGACATTCGAAGAAGCCTTGTGATTTTCCGTTGCCGGATCCGTAGGCTTTGAGTGGAGAGCAAGTTCAATTGCCTGGCAGTGGCACTACCATAATTACTCATCGAAACGGTAACCAAACTTTGTGCTCCAGGAATCATCGGTGTTTCAAATTTCGAATCCTCTGAAATTGGATTCATTCGAGCCGCAGCTTGGTGAGATTGTTCAGGACATCGCGTCCCTGCCTGTCCAGTATGCACAGAATAGCACTCTGTCGACGGCGTTTTCCGATATTGTTTACAATCTCTTCTATTCTTGTCTCGTTGAGGATCATGAGCCACAGAGCAACGACGCCGCTGCCTCTGCCGGAGGTGGAAGCGCCAGTGGGCGGAGGGAGACGCGGGGAGGCAGCTCTTCAAGCACCAGAAAGAATATCGGAGGCGGAGCCGCGTCGGCAGTGCTACGGACTGCCGAGGCTGGTCTCGACTTATACCAACTGGTCGAGTGGTTGCGAGACCGCAAGACCTTGCAGGACAAGTACTACCTGACTGACAGCGATGGCCGTCTCGTCGCGCTCTTGTCGAAAACTGCAGGAGAAATCCTAGAACAGTGGCTGGCGGAGCGGGTTCGACCTGATCTACTGGCATCGCTTTATGCTGCCTCATCAAGCGCCAGTTCCAACATGGAATACCAGATTGCGACGCAACAGATCGATGACTCCTCGTGGGGTACGCTAGTAAATCGACCTGACCCGGTGAAGGCAGTGGATGGCGGAGGCGAGGCTCCGAAGTATCAGATACCGGTGAGTGCTTCCCCAGCATTGCTGGAATTCTTCCTCAACCTGCGAGTGGCAGAATTCTTTTCAAAACGGTTTCAGTACGTGCCAGACGATGCCTCTAGCAAAATCAAAGACTACCTGTGCGAGGAGTTTCGAAAGGTACTACTAGCCAGACAGTCGTGACAGAAGTATTTGCAATGTGGAAAAAAGATGAAATTGAAAATTGAGGTCGTAAGGACCATTATGTGCAATCTCCATTCCCCGCATGCCCGTCAGGTTTTCGTCGAACAGCTTGCGTCGTTGCAGGTGGCATCGGGCGCCAACTCTAGTGGTGGGCTTCCGCCAATGCAGCTGCAGCTCTTATTCGACGCTAGGTATCTTCGAAGGCTCTTTGAGCAACGGTTTGCAGCAACTGCTGAAGCGATAGAGGGCGCGGTCTTGGCAGATCCTGTCGACCGGCTACTTTACACAGAGCCCATTGACCGAGCGGTGGCTGAGTTCCTAGAATCAACAGCGGTCCTTCTTGCACCGTTGTGTAGTGCGGCTTCTGAAGGCGACGCGCCGGCGGGCGGAAGCATGTTGGTAACGCGAACTATATGAGGCTTAATGATAGATATTGACATGCCTTTTTTGATCTTCAATTTCTTGATTACATTCTTCTTTCTGTTTCTTCTTGCTTCTGCTTGTTTCGTCATCGGATGGAGTTTACGTGCTCCACAGAAGCACGTCCCAAGAAACATTTTCGGGGCTCATAATAGAAGCCTATCATCATGATCAGCTTTCGCAAACGCTTGGCGGCTCATCGAAGGGTCCAGCACTTTTCACGCGGCTGGAGCACGATCCCCCACTTTGCACGCATGCAATGCGATTTCCGCAGCTACCCGTAATAGACAACAAGAAGCAAACCCCTACTGTACCCCAGCCCGCAGTCCAGGCAAAGTCCTTCGGAGGCGCAGGCCTTTTTGCCGGTGCAAGCTCAGGCTTAGCAAATCTGGCAGGATGGAACAGAGGCTAGATGTTTCTTGGCTTTACACAGTCATACTAGCTATTATGCGATTTCCAGAAACACTATTCTTTCATACAGTTCTGGAAAATGATTTTTGTTAGAACTCGTGTATCTTTGCTTAGGCTTAGCGCCTTAGCAGCCTGAAATCGTTTGCTGTATGAAACGACCTGAAGAACAACTAGAGCTGTACAACACTTACAACACAGATCCATGTCTATCTCTAACTCTAACTCTATCCACTTTCGCTATAAAATAGCGAAATTCTCTCACAAGCACTACCACTAGCAACGTGCTAACAGATGGGCAACTGACAGTGTCATGCAGGTGTTAATCGCCCAGAAGTAGAAGGCTCATTCCCATATTGAAGATTAAAAAGACGAATGCGCAGCAGCAAGAAGGGAGAGCGAGACAAAGCAAGGTAAACCAATTTTAGACTGAGGTCGGATAACCCCATTAGTCGAGAAGCTGTGTGGCACTCCGAAGACTTCTGTGACAAAGCTGCTTGTGACCATGAGCGGCAATGAGTACCTTCCTAACTATTTCTTGTACCCATCCTCACCCTGTGAGGATTTGCAAAATCTTTGTTCCATTCTGGTAGACGAAGACGCTGCATAGAAGAGTTCGATGTCAATTATCCTTGGATCAACTTATCACATTTGAAGGTTCATCCCTGCTTACTTTCATATCTGATAGATATGAGTCGTAGAAGAACTTGGCATTGATTTTTCTGATGTATAGCAAAGTTGGTATGTTTTTGCAACATGGCCGCCTCCTCAGTCTCTGTGCTTCCTGTGGCATCCACACAGGCAGCCGTCCCCGGTGCGAACCGAAAACTGCGGCGCGTCGTGGAAAAATTGCGCGTAGGCCTAGAGCGTGGGAGTGCGCGAAAAGTTGAGAAAATCCTGCATCAGTACCCACAGCTGCTGGAACATCAGTTTGAAGACGATGCTGGAGGATGGCGTCCTCTGCACGTGGCTGTTGTGTCTATGATTACAAAAGCAAAAAAACATTGCTCAAATGGGAGTATCCGAAAGCGCGATAGGATGAGGGGGTGGCTTCGAGGATTGAGGCCTCGAATCTGCATAAACGGCGGCGAAAATGATGGTGCAAGGTCATCAGTAGTTTTCGGAGATTCGGCGATCGGAAATGAGACTCAGTCTGCTGCAAATCAAGAAGATGATTACTTGAGCTCTCGCCAGAAAACTTTGAGCGAAGATATAAAAAACGATAGCAATCATGGAATTCGGACACTGCGGGTTTTGCTTCGTCTAGGCGCCGACGTTAGCAGTACGACACAGTGTGGCGCAAAGCACACGGCGCTTAGCCTTGGGCTGACACATCTGGGACGTCTACGCAGTTCAAGAAGCGGCGTCGACAGAGGAAAAGAAATCTCGGCAGCGACAGAGGTCGAGAGGAGCATTCGCATTTTGCTTGAGGCTGGATCGTCACTATGGCACACAACCGGTGACACGTGCGACACGCCGTTGCATTTAGCGAGCAAAAGCGGATATGCTGCTGTACTAATTTGATTCTCTTCCTTGTGTCGAATCTAAGATAGCATACCCTTACGGAGCATGATAGATCAGTTTTTGTGATCCTTGTTTATGTTTTGATCTTTGCAAAAAGGATTTGAAATAAGCATTTTTGTCGTGGAAGCGAAAGACGTTGCTTCATTTCAGGTGTGTCGCTGCATCCTCGAATTTTGGAACGCTGCTCTAGCCACGCCGCATGGGCAGGCGCGGCTTCGAAAGCAGAACGCAGAGATTCGGAACCTTCCGTTTTTGCGGAATGGGCGAGGAGAGCGACCCGTGGACGTCTCATTCTCCTCAGAAGTAGTTGGCGCCTTTCGGTTTCATTCACATGGAGGAAGCAGTCCTCGTGGCGGTCGTTCGGCTTCGCCATTGCGTGCCGGACGATCACCCACGAACTTGTCCCGCGGAAGCCGCGAGTTTTTACCTCCGCTACGACGCAATTCTCGTGCAGATTTGGTCCACCGTTTGCTTAGCAGTCGACATAGTAGAACAAGCAGGGCGTCCTTCATCACCGGAGTTGGCCTCTCCCGTGGAATGGGGTCACCGGGGGAAGCCAGTTCCTATGGCGTGCGCGAAAACAGCGACAGCTTTCTGAGCCGAGCGTCAGACGACGACATGCTTCTCACTATTAACGAGGAAGCTAGAGGCACTTCAGCCCGTTCATCACGACAGCGTGTCGGTGGAGTTCAAACGCCCTCGGTAGAAGATACGGAACAAAATCCAGCGCAAGAAGGAAACGCTGCTCTTGCAGGATTTCAACTGCATGAGCCTGAGCAGCTTGTTCGGCAAACTACATATGATAACGAGAAAGGTAGCGCCAGTGACGACTCATGTTCCACCATTGAGGGGCGAACATCTTCATCTTCAGCAACATCACCGGATACGAGTACTGCAGGGACGGAAACATGCCCGAGTAGTGCAGGACAATCATTCCTAGCAACTAGCACGCGAACCATGAGTAAAAAACCACCGCTAAGACGACCAGCGAAGCCCTATCTCAAGAGTTGCCTTTCGCGTCAGCGAAATGGAGGGTCTGCTGCAGACAATGAAGCTCAAAGTGATGAAGCATCATCTGCCGCCACGTCTTTCGCAGGAGGTTGTGTTCAGGACACTGCTGTAGTTGCGCCGCATTCTTCGGGGGACAACAGGATGATGACACGTCAGGACTCCACGTCGAGGTCGACAAATTGCAGTGTCCGGACCATGCTTCCAGCAACAACTGCAGCTAACCACCAAGCTTGTAGCGCCGCAGTAGCGACTCATATTGCTACTCAAGTGGGTGAAGGATCACACACGACAATTCGCGCAAGCAGAGCTACGACGATGCAAGAGAAACAGTGCGTTAATTCACACGGGGCGACTAGTACTAGTAGAGACCAAGAGAATACTGGAGGAGTGACAATTTCCACTACTCTATCCGCTTCGTTTGCGAGCGGAGACGAGGATAGCGTTCTTGTTGTGAAACATGCCACTCCAGAATGCTTTCGTGTAAAGCGCATGCTTGGCAAAGGCTCCTTTGGTGAGGTGTATGAAGTACGGCACAAGGAAACAAATCGTGTCTACGCTCTCAAAGTCTTGCACAAGAATCGCGTTCTGAAAAAAGGCCTGGTATTAAGTCATTTTCAATTGTAGATCTTGAGCGTCGATCCCACATGAAGATCTTTAGGCTTGTCATGTCGTACCAGGCAGTGGCGTCTGAACCCCTACCTTATGTTATCTGAAGATATGGCCGCACTCTGCCTGTGCCGAGCTTGTCTAGAAGCACTTCTTTCAGATCTCGTCTCTACGGTCATCAGGAAACTTGGCAACAGGGATATACGCATGCACTTTTTTGAAGTTTGAAGCTTTACACCAACTTGCTGGTGCAGCACCTGCACCTCGTTTTGCAATGAATTAGAACAGCAACTGCACATCCACCTGCAGCTGCTGCTTATTATCTAGGAGTTGTTGCTCTTGAGGTCTCATCCTGTCTTACATCCCCTCTCGTCAGATGCGGTACGCTTCTACAGAGCGCAGGGTTCTGTCGTACAGCAGCAGTCATCCGTTTATTGTCCATCTGCACTATGCATTCCAGAATTCTAGTCGCCTATTTCTTTGTCTCGAGTACTGTCCTGGTGGCACCCTGCAGACTTTGATCGGACGACTGAAGCGACTACCGGAGCGACCACTCGCGCGTTTGTACGCTGCACAGATTCTTCTTGCCTTGGAATTTCTGCACGACCGGGGAATCCTATACCGCGATATGAAACCGGACAACATCGTCCTTGACGCCCATGGACACTGCTATCTTACAGATTTCGGACTCTCGCGGGAAACAGGGAAGGCGTTTTTTCCGCGTTCCAAAGGAGGTAACACCAGTTGTGGCGTCCACCAGAACAAATGCAGCACTCTGGGTGGAGGAAATCACGGAATTGCTTCTCCGGCAGCAACGACGCCAAGTAGTGAGGAAGGCGCCGGATGTAGCAAATCGGGAAGCACGGCAAGCAATGGCGCGTCTTGTCTAGCCGACAGCTTTTGCGGGAGCGTGGCGTACTCGATCTGTTTTCTTTTGGTAGATGTAGAAGATGCTGATGTATCTGGTGTCCTGGTGGACACTGAGAGTGAGATCAGAGATCTTCAGTAACATTCTTCAGTGCTACATGATTGATACCTAGAAATTTGAATTTTCTTATTCATATTCACATACACATACTCATACAGGTATCTTGCGCCGGAGATGCTGCGCCGTCAGGGGCACTGTCATACGTTGGACATCTACGGTCTAGGTGTTCTTTTGTTTGAGATGCTCTCCGGTATTCCTCCATTCTACACGCGCGATCGGCGGCGATTGTTCCGCAATATTGTAGAAGTTGATGTCGAGGAGCTCCTACGGAAATTTTCTTGCTGCTGGACCAAATCGAGTGATGACTCCTCTGTCACAGGGGCTTCCTCGTGCGCTTCGTCTGTGACTCATGGAGCTGCCGGAGTTTCGTCATCAGGAGCGTCCTGTGGAACGATGCGCCGCGCGTCTACAGGGATGGCCGCTTGTTCGACCAACGCGGAGGTCGAAGCCCAGAGATTATCCGGAGCATTGTCTTCTTCGTCACGATTACGATTGTCAGCAGAAGCGTACGATTTGATCTGTACGTTGATGGATAAGAAACCGACGAGGCGCCTGGGTTCCCGTCGCACGAGCGACATTCGCGGGCATGCTTTCTTTGAGGGGTTAGACTTTTTTTGGGTCTCAAACAAACGTGGGTACGCGCCAGTACCGATGCTACGCCAGATCCTGGATGCCACGGAACCCGCGGACGTGGCAAACGGATGCCCTTCGCCAAATACGAACGGAGGTCCCTATCTCGCTCGCAAGTTGGACCCAGAGGAATTCGTTGTGGAACATAGGTATATTGAAGAAGGAGGGGGCAGCGGTTCCTTGAGCACGACACGACTTCCACCTATGGATGAATTCAACCCAGAAGCGAATGATGTCGTCCCTTCACGGTCTACAACAAGAGCCTGCTCGTCTGCGAGTAATTCCGCGTCCCCGATGCCGATGCAGAATGAATCTTCAGGGGAGTACGAACTGTTTGAGATCGTCGGGCTGGTCGCTTCTCCTGTTGATCCACGGGCCGCCGATTTATCGCCAACTGAGCTTTCCGCGATGCGGCCCGTTCTACCGGTGCCAACGCCGGAGGCTAACGACGTACCATTCTGGGAATACACAATGCCAAAGCCACAAGAGGCTGTCCTGGAATTCAAAAGCTAGGCTTATGTGCCTGCAAAGTGAGTGCGACGGTGATAAAAATAAACGAAAAAATGTTAGATTGCGATTGCGATGCGATAGCAAAATTTGAGGGGATACGGATAAGAAGATATTTCCAAGCAGGCCAGGATGTCTCTAGCTCTACTGATTGAAGCCAGAGAAGAAATCGAATTTGAAATCGCGGTTGTCATAGAACAAAGTTGTTATTGGTTTTACATAAATAACAACATCATCGAGTCCTAAAATTTGATTTAGTTGTTGCGAAGCGCCGGCCTAAATATCACCTTTCATCGCCTGAGTTTAAAATCACCTATCATCTTTTTGCTACCTCCCTCAACGAACTACTACACCATGACCACGCACCTGAACGAGTGAAAGTACGCTACCAGCAAAAGAGCCTTTCCATATTTATTTGCATCTGCCCTTCTCATGTTGTAAAATAACATTCTGGCAAAGTTGGAGCGCAACATGACCCTGTATGATGATGCATCGCCCCATGCATGATTATACCTACTTACTTGAATTAGAGTTAATAGTTTATGCAGTTTGTGAACTTAGATGAGCCGTTTACGTCACACCGTGAGGCAAAACCCAGCTTGACCGCGTGAGGATCGGCTCAACAAATATACGAGGGCGACGTATTCGGAAAAATGTAGAGACTTAGATTGTTGATGTGTATGTGCCAGTTTTAGTATAATTTCATTGCTCATACTAGTACCCATAATGAGACCAGCACGAGGTGAAGATTATATTTCATAAGACATTTATTATTTTTCTTCTGCTATCAGCATCAGCTTCAGCATGTAGGAGGAACGCTTGATGGAGTCTCCAGCTTCAACTTTAACATATTTTCATCCCTTCAAGAACACTGATGGAGGAAGGTGTTGATAGCACATAATGAACATAGCTATAGATGATTTAGTTTACAGCACAAAGCGGATAATGCACAGACATTGTAGATATTAAGCAACATGTTTCAGTTTATTTCATTGTATTATAGGCATTTGCTCGGGAAATTGGTGAAGAAGACTCATCATGACCTTCAGGAATGGCTACAGACAAGGTTCTTATCAACATAATCTTCAACATTCTTTCATCGTTACCATCTTCTGGCAATATCATCAATATCGTCAATGTTCCGTTCATGCCGTTTCTTTCCTTCTAGCATCGATGCAGAGACTTCGTGCAAATGAAAAGGGTTCCATACTTTGTCGTATTATATGCGGATGCGCGGTTGTCATTTTTCCAGAACTTCATCTGACATCATTTGTCATCGTCACACTGACTCCTGTGACACGTATGCAGTGCCGCCTGGATAACAGTCTTCATTTATCACAATGCTCTACCGATCAAGACTACCGTTGAGGGAGGAAATATTAAGTCACTGACTACAATTATCATCTTCCAATATTTTGAATATTTTCACTGCGTCGAGTTATTTTCAGACCTTTGAATACGCAGGCCGACGATTGGTCCACTCTGCTCAGGTTCACCACCTTTTTGTAAGTAGATAGTTAACTCCCCTGATTGCTCATACTCTCTCTTGGACAACATGTAATATCCTGAAGCCTGCCAGAAGGTAATTTCATAAGGAAGTTGACCATCTTTCGTTTCACTCTCTTCTCGTCATCCAGATTAGATTTAGAATATATAGACGTCTGAACCTGAAGTCTCTAATTGCTTACCACAACTGGCGCGTTAGCATCGTGGCCGAAGTCATTGAAATTGAAACCCGATTTTCTGAAGTCAACACCGCTTTTTTGACGTGAAAATGACGGCAGCAGATTCGAGCAGCCCCGCAGAGGCAAGCGTCTTTGCGATGCAGCAAGATGACGGCGAGCTGACTCTGACTTTCGCTTGCGCGGCAGAGGTTACAGCGGCTCGAATTTCCTGTGATATCAAGCCACAACGGCTAAAGGTGCTTGTTCATAAGGAGGTCAGATTTGAAGACGAGCTGATCGGGAAGGTGGATATGGAAGAAAGCTGTTGGCAAATCGAAAAAGCCAAAGGCGGCGATAGTATTGTTGATGACTAAGATGATATAGTTGCATGGATTTAGGGTTTTCGGTTTGTCTAGTATTTATTTTGTCCATGCAAATCGGTACCCATACTCTTGTTCTAGTTCATTGGCCGTGTCATTTTTTAGACAAGACAAAAATACTGGCAATGACAATCGGTTTTCTTTTGAGCTCAATTGCGTGTCTGTAACCATCCAGAGCAGCTTGTCGTGACGTTGGTCAAGGCGAATGCCGGGAAAGTTTGGAAATGCGTAGGTAAGCGCGAGGCGGCGCGGTTGCAGGACGAAGCGAACGCTAACAACAAAGATTTGAAGTTACGGCCAAGGGCATTGACAGTAGTGGCGAATCAAGAAGCGTCATGAATTCTAGAGTAAATAGGTATCGAAGTCGAAAGTATACCCCGTTATTGTTTTCGTGCAGATCGGTGTCATCAACGCAACCGCGTAATAATTGGTGGTTCGCTCCAGCTCTAATGAAACTGATGTCTGTAAACGAGTTTGCGCCGGACGACGACACGGAGAATGCGGACAAGAACGAGAATGATGAGAAGGTTCTCGAGGCTGAGTTTCTGGAGCTGCGTAAGGCCAAGGGTCTCGATAACGATAAAACTCTAGATAAATTTTTCGAGCTTTTTGACAACAGCATCCAGCTCTACCGCTTGAACAAACTCGCAAAGTACCTCGAAGATGTACTGCCTGTTTGCCGGCGAAAGACCGGAGATTCAAAATACAAACTGAAGGGCGTCCAGGCATACGCGTTTGTGCTCTGGAAAATGAACAAATTTCGGGAAGCCCTACCGCTTTTCTTGGAGATGGAGGACATGATTGGTCGTAACGGGGCCCTCTGCGAAAACATCGCTCACACTTACAACAGGTAATATCGCTACTGCTGCAGCAAGCTTTCATCAACAAATATTCATATTCTTTGATATGATCATAAAATTGGTTGCAACGCAAGACACTTATGGGTATTCCGACAAAGATGCTCCCCTTTTCTCGTTCTTGAGAGCTGGGATATTTCTGTAGTAGTAGAGGTATTAGGTGCAAGTGGAAGATACAACTCAAGACATAGATTTCATACTCTCATCGTCTACCCCGTCAACAACCAGCCTGGGAAACTACGAGAAAGCCGAAGAGTATTTTTCGGCGGCTCTCAAGTATTGCCAGAACGACGAGTCTGCGACAAGTCAAAAGGGTGGCGTCCTTCTCGGTCTCGGTCTTGTACGTGAGAGGCAAGGGAAGATGCAGGAAGCCGAAACTATCGTACGGCAGTCGTACGAGTTCTACAAACGGCGCAGCTGCGGACAGCTCAACAGCCTTCAGGTGACTGAGAAGAGTTATTTTCTCTTGTGATTGTTCCTTACTCGACTCGACGAGTTGGATGCGTCAGGATCGGCGCGCGAACTTCCTTCTCCAGGCTCATGAGTGCCCTTCCCTGTCGTGGTTTGTCCTGCTAATTATCCACATCCTATGCTTTTATTCGAATATCCTTTGCATTTCTTGTTCTTTTCAGGCAAAGGCCGGCGTTGCTCTCGCGAAGATCTTAACGACGCTTGGGCGGGTAGATGATGCTGAGAAGTTGCTCAAAGAAGCAGTTCGTATTTACGAGGTCACCTGTGGAGCCTATTCGCCGCTCACTTGTTCCGGTTACACAGAACTTGGTAAGTTACAATGGGATTTGGCAGCGGAGGAGCAAAAGAATGCGTCTTCTAAGGCAGCACAAGATAGCACCACCGTCGACCCATCTCCTCCATCGGCGTCATCCAGCACAGCAGGAACGCCGTCCTCTAGTTCCGCGACAAAAACTTCTGCGTCGGCCGGCGAAGCGAGCCCGGAAGCCACGAAGCTGCGCCTGGAGGCTCGAAAGAATCTTAAACGAGCGTACGAAATTTGCATCCGAAAAGATCACATTGATATTATCCAGTGGATGGAGGTACACAACGGCATCATGGATACGATCACACAAAATTATGCTACAAAAAATTTACTCATATTTGATAAATATGATTGAATCACGATAAGCAGGGTTTATTCTTTGAGGTTCAGGGGGAGGAAGAGAACAGTGAGTTTTGAGATTGATGCTGGTCATGATGTTGAATATGGTGAAACTTCTATAAGTATAAGTGAAACTAATCAAAAATTATAGTAATATTCCGCACGAGCAGTGATTTTATGGATTCCGATTCCGGCTTGCTTCTTCTCTAACGCATGACAGCAGCGATCAATAGGAAGGACTTTCGCGACTTCAGGGATGTGGTCGAGGAGGGTATTGAGCGTCTGAAGAAGGACGTGAAGCAAGATGGCAATGCAGGGGTCTACTTTAAGCTAGCAGGCGAATTTCTGTGCTGGACCGGAGAAGCCTTCGCCGAAGGAAAGAGCGTGCTAGCGTACGCGCAGCAGCTCTTCGAGGTCGAAAAGAGCTGTGACTGCACCAAGCTAATACAGGAATGCAAGGACATGATTGCGTATGCTGATCGTGTGATGAGTGGAGAACAGGAGAATATCCAAGAACTCAAAGTGAACGAGGCAGAGCGGGATCGCATTCAAAAGAACCTAGACCGCGAAAATGCTGCATTTAGAGAACAGAAGACGAAGGAAAAGGCTGCGGCTGCTTCAGGACCCTCGACGAAAGCACCGATGGAAATCGACGTGGGAGACGCGATTATGGTGGAAGACCTCACAGCGGGCCTGGAAAATTTAGAAGTGTCATAGAGGTCTAGGTCATCTGGCGTACTAGCCCCTTAGCGTGTAGCCTGCGAAGCCTAGACGCTTAGACGCGTCTCCATCGAAGCATTTACATTTTCGAGATGAAACGTATCTGCATAAAATGGAAATGTATCAAATGCTTTATCCACTCTCCGGATGACGTTCGCCGTTACTTTTCAGAGATACCTTTTATGGAGCAAAGTTTTGCTTCGCTGCAGAAAAAGAGAGAACGTCTTATCGCCACAGCTCACCAAGTGTGACTGCAAGTGGTGGACTTCTTGGTTACAGATACTAGTAGAGTTTGTTTCTGGGCAAGAGCGCTACTTAACCGATCGTATCGGCATCGCCATCGGTGTCTATTGATCTACGTTTTTAGCATTAAGAGCAAACCAGATCAAAGTAACCACCTTTTCTTTTCATCTTAGCGGACTTAGAGAGAGGAAGGAGAGAAAGATCACCGAGCTCGGAAAGACCTGACAAGGTGAAGCTCAACGCAGTTGTTGAGAAGATCTTAGAGTTCGAGCAGAGATCCCTCTCGCAGTTTAGAGTCATAGCTAATCAAGGAGAGGGCATCAAGATCATTGTGTATTAGCTGGATCTCGGACATGTTAATTAGATCCAGACCGGGTTCCGCAATCAGGTCGTTGTGGATCAAAGAGAGCGAAAATTCCTAAACTTTTAAGCGCAACTTGTTTCAAGCTTACTTCTTTCTCTCAGGATATTTTTCGCATGGTTCTGTGGCAGCCACCAGCCTGTCCATTTTCAATCCCCAGGTGACAATAACCCATTTCTTTTTCCATTCATTGTACATGCAACGATCTTCCAATTTCTGGTTCTTCATCTACGTTCTTTTTGGTTTGTGTAGCCCTTGCTTTATTTTGGAGGTTTTTTCAAACAGTCTGACGTAAATCCAAAAACCACCTTATCGTCCAAATAAAGATTTAAAAAAATGGCAGTCAACGACGAGTCAAAAATGGTGGCTGCCGCCAAGAACGCGCGGAAGGCGGCACTGGAGCTCGCCCAGCTTTCGGAAGAAAAGAAGAACGAAGTCCTGAGATCGTTTCGCACCGTCCTGGTGGAAAAGAAGGATGCGATTCTGGCCGCAAACAAGGAAGATGTAGAGGAAGCTTCGAAACTCGCAGACGCTGGCAAACTGTCCCACACCTTACTCCGGAGGCTCAGTCTAGCAGGGACTAAATTTGACACGCTTCTCGAAGGTCTAAACCAAGTTGTCTCTCTGGAAGATCCAGTTGGGAAGTGCACCTACGCAAACACAATAGCAGAGAACCTGGAACTTTACCGTGTCACATGCCCAATAGGCGTTATGTGCGTTATTTTCGAGGTACTCCTAATCCTACTGCAGCTGTATAGACAGTACCATCCGTCCTGCTTCGGAATCGCAGGAAAAGATCTTCGAGAGTTCTTCTTCTTGTATAAGTGTATCATTAATATAAATATGGAATCTTTATTTGAACAAACCTTGAGGACTTAGTGAAAATTATTTCTGCACATCTTAATCTTTATTAACATCGCTTTTGAAAAATATTATAGGCCCGACCCGAAGCATGCGTGCAGATCGCTTCGCTCGCATTGAAGAGTGGCAACGCTCTGCTCCTGAAAGGCGGCAAGGAAGCGGCACGAAGCAACCGGATATTGACGGAAACTCTTCGTGAAGGTTTCTCGCGGGTTGGGGGAGCGTCTTCAGATATGCTTCAGTTACTCGAGGCCCGCGAAGACGTTTCAGCGATCCTAAAGATGGATCAATACATCGATCTGGTGGTACCAAGAGGTGGAAATGCTCTTGTGAAGTATATCAAAGAAAACACTATGATCCCAGTATTGGGCCACGCAGACGGCATCTGCGCAGTCTACCTAGACAAGCATTGCGACAGCGAAAAAGCGGTACTGCATGATCATGATCGTTTTTCTTGTCTAGGTATAAAGAAATGAAAATTTAGTAGAAGTAGGTACGATGATGTTATTTTCATAGATTTGTTGAAATGTATAGACTACAGTGATTATCTCACACAGGCCCGAATAGTTTGCGAATCGAAGACGGGCTACGTATCCGCTTGTAACGCTCTCGAGACACTACTAATTCACAAAAACCTGTTGCTCGGAAAGGAAAAAGAGCAAGCCGCATTTGCTTCTTCGTTACTCAACCCATTCGCGCTTCGTGAGCACACGACCGAATTCAGGTGTGACAAGCGCTCTCTGATCGCCTTCCAAGCGGCTCTGGACGAAAAACCTGAGCTAGCGAAGAAGATCATACTTAATTCGTCGAGCGAGGAGGACTATCGTACAGAGTTCCTCGACTATATCCTGGCTGTGAAAGTGGTTGAGTCGACAAGTGAAGCCGTAGCTCACATTAACGCTTACGGATCAAAGCACACAGACGCAATCGTGACAGAGAGTACAGAAGAGTGCGAACTGTTCATGAACGGCGTGGACAGTGCGGATGTTTTTTGCAACAGCAGCACCCGTTTCGCAGACGGGTTCAGATTCGGGTTTGGAGCCGAGATCGGCATCAGCACGAATAGAATTCACTCACGTGGACCCGTTGGCTTAGATGGCTTAGTCCTCTACAAATATCGCGTCTACAGCGCTGGGGAAAAAGGACACTGCGTGGCGGATGTAGCCGGCAAGCCAGCCAGCGAGGGTGGATTCGCTCACACGAAGATTCCAGGTGCAGAGGGTGCTAGATTAGACGACTTTCTGGCGCAGAGAAGGCGGAAGCGAGAAGCGGAAGTCGATCATGCTCAAACACGAGCGGATAAACGTCGGAAGTCATCGTAACATCTCGTTCGCAGCCAGATTTTTCTCATATTGTTCGCTCCTTTCTCATTTCTGCGCAAATATGATGATGAATCGTCCATTTTCACACGAATTCCATTTCTATCCCTGTCGCCTCTCCTTGCATTAGATAGATCCCTCCAATCCCGCTAGTAAACGACGAAGTTGATGCTCTCGTGACAAAGTTCGCGGAAGTGCCCCACCATGGAAGCTCTACGAAAACTTTTCGCAAACATGACACTGTACGTGTACGTGCAACCAGGACACTGGTTGGGTGTTTCAAGAACAAGAAGGTGGATCTTACTGAATTTATCTTTTCCACGACTGCGACTAAAATTCTTCTGCGTGATTGTAGATCAAACTTGATTAGAGTTCTTGTTGTAAAAACTGAACACGGTGACTTACTTATATATTATGCCTCCTCGGACTCGGTCCTGCAAGATTGTTGAGATCTTGTTCTCTCCAGCCTGATGCTGATGTGGAAGTGCTTTTTCACAGGATCGAAGATCCGCAAAAATGCAGATCAAACTCACACGATCGTTGGGTCCTCGATCTTTCAGTTTTGGTCGTGATCTTTGTGAGATCGATACTGGTTTTCCCTTCGTGATCTTGGAAGCGCGGTTGACAGATCATGGAACAAGGATGATCCGACCCCTCAGCAATATCTTTTAGCACCATGATAGCATAAGTTTCAGTATGTGAGACACACTCACCATCAAATTCAAACGTACGTTTACAAGGAATTAGATGGAATCAGGGTATGAGGAATTAGATGGAATGATTTTTTTAGACGACAGGGAAAATATTTCTAATGTGTTTCTGATTTCACACTAGCCCGTGTAGAAGAAACACTCGTCAACTACTCCAGGGTCATTAAGATTTATGACATCCTTACAACTGATATGACACTACGATTTTCGTACGGTTTTTCATTCCCGACATCACCAATTTATTACATCAAATGGATACCACGACATTGCTCACCATCCCGAGTAGCTAAGCGAAAATGGGCGGCCTAAGCAAAAACAAGCAAACGCGGAAGAACAAGATCAAGAAGATCATCTCAAAAAATGATGATCGGCGAAAAGAGCCTGTAATCAAGCAAAAAGTGGAGTTGAGGCTCGAAAAAGCAAAGCCTGTTATTAAGGAGGCTGAGCAGCAGCATAGCTCTTTGTTCTTCTCTTTCAACGAGAATCTTGTCCCCCCTTACCGCGTCTTGGTGGATACAAACTTTGTGAACAGCGCCCTCCAGAACAAGGTCGACATTTTCAAGGGCATGATGGACCTGCTATTGGCCAAGTGCATTCCTTGTGTGACCGACTGCGTCCTAGCGGAACTGGAAAAAATGGGCTCAAAGTATCGAATGGCCCTGCAGCTTGCAAGAGATCCAAGGTACTAGTACTACTATAATAAATATTTACATTTATTGGCGCCCACTACCGCGTTGACTATTCTCAGGAGGTTAGAAGGTTGAGTGACCTGGTAATTACTCTTCTAGTTTGCGACCTCGAGCTGGACCTTCAACCCCCATTCAAATTGTACACTTATTCGACTACAACAACTCAGAATGGAGCGGCTTACCTGCACACATAGAGGAACGTACGCAGACGACTGCTTGTGCGAGCGCGTGCACAATCATAAGTGTTACATTGTGGCAACGAATGACGCAGACCTGAAGAAGAGGATACGAAAGATTCCTGGTGTGCCAATTATGTACTGTAAGCGTGGCCACTTCGGCATAGAACGTCTCCCAGGCCATATGGAACACGTCCCCAAGTCAAAATAAGTAGTTGTGACATTTAGATTGAACACTGGAATGTTATAATTCACACGATCACATTATTATGCAATGAGTAGCTGACAATGCTCGTCCTGAAAATTTCTGCAGCCGCACCCGCAGGGACCGTCTTTCTCTTCTCACACATATGTTTCACTTTGTCCGTCGTGTTCCACCAACGCTTCATCGCTGACAAGATTTGACTCTCCTTGATGTGCAGCATCATACTTCACCATGCACCATACAAAAATATCAGATCACAAGACTCCTTTCATCGGTTCAATCTTTTTTGGTCAATGCCAGCCTGCTATTGTCAGCGACTGACATGCATGTGTTTGATGGAAAGGAATCCGATGTGGAAAATCGAAGATCAAAGGCAAAGTTCATGTTGTGATTAAACAAGTGTAAGTGAGCCATATGTCACCAGCGAAGCTGTTGATGTACTAGTAGTAGTAGGGAGTATAATGTGTCACCCGGCCGTACCCGTCACGAAAAAATACGTGAATGTGAAGGTGTCCTCAAGTTGACTACATACTTTTCAACGCTCATCATGAAGATGGAGATGTCGTTTATTTCCTCATCCATTAACAAGCTGATTTTTTTATCTATCATACATGTGTAGTTGCTTTGTGCTTGTTCTGGATCTTGAACGAATCGCTGTGCAACAGGTTCTTGTGGACACGGAAGGTTGAATCATTGTCCTTACTTTTAGGTTTTATTGTTCGACGATTCTCTCATTCTGAGTCAGTCTGAGAAGATCCAGGCCTAGGAATTGACACTGGAATAGTTGTAACAACACTGCATTAAGCCTGTGGGAGTGTCGATAATTGTTCCAAAAGTTGTATCGAGAAAAACCTCTACCTCATCAAAGAAACTTCTTTGATCATCATGGCATCTCCAAATTACAACTCCGACGCCGCTAAAAATAAGATGTTGGTGGAAGCGACAGCCATCGACTGCTTCATCATGCAGGTGTACAACGCAGACCCGGTGCAGTATGTAACCGAAAAGGTCTCAACAGCGGCAACTAGATTCCACTTATGAGCCTACAACTACTACTACTACTACTACTACTACTACTAGTACTACTAACGACGTGTTCAGTTTTTCTTTCTTTTTTGGACTAATATTCATTGATTGCTACTACAACTGCCTACTTATATATTTCTCGTCATTCTCTATCAATCTACCGGTGTCTCTATCTCATCATTCTAGGCGGGTGTCATTGGCGTCGCTATTTTTCAAGAAGATGTTTTCGTGCCTCAGCCTCACGCTTTCACTTCCTACAAATTCAGAATTACAACTTGTTTAGCTTGGTGCTTTCATTTTTACGGATGTGGGAGACCGGACTGCACAGGGCATTTCACTACTCTTTCATCCCGGCGATCACAGTGGGGGGACTTTGGTACTCTGGGGATCTTTCGTTGGGTATGATGCTCGCTAGTCTCAACCCTCTCCTGATGTGAGTGATCGCTCGATCATGAGATGACCTGTCGTACGGAGTTCCGCATCGGATGATCATGGATGTGCAGGACTGTCCGCCGGAACCAGATAGGTGGAGATTCTATTTCTACCGTATTTTTTCAAATTTTTGAGTGATGTTCAGTCGTAATGATCCTCAAGAAGAACGCGACACATAAACGATATACATCACAGGATCGCATGCATATGCTTGTGATTATCCAGTGGTCATCTTCCAACAAGTTATACACGATATTTCACCTCGTTTTTCTCACGTTGTTTATTGGAGTTTGTTCCCTCTCTCCCAAAAATGGACCCCGCGAGCTCGATTTGAAGATGAACGCCCCTCAACATATTTTCCTGTTCTTTGACTTTGATGCATCCGAAAACTGTTCACAAGAAATTGATTTAGTTTCTCTATCGCCTGCGCCTTATGCACGCTATCGTGCCGTAGAGTCGGAGCTTTTTTACATACAGACTTCTTGAGTGACATTGGCCTTGATGCGCTGTATGGACAAGTAAAAGGATAACGAGTGATTATTTAGAGTGAGACTTATTTTACATCTCTGTGACCACTGTGCCGACTACCAGTCGTCACGATGTTCTCACATAAAGATCAACCTTTTTGCCGAACGACCTTTGAGTGGCAAAGGTGTAAATGCGTAGAAAAACAATGACAAGTCTGCGAGTGGACAGCTTTGTATTAAAATTTCGAAAAAAGCAAGCATGAGCACCCATTCTCATGGGTTCAGAAGAGAAAACGAATCCATTAATTCAAAAAAATTGAAGTGAAGGACGCATACGATTTTCTTTGATAAAAGTTTTGTTTGTGAAGAAAAAGAAAGATTTCATCATCAGCGAATCGCTGTGTATTAGGTGAAGGGGTACGAGTCGATGATAGTCGAAGCATCATCCTCAGAGTCTGACTAGTTCTAGTTTGTTTCTTCCCGGTTTTTGAGTAAGTACTTCATCTGCGTGTTTGACAGCAGTACAGCATCAGCTGCACCACAACGAAAGCATAAAAAATGGCAGCAGCTTTTGAGGAGCCTTCATCTTCGGGCCGCCCACTCTATCTGGACGCGCGCGATTGGGACGCTCTGAATAACACTCTGCAGGATCAGGGTATCCGGCTCTTCTGCAGTAACGAACCCAAAGCTTCGATGATAGCGCTGACCATGTTTGTCGACTGGATGCTAGGCCAGGGAGCTTCTGCGCCGTCTTCCGTGACGGTATTCGTGAACCACAAAGACGAGGAACGGAACGGGAACAATGCCGAAGACGGCGATTCGCGGCCTTCGTCGGGTGGGAGAGACTTCGCTGCGCTGGAAGAGAAATTGGCGGAAATCGCGGAAGACCATGCGCGATTGCGTCGCTCGGAGTCCAATATAGCGACCAAAGTAGAACGAGTCTGGGCGCCTGAAGATGAACAGATGACTATCTCTTTAACAGCTGAAAATAGCACCGCTGCTTCTGAACACGAGGACTCAGGGAACTCAAGCGACGAAAATCAGCCGAACATCTACTCAGCGGAAGGGGAAAAGACAAAAACTGAGGGCTCTTTCCGCCGAGGACCTGTACTTTCATTTTCAGGCACTTCGTCTTCTTCTGGTAGCAGCAGTACTCAAGTCGCAGCACGAGGAATCCTCCCGGCTCTGGCTTCAGCAGGGTCAGTCGTCCCAGAAGAGGTCGCAGGTGGGCAACTGTGCTCGCCCTTCACAGCAATGAGCCTCGTCACGTGCGCATTGATGAACCAGACCTATGACGGCATTGAAAACGACGCTGCACATGGGAAGTTCAAAAAGTGGGGATATTTCATGCAAGTGGTGCGATCGCACTTCCTAAAATACTACGGAGAGCAAGCGCGCTATGCGTGCAAACCCGTAGACGTTATGCCGAGTGTCGCGGAGGAGGATGAGGAGGAAGGTGGGGACGTGGATATGTTGAAATTTAATCCCGCTGGTGAAGTTGAAGAAGTATCGTAGTAAGACATCAAGAACTACTCTATGTATGAACTCAAATTGAAACAAGTGAAATCTTCTGCAGAACTATTTTGAGGAGGTGCGAATACAAACTAAAACTCAAACAGAGCTGAAAATAAGTAATACGGATACGACTGATGTCGGATTTCGATCTCCTTCTCCGGATGATTGATTCATCAGGAGTAAGTACACGCTTTGTGTTTTTTTGAATTTAGAACCTGCACTCTTTGAGAACAAAGACATCTGAAAGAAAGAGCTAGTAGGTACTACTTGTATAGAATTCATTGATGATTCGTGCTCCAACACATGGAAATGCTGAACAGCTTCACGGCGAATGCTGACATACTCGAAGAACGACTAAGAAGACATTATAATATATTGGATTCGATCTACTGTACGTCGAGTTGTTTGCTTCGAGGCGAGCAATTGTTAAGCTCTTCGACACTCACACTAGCACCTCCAAAAAAAGATTACTGAAAGACGAGCGGGATGAAAGCTACTCCGTTGAAAAACTAACTTCTAGTGATTTGACAGATGTGCTACGGCTACGCACAAAAAAAAGCTGCAGGTAGAAAGGGACAAAAACGTGGAGAGAAGAATAAACGAAAACGGAGTAAAGGCAACATCTGGCTGTAGAAAGCGCATGCTCAATTTAATAAACGAAGATGGATTGGGGTTCCATATCAACTTCAAAACTGGACTTCCTCCACCAGATGACATTGTCTCAGGCAGATTAGAAATAACAATGTAGCAAAAGAAGAAACACGTCTCAGAATCAGCTTCGGTGGCATTAGATCTAAGAATTATGAGCGACGCCTACGCCTTTCCTGCTTTTGAGAGGACTGTTCGTGACAGTAAATTTTCCTGGTGGGGTGCCTTTGTGACTGTGGTGATCATCGTGTGGATGTTCTGGATTGTACTGGATACCCTTCAGGAAAAAGTGAATGAGGAGCATGAGTCTAGTTCCGAAAGAGTGCGAGGATCGATGCAGGGAGCTGCGCGGGAACTTGAACGCGGCGACGTCGGTTCTGCGCAGCGTGGAGGGCGCGGTGCTAGCGGCCGAAGAAAAGGTGTGGACAATTAAGGCTTACCGTATTTCATCTTGAGAAGCATCTCTGGCCCCTTTTTCCAGGGGGAAACAGGTTACAGATGACTTGCAAGATGAATATCTGTAAGTTCTAATACAAATCACAAAGCCGTCTTCGAAAAGTGCTTCCCAGGAATCATTCCCGGCAACTGGACCTCAGGCAGCGTACGTAATGCGGCACGCGACTCAGTGGAGCGGCTCATTCTGGAACCGCTCTGGCGCCAGCTGCGTGCGCGTGTGGACTACGCGCCTTACGGGGCCGTTGCAGAACACCATGAAATTAAGGAAGGAGGTTGAAGAAACATTTGCATGTCTATTTCGTTTCTACATGCTTTAGCTTTTCTTTCTGAGCTATAGCTTTTGTTTGTTTGTTTGTTTGTTTGTTTGTTTTGATGCGCTCCGGGCGACGCGTACGATCCCGCCGGATTTCTTTGTGTTGTGCTATGGTCGTCATTGCGATCGACTATGGTATGTCTGGCCGCCACAATCCCCGCCAGCTGCGGCTTTTTGTTTTGCCGTAACTATCTGCAAATAGCTGAAGCGTTGTCTCAGCCTGCTTTAATGAAAAGCGGGATCTAGCAAAAAAGACCACCATGGAGCTGCTCTACATACAACTAGCGCACGTCGAGGAAGTGTTTCGACAATGCCGCGTGGCTGAAACCAAGCTGCAAAAGCGAATCCAGCGTCAAGAAAAAGAGGAACGGAATACGGGAAATTATGGAGTACGAGTGGATAGTCTTAGTCGTCGAATAATATTATAAGTGATTGACTACTTACTTTTTTCTTGACGAGTTTGACATTTACAAAAACGAAAACAAGAAAATCACCTCATGGAGGAACCTACAATTTCTAGGCATTTCCATTTTCGTGTCCTGGATATTGTTAAGTCTCCCTTATACTACACGTAAGACTACGTGAGACTCATGCCATGCTAACCAAGAAAATGCTTACAGTAATACAACGAACTTAAAGTTGATAGGTAATATATATTTTTGTTTCATCAATTTCTCCCCCCTAGCGCTGTGTGTACGCTGATTCTTGTTTTTGAGCTCTAATGCCAGGTGACGCTTGGGCTTGCTGATAGCGGTGCAGTACAGCGGCTGAAGGCGGAGCGCGTCGGCATTTGGCAGCCTTGCGTCGAGGAAGGGAAGAGGCTTCATCAATTCGTGACACGGTTGCGCGCTTTCCAAGAACAGGTGGCGAAAAATGCTGACTTTCAGGAACAGCGAGTCACCGCGGTTCCGGCAGTTGTTGCTCGCGCTGTGTGCGATTTTTACTACTTCGAATGCAGTTGTGAACTGGAAAAGTTACATCTGTGGTGGAGCCGATTCACGCATTTCCTGGAGCGCAACGCCGAGATCCGATCCGCTATGCTCGAAAATAGCGACGAAGCTCATCCAGGAAGCGATAACAGAGTAGCAGCGAATGGAGCATCCCACCGCGGGGAAGATCGGAAGAACCAATCGCAGACGAGTAATCGAGTCTTCGTCAAGAACTTCGAAAAGACACTAGAGGCGCTTGATATGCGAAAACATAGCTTTCTAAAGCATATGGACTTCGGACACTCGGAAGTCGAACCAACTACAGGACTAGAAGTGAGAGCATTCCACATCGCAACGACGCTACCAGTGGTCGCGAACGTACTACTGCAAAATATTTAGGTGAGTGCTCTTCCGTGTATTGCGCTTCTCAGGTCTTTTGGGATTGAACTTGCGTCCTGGTGCTACGCTTACGTGAACGTTGAAAGCATTTCGATTTTATATGACTATCTGTTTTTAAGTTAATGTAACCAACCTGTTACTACACTTCTACTGTTCTTCTTCTTGTTAATGTATTCGTGGTTGTCGTAATTATCCATATCCAGGTACTGAGCGATCTCCGTCGTGCAGTGAACCGTTCGCAGATGTCGTCGGTGCCGATGCTGGAAGCAGCCGCGCGAGACCTAGTGCTTGAGCAAAAACGGAAAAGCGGACCCACTGCTTTTTCTGCATGCTGTACGGATTTTGAGGCCGGGGAGTGGCTGCTCTCAACAGTTTTAGACCGGTCGGAGGAACAGCGAAAGAAAGAAAAGAAACTTGCAAGAAACGCTAATGTCGCAACAACGGCCCAGCCAATGTGGCAAGCGCCAACGCCAGAGGCGCCCTATGTTTTGCCAACGGTGATCGAGCCAAAAAGCCAGATGACGCTGATACAGGAGCAGCATGCGCAGTCCGCAGCAGAAGCGGCTTCGGGTGGAAGGAAGGCGAATGGAAGTGGCACCTCCAACGGAGGCAGAGGAGGGCGCGAGCACCATGGTGGCTCGGCTCCGTCCTCGGGTGCTGCAAATCATCTCCCTAGCGCACAGGGAAATGGTCACGTTAATCTAGAGTTGTCTTCACAGCAAATGAATAGCAAAGTGCTTGCTGCGAAACAGGTTCAAGGAAATGGTGGGCCAGTAGAATCCAAAAAAGGAGCGAGTAGCAAAGCTGGGACTTTGTATGCGTCGCCGTCGTCTTCGCCAGGGAGCGTTGGCGTAGCCTCAACCAGTGCGCCCGAAAGCAACATCGATAGCGCTGGAAACGGCTCGCCTCTGTTTCAGAAAAGCACGCGCACGAATTCCAATTCCTCGCCATCTGCCACAGGGTCCATAGCAGCATCTATAGTTAATGATAAGGCTATAGAGAGTTCATCTTTTAGGGCGTAGCCCGGCATCCCTGGAGCGTATAGTGGCTGAGTATTCTCATGGTGATGCAATTCAAGCTCAAGGATGCAGATCAAAGATGAATAATGGGCAGCCCTAATACAGGAGGAAGCAAGATGAAAGGGAGTCAGGAACCAGCGACACATCGAGGTGTCGTTGTTGGCTCATCTCCCGCGAAATCGTCACGGGGCATCAACGCATCGCTACCGCCTTGGCGTGAGCTCTTGCTAGACCCGAGCAGCAGCTCGAAAGACGACCTCGCGGCGGAAGCGATTCGCAGAATCGACAAGATTCAAGCCATCTTCGTAGAGTTTCCGGGCAGCCTGAAGAAGCGAAAACTGGGACCGCAATCCCTTGTGCACAAGATGCTCGGAGCATCTTCTTCACGCGACTCCTCTTGGCAAGCGGTAATCTCTTGGCTATCTGGGCAATCTGAAGCGGTCCTAGAGCTTCTAGACGAACCTGGAGACCGCAATGTGGCTGAGCGTTTCTGTAATCAATGGGTTGCCGGTGGAAAGGGGGTGCCAGCGTCCGCACTGACCCAGCTTCACACACGACTCGCGGAACAAGTGCAAAGCGTAGACGTGGCGGCACCCGATGCGAACACAGAGGACTTGGGTGCAATGCGCGAACTCAAAGGCCTGCTGGCTTTCCTCGGGTCTCCAGCCTATCGACACTCCATGGTACACGAACTGCTCCAAGCGCATGGACTCTTTGGGAAGTTCTCAACACTCGAGAATAAAGGCCGGGCGATGGTATTTGTAAAAAGGGTAGGAGGTATGATGTACTACCATCGAGAGTGGCATCCCTGCCCATGAGATCATAATAGCCACCACAACGACAACGAGCGCATCAGGATCATGCTTGTAGGTATTACATATTGTTCTGAGTTTTGGGATCATCAGACAATATGCTTGTCTGTATGACAAAACAGGACAGTGACCTCGCTTCGGTGACTAGCGATGAAGAGGTCGATCCGCAAACCGGTAGAAAGCGTGGCGGCATCCCTGCGTTCCAGGAACAGTCCGCGGGAAGCCACGCGTTTTCAGACGTACTTGCGCGCAATCGACCTAGTGTGGACGGATCTGAGGCACCAGCATACCTATTGGAGGATCCGAACAAGAAGAAGGCACGACCAGAGACACCACCGGAAGAAGCGCAAACGACAGCAAGGAGCGCTCGGAGCCGTCCAGGATCTCAGGCAGCCTCAATGGCCAGCTTGCCTCGAGCTCCTTCGATTAATGGTACAACATTTTCTTACCTGAGTCCAAATGGAAATAGTCGCTGTCGAATTTTCATTTTATACCTGAGTCCAAATAGTCGCTGTCGCAGGATATCCGACACAAGGAAAATGACTGGTGGTGGTGTGTAAGCTAAGTGTATCATGCAAAATATTTGGATCATGATCATACATAGATTTTTCGATCCTATATTAGTACTAAAAACGTTTAACTGGGACTGGGTGAACCGACCAATGCATCAATTGGTTAGTAAAAACCTCTAAGCACCCCATAATTCGCATATCCGTAAACTTTTATGCACGACCAGGCACACCACCGGCAACTCCGCCAGAGGGTGCCACGAAGCCTGGTTTCTTGAAACCACGGAAGCTTCTAGAGGAGCCCCCACCCAAAGGGCGGCCCGTGCTGCCGCCGATACTGATGGAGGAGCTTCGTGTCATGAACGCTGATGATTGATGAGGGATGTTGACATGCGGAGTATTGTTGTTATTGTTAATATTCTCGCTGTCGGTATACGCTAACACTAATATATAAATTCGTCTTCACGAAACGAGTAAAATTTGAATTGTTGTGGTTGTTTTGGCACTTCCTCTAATGACAAAAGAAGAGATTCTCATGCAAATTGCATTAGCATTTGTCGTAAAGAACGTACTATGTTGCAACTGATATTGACACTGTACTTTGCTAAAGAAGATGAAATTGCCACGCTGATTATTCCTCTACGCGAGGAGCTGAGCCTGCGAATTCTCCTCATTCCTTTGATATTTTTCAAAAGGGGCACCATGTACAACATGGGACGCTGCCTCTGCTGCAGGAGACTCCTACCCGTTTTCTCGGATTTCCATCTTCAATTTAATGTTCTTCTTCTTTATCGATCTCAGAGAAGCGTGATGGACCAATACTGCCTGGTACGAGAGCAAGACGTATCTATAGATACCAAAAAGTATCAGAAGATGAAGTCTCATTTTCTCTTCGTCATCTGTTTGCCCTAACAATAACAATAAGCCACTTCTGCGTGATAGTTGAGAACAGGTTGAAGAGTCATACGAAACTACACATCAAAAAGATGGCTTCAATCGAATGGCGCGATGTGGTATTCTCTGCTCGCGATCCAGAGACTCGGGAAGCAACCGACATACTGTGTGGTCTGTCAGGAGGTGTGGCGGCTGGGGGAACTCTGGCGATTCTGGGGCCCTCCGGATCGGGGAAGAGTTCGCTGCTAAAGGTGTTGGCAGGGCAGATCCGAGTAGGCAGCGCGGCGTCGGGGACGATGGGCGGAAGTGCCCCTGGCGAGCGCGCCGCCACGGGGAGTTCACCCGAGACCCTGAAAGGGAGCGTCGTAATAAATGGAGAGCGGCCTGCGATACCGCTGGCCACGTATGCCTACTCTAGCGCCGTGAAGCTCGTGTCTTTGATCGAGCAGCAAGATTTGTTCATAGGGGAAGTAACAGTTCAGGAGCACCTGAATTTTTACGCGAACTTGAGACTCAGTCATATGACCCGTGAAAGACGGAAACTGCGTATTGCCGCGATCTTGCGTCGTCTGCGTCTTGACCATTGTGCCGATCGACCGACGTCGGCCCTCTCCGGAGGCGAGCAGAAGCGACTCTCTGTAGCAGAAGAACTTCTCAACGAGCAGACCACCGTCCTGCTCTTGGATGAACCTGTATGACTGAGAAGGCATAAGGAGGATCATTAGACAGAAACTTGAAGTTGAAGCCGTCGTGCAAAATATCAAAGCCAAAAACACTTTCTTCCACTAGAAAATGTCGATCATTCTGAACTTGATATCTCCTTCTTATAGAAGTAACTGAGCGATTCTACACTTTCCTGAAGAACACGAAACCCATGTTTTGTAATTTTATTCCCTCGTCCATTTCAACGAAGACCAGCGGTCTGGACAGCGTGTCTGCAAAAGAGATGGTCGACATCTTGTGCTACGGCGAAAAGGCGGAATTGGTGCCAGATAGTAGAAATTCGTCACGCATGCCGTTGCCGAGTAAGGAGGCCACCGCTGCACATGGAGGAAGTGCTATCAGGATTGGGAATGGTAATCAGGAACAAACTACTTCGCCCACACACTCGGTAAGTGATCTGCGGGTCTCCATCGCTTCCGAAAGAACCACCACCAGAGGCATAGAGCAGCGAGCCGAGGAAGGTCGTGGTGATGATGTCGTGGACAAAAAAGGAGCTACAGGTCAGCTTCTGGCCTCAAACAACGTTTCTCGACGAAAGACGGATACTACAATTTTATTCACGATTCATCAGCCATCGAGCTTGTTGTACTCGTGTTTTCAAGACGTATACTTCCTGGGACGCGGCCAGTGTGCCTATTTCGGGCCGGCGAACCAGCTCGGTGTATGGCTGAGCGGAGCGGGCTACGCCGCCCCCGCATTTTACAACTCGGCTGAATTTGCGCTCGATTTGATTCAGGACAAGGCCCACCTCGAAGATTTGGTCGAGAGACAAGCAAAGGTGGAGCAAGCTCGACGGCTCGCGATTTTGAGGGCGACGCCTGGTGCGACTCGGGACGAAAGCACCAGAACGGCTGGCGATCTCGACGAGCGAACGCCAGAGGAAAATGTTGAAGAAATGAGAGACTACACCGATTATACAGGGTCAACAGGTACAAAAGGGAGTTGCAATACCAAAGTGACAGCCTCAGTAGAAGCGCTCCTGGCTGGGCAGCGTCGTGCCTCTTGGTGGACAGAGTTCATGGAAATTTGGAAGCGAACACTTATCGCTCGATTGCGCCAACGCTTTGCCACCCGACTGACAATAATTCAAAATGTCTTCATCATGGTTCTTGTTGGAATCTTTTTCTTCGATGTCGGACGCCATCCGGCTAAGATCGATACGCGTAACGGGGCGATCTTCTTCCTACTGACCCACCCTCTTTTCTCCGCCACGTTCGAGGCAATGCTTCCGTTGGTCTCTTCTGCGGCCGTCTTGCATCGTGAGTTTCAGACAAAGCGCCTCTACCGGCTTTCATCGTTCTTCCTCGCTCGCACTACAGGCGAACTACCTGTCGTTTTAGTGTTTCCGCTCATCCACACCGCAGGCGCCTGGGGTCTCATGCAATTTCATACTGACGGCGTGGAGCAGATCGGAAAAAATCTGGATTTTTTCGGAATGGCCGTCGTTTCTCTTCTTGCAGGGCAGAGTTTTGGTTATTTTCTAGGTTCGCTTACCCAGGACGTAGAATTACGAGTGTAGGAAATGTATCCCTAAAGTCATCTGGACAAAGAAAATAAGAAGGAAAAGGGACCCAGATGATCTGTGGCATGCATTCCCGATATATCTAATCGAAGTTGCCATTAGTCTTGCGATTGTTACGCTGGTCCCGCTGTTCTTGTTGAATCCGTTCATTCTTGACGCCTCTTTGATTCCGGGTGGCATAGCCTGGGTGCGGTATTTGAGCCAGTTTTTCTACGGCTTTCGCGCATACGTCACGTGGTGCTGGCAGGATATGGAGCTAGACGCATGTTCGGCGCATGAAGCGGCAGTAGAATTTCCTAAAGAGTGCGCCCTATACCACACGGGCGCAGACGTACTGCGACATCGATTCGGGATAAGTGACACCGAGGAAATTCGCGGCTCAGCCTTTGCGTGTCTCTTCGCGCTCACGCTGGGATTCAGATTGCTTGCTTTCTTACGCTTTTACCTGCGATATGAATACTCGGACAACTGGCGACTAGCACTCGGACTTCTACAAACGGACGACAATTCTAGTGGAATTTTCAGAACGAGGAGTACTAGCACAAATGCTGTGCTGGCAGCTGATAGTAGTGCAGACACTCCGCATCCGCGCCCGCGGCGTTCGTCCATTAGTAATCTCGTTCGAGGATTCATGTTCAAACCTCTTGCGTGAACCATGGTTGTCAGCGTCGCATTGCTGTAAGTCATTGTTGTGAGATGTGTCTAGAAAAGTGAAACCAAAAAGCAAAACATTCGATTCATGCGTCCCTCTCCCTCATTCGGTAACAATGCCTTGTCCAGCTCGCAAGTGCAACTGCATGAAGACAGTGATCAAGAGAAAGGCCACGAAAAGATTGAGAAACATCAAGAAATGCGACGGGATGACTCGGGTGCAAGCCGTGAAAGCTCAAAAGAGCAAGGAAGAAAAGTCCCCTCATGTATCTTCAATACATTCGGGGCACAGACCGGTGCGAATCTGTTGCATGGTTGGTGCGCTGGTGCGGTAAGTAAGTATCTTAACGTGCATGATCATTGGGGTTCAACCTCGGACGGTGGTAAGGGTAAAGATGAAGGAGACGCCGCTAGTACAGCAAGTAGAAAGAAGTTCGAGTTTTCTATTTCCGCCCCGAATAATGTAATAAATGGCTCACGTACTTCGGAAGGGGCTTCGAGAAGTCAAGGAGGATGAAGCAGCTGAGGAGACCTTCATGTTTTCAGGAGGTCCGTAAAGAAAGAGTACCCTTGGTACTACACGTGGTTGCGTCCCGAAGACTCAGTGGATATAGACATCAAACTCGAAGCTTAAGCTTTATGCTGGTTCGGAATGAAAAAAAAAACTAAATTAACGCCCCTATATACCTGTGGCAGTCTGCGCCGATCTTGCGCGACACTCATCGCATTGCATTGAAAAAGTGCACTAGTGTACACTGTGCTACTAGTGGAGACCGAATAGAAGACGGATGTGTCTAGACGGATGTGTCTTGTTCCAATGTTTTGCAAAGGCGGTGACTCGATTAACCAGGACGCTCTCTCAACACTGTGTGAGCGTGTGGCTTGAGCAGTTCGCTGTTCGTGCATCATCGCCGTCAACCACATACTTTTTCAACGCCTACTGCTGAAGACAAAAACACGGCGCGCGTCTGACTCTGACCGCAATAAAGTTTGTTCTTGAAATATTTCTTCAGATGCGTGCACCAGCTAGAGTCCTCCAATGTATCTGAATCTGTACTATAGATGATATTATGTGCGGAGAGTCACTACCACCACCTGCTCAAAGAATATTCCTTTCGCACTAGCAGGGAAGATCATCATAAAGACAAATCTATCATTCAAGTTCTTTGGCCTCAGTTTCATCGTGTGGCCTGCACTAAAGATCAACAGCGATCAACTAGACGAGTGAGAGTACGCACGCCTCAATATTGACGTACTAACAAACAGGTTCTTGTTGAGTCTTCAATTTCTCTGTAGTTCTATCCTTTTTGAACATTTGGACTTTTCTTACTTCTTTTGTTTTCTGTTATGTCACCAACTAACAGCAAATTATCCCCTTTCTTGCTCTAGTATTTCACATACACTTACACATTCCCATGCATGCGACATAATATTGAGGTGAATGACATGCAATACTCGAGCTGAACATCGTCGTTAAAGTCCAACTAAGTCCCTTTTCGCTGCATAATTTCAATTTATTGGTATCACCTTCTTGAAAGGTCGCTAGCGCTACACAATGGTAAATTCTTCACAGAATCTACAGGCGCCAGCCTCCAGCGGTGCCCGTCCAAAGCGGTCTCCGGGGCGGGGGGGCAACACAGCAGCCACGTCTTCTAAATCCGTCCCCACTACCGTGAACCAGATTCCTGCAGAGCTCTCAAGCGACCCATCGTCGAAGTTGTGCGTGATCAAGATTGGCACGTCTTCGCTAATGACCGAGGACAGCCGGATCAAGCTGCCTTCTATCGGCCGATTGATCGAGACAATTATGAAACTGCGAAAAGAGGGCCATCGCGTGGTGTTGGTAAGTTCCGGCGCGCAGGGCTGCGGGCGCATAAAGCTCGGACTAGCGTTTCGTCCTACCAGTGTGAGCGGGAAGCAAGCCGTCGCGGCGGCGGGACAGGCCTACTTGATGCGAATCTACGAGGACCTCTTCGAAATTGCTTCAGGAGGCAAGCAGAAAGTGGCGCAGTTGTTGATCACAAGGCGCGATTTTAGTAGTTTTGTGTCGTTCTCCAACATCAAGAGCACCGTAGAGGAGCTCTTACGATGGAACGTAATTCCTATCATCAACGAGAACGATGCCGTTCACCCAACGACGGGTCTGCACGAGAAATTCGGCGATAATGACCAGCTTGCAGCGTTGACTGCAATCAATTTAGAGGCCGACTGGCTCTTCTTGCTCACGGACGTCGACTACGTTTACACGAGCAATCCCACGACAGATCCCAACGCGCGACCCATCTTTGAGGTCACTGACCTGAAAGAGCTACAAAAAGTGGTCGAGACCTCGCCGGCACCTGCACAGCCAAGCATTGCGGCAACGCCCCACATGCCAGCAGCAGCTGAAGGAGCGGATGCGGATAAAGCTTCCGTGACGGAGGTGGCAAGCGTGGAGCAGAGATCGGGATCTGCTGAATCGTGTGCGGCTTCGGCTAACACTGCAGCGAACTCAGCGGCGCAGCAGCAAGCAGGCGGCGGCAGTACCTGGGGTACGGGTGGCATGCAAACGAAGCTAGTTGCTGCGAAATTAGCCTCGGTCGCTGGCATTGAGTGCGTGCTAGTTAACGGTGCTGTCCCAGAACGCATTCTAGCGTTCCTCCAAGCAGCACGTGCGCAGAGCGCGGAGCCCCAGCAAGACGCATCCAGCACAACTGGTCCAGCAACCTCTAGCTCTTCTGCATCCTCCAGTAGTGCTCCAAAATTGGCATCCTCCCGTTCTCGAAGCAACTCCCTTGTCTATCTTCAACAGCAACAGCAAGCTTCTTCGGTCGGCGGAGCACAGTCAACGGGCTTGGTAGGCACATTTTTCCATGCGAACCCTTCGGTATCGACGCTACGATACCAAAGGCGTTGGATATTGGCTTTACCCCCGAAGGGGAAAATATTTGTGAATCACGGCGCGGCACAAGCTTTGCTGAAGAAGAAGTCGCTCTTTGCCGTGGGCGTGGTAGCTGTGGAAGGCGATTTCCTGGTAGACGACTGTGTCGAGATTTACCAGGTCTCTTCGAGCTCCACGTCCCCCGTTGTTAAAGTGACTGCAACTCCAAAAATTGTGGACCTCAGGCAGACAGGTTCAACAGTTGGAATAGCAGCCTCGATAGCGGACTCTCCAGCCTCAGAGTCGGAGACGGAACAGCACGAAGTAGTGAGCCCCAAAACTGGTGTAATGATGAACAATTACACGGCGGTATCAAATGACCATAATGACAAGGGCACGCACCAAACGCAAACAGACGGAAATAATAGTAAAGGCGGTACTTCTACTAGTTCTTCTCACAAGGGTGACGCCAAGTCCTCGAGGTCGCGTCGCGGAGGCCGTCGACGAGGCGACTCAGAGGAAAGCGCCCGAAGCGCAAGGAGCGCCAAGTGCGGGGCCGCACAAAATTTGTCTGCAGAAGCTGGCTCCCCCGTTGTCGAACCGTCTGAGCAATTTGCGCAGGCAATCGTTGAATTCACAAGTCAGGAAATCCGGAAGATCATGGGTCTCCGCTCCGCCGCATTTGAAGCACGAATAGGTTACGCGGCGAACCCTGAAGTCTGTCATCGGGAAAACATTTTCCTCTTACATTAGATTCTGGAAGACAGCAATTTGCTGATGTGAACAAAGTTCATCCTGAGGCAGAAAATGAAATAACAGCCCTTATCCTATACATAGCTGTAACCCTTCAGCCTCAAAAACTTTGGTCGTCCTGAAGAAGTATGTCCTATTTTCGGCGAAATGCGTCATCATCAGTGGTGTTCTAGTAATATCGCAAATTGAACACCAACATCGAGCATGTTGAAGACATGGAACTGAGCTTGAAGATCCATGGGCAAGGAGTATTTTTGAGAAAGCAGGTATATGAATATGTCACTTGAGGGTGAGACTCCACATATTAAGGGCAAGAAAATCCGATCTATCGAATCAGATCGGTTCTATTGAATTCTTGTTGAGATATGCTGGGCACTCCACGTCCACAAGAAATTGCACCAGAGAAGGAAGAGGGCCGGTTAACTCAAAGAAAAGGGAACGTGGCCGTCATGCCCTCGTAAGTAGTACGTCACAAGAAAAAGCGGATCGTTCTCAGTATTGGTCGATTTTATTTTGATATAAAATTGTTTTTCAAGAAAGAAGAAGAACCAACAACATGATAAAAAACTTGCGACCACTGCACCAGCGGCCTCTGTACCGCGTCTTCGCGATTACAGTTTTCTCGGCGTTTTCGTCGTTGACTGATCAGAGTCTGGTGTTGTCGAAAATGGCAGCATCTTCCAGCGCCGCATGCCCTGGTTTTCCGTGCGTTGTCTTTAAGGGCCGACGCAACGCGCCGCACAGCGATAGCTACGAGGTGGATTTTTTCGACCATGAGAAAGTGCAACGCACATGGAAGAATGGGCATGGGGCACCGCACGTGCGCACACCGCAGAAAATCAAGAGCGGGACCGCAAGGAAATGCGAGGCCGTTCCTAATGGCTTCGATAATGTGCAGAGCATGCGATTCGCGTCGAAAAACCGCGAAATGGCGTCGTCAAAAAAGAAGCTGTACATGTGGGCTGTAAATGGATGTTCGTCGCCTCAAGACACGAAGGACACGACCAGCTGCCACATCACCATACCGCTGGAGTACGCACCAGAAGCCTATCGGGATTTGATCGAAACGATGGCAGAAAGGAAGGAGAAGAGGCAAAAAGGAAAGGAGAAGGATGGAAGCGAAGACACAATCGACGACGAAGAGAAGAACAGCGACATAGACCTGTAATCGAATGATGAAAAAAAGAAGACAGATCGATTGCGGTCGGCGCATAAGAGAAAGTTGAGATTTTTTAATTGTTGTATATTTGAAAGAAACCAGGACAAGCACTAACACGATTGTGTGTGTGCAGAAACAGAATCAAGTTCTCGTTGTCCGATCCCGAAGCATGCATGGGTATGAACAGCCACAACGAAGACATGAAGATGATGAAAAATGTTGAAAAAAATGAAGACGTTCACCACGACCACTCGTAGAAGAAAGCACTTAAGCAAATAGACGAATATCCTGACATAAATCGAGTTTCTCGTTGGATGGGACGGCAACGGTTGAGATGAAAATCTTCGAATCACAAGTATCCAACAGCACTTTTCCGCTCTGTACGATTCCATTCAGAACTGCTCTGCCCATGTCGCGCAATACTATTTCTCGTAAAGGAAGCTGACGGCTCGTAAAAGAAGCTGTTCTTGTAGAAATGATGCTTCGGTTACTCATGTTCAGCTCTGCCTTTATGTGTATTTGTCGCGCAGCTATAACCTCTCCGCGAGCGCGCACTAGATCATTGTGACTTGCTCAAGCAAGAGCAGTAGACTGTCACTGTCATTGTTGACAATTATAGCATTGCAAGTCTGTCCTTGCATGGCGCACCATGAATCCAAATCTTGTAAAAATAGAACTTCTTCGATTTTTCTAGTTTGTCCCCTTTGGCGATTCTGTTTTTGACAAAACAAACCAGGGCTATTCTAAATGCACCCAGGAGCTTGCGTTTCCCTTCAAAAATTGTCGATTGAAAAATAATGGCAGTGGCAAAAATTATTTTCATACTTAAATAATTCAGAGAACAAGAAAACGATGTTCTTGCTGCCTGCTCCCGGTATTTGGTAACCTGAATTTGATCATATGGGAAAACAAGAAGAGAACACTCGTGATCCAATTCAGGTTACCAAATGCCGGAGCCATTCAGTTGCTTGCTTGGCCGAGACCTCCGTGTCGATTGACATTCCTTTTTTCAGTGCCGTCGGTCCAACTTCATTAGCTGTGCTAACTTAAAGCGAAAAGAACGGGTAATGCGCTGTAGAATTTCTAGAAGTCGCATGTTTTGGTTTTCCGTGAACTGAATATTATATATGTTTTTATCAATTTATTAAGACGTCGTCGATTGGAACTTCTATTTGGACTTGCGATGATCTTCAACATCGTTGAGTATGTGAATTTGTATTACTAGTAGTCATAAAGAACTAGAAGTACTAGAACTACAGCAGCTCCTAGTCCTACTCCTAGTCCTAGCTACTGCTGAATATTGATATTGACGAAAGAAACGAAAAAAATGGCATTTCGGTTTTTATTTCTGCTGCGCATGGCAGAAGTCGTGTACGGTGTTGTTTTGGGTGGCTTTACTGAAGGAATACGTGCTACTAGTGAAGGTAGAGTCGTTGGCTTTCGTGGCATCTTTCAAGAGCCTCCACCAACCAGCGATTGCCTCCTGCATGGGTCTGATCACGGTTTTCGACCTGTTGCCCCAGAGATCCGCGTCGATGAACAAAGTGGTAGGGTGGCCCCACCAAACCGAAGGAGTGCTGGTTGGCCATCAACGACGGAAGACATTCCAAGACATGGCAGCTTTCGCGGTATTTTCCAGGAGCCTCCTCCAACAAGCGATTGCCTGCGTGGGTCCTCTGGCCATGATTTTCGATCTGTCCCTTCAAAGACCGGCGCCGAGGGGAAACGAGAACAACTAATGGCGATCGATCCTCCCCGAGAAGAGCACCGGTCTGAGGCCCGGAGCGACATGCAGGGAGGCCCGGCATTGCCGTTGCCAAACAGTGCGGAGGAGCCATCAGCGACGGAAGAAATTCCAGATATTGACACAGACAGAGCCCAGGAGTGGTCGTCAGAGGCATTGCCGGAAGACCATATTCCAGCAGGTCGAGTCGGAGCCAATCAAATGGGAATGAATATCAGTGATGTCGTCAGCGTATCGCACTGTGACATGAAGAACGATTGCCCTTCTTCTGCATTAGTCAAGGACGAAAAATGGAGAACGGGGAGAGACCTCGGCAACACGACAGTTGAGCCATCGAATAATCAAAGACCGCCACCGCCTGATACAATAATAGGAAAATTTGAATTTGATGGTGTCATGGATGCGGATGCTGACTGTAAAAACCCAAAGGAAGTTACAAGTCCTCGATCCATTGGCGCTCGTCAACAAGGGAGATCTATCGACTTCGACCCACCCGAGTTTGCTCGCTGTTTCCGTGATGCCCTGAACGACTGCCTTGCGATTCGAGCAGAGACAAGATTCGATCTTGAAAAAATTTTTCAGGAGGACGCCGAAGATGATAGTGAACTACACATGAAGGCTGAGTCCCCTACTAGGACTGCTGGTTTGAATGCGCGCCAAGACCAGATTGAAGAAGAACGAGATATTGATGCACAGACGGGTCCTCGAGGTGAAGAAAGCTCGGTCGATGGTGATGCAGCACTCCAATCTGATTCTGAAATGGCTGCAAGTAGCTTGGAAAGACGTTTGCTCCGCAAGTTAATGAACGAGACGGGCGGTGAAGACGATGTATCAGCGACTACAACCGCAACAGAACCCAGAATAGGCGATAATAACAAAGTGCAAGCAAAAGAGAAAATAGATGACCAGACGCTACAAAGCTCGAGTAGTGCCCCCTTGAGGGCTCGTGGTAAAGCAATCAGAAGAGTCCGGATTCTGTCTCTCATGCGCCGAAAGATACGGGATGCGTTAGTTCGTTTTGCCTCTACGCTTGTACCGACCGTACCAGGGCAAACACCAGCTGATGTTTTTCTAAACCGACAGTCCGTGCTACAGCGTTTTCTTGTTTCATTGGTTTCCCAGTTCTGCGCCCCGTCTACGAAAGCTCGTATTGCAAGCCAATTGCCTCCAGGGCATCCGTTTCGGACTCTCGTTGCACCTTGCGAACACGCAGATAAGGAGAAAAATAGTGGATTTAATCTTAATACACAAGATGAACAGCCGAAAGCAAGCGATGTCACCGAGGTGTTCGAAGATTTTTTCTGTGATGACCTAGGGCTAGGAGAAGCAAAAGATCACGTTGAAAGGCAAGAAGAAGTGTTGGATGATCGCGTTCGCCATGGTTTTCTTATCGAAGATTCGCCACTTCTTACACGCTGTCTCTCACCTACCCCCTCCTCTATTTCCGCAGACAGCAGCGGGTTCTCGATGAGTGGTGCCTACTGCAAAAGCGGTCGCTTGTTTTTGAATTCAAGTCCCTGCCCCTCTGCGGAACAAGAGCATGTACCCGAAAACGCTGCTAGAGGCCGAACGAGGGTGGACGAACAAGTCTCACCGTGTCCGTCGTCTGTTGAGCATAAACGATCGGTAGAGAAGCAAGTTGGTTCTATACGTGGGAATCGACGCTTTTTAGAGGACTTTGCCTCACTGTACAACCATATCAACATTCGGCAGCCGGCCTGCGGAGTGTCGACAAATAGCACGGCAGGAGAGGGTTGCACTCATGGGCGTCCAGTTTCGAAAGCGGAGACATCAGAGAAAGATGAAGGTCTCAGCTTAGTGTGCTGGCTTGTTACAACGGTGGAGCACCTAGGTGTCGGTGCCGCTATCCTACCGGCACGAGATTTGACGGACCACATGGTTGAGACAGCTTTCTTGGGCCTCGGTCAAGCGCCCTCGCATAGTACGCGGAGAGAAGTTATCGAAGAAAAGTCGAGTTCTAAGGATACTAGCGTTGGGAAAGATGCTGTTGGTACTAGATCTGATGAAGCAGAAATGGGAGGCAGAGGCAGTGTAGCGAGCAGCGGGGAGCAACAACCGGAACACTGGCAAAAGCACAGTCTAGCCAATGGAGCTTTTTCCTTTGAAGAGGAACTAGCTCGGATCCACGAGGAGGAAAGTCGGCATTGGGAAGAGCTGCAACTAGTCCTGCGGGGAGCGGACTGCTTCTATGTGGAAGCACAAGCACAATCCTCCGAAACACTTGCACAAGGAACGTCTCCGGATGAGCCGCAGTGGTGCGAGTAACTTCTGCTGCTCCATGATCTTCTTAAGCCCGCAGAAGAACATCAATTTAGCACGACATCAGGACGACCACGGCCCCAGCAAGTAGATGAAGCGGACTGTGTATCACAGCTGTCCCTGGAAGATGCCGTTTCAAAGTATGGTATCCCAGGAGGGTTCCTCCGAATAGATCCGTGGCGTCGCGCGGAGGTCAATTTTGATTTTCTCAACACAGGTAGCCAGCCGCAACTGGAAAAATCGCGCTTAAAAGGTGCCTCTGGGGCAAGAACGACCGACTCTGAAGATCATCGACAAGTAGCGGAAAACGACTTGAGATGCACCGGTGATGATCATGATCATCAATATCCGCAAGAATATCCTCCATACGCTGCGCCGCGAGGTGGGACTTCGATAGCCATGGAAATGGATGCCAATATGCATCGGTATAGTAGCAGCATGCACGCCAACGACATGCAGGTCCGTACGGGACCCTGGCCTGGCATGCAGAGCGCTTTTCTGCATGAGAATGATGCGAAACAGCAGGAGCAGAAACTTGCAACGAGTAGTTCTGGAGGGCAGACTTCACCATTATTAAGGCGTGGCCCACCAGGCACATGGATTTGGCACGATCACGACGATAAGACGAAGACAGCTCTTTCCGGTCCCGTTACAGGACAACATCACAAACACCCAAGACGCTGCTCCAAGACGCAGAGCAGGTCTTCATCGTCTGCGAGAATAATGCATCCTGTCTCGAAAAGGACCGGCCATGCAACTACAACTTCGAACTCAATATGTAGTAGTCAGAAGAAGTGGCAATGGCCACTTAATTTGGTTGCTCAAGATCTGGATACCTGGAAGGATGGGCGAGACCGTAGAGCAGCTTCTTACTGGACCCCTGGATTGCTACGTTCCCGTTTCGCATCTGCGAGGAAGAAGCCCTCGCATTGCTTGAGCATGGACGATTTTGATGCCACTCGTATCCTTGCTCCGCGTCACCATCTTCATGAGGGGATGAACATGAAGGGCCACGACGATGAAAAACAATGTTCTCCTACTTCTAGCTCATACGTAATTGCGAGAACGGGGACGGCGTCGGCCAAAATACTTCACCTGAAACAAGATGAAGATTGTACAATTCCTGGAAATTATCCAAGCAAAACTAGTACGACTTCTACTTCTATAGAACGAATAGACAAACAAGAGCTGTACCAGAAAAGCTCGGCTCGTGGGTCAACAGATGATCTATCTTTCTGCGATCCAGCTAATCCGGTAGTTGGGGATGCGCAAAAATGTGAAGGAGAAGAGAGCAGCGCCAGCGAACGAGCGATGCCGCCACTGGAGCTTTTGAGTTTCTTTCACCCACTTGAATTTGTGCGGTTCGAGCGAGTTTCATTATGAACTCGAATTCCTTTGGACTCGGAATGGAATTTACGGAAGTGCTCACATCATTTCTGAACCTGACAGACCAACATATCCTCTCCACGAATAAAGAGAGAGAGGAACTACAGTTGGTTCCCTTCATACCTACGGAGCTAGACTTGGAACAAAGCACAAGCATGGCGCCGAGAAAGCTGTGGGACTAGCATGATCGTCGATTAAGAGTTGAAGTTCTAGTGAAAATAAAATGCTTATGTCTACTCATGAATATGACGAAAGAACGCGCAGCTCGAGCTCGCACTCGACCTTGACTGCGCGACGTAGATGAAGTGAAAAAGAATGTGTACTTTGCACCGACTAAACGCATCGTGTTAGTAGTATGATGAAGATATACAATTTGCTTCGTAAGATTTCATTTATGGCGTGCCAGCCCTGAGAAGCCGGAACGTCACCAACTCGCCACAAGCACAACGAACCAACTAGTAATCGTTTTCCTCCAGACGTAAGATTGTTATTGTCCGTTGCTTCGTGGGTAAATGACCTAGCACCGCATCAGATTCAGAACACGGACGAGATCGAGATGTTGTTTCTTTTATAATTTTCTGTTTGTATATTGTAATTGTATTTTTTCCAAATTTGTTTCTGTCAATCATGATTTGAATCTGTCTGATCATTATACGTGTACTTACAAAATTCGTGCTTCTCGGCCAATCTGTTCGTTTTGCTGACTAATGATCATTAAGATGGATCGTGCGCCGTCATCGACACTGAAAAACTTGAGATAAAAACAAAATGGAGGACGCCGCAAGGAAGAAGTGATGCATTACAACAATAATTGGGTATTGATCTTTCGTGATTTCTTGAAATGTTAAATGCCTGATTTTCTCTCTGAATCAAATCGTAGGGCAAGGAGTACTTAGCTCATCTCGTGTTGCTAAAGCAACTCACGACAGGACTGTGCGAACGGGTTAACGGCCGTCCCATCCCCGTATAATCAAGAAAACCCCGCATAAAGTGGCAACAAAAAGGAAAAGCGCACGCACACGGTACACACATACACTATTTGTTGCACTGAACCTCGACCGAAATGCAAGCGAGTGAGACGAATCATTAGAGGACGTCGCTTCTGTATTGTGCCTGGCATTCGCGAAATTTAAAATTATTGAGTCTCAAAAAGTGTGTATGAAAAACCTTGAAGATTGCTGCTTCTACTTCTACAAGAATATCGTATTTATTAACAAAGACCGCTGTGTAACTTCTTGGAGAGGTTTCTGCTCCAACAATCTATCCATGTGTGACAATAACCGATGATCCATTATCTTCATCCTCAGTGTCTAAGTGGTTTTCGGTAATATACACGGCACCTATAAATCGGTTGACAGGAGTGGATTTAGAAAACACAGCGATAGCAATGCTACTTTTCACCGAGTAATATAGCTGAGAAGCGATTGTGGATCTCGCGTTCGAGTTCATAGTAAGACCCTCAGCCCGATTCTTGCACTTGCCAGAAGAAAAAAAAATGTCTCCCGCACCCTCCCGAAAAATCTTTGACTTTAAAAGATGAAGATTTCTTGTTAGAATACTCTTCGTTCCCACATAGTGATAGTGCACTGATTCCAGAGACCTCAAAGATGCGCAAGGTTAAACGGAAATGGATAGTGGTCTTGGTGCTTTGCTGAGGTGATATTGCATCCTTTTCCGCAGTGCCGGGGTTGCAATTCCGAAGAAGGGCGTCTATCATTACAGGTGCAGATGACAGCTACCACGATGTGGGCGCAGCCGTCGAAGCTAAGGGTGCCAGAAGTGTGGTCACGTTTCCGATCGTCAACATGGTCGACACTTTTCGTGCTATTTTGGAGCATACTGCACCGCAATGTTCATGGGGCTGGCACAGAGATCGAGCTCTCGGAGTACCTGGTCGTGTCGCAGCCTCGTGATCGTTCCATTTCGTACCTGCACCTGAGCAAAGCGGCCGCCGGTGTTGGGACTGAAGACGGAACGTCGAATTATGAGCTGAAGCCGCTAGTTCGAACTGGACTCGTCACTCCAACCAGCGTCGCAATCGATCCTAGCAGCAAGCGCCTTTTCGTCGTGGACCAAGGAAAAGCACAGGTTTTATACTACATCCTCTCTGAGCTGGACGAAGGTACGTTGATCACCGATGGACATCAGCACGTCTGCGTAGATCAAATCGAAGTGGACGGCATGACGGTTTCCCCCGAGGGTGATCTTTTTCTTTCGGCAAAGTTGCTCTTGCCCGCCACAGAACCAGCGATGCAGCACTTCTCGATTTTCAAGCATCCCCGGGCAAAGATCGATGCCGGCGCGAAGTTTGATCCTGTTCTACTGTGGGATCGCGCTTTCTCGGCGAATTTGGCCTGGCAACCGGGTCCGCTAGCGATCGACTCCAGGGACCTCTATTGGGGCGACCGTGTGGTGGAGCCGGCGTCTCTAGCCGCCGTAGTGCGCGCTCCACGGGCACCTGCACACCTCGCGCCGCCTGCGCCGACAGAAGTCGACGAGTCAAACCTGCCGTCTGGTCCCACGTCGGGGAATGATGCAACGTATGGCTTCTTTGCCGATCCAGGGGAGAAGGTCACCGCAAAAGACTTTCTTTCAGCTACAGGCCAGTCGTTGGGTCCCGACGCTCCAGCGCCAAAGTATAAATCGCCTACATAAAAAGTGAAGGTCTCAGTCACAGTCTGAAAATAGAATATATAATACTAATTACGTAGATTTGACCTCGACAATATTAGGTGGATTATGCCGTGCAACTATATTTATAATACTAATTACGTAGAAGCCTATACTCCATAGTTCATCTGTGACCATCCACTGGATCATCCTTGCAGTTGTAAAGCTGCATCTGATTCTGCAAACATAAAACCCATAAAAGGTCCGCTCCCGTTGTAAGTGCCGTTGAGCTTAGTTCGACAGTCCACACGACGCCACTGCCGCTTGTTGGTGTCTCGGAGGCCATGTTTCAAGTAGCAAATGGTACATCAGGTGTTCGCGCGGTCTGTGTTTCGTCGAAGTCAGTCTTTTATTCTATGGGATCCAAGGTCTACGCAGCATCGAAAGCACGACAGCTTCCAAACTGCGTCCTCACCTCGGACTGCACGCCAATTACCTCGGAAGCAGTCGAGCCAGCAGGCCTCGTGTGGGATGGAGACGGGTACTCATTGACATTTTTCGGTCATTTTTGAGGTTACTTTGACCTGTTTTTCTCATCATCGTAGAGGGCTCCTGTAACTCGTAAGTACAAGGATTAAGTAGGTAATGGTAAAGCTATTGGGACATGATAATGATTCAGCGTCACTATCAGTCAAGCTTGTCTAATGTCTAATGATCATTCAGGTCCGTCTATGTCGCCGACCCGCAGAAAACAACGGACGACGGAACTGGTGGTGTCTTTCGTATCCCCGCAGGCAGCGAAGTACCGCACGCGATGGAGTTGATTCACTACGTTCCAAACATTCAAGGACTGACGTATATGAAATTCGAGATAGAAAAGAAGGGAGCTGTCGCTACTTTTCTCGAAAGTTTCTGGGGTGCGTGAAGAAGAGTATGTTAGCTTGTTTTTATTTCCGACTTGTCAGAGATATCTATGTCCATGACGCGAATTTCTTGTTTTTTCCAAGACCAACTTCTCGCTCTGCGAAGCATCAATGCATGAGGACCTTCGTGGATTAGTACGCGTACGAGCGAGTTTTCATTCAGTAGACGGGTGTTGTTGTTGAGGATTGTTCTGGGCTCCCAGATGCAATCGGCTAAATGGTCCTTCGAGGACGAGCGAAACGCAAAACCAAAAGAAGAGCGTGACTCATTTGGTGGCTTTCACAAACACATTAGAAGCTTCTTAGTGGCATATTTACTCTTGAGTGTAGCATGTGATGGCTCTAAAAAAGTAATCACTGTATTATCATGGCAAGCCTATCATTCCGGAATTTGCGTTTAACTGCGCGGTCGGACCTTGTACTCTCTGGCGGCTTGTCGAGCGTGATAGCGGACAGCTCAGGTGTTGCGTCTGCAGCGGGAGGCGGCTTGGAACAAGACGCGAAGAACATCGGCACGCTCCTAAAACAGGACGAGAGTCCTGAAAGTTTTGACGTCAAGCACGAGAAGCAGCATCTTGAGAGTGAGAGAGACGCTGCCGCAGGGAGAACGCACCACGCATCTGATCATGATCGAGTGCGAATATTGAAGGGTGTCAGTGGCTACGTAGCTGCTGGAGGCACGCTTGCCATTTTAGGTCCGTCTGGATCTGGGAAAACATCCTTGTTGCGCATGCTTGCTGCACAAATCCTTCCTGGCAGCGAATCTTTCTCAGAAGCCTCTGGTGGAATTGCTGTGGGCGGTAGTGGGGATTCATCTTTTGTACCGTATGGGCGTTATCCATTTTCGGAGAAAGTGCGTGTGGTCTCTCTGGTCGAACAGCAGGATTTCTTTGAAAACAATGTGACAGTACAAGAGCACCTCATGTTTCACGCGCGATTGAGATTGTGGAATCACATGCGCTCGTCCAATGAACCTGAAACTACAGTACCACTAGCGGCATTGCAGTCACAACGCGTGAAAGAGGTGCTAGAACGTTTACGTTTGGAACACTGTGCTGAGCGCCGAGTAGGCTACCTCAGCGGTGGAGAGCGGAAGAGACTATTATGGGTACCGTCAACCCATCGTTGCGCCATCTTTTTTTTAGCCAATTTCAACTTGAAAAGTGCTAAAAGATGTTCCAAAAGATGGCTTGTCCTTGTCGGTACCTCTAAGACTGTCGATTGCGGAGGAGCTTCTCAACGAAAGTGTTAAAATACTTCTGGTCGACGAGCCCTGTACTGGTCTCGATTCGACCGTAGCTCGTGAGGTCGTGGAAATTCTCTTTGGCATGCAAGAAAAAGATTCATCGGAAAATCAGTCTAAGAACAACAGCACGAACAAGACCCAGAGAAGTACGACAATTTTGTTTACGATCCACCAGCCTTCGTCCCTGATCTACAGGCGATTCCGCAATGTCTACTTCATGGGCAAAGGCGACTGTTGCTACTTCGGAGCAGCTGACGCGATGGCTGGCTGCCTCTCTGCGAAAGGCTTCAGCTTTCCGGATGGCTACAATGCGGCTGAATTTGCGCTCGAATTAATCCAGGATGATGAAAAGCGAGAACGCCTCTTAAAGGGGTGCGTATCCTCCCATGAGAGAATAAGTGAGGAAAAGCTTGGGACTGATAATATGTCAGCTGATGGGACAAAAACGACTGGCACAGGCACACGCAGCCCGCCATGGTTTGTCCAGGTGCGCGAGATCCACTGGCGCACGCATCGTGCGCGCTTACGCCGTCGTTTTGAAACGTGGTTGACTCTCTACTGTAACAGCGCACTGCTTCTCTTGACGGGATGGATTTTCTTCCGCGTGCCAGCACATCCCCGACTGAAAAACACAAGAAATGGTGCGGCATTCTTCTTTTTCGTCCATCCTCAGTTCTCAGCCGCTTTTGAGGCAATGATAAATTTGGTGCACGGTTCCCGGCTTTTACGCAGAGAATTACTGACGAAACGCTTGTACTCCCTATCTGCCTACATGGTCGGTCGTGCGACTGGCGAGTTGCCAATTTCTAGCCTCTTCCCGCTGCTTTTCACGACAGCAGCGTGCTTCCTAGTTCAGTTCCATGGTATACCTTTGATCGACGATGAAGTAACGGCTGCTTTCTTCTTCGAGAAGTTTTTTACCTTGCTGATCGTTTCGTGGAGCGTCATGCTGGCTGCGAATGGTATGGGAGCGCTTGTTGCTGCTATCTCCGAAGATCACGACGTTGCGGTCTCTTTGCTCATCATGATACTTTATGCTGCAGTTTTTGTTGTTGTTGTTGTGCTTAGCGTTAGCACGCTCACGCGATAAGAGTACATGTTATTAAAGATTGATTCTAATTCATCCACACCAAAAAAAAATACCCCAGCGACGTGCATCGGTGCTTCTTTGGTTGATGCGATGGGTCATTAACTTGAACTCTGACAATTCATAGTGAGCAATTTTGATCCTTTCGTTCTTGTCCTCTTCTGGTTCTCTTTTCATTCCATCGTGCCGATGCTTCTGCTTAATGGCTACATGTTGGATCTGGCACTGCTACCTGTGTGGCTACGTCCAGTCCGTCTCGTTTCTCTGGCGTATTGGGGATTCAATGGAATCGCAGTATGGGCATGGCAGGACGTCCGCCTCGAAAGCTGTTCCGCTGCGGACGCTCTCGAGTTTCCTGCGGACTGCAGCTTTAGGACCGGCGAAGAAATCTTACGTCAGAACTTCGGCATTGATCTAGCCGAGGACGAACTTGGCCCGGACTATGTTTGGACCTGCGTTTTTGCGCTATTGCTCTTCGCTGCTATCACTCGCAGCTGTGCCTTTTGTAGGGCCTACCTGCGCTACATGTGCAACGACTCACTCCCCGTATTTGCCGAAAAGGTTGGCCTTGAATGTCATGATATGTGCAGGTGCTGGAACTGGAACAAGACGGATTGCATGACGCAACAAGTGTTGCGGTACTCCAGGCGCAAAACGATCAACGAGTAGCAGAAGAGAGTACTCGGCACCTAGCAACATCCCGAGAAACAACACGAAGCGCTTTATGTCCTTAAGATGGATGTAAAGCCCTTGCCGGTAACGAAGTGCGTTCGAGTCAAACCAAACCACAGCTTTGCTCTGTAGGTAATATTATAGAGGTAAGTTATATAATTTCAACAATTTCCCCACAAACCTCCAAACCAATACCAAAAGTACCTGAACCAAATACACCTGAACCAAATACACCTGAACCAAAAAACACCTGAACCAGAAACACTGGAGCCAAAAACACTGGAACCAAAAACGCGGGAACGAAAACGCGCCAAACTAAAAAAATCCTGAACCAAAAACAACACGCGACACCCGGAGCAAATTCCCAAACGTCCGCACCCCAAGGCCCCCATACCCCAAGGCCCCAGTACCCCCAAGGCCCCCTTACCCGAAGGCCCCCGCACCCAAAGGCCCCCCCGCCATACCCCAAGGCGCCGATACCCCAAGACCCCCCTGCCCCCCCACTCCTATGCCCCAAGACCCCTACACCCCAATGCCGCAAGGCCCCGATACCAGAAGACCCCCATACCCCAAGGCACCCATGCCCCAAGGCCCCCATACCCCAAGGCCCCCATACCCAAAGGCCCAAATACCCCAAGAAGACCCCAAGGCCCCCATGCTCCAAGGCCCCCATGCCTTGATACCCCAAGGCCCCCATGCCGCAAGGCTCCCATGTCCCAATACCCCAAGACCCCCTGTCGGCCATGCCCTTAATCCCCAAGACCCCAAAGAAAAGCTTCAAGCACCCGCACCTCGCTCCAAACCTCCAAGCCCCGAACCCCCAGGTCCCGAACACCTAGGCCTTGGACCTCCGAGCCCTGAACACCGCAAGAGCCTCCAAACCTCAAAGCCCCCAGACCTCTAAGCCCCAGAGAGGCCTCCGAACCTCCCAACCTCGAAACCTCCGAACTTCCGAACCTAAAAACTTTGGATTTCAAGCCAAAGGCAAAGCCTTTGCCTTTAAATAACACAAAGACTGCAGCTGAAAGCTACGCCTCAAGCTTCAAGGGTAAAGCTTTCACGTCGAGCTCAAGACTTCGGGCGCGAAGCTTCAAGTCTGCTACTCGAAGCTCCAAACTCGAGGCTTCAAGTTTGAAATTTCATGTACGAAATCCCAAACACTCACGGGATGCCAAACACGAAAATTCTTATTTTATTCCAGAACAAAGAAAAAAACTTAAAAAGTTTGCCGCCAAGAGCTTGACTGTGCGCTTTGGTCTTTTAAATGCCGCGGCGCCTCTGCTCCGACTCCCCTCCCGCGGATCAACTCCGCCAGGTGAGCTGGAGAGGAGTGGAGGATGCGCGCACTGGAGGAGGAAGTGCTTGAAGGAGGTGGAGGATTTTAGTAAAGGAAGAGCTGTCGGGCGCTTAAGTCTAGCAGCAATGCGTCAGGATGTAGGGCAACGAGATGAGAGACGAGAAGTTCCGGAATGTAGGTTCCAACTTTGGAGTACCGCCTTCGGTGACTGTTCCTGATAAATTTTCTTGAGAGTGAGGCTCCTTGAATGCCCTGATTAATTTGAGTTTGATTGGCTTTCTTGGCAGTGAGCATAGAAATCAGTCTAATTCTATGAATGTCTAGTGCGGCTCGGTTACGGTTTCGGCTATTTGAATTGAAAAATCTCATATTCGGTCCTCGTTATGGCGATGGACACTCTTCTACCACCAATTAGGGTCTTCCCCTATGAGATGCGTGTCTTGCACTTGCTTTACTAAAACTAGTAGGCAGAAGATTTTCATTCACCCTGACCCATCCCCAATAACTTGTCTAGTAAGTTTTCCCAATCCACTTAAGTTCTAGTTTTCTGAAATATCCTTCCATGCTTTGCTTCTGATTCTGTTTTATCCTCGTCTGCACTCTGCAGTTTTAATTATTTGTTTGTTTATGATACAAGTGAATACAACTTATATTATACTAGCTGTGTACGACTTCATGTCATGATCATGTACACCTATTGTTCTCAACACAAGAGGTAAAAGGTTAAGAACTCATTTTCATATTTTCTTGCATCAAGTATTGCGGGGACGAGAGAATCCGAGTCCCTCTCAGTTGCTCTTGCGGTTGCGACCACTCGGGTAGTCGTCGTATTCGTAATGTCATCAAAGCACGTTAGCAGCTGTTCACCCACAACTGGTCATCACTCGGTGTCTCGTCGGGAACTAGAAACCGATTTTCTTGGACAGTGCGACGCCTGTTGGATCAGCCAGTACGGAATCGTCTACCGCTTTTCGAGGTCTTTTGCCGAGGAACATCGTGGAGGTGCAGCGATTTTGTTGAAATACGCAGGCACGGACGGGATCAAGGTGTTCGAGTCGCTGCACAGCAAGGATATTATCGATCCCTATCAGCTGCCGGCTGAGGTCAGGCGTGTAGATCCCGAGGCGCACGAGGGTAGCAAGAAAAAGGCTAGTCGGGGACCAGGAACCTCAGACGAAACTGAGTCTTCCGTTGTGCCTGCTTCTTCAGCGACGGCGCCTGAATAAAACTGGTGACGACGGGAAGACGCAGCAAGTGGTCGCTGCTGCTCCCAAAGATATGGCGAGGATTGATGACAACGGACGACAAATCCCTTATCAAGGGCGGCCGCCAAGCGAGACTGCTTTCAACGTGTACGACATGGAAAGCGCTGGCCTTTCTGGTTTCCGCCGGAGATGACGAGGTGTATTACCGTGAGAACAGTAAGTCATTTCAACGTGTGTTTCTGCGACCACGAATTTTGGGCAATGTAAAGACAATCGACCTGTCGGTCAAGTCTTGTCTAGGCGTAGATCACAAGCTGCCGTTCAACGTAAGCGCAACGGCTTTGGGAAAGTTGTACGGACCCGGCTGGAGAAGTTGCGATTAGGCGGGCAGCCGGATCGAGAGGTATGAACGAAATGGCACCGACATTGGCTTCATGCTCGATGAAAGAGATGGCCGGAGCAAAACAAGGTCAACAGGAGTTTTCTCAAGTAGCTGAAGGTCGTGCACTTCCAGCACTGAACGATGGACTTCTGCAGATGACACAGTGGTGGCAGTTGTACGTGAATCCAGACCGATCGACGACAGAATGAGTGGACCGCGGTGCAGAAGCGCTTGGCTTCACTGCAATTGTAGTAACAGTTGATGCTCCGAAACTGGGCCGACGAGAACGAGACATGCGCCACAAAGCTAAGCTCACATCCAACGCGCAAGCAGAAAATTCGAAAACACAGGGTGACACATCGCAAGGTACGTATTTGTTTTTGAGCCTAGCACGAACATTTTGATTTGGCTCCTCCCAACTGATTTTGTAAATGCAAATTTCAAAAGACCAAGACACAGACGTAATTTAATTATTTCGAATCAGTATCAGCCCTCTCCAAGGCATTAGAATGCTACGTCTCTCTCCCTGACTTCTTCACCAGGCACAGGCAAAGCCTTGCCTGCGTCGATCGATCCTTCGTTTGATTGGGAAGCTCTGAAGTGGCTGCAAGGTTTGACGAAGCTGCCAATTGTCCTAAAGGGAATTCAGACAGGTGAAGACGCGGCGTTAGCGTATGAAAGCGGCGTTGCCGGGATTTTCGTATCCAACCACGGCGGGCGCCAACTCGACTGCTGCCGCAGTAGACTCGAATGTCTCAGGGAGTGATGATTGACGGCTCTGCACAGAAGCGGCTACACCACCGCATCCGGTGCGCGATTCGTGGGCGAGGGATTACACGCGGGTCCGAACGGGTCGACCGGAAAACACGAAGCAAGGAAGCCCCCTGGCCATTTTTTTGCCGGGGTCAGACAAGCAAGGACAGAAGACGGGCCGCCCCTTCGACGTTCTGATGGATGGGAGCGTGCGGCGGGGCGGGGACATTTTCAAGGCACTAGCGATGGGAGCGAAAATCATGGTTGGTCTCGGACGACCCTTCTCTACGGCCTCGCAGCATACGGCGAAGACGGGGTACTACTTTTCTTTTGTTTCATCTGGATCTGTTCCTGTTCTTCTTCTTGTAGTAGAATCTTTATAATGTTCATGGAGTGGCAGTGGCACTTCTATTCGAAGTGGAAGTGAAATCCGTTAGGGGCTCATCTCGAAGCACTTCTTGTCGTACAATAACTATCACAGATGCAATATTCATCAGGTAAAGCGCGTTATTGACCTGCTGTGTGAAGAGTTGACGATGATCATGCGCTTAATGGGTTGCGCGAGCCTGGCGGATATTAAGCCGGAGATGGTGATTACCAGAGATTTGAGCTTTTACGGCATGACGCTTCCGAATCAGCTGGATACGAATTACGATCCGATGTCAAAACTCTGAAGAACTGAAAGAAGTCTCAGTCTGTTGAGGATTTCATGAAAGGATGAGCGCATTTAGTTGTGCACAGATTTTTTACATGAGCATACTTCTTACTGAAGAACATGACGAGTATTAGAACTACAACTCCTGCGAAACTCTTTATTAGAAGTTTCGACTTGGCATAACCATAATCTGTTTCTTCCCATAGGAGTTCAATCTCTTTTTTCTCATGTACAGCTTTGGCTTTCTATGGTAATAGTAAGTAGCTACTTGTATGATGGTAATTCGGTTTCTACGACTAGGTTTGAAAAATTTACCAAGAACTTCTGACTGGGATCTTAATATTTGCGTCGAAAAAAGAGCAGCTGCACAAAGTCCGTGTATCTGTAGTTCTTCTATTCTTTTCATCAGAGAAAAATTTTGACATGCTGTTGTTCATGTTGCATAGTTTCCAGGATCGGTGTCAAACTCCACCACTAATCGGCGCCCAACTTCACGACAGCTAGATGTAATTTGTACCTTCATCTCAATGTTTTCGAGAACGTATTTATCCTGAATTGTTTAGGAAAAGCACTAACCCTTTCATACCTACTCTCAGTAGGCAGAGCCACCTCCTGCGTTAGATCCATACGGTGTTCGCCGTTACAAGCGTGGGTACTTAGCAAGCCTGCGTGTGGCCCACCCGCATGAAAGTCGTACTAAAGATTGAATTCTTGGAAACTACGCCAGCAATATGGCAAAATCATGAGAAAATGTGCAAAACGAGAAAACTGGAGAAGACACTGAAAACGCCTCGACGAATCACTGAGAGAACTACAAAATCAGAAATACCTTAGAGAACTCGTTTATCTTCAACTGTGACACGTAACTTTTCTGCAGTTGTTCGTTGTGATTTTTTTCACGCACTACATCAAATACTAACTTGTCGATTGTTATTCAGCACAAGCAAGAACTTATTCCCGAAAAAGTGACATGGTCTCAGACGGTGCGCGTATTGCCAGCCGGCACAGGCAAGGCAGCTCAGTGGCTGCATTGCTCAGTCATGAGCCTCCGAAGCCATTGCGGGACCACCAGCGCGCTAACATCACCCATCTGAGAGCGAAGCAAAGGCAGATGCACGAGAATAGAATACGGAAGGTAACAATGTTCAGTAGGCAGCTCACGAAAGGGGACCGTGTTCAAAAGTAATCGTTTGTATTTCTCAGTGTTTCTGTTGGAGGTCTAGTGCTACTGAATCTTATTAAGAGAAATCGTTGTAGTAATTTTCCTTCCTTTTTTTTCTAGGAGCTCGACGACGAGAAAGATATGAACTGGAAGAGCCAGCAGTGGCAGGGAGTTCGGTCTCGACTCCATGAAAACAAAGAAAACGCATCGCAGGGAAAGCATCTCGCTGAGAAGCAAGACGTTCAACTACTACATTTTTGAATCCGGCCAAAATATGATTTATTGAATCAGTCGCAAAAGCAAGAGCTGATGTGTGATCATGAATTCACGATCGGCTTCGGCACTTGTGCAACGGGACACGCATCGGTCTTTCTCTGTTCCTATAATTACAGACGATTTATATACTGCTTTGTTCCTTAACTTCAATCAGGTAGAGAAACGCGTGAACTATTTGAAGAGGCAGACTGGCAACTCGATGGCCCACCAGGCCGAAAGAGGAGCCCTAGCAGAGAAACCAGTGATCGAGAGCGATCAATACTATGCCGACCTCCCTGAGACAAGAGAAGCCGTGCCAAGACGTGGAGAAATCAGGAAACGAATCGCAGATGATGCGCTAAGCAATGCACTGCAGAGTACTCCTTTCATTACTACATCGAACTCATTGCACCTCAGGAGAAGTCTCACCTTCTACTTGGGCAAGATCCCAAATCAATGTCAAGGTCAACTACAAAAACCTTCATCAAGAACACGAATTTTCAAGTTTATTTTCTTTATCAATACTTATTCAAAATACAGGGAATTTCATCAAGGAGAATCGAAATGGCGTTTTTTCTGCAGACATGGATGCACAGACTTTCATAAAGGAAGCTGAGAGGCTAAAGAAATTGCATGGCGCGAAAGAGGTGAGAAAAGACTCGGTCACAAATGTGCCCGAGTACCTTACAAAAATCAAGACCGAACTAGCACAGAAGAAGCGGGATCAGCTAGCACAGTTAGCTGCACTGCAAGACACCGTGCCCGAAGGATACAAGGTAAGAAAATATTTCGAAATTGATACCTGCTTGTCCTTGAAACAGCACATAATCATAACCTTGCAAGGATATGTTACAGATCGAGAAAGATGATACTGCTGTGCTGCAGACCGTGGAATACAAATGCAACATGTTGCCTTTCTTACCCCTATACGCACCAGGTCTTATCCGAGCAAGAGCGCACAGAAACCCTTACAGCGTTACGAGCGAAGCAATCAGAGCTTGAAACTGCCTTTCAGAAACTCCCACTGCACATAGAAAGTGAGAACCAGAAAGCGCGGCAAAGGGAGATTCAAACGAAAATGCATGAGATCGAGGATGCGGTCAAAATGTTTCAGCGGCCTCGAGTTCTTGTGAAGATCGATTGCTGAACTTCAAAATTCAGGTTACCCTTTTTCGCAGAGTGATCGTTTTTTACAGTAGTTGGAAGGCAGAAAGAGAAAGGTTTTTTTCTGAATATATAAGTAATTGGCTGCACTGAAGTGAAAGCAGAACCTATGATCGATGACGATGCGTTTGATGTCAGGCTAAGAGGCAAAGAAAAACAGAGAAAACTGGAGAACTATTGCTAGGTAGGCAATACTGGATGAACCACAACAAATTTATTCGTCGTGGTTATGCTATGATTCAAAGTTTTTTCTTGAAAAGTTATCGCACCACCATAGCAGAGCTTGCTTAATCCGAGATTTCGGGGAAAAACAATACAAATTCATTGAACGAATCCTGCCAGGCAAGCAAAATTCTCGTTTGCGAAATTGACGAGCGATATTATCGAGCAATCATCTAATTTAGCTGGGTGCAGAACTGGCCGTTGCCGGGTTAAATTCTCGGGTGAGTCAGAGTCTGAGTCAAACGTGATTCTCATAATATAGTCACCAGCGAGAAACGCCAGGAAAGAAACTGATGTGAAGACACGCGCTCGGAATTTTAGAATCCTCAATTGAACAGTGTTCTAAGTAACATAGCAGATCAGCAAGAAGAAGTACAAATATATTCGATTCCCTGCTTTTTGGTAGGTGATCCATCAGTTTCCTTTCCTGTTGTGTGTTCGTATCTCAACAGAGAAGCATGATCGAAGGACCGCCCTCCCGCTGGTGGACGCAACTATATTCTCTATTTTGTGATGAAAGTGAATGCCATTTTTTTGACGACAACTTCTACATAAGAAGTGGCTAGTCTCAGACGTGAATGAAATTGAGGTCACTCTACGCTTATAGGCCGACGACGAAGCGCAAACGAACCAAGGTCGCAGACCTTCAAGAAACCAGTAGGAGCAAGCTGGCCCTAGTATAGAGTAGCTCCACCAATATGATCATATACCCGAAGATACCTTAGTGATTACTCGCGGGCCGTCTCACTTTAAAAAAGTTCGATCTCAGTAGTGGCGCCGCCCTCTGTGCCGAGTGTCCACAGCTTGCAGCTTCAGATCCTAGCTAGCAAGTGGCCACGTCAAAGCTCTAGCCCTTTCCGTGTTCGATCCTCTAGGGTTTAGCTCTTGTCTCTCGGGGTTCATCCGATGAGGTCCATCATTGTTCTACTTATGAGCCGTCGACTAATATACCCGCGGGGTTTTGGCTCTAGCTTTTCTGCGGCGATGGCCGTCGTGCTTCATCGTCTAGTATTTTTAGGTGCCTGGCCGTTGTGCTTCAGGATTCTCGCAGGGTAATTAAGTGTTCGTATTGCGAGGAATATAGACCCAGGTCCCAAAAAAAAAAAACCGCCGCGCTGACCAGGATGAAGGAATGAATCTGGAAGTAGTGCAAAATCCGTGAACCTGAACGATTTTGAAAAGATGACTGTCAGTGTCACTGGAAGTAATCGCGATCGATTTGAAGTAACAGAAACAGCAGACTAATCATTCTAGTTCTTGATGTTCTTTTGGATCAATTTGGGCAGCACGACCACCGGTTTCACACAATTTATTTGAGGTATTGGGTCAACAGCAATTTCTGCACTCATTAGGCTGTTTTCGAGGGAGAGTCTCATTTGTTCTTGTGGTGGATGTGTGATAGCGCTTCTTGGTATTGCTCCTTATCTCCACAGTGTGCTTTACATTGCGAGACAGAATTCCTAATATTTTTCTTGTTTGGACGCTAACACATCTGTATTTTGCAAGAAAAAGATATATTCAGTCTAATACGTAGTGGTCGAAACAAAATGCATTCTAGTCGTGTGCAGCTTTTTCATAGGGCGAGCAGCTTTGGCTCCGCCAGAAGAGCGCTCCATCATGGATTAACGAGTAGTGCATCTCCGGCGGCATCCGGACGAGCCGTGGCGTCATCATGCGGTTTCTCCAGCAGTCGCACTTACGCTTCAAAAAACGAGGCATGCTCCACAAGGTTTTCAGGTCTTAGTACTCCATCAATGGGCCAATGGTCTATGGCGTCTACAGCACCAAGTCCAAGTCATAGCAGTGTTACAACAACATCGCTACACAGTAGAAGTTTTACTTCCAGTGCAATTATTAGCCCAACGACAAAGTCAACATCATCTTCCCTATCACAAATACCTGGAATTACAAATTATCGACTGACAACCTCTAGTAGCCGTAGCCTAGATCATACATCAAGAAGGCATCGAGGGAGCCATCTTCGGTATCAGGTGAGATGGCACGGGCATGGACCGGAAGACCCAAACGCGGAAAAGATTCCGCTAGTTTTCCTACAACCAGATGGGTCAGAAAGACATGTGAAGGCAACGGTAGGAAAGTCACTGCTTGAGGTAGCACACGCAAACGACATTCCCATAGAGGGAGCATGCGAGGGGTCTCTAGCGTGCTCGACTTGCCACGTAATTCTCTCCGACAAGCTCTACAAGAAACTGGACTGTATGGCAGCAAGGAAGTAAATCTATTTTTGGTCAGTTGTCACTCAAGACTTTTACTAACGTAGCTACTTGAATATACATGAATGTGATGGTATTGAATCACCTTCACCATTCACCAAACAAGCAGAAGAATTCACTTTCTAATTACATTCCAAACCTATCGCTACCCGAATTCGAATAGACTTTATTTGAAGACCCGGCTGCAACGTACCACCCCCGCGTGTGTTTCCTGGTCCCAATTTTCCTTTCCTTTCTTTTTTCTTCATACCTGTTCCGACCGAAGACGAAGAAGACATGCTAGATTTGGCGCCGGAACTAACAGAAACGTCGCGGCTGGGTTGCCAATGCATCGTCTCGAAAAAGTTGTATGAGAATGAGGTAGTAACGTTGCCAAGCCATACCTTGAACTTCTACGTGGATGGTCATAAGCCGGTGGGACACTGATAGCGTAAATGAATGCGAAAAACTGCATGATCATGTAACTCATCACAATGCGATGTTGCTGGTAAGCCACTTTGTTGATAACATACAACTGTTGACCCCTTGCCATTGTTCGACAATCATCGTCGTTGCTAGCACAGCCTTTTCCTTCTTAGATAGGCTGAGTTTCCACCTCTTGTCATCTTTATCCATTGGATTCGCTCCTGTACCCCTTCTGGATTTTTTTGATCTTCCCAAATCCTATGGATGCCCGCATATCACGCTGCTCTACCTGCCTAAAAAGAACCTTGCGACGCTGCAGGTGCCGTACCTAAGGCGACAATCGTCTCCACGTGATGAAGTTACGTAATTAGCACCATGAAGCCTTGGCGGCCCGCGGCCGCAGGTGTCCTGATGACGCGCAGTTTTAGACAATGTTTTGCGGGAGATGAAACACCGACTTCCAGAGCCAGAGCGTGAGCGACACACGCATATTAGAAAGAAAGAGTCGCACAGGCATATTTTAGCTTTAGGATACCACCACTCACAAGAGCAGTTTTGTAATGAGATACAACTCAGATCATTTTTCGGAGTGATAAGTGCCCTCTCTGCCAAAATCTCACCCGTGTTGAACTCCCCGTGAAGAACGCCCGACGGCAAGATTATCGTAGTCGCACCCATGAAGAATCATGTTTTCGGTTAGTGGTATTCGAAATTTCAACAAGAGTTGTGGCATCATCGGTCGTTGTCATGCGGGTAAGAGCACTCTATTGGAAGCATTTGAGTTGGGAACTAGGTATCTGAGTATTTGCAGCACCGACAAGCCTTCACAAGGCCCTGACGTGGCGGTCGGTCTCGCTACTGACCTCGGCAAGAATGCTGCGACTCCAGGAACAGCATTGCGGCTGCAAATGCCGTTATTTGGTGATGACAGACTTGTCACAATCGCAGACATTTTTCGCACCGTCGCCGTGCCAGCTTCGATCGCTGTTGAGGAGATCGACATAGAGAGCATCGAGGACGAAGATGCTCTCGCGGACGGTGCAGGAGCTGACGAAGTGGCATCGGAACTTGTAGCATTACCAGAACATGCAAAATGGCTCTCGGACGCGCGGTCGCAAGTGGGTCTGTGCCATGTCATAGATGCCTTCTCGACGTCCTCCTCACCAGACGAACTTGCAGCCCAAATTGCACGAGAGAACCAACGAATCAGGCGCATTTTTCGTGCGGCAGACCGGGAATTTCTAGATCGGCGTGGTCCCCCTATGCGTAGGAAGAACCCGGCCCTTTTTGATAACGAGCTGGGCCCTGCGCTAGCGGCGATACTGGCTGAACTAGCCAAAGATACTCAGCCGTTTGGGAAGAGTGACCAAGAGCAGAGCAGGCTTCGCAAACTAGTACACGGCGATGCTGCGTCAACTACATCCGAAGCCGTGGTACCAGCCGTTATTAGCAACCAACTTCTCAGCACAAAAGGCATCGTGACACTTGTAAATGTCCAAGCAGAACATCTGGCGGATTGTCTTGACAAGTTCAAATGTTTGAAGAATGTTGTAGCGGAAGCGAGCGATGCCGCGAAGAAAAGTGGTGAACCAGCTAGTAGCGGCGATTCAAGTAACCTTTCGAAGATGTGCCAGCAAATAGAAAAAGGTAAAATTCACGTGATTTCAGCACAGCTTGAGTCGGACTTAGCTCAAATGAGATTAGACGAGGCAGAGATGCAGGACGATAGCACTCCCGAGGTAGCAGAACAACGGGACAATCAGACTACCACGAAAGCGCCAACGGCCGTTCCCTTCTCTCCACTCCGGTTACCGTCCTCGCGGTCACCATTTGCAGTTGAGTATCTCGCGTCTTATGGTCTAAAGCCGCAGCAGCAGGAACAGTTGTTGTCGAGCCTTCTCCACACTGGTTTGCGACAAACAGCACTGAGCTTAAAAGCTTATTATACTGCAGGTGAGATGGAGGCGCGAGCATGGCTTTATCCATCGGATTGGCGAATCGATCAGGCAGCTGGTGTTATACATTTATGAGACAGAATAATTGTTGTACAAGTACAAGTCTGGAAAGAAACTGTTATATTGAAGACATGTTGATATTCAAGCTACAGCTGCAACAGACATGCGGCAAGGTTACTAATAGGTACTAAGTAGTAGCATTTCATTCTTTCCCGTCTTTCAAGTCATCAATGTGAATTATATATATAAAATATGTATTTAAACCCACAATTTTATTTTCATAGTTTCGAGACTTCGCATCGACGTTCAACGCTGCCCTGGTGTGGCCCTATGAAGCCATCGTTCGGGACCGTAGAAAGGACAGCACTGCCAAGTTGAAATGCGGGAAAGATCACACAATGTCCGATGGTGACATCGTGGAGTTTCAACTAAACCAAAATTCTTCTGCAGTTAGAAAAACCTCAAAACAGCAAAGTTCGCAGCGAAGCGCGCGTGCGTGACCGCCGTTGTTGTAGTACGCATGACGATCACATATGATGTGCATAGAAACGAGCCAAGGCTCAATCATTTTCGTAACTTTACTTCTCTAACAGTGCATTGCATTCAATGATTGAAGACTTATTGGTTTTGGGTTCATGTTTTGCTATTCGTCGTGGAACGAAGGAGTCTCCACTACGACTATACCATGCTAGCACAATTACTGCAGGTGACGCAGACGCAGCACAAATAGGAAGCACAAGGGTTCGCGTTAAAAATAATTCTGTTCGAGGACGTGGTCGATGAAGTCATTTGAGACGAGATGGTAATCGGTTTCTTGACACTGACGCACGAAGATGAGAGAAGGTGAATGATCACATCGATGTTCTTGACTGGTAGGTTCTTTTACTCCGTTAAGTACGTACTTACGTAGGTACGCACACGACTGCAGCAGTTTCGATTTTCGTCTGTCGCAACAGTGAGATTCAGTGCTGAGTAGCTCTGTATCACCTTTATCAATCTCGACGTTCATCAAGGATATTTTTCACAATCAAGCAGACTTTGAGTGAAGAACATGACGACACAGTATCCCCATGAACATTTCGGAATCCTGCATGACAGCTACAAAAAGCACATAATTTGTTTTATGTCACGATTCTATTCAATTTTCGAAAGTATTTCCGACGTGAAAAAGAAGACAAGACCAACCGTTCTCAAGTGAATCTTGAGCTTCATAATCAACATAGCTCATAGGAAAATCGTTCTTTTAGGAGGTAAGGTTCAGGTAGAGCGCAGCGTGCTCACGAGCAACTAGAAGTATGTTCCCTATGTCGACGTATCCGACAGCCCAAGCAGTTTCGGAGGAGTCTCCCGCTCCTCCGGCTGCTGCGCAAGTCGATATGAGTACTCAGATCCTGGAATACATGGTTTCTTCCACGCGGAAGCTAGCAGCAGATGCTCACACTGTCTTGGAGGATTTCAACCCGACGTTGGCCACCAGCGTTGACCTGCTAACACAGCACCGACTCGTAGAACTGGTTGCTCGAGGACTCGATACGCTGATCCAGGTGCTCGTCCTCGCCAACAAACAACCAGCTTATACACGCAGGACGAGCAGCACGACACAGGTAAGTATTGCGAATGCAGTTGCTGAAGACGGACCGAGGAATAGCGAAAGAACTAGTACTCATCAAGAAGAGTCAGCGACGATATCGGCATCGGGAGCAGAGACGTCGGACGCTAGCCCGGAGAAGCAGTCTCCCGAGGGCGGCAAATCCAAAGAGGATATTAAGAAAGAAGGGGATAGAACCACTAGGAGAAGTAAAAGAAAGACCTCTACTTCTGTGCAAGGAGTTAATGAAGGACAAGATGTAGTAGCAACCGCGGCATCACCTGGAGGTCCCACCCAGGATCTCCAGGAATTCGTCGAAGGTATCACATCAGCGATGAACGCTTTGCACGTTGACATCTTTGGCGGAGAGGGCGATGCCGGCAGAGCGTCCCAGTCGCCTCCACGGCCGTCTCAGTCATCAAGGAAAAGCAAAACGAAAATTGAAACTTCATCCTCGACCAGAGCTGACGGAGTAGCAGGCGGCCCACTCGCGCGCGTCCCTGACGATGGTGAAGAAGAGAAGAGCGGCGAGCAGGAGCAGGATGAAGAAGATGTTGCAGGTGACGGTGGTGTCGAACTAACCGACGCGGATGCCGTAGATTTGTGTCGCGTCTTTGTTGATCTCGGCGGCGTCTTTCCGAAGTTTTCGCAGGTCTTGTCGCTAAGGACGGACATCGTGCGAAATCCTAAGATACTGGCAGCCATGCGCATGGCTCATGAACAGTGCAAATCTCGAGCTGTCACTGAAATCGCTAAGCACTTGAGCAAAGAAGGCATTGGAAACTCGTTTTTCCGCGAATTTCGGCTGTCAAAGCGCGGCGTCAAAGCGGGGAGCATTTGCCAGGTGACGCGTTTTTTTGAGCAACCTGGCCGCAATTACCGATCGTCACCAGGGAAGAAAAATAAGACTTCTAGATCTACAAGAACTTCTCCAGACATCAAGCGAATTTCTAGAATGTCCGAAAAATCGCCTTCGCCTAATACAAAGTCTGAGCAGGGGACCTTCGACAGTGACGCCTTCTCTCCGGCTGCTCGATCCACGCGGGGAAGCCAAAGGCCAGTAAACCCAGCAGCTTTGGCGGAGTTTGACTCCGAGAACAAAATGACGGACCCGATGCCCTCGGCAACTTCGTCGGCCGCGGAAGACGATGGCCTCATTGCGGCGATTTCCTCTCCCTCCGCGTCTCCAACGTCGCCAAAAACAAGAGAGTTAATCTTGTCTTCGCCTTCACCTGATCAGAAAGAGGGCAGTCCTTCGAGATCCAAGAATAAGCGCCGTTTTACAACTAGCGATACCCACGGAGAAAATATACAGAAAGACAGGACACCCTTTGGAGTAGTGAAAACATCTTTCAGCGATGACGAGCGGCTGTTCGCGATTGATTTCCGCCTTTTGCGTGAAGAGACGCAATTTGTTAAGCTGGCAGAGCGGATGTACATCGTGCGTGGCGCTGATGTCGCCAAAGTGCAGGAATCGGTCCACCTGCTGCTTTCTATGGAGAAGCAGTTTCTCGCCGAGTTTAACATGGACTGGGAGCGCCGCAATTTGCACTTAGGACGCCGTACTGTCGCCAAAGTGATGCCAGATTTGACCCAGGATTGGTACATCCGCTGGGCCGACAAAGTGCTCCCGCATCTGCTGGAGTATCACCACGTGCGGTTCTTCGGTGCGATTGACGGCGCTACTGACGCTATCCAAGCGCGCAGCCCCGGCTCTGCTGACGAAGAGGCCTCTACCGTAATGCCTGGAATGATGTCTGGATTAGGCGGGGCAGCCGAGGGTATGGCGAGCGGCGACTCGGCTGCACGCGCGCAGTCGGCAACTATGGCACATGGCACGTTTGGCGGCGTACGTGGTCTCGATGTCATGGCGTCTATCATGCTCATGAACGTTATGGCCTTCCACTAAAGTTTCGTTATAATTGAAATGGATCTCACTCAAAGCCCCAGGGGCGCTCTGAGTGAATATGCGATTGTATCGCTCGGGATCACGACCAGGAAGAAATGGCATCGCATTGGTAATCGTGGACCCTTGTAATTCATTACTTGTCCACCCCCAGCTCTCCCTCCTGAAGCAAGATCTTTCTTTAGAGAGAAGCATCGCTAAGATAGAGACAAGCAGGGGCAGCAAGCAGCAATACGAACGGGTGAAGCGATCGCTTGAAAAGATGAAAATCAAAGTGCCACGAGTTTTGGATGAATTCTTATGCTGGAGGTTGTGACAAAAAGAATATTATATATGTTGTACCTCTGGTATCATAGGAATGAGTATCACAAGCACGATATTAAGACGAGCTATGATATAATCGTGTTTGTGTATGTAGGTGGATGCTCTTCGTAGACATATGATATTGCCAGCGACGCTCATTCGATTTCGAATTATAGTTCAAAAAAGAAGCTTTCATAATATTGCACCAAGCGAGTTTTGTGTATGGAGTGGGCGCCAGGCACGAGTTTCAAGGAGCTTCTCGACCGCAGTTTGGAGGACCTAAAATGGCGCGAGTCTGGAAGAGACTCCTCCGTCGATAATGCTAGCCTCACCAGAAACGCGTCAACAGGTGTGGCTTCGCCAGGTCAGCAGGAGGAAGCTACCGAAGTGGAGAACGACGAAGATCACTTGGGCTCCGAGCTAGCGAACCCTTCTAACGCCGGACTCATTCTCGCAGTAATTAAGACCTCGTCGTACTAGAACTATCTTCAGGTGTATCTTCAGAATGATCGACTTCTTGTTCCTCGCTGACCTTCTTCGAAAGGTTAGGGTTTTTTTACTCGATGCCAAGAATGAAATAGAAGAGAGACAACATCATGAGATAAGTTAGTAGAGATGTATTGTTCTGGTATGGTAGCCTGATTTTGATCATAAGAGAAAACCAGAAGAGACTCCTTGTGATCAAATTCAGGCTACCAAATACCGGAGCCACTCAATGAGAGCAACTGGACTCCAGCACAAGAAGAAGAACAAGCGCCCACTCTCTAAGCTAACCTTTTTCTCGATTTTGGTGCCGCTTTTTGGGCGAATGTTAATGCACGAGGGTATCTGCCATGCAGATCCGCATCCAGGAAATTTCAATTACGGCCTCCCCTAATACATCTCTATAGGGATCCCTCAACCGTATGCGCACCAATACAAGTCTTCTATAGGGAGAATCCCTGCAGAACAGTATGCACCCCAATAGATACAACCTCAACCGTATGGTGCGCACCAATACAAGGGGAATGGTGACGTTTACGCTTGAGGGATTTCGTTTCCATAGGGATGAATTGCGGAGAGATCTAACTCAAGTTGTCCGGTCGAAACCTGTGGATTCTCGACTGGGGCACCATCCTGGAGGTGCCCGTGAGAAAACGGCGACTCTTTTCAAGGCTCGTGCTCAACAATTTTCGACGCCAGAAGTTTATTCTGCAGGGAGCAATAAACGAACATAAGGACGACAACACTGCAGACGGAGGGGAACAAACCAGTGGCGCGAGTGCTTCTGCAGCACCGGATAAGCAACAGTTTCCCTCGAGCGGCCCTACGGGCGCAGGCTGCAAAGAAAATGTTAAAGCAATGCTCGCTGAGCTAAGGAAATCGATGGCCAACGACATGCGGTCCTTAATGCCTAACCCAGAACGGGCAGCTGAATTGTCGGATGAATACTTGGAACAAGCAGCTTGCGCCTTATTCGACCCCAACATCCAGGAAGCCGACCGAAAGATGGGTGTGATGCGAAACCGGGACCCGAATGCAACACTTTATGTGCTTAGCTTATCAATAAACCTTGTGACAGTGCCGAAGCTTGCTAGGCAGTATAACTATAACAGCAACTACACGATGCATGTTTGTTTTTCTGTTAGCCTTCTTGTAGTAAGTCTTGTAGCTAAAAAGAATCAATGAATAAGTAAGACTCAACCCCTCTACATTCATGCATCGCAGGGTGAAGACTTGTCCGAACTGTTGGCTCCTCCGCTGTCGCAGGTCGTTCGCATGGTTGCCATTCTAGTCGGCATTTTGTCTCAGTTGGAAGAGATGTTTGCGAAAGAGCTCGAAAAGTCAAACGCTAAACGTGGCACAGATGGCGGAAGTGCAGCCGAGCCTCGAGCGACAAAAAGTGGAGAATCTTCAGCTACAACCACGGATAGCAGTCCACCTTCTTCCGCGCCTCGACAGCTTTGGCTTCCAGAATTGTGGGCTCCTTTGGCAGAAGAAGCAATCCGCAAGATGGACGAGGACGCCGCAGCCAAGGAAGCTGAGGAATATAGGTAGAAAAAAATGCAAAAATACGTAAGCCATATTGTATTTAGTGATCAGATCATGGATCATCCAGAATAAGAATGGGGATCCATGATCATGCAGAAACTACGAATCGATCAAAAGAGATGCGACCCTGAATTTAATACTAGATAAGAATTGAATTTGAAACTACATCCAGTACGATATTAAGGGAATGATGTTAATGTTGATCTTGATTTTCATGTACAGACAGAAGGCCGAACGAAGCCGACTTCTTTGTTTTTAGTGGATGAATTCCAAGAATGATGAAGGGAATAATACATTACCTGGATGACTGAATTATAGAACTAAGTAATAAATCGGAAAAACAAGTTTTTGTCTAGCACATGAATTTAGCCTCGCAGAAGAAGAGACTCACAAGTTTTTAGATCATCGTTGCATTACTTTTACTAGTACTCGTGAAAAATTAATAGTCGTAGATGAAATTTGAGTAAGCACGATGGACGACAGTGTACGAAATCGAAATAGATTCCGCGAACGAGATTCATCAAAGTGTACAAGAGGAATGAATTTGATACGGGCAGTACATCCCGCCTACGTGAATTCTCCATACAACTCGAAGCCACCTGAAAACCGATGGCGATCCATGTGGTCACTTGTTGCCCTGTGCAGCGTCCTCCTAAAAGTCGAAAAGAACAAAAAACACAACACCCGCACACTGGAAAGGAAACTTGTTTTTTGCCTGACTTTGTGGAGCGATACCCATACGTTCTGGTTCCTCTCAGTCTCATCAATCAGTGGAGTGGATACGAAAAGAAATCGTATGTTGTTGCCTTGCATACGATCAATGATCTAACTGCGATAGAATTTTCGCAATGTGCAATCGAAGTCGACTGATCAAAGATGATGAAGCACAAATTTCTCACACGATCCTTAGTGACATCCGATGGATCACCTAATTCTTTGGCACTTCAAATTTAATGATTCTATTTATTGGATGTCACTGAATGTTTTTGCTGCCATAATGAATAAGGGCTGTGGATCACATGAAGGTGATGATTGATCGTTCCAGCTAAACAATCTGCTCATGTAATCGGTTGCCAGAAAATCCAAATGTTGGCCCCCCTGGTGCCTAGAGCTTCACGTTCATGAATAATCCTGCTCTAAGTACTTACATTTACATATACATTTCATTTCATCTTGTGACTTTTAGATGACTGCACTAATACCCATAGCAATTTCGTTAGTTTTACCACAGCTACGTATCTACGACGAAAATCGATGATGTTATCAATGTGAATCGTTTTTGTAGATCTGAGTAATGATTCTGGTACTGCAAGACCGATATTGCGTAATCGCTTATCATTATCATTTTAATTGTCATATACATATCTTTATCTAGAAGTTCTTGGAAGGAACTAATATATTTTCTTCAAATTTTTGAAGCATAAAAAATGGAGATTCGGATTGCACCTTCTGTTGAGTTGAGCTCCGTGCTTGTTGCCTTGGAGACGTTGGGTCTTGGCGCTACCGTAAGACGCGAGGATCCAGCGGGGGGCGACGCTGGGCAGAAAAGCGAGTTGCTCATCGACTCCGCTGATACTCCACAAACCCTCAGATTCGTTGACGTCATCCTCCGAAAGTTGGGAGAGTCAGTGCCAGACAGTGACCTCTATGCCGATCTATCTGTGAGCGACAAAGCACAGGTATTCTAAGGCTACGGCTCCGTTCTCACTAGTAAGCGTGATTCATTGATTTTTCACATTATGCATTGAGACATCTTGTTCATTTTTGAATGCACAGTATTAGTATTTGATTATTTGTTACAACTATTACAACAGGTGGATTCGTGGCTCGCCTGGTGCACCAACGAGCTTGGTGGTGAGGCTTGCACTTCTGACGGAGTCGCATCAGCGATTCGGCAGCTGCAAGGTCACTTGACCTCACGACAGTGCATGGTTGGCTCCAAGGCCACCCTTGCCGATATTCATACTATTTGTGAGCTGGTCACCGCTGTGGTGAACGCGAACGAGCAGAAGGTAGAGGAGATGCCGCTGAAAGCCGAGTGGGTTTTGGGTCAGTGGATCAGCAGGGTAAAATCATCGGTACCAGCATTGGATGTCGCTTTGAATTCTTATTTGGACACCTTGCGAAACCGAGTCACAGAACTGAAGAAAGCAAAGCAGCCCTTTCAAACTGACCTGCTTCGCATGCAGAAGATGAAAGCAATTGTGGGCGCCGATGCTGCTCCCGCTGCGTCTACCTCGAGCAAGAAGCAATCGGTCTCGGCTCCAAGTACAGAATATTAGATTGTGATTGCTGTTGTTAAAGCTCAGCATTCATTGGCCACTGACCCCCTTCAAAGCTCTCCCCTTTCCCTTCGTTTATTTCCCCTGTTGGTTCTCTCAAGAAGGGGTCGCCTCTTCGATCTCAGTGACCAACCCCAATGGCCATCTAAAGTTGAGCCTTAAAAATGTTGCTCACCAAGTTTTTACTTGTAAGTAGATGCTTTCCCTACGTACTCGTCATGGATAATTCAAATTCTTCATTCGAATATGATGACAAAATTAATAGGCGGCCACGGCCTCCCACCAGTCGAGGAGCAGCCAGCGGAAGAAGCGAAAGAGGTCGATGAGGAGAAGGAGGCCCGCAAGGCAGCTAAAAAGGCTGCTAAAGAAGCAGAGAAAGCAGCGAAAGCAGCCAGAAAAGCTGCTGAGGAAGAGCGAAAGAAGGGTAAAAGGGGCGAACCTGTCCCAGAGTATCGTTTATCCCCTGACTTCGAGACCGCAGCGGGCCCGTACGGAAACATTTTCATCCAGTCAGACTGCCGGACTGGACGATCTTGGAGGCAATTGGGCAACCTCTCTTCTGAAGTCGGCAAGGATGTTTGGTACAGCTACCCTATGAAGTGGCTCGTGATCTGATGTCCAAACAAATTTCATTAGCAGGAACACCTTCTTCATATCTTCGTTCGATTTGAATGAATCGCTGACTTATTCATTTTAGTATTCTCATGACCATGACGTCCGCGTGGTCGACGACGCACCTGTTATAACATAAACAGGATCCGTTGCCGAGTCCATAGCAGTCGTATCCAGGGTAAAAGGGCGTTCGTAATTCTTCGACAAGGCCTCCACCTTATGCAGGCAATGGTTGATCCAGAAACCATTGACGCAGCCTTTCCAGGAGCTGACAATGGAAAGAAGGTATTTTGTCTACTTATGTGCAATTTGTGGTTCCCAATCTTAACCTTGTCCCTCAAGTGCTGAAGCTGATCTTCAAATCTTTCTACTATCCATGACTAAGAAACCTGGAACTGCAACTTTTTGTATTAATTTCGATAGTGACTGTGACAAGAACGGTACCCATCGCATTACAGGTCGTAGCATTCGCGAAGGATGTTACGAATGAGAGCGTGGTGGATATCTGCGCAGAAGTGACCGTACCACCAGCACCCATCCAGAGTGAGTTGCTGACAGTTAAAGAGCACGAGCTTCTGGTGAAGCGCGTCTATGCCATCTCGCGCGCGAAGGCTGAGCTTCCCTTCACGCTGGCTGACGCCAGCAAAAAGCTCGAGAAGAACGGAGCTGGAGGCGTGCATCTGGAGACCAGGCTAAACTGCCGTGTTTTGGACCTTCGTACGCGTGCCAACCAGGCTATCTTTCGCATCCAGAGTGGCGTGTGCCGGTTTTTTCGTGACTTTTTACTCAATGAGAGCTTCACTGAGATCCACACGCCGAAGATTCTTGCAGGCGGCTCTGAGGGCGGCGCCGAAGTGTTCCGACTCGACTATTTCCCAAAGTACAACATCCCGAATGCGTACCTGGCCCAATCTCCCCAGTTGTACAAGCAGATGGCATTGATGTCCGACCACCGTGGCGTCTTCGAGATCGGCCCCGTGTTCCGGTCTGAGGACTCCTTCACGCACCGCCACATGACCGAGTTCGTCGGTCTGGATATGGAAATGCACTTTGTCGAAGACTACCATGAGGTCCTGGACGTGCTGGACCGCTGCTTTCGCTACATCTTCAACAACTTGAACGAAAAGTGTGCCGAAGAAATCGAATCTGTTCGAGAACAGTTCCCCTTCGCAAACATGCTTTACAACAAGGACAGCCCGTGTAAAATCTTCACATTTAAGGAAGCCATCGATTTGCTGCGCGCAGAGGGACCGGCGATCGCGACTGAGCAAATTAACGCGGCAGAAAGAGACGCCAAAGAAGCACTCGAGCGCGGAGACGAGGAAATGCACGCTAGGTAAAGATGATAATCCTATTAGTTGTGGTTGCAGTACTTCAGAGTTGAGTAAATATATCTTGCTGAGGACTTTAATAAGTAAGAGATAGAGATTGAGTTGTTTTTTTCTACTATTTTCCAACACGTTATTGATTCAATCAGGCATTGGGACAAAGCTGAGAAAGCCATGGAGCATCGCGCGGGCATTCCTGAGCACCCGTATCTTGATGATATTTCCACGAAGGATGAAAAGATTTTGGGTGAAGTCATCAAGCGAAAGTACGGAACAGAATTTTACATTATCGATAAATTCCCGGCTGTCGTCCGACCCTTCTACACCATGCCCGATCCGGTTAACCCGGACTGGTCGAACAGTTACGACATCTTTATGAGAGGAGAAGAGATCATGAGTGGTACGACCTCCGACACTACTGACTTTGAAACTCTACAATACCACTCGTAGACGATTTTGTTGATGAAAGCTGTATTTTTATGACCAGTAGACTGACCCAAGTTTGGCACAATCATATTTTTTATTTATTACCTTACCATTTTTACACCAACGCCAACGCCATAATTTTCCACATTCATTGCATTTTGTACTTTGATTGATCTTATTAGGACAACACCAGCTCCTCCTTCACATTTACCCCCAGGTGCTCAGCGAATCCACGATCCGGAATTGCTAGTTGATCTCGCTAGACAGAAAGACATGGTACCGGACGAGTATTATACTGAATCGTTTTCAATGGGCGCCTTTCCTCATGCAGGTGGCGGCGTGGGCTTGGAGCGAGTAGTCATGCTCTTCCTCGGATTAGACAACATCCGACGCACTAGTATGTTCCCCCGTGACCCTAAGCGTGTGGCCCCCTAGAAAATTGATTCACCTCCTCTTGGAAGTCATGTTGATGATGCTACGCATAATATCTGAGGATAATTACTTTCATCGTGGGAGGTCTTGTCGTTGTGACTGAGTAGGAAATGCTCTTAATATGGTACATGCGCGGTGACGTTAGACCGATATTGAAGAGGAACTACAAAAACTCTCATAAACCAACACGACGCTGTCATGATAGATGCGCATTCCTGACGAATTGTGACGTTTTCAACAGACCGCTACATCAGGAAAAAACATGACCGCTACATTGGCAACGTAAATACACATCACGAAAAACGAACATGAAACTTTGATTCACTTATTTCATTCATTAGGCAGTCATAAGGCAGCGCCCATGCTACTATTATAATAATAATAACGTCAACATCGCTCTCACAAGAAGTCGTTGTGAGTTTATAGAACACAAGGCCTCTTCTATCTCCCCAGGAAACCAACATTACTTTCTTGAAAAAATGAGTGTTCTTGGGCGAACGAAAACTGTGACGCACGCGTGTTGACTCGAGCCACAAGTGATCCAGCGGAACGCTTTTTTGAGCTACAACTTTCGACTTTCACTTGGTCATCATGTACCGGATAGTAGCGTCAAATCAATGATAGATGGTGGCCCGCCCTCAAAGAATTGGGATTGGCCTCTATTGCAAGGCGAGGCACACGGACGCGCATCATTCCTCGCCGTGCCGCACACTCTGATCAAGTTTTGCTAGCGACCACTGTCCAAATCCCACAAATGCACCACCCGGGCTTTGTCGACGATCAACATTTCTCAAACACGAATGCGTAATTGTAATATACAGCAACCGAAATATATACTTGGGTAAGGGGGTTCATGCATCCTCCAAATACAAAACAGCACATCTTTTGCAAGAATATAGCAAGACGGGAGTAGACCAGTCGTTGTTGGAAGTTTAGCAGAATTGTCTTCCTTGTGAATAATCTTAAATCTTATGTAACGTACCACAGTGAGAGTGACATCGAAGAAGATTATTATGATTTAGATCTTGAATTGAGTAAGCCTGAGCGTTGATTATTTTGATATCCTCTTTCAGATTTAGGGGGTAGGTTTTTACATAGTACACACGTTCCTCTCATAAGCGCTGTTGTTGTTGAAACATAAATTCGGTCTTCTGTAGAAGTTCTAGTTCCTTCTTATTTTATAATCATGATTGAGTATATTGCGACCGCCTCGTCTCTCTCAAAGTCTACTTTTTACATATCTCATCTGTTATCTTGTGCTCGCCTGGATGCACTTCTTGTCAAAAATCGACTTTGATTTACACTTTGTCCGTCTCTTCGTTTCCTGATTTTGTTGAATCAGTTAGAGATTTCGTTCTTGTAATATTTTTAGTTCCACCGTTAGTAATTGAAGTAACAACATTATCTATATCGTAAATAGTTGAAAAATTTTTCTGTCTACGTCCTTGTTTTCTTTGTGCTGAAGAACTAGAACAAAGCCCGCGTTAGAATAAAGTCCGAAAAAACAAAGTCATCCATGATTAAACGTGAAATGTCTCAGTTGAATTTGAAGTAGAGCAGCTGTGAAAACGAATCGAATTTCTTTTTGTACGTAATTGAGACAGAAAGTGATGCTTGCTTATCCACCATCACATTGACAAAGAGGATCCAAATTTTGAACTACAGAAATGATTGATAGAATGGCTAGCACAAGTCCGTAGAGCAAGCATCGGCAAGATCATCAAGATTTGGTTGATATATAACACATAGCTAGGTTTCTGTCAAAAGAAGTCCCTAATAGCCGTGTGCTCTTGTACTCCTGAGTGGTCGACGGCTCCGCGGCACTCCCGGTGTGAGCAGTAAGTATGAGCAGTGGCACCAGTGGGAACAGTGGCGACTCTGCGTCTGCCATGGAAAAAGAGTACAACGAGTTGAACACGATCATCCTCGAGAATCTACTCCCGGGAAGCTACTTCGGCGCCAACAATCTCGGTTGCTCCAAGGGATCTAGTGTCCATTGGATTCACACAGAGGAATTTCTGGACCCTGGACCGCCTAGTTGTAAGACTCGAGCGCCGTCTTCCTCGACCAGCAATTATTGGGGATCTCCTGTGTCATCCGCGGTGACCCCCACCGCTGAGCCTCTGTGGCATGAAGAAGCTCCTGGTGATCCTTTCCAGTACAGTGATACCCCTTGTACACCGATCGCATCTATTACTCCGCCTGTCGTAGCAACAACGTCGTGCTTTGCTGGCGCTACAAAGAATCCGATGTCGTCCTTTGCTGGTCAAACTAAGACTACCAGGGAGAGGGACTCTTTTTTTGCTACCACTCCGACTACTAAGGGACATCTCCAGCTACGTGAAGAAGCCGACACCATCTTCAAGCCGTTCGGCAACGGCGTTGATAATAGCGCGACAGCCACTGGTACAACAGATGAAGGCGAATCTAGGTCGCCTCCAGTTATCCACACCCCTGGAAGACCGGGGATTGATCGCCGCCGAAGCAGCCCGCGCCGTTCCGATTCGGAAAATGCACAGGGCTTGTCTTTTTATCTGGGCAATCAAACGTCGGCCATCGATGTTGAGTTTTTACGCAAAAGGAACATTGTCGGAGTCATCAACTGCTGTGCCATTACCAAGCAGCTCGTTTCCGCTTCCGGTGAATTGAAAAACTTATGCTGAGTACTTTGCTGAAACTTGTTACTTAATACATACTTGACTTCACTTTTTCATCAGAAATCCCATGTTGTCGTGATTACCATTACCAAAACAATCATCACAAACGTCCTTCTTCTTTATCCCCAGAGGTGAGCACATAGCCCCGTCCTTCTTCAAGCGAACCAGCAGCGGCGCGGCGTTTGGGTATGCTCTACGGAAAAGCGATCGAACGTGAGGTCGAACGTCAAGATCAAGGCTCAAATGTCGGAACTTTTTTTGTTAAGAGTTACCATATTGCGTTTTTTGCTATCATTCTTGACTTTTTCGGCAGTAGGAAAGGAGTCAGGGATGATCTGAAGAATGCAATGCCGCAACCTCTAACTTTCGCAATGGCGTCAGTGCTGCCGGAGCGCGTCCACGCGCGCCGTCGTTTAGTACTGAGCGAGCTACGGGCTTGATTTCGTCCCGTTGGAGATCGGGGAGCATTTGCTCCACCGGTCGCGAGATAAACGACGGGCAGGAGAACGCGAATTTTTCAGTGTCAACAACGACTATGGTTTCCCCTGGAAGGCCAGTCGATTCCATAAGTGCAGAAAATGCTAGTGGATCGCCCACCATTACAAAAAGAGCGATAACTGCGGGTACAACGTCAAGCATTGGAGGTAGCGCGGTGAAAACGAAAAAACCATCCGTGGCGCCGCCCTCTTACTACTTGCCCGCCAGCATTCGAGATGTGTATAATGAGGAGCCCAACGTGCATCTGGAGGTTGCGCGGACGGCCAGACTCAACTCGCGCCTTGACAGTATGGCTGAGGACGATTTGATGGCTCTGTTTCGAATTGGTGAATACAAGGAGGACACTGCGCAGTTCTACGCCAAATTGCTGGATACTCAGAAGTTCCACTATTTAGAGGTACTCGCAGAAGACATGGAGAACTACGAGATTTCTTCCCACTTTGGCGATGCACTTACCTTTCTCCATAAGGTTGTGGCGCACTACACTCCGCCAGGCCGTACTTTTGGATCGCTGACCTCTGATGTGACAACGCCGCCTGCCTCAACGGCCTTTCCTTCGTCTTCTCCAGGCCCCTCCTCGATGCTCTCATCAACTCTGTCGTCGACAACCTGGCCAGAATCATCCATGTCTTTTATCGATTTTCCCGCAACAGACGAAATACAAGAGCCTTCGCCTTGCGGTCTAGAGGATAAATCTTCCAGTGACCACACTGGCTGCGCAATCGACATACCCGCAGCAGAAAAGAACACGACAAAGACACCTCAAGACTCTCGCGTACCGGCATCAAGAAAGGACAAGGATTATGATCAGTCAACGGTTTTTTCTGAGCAGATGAAGGTCGCGACAACGTCTCATGAACAAGTGAATACGTTCCTCACGACCGAAGCAGAAGCAGTTGCCGTCCCACGCAAAAAACTGAAGAACCGACCGAAGACGAGAGATCAGAATGTTGAAAAGGTGTGGCGTTCATGGTGTATCGGTGGCTCGTTTCAGCCGTGCCCACGAAGGGAGCAGGCTCGAGCGAAGACGCGAAAAGCAGACTCCATTCCACCTCAAGGAGCGATGAAACAAAAATTTTTAGTAGCTAACGCTCGCCAGACGGCTCTACGTCCTGACCTCTTTGTGACCAAGCGGGAAGCAGACCACACCACCATCCCGAGTTCGTCGCATCAGCTACAAGAACCTAACCGAGTACCTACCCCAGTTGAAGAACCAAAGCAACAACTACAGACGAGTTCTTTTACTCGCGATAACTACAGTCCTGCAAATACAAAAGTAGATGAGCAAGCAGCCTTCGTACCGAACACAACGAGCCCGCCTCTTGACGCACCGGAAGCTTCATCACCTACCATAGATCGACAGAGGATGGAAGACGCGGCCAAGTATCCGGGTATTCTCGTGCATTGCTATATGGGAATCAACCGGTCCACAGCGATCCTAAGTGCGCTACTCATTCGCCTCTTGCGCTCGAACGCTATGACGATTGTCGAAAAGATTGCGCGTCGTCGCCCGGTCGGCATCTTGAGTAATCTTGCTTTTTTACGTGCAGTGCAGGACTTTTCTGAGGCAGAACAGCAAGCAGCACAAGAAAAGCCGCATAGACCCTACCTGCCTACAGAATACTTCGATGAGCGCGAGCGGAAATTTGTGCATAGACGCGACACCTACGTCGAGATTTCACCGGTAAGAATGTCGAACAGTGATGTCAGTCCTTCACCCGGAAGGATCATCAATACTCCTGTCAGCGAACGCGCTTCTGAAAAGGGTTCATCCTCTTGCCGTGTGAAAAGAAATAAGAGCCGAGCTAGCTCTTTTCATTATGAATTTCCCTAGCTCGTAGAAATTGAAGTGGTAATACCTACCTGAAGTTGTAGTTTGAGTTTCGGCCTCGCCTCCCCGTAATAAAATATACTAACTCATCCTAGCGCGTTGTGACTGTGCGTGCCCCTGCTCACATCCACGATGATGTGTAGGCGATGAACCAAGAAGCTTGAGGTTAGAGTATGCAGACGAGTGAACAAAGAAGAAGCTCCCCGCATCATACTCATGGTGTCGATACCACCTAACCGACGCTGACCAATGAGATTAGTCTCAAAAATAGTATCGCTATCAGTATCTTCCATAAGCAAATGAAACATCTCTTGCGTTGCAACAAATGGCAATAAGGTCCGAAGAAGGGCAGAGTCTTAATCGCGGTGAGGCTAGCGCTAGGAGAAACGAAACATTAGAAATCCATTATGTGTTTGGAATTGCTAAAGCAAGAGCATCCTCAGGAGCTTCGTTTTATCCGTGATAGATTTCCGAGCGATTGCCTGGAAGCATCGATCTGTAAAGTCAGATAATGAGAACTCATAACTTGGTATGAAATGACAGGAGCTCAAGCTTAAGCTTTTGCCTTTGTTTTTGTAGTCTAACTATGACGAAATTTACTGAGCCCCACGAAGTGGATGTCGTTCGTCGTCTACTCCTTCATCTTCGGCTTCTCTAAAAATAGTAATGAAAAATCCAAATCGTACTCGCATGTTTGCTTTTTCAATTCATCGCTTCTCCAAAAGAAACGACGACATGTGGAAAATATTGACTGAAAAAAGCTCGATGCGCAATCATAATTTGTTTGAAGGGCTAAGCCTATAGAGGTAAAAACTAACTGGCTGTTTTATTTTAGTTCTCTGAGCGCCGCTGGACCTAAGCCCCAACCTTATGCGGTGCGCCGCCATAGTTTGCATTTTTTGAATTATGATGGTCATACTCGAGTAGCATTCTTGTAAAAAACCTAATGAATAATTTTGCTAAAAAGAAGCCAACATCAAGCACTTACACATAAAGACGTCTTCTGGATGTATGGACCAATCCAATCTCAATTAGCATGGAGAAAATTATAGCTATTGATGTCTACATTGCCGTGTCGTTAGCTGATGAAACAAGACAGCAGCTGTGATTTGTAGCGTCGAAAGTCAATTCTCTAAGGACACACCATCACCACTTACGCATTTGGTCAGGATGATTTGAAAGAATTTTCAAGAATGACCGCTAGAAGATGTTGTCAAGAACGACCTCTATCATAGAAGATGGTAATGAGTTTATATATTAGCCCTTGCCGTAAGCCGGGCGGCACCCCTGCAGTGCTGCCACTTTTTTGTCATAGTACAATGCGAACACTGGACGGCTCTCGTTCCTTTCTCTCAACTACGAGAAATAAGACTGCGTGCTGTTAAGTTAGAGATGTAAAAAGCAGGTAGTAAAAGAAGAAAGTAGGACGTAGAGCTCAGTAAATTATCTGCCGGTGAGTGTAGTGACCCGGGGTAGTTGATTCTCCACCAAATCCGGCAAGCTAGGCGTCGCGCGAGGTCAACAAAATGAAGGTCATCGCGTAGCGGACGTCAGAGCAGATCGAGTATCTCAGTCGGTGCCGCCAGAGCGTGCTGCAAATCTCTCGTCGTCGGTCAACAAATACATGCCGCGTTTGATCACCGGAAGGAGGAAGGACAAGGACAAATTGTACTGCATGTAGGGGGAGCTACCGGCCAGCGAGTTCAAAGGGACTCAAGTTTAATTTCTGCTGATCCGGTGCTCAATGCGCAGGGCTGAGGCAGGAGCCCATCTGAATCTGAGTCTAACCTTCTTCGTTCTGCCTTGCGACTGAAGAAGGACCTCAGGGGCTGTAGCAGTCTCTGATATGCGCATATTAGTAGAATAGTTTCATAGCCATAGGCTAACTCAATCAATAACCTTTACCTCTACCAAATCAACACTTTTAGGAGAGCCCACTAACAACCACCTTAGGGAAAATCTCGAAAAAATGTCTTCGCGTCTCTTGTAGTCTCTGATACCTAACGCGAGGTTGCTGCAGTAGATTGGAGCTCTGGCTCTAATTGTCATACTCTTTTGTTTGGGAAAGTGTCTTCTTCGGTTTCCAACACTATTGACTTGACGCGCAAAGCAATGGTCTTCTCTGCGTAAATACTAGGTTTAAAATCAGAAAATGGAGCTCATGATTAATTTTTTTTAATGTATATGTGTACGTGTAGGAGCGAAGCAAGTTATTGGGGCACCTATTTAGATACTAGCAGTGTCCTCGTGTCAATCATGTAAATACCCAATGGCAATGCGGAGGTCTTAACTTTTCTCTCTGTTCGGTGTAGTGGTAAGAAAAAAATGTCGTGTTCGTAGTCATACTTGTAAAAGGATCCACAAAATCTGACTTCAGTTGCACGAATAGAAGTTTCATTTTCGTGCATACAGAAGCGTAAATTCAGCGAGGATCGATTCAGTCGATCCGCAAATTTTAGGAAAATTTTTAGCCAGAGAAGTGCCTGTCAATGTCGAAGAAGCATACCATAAAGATCCACGCTGTGCTGGTCCGCTGGCTCTTAATACGAAGACATTGAAAATATTTGTAATTGTCATGAGTTGGAATCTTGCATCCTCCAGAGGCCTAGCAATAGGTTGCTTTCGAGTCGGCATTGTGTGAAAATAATGTGAATTTTATCTATTCTGAAGGCATTTCCATTTTAGACGGGCACAAACGCTGTAACTCCTGTTTTTTGTGGAAAATTTCTTTGCGACCCATCGTTGAAAACAAAATCAAAGACTATGTCGCCTACAACAGGTGGTTGTATGTTTGTCTTCGCTTTCCCGCTGAGGAGAGAGCGTCCTTGTTTAGCGCGTGCAGCCCGTTAGATGGTGTGTTGAGATCGTGATTGTCGGAGAGGAATATAGACGAGGTCACAAAACAGAATGACATGACACGACATGAAGGAATGTCAACAACCTTGAGGCACGAGTCTGGAAACAAATGCGAGAAAAGCTAACAAGACTTAGTATATTCGTTGCGACTCGAAGCATCGGTTTACTTGGCGTGAAGACGCCGCTTAGGTTTAGTGGAGCGAGGTGGAACCCACTCGGTCGCGATGACTACCGTTCGATGTGTGATCTAAGTGGCGCTTGTTGTATTTGTAGAGCGTAGCGTGGTCAAAAGATAGAGAGCGGAGTATTCCTCGCCCTCCAAATCAAACCTAACTCATTAGAGAGGGTCGGTCGAAAAACTTTGTCGTACAATCAGAACTGTGTGTCTGTGCTCGTGGTGAATATGTATTCTTGATTTCCACAGTCCCTGCAGAAAGTAGCCCTACTTTAGATCTTCTTGTTTCTTCACAGCATAAAGTCAAAGTAGTACGACTTGTAGTTCTTCCTGATCCTGGCTCATCTCCAGTAATTTTTCGACTCAGTTGTAGTTGTTACTGCTATAAGAAATCTGAATCATGCCGGAAAATTACGCGATGCCGGCTCAGCCTTTCGGCAAGAATCAGAGCCCAGAAATGAGACTCATGAAGAAGCTTCAGCACTGTGCCGATGCTCGATTATGGCTAGTTTATCACTATTCCTATCCCATGACCCATGTGGAGTATGGTGCTGAGTGATGTCCCGCTTGATTCAAAGGCGGAAAAAGGGGAACTCACTCAACCAGGTATGATAGGGAAAAACTCCCTTTAACTCGATCGGAGTCCACAGCAATCATCGCTTCTCGATTTGCTGAACGAGAGCAGACCAAATTGTCGATACAAAAAAACGAGGACGTACACACACACACACACAGTCAGATGACAATTTCTATTTCTCTACTTTCATCTGTTTCACAATGACAATTCAAGTCAAGAAAGAATAATGAACTAGCACGAAAAAGAACAATGAAAACATCACGATCTTCGATGATTCTCATTTATGGACTAAAATGCAGGTTTTCCGTGAGGCCCTCGGGTACAGTCGAAGGCACAACGAAGACAGATGGCGAGTGAAACTGAGCAACAGTCCTTATCTGGATGACCTCGCAATGGGCTATCTGGTGAACAAAGAGGATGTAACAATCCGATCAAGACTCGAAGATCGAAAGCGCGAGGGTCTCAAGGCAAGGCGTGATGACGCTGACGCACAGATCTTCAAGCGCGTGTACGCGCACGATTTAGATTTATGCTCAGACAACGTCGTGATGTTTGTTAGCCATTATATATAAGTAAATGGTGTCTGTTGAGTCACAGTGATACCAGTTTGCCACCCTTGTTGTTCCTGAGCAAATTGATCACTTTTCTTTGTGTTTGTATCTTGTGATCACAAGGAAAACGGAAAAGTTCAGAGTACGTATTAAGGGTAGGTTAAAGGTGTTCCTGTTACCGTTTGTTGTGGCTCTCCTAAGGCCGACAGGTATAACAAACGGGATACAGAAACACCAAAACACTACCTCTAAGTACTTAGTACAGCATCCATAAGCCTTTTCCCAAACTTGCCTCACTATTCCCATCGTCATCTTTCATTCCCCGAGGAGATGAAGGCCCTGCGTGCCGAGAAGCGAGAACTAGTGTGGAAAGAACGCGAGTTGCAATCGTGTCGGGATGCTGAGAAATCTGACGCAAAGATTGCGAGAATTCGCATGAACAAACGCAGGCAAGACTTCGAACGACAGACCGCAATCGCGCTACGAAATGAAACAACTTCCTTCGGTCCACCCGCGGCCACTTCTAGAGGGATGAGTTATGATTCAAAGCACTTGATGATTTTTTTCGAAGCGGTTTACATGATAATTTTGTAGCGCTAGAAGTTTTGTTTCCATTTGCGTCAAATCGTGTGTCTGCGTGGTCGACGGTGAGCTCCGTGGATGTGACGCTCATGGTCACGACGTAGAATCTTCTTTGGCTTTCCTAGTTCTAGGTGATACTTAGTTCTTCTAAGAATCAACGTTCGGATCGGCTTCGCAGTTGCTTGAACTGAGTGGAAGTGGTGGACTGGGAAAAAATAGGCAGAAGGCGGTAGCGAGAGAGCTGATAGAGCGAAATAGCGTGCGAATCCGCAAAATGCTAAATGCCCGACTTGAAGAAGAGGCAGCTGCTCTCGACCTGGAGAAAGACCGAGCGGGGTCGGCGGGAGGTAGCGGTGATGGCAGTGTGGAATAATTTGCATAGAAGATCATAAAAGCGACTGTCGGCTAGTAACACAGGAAAAAATAGCTACTCAACCTCACAAATGAACCAACTTGTACCCACTCAATGCGAAAAACCTGACTATGCTGAAACAAAACTCTGCATGATACGAACTCTTACCTGCGCTTGTTGATTTGTCCTAAGTATCCAAGCTGAACTCAAAAAATGAAAGTCGATGCATGAAATCGGTAGGCGCAGTGGTTTTTGACAGTTTTTCTAATCTGCGAACGAGTATAGGTACGCTCGTCAAACCAAGGCTATCGACATTCAAAACAATAAACGTCAAAGAGGTAAATGCTTTACCTATCTTGATACTGGAATTAATCATTATTCAACCAGCAACATATACCAAAATCTATTTTTTCGAATTATCATTCAGACCTATCAGTGTTATTTTTTATGATCATTGACATATTTTTGGTTAAGAATTGATTATTCTTGTTCAGAAAATGGTAATGGTCAACATCAGATACAGACTCGGAAAAGAACGACATCCTTCACCTGTAGATGACGTACCGTTGATTCCAGCTTCGTGCCATCAAAGTTTTGGGTCTCGTTGAAGAGACATCAGCTAAAGCAGAAGATAGAGGCGCGCGCCACCAGCGCCGGCGCGAACGCTACTGAATAGAGACTGCGGTCGAATATATTGGTGATGGCCGCGTTTCTTCGGGAGTGAAATGAGTGGCAATGCGCGCCTAGTAAGAATGAGATAAAGATAATTTCAGGGCTATTTTCAGTAAGCGCCTCCTTCGCTCATTCTCCAGTTGTTAACGAATCCTAAGTTATTCTTGCGAGAGAAACGAAAATTTCTTATCCACAGAGTGTCAAAAACACGAGAAACATTTCGGCAAGGACCAATTTATACACGATGAGCAGTACAGGGTTCGAGAGAGACCTGAAATGCGCGTGCTAAGAAGAACGTGCAAAAATACCTTTATTCGTTTGTCCTTAGCCGTACCTGCATCGTTCTATCGAAAATTATAGTCCATCGTTGCAGATTAGGTGTTATAAACACGATTATGCATAGCGGCAAATCTCTGCTTTGGCATCTTCCTGTTCCTCTATGAAGAAAAATAAATTGGCATGATTTATCCACCCTTTTATCCATCAAGCCACGTAGCCTCTATCTGCGTTCGTAATCCGAAACCTAACGTTATATTTTGTAAGAAGCAGCAGGAGTTGCAGTAACAGCAACATGTCATCTGTGAAGGAAGACTCAGGAGGGCGGCGCAAGAAGGAGGTTACCGCGCAGCTCACCTCTTATCTGAGCCATGTGCAGTACTACATCGATTTCTGCCGACAACTGCCGAACTCAAACAAGAAGTTCCACACACTTGCGGCATTGGTACTCAAAATACGACTCTTCCTTGTGACAACTCTTGATCAATAGATGCACCCTTCTGGTGACGCACACTCGCGGCATTGGTACTTGAATAAATACAAGGACTCTTGTGATAACTCTATTTGATTATACGTTTACTTCTTCAGAATCAGAAACATCAACTAAGGAGCCTGAATAGAGCAGGAGCACAAGGTGGAAAGAGGAAACCGCAATAAAATCAGAACTATTTTCATCTTTGTAGAGGCATCTTCCCCTTCCGCTTCCAAGTTGTATACTTTCTTACACACAAAAATCCCGAAATAATAGTCCCATCATGTTTCATTACACAGGTCCTCCTCAAGGAAATGACGACAAAGGCCCAGGAAGTCGAATCAGCAGTATGCCACCATCTTTTTGAAACCGACCGCATTGAGCTCGAGCGTTTTGTTCAAAAAATGAATGGCGACGAGGTACTTCTATTAAGTTTGTTACCTTTCTGAACTTTTTGTATCGATAGATTTCGGTGAAGCAGAGGAATCTGCACTACCGTAATCAACAAGAACTGTATTCTAACAAAGATCATCTACTAAGTACAACACTGACATCTTCCTTCTATAAGCAATATAGACACTGCACCCTCTTCTTGTTGTCCAAGATCCTCTTGTTCACTCCAACAGGAGTGGGAGCGAAACGTGGTCCATCTTCAGAAGCTTGTGCTGGAGACGGTACGCGAAAAACTAGATCTTGCAGCCCGCGACGCAGAGCCAAGCTGCTATCCTTCCTCGACCGACGATCTATCGAAACTGCAGCAAGGAGAGGGCGCGTTGCTTCCCGACGTTGCGCAGAATGCGGCACAGAGCAGCGTCGAGGCAGATACTGCGGCACCAGTGGCGCCAGCCATGGCCACGATCTTGCAGAGAGGCGTCGACGCAGACAGTTCTATGAAATTGCAGCCAAATACCAGCGGGGTTGCTGCCATGCAAACGCGGTTGAATTTGGGGGGCCAACAGAATCTTCTCAATGGTGAGATCAATTTGGCTGCAGCTTTGCAGCAGCCTGGCGCACTGCCAGCGCAAAACAAAGACTTCAGTAGTGCAGCAGTGGGCGAGAATGGCAGTTTTTTAGCCGGTTTGCTTCCTGCATGGTTGGGTGGCGGTGGTCAGAACGAAAAGGAAAATGCTGCATCCGAGTTGTCCTCAGTGGCTCCCAACGCTGGGCTGAGTCAACAGATTCTCCAACGTATGCAGCAAGAAGCTGCCGCATCACAGCCACCGCTGGTGAACACTGGAATGCCAGCACCGCCGGGTCATTTGCAACCTCCGAACCTCTTCATGTCGATGGTGGCAGCACAGCAGCAGCAGATGAAAATACAACAGGTACTTGAGTTTTTTTTTTTGAAGCTTGTGATCATTTACTTAGCAGGGAGCAACATACATTTGAATTCGCATTGGTAAGCTAAAAAAGCGTCTCGGCGTGTTCCTTTAGAATTAGAAAGAGCTAAGGCTAACATCATACTCATAGATTGTGAGAACAGCATCATCTTTATTCCACGTGGTGTCCTTTTTTTTTGAATGATTTTCCTAGGGATCGTCTGCCGCGTCTGAAGTTGCGAGTGCTGTCGGCGGAGCGGCTTCAGCTGTGTCCGCTATGACAGCGACTAGTTTCGTCCGGGGCCCTGCGCCAGACCGGTTTCCAAAGGTCGTGCCCGATGGAGATTTTACGGAGGAGCAGCAGGGAGAGCAAGATCAAAACGCCGCTGGTCAAGAACAGTTTGAAGTTCCACCAACAGTGCCAGTCATGAATGCTGGAATCCTCCAGAATGGGGTAGCAGCAACAGAAGACGCTAGTGGCGTTGTGCCTCCGACTGCTTTCCTGAATCAATCCCCGCAAAAGCACCAGACCGCAGGTGACCAAACTTTCTTAAGCGGCACTGCAAGCAAGCAGCCACTTCTGCCGCCACTAGATCCGAATGCCTTTAGCTTCTTGCAAGAGCCGAAACAAGAATCAGCACAATCGATGGAGGTATTAACACTGGTGATTTTTTGCAGATTTCGCTTTGACGATATCGATAACAATATTCATGAAAAATTTAGTATTGATGTTGAACTTAAGAGTAAGCCAAAGCCTGGTCTGGAGATATGAAACAACAACCATTTTTTAGATTATCTATCATCAATTCCCTGGTATCCCAGACCGCGACTCGGCCATTTTCCAATTATCAGGACATGATGGCCTCGGTAATGACGAAGATGTCCCAGCCGTTCGAGTTCAAAGCACGGTCTGAGTTGACAGTGAAGCCCCTGAACCCGGTGGAGCCCATGAAAATCAAGGCAAAGCCCATGGTCAAATCGGATGGATTGCAACAAAAAATGTTGGAAAGTATCAAGCGCTTCAATTCCGTAGCTAGTCAGCTTCCCCCTCGACAGTACGTAACCATGGACGCGCAGCCTCTCAAATTCCTCAACGTGGATCCTCTGCAAAAGAACTTTGCCCCGCTCTTAAGGCTAGTATATCACTATTTGGTGTGAGGTATCTATCCTGAGTGGCGGCTCCCTTGATTCAAAAGGAAAATCAACGGGAAAGAAAGCCACTCAGTCAACCACGGATAGCGATTGACTAGCGTTAACGCTCTCTGTTGGCCAAGTCGGCGTTGCGTTTGGCGGAACTGGCGCCGCCAGTGGGAGCAGCCAGGTAGTTTGCACTTTTATCCCATAGGCTTGAGACGCTCGTGTTTATATGAAAGCTGCCTGATAATTTTTTTTATGAAGTACTTTGAACACGACAGCTCTGACATCATACAGCAAATCCCAAAACAGGTAAGCCGGATGGGAACGAACGCTATGCCGGGCCCTCTCGGCGGTCGCTCGACCGAAGTACCAGTATGGCAAAATGGACAGCCAGTACCTGTGGCCCAGGTACCTGCCAGCAATGACCTCCTGGAAAAAGTCGCAAGGGTGGAACCCAATGTGGAGTACTACAGTACCACACATGGCCGATGGATTCCGGCGGTGTGCCTCGGTGAGAATACAGATGGAACGCTCCGACTCGATGTCAAAATGTGTGCTCCACCAGAGAGAGTTCGACTGAGGGGACAAGAAAATAGCGGAAAGGAAGACGTATTCCCTGTGTTCCATCTACTTTTGTCTGAGACTTTCATTAAAGATACCTTCTGCCTTACACTTGTAGAGCTAGGGTCTGCGTCTGAGTCTCCATCGCAGCAGCTGCCTACCAGACTTTCTGTCTTAACATTCTTCGAACTCGGGCCACCTCCTTTTTACAACAATCTGATCGTGCTCAGGACTGCGCTGTTCCTACTGGGCCTTCCTTCGCCGCTGTGCCACAGCTCAATCAGCCTGCGCGAGGGCAGACTCATGGGTCGACGAGTGCCCCAGGAACCCAACCGGTATTGACGCAGCCACACCTTGCTGCCTACTCTGCCAGCATTCTCAATTGCGGCCACGCTGGAGGACTCGGTGGTCAGCCTTCTAGCGTTGTCGATGAGCACCAGATGAACATGCGAACCGGACCAGCGTACATCCCGCTGATGGCCCCCCCATCGCAGGAGGCTGCGCCGGGACATGACTCGAGGCGGTCGCATATCGGGCAAGGGATTCCCGACATCGGTGCGCCGCTTCTTGGCGGCGGCGAGGGCTGCGACAGGGCAGAAGAACCGGCGCCTCGCGGCGTGCGGTTCAATCAGAAGACTAGCGTGTATTCAGCTGGCGTGCGGGATTCCTGCGTGAGCTTACCAGCGGAAATGTCTGCAAGAGAAGAAGCACAAGGCATCAACATGGAAAATTTTCCGGAGGGAGACCCAGAACACGAACTGTTGGACACAGAAACAAAGCAGATCCTCGAAATGCACAAGCTCGGAGAACGCTATCGCGCTTTCTCGGAACGAATCTCGATGACCCTCAACAACAGCACACTGTCGGCCGAGGACCAGCAACGAGGATCATCCCGAAAAAGCATGGATCCCTCGCAGAATGAGTACGCATGATCTAGCTCTGAGTTGTAGATTGTTGCTTTGTGACTAGTTGATGCCGAAGAACAACTCGTACCCATTGAGAATTCCTGTAATGTGCCAAAGTTGAGGATGGAGGATCAGGATGAGCAGTATACCTTCATAAAAGAATGGATCAAAAATGCAATCAGGGCATCTTCACATCAACCATGTCACAGGTCTACAGGCGGCAATGTGCGCCCTGTGAACTGTCCGAAATTCATGGAGACAATTGACGAACTTCACGGCATGCTTGTGCGCTTGCTCGAAGACCCTACACTATCGGATCAAAAGGAAGCAGCTAGAATTTCCGAGAAGATCGAGCAGCAGAAGCGACTAATCTCCGAGCGGACAAGTCGCGCAAACGTCGAGCGAGAACTGAGTGCGGCATCGAGTTCAAGGTATGCCGGATCTGCCGCGGGACAGTACTCAAGAAACATGGAAGAACGCGCAACGCCGGCGGGAGGTCCCTCTGGTGCTTCGGGCGGAAGCGGGAGTCCCTTGCCGGTTCGAAGTGCGCCGCCTCGTGGACGGCCAGGCGCAGATACAAGCATGCTATCCGAGCGCGAGGACGAGGGCCACAGTCAGTACTACTCTGAGCAGGAGGAGCCTCCTTTAGCGGCAGCAGGACATCAGAGCAGCTATGAGGACAGCAATCACCCCATCAACTATTCCGATGGCGGCGCTTCTTCCGTACTTTCGAACAACCAGAACTACTACCAATACAACCGAAAGAACGAGGAGGACGGGACGAGCAGCCGAAGCGCGAGAAGCCCTCCGCGAGTAGGAAGAGGACGGAACGACGAGTCTGACAGCAATATCAACCTTGAAGGAGACGATCAGATACTGCATCATCAAAATCATGGAAGCTACGATGATGAGCCCTATGTCAGTCCCGAAAAGCCGCCAGTGTCGAAGAATTTCTACCGAAACGGGCGCATGTACAAATCAACGTACACATCGTCCAGTAGCGGCGCAGCAAATTACGCAGGTGGAGGTGCGGCGGCAGCCAGCAGCAATTATCCAGGTGATGGCGGCACGTCGTCCGGTGCAGAGCAGCTGCCGCCCGCAGGCTCGGGTGGAGGTGCACGCGCGATGTCGACGCGCCCGGGGCAGCCGCGCCGCATCTTCTCAGGCCGTGTAGCCGACAACGCGTGGATGCGTCGGCGACGAGACGATGAATAAGGCTGTACACAGCATCAGAATCTTCGATAGCGGTGGAGATGTGGGCAGAAATTTGATGACTAAAAGTGCCGAGTGCAAATATGCAAGTCGTTCGTTCCTTCGTAAAAAGATGTCTAGAGGAGAGAAATATGCTAACTAAGTAGTGGACGTAAATGGAAAAAGAATGACAACATCTCAGATCATTCTGGTACTGTGATTTACTCTCAAGCCTAACTATCGAATCCCTCCTTTGCCGAAATTCATATTTTTGATTTCACCTGTTGTTTGAGTAGTCGTACAACGTCTTTGATCCTAGCCGCTCAGAAACTAACTAAAAACTAACCCCAAAAAGCAGGATGGTGCTCTCAAACTTTTCTGTTGTTCATCTGAATGTATGTGCTATATTCTCAAACTACACGGAGGAAGAGTATAAAACACACTGGGATGGTTGTTGGCGGACGACTTCGCGTAGTTCCAGTTCAAGTATGTTTTTCGCCAGACGCTGTTGTCTTTGGCTAATAAATTGATTCATGGCATTCACAAAGTAAGAATGATTAAAGATAGGTTGTTCTGACTCATCTATTACGTAGCGCAACGAATGTGAAAGTGAAAGTGAACTTGTCAGTCACCGTGATGATATATTTATAGAAATTGCCGGTGGTTTTCTTTGTGAGTGAATATTTGTTGCGGCATAGAAGGTGGCAATCGGTATTCAGGATCAGGGGTACGTGAAGGGAACAACAGTTATGTATTTCGAAAGTTGTACAGAAACAATCTAATTCGAAAGTCGTGTACAAAGAGGTAAATGACAATGATCACAACAACATGAATATGCCGTGGAGTAAACACAAGACAGTGCTGTGAAGAGCACGAACGGAATGAACGCGGCACACGCAACAATAAGATGAAAATCACCGCCACATGAGTATTTCGACGTAGAAGTGCATATAAGCGGATGTAGCGGCTAAGGGGAGAATCCGTCGTCGAGTACAATAATTCATACGATTTGCGCAAATAGCTGTGACTAGATGAAGAAGACAGGAGGTACAAGGACAACTACAACTACTTATCGCTCATCTACAGGAGCTATGAGATGGAAATTCAAATCACTCGGAGAGTCAATGTGTTGTAGTTTCGCATTAGCCGTCGAAGTGCCGCCTGATGATATGAAAACTACGACAATTATGGGTCAACATTTTATTTCGATAGAAAAAGAAAATATTTCTATTTGAATTTGTGTATGAATTGTTTTTCAAGGCTCTGGCTCTAAATTTGAAAAATCTGATCTCGTCATATTCGCGCAGGAAAGTAGTTAATACAAATCTTTGTTCTACTATTTCAATTCAGATGAATGTTGAAAAGTTCAGGTTTCACTACAGTCATCGTTCTATCTCATAAGTAGATGAACGATCTGATGAATCTTCAATTTCAAGAACATTTTTTTTCGGGACAATAAACCTAAGGGTCTGCATCGCTTACGACAAGCTTCGTTCTTTATCATCACAGACAGCGTGCTTCTGCTTTCTGTGATCAATGATCATGACATTTGTCACTTTGCTCTTGAGTTAGTCTACTTTGGTTTGCCATCTGTTATATCATTGAGAGAGCCTCTCTCATTTTGAGAAAAACTATTCGAGCGATTCAAGCACCATGAATGTTAATAGATGTTCCAGGGCTCAGGGCTGAAGGCCTCCCCGATCTAACTTTTTGAGGGGGGGGGCCTCCAGCCCCGGGCCCCTTTTTCGAGGGGGTGCCGGGCGGGAAGGCCACGAAGCGCCCACCTCTGACCCCTTCCCGCTTCTTGCCTGGACCCTACAGCGCCACCATGCCGGAGGCCGTTGAAGCACTGAGTGGCGGACTTGGAAGGCTTCCGAATGTGGCAAAGGTGGCAAGGCGTGACCCCCTTGGCGTGTTGCATGTACCCGACCGACCTGCTTAAGGTCGCAAAGCTGGCCCCCCTTGGCGTGTTGCGTGTACCCTACAGACCTGGCGAAGGTGCGAAGAAAGGTGGCAAGGCTGGAGCCCCTTGGCGTGTTGCAATTACCCTAAAGACCTGGCGAAGGTGCAAAGGTGGCAAGGCTGGACCCCCTTGGCCTGTTGCGTGTGCCCTCCAGACCTTGGGGCGCCTCCCTTTTTTCGGCTCTTTTTGCCGTTCTCTTCCCCCACTGTGATACGCCAACGGCCGCCACGCCACGGGTGGGCGCTTCTCGTCGCTCGTTCTGCTCTCGTCCCTCGTTCTGTTCTCGTTCTTCTCTCGTTCCTCGTTCTGCTCTTGTTCTTCTCTCGTCCCTCGTTGCTCGTTCTTCTCTCGTTGCTCGTTCTTCTCTCGTCGCTCGTTCCTCTCTCGTCGCTCTTCCACCACTGTGCTGCGCCCCAGATCCATCCACAGGGGGGGGCTCCCTCCCTGGTACGTATATGAGTATTGCTCTCTCCATATTTTTCTACATAGTTGGTCCGTCGAGCTCTCGTTTTAGCCGTAGCGGAGGTCGTGAGTGGATTGTCATTTTTGCTTGTGAATCCCTTTGTTGTCCGCATTCTCTTTTTTGGGGATTCTTTTTACTTCAAATTCCTCGTTTATTTGAAGACAAAACCATGCTGCATGGTAACGATTATTCATTGTAGCGACAGGACTAGGACTAGAGGGAGACGATCCCCAGGCCCAGGGAAAAGAAACACTGCTAGCGCAGGAGGAGGTGGGAGCATGTGGTCGACGAACGACCTCCACACCCAGAGCGAAGCCAGATAGTGTTGATGTCGGGATGGGATCTCAACAATCTTGTCCAGATGAAAAGAGTCGGAGAGAGCAGGAAGGCGTTGAGGACGATGCTATGCCTACTATTCTTTAAGATGGACATGCAGACGAAATGTCATTTTTACTTGGTGGAACAAGATCTTCAACGAGCAGCAAAAGCAGCAACTATAACATTGGAGAAAAAACAAAAATGCCAACAACAAGAGACAGCACGGTGTCGGTTGGTGGTCGGCAGTCAAGGAGTATCTCAATTAGTAGAATGTTGACGACAAGTGTGCCTTTTCCAGCTGCCTCTCGTACAGGAAACACTCGAGCCGCAGAATTCCGCCGCCGATTTTTTCACTACCACGCACTCTTTATCTCTTGTCCTGTCATCTTTTGCGCGATCTACACCCTTGTGCGTGGTCTCGGACCTACCTGTATCTTCGACGCACAAGATATCCAGCGGCTTTATTCGAATCTACCGCGGTCGTCGGATGTTGACAACAATTCTCCTGGAGGTGTCGCGGCATCATACGATCGTAAATTTGGTATCCCGCTCTCTCCCTTTCGGACGACCATGATCGAGTTCTCTATTGGACTCCTTTGTCTCAAGTTGGGCTGTGGCTAGCTTCTCCAAGGCATCTCTGGCTCTCTATTCGTTGTCACGAAGAATCCACAGCAAGCAGAAGTGAACAACATTTTTTCATCTCCTACATTTGTCTTTTACGGAATAGCGGCTTGTGTGGTCACCTTAGTTATGATTCCCGTTGGTGTACTATCTTCCACCTAGTCGACAAAATCCAGACGAAATTCCAACAAGGCGTCTCCTAGCTCCATATCTTCCTTCGGTCTCTGGCTGGGCGATCTTTGCGCAGATGTGGAACAGCTATCATGCCTGGCGTGATCCTCAACGCCCAAAGGACTATCCCACTTTACTTCGAATCATAAGGCAACTCTGTCTTCAAAAAATCTATACATCAGCGGTCTGTGTGGGACTTAATATTTTCTTGGCCGTACGGGTAGCTAGTCTCCTACATGCTGCACGCGATGGAGACGTGGTCACCAGAAAAGAGAATGCTTGGACAACTCTGCATCTCATCGTTTTACTTCGGACTGTTTTTGCCAGGAGCAGGACGTGAGAAACTAAATAGCCGTGTCGTGATACCAAATCAAATCGTGTCACTACAAGACTTTGACCAACTACCTGACGAGATGACGAACGCAAACGCAAACAGAACAACTACTGCGAGGGCATTAGGTGGCGCTACAGCATCTACGTCAACTACTAGTACAAATTCTTGTAGTGCAAAAACAGGAAATGGAGTAGAGGCACAAATCAAGTCTGCAGCTGTTGTTCGTACGTCAACTACAACAACAAAGTGGCCGTGTTCAACATCGTCCGATGAACAGTAGAAGACGAACTCTGTTAGTATACAGTCGTCCATAGTACGCGGTCGACGAATTCTGAAGCACTATTGGACCTTAGCCTTCGAGTTGCTGCGATTCTTCTTGGGACGTGGCATTTTGCTTTCTCTCTCCTCCTTGGCGCTGGTACTGATTATCGTCGAAGACGTTTCGCATCATTTGTGGCATTTCGCGTTGCGACAGCACGAAAGCATGCTACTCTTCACAGTGAAAATGTTTCATCCGAAACTCGGTCACGAAACCATACCAGTTAAGTGGAAATGGATAAGCCGGATCTGCCACAAAACGGAGCGCTTTCTGAGTCCGTTTCGTTGCCTCGGACTCAATATCGCTTACGAAGAAGCGTTCGACTTTCGTGACTGCATGTTCACGACAGCGCAAAAAGATGCCTCCGGAAGCAGCGACTCAGCTACTGCGAACAAAAGTGGAAGCGACGATATACTTAGAAGAGCAGCAAGCACAGGCGTCAGCGCTGTTTAGCTACCAGTCCGCAGATTTTTATCCCGAAGAGTGCGACACTATGAGGCTTTCTTTCTCCAATGTCCGCATCATTCTTGCCCTTGCGAATATTCCACGGCGGTTGCTTCGATCGGTGTATTCGCGTCAGACTAGTGACGCTATAGCGACTACAGGTTTTCGCGTAATTCACAATAAGAGTCAAGAAACAGATGCTGCGTACGACAGCGATGTCGACGACAACGAATTTGATAACGAGAGCGAAGTCCGTTGCAACGCAAAAACAGAATAAGCCTTGACACGTTTTACACTCGCAACGACCTAAACGAAATTCTGCATGGGAATGATGTAGACGACGAAGAAGCTGCTACTCCTCCTCAAGCTAAAGGAAGAAGTTTGTCCATCTTTAGCAGGAGAAGTTGTAGTCTGATTACTGCTAGCTTGAGTATGGCGAGTGATAGAGTGAGTATGCGGAGCCGACGTCATCTGTTAACCACATTATTATCCGAAATGGTGCAACGAACTTCGCACGTCCCAGTGACGGAGACGGAACTGAAATTCTTCCGCGATTTTATCCTCTTTTACAGGCGCGAAAATTTCATCAAGTAATACTCATTCTTGCTTCTATAAATGGTTAAGGTTGTTGTCTAGAAGTTGAAGGTGTAGATTTGATCAGCGTGCTCGCCTACGTCTTCCGCTTCCAAACGTCCTCCTCCCTAGATACCGGCTTCGCGCCCTGGTCCGCATTATGGTTTCCGTTGTGCTTCTTATGCTTATGATATTGTGCCCTTTATATCTGGCGCGACGAATGTGTTTTACTACGCTGGTTTTCCGCAGGACGTACTCGACTCAACAGGGTCAGCGCTTATTACCTTCCCCGCGCTCCTATTGGCGAAAGGTGTGATTGAGTGGTACCTGATCACGTATAAACTCATGCTTTACAACGAGGAGCAAGTGTGTTAGCTCGCGCCGGGGCTCTTCCGCCAGGTTTGCGATTTCAAGTGCACTTGGAGGTGGTTTTACCGTAATGAAATGGGACAGTATATTGCTCTTGGCTGTCTTGGTGCGATGTGTTTTTTTACGATCTTTTTATACAGCATTCGGTGGAATCCCTTGAACCTGAAAGCTATTCAGGACGGATCCCGGTATGGAGAGGAGCTTACATGGGATCACATCTACAACATCTGTGGCAGTTTTTGAGCATGAAAGCAGGAGCCCTTTGAGTTACGTTCTACTTGTAGAAGATGCTACTATTTCTATTTTGATGCGCATGAGTATGGGAAAATTAGGAACCTTCGTCTAGGACTAAGAGGGACTTCTGAAAATCCTTGAGCACGAGAGCAGGACGTTGATGAGCCTTCGACCACTACTACAGCTTGATACAGCACGATCGACTGCTTGATGCTAGTATTTTCATTTTTGGCAATTTCACATTAAAAGATAATAAAAGGGCTTTATCCTTATAGACACATAGATTATAGATACATTGTCCTTCCAAATGCAAATAAGCTTCTCGAATGCATACTTCATCGAGATTGTCTTTGCTTTCTTGTTCTCCTAGGTTCCAATCTCTCATCATCTTTCAAATTTTGACTTGGTTTTCGATTCATTACTTAGGTAGAAGCTTGCTTATCTATCATTCCTATGCACTATGTTTCTGTCTTTGCATCAGATGGATGAATGGTGCAAGTTATTCTCTAAATGCATCTATGTAGTTTATCTGACTAGATACGTGCAAAGAGAAATGGAAAAGGCGGCTTTCCTCACGCCATAGTATGGCGCTCACCGACAACTATCTATGAGATGTTTGAGGTATAGCAACAATCTTGGTAAAAGACAATTGAAAATGCAAATGTACCATGAACATGATCCACGTATTGTATGATCAGCCAGCGTATGAGGAAAATTTAATAGTAAGAACCCTTAGCCTTACAGCATTCAAGTAGAATCTTTCCCTTTCCTTGAAGAAAGCAGATCATGTTGACGCATTACGCGTGCCTGTTCGTGTGACATAGAGGTGGACCATGAGTCAAGTTTTATGGTCATCTTCTTTTGAAACATTACATGACAGAGAGAAGCATTGTCCAAATGTCATTTCAGACGCTGTCCGTCGTCGTCTGTTATTGCTTTTTACAACAGAAAGAGATGGCCGAGCAGAAAGCTGATCGAGAAATTCGCGCAGCTCTAGCTGCTCTACCCTTTCTTTATTTATATCAGATGGTGTTGGTGGTCGTGGTCGATAATGAGAAAGCTCGGCTGTGGAGGTGGTCGGTTGTTGAGAGAAGATCTCGGCCACATTCTCTGATAGTTACGGTGGTGCACCTGCGCTTTGGTAATGCCTGCACTTCACCCCCGGCAGATCGGTACCTCCCTCCCTTGCCTGTCACGTGCCGAGCCTGAGTGTCCCTATGCATGCTGCACCTCACACCCAAGAAAAGCCGGCCCCGTACCTAGCCGTTGAACGAGAGAGTTGCTGTGGCCTTCTCTCAACCACCAGCGCTTCTGTAGAAACCAAAAAGGATCAGCAAAAAATCCGAGCAATGGCAACAGGTAAAAAATGAAGGAATGTGACAGCATAGAGGACGCCTCATTTTTAATTTGAATATTTGCCTTATTTACGTGTACTCCCTTTCCTTTTACGTAGAAGAATTTAAAACGACTAAGTTAGTCGCCCAGAGAAGCACGCATAGCAAAGAATTTCTTCTAGAACCCTGTAACGCGTATTCAAAACACGTACTTGTCCGTCTGGTACTAATACCCACACGAAAACCAAGAAGATGGCCCCTGCTTCAACAGCTACAAGTATGAATATCAAGATCGTGTTTGCAGGGAGTGCAAACGTTGGAAAAACAGCACTATTTCAGAAGTGGAAGACAAACGAGACCCTTGATGAAACAGAGGCGACGATCGGAATCGACTTTGAGAGACGAAAAATCCAAATACCGGCAGCCGGGGAAGGGTCAGATGTATTTAATTACATTTAAGAGGTTTGATTTTCATAGAAACAGAAGCAACGGTGTTCTGTTTGCAAGAATGCTAAAAATGCTCCTCTTTGACGATCGATGATATTCCTAAATCGACACTGCACAGCAAGGCATCGTGGGCCTCACTGTCTGGGACACCGCGGGTCAGGAAAAGTTTCGAAGTGTGAGCTCGCACCACTACCGCGGAACGCATGGTGCGCTTTTGGTGTACGACGTCAGTTTAGGCGAAAGCCTCGATGACCTACGACAAAAGTGGCAACGTGAGGTCGCCGATCATGCTGTGCCGAATGCCGCGATTGCGGTAGTGGCAAACAAGGCAGACCTGTTGGAAGATGAAATCTCCATTGGGAAATCCAATCTGCAGGAAGGTCTTAAGGCTGGCAGGGAATTTGCTGCACAGCAGAAATGCCTGTTCTTCGAGACAAGCAGCAAGTGGGATCGAGTTTACTTTGTTATGCCAGCCTGCCATTGTTGTAGCACTAATTTTTTTGGTTCCATACAAAAAAAATATACTCAGGCTCACGGGATCTGTTTCTTTACATCTATGTATTTTTTCAAGTTTGCTGCGTCTCTCTCTAATCCGCACCACACTTTCGCGAAGACGCTCGACTACGGCGAAGAGCGACTCTATCGATGCGGCATTGAGGTCGTTCTGCGCATCTTAGCGGAAGAGGTTTTAGCCGCGGAAAGAGCGGGAACTCTCATAACTAGCAGTCGCGGGCGTGGCAACATCGAATTGCTTCCGTTAACAAGCGTGGTCGGATGTAACGACGAGTTATTGAAAGCTTGCGCGTGCTGAAAAGATGTATTTTTCATGGGTCTTGAGGAAACAACATAGCTCACATCATTAGACGAGGTAGAAGAGGTCATCATACGTAGGTTGGCGTTTGGCGGGTATAATTTTTGTTTCGCTGCGCGCGCAATATATTTTATGGAGAGATGCATAGACAGAACTGGTGCTTGTGCATAGAGCAAAACACGCACACTCTCGAGTCATTTTGTTATGTTTCAGATTCTCCGGTGGGTCTAATACAAAAGATGATCCCCGGAAAAAGAAGATGATCCCCCAAACTGGACATAAGTCGATCTGTTCTCATGTGTTACGAAGACAGGATCAGAGAAAGAAAAAAAGCTGTTTGCCCCCTTTTCAGAAGATATGAAATTAATTTTTCCTATATATAAGATTGGGGCTGACGCACGCGCTTCTCGAGGCTGGAATACTGTCACTCCTGAAGTGCCGTCGATGTCGGACTCTTCCACGGCCCAAAAAAAAGAAGCTGAGCACTGTAAAATGACCAAGATAGCCAAAAAAAAATAAGAAAAAGCTACGGTCCAAAACACCTCTGAGCTTCAGTTATATCGACCAACCAAGGACAACAGTGGCATCTTTTGTCGAAGAGTGGCGAATCTCCTGTGGACGTATACCAACTGAAGCGTGAAGGGATCTGTTTTTCTTCCTTGGATGTCATCGCCCTTACAAGTGACGACCCCATCAAATTCTCTAGACGGCTAGATGACAGAAGAAAGTCGATCAAGCTAAGAGAAAGGCGACAGCAGACAAGAACTGTGGTTGGTTGGTTTTCCATCGGAGGCACTTTCCAACTGGTCGGCCTCACGAGTAGACACTAATAGCTACATAAGAGGCCCCATGACATGACATACTGTACAAAGTAAAAGCGGTCCCACATGCATCTGATAAGTGAACAGGCCAACGCCTAAACCACTAAGCCAACTACCCCCTTCTTGGGTGGGACCGGTCAAGTTTGCCGATGTCGGGTTCGTCGGTGGCTGCGTCTTGCAGACTTGGCTCATTCTGTGGCGGGTGTGTTCACTGGAGCGCGCTCAATCAGACGCCTCCCACCCTTTGGCCTCGATGCGTATTTTTGGACTCTGTCACTTTTTTTAGATATTACTGGGATTCGAACCCTAGGGAGTTTGATTGATATGCAGTTGGCTTAGTGGTTTAGGCGTTGGCCTGTTCACTTATCACTGTCGTCAGAGTAGAACTATAAATTGATAATGAAGATCGCCCGGAACACCTTACCTCATGCGTAGAAAAGGAGCAAGGTGCAGCTTGGATGTTGTCTGTTGTCGTGTTGCGCATGCACGAGTTGTTTTCTGCATGAGGGAGGACGTTTATTTCATGCACTGAATGAAAATGTAGATGAAAAGCAACAGCAATACGCCGGTGAGAGTTTGTTCAGCAACATCTTTCCGCATTGGGAAGAAATAGGGTAGTTTCTGACTGATTTTTTGACGGTCTTCAGAATAGAATAGTGTGATCTTCAGGGCGTCTTCCATGAGAAACAAACATCAACAAATCTATCATCAACTGCATCTATTTTGATTTCGCAGTTATCGCTCGCCTAGACGCTACCACTAATCCCGCACACGAATCCTGCACCTGCGCAGTATCGGCTCTAGTACCCCTGCACGACGAAAATGAACTGCTTTCTCGATGCTCGGAGCAAGATCTTCTATCTGGAAGGTCTAATTCTCGCTGAACAGCAGCATTTGGCAGTGACCACAGGAGACCGAGATCCTGATATTGCATTACAGAACGAGACGTGGCATAATGAGGAGCTGCGACAGCAATTGCTGATCGCAGAGACAGCGTTAGCGCGACTCGCGACAAAGGTAGCGGACGCAGAAGCCATGCGGGAGCAAAATCTTGCACATGTCGCACGTACGAGAGATCAAACAGCAATATTGGCTGATTATAAAGCATGGAGAAAGCAGAGGGGTGCTGGAGCCGGCGGAGGAGGTTTGGGTGGTAAAATGCAAGGTCTAGGACGTAGTGAAAAAGGCGTTGGAGGTGGTCGAGGAACGAAAGACAACACACCTTCACGCAACTCTCGGAACCATCAGAGTCGTGACCGAATCGGGGTTGGGCGAGGGAAGCAAGAAGATACCATATCGAAGCAACAGAAAAGAACGGCATCAACAGATGATCCTTCATACCATTGGATAATGCGCACAGGGAAGCCAGCTACGAATGCTGAAGAACCCGATTCCGCTGCAAAAAAGCGCTTTGCCCTACTTGGAAAACACTATCGATGAAACAAAACAACGGAAAGATATTTTGCCCGTCCTTTTTTCCTCCTCTCAGATCGCTTCTTCATCTGATTTATTCAGAATTTGTAGTCGAGAAAGCTTCTTCACCAGCTTGCATTCGAATGACTTTGAATCCACGGATGATGAACAAGGATGTACACAAACACCGCGCTGTGTGAAACGCTGCCACTGAAGCGATATGATAATCGATCCGCGATCAATCTTCTTTCAACTGTCTTCAGATCGTCCTTTGCTTGGTGCAACAAGGCTAGAAGATCCTTTGATGTCATGGTGCTCTTGGAAGCTTGACCTTGTTTTTAAGTTCAACAGATCATGATGAGCACGGGTGGATTGTTGGGTGATTATGGTCTCATAAAAACAGCTTCGAAGATCTGGGAACAAACGAAATATTTGACAATCCAGTATCAGACGCCTACTTGATAAAAAAGGTTCACTGTGGCAGGGGAGGCTTGGATGAATAAGTAGCATTTCAACATCGGGAAGATCTTCACGAATTCTAGATTGTTGAGGATGAGGAAGTGATCGTAGTTTCTTGATGAGATAAGTTCCAACGAAGTTATTCCTCATCATCTGAGTAAAAACAAGTCCTCCAAGTCAGAGTCAAAAGATGGACTCACAACCACAGAGCAAAAACGGTTCCTCGGCGCCCCTTTCCGACATAGGCGAGGAGACGCGAAAGGAGCGAAAAGAGCGACTGGACAAGCTGCATTTCGACAGATTCCGAGGATTTGTAGAGGACTTCGTTGCCCGTCTCAGGGCCCTCGAGTATGAGCTGACGCCTGTGCATTATGTCGAGGCGCGCTCGACACAAGTCCTTCTGGAACTAGAGAGCCTCCTTGCTGAATCACAGCAGAAGACATGGCAGCACGACAAACGTGGGAAGCACGGATTGCAAATCGAAAGCATTGCTGGTACTGTGCTCACAATGTTGGGACATAAAAGCGAGCAACCAAGAGGTTGTAAAAGTGGTGAAAGCGCTAAAGAGGTTAGGACGCAGCAAACGCCAAGACCTAGAACTAGAAGATCCGATGATATCGTGGTCGAGCTCGGAGCAGGTAAAGGCCTGCTTGGACAGGTTGTGTCAACATTAGGTGGAATGCCGCTCACTGTGGTCGAGAGGCGCGAAGTGAGAGGCGGCTTTGAGGGGGCCTCACACTTCGCTACTGCTCAGGATCAGGTTCCTGACTATTGTCCGCCTGTACTTGAAGCGGGTGTCAGCCAAGATGGCAACGTTGAAAAAGGAAAACTATTACTACTACAGAAGCGCGTTGAAAATATCAGTACACCTACTCGCCTATCCTCACCAGCGCTGAGCACATCAACGACAGCGTCCACGCAACCGGACGATCATGCGGAAGGTAAAAAACGAGGTGCACTAGAAGACGCAGATGTTGATACGCTTATTTCGGAAGATGAACGACAAGCACAGATGAAGGACATCATCCACGGCCTCAAAAATAGCACTCCTGGGTATGCTTCTACAACTCCACCTTCGCGGATAACAGCGGACATAGCGGATGTGGATTTAGACGCTGAAATACCAGGTGACAGGAAATTCGTAGTTCTCGCGAAACATTTCTGTGCCAACGCTTCGGATCTCGCGACGCGCCTAGCGGTTCGTCTTGTGCGCGACAATCGGTTGCGTATTTTTGCGTGCGCACCTTGTTGTCACCACCAGGGCTTGCTGTACAAGGATTTTAGGAGACACAAACAACAGGACAAGGAAAACTACGCCGGTAGTTCAGAAGAGCTTGATCGAGATCGTGCAGGAGAAGCAGATGTTGAACAAGTTGGAGATTACGATCTTGTGGATGTTGATCCAGAAGACGACACGGAGTTACCGCCAGAGGAGGAGGAGGAAACTCCAACACTAGAATCTGCTGCAAATAATGGACCTTCCAATACTGCTAGGACTACAGCCTCGAATGCTTTTTATTGTGGTCGATCTTTTTGGGAGGATGTCTGCGGATTCGGAGCGAAGCACTTCTCCTTAGCGAAGCAGCTGATCTATCTCAGCAAAATCCCGACTCTCCGAAGCAACACATGTAAGAGATGGAAATTGCGTGACATCTATCCCGATGTACGAGAGCTAAAAGCCCTGGGTCTGTTGGCACGACGCTTTCTGGAGGAGGGCAGGCTGAGACACCTTCGCGAAAGTATTCAGCAGATGAACAAGCAAAATCGCGACCACGACAACCACAATGCTGAAGATGAGGAACTCGATATTGGCGTGGTCCAATATTGTATGGAGTCTGTCACTCCGGACAACCTCTTGCTAGTTTGCGCCCCTCTCCGCAGTCTGAATGCTCTAGGGAAACTTCAACAGAGCGGAGACGAAGCCCAAGCGGATTCCTCGTCAACAACTACACTGGCTCAAAAGAGTGGAACAGCCGCAGAGGTAGCAACCCTCGGCGGCCACGGACTGCTGTGCACGCTTGTTGCAGAGGCCACTGTCGCGTGTCAACCTCAAAAAGTATGCGAATTCCTTCTCGAAAACAGGGCGCGGTTTTTCCCGTCAATTCTTGGCTGTCATATCTGCGATGCGCCACTACTATCCGACTTCGAAACTGTGAGGACAGAAGCCCAGAATCCGGACGATGAACGTAGTACTAACATCACCAAGGTACCGCAGACAAATCTGAAGAAAAAAAGTAAGGGACCATTGGGCACTGAGACGCGACAAGTGATCATATCTTCGAGAAGCATGCTCGAAACTGCGAAGGAACTCGCAGACTGCACTGTTCTTGCACCTCTAGTGGACAGGATTTTCCCACATAACAGCCAGTTTTCTGTGCACGCGTTAGAGGATACTGGCTCGGTGGCCGAACACGTGGGACTCCAAATGTGGCTGAAGCAAGCGGTACTAAGTGCGGCAGTAAATGGACATCGATCAAGAAATTCCGATGATAGTACAATACCCGTTTCGAGCAAAGCGACTAGCAACGCCAACGTTGAAGGAGAAAATTTCGTTGCAATCAAGTGTCTGGTGCAACCACGACGTTATCTGAAGGAAGTCTTGGACCTCGTCCTGGCTGCTATCGATGAAGCGAAAGACGAGTCAGAAGCTGAGGTTGTACTTGTGCCAGGTAGCAACTTCACACACACGCTGAGCTTCGCCGCTTGGCGAGGAGTAGATAGCGCTACGGAGATAGGTGTTTCGCTTCTTCCTCGAGATGCATACAACCCAAGTGCATTCTCACCTGACGGGCGAACGAAGAAAAAGGAGCAGAAGACCTGGTTCTTCAGAATGAAGGAACTGCAGATGCGTGCCGCTTCAACGACTGGGCATCCATTAGCGAAGCTCTTGTTAGAAGACAGCGTCAGCGACGTAACTACACTAGCAAGTAGCAACGAAGACAAACAGAAACAGTGCCGTCTACTCTACATCGGCGATGAGGGTGAGTGCTGCCAAATGAGAAATTCGCTGACAAATGAAACTACCCAGACTATGAAGCACGTTGAAGTGGAACACCGGACACACGCTGACTTCATTTCCGACTCAGGTCCATTTTCTGTCAATCTCCCTGACATGATTCTAGTCGACCTTGGCAAGCGCACGCAATGGCAGAAGCAGGGAGAAGCGATTGCATCTGTCAAAGCGCGATTGGAAGAATTCACAAAGAACTCAAAACAACTTTCCAGTTGTGGATCCACAGAGACAAGAGCAGATACTGTGTTCGGATTGAGTGCAATCCCGATTGTCGCTCGGGTCTTTGCCAATGATGTTTCCAAATTCGAGATTCGAAGGCACCTGAAACAGTGGTGCACAAATCTTGCTGCACTTGTCAAAGGAGCCTCCACAGTATCGCGCTTTGAAATTCTGCATTTATTGTCTGATGCCAAACTGGAGAGATCTCTTATTATGATTTGATTGCAGCACGAGATGGAGAACGCAACCCCATTTCCAAGAAAAGGTATATGACCTCCTCACGCAGTCGAATTGAGACAGAAAAGAATTTGATGATTTCATATCTGGGGTACTTCGGAGAAGGAGTGCAGTGACTCGTGATGATCAGTTTCGTCGGCGTGCGCGTGTTCCTACTACATAGTAGTTTCCGATCTCTGGTGTTGCGTCGCTCCTGTACTTTTCCAAGCGATGATGCTCATCAAGAAGCAAGCATTCCTGTAAACGTTTGCAACAGTCTGGAAGCACAACAAGTGAGATGGTTTCCGTTTCTCGACCGAATGAAATAGCGTGAAAGTAGTATTTTTGCGACGTCTGTCTACCCACTCTTCATTTCAAGCCAATTCTGGTACTGGCACATCAGGTCGACGAATTCAAATTTTTCGCACACTTGTTTTTTTTTTAGACGATCCTTCCTCTTCCATCTGAACTAACATGGGATTACTTGGATTAAGCGATCAACCAAACGAAACGTTTCTGATGATTTCGTAACGCACTCTGTTACTTTGTTGGATGTTGGCTTTTCCTTCTGCTCTTGATTGGAGCGGCGAAGGACCAGAAGACTAAATCTTTTCAGAAGTAACTATGAGAGATCCAGTGATTTGTGGCAGACGCAGAATACAACATTCTCTCTGGCATCAGGTGGAAGAGCGTTGGTGTGCACTAAAAAACTTAATGTGATGAATCAATTTTAGGCTTGGACAACGAATCAAGGCCAGCCAGGCAATTCTGAAAACATATTCATATTTTCTACAACACATAGCAAAAATGTTGTCGGACACGCGTTTTGCCTCAGCCACAGAAGTGGCTTCCGCAACCTCTAGCGACACTGTTTTTACCCAAGCAGCCACAGCCGAGGGCAAAGACTGGTCATGTCAACAACAGCCTCGTCATCGCAGGTCATTGAGGAGAAATCTATTAGTTACCGCAATGGCCTCCACTTGCTTGTTCGCGTCTACTCTTGTCACAGCACAGCAAGCATCGCAGGAAGAACTCGGCGCCAATGCTGAGCTTTACAACGAGTTTGAGGATGTTCTGGATGTTTCTTCAAAGAACGGTAATAAAACTAGTGAGGAAGTAGAGACAGAAACCGATTGGTCTCTGGCGGATAAGATGTCGTTGCAGCATTGCTTTTTGACGACTTCAGGGGGAGAAGACAACAAGGTAGACTCCAGCTGTTTCGAACGTGGGACTTTGCTTTTGTTGCCGACAGCAGCCAGGATCGAGGACGATCCGAACTTCGAGAAAATGCGAGACACCGAAAAACTTCGAACCTTGGTCGAAAGTTGTCAGTATTACTCTATTGAGCTCACACCCGCCCAAGAAGATGGAGCTGCGTCAACGTCGTCCAGTGTTAAAATGTCGTTGAAAACAAGCATCCCATGTTCGCTGCTTAACGTAGAAGATCAGCACGATAGCTTGGAGGTCAGTCTGACTTCGCGCGGAAAGGTCCTCGGCATCAACTACAGAACGCAACCGGCATGGGGCTTGAACCTTTTCGAGCACACGGCGGTACCTAGAAGTCCTTTTGACTTGCATAGAATTTCTCTTGAATGGCTTATAGATAGTAGATCCAGCAAGAATTTACAACGAAAAACTTGACTTCTGTGTAGTGTCCTTTTCTAATTCGCCAAACTCCACTCATTTGAAACAGGTACGTCTCAACAAAGGCTTGGCCGCGCCCGCACCCGTTATCCCACCGAGACCAGTAATTAAGGAAGGAGAACAAGAGCAACTACAAGACAACAGTATTTTTGGCATGTTGCGCCGATACTGGTGGGTTATTCTCATCGTTTTCGTCATAATGAATGTGATGGGTGGAATGGAGGACCCTGGTAAGTGATGGAAATATGCGTCGCTGTGAAGGGAGGTGGCCACGATCTTCAGAAGAACAATATTATGTCTTGTGCTAGGGCCTGGCGTGCGTAGCGACATAGTCTGCTCACATGTAAACTCCCGACCTGTTGCACTAACGTTGTTTGCTCCCCTGCATGACAACCAAACTGGATTTACCCATCATCACCCAGTCAGGAATTCTTATGATTCCACTCTAGATGAGTTTAATGAATATCCCCCTCTGCTCCGCTTGACTCAAAGAGCCAACTCTTCACATTTTGCAGTTACTCCGCTTGATGTACAACTTGGGAACGCATTCCTTTTCGCTTGAAATTGGGTTCAATTCAAAGTTTGTGTTCACCCAAGCCGAATTCAGAAAAACTAATCGTAAAGAATCAATGAGTATCCAGATGTTTTCCTATGTATCGCTCAAAAGAAACTTCGGAGTCATCAAAGGAGAAAGACGAAGGAGTTTCAAGGAGCTAATCTGATCGAATACGAGTGCAAAAGAAGAAGTTGAAGCCTCAGAAACACTAGACAAGAACAAAGAGCTGGTATTGAATTTGCAGAATATAAGATGATAAAAAAAGCTGGAGGCAGTTGGATTGTGATTGACTTGTTCTAGCGTTTACGCGTGAAAAGACAAAATTGAAATGATGCTTCTAGTTGAGATGACTAAAGCAAGGAATGACATCAAGTGGTATAAACTACAAACTACAGTAAGCATAGTCGCTAACTGAGTGGACAACTACGATGAGATTGCTCACTATCATGATTCTCGATCTTGATTGATAGAAGTAGTTGTTCCTCTAGTACAGTGAACTTAGAGACATTTTGAGGTTTTCGTTCTAATTGATATTGACCGATTTGCCACTAGCACGCCTCCTCGTCCACGTCCATTTGGTGACTCTCAGTGAAAAGAATCGAAGGACTTCCGTCAAAGAAAAACTACTTATATATAAATATGAGGCGCATTTTTATCGCATCAACTGAGTTCGCGTGTATGCGCATAGTTGCTGCCTACCATTGCCATGATTGGTGAAGAAACGGTATTCGAGCTTGATATAGACAGGAGATACGGTTGCAACCTCTGCAGCTGACTGCCATTGCCATAATTGCTGACGAGACGATATTCGATCTTGATACAGACAGATACGGTTGCAACCTCCGCGGCCGCGCACCAAGATGCCGGAGCAGGAGGGCGTAAGCAGCGTGTACAAGGTCCGTATGGACACCACGATCCCCAAGCTGCTCGTCAAGGTGAGCCCTCAAGACGCGCAAGCCTTCGGCATCAAAAATCTTGGCGAAGTGTCGCTGCGAAAGCTGGGGGGGGCGGCTTTTTCAAGTATTAAGGCAGCAAACACAAAGACATCAACAAAAAGTATGTACAATCAAATCGAGATCAAAGAACTGGAGCAGCTGCAGCTGTTGTTCTGACATAATAATACTTAGTTAAGTGAGTTAATGAGCTTGGGCTCAGCATTTGTTCGGTCTTCTACAATTTGGACTCGTGATAGTTGTCGATCTCTATCTCGTTTTTAGTCATGTTAGTTTCTAAGAGCTGCGCAAATGGCGGTGCGAGTTCCGGTGTCTCACTTCTTAGTTCGGCTCTGCGAGACCGCGTCGCAGTCGTGAACATTTCCAATACCGTCGCTGGAGGCGAGATCCTCATGTCTGTCAAACTGGCAGAAATGCTTGAGGTCGACGAAGAGCAGTCGGTGGATATGGTTCCTATGCTGCGCAGCAGTACTTCCACCGGCAACGCAGTCAGCGCCCTTGCTGGCGGATCTTCCGCATCGACTTCTAGCCTCAATAACTACAGCGACCGCGAGAGAGATAGGGCTACATGTACTTCAATAAATAAGTCTTTAAAATCAAGAATAGGAGGCAGTAGCTCGTCCTTTCGGACGGGTCGTTTGGACTCCGCCCAGGACTATGATTTTCTCGGCGCAGGAGGGTCATCGAGTCGAGGGAGTGGAGCCGCGGCCAGCAGGCGTGAGAGCGCGGATTTGATGGAGCATGCGACGAAGCTCAGGTCAATGCTGAACGAAGCGCTCTCCTCTTCCTCAGCAAAGATTGAACAGAAAACCTCTGGAGGCGCAAGCGCGAGAGGGTACACGCTTACTAGTCATGTAAGTAGTGATGATGAGGTGTCCCAGCTTTATTTGAGTGTGCGTGGGAGATTAAATTTAAATGAATGCGATAAAATAAAGTGAGTGGCCCAGGTGCGGTTGAAAGATCATCTTCAGATAGCTTCGAGCTTGATGTTGGATCGTTGTCTATTAGGAGACCAAGACCGTAGACAGTTACATTAATATTCATACTCACAGATCCGCTGGTGCCTCCACATTCTCAAAACGAGTTAGCCTGTCCGACGGATCGTCAGAAGGTGCCGGATCAGATGATGGCCTTCTCGGATTCTTGCATTCCGGTTACCACAAAGCAAAACGGCTCTACACGCCCAAAGAAGACGTGCGTGATGCTGCTTCTCATATTCTGGATGAGAGTGGTGACTTTCCTGGTTTCATGCAGTACACAAATAGTGCCTTTGCTTCGTCAAGAGCAAATGGTGGCGGACAAGGCGGCACCAGTTCTGCTCGTCCGTACCTATTTCCGATGAAGAATCACGGGCCAAAAACATCCTCTAGTACAACAGCTGCGACTAGTGCGTCGTCGTCCTCATCCTCAATGTACAGCTCCGGCACTAGCGCTGGTGGTCAGGGGAGCAGCCACGCGGCGCCGGATTTTTCGTCTTCACCTGGCGGTAGTTCTTCGCTGCCATATAGTGGGACTTCAACAGCTTCGCACTTCAGCAGTCGAAATCGAAAAGCTGGTGTGGACCTCTTACGCATGAACAGCATCTCGTCTGCAGGCAGTAGAGCGAGAGAGCACATTATGATGAAGAGCGCGTCGTCTCTGAAAGACCCGCCGGCGTCATCTCAGTCCGATGAAGATGACGAGGAGATGCTCATGGCCAATCGCAAGCTTTTAGAAGCTTTGCGCGAGGGCTGTACTAGTTCGCCACCGACACAATCCCGTGGTGGGCTCGCTGGAGGCAGACTGCAGGAGCGCGCTTCCCCGATCAAACGAGTGCTCAGCAGTCTCAACAAGGCCTCGGATTTTCTCGAGGAGCGAGACGACGCATCAGAAATAGGAGCTGAGGCCCGCTCTTCTGCGACAACAAAGATGCCGCGCATTAGTCTGGACTTCGATGCTGGTCGCAGAGGTTCATCATCTTCGAACAAGCCGTCGCCGGATGACGATAGTAGTGCTGCTCGCGACGGCGACAGAGCTACGATCTTTCCTTGGCATCGCTCATCGTTTTCAGCTGGTAGCAGCAGTGCTAGAGGGGGAGGCCAACAGGACAGTGAGCCGCCGCTGTCGTCCCGCAACGCGTTTTCGAAACTCAGTACTCCTGACGAGGATGTCGGCAATTCGGTTCGAAGACCACCTCTCGTAAACCCCTTTGAGCGCTACTCAGCTACGCAGTTCGGGAGTAGTCCAGTTGACATCGATCGCGCGACGGCGAGGCTTGAAACCGATTCGGCGCGGCGCAAGCTGAATTCGTTCCGCACGACAACCCACTACGATTCCGATACACATCCTGCAGTACAGCGCTACAAAACAAGCTTCTCAGGAGGAAGGTCGACTTCTTCATCTTCATCAGCGAATCCTTTCAGTTCCGATTTTTTGCACTCATCTCGAAGCGGTCCTTCGTCGGCGCTGCAGCGAGAGCGTGAGATCTTCTTCGAGGCAATTTCAGCTTCTGGTAACTCAGAAACAGGAGAACGGGAGAACGGAAAGAGCTCTTCCAAGACTAGCGTCTTTGACATGAAAACCTCCGATGAACACGAAGAGGACGCCACTGCAACGAGAAGGCATGAAGATACCGATGTGGATGCACTTCTGCGTGAAAGTGCGGAGCGACAACGCGAGTCACTCCGGCGTCTGCAGGAGACAAACGACCGAATTATGCGGGCACGCCGTGAAATGGATGGCTGGCTCAATCGAGAGGAGTGCCGGAGCTCAGGCTCGTCTGAAACCAAGGATGGTCTAGTAAGCGACCCGCCTGCGAAGACAACCAAGGAACAAGATCGCGACGTCGAAAAGACGAGCAAGTACAAATCTGCCCAAAGTTTTTTGCTTTTTGGTGGACTCCGAAGTTCACTCCCGGGCTCCTCCTCGTCCGACGACGATGTGGGAGATGGCGCAGATGACTCGGAATATGACGACGAAGACGACACTGAGGGCGACGAGGACGGACTCGAGGACATCCTGACTCGGCACGGCATATCTTCCAAGGACTTGCTTAAGTTGCGGAAGAGCAAGAGTAGTCGGTTCGGGAGCAAGTCAAAGTCGACTTCATCCAAAGCGTCGACTAGTGGCCGGAACAGACTGGAAAGCGATGTGAAGCTGACCGATTCGTCGTTTGGTAGAAGTGAGAGCAAGGTTGACCACAGAAACCAAGAAGAAAAACCTAGTACCACAACGAGCAGTTATCTATCGGCATCTTATAGTCGTGCGATGAGGGATGCAGGTCTTTCATCATCAGGATCCCCTCTTTACAACGATGGCCCCTCTGCTGGAAGCGCTTCATCTCAGCCGCGAACTTTACTTCAGGGAACTCCACCGGAATTGGAGGAAGACTTTGATGTAGGATCTGCGACGTCATGGAGGACACGAGCTAGCGTGCCGGATTACGAGGAGAAAGAGCCGACAATAACCGATCGTAGTCGCTACATCTTCACCGATCAGCGGAGCGCTCGAGGCGAAAATGCAGAGAAGGTTAACCGTGGAACTCCAGAGGAGCGCTCTTTCTCACGATCAGGTAGCAAGAACAGTGAGAAGAATGCTGCCTCCTCGAGAATGGAACGCGAACGGAGCAAAGAAAGCCTGAAGAGTGAAAATCAAAGTGACGATCCCCTGTTAGATACGGTACGACTGCCTACTGCTACTTCCTCCAAATCGAAAACGGCTCGCTCTCCTGATGCGACCGAGGACGAAGAGGATGTGACGCAAACAGAGGAATGGTTGCTAAAATTCCTACGTGGAGCGAGTCGTCGTGATGGATCCACCGCACAACAGGACGAGAAGAAAGGGGACGAGGCAGACCTTGAGGACCTTCCCTCCAAGAGGTATGCGCGCGAAGCAGACGCACGGAAACGAGAGTTCGCTTCGATGTTGTTGGATCCAGGTGGGGCACGTGGGACGAACACCACCGGACAGGAAAACCCCAGCGCTGGAAAAAGCAGAGACGAGAGGAAGTACGTTAGTCCTGATGATTCTGCAGCAAACGCACGCGACTTTCTAGCCGCCTTCAAAGAGCGACTTAACGACTCCAACAACGACACTTCGTCTAGCGAAAGCTCCGAGCCTGAAAATGATGATCCGGACGAAGATGATGCCGAGTTTCTGAAAAGGAGGCTTGCGGAGACAGTGAACAGTGACTTGCTCTTCGGAACATCGTCATCTTCTAGGACCACATCAAAGAAGAACAGTAAAGGTTCCTTACGTGGTAGAACATGTCCTCCGGAGGGCTATGTTGATCGCACTAGAAGTCGTGACGGCTTGCGTTCTCCTACTGGTGCAAGCGGATCCGGTAAAATCAGTGATGACGAGGATTATAGACCTCTACCGGGATCGGGCTTTCGCCCATCAGCGAGGAAGATCTTTGGCAATAAAGGACCTGCAGGCGAGAGTCCTCGCCACGATTTATCGTCATCTTCTAGTGAGGATGATTTGGACCTGATGCTTGGTAGAGGTGATGCAAAAAGTCGTCTACGACGAGATGATGCGGATGGTAGCAGCAAAAAAAAGTCGAAAAGGCTGTCAAAAAGCTCCACTTCGTCGACCTCTTCCCGTGAGGATCTGCTAAACAAAATCGAGGAACATCTGCGCTCGTGCTCATCGAAGGAGCCCTCGCGACACAGTAGTAAGAAAGGCGGGACAACGACATGGCGTGCCGAGTACAGGCAGGGCTCACAGCAGTCCTCCACCTCGCCTCTTTCTGACGACAACGACGAAGACGTGACCCTGCGTCACAAATACAAGCGAAAGTTGCCGCTTGGTAAAGGCAGCGACTCCTCTCTTTCATCTGATGATGAGCAAGCACCCAGTGACTCCGACGACGAAAATAATCGGCAAGATTCCCCTACGCCGCGTTCCCCAGGAGGACAATCGGACGATGCAAGCCCCGCGAAGGAGATGACATTTGAGCAGTTCGTTTATGAAAAAAAGACTGCGCAAGCCGCGTCAGCAGCAAGCACCAATGTGCCGTCCGCCAGTGCGAGTGCGTCTGCCTCGTTTTCAGCATCGCCAGGGGATGACACCGAGAGCGCACCAGGCAGTGGAGGGAAAGCAACGGCAGGCATAGATCCGCGGGCATCGCCTGAACCGGCTGCAGCCAGGCTCCTCGGAAGTGACGCCAAGAAAGAGAATGGAGTCGGAGCCGAGACGGGGAAGAATGCTGCGCCGCCGGATAAAAGCGGAGGCCCGCGTGCGTCTGTCGCTAGTGCGCGCTTCAGCGTATCTTCGGAGCCAAGCAACATATCAAAGATGGGCCGTACATCATCCATGCGAACGTCAGTTCAACAACCGATTCCTTCGCATTTTGATTTGACTCGGTGTCAGATAGTCCCAGCTCGTCGGTCCTCCGTAGTTGACGCTGCAGCAGATAAAAATCCTATGAACAGGAACAAAATGGACACGCTGAGCCTGAACTTGAACCAGCACGAGAACGGAATGTTTTTGCAGTATGTTTCTGCAAAGATAGAGCGCTTTGCGTCTGTTTCGTCCGTGCTGGTAAGTGGTAGCTTTGCGACTTCGTCTTCATCCTCAAATGCCACTCCTGTTCCAGAGGCAGCTTCGTCTGCCTCGTCATCCGTTGGTGCTGCGGCAGGAGACTCAGGTTCAGGAGACACGTCGAAAACTGCCTTCGTCAACGGCTACGATGATCCGAATAAGGGCGACGCTGTAGCGGGGAACGACAAATTGAACGGCAACAATATCAAACTTCATCTGAACAAGCGAGCCTTGATTCCACGCTCGTGGCGTCCGATGCGCAAAGATTCGCGGCTGATGCTAGATACGAGTGAGCTAGGCCAGCAGGTGACTGCTGAAATTAGCAAGTGGTTCACCCAGGAAGTCAGTGGGCGACACGTTTCTTACTTCCTCTGCGACAAGGCCTCGCTGTTGTTCACACACCGTCTGACAGGAGAAGGCGGAAAAAAAGGCGTCACCGGCGGCCCACTCGGTGCGGTCTGCGGCGGCCACACTGATCAAGCGCAGATTTTGCATCGCGAGGTGTTTTCGAAAAGCCCCAAGGAAGCTGTACGCATGGCATTCGATTTTTTTGGCTTTCCAGATCGCAAACGCCGCGGTGACTGGTCTATTTACTCTGCATCTGAGGTCTCACTTGCCTATCGCAAAGCCTGCCTCAAAGCGCATCGAGAGGCCGGCGCAGACTCTCAAATCCGAATTCAAGCGATGCTCGAAATCATCCGCGCGTTTGCCTACAGGGATATACAGCCAAAGGGCCAGAAAAATGACCTCCTCTTCTCGGACAAACTGGTCTCGCACGAAATCGGACGATCAACTGGAGAGGTACGACATTTATCTGTATTGTGATTAAGCGATGATGGGCACAAGAAGTTGTATCAAGGGCGATCTACCTACATACATATAAGCAGATTTTCACGAAAGTGCTCGAATCTACTTGTTGCTCATTTCTGGCATTTTTACGTACTCTTATTTCTAGATTATCTACTTACCAAAAGCAAAATTCCATGAACAAACGCCAGGTGGAGAAGATTGCGAAAGAGATGGGTTTAGAGGACTTGGAAAAGTTGAATAAGCAGTTTGACGAGTACATCTTACGGCAAATGAGGTTTAAGTCTGAAGTGATCGATGAAATTGCGCGTCTACACGAAAATGCTGCTTATGCTATTTTGGGTGTGGACATGGATGCGACGGACGACGAAATAAAAAAAGCTTACCGTCAAACGGCCATGTACTGTCACCCGGACAAGGGTGGTGATAAAGCAGATTTCCAGGAGCTCAATAACGCCTACGAGAAAATCATTAGCCAGCGTGAAGGCAAGAAGAAGGAAGACGAAGAACAAAGACGCGCTAGTCAGCAAGAAGACTCCGGTAATGACGGCGGTGGATTATTCGGTTCGGAGAAGAAGAACTCTGGCCCCGGCGAAGGGTCGGCAAAAGGCGAGAAGGACGGCGAGAAAAGCGCACACTCGGACGAAAAGAAGGGTGACAAAGAGGAGACTGGAGCAGACGAGGACAAGAAAGAAGAGGGAGGCGGTGACAACAAAAAAGAGGTTGGCGGAACTGCAGACTTGTTGGCGAAAGTTGGTATTCAAATTTTTTGTTGTAGCAGAGTTTTTTTGAATGAGTAGATGTAGAAGTTTTTGTTGCTGCACCAGCTGTCTTGCGAATCGTATGTCTGAAAGTGAAACTGTGTGCTCGAGTAGAAGCTCTGACATCACTCTTCAGCCATATCCCAAAATTCGCTCCCGACATAACTCACAGCCAAAGCAGCCGACGAGGGTAGTCGTTTCGCAAACACGGCAGCAGAATTCGCGCAGCAAGTTGCGGAGGCAGCTAAAACTGCAAAAAAGAGCAGTGAAGACCCGACGCAGGACTCCTTGACGAAATCTATTGCGCACTCAGCTATAGTGCTAACCCTTACAGTTGTCAAGGCCGTACGAGTAGTGGGGTATGCAAGCTTGGACGCTGCTAGCCACGCATTGCAGGCAAGCAAAAACGCGACAGAACAAGACGGCCCTGGACAGCCTGGATGTGCGGCTGCGGCGGCAGGAGCAATGTCAGCAGGATTCGAAGCTTTGAATGCTGCGTCATCTTGTGCGCAGGCAACAGAGGAAGCTGCGGGAGAACTGCAGACGGCCGTTGCTGCGGAAGTGTGCGACGCAGCGAGTCTTTCCGCGGCCGCCGAAAAAGCAGCGCAGGCGGCTTCTATTGCAGCCAATGCGGCCATTCAGGCAGCTATCGCCGCTGCTGAAGCCGCTAAGCAAACAGGAAAGGTCGCCGAAGCAGAATTAGAAGCAAAAAAAGGCGCAGCCGACGGAAAGAAGGGCAGGACAGAAGGTGGCGACGGTGAAGAGGGTAATTGTGGAGATGGCGAAAAAGACGGTGCAAAAGATGAAGAGGGTGAAGATGGCAAAAAGAAAAGCAGCAAAGGTATCTTCTCGTTTTGTGAACGAGGTTGAAGCATTATAAATATATTGAAATCAGACTCATTGTCATGTTGTAGCACGCGGCGAAGATATCACGATCACTCTCGTCACTCTCTCTCTCTCTCTCTCTCTCTCTCTCAGATGCATCTGCCGCCGATGATGGTGACGAAGACAATAGAAGTAAAGCTGATGATCTGTTTGGTAAAAACGCTGCCGCGACCGAGGCGGAGGATCCTCGAGACCGGCGCGTCTTGCAGCGTGTGAACAACCACAAGCTTCTCCAGAGACTTAATGCAGAGATTCTGACGTATCAGTCAAATATCAAGCAGTTTCTCGCCTCCAACCGGAAGCTGATTCCGCCAGTCCGAGGTGAGCACAAAGTACATACATTCGAGCTCGTTACCGACTACCTGGTCACCGCGCGCAAGAAAATAGCGAAGTTCGCGGAACAGCTGTCGTATACGGAGATTCTCAATCGCATGGCAGACATTCCGCTTTTGGCACCGATGTTCATGCCGCAGAACCTGGCAATCAGTGTCAACTCGGAAACGCGAGTTTTACGGATGGCAGCAATTCTGGATACGGAACTGTTGAAACGCATGCTCGACGAACATTTATTCTGCTTTCTTACCGCCTTGTTCTCAAATGCCGACTCGTACTTCGTCGAACGCGTAGAAAAGGTCCGCAAAAAAGTCTTCGACGAAATTGGGAACATCGTGGCTTTGGACTGAGAAGCCCGTCTCGTCCTGAAACACAAAGATGTTTAAGGAGTTTTGGATTCATTTGTTCTTTATGACGAAGTGCAGAAAAAAGTAGTTTATCGCGAGGACGTCGAGGTGGGAAGTATGATCGGAATGTGCCACTTCGCGCGAAGCAAGTGAATATGGATACAAGTGCTGGTATGCTACTGCATGACAGTGGCAGTGGGTTGAATTTCGGAGCGATTTTCACGAATTCATTTTCTGTAGATTTTTGCATGTCATCTTCAGGACACAACACGATAGCACTTGCCCCTTGTGTCTGTGAAACATACTGGCAAAGCATCAAGCGTGACTCAATTATTGTGTTTGGCTCACCCTGTCTTGGGTATCCTCCGTATTCTGCTGAATCTTTTTGTTGATCTTGTTCCGGTTTCAGTTTTTGAAGATTGGCTTGTGAATACAGTAACGACGAACCGAACCCGTTGACTGCCGATTTTGGGACAGGCGGACTTGTCGCGCGTCTCTCTCTTTATTTTTGAGTCCCATGATCTAGCGTTGCTCTTGTTTGTGCGAGGGAAGAGAGAAATGTCAAGTTTTCCACCCAGTGTGTGCACACTGTCCGAAGAGTAACGCTCAGTGCTAACAGAAACACAGAGACAGAGAGAATACCAAAACCAATCACGAGAGAGTATTTGGTAGGCTTCAGAGAAGGTGAAGTCGAGCTGCTTTCTTTCCCACGAACTATTGACTTTCAACACAGATTCCTTCTTCAACAGGACAGATCCTTCTAACACTTGTTGTTTCCCCCTCCGACCCTCGACTCCACGCCTGCCCTCTATCGCTCCAGTCATGAAAATAGAGTTCCACGAGACGAAATGGAATTGGATCGGCATTCAATGGAAAAGGGGCGGGCTTTTGCTTTTCTTAGTTCCCCTTTGTAAACCGCCACTCGTGTATAGGCCAAGCAAGACCCAATCAATATGGCCGGCGGTGAGCCCCAAGCGTCCTCTTCTATGGAGGACGTACTGACTTTGCGCTTCAAAGTCAATCGCTTCGGAACAGAGGCGACCACGACCTTCCACATTCCAAGGTACCTCACGATTGCTTATGGCTCAACTTTCATTGGTCACCATTTCGATTGGGGTCACTGACACCAAAGAGGAGGCACCCTGAGAGAACATGAACAGGGGAAAGCAAAGGGAAAACAAGAACGTAGAGAGGTACTTATGGGGCCCTTCCCGTTCAGAATCAGTTACCAATGACTGCTTCCCTTTAAATTGCTGAGATCCGTGCTTATGGTGAGGCTTTTTCTATCTCCTGTCTCGGCATCTTGGTCCCCTTTTCCCTTGTATTTCATGGGAAAGGGGTCCAGATGATGGGACCGAGAGGAATAAAAGCCCACTCTAACGCGCAAACTTCTTTTCCGCGGAACTCGAGGAAAACTTGAAAGTGCGACTGTTCTACTCGGGAAAGTACCTTTCCGATGACAACTGCACCCTCCAACACTACGAGGTTCCTGATGGAAGCTGCGTCCACTGCTTCATAACAAAATCCTTGCAGCCGCAGAACGAAACTGGCACCGCGTCTGCCAGCGCACCTGGGGTTGGTGACACAGAGACTGCAGCAACAGCTGGTAAGACCCAAGGGGCCTGTTCGATGATATTTAGATTTTTTTCGATAGACATCAGGAGATTATGAATTATATACATAGTACTATTCCTATTGATATCGACGTGCACGTGTGCGTGTCGGTGTCAGTCGTAGGTGTCAATGTCAGTCGTGTACTTGTTGTAGAAGATACGTCCTCAAGTAAGTGCCTCGTTGTGGTAGTCGTGTAGTTGTAGTAGAAGATACGTCCTCGACTAAGTGCGTCGACGCTGTGCTGTGAGTTTTTCGAAGTAGTAAAGTTTCTTCTTTTTAAACGAATTCACAGTGGGTTCGAATGGAGGAAACGTGCGCACGACTGTACAAATTGGCGGTCGCGTTTTTCACATCGGAGGCTTTGCTGGCGAAAGAGAAGCGCCTGCAGGCGAAGGGCAGCAGCAACAGCCAACACGGCACTGGCTGCTCGAACGGTTCCCGTTGGCAGCATTCCTTCAAAATAACCCTGCAGCGGATTCGCTGTCTCAAGGCGGTGCGAATCCGACGGACCCGTCCGATGCTACAGACGGAAGTGCGGCAGCAACGCCCGCTGCGACACGAGCGGGCACATTCACATCGTCTTCGAGTAGTGGTCCTCGGTACGTTATAGTCGGTGGAACTTCGTCCTCTGCGGCTGGCGGCGCAGGCAATGTCGTCGTGGGCAGGCCAGTTAGCGGTCAACCTGGTCTAGGCACAAGTAATGGCACCAGACCATCGGAAGGTGCTGGCGAGGATGGTACGACCCAGGATCACGTTGTTCTGGATATGTCTTCGGCGAATAGTACAAGACCAGGTTCGCGCTCACCAACCCGATCGGGACGTCCTACGATATCACGAGCCGAACTGATATCCACTACAGAAGCTCCCTTGCCAGCGGGCGCGAATTCGCTCAGGCCCCCAGCGGGACAAGTGATGGGACTCCCGAGGAGAGCTTTTAGCTCCTTCATAGAACAAATGAACCAGGAGCAGGACTTCTCGAATGCACCAGAAGAATGTACTACTTTTTACAAGTATATGTATAGTATACTTATACCTCCTACTTCTTATACTTATACCTCCTACTTCTTCTTGTTCAGTAGAAGTAAATTGTTTGTTTTCCCTGCTCGCTAGACAGTTTCAGTTGCACAGTTGGAAGTAGATGACCATTTATTTTTCTTTATTGTATAGATACATGCCCAGAAAGCGGGCCCATCAAGGGCCCGCTGCGCTGGGCATAGGTTAGGAACTACCTAGACAGATAAGCCAAAGAAGCGGAGGAGAAAGTCGCTACGTCACCAAGCTAGCGACGCGCGCGACTTTGTTAGTTTCGACGGACAGCGTGCATCCGCGTTCGAGTAAATCTGTGCGGCTACTATCTGTCGCTTCCTTGTGTATTTTTTCCAGGAATGCCGTGGAGGTCACGCAAATTCATAAGAATTCGCGTGGCCTCCACGAGAATCCAGCAAAAAAGCGGGGACAAGGTGGCTCCGAATGAGCCAGCCTACAACTAGCCATGGCTAAGCTAGGAAGCTGGCAGTCGCTGTGGCTAGGCGAGCAAGCTGGCTACCGTTATGGCTAAGCTAGGTAGCAGGCTGGCGCGGCCATGGCTAAGCTAGCAAGCTGGCGATGGCCAACCAAGCTAGCAAGCTGGTGATGACTAAGCTAGCAGGCTGGCCTTTAAGGAGGCGCCTAGTATTAGCCTAGGTCTATTACAAGTGCCCCTCAAGGGGCTCCCTTAGGGAGCATCTTTGGTCCTGAAGCTTGCCCTTGCGGAATATCATTTTATAATAGTAATAGTAATATAAATATATTTCTTAAGGAATGCCATTCCCTGAAGGAAACCTCTTAAGGGAGGCGTCTAAAAAGAGTTTCAGGAAACTTGCGCATGCTATGTATAAATACTAATAAATATGAGTACACCTAAAACTTTTTCCTACTTAGGACAGCTCCACCACGAATTTAATGTTGTATGTGAATACAACGAAAACTACATTTTGCCGTCTTCCTTTTGCTGGTTGCCTAAGCATATCTTGACTTCTCTTGTCCTCGCCCAAATTTTTCAGGTCGCATGGGAATTCATAGAGACATGATGACGATTTGGCCGACGCTTCCCGGACTGCTTTGCGCCTTCTGTTTCTACCCCTATGGGCTGTGCTGCTGTTTCCTGCATAAAGTTCGAAGATGTCCGCGGTGCGGATACACGGTTCATTCATGCTAATAACATCTTGGAGTGGCTTATTCATGTGCCCTTATTCCACATATTGTAAACTATGTACTACATATTTGAGTGGTAGCTGCCTAAACGCATGATTTTCTCGCATAGTCTAGCGCCCTTCCACGGGAAAACGAAAATGGACAGTCAATTGTGCTGTTCTTTGACGAAACTATGACAGTACAAAATGTTATTCTCTCTCGGTCGTGCAGTTTTGAGAGAGAAGCCATCATTTACCAAGCCGCTTCGGTTGAGGCCTGTATAGCAAAAGAATCCTAGAGATGCGCCTGTATGAGCGGTCGCTGTCGGTGGGATCGGAGGGATTTCAAAGAAAGTCTCCGAAGATTAATAGCGTCGGAATAACAAATATTTACTTGCATGCAAATCTGTTAGTCTTGCCTCTTTCTCCCCGCACATGGCTTCGGTGTACGACCGGGGCTGAGTCAGATGGAGTATTGCCGAGAAACCTTCGTATTGTTGTCGTGTCCTCTGTCATGACGGATAGCAGAGAGTATAGTAGAATGCCCGAAAAAACTCGCTCGCAATGCGTAAGAAGACTCATTGGTTTCTGCTCTGAATAACGTAGCATCTCTTCATCGCTCGTCTTAAGAGTTCGAGTAATTGCTACCTTCCGCTTTAACCACCTTATTGCGACATTCATATCGTGACCGAAATTCCTACTACGAAACTCATTGCTCAAAAAGAAGTAACGAAAATCGGCTACTGCCCTCGTCGACAGGGATACTTACAAGTAAGTGGCTACATACAGCTGAAGCCCCCCCTTCCACATCCACTTAAACATAGATCATAAAACTGAAGTCTAGAAGGCATCAAGAATATCATGGTGTCGTTTTTCAATGACTTAGTAGCCGGTCTTTCGGCTGACTATTCCTTGAAGCCCTCGGATTTCGAGAAAGTGGAGACCACAGGTAAGCCACTGCGAGGACCAGCCTCGAGGCGAGCAAGTCCTCAGAGCGGCTCGCGCGTGAGTGCTCTGGTGCGTGAAATCGAAACACGGACCGCTGCATCGACTATCTCTACGACCTCTGGACCCAAGAATGGCGCCAAACCGCCGATCAATGCTAAAGTGTCTATGCAGCATTTGGATATCGGCTTCGGTCAGGGGCCTCCAGCCCTTTCGTCGTCGCCTGGTGGACCCGATGCACAATTATTGGAATTCCGTGTGCAACAAGGGCTCGGGATAGCCGTAGACAGCGGATCGAGTCCACCGTCCTCGAGTGGATCTCCAGACAACCTCGCTGGTACGAAAAGATGCCACGACGGAAGAAGTAAGGCTTCAGATGAAGCTTTCAATTTTCGCGGCACTGACTGCAGCAGAGGAGGAAGAGACATCATGACAAGTCGCACTTCAACGGAAGATGGGCAGATGAACAACAGCAGCCCAGAGCAATCACCGCCACGTATCATGAAGGAACTGAGTCTCGGAAGCACGATATCTGCCGCCAGTGTGCCAGATCCAATGGGAGCTGATAGTGTCGTTGTGGGACGAGGAGATGCTGCTCCAGAGCCTAAGTGTTCATCTCCTAGTAACAATCTTGATGAGGGACTCTCGATATGGGATCACCTAGCGAGCGAGGCAACCGGTCTATTTTTTAGCCTTGTAGACGAAGTCACCAAAGTCCACGATTCGACAAGCACACTGCCTTTGACATCCACGCCTGCTCTTTCACAAGCACAGCCACCAAATGTCCAAGAAGCGAAAAGCCAGTGCTTTCAGATGCCGCAGCAGACAACATCTTCATCTTCCCCAGCTGGCACAACAGTGCCTGCTTCTGCATCTTCGTCGATGATTGCCGATGAGCAATCGTTCTCCTCATCAGCCTCACAGCCTGGAACTGGAAGTGGTGGCAAGAATATGATTAGTCATCAGGACGACCTCAGCGATGCCGCTGTAAATAGAAAGCCAAGAAGTGGTCCCAGCGTACTGGAAAACGAGGTAGCTTCGTCAACAACGGGAGCACCGCCACGACCCTCCGCTCTTCCTACTGGTAGCACCTCATCAACCACGAAACGACCTGTACGTAGGACGCGGGACCTTGCTCTTGCTGGGTCGCAAGTGGAGGCTGTACTGCGAGTCCAGCAAACCTGCTACAAACGGGAAGCTGCCAAAATTGATCATTATGTGGAAACAGCGAGCACCTCTGCGACGAGCTCCTGCGCAGGCGATGATAAACCAGACACAGGGAGCGGTGCCGAAAGCATTGGTGATGGTATCAATTTACTTTCTGAATCATCCACTCCAGGACAGCCTGGTGCCTTGTTACCTTGTGATGGCAATGAGTTTTCGAGTTCATCTGTCTGACTTTCTTACAACGATAAATATGATCATTGTCTAGAAGAGGGAAGCACACAATTCCACATGTACTTGACCTCGTAAAATGAAAAATGACAGAAACGACCACATCCTCTGGCTCCACTGCTCTGGGCTATTCCGGAGGGGTTTTCTCTGCGTCTGCGCCTACATCCAAGGTTGATCAGTATCTATCCCAGTTTCTGTCTCGGCATCCGGAGTACGGACTGGAAATCGAAAAGTCCTCCAATCCACCATCCAATTTTTCTTCAACCATGGCGCAATCGAATTCTAGTACCTCATCATGGTTTCGCATCCGTGGTCGTGTCGTCCAGCTCGTATACAGAGAAGGCTACCTGAGCTCTCACGGGTCTATAGATGTCGTGGACGGACCACTCGCACAGGACTTGGAGGACTACCTTGATGGCAGGCAAGAGACGGCACGCTATAGCGGTCTGACGGATCAGCAAGGTAAAGACAAAACACGCCTGGTGTCTTTCGCAGACAATGAACAGGTACTTCGAGTTACTTCCTACCCTTGCCCTTCGTACTCTGAATGCTTAAGAAAGGTAAGCGACATGCTAGACATTATGACGTTGATCGCGCATATCCATATGTACTCCATAAAAAGAAACTACCACGAAAACTAGAACTACTGCGAAGAGTCCTTACTTCGTCAATAACTAATGGCTTTCAAGAACCGGCAGGTCTACAACCGCATTGAAGCCATGCGCGTAGCGAAAGAGCAGGCCAAGATTCGGGAACGCGAGCTGGGGTATGGTTCTTACGATCGATACCGGAACTGGCACGAAATCGCTTTGAGAAAGAGCGCGCCAATTGACGCGTACGGTAATAGCCGTGCACCTGCCCACGTTTCTCTCATGTCCTACGAAGGTTCTACAGGCACTTACTCGAGCAACATTAGCCACGCGTCATCAACGAATCAAATAGGCGGCTTCGACCAACAACAACAGCCGATAAGCCAAGGTGGAAGCGGTGGCACAATGTACCAGCCTGCATCGAATGTGTACCAACAACTTGCGGGCGAGGTGCAAGGCGACATTCAACGGCAAGGCACCGAGGTTCTCACGGAGCCTGTCGCGCTACCTGCACACCTCTACGGTGGGTCAACAGTTTAGGGAGCTACGCTGCAATGTAAATAGAGTATGTAGCTTCGAAACGACGGGACGCGCGCAACTCATATCATAAAAATGCACTGCAGAAGCCATAACTTCACTACGACCAAAGGATGCATCCTGAATCTACCACATACCTACGTAGAAAACAAATAACTCTTATCTGCTTTATGGAAGGAGCCCTTACATGAACATTGATTATTTAATAATAAATTAGAAAAGATTTACAAAGGGAGAACAGGAGAACAACCAGTACAGAGAGAAACCGGTAACTTATCCTCCCAAGTTGCATCTCTCAAATGAAAGATGATTTACGTGATAACAGAGAGAGCCCTGCAAAATTGAAAGATGCACCAATGATAGACATACAGTCGAAATCAGCGCCACGCAGGAGCATGAAATAATGACATATAAATTTGATTGAAACAAGAATATCCTGACGGGCACCGTCCGTAAACATAAAGCGAATGAGTTTACTCATAACAAAACTCGTATTCGAATTCGATTTCAAAACTCCTAGTCGTAGTCGTAGTCCTAGCCTCGTGTCCAAAGCGTAAAAACTTGCAGAAAAAGAGGCCTATTTTTAACTTATTTGGCTACGGCTTCGGCTAGATCTGTACCTTTTACAGCTAACAAGACCAGGAAAAGCAGGTTTGGTTTGTATTTCTCCAGAAACATTAAGCAAGAACAACAACAAGGTCAAGGACGTAATCTGATTAAGTATCGTCATTAAATAGTATTCTTGTTTTCCTTCTCTCTTGTTTCTTGAGCGTGATTGATTCGGCGTGGTCAAATGTAGATCCAGATGTGCTCTTGAAAATGAAAAAGTTCTTCAGTCCGTCACGTCCATTCTTAAATCTGTCATTTTTTATGTTAGATTTGAGTAGTTCTTAAAAAAGTTATTGTACCTAGAAGTACACCGAAGAACCGAAGCACATGGAGCAAAACCGTATACCTCTTGCCCTTTCGCTCTTTGAACTCGTCTCTCGACCGCTGCAACGATTCGTTGCGTTTGGACTGATAGCTCTGACTTATATTCTGTTGTGCGCTAGTGGTCCTGCAGTCGCAGGGCGGTCGAGTGATGTTGGAGCTGTAAAGAGTGTGGAAACCGAAGAGCCAGATAAAGCGGACCCAACGGTGACGACGGCACTCACTCGAAGCGATAGTGACTCGGCTGAAGAAGGCGGTGGATCTGTTGTAAAAAGTGGTGAATCGAATAAAGACGGTTATCGTGATTTTCCAGCGGATGCTGCTACTACAACGCACACGCAGTCCATAGGGTCAACGATTTCTCTGGACAATGTAATCTACGCAGTACAAAGATTCGCGCCTGTGGCGTATCACACGGGTCAGTTTTTGGCCGCTGGCGACCTTCACGCTTCTCTTGTGAATCTCACTTCGGCGCTCGTCCTCGCCGGGCCGGCCACTCTCGGGGTCTTTCCTGAAAGCTTCTATCAGAACCCGCCTGACGTGTCGGAATCTTTCGCATCCTTCGTGTCCTCACTCAAAAAGACTGCAAGCCTCACAGCAGAGACTTGCGGAGATAGACTTGAAATGATGTCGGAGCTTGCGGAAAGTTTTCTCGCGGGACAATCACAGGCCGAGCTAATTGCTACCAGCGTCTTGATGATTTTCTTCGCTTACACATTTTATGCTCCCGATCATAAAAAAGAAAAAAGCTACATCTACATAAACGAAAGCTCTCGATAAAAGAGGATCAGAACAGAGACTATTTTTAGAGTTGTTGTGGAAAAAAGTCCCAGGTGGAGCACTAGCGCTACCCTCCTTCATATTTCCTTGACAAAGACGCTGCAGCAGTGGTTTGTTTTTGGGGGGTGTTTTCTCCTTGGTGCTGTCGGATGCATGAGTGGTCTGAGGGCATTGGAGAAGGCTGCGCTCGACGGCGGGCTTCACACTGTATGAGAAGAATGGTTTATTTTGTCGACATCACTAACGCATCAAATGCAAATACAACGAACAAACTTGATAGAATGTACTAGATGTGCTGCAACCAAGAAACTCTTTACCTTTCTTTGTGTGCTTATCGAATTCGCACTCTACGTAAGTACTCTCGGGTCCTCTTTCATTTAAGTTTCTGGGCGCCATCAGCGGTTCATCAGACACGAGTGTTGTCGAGAACGTGGCGAACAGGCTTGTCGCTGATGGAACGACGAAACTCATAGCATCTGGAATAGCCGGGTGTCTATTCGCGATACTGTGTTACCAGCTGTTGCGTGTCGCTATGTTCACAGTGGGTGCAAGTATCGGGTGGTACATGGCAGGTACAACTAGTGATCCGCCCTCGCAATTAAATACTCTTGAGAGCTACTCTCCTGCAGAAAGTTAATTAGATGAACGAATGATGAAGAAACAAACTAGTAAATAATTTTCTTCGTGGGATAGTGTCTATCGAACCTCTTCATATACCTACGTAGGTAGATAATCCTAGTATGTAGAATTGTTGTTCTTCTTGTATCCCCTCGAAGAATTCATCATACATACAACAACATCAAACACCAGCTCATGTATACGCGACTCTTCGGCAAGCACCGTGGTTTCAAGATCTAGCTGGCGACGGGTGGCAAGGGCAGTTGGCCGTGTATGTTATTCTCACAGTCGGTTGTGGCCGCTTCTTTTCAAGGGGAGGCGGACTGAGTGATTAGCAGTGACCAACACGTTGTGTGCACCACGACTTGTTAAGGACTTGCTCTTTTAAGGAGCTTTTTAAGGGCCACTTTTCCGTTTCAATGAAAAGACAGCTATGCAGGCAGATAAGACAGGATACCAGAAGCATTAGCGCGCGAAGCGTACTCGGTTTAAAAACTCCCTTGGGACTCTGTGCGAGATGATTTTCATCTAAGATCCAAAGTACCTTGTTTGCCGAAAGATAATATAAATCGAGACCCTTGGTCTAAAACTGATGATATTTGTTTACCACTCTTTAATACGCTCCTTGCATTTTTTCCGTATCCGTACTAGCTGTCGTGAAATTTGCTTCAAAAATTGCTAAGAAAGGAAAGCCGCTTCAAAAAGTCAAAGCGCTCGTTGCGCAATCAACGCGGTCTTGGTGGCGTTGTTCGACGTATCCGCCATAGAGGGTGTTCTGTCTTATTTAAGAAACATACCCGCAAGGAGAGAAGTTTGAAGTTTCAGATGAACTTGAAACGTGTGTATGCCTGATCGTCGAGCAAAGATGAGGCAAAAAAAGATGAAAGGAATATAAATACAAACCGATAAAAGTAGAATAAAGAGATGCTTGTTGCTTCGTGTCTTGTATGCCTATGCAATAAGTAAAGACCCGTCAGCAGCTAGTAGGGTTTTTGTTTCGCTTTCGAGTTCGACGTGAGTTCTCACAATTTTCACCGACCGATTATTTATCTCTCTGGCCTCTGAGGCTTTCAAGATCCAAAAAATGTCGTCCTCGAGCACGTTTTTCCGAACCAATACCACAATGCGAGGCTTAGCTCTCGCGGCGACGCTTTTTTCAACCGCACCTGTGGTCGACGCTCGTAGTAGGAAAGTCATCAACGGCATTCCAGATACAATTCGACCCTCGTGCCCAAGAGGCCCGCCCACAGAAGAACAGACTCACAGTCGTGTTGAGTTTGGTGATAAGGTGTTTATCAAACTGTCCGCCTACCACGAAAACCCCGAAAGCGCAGAGGGCATGGAATACAGTACTTTCTCCTTGTGCTCCTTGAGAACTTAATGTAATATTTGATTTTATGTTGATGCTGATTCCTGTAGGTGGACTTTTGGAGATATCCATCCGTCCCGTGATAGATAAGTGTAAGGACTACAACGTCAGCGGCACATCTCCTTCGTCAAGTTAAGATGTTGAACGATATTTCACACATCAGGTCCCGACCTCGCCGAACAGGAAGTTATGGTCGGACGCGCCCGTTTGCCGATCCTGAACGAGTTTCTTACTGGCATGTGCCCCAACGAAGTACGCCGCATCTTTACTTGGGTTCAACCGAAGGTATACAGCAGATCCTACTCGTATGATCTTTTCTTCTGTGGGTTATGAACGACTTATCCTCCATCGTTTGTATTCCCAGCAAAGCTTTCCAAATACAGTAAGGTGAAATTCAAGATCAAGGTTGGTGTTGTAGTTCTTTCAATCAGCACTACCGCTAAAGCTAACGGATCAATTAGGACTCAATATTTATTAGCCTTGATCTATGTAGTGTGCAACCCCAACCTCATGAATTTACCAAACCAGATCAAAGCTGGCCCACTTGCTTACATTGTAGAGCTCAAGGAAATTATTGCAAAAGGAGCGCTTTTTTCCGCGGACGGCACCGAGAAAGCAGAGGTGGAGGAGAGTGTCTACCCGAAGGAAAAAGTAGACGAGCAAGCAGCGGAGGCCGAAGCAAAGACGCGAGGCTTCGGACATGATGAACTCTGAACCGAAATAGGTTTGATAATGTATGAATTTTGCTCGATGTTGATGAACACAAACTATTGACCTTTTTTGAAACTCCAAGAACTGATGATATCAGACTAACTAAGTACATCTACATGCTTTTTTGCTACTTTAGCTTGACAGATCTGCAGCTGAAAATGTAACGCACAGAATCATGAAATCCGTCCGTCTCAGTGGGCACATAAACTAAAAAATAAGTACTGCAGTGAGCACAACTATTTCTCATCATGTGGTTCTGCATAACGACCATCGGGGTGAAGTCATCGCTTATGTGTTGACCAAGATGATTATGAGTCAGTAAATGTAACAAAGTTGTTTTTGAGTACGTGAATTTACAGAGAAACAATTCATGCGGCTTTTTATGGAGATTATTATCATCATTTATCATCATATTCAAGTCTAAAAATGAGGACACTGAGATGTTTCGATATTTGATTTTTCAACTTGCATGTCACTGTGCAAGAAGACGAAGTCTGGCATCATGATGGAAAACTTAGAAGAATTTTATTTCAACGAGTAAGAGAACGAGGATGTACATAGAAAGATAGTCAGTGAGAAAGAGCAGAAAGCAAGAACGAAGTACTAGTACAGAGGGCAAGTTTACTCACTCTCGAGAAATATTATGACTCAGATGATTCCAAAAACGGCCGATTTTCAATTTGTGGTCTTTTGAATTTCAAATAGAATGAGGGACCAGAAGACTTCCCTGTGCGTGGAAGACGGCAAGACTGGTATAGCACTCTCTCTAGATATAGTGATTTTCCGTGTTCTATAAGTTGTGCATGAACGAGTCACACTGAGTTGATCGATGTAACAAAAAGGTGTGTGTGAAAGTCTGCCAAAGGGACCCTCAGGGCGGAAGGATTAGAAGAAATAAGATGTTAAAAGTGACAATGCATATGCATACTACTCAAAAACGAGTGTTCGTAGGTTGACAAAACACATGGAGCGCAAGTGAAACGGCGAGAACTTTGCAACGAGAGACGATTTGGTGGACTCCCCGACATGTATGGCATAAGGATAGTAGTCATGTACAACGAAGAACAAGAACACAAGTTGTGTTAGTATTATCAGGTGATTTGTAAAGTCAAGCTCAAGCTGTAGTGGCGGCCTCTACACTCATTCATAAACAGGCATCGGGCTGGCATTTCAGTGCTATGTAGAAGATCTACCCCAAACTACCCGTGTTGAAAGCGCTATCAAGATCACCTGACAGAGAAACCCACAAAAACGATTCCTGTCTGTGTGAAATTGAATACTGTGGTATTTCTATTTGATTCCTTCCTCGAACGATTTTCATATTTCAGAGGTCATATTAGATTTAACGATAACGTGGTTTATTTTTTTAGATATCTTCTGAGCTCTTCCCACATATTTGGCTTTCTTTACTGTTTGCTTCAATCTATACTTGTAATTAAAGTGCTCATGTCCTCGATTCAAATTTGATAAAGAACCTAGAGCTAGGTTCGCCAGTCACGCAAGCCGCAAGAGTTTGCGTTTTTGACCCATGCTCTCGTCCTGTGCATCAACTACAACAAGGGTAGACATTGACATAACAAGCACTTATTTCTCAGATTCAAATTCATGCTGATTCCTTCTTGCGTATGCATGACCATGACCTCCTTGAGTTGTTCATCACCTGATTGTTGTAAGTACTTTGAGATTGTTCATTCAATTTTAGGTTTCTCGCATCAATGTGCAAGCATAGGGATGCAAGATTTGGTATATTTGAAGTTGTTGATGTTGAAACAACACAAGTGACCATTTACTCGGTCTATGTGTTGCCAGCATGAGCGAGAATAACCCTAGCTGTGCTCAAAAAATATTGTGGTCGTGAATTCGTTATTGTTGTGTGTATGATGCATCGATGTTTCTTTCCAGCCTTGATAAAGATTTCTTGTACAGCCTTAGTAGTTCAAGTACTAGTTGGATTCAATCAATGAAAGATGGTTGGACGCATGTTCAGCCCTCACACTACGAGCACGAGTGGCCGATACATTCTTTTCGTTTTCCCACCTTCATGATAGTGAATGTTTGATTGTTTTTGCTAATGTCAAAAAGTCGTACCTAGACCTCGACCTAGTCCACCATCGTAGAATTGAATTCGATGTTGGATTTGGATTTCTTGTTTATCTTTCATCTTCGTAGATGCAAGTTCTTCAATGCATAGTGATGCATTTTCTTTTTTTATTGGCAATAAAATAGGACGAGTGCTTGTGTAAAAAAGAACAAACTCAATCTGAATTTTTATTCTTTTTTGTGAGTCTGAACAGCACTAGGACTGCGACTGCTGGCTCTAGCTTTAGCGCGGCTTGACTCCATTATCCTTGCTTTTTTTGATTTTGGGTCAGACAGCTACAACTTGTGCTCTGTCCTTTTTTGAAATTAGAAGTGCTATACATAGAGATACACTAGGTAATATATATTGATTACCAGAAGTTTAGTGGTGCCCGTGTTCTTTGATCGTTTTCATTTCCGACATCTTTATAGAACCTTTTGTCTAAAATCTGGTCATTATCAATGCGAAAATGACGATCAGTCACCTGCAAACAGTGAAATTTGTGGTGGCGGGGCACCCCAAAATCACCGACCACCACCGCACAATAGCCGTCGACTTTCAGACGACAACAGGAAAAGAGCTTGTCGATGCGGTACTACTCTACGATGATTTATTGCGCGTTTCTATTCCGATTCCCTCCTCGAGTCGTACTTCAGTTCGAAAGATAGATATTTGACAAGTTTACTTAATGTTATTGAAGATCCATCGTTTAGGATAAACTTTCCCGTGTTTCACGTTGTTCGTGACACTACCTCTACCAACAGGTGTTTCCCGAGGAGCTCGCGGAAGGATGGAGAATACGGCTATTTGCAAGTGGGCGGGCAGTTGGTGAAAAGCAGACTCTGACAGAAGCAAGAATGGAGCCTGAGTCATTCTTGCATGCATTCTTTTCATTCCCGCCACCAGAAAAGGATGAAGATGAGAAGAAGGTATGTTGTCCTTTTCTTTACGTGATTCTAATTTACTAGTAGGTGTAGGCACGGCTGCTTTTTTTCATTTTGATTCTTGATTCTGATACGTTGAAGATGATAGACTATGGCATAGTGCAGAAATGTACTGTTGTCGTCGATTTGACAGATGATCCAACTCCTTCTCGACGCTCTTACTCATCAGGTTTCCCAAGACAAGAAGACCCTGAAGCCACCAGCTGACGAACAGGGAAGATCGCAGCAACAGACAAATGCGTCCGCAGCGGCCACACCAACAGCCGCAGCCGCAGGAGTATCTGTGGCGACAGCAGGGCGACAAACGGGTCTGAGCAGACTGTGCTGCTGTGGCATCTTCTTTTCCTCAACAGGCGGAGCTACATAGTTGTGATCGTGACATGGATTGGATAGTGTGGGCGCTGTCCGTCTTTGATATCAGTAGCAGCACCAGGCCGAAGAGCAAGAAGATAGTGACCGTGACCGAGTGTGCTGGTCGATAAACACCTTTCCTTGTCCTCATTGTCCTGTGCAGAGCAATGAAGTGGTTTAACTTTGGGACAAACAAACGCTTTGCGTCTGGTACTATCGACGAAGCATGAACTTTGCAAAGCTTCGTATAGACCGCTAGATGAAGTGGAAAACCCCATCACACTTTAATCCCAGTGCGATCACACGGCCTCGAAAATGTGAGAGTTTTAGTGCCTCCTCCTGCTCTCCTACCCCGAGCGGTACAGTGGTCGGCCAGTGGGCATTTCTTTCGTTGCGGTCATCATGCATTGCGAGAGGTGAATGCGAATAAACAGGTCTGTGGTACACCACCCGTCTAGGCAGGAACGTCAGTGCGGCTACCTGTGCTTCGAGTATTCAATATTTCTTTATTGTCGAAACATATTTACAAAGTTAGGCGGGTTGTTGATAGGTATGTGCTAGTTGTGCCAGTTGTTGTTCCGTCGCTCTGCATCCAGTAGTGACCCAACAACATGTATGAGACCGATTCCATCCATAGTTTTGTTTGAGACACTTACCGATGCAAATCACATGTTTAGTCATCTTCACGAAGATATCATATCGTGCCTTTGTCAATCATTGAAGTTGCATCTATTGGATGAAATAAGTAGCTGATAATAAATTTTCGGGGGAATCGGAGGTGTGGCGCGCATCCCAAACCGACCATCTACCCGCCGTACACGAATCATACCTATTAATTCTATTTTGGTTAAATCTTCCACTTCATTCAAAACTTGATCTAGTACCATCCGGTCTCCTACTTATATGAAATTCATCGCAAAGAGAGGTCTTCATAAACATAATGATGTTTGTAAGTCCCTTTGGTTTTGCTTCAACCGCTAGTAGAAGTTAAAGACTTCAGAATTTAGGAGAATAACCACAGCATTGTCGGAGGTCCAAAAGGGCTTTAGTTTTGATTGATACAGAGATTCATGTGGTCCTTGTGCCTTAATCCGAATTTTCCGGTGTCTACATGTAAGTAATATCGTCCATGAGCATGAGTGGGATCTGCTCGAACCCGCCTGATCTACCACATTTCGGCGGCCGGGACATTGTATGATGGCCGTCTTTGAACTTTGAACGTTGCATATCTCAAGAAAGCATCTTCTCATACATTTGTTTTTGTACTGCGTGCGACTTCCGACTCGAAGATCATACTCGCGCTTTGCCATGGTTTTTGCTGTGCTAAAACACGAAAATATGACATCATGAAGTCGAAAAAGCTGTGAAATATGAACGAGTTGTTATCATGAGAGTAAAAGTAATGCGTGCCTTCTTAGGCAGTATTGAGAGAAGATGAAGAAGAAAAATGATGTTGCAATAACAATATCGAAAGGTGCACGGCTTCGAAAAAATGGAAAATATAGATCACACAAGTTTGCATATTATCTTGCATTGTGGTTGTCGTGCGAGGCAGAGACGAAAAAAGGCAAGAGATTGATTCAGAGTTGAAGAAACTGGTAGGAGAGTATATTTGAAGCCATTGCAAGACTGACAATCCGCGAAAAATTATACACAAAACAAATCGCATCATCTTCATCATCATGTTCTCGAAAAGAAACCTTATAGATGTTCCAGGAGTGGAGGCCCCCCTGTGGATGGAGCGGCGGTGGCATCCGCGCGCCCTTTTTTCCGCGGTGGTGGCATGTAAGAACTCCCGGGAACGATGGCCTCAAAAGGCGGACCCGGAGGCTCCTGGCGGCTCTCCGCGTGTGCCCCACAGGCGTCCCGGCTCTTGGGCCCTTTCAGGAGGACTGCCCCTGAGGGACGAAGGCGGCCACGGTCGCGAGGCCTGGCCCCTTTGGCGCTCATCCCCCCGATTGGTGGCACCGTCGGCTACCCCCAAACGCCCGGGGGGTCGAGGACCAAAGGCGAAGAGGAGTGCGGGCAAGGCGTGCCCGCCTGGGTTCTGTCGCATACATGCAGCACGGCGAAAGGGGCCCAGCCTTGCCACCTTTGCCACCTTCGGAAGCCTCTCCCCCAGCCTTCGGTGCTTCAATGGCCTCAGGGATGGGGGTCCTGTAGGGTCCAGGCAAGAAGCGGGAACGGGTCGGAGTTGGGCGCTTGAAGGCCTTCCCGCCTGACCGTCCCTCTGGGAAAAGGGTCCGGGGCGGGAGGCCCCCACCTCAAAAATTTAGATGGGGGGCCCTTGCCCCTGACCATGGGACGTATATGAATATATTGAAAAAAGATGGCATCTAAATAGAGCACATCACTTTTTGTCGAACTTCTCGTCTATTTTGATAATTTATTCCTCAAGCTCAAGCTCAAGCAAGCTTATATTAACAGAAGTATTTACATTCCCAAGAGAAAACTGCATCATGCAGCCAGGAGCGACATTGATGAAGGCTTAAGACCGCACTTTTGAAAGTCAAATCGAGCTTCCCAATGGCGCGTCAGCGCCGTCTTTTTTGCGCCGCGGCGTTCGCCGTGAACGCGCGTGAGGCATACAGGATTCAAAATTCTGGTCCCAGGGGTGCAGGTAGAGGTAGGGATCTCCATTTCGGGCCTTCACCTCTGCGCAAATCAGCGGCGTCTGAGGAAGACCACGAGCACGGAGGCCATGCCCACAAGGAGGAGAACGGGGACGCGCATTACGATGATAGGCTGTCTCGTCATAAACGAGTAGTGCTACATCAAGAAGAAGACCAAGATGCAGATGATATCGTAGCAAAGTCCTCTTCTAGAATGAGGAACGGTAGCAAAACGCCTTCGCGCCGGCAGCAGAGGGATGTCCACGAGGAAGAACAAGATTTAAGGCTATTATGTATTTGCATCATCATTCCATCGATCTCTCTGCATCTGCAACATCTAAGTACTTTATGTTGTTGATTTTTTTCTTCCGATTGCGATATACCTATGCCGTCATTGTAATTGTATCAAATTGGTGATACCCTTTTGCACAATATTAGTATTTATTTGACCAAGACTTCTCCTTAAGGAGGCCTCCTAAGGAGCTGGAGCTTCCTCAAGGAAATTGCATTCCTTAAAGGACTTGTATAATAGAAATCTACTATAGGGCTCCCTTAAGGGCCCCTAAGGGAGCTCCTTAAGTGGCCCTTGTAATAAAATTGGGCTAATATTAGACCCTTCCTGAAGGGCCACCTCTTAAGGGCCTCGACTTCCTTGCTAGCTTAGCCATGGCGAGCTAGCTCGCTGCTTAGCCATAGCTAGCTCGCTTGCTAGCCTAGCCCCGGTAGCTTAGGTTAGCCGTAGCTAGCTTGCTAGCTGCTTAGCCATGGCGAGCCTGCTCGCTGCTTAGCCATAGCTAGGAAGCTTGCTAGCGGCTTAGCCATAGCTAGCCTGCTAGCTGCTTGGCCCTGGCCAGCTTGCTAGCTGCTTGGCCATAGCTTTAGCTAGCTATAGCTTGCTACTGGCTGCTTAACCATGGCTGGAGCGCTAGCTGCTTGGCCATAGCTAGCTTGCTAGCTGCTTAGCCTTGTCTAGCTTTCTTTCTAGCTGTTTAGCCATACCCAGCGTGCTAGCTGCATAGCCATTGCAAGCTTGCTAGGCTTGGCGCTAGCTTAGTCATTGCCAGCTTCCTAGCCTAGCCATGGCCACCTTGCTAGCTGAGCCCGGCATAGCTAGCCTGCTAGCCTGGTCATGACCAGCACCAGCTTGCTACCTAGCAGCCTCGCCAGGGCTAGCCTGCTAGCTTAGCCATAACCACTCCAGCTTGTTAGCTTAGCAATAGCGAGCCAGCTGGTGCTGGCTCAGCAATGGCCAGCGTCCACGCCGGTTCATTCTAAGCCAGCCGCGCGTCGTTGGCTTGATGACTTAGCGGCTTGCTTCGTTTGTCTTATCTGTCTAGTTGCTAAGTGCTTACCTATGCGCAGCGCGGCCCTCGATGGGCCCGCTTTCTGGGCATGTGTGAACATTGTAAGGACTCTATGCCTACGACGGCCATAGCTATAGCACCGTCCCAAGAGAAAACTGAACACACTTCACGTCCACTTTCTTATTACAGGCATTAAATATGGCACGACCATGATGAGGACTTAGTAAAGACAGCGGTGAGCGCTAATTGCGTACGACACACAAGCGTTAGCACAGGATGCAGCTTCAAAAGAGGGGTTGGCGTTGGACGAAGATGCCGACGAAGATGCAGACGAGAACCAGAGTCAGGAGTCGCAGTCTCCCAATCGAAGCCGCACGGGCACGTCTTTGGCGACGTCGCTGCACGAAAGCAGCGCGCATACTGATAGAACATCAAAGAACCGTCATGTTGCGCTTGCGTCTTCTTCGTCATCCTCGAAGGCGGGATCCCGATCTTCATCGAAGAGCAGCCTTACAAGAACTTCTGGATCTTCTAGGACACGAAGAACAAGGCGCGGTAGTAAGTCTGAAGACAAACCAGCCGCGCCCGCGCAGAAGCAGAGGGTTTTGTCAGCTGATGAAGCCAAGCGTCTGCTTGCCGGACTCGATAGCTCCGCGGAAGGAGTAGAAGCCGAAAAGTCAAAAGGAGACAGCCAATCGAACGAGGAGCAATCATCTCAACCCAAACAAGCTGAACAGGAAACGCAGCAACAGGAACAGGTTAATCCTAATCAGGCACAGCAACAACGTAAATCAGAAACCAAGCAAGGGGAAGCGCCCAGACACTCTCGTGATGAACCCGCTTCTAAAAACGCCGTGAAGCAAGAACTTCCCGAGCCGTCGGAAACCAAGAAGTACACAAGCCGTACGACAGACGGCGATCACGAACTGCCGCTGGACGTCGATGTCGAGGATTAAGGTTTTCGATAACTCAAGTGAAGCCTCGCAACGTGAGACACCTAGTAACTGAATGACTTGTATTCCTCTCTCAAGTCCCTAAATAAGGACGCTTAACAATAATATTTGTGCACTTGTTTATTTTGGGTTATTAAGGTGTCACTTCGGGAGACCATATCCATAAGATCATCTTTCTTGTTTTCGCTTCTTAGACAGGGTAGTTTCGTAAGGCATTGTTAACATCCGGCAACGATGAAGAGCGCTATTCCGTCTCTAAGGCGGGTATAATGCAACAGGAAATGGAACGAACGCCACAACGCTACAAGGCGAAAGCGAAGAAAACACAAATACAGGGATCCTGGGTATTGAAACAATTGTAGCAAACTTCGTTCCTGGTGCTGTTCGTTGTGACACAGACACTGACATCGCAATTAGAATTATTTCTTACTACAATCTTCTTCTTCACAGAACATGAACACACAGGCACAAAATTAATATGCCAACACTCCAGACGAGCTCCACGCATCATGCCAACACTTGTCATTAGAGGCAAAAATGACAAGTGTACTCGTTACGCATAACTGAATGGTTCTGGTATTTGGTAACCTGAATTTGATCACAAGGGTTCTCTTTTTGTTTTCCCTTATGATCCAACTCAGGTTACCAAATAGTGGGAGCATACAATAGCGCACTCTTATGCTCAATACAGGTAGCGCTTTAGGATCAGTATACAACGCTTTGTCAGCACTGGAAGAGCTCCTCGTAGGTGAGGAATATGCCGGCGATTTGCGCGAGGCGATGGGCGAATTAACTTAAGGCTTTTTCCACAAGTCCATCGATGCATGATAGATCTTCTAATACTTTCGGAAGCATGATCAATCTCGAGAATAGTACTTTTTGATAGACCACTACGAACAGATGGATAAACTTGTAGACTTCAGAGGGCACTGCATTGTAAGATGGCGGGTGGATAAATGATGCTCTTCTAATCGAAGGACGAGGCTGCTGACCAAGGAGATGACGCAGTTCACGCAGTCAAGAACGCCAAGGAAGCCCCAAAAGATTTCAAGGAGTCCCTGAAGCAAACTTTTCTAGCCGCGTTCGGATTATGACATGGGAAGGAAAACAGCGCTCCAACTCCATTTACTTAGTCAATATTATCGATGACGGGTAGTCTTCTGCGAATACCACGGCCTTACCCAGTGCTCCTTCCCCTTGCACAATATTTATATTACCGACTGACTGACTATCGTCTTGTCCTCTAGTGCTCCTCGGACAAGATCGGGGAACAGTTTTCATGTTAGGCACAAGGTCGCTCGCCTAAACAAGTAGAGGATGAAGGATAACTACACTTCATTGGACTATAGCCTCCTTCTTGGTCGTCATGCTGATTTTCTCACTTAATAAATATAGGCAAAGTAGGGGGGGTCTCTTTAACTTTATAATCTTCATCTTGCTTAACTTATTTTCTCCAACACTTATGTTGTTTGGCGAGAGGAAGGGACCTAAGGTAGCCGCAGCGAGTACGCTTAAGTTGCCGAAGCTGGACGAACGAAAATTTGGCTTTCTCACACTAGATAATGGGCTCCGTGTTTTAGTGGTCCAGGATAAGCTAGCAGCCAAGTCGGCCATGGGAATGGCGGTGAAGACTGGATCCGTAAATGACCCAGTCGACGTTGCCGGACTTGCCCACTTCACCGAGCACATGATAAGGCTTCGACTCTCGTGCATTAGTATTTGCTTAATGTATTACATCTACATCTTCTCTTTCTTCAAGGGCGCCTAGAGATTGACATTGACAAATATTCAATCATGGTTCGATTTGTGAGGTGGTTCTCGCAGCTTTCTTCTTCATCTTCTAAGCAAGCTATTTCTTGGAAGTGAGAAGTACCCCGATCCCGAAGAGTTTGGCCGTGTGATCTCCGAGTGTGACGGAAGCGACAACGCCTATACAGACCAAGACCGCACTGTCTACTTCAACGACTTTTCTCCGCAGTGTTTAGAAACAGTTGCCCCGGTCTTCGCTGGATTTTTCGAGAAGGCAACGCTAAACGCAACAATGACAGAGAAAGAGGTCAATGCAGTGGACCAGGAACACGCGAAAAATAAGAATAACATGATGTTAAGGCTAATTTTGATAAGGAACTCGCAACAAACAAGTAGGGTAACATGGATGATGTTAAGTCTACTTCTCGACTCTCTACTCTCTCCGCGTGAGCGTGAGGTATCCTTCCACTGCGCTGAGTGGGACTGCTGCTCGTCCCATTCTTGTTTTCACCGGGAAGTCATCATGGAGGGTCGTCTTCGGTACATCAGCAAGGTTCGTATCGTAGGCAACAGGCTACAACTCAACTACGGAGAGTGAACAAGACCTCTAATAATGCGTCGCCTATTCGAGCTTATGCGTGGAAGATCTGCGTCTGTCGGACACCCCTACGCAAAATTCTTTACAGGTCCTTGAAGTTGAAATTATTTAGGATCAGCTTTGGACCAGAATCAATTTCAACATCATCGACTTTCTAATTTCAGAGGTCATGAGACCGATTCATCAGTTGAACATGATTATAGATCAAGATCTACATCACGATCACATCCTTTCGCAGGTAACAAGGAAACGCTGTATGACGTTCCAATGAAGAAGGGAATCCCGATTGCAGACCGGTTGAGGTCATTTTATGACCAGTACTACTGCCCTACGAATCAAGCGCTGGTGATCTTAGGCTCTGAACCAATCACGAAACTCTCCGAGGTTGCAAAAGCCTACTTCAGTTTCGAACGCGAATGTGTTGAACCAACGCTCACTGCTGAAGAGCTTGCTGCGCAGGAGGAACTAGCTAGGCAAATAGCAGAAGCAGAAGCAAAAGCACTGGCAGAGGCCGAAGGAAACCAAGTGAACGGCTTGCTGCTTCAGCAGGGTCATTCTCTTTCATCTCCGGTTAGTTCTAAACGTATTAGAGCAGGACAAGAATACGACCATCACGACCAAGGGGACAAAAAGATCAAGAAACATCAAGATCATAAGAAAAACGATGTAGAAATGCAAACGGAAAACGAGAAGGAAATGCTGGCTTTGTTTCAGACGGCTGAGGAGGTCATAGAGAAAAGTCAATATGAACAAAGCAGCCTGCACAAGAGCTCGATATCGTCTGAAACAACTAAGCAGTCCAGTAACGCCGCTCAAGGGCAAGGTTCGCAAACAAAGACAAAAAGATCGATGAAGGCAGGCGATGACGTGCTGGCCTGTCCTGAGGCTAGTCCTCAGGAAGCGTCCGACTTCCCGTATTCGGAAGCCTATCCACTCCAATCTATGCGCCGTCTCTTCACCACAAAGACACTCTCAAAACCAGAAATGTGGATCATGTTTCCGATCCGAATTGGGGTACTCCTAGTCTATTTACTTGGCTCTATCAGCCCTCTACTTTTTGTAAACGAACTGCGGCATGCATTTGATTTTCATTTTCTCGCTTTTATCAATGATCTTGATCACGTCAAAGTCCCAAGATGGGCAGCATCAATCTTGAAGATACTAGAAGTAGTAGGACCAATGGATGCTTCATGTCGATGTCATCATGCGTGTTCTTTTTCATTGTTATGAATTGTCGCCTTCATGTTTACCAACGAACTTTGCCAGGACTTGATGCATAAGTACCAGTACGGAATCGATTCCTACCTGTCCTACTTAAGTGGCGACGCTGGTCCGAACTCGTTTCGCACCGTGATGAAGAAAAGAGGATTGCTGACAGACCTTTCGATGTGGTACACGCCAGGAGTGGCAGGCTCGCAGGTTTTTTTCATCTTGCATCTCACGGACAAGGGGGACAAGCAGATTCACACTGTTTTTTATGGTCGATGAAAATATATCTTGAATTTGATGTATCAATTCATTAAGAAGCTCGAGTCCGTGTACGAAAAACTATGGACGAGCGCGTCTATGAAATGTCTTCTAATTTGGAATGTTTTTCTTCGGTTACATGGCTGCGGTGCGTATGCAGGGCGTTGATGAGGACTATTACAAGAGTATCCAGAAAAACGCGGAAGTCCAATTTGCATGGTCCATGCGCTCATCTGATCAAATGGAAGCCGCGGCGTCACTGGCAAACGCCATGACTCTGTACGCAGACGATGACGTGGTCTCTGGAGCTTCCCTGACCAACGTGATGAAGCCCTGTTTGATAGGAAAAGTCCTGACCTTTCTGCAGTCATCGAACGCAAATTTTGGTACTGATCTGTGAAAGTGATCATGCTCGTGCTCGTGCTCCTGAGTCTTTCAATAATATTTAATATACCGACTGCAAAAATTGCACGTGTTGAAGATGTCATGTTCTTTGCAGTGTAGTTTTCACTTTCCAAATATTTTCAATTGATCGACAACCGGAGGACCCACCGCCCGGCCGAATGATGCTATTACTTGTAGGTGTAGTCATGATTACTTACACTGATAGTTGTTTGTTTGTATTGATGCGCTCCGGGCAACGCGTACGATCTCGCCGGATCGTTTCTTTGTGCTTCGTGTGTTTTGTGCTAAGGTCGCCGTTGCTACTACGCTGATAGTCGTTTCGTCGTTGTAATTTCGATTTTATGGTTTATAGATTTTTCGAACGACTCAAGGTTATGCAACGAAGCGCCAAGAGCTGCTTCATAATTTGCCGAAGACCGTTCCATACTATGACATGAAGTATCGTGAGGAAAAGCTCACCGAGGGTTTATTGACAGAGTTTCAGAGCGCGGAATTTCCGGTCGAGATGATGCTCCCTGGCGCATTGCAGTACATTCCGCGGCTCGAGCAAGACCTCCGCCCAGTGAGAGACCAGAAGGACGTGCCAGACTGGCACCCGGAACTCGGATTGTACACCATGGACCCACAACCCGACACCATCACGCCCAAGACCATCATTGGGTTCAAAGTCGAAGAGGTGCACCACAAGTCGGAAGTTGAGATCGAGTCCACCGGCAACCTCGTATCACGCAGACGTGAAGGTCCGGTAGTACAGCAGAAACCAGAAATCGGCAACGGACCTGTAGGGGCGAACAAGAAGACTACGGCAGCAAGCAGTGCCGCAACAGCACAGCGAGTAGCGGCACCGACAGGGCCAAAGACTGCAGCTTCTGTGCTGTCTCGAAAGAAAACTGACGAGGCACGGGTACCAACGTCGCCAAAAATGGCTTCTACTGCTGACGCAAAGTCATCGGGTATCGTAGACTTCCCAGCACCAGCGCCGTTGAACGCGCCAACTGCAGCACAGGACGAGCAACCAAGCGTTCCAGGTCGCAAGCGCGTTGTCGGTCAAAACAAACATCACAAGAACCATCCACTTCCGTCCGATGTCTTCAAGAGCGCCGTGCCACCCGCGTCAGCAAACCACCCCGCGCAGCGACCGGTCGCGAACCAGGTTGAGACCGCTCCGGCAACAGGGAAAGCGCAGTCTTCACTTGTGGACCCAGCTCAGACCTCGGTCGAAGATTATGACTTCCGGAAATCCATATTGAGTAGCATCTTGGAGCTCCCGTGTAGGGGGAAAACGGATCCGAGATGACGCTCAAGATGGATTCCCGGAAGGTCTAAGAAGACACGAAGAAACTCATGGCAGCAGCGGGGGAGATCAAGGCTCGGTCAAAGGATGCTTTTGGGCGAACGCTAGATCTTGCAGAAAATAGGCATGCTGCGCACGCATCTTTCGGCGAGAAGCAGAGGAAGATCGAGAAGGACGCTGCGCGACCAGGGTTGGACTCATCACTGGTCCATTTGCGACAGAGGACATATGCTGGACGACGGCAGCAACCAGGGCACGGACCCGGTATGTTCGAGCTGCGTCGAAGACAGGAGGATTTTCCGTCATCTCACACTGATGCAGATGCGCACGACGATGCTGCAGAAGACGGCAGCGACGTAGAAGAAGCTGGCTTCGAAACACATGACGTGGGTAATGAGCGTTACGACCACGAACAGGATCAGGTGCTGAGTGCCGACTTCGGTGAAGAAGATATTCGCGAAGACGAGGCAGCTTCGAGATCGAGCGACGCGCTTCAGTTCCTGCAGCAGGGTACTTGCTTTCTTTCATTAAGACTACTACTAGACCTACGCCTATCGTCTGTCGTCCAGGAATTTTTCTAAGTGAGTAGCAAGCTGTGGAGCCACCAGTTATGCCAGATCAAATGTTTACAGTCCGTAACTTTAACTTTTTTCTGCAAGGATCAAGAATAGGCAAGTGTGAAAAACTAGACGGACGGAGGAGAGAAAAGCCAAAACGATCTTCTCCAGATACGAGCAGAACCGCAGACGAGCGCAAACGCCATGCAAAAAGGGATGATGAGAAGAGCCCGCCAAAAAAGCATGAAACGAAAGTAACGTTGTCTTCTAAAGTCGGCACGGATAGTAGCCGCGAGAAAGCCTCTAGGTCTAGTACCGATAAAGGTGGTGCGGTTATCAGCGAGACCTCCAGCATTAAGGGCGATACTTTCGCTGGCATGCAAACTGTCGGACATAGAACACTAGTCGTGTCCACCGTCTTCAAATATACATCGTCGACTACATCAACCACGACTTTATGGAGACACTTGCCTGTTCTTGACAATAAATTTCTTTTCCTTGTTGATCTTATTCTCTGTTACCGTTATCGCCGCTAAAGATAGCTCGTGGTCGTGTACTTCCCCGATCTTGCTTCCCTCCTCTTGGTAGTAGTTAGTACCACTAAACAACAAGAACAAGAACTAGCAGGTTCTAAACTTTACTACACCGACTCCGCCAACTGATTCCAATAGCAATACAGCAAGCACATCGACTGCCACTACGACAATCATGACAGAACTGCGGACGGAGTCGCAGCGTGCGGAGGCATACGCGCAAGAAGCAACGACAGGGGCTGCGCAGGAGGCAACGACAGGAGCCGCGCAGGAAGCGACGACTGGAGCTTCGCAGGAGAAGACCACGACGGAGGCTAGTATCACAGAGGAGGCAATCGCTGGTGCTGCTGCACACGCCGCTAACGAAGCTGCGAACGCAAAAACAGCTGAGGCAACGGCAGCCGAGCAAGCCGCGGCCGCTGCAACAGTCGCGCGCATCGCGGCGGAAGAGGCGGCGCAAGCGGCGGCACGACAGGCCGCGGCGGCGGCCCTGGCAGCAATGCAAGCGGATTCAGACTCTGCGTCGCAAGCCGCGGCTGCGAAGGCCGCAGCGGATGCAGCCGCAGAACAAGCCGCGGAGGAGGCAGCCGCGGTAAGAGCTGCAGAGGAAGCAGCACTGGCGAAAGCTGCCCAAGAAGCAAAAGTTACGGCTAATGCAGCACTATCCTGCGTGACCGTGAGCAGGTATTCCATGATTAAGTTTTAGTTTACTCCCCTCGTGTGCCTGAAAAGAAGAAGCATAATTTACTTATCATGAGGCGAATGCTATTTTCATCACTCAAATGCGGGTCACAGCATAATCTTCCTTTTGAATCATAGCTAAATCCACTAACTATGTAGTAGCGCTAAAAAAGACGCGAGAGCCGCTCATGAGGTCGCAGATTTGAAGGAGGCGGAAGCGGTTGAGGAAGAACAACAGGCGGATGAGGAAGAGGAGAACAGACGTGCTGAAAGTCAAAGCACTACCGAGATGCCTCCGCTGTCGGAAGAACATGAGGCGGCCACGGGAACAACAAACCAGCGATCCTTAAGGGTAGTTTTTCATTATCCCGCTTTCAGTGGAGAATGTACTTCTACTTCGGGTCTGTATCCTGGTTTAAAGCAGGACTGACTCCGGGAAATTTCGAGAAAGATGGAGTCCTTCCCTCCACCAGCACGGGCAATGAGACACTACCTCACCTCTAAAAACGGGTCCAGGCACCAACAGCCAAGAACAGGTAGCACAAATACTCAAGAATGTGCCGGATTTGAAAAAGCAAATTCTGCAAGCAATCCACCACAATATCGCAGGCTACCAGTTAGAGGCGGAATTAGATAAGTTCGCGAACGTGGGAAACAGGTAATACCAAGCCCATGTTCTTTTTCAAACAACGTTCCTATGTAAACTCAGATTTATTATTCCCTGGGACAATATCAAAATCAATAATGAAGAACCTTCTTCTAGGTAAAGCCCTTTCAACAACTACTGAGATGAAAATTTTAGCTAACTAACCCTAACGCAGACGCTAGTACGTGTGAAATCATATAACTAAGTAACCTAGAACACACCAAAAGGCTTAAAATAATCGTTTCTTTATCTAACTCCAGTTACTCTTTCGGTGTGAGCAGTACCGGAATGTCGTTTTCGTTTCAGGGCTTTCCCGATCATTTGGAAGAGATGATGAAGCTTGTTGTTCCGCGTGCGGTGAATCCGATAGCGCGAAGCGTGGATAGTGAATTGGAACTCCGCAAACAGTTCCGTTTTGTTGTGCAAAACATGCGCGCGAACCTCATGGACGTCTCCAACATTCTAGCAGTCCAGCATTCGAGCTCGTAATAATGCCCTCAACAAGCATCACATACTCATACTGTAATCCATCAGTTTATTTAGCTGCAATTATCTTTGGAGATGAAGTTCAGAGTTCTCTCTGATCTTCAATTGACGAGAACTACTAGGGACGCGCACTTGTACCAATCACATAGTTTTTTACTGAAGATCCTACGTGGCAACACTCTTCGTCACTCAGAATGAAAATCAGGTATCAAGGCCTAGTCTTGTCAGCGGAAGCTTTCTCTCGAGAGGAGAAACTAGCGTTCGTTTCGAAGTACTACAATCCGCCAGCCGGATCGCCGGACGCCGAAGCGGCTTCAACTAAAGAGAGCAGTAGTAACACCGACGAAGATGGTGGTGTGCAAGGTGGCATTTCCAGTAGAGGACAAGAAACTCAAGGAGGTAAAGAATCTGTTCCGACGACATCGCTGGCCTTGCAGAGCATGCGCGACAAGGGCGCTACGAAGAAAGGTGGAGATCGCCGGACACACTCCTCGACGAAGGAGATTAAGCGCTCTGCGTTGGCTGCGCGCGCACTGAAGGAATTAAAGAAGGCCGAAAATATTGCAGCCGACCTGCGCAAGCGCCGAGCTAGCCGTGGCTCTATGGACGAGAGCGTTACAGAGGCAGAGAAACGACTCGTGCGCGTCGAAGAAATAATGACCTCTCTCCAAAACTACGCGGAAAAGCATGGTTCAAAATCGGGTAAGACGAGCAATAGCGAAGAAGCGGACTCAAACGAGGACGATAGGGAGTCCAACGTCGATAAGGACGCTGAAGAAGAAGAAGAAGAAGATGATGATGCGCTGAAGGCACAAAACCAAAACGTAGGAAAAATTGAGGAAGACGATGAAAGCGAATCCTTCGAATCCAGTGCAATCTCGTTTTTACAATCCTTGCAGGACTCAGAACTCAGCTTCCAGGACGAAGATGAAGCAGAGGACGTACCGAATGTTTCACTTGTTGTAATACTGTACTGGTAATGTAATACTAATCAATGGGCAAGACATGATATGAAATTCCTACTTGTTGTGCGAATTTTTCCAATATCGCCATTTGCACAGCCGTTTGAAGGGACGAATCTTGCTTCCCTGTACGACGATTTCCAGACATATTTGAAGCGTCCGGATATGAAGGTGAAACTGAAGGTCACCTTAAGGCTTCCCCAAATTCATCTTAAGAAGCATCTTTGAAACGGTTTCAATGGGAGAAGAGGGCAAAGATGCGCTTCGAGATGAATAAAGAAAAGTTCTAATCGCCGCGTTTTCTGTGGGCAATATGCGTTATGAGCAAGCAGTGTCCATGACCAGCCTGATGCGCGATCTCATCAGTCGCGCAGACGCTCGCGAGGTTCTTCGCGCCGATAGGAACGCGACCTACAATCTGCACGACAGTGCGCCCAACAGCTTAGCGGAGGCCCACTCTGCCGCCAACGACAAATACCGCCACCTGCGACATGAACACGCAGTTCGGAACGTACTAAGTAGTAGACACTCGGCGGCCCACAGCAACACGGCGTTGTATGAAGGCGATAACAAACCGCTGAGTATGACCACTGATGCTGCAATGAGCGCAGGCATTGCGCACATGCAAGCCGTCGCGGCAGCAAGGCGCTCAGCGGCCAGACCAGGGTTGCCTTTTGGGTCCCTCTTCTCCACCAACAGTGCTTGTGGAAACAGGACTGAGGACGAAGAGCGCAAGGAAGGAGAAGAAATCAAGAAGATGTTTGTACCAGTTTACGAGCCCGTAGTGCTGAATCCGGGAGAGCGCATTGAAATGCGTCTTCAGAATCCAATTCCGACGGACGACAATGATGCTATCCGGGTCACCTATCAATTCGGTATTCCCGATGTGAAGGAGAAAGCGTTATTGAATATTTTGGCACCATTGGTGCAAAAGGAAACATTTTCCTTCCTGCGAACGGAGAAGCAGTTGGGCTACATCGTCTTTGGACATATCGCACCAACGGGAAATGTCGTCGAACTTAGCATTGGCGTACAGGGAACGAAAATGACTCCGGATCAAGTAGAGTCCTTTATTCTTGACCTCTAAGTATATTATGTACCTCTAAAAGTACCTTCTAGGACTACCCTAGGCCCAGGAGGCTTGAGGGCTCTTATTGTCGACCACAACAGAATGGTCTGTTATTTAAAGACTACGGAACGGACCGAACATATGACATCTGTCATTTTCGAGAACTCCATAAAAAATCATAACATTAAATAACTCAGATCGAGGCGCTGGTTACTGAGAACAATAAACGTATCCGGAATTTGTTGATGAACATGCCGCTGTTAGAGATCGAGAAGCGTCGCGATGCGCTAATAAGCTCACTGGAAACACCGCATGCAAACTTGGCGGAGCAATACGACGCTGTTTGGACTCAGATAGCCGGCGATCATTTGTGCTTCCAACTGAAGCAGTGGATGCTCGAATACTTAAGGCCGCTAGATTGTCATATTATTGATATGCAAGAATAGCGAAGGTGTTCGACATAGCTAGTTGGGGCGCGTACTATATTCGCAGACTATCGGCATCCCTCTTCCTCTCTCTTCAGTATTCCGCATTCTGCACGTATTCGTGGGGGCTGCGCATCCTACACGCAGCGTATGCGATTGGCCATCACACACGGCATTCATATTCTACTCGTGCTCGTATTCACTCTATTCCTACTCAAGTATTTAGTACTCACCCTATGTAGTCTGCACCTTCAAGTATGCACCTCAACTACTCAAGCTCATACTGCAGATAAGTAAGAGCAACCACATTAGCACTCACTTCGTTACGCCTACACCGAGGTTGTCGTGTGGAGTAAGTTGTCTGGTCAGGCCTAAGATTCATGACGCACAAAAAACGCGATCATAACTCCTCGACCCTTAGACCAGTGTAACTAGAGAAGGGGACGACACATTATCCTTTTTCATTTGAGTGAGTAGAGGTTGCGCCTCTTGAAGCAAGTTGAAAGCAAATTTAATTCAATTTAATTTGCTACAAGTGTTTCTTCTAAAGTATTTGAAGGGGTATATGCTGCCAGCGGCCGCTTTGGAAGAGGCACACGACATCGACGACCTTACCGATGATGCTAAAGAGGCACAACAAATTGCCGAAGAAGCCTCGCAGGAGGAGGAAGGAGCCGCTGCTTAAGACGAACACCATGTGTAGTGTACGTTAGTTAAAATAAAAATTCAAAGATAAGAGCATCCCAAACTTCGTTCAGCACATGCCAACCCTTCAACCCGTTCCGACTTACGTGGGTGGAAGTATACCAACGACGACGAAGAGATGCACGCTGTGGCTGAGTACTTAGCTCTAATCTACGCAGGTTGTACCCCAGTCGTCATCGGATAAAAGGGCGGGCGAGGAAACTGCGACCGCTGAGGAGCAAGTCTTCAGCCCTGAAAGCCAACAGGAGGCGGAGTCTTATAGCACCACACCAGCGCCTGACTCTTCTATCGCTGACATCGATGACCAGAACCAGGAGAAAGACACGTTATGAAAAATAATCACGATATTACGTATGTTAACCGCAAAAATTCTACTATCTTTGTTCTCTCTATTTCTGGATGTGCATCATCTCCTGTACGGGGATCAAAATAATCAACGTTTGATCTGTGGTCATCTTATTTTTACATTTGATTTTCAGTTTCACCTACTTCTTGCTTCATTTCCCCTGGCAGACAAGATGTATGAAAAGGACGAGAACGAACTGGACCAAGAAGTTGTGGAGCAGGATCAGGAACGAGAGCAGGAGCAGGAGGTAACCTCCAATAGCACAACATCAAGTGAAACGACTGAAGGTGGCCCTTCACTGACAGAAAAGGGAGACAATGAGGGTCTGGAGGTTGACTTACTAGAAGGTCACGACAACTTCGGATACGACAACGAAGAAGCATCCTCTTCTTTTCTACAAGTCGAGGAGACTCCGAAGAGCAAGAAGCAGGGCCATCCCCTGCAACAAAGGTTCACTTCACACTCAACCTCAGCGAGTCTAGCGAGAGTCACTTCTGCAAAGAAGAGAACACTGGTGGCTCTGCACAACGCCGAAGGCGGTAGAGCAGAGCAGTACCGCCGGGCGAGAAAGAGGGAGCGGAAACTAGAAGAAATGATAGTCAGAGAAGCCATGATGCTGTCAGAAGTCCGAAAAGAAATTCGGAACGGATTCGGCGGTTGGCAAAGCACCTCACCGCTTCAAATAGTCGAAGTCGGAAGAAGGTTCTTCTTTTTTGTAAGTACTCATAACCGGGGGACGGGAGAACAGCCTGCAGGAGGTGCTCAGTGGCTGTTCCCTGACCTCTCCTACCCCTTTGGGTACTCTCCTTTCTTCCTGTAAACAACTTGTCGGCTGTGCTCTCTACTTCTCTTTCATCCTTTCCTCTTCTTCCATGTCGTCACGCTGAAACTACTATTAGCTTCATCATATAAAAGTAGCTCTTCTTCTGTTTTCGTTCCTTTTCCAAAACACCACTTAGGAACAGCTGAGAGCTGAAAGCTTCACAACATCCCCAACAAGATCGTTAAATCAATGCCTTACACTCTTTGGCTTTAAAGTTATTTTTTATTCTGTTTTGAAAAAGAAATTATCTCTATGTTGTCGCCGAACTAGAAGCATGTAAAACTAAATGTAAATTGCTTATCATGATTCACGATCATCGTCCACCCAGGTCCATGGCGGAGGAGAAATTCATGCGCAAACGCGGCTCAGCGGCCGGTCAACCAGACGAAAGGTCTATGCTTGCACAAGGGCACAAGTACGTGCGAAAAATCCATGGCAAGGCAAACGCTGCTTTTCGAGGGAAGCAAGAGAGACTACAACAAGGAAGAGCCTCTTCATCATCGAAGGACAAGGCCACCATGTCGAAGGCACAATACACTTCCTCTAGTTCTACCAGGACTGAGCTGGAGAAGGCAAAGGCACAGGCGCTCCACACTGTGCAGAACGATCTTGTTGCAGTGTGGGACAAATTTTTTAAGGAGGATCCAATAGTAGTGAAATTATACGGGACCGACTCGGCGAAGAAGATGAAATCAGCTTTGCAGGAGGCCGCCACCGGAGTGGGCGAGGGCGGCATTTGCAAGGCATTACCTAGTAAAACTACGAACAAATCTTCCTTCGCAGAAATGCATAGGAGAGCTACGCAGAGCATCGCAACATCAGCATCCAGTAGATCACCCGCAACGCCTTTACACGATACGTGTCTCCTAACCGAAGTTCCGGACTCACACGATAAGCAAGAGATCTTCCGAACGCAGCACTTCACGTCCTATAGCAGGGACATCGTGTGCAGTTAAGGTTTGCAGTAATTCATCTTGTGGAGGAGCACGAGCATGCTGTTTGGTCTCCTTTTTCTTGAGGAGAGGAAAGCACCAAAAAGATGACTTGTCTATTCTTCTTCTTCAGGATGAATATTTATAAGCAAGCTCTAATGTACGCCCTATAAGCCGCCAGGAGAGGGGCAACAGCAACTATTCCTCTGAATAAACGATGGGAGGTGGGAGGTTGATACTGTTGTACTCACTGTGAGAGTATGAATGTTTTTGTTAGTTTTTTCTTCAACTTGATGCAGTTACAGATATTAGATAAAAATTCCTCAAGTGTGTAAAACTTTGAAGAACAAATACAATCAGGAAATGCCATACCTATTTGAGTTCGAATAGCAGAACGTGGCTACTACATCGACGTTATCTTTGTTTCCATTTGAGCATCACGTTAGTTACCCCAGTACTAGTACTTACTTGTAAGAGTAAGAGCAAGAAGATTAACGTTGCAGTACTCCAACCCTAACAGATGATTTGAATTTCAATTTTCTTGAGCTTAACGCGATTCTGAGTTTTGACGAAGGTCTGTTGTGTAAAGCTGAATAGTACTAAGTCTTTTTCACGAGGAATAGTATTAATAAATGTTATCGGCAATCCCAAGCGCAACTAAAGCGAGATTTAAGAGTCCCTTTCTTTATCATGTTCACTTTCTATCTCTTTCAGAATCATCCTGCAGCAAGAGACTATCTCCATGAATGTGGTAGCTGATGTTGACTATGTAGTATTGTTTAAAACTATTTGTACAGAATCAATTGGCTCTTTTCAGTTAGATGACGCACCTTTTTGGATAGAGAGACATTGCGTAGTTTTTAAAAAGTACGACTGAAATAAATTGCTGCAGTCAGCCTGATTTTTTCGAGGTTCGGTTGCCGTGTATATCATACTATCATTTAGGATCATTATGGAGTAACAAGATGTGCATTCTCACCAGGTGAACCTGCAGTCCTTTTCTTTTGCCTTTTTTTTGTACGTACTGAGCATGAACAAGAAAAAAACTCGTTCAATTTTGAAGAGATGACGAACCCTACAGATTTATGTTTCTCGTCCGCCCATGCTGATCAAAAGTTCTGCTTTTTATGTCCCCGCCACCGGACGATAGATAATGTAAACGTGCTACAGCTTCCTCGGCAAAACTGCAGCAAAGACCCGCACAAGATGTATCACAACTGCTGCGTGCATGCTCATGCACCATGATGAAGATTCTGACTATTGGACGATAGAAGAGGCAGGAGGCAGAACTAGTACGGGACCGCAGCCCTCAGCGAGTGCGAGTCCTCGCAGTACACTTTTTGTCGATGAAGATGCGGAACTAGCTACTCACAATTCTATAGATAATTGAGCTCATCAAATGAGACTCCCCTCCAATATTGTTCTTGGACAGCTAGTTAAAGATCTATAGTATTTTTTTTCTCGGTGGATGTCTGTGAATCTGGATACTAGATTATCAGCATGAAGATTGGCGTCATGTGTATAAGAAGCTACGCACATAGAGACATAAGCATGATTGAGTGATAACGATCTCACGAAAAAGGCGAAGCTCAACAGTGGCTGGGTACTCGAACATTTTCACAAGGTGGCCCTTTCCAGCGAAATAATTCAATGCGCTAATTAGCGTTTTAATTCAGTCAGTCTTTGTTCGTGATCATGTAATCTCAGTGTGTCATAAAGAATTATACTAGGTAATTTTGCACAGATTTATCACCTAGTACAACAGCTCGTCATGCACATTACCAATTATTACGGACTGATTCTATTTCAGAAAAACTCCTCGATCATTCCTATGTATAAGTATAAATATGAATCTCAGTCAAAAATATCATCAATATTCATCTGATGATGGGCCGAGCTTTGGGTACAGACGCGCGCACCACAGAACTTGTTTTGGCCATGGCCCGCCAGTATTCCATTTTATAGCAGTGGCATTAGCATCCATGATGAAAATAAGTAAGATCGAATAGAATATTTAACTCCACTGATGTATACAAGTTTTGAGGGGAAAAATACGGTTCAAGATGGAGTTGAAAAGTAAATGTCACACCAGTCAGGCAAAAAGCCAGCAAACTGGAGGCGTATTTTACAGGATTCGAAGGAAAGAGTGAAGTATCAGAAAAAGAAGTGGAACAAGATGCATGGGCATGGGAGAGTTTCGGGACTGCAGTGCCAGCTGTCCACATATGGACCTAGCTTCTTGGCCACATCGTCATCCAGCTTTTTAACTGTCCGCGCACAAGCATGAGTAGGGCTGAGGCGGGAACCCCCCTAATCCTAATCCTAGGATGCTGTGCTCTGCTGTGTCTGCACGATCATGAGCATGTCGGCACGCAGCAACTTAGAGTACTACACCAGAGTAAACCTAGAGAGTCCTAGCGTTAGCGCTTTGTTCACAATCAGTATCACAGCTCCGTGGACAGGCTCAGATAAACTCGTTCTGCAGCGAGTTCTGAGTGAAAAGGCACGTGAGTGTGCGAGCAGTAGTTGTATTTGTAGCAGTGATTACTAGTTTTAGCTGCAGCAGTGTTCTTGCGCTTGCGGTTTTATAGTTAATCTGCATAACTAGAACCACAAGGAAGACAAAAGTAGATGCGTGCTGGTGGTGTGCCGGTTGTACCGGAGCCTGTAATTGGAAGCTCGGACGTCACTGTGGATGATCCCCAAGAGAATCCATCACGAGGAGGAGCATTAACACGTAAGCAAGAACAGGAAAACCGATTAATCCGACGATTCCTGCGGTCCCGACTCGACGAATTGAGCATCCGAAATGGAATACCTTTTTCCTCCGTGCAGGAAACCTACGGAACGCCCTTCCTATTCCTGGCCGTCGAGGAGTTGCGAGCTCGAGGTCACGATTCAGCATGGATGCCAGCACGAGTGCTTGAAACATGCGCCGACTCTGCGCCAGCGGCTGAGGTTGCTGAAGTAGAGACAGGGACAGGAGCTATCGTGTTCCCACAATCAACAGTCTCATCATCTTCTTCCCTATTTTCCACATGTACCAGGCGTCGTCAAACAAACAAAACTGCCAAAGCCGAAAACTACGCGCTGGCCCAACAGGCACTTCTGTGGATGGAAGACTATCCAGCCGCCAGCATCTTGCAGCTCCAATCCGTCCGGTTCTTGAACTCTCGATGCGCCTCTTGCGGGCAAGACCGGAATTTTCGGGAACTCCTGTTCAAACGTGGAGTGCTGAAACATCTGCACCAAGCCTGGCGTACCGCTGCTGCCTCAATCGTTGCGTACTGTTCACCATCGTTTCTATCCAAGACAACCGAAACGCTCGACCCAGTGAGGACTGCAAAGAAAGACGGAAAGGCCGAAAAGGAGGAGCGCAACGAAGAAAACTTGGAATTATCCGAAACGGAGACGAACAACCGAGAAGCGACATTACTGGAATCAATAGCTAGTGCCTCGCATAGGGAGGAAAAACCCGCGACAAGTAGTCCCAGCACAGATCAACAGAACCTGCAACATGCAGCTTCGTGCGTAAAAGTCGCAAAGAAAATAATAGCAAGAAAACGATCCGCAGGCGCTTCTCAACGCTGCGCCGGTGAGATTCTAAAGCTACTGCTATACCTTGCGCAGGAGGACCATCTTGCGTACCTGATCCTTAGAACAAGACAGTCGGACGACTCGGATCAACAACAACAGCAAAATTTCAGCCAGCTTGGGAATCGCGCTACGACCAGGGTTTTAGATTTCGCCGCACTTGATCACGATGGCCAGAACTATGATAGAAACATCGTCAATAACGTAAACTCGCATAGCACCAATCAGAATCGAGTTCCATCCACTTCTCAACTTTCTCGTCTAGGACTCACCACCGATTCATTCCGCAGTAGAGTGGGGTCGCGTGTCGCGAGACATCCAGCAGCCTGGCTTGCTGACATTATTGCCGTAGTCTTGTCTCCTCCTGAGCCTCGCTTGACAGGACGCTTATCATCCCCTGAACAGAATCCCGATGAAGACTCACCACTCTCAGCGGTAGTATCTTCAGCACAGAAGCTTTTGGGTGCGTCCTCGACTGCCGAAACCAGCAGTACTGCAGTGCAGTACAAAGCCGCAGCGATCGCCCTCTTTTGCAAACTTGCTTCAATAGAACGGTTGATGACAAAATCGACTTCATGGCAGCAACACTCAGTTACTTTGTTACCAACATGATAGATCACGCATTTCGCGCCCCACTTAGTCTCAGAGTATGCGAAAAGGACACCCAAATTTCGATTCTATTTACATGCATTGCGAGAGTATGAATGAGCATGAGAAAATGATATCACGCACCAGCTAGAGCTAGTTGATTGCAGCATTTAGCTATAATTCGTTTCATGTTTTTATGCAAGCAATTTGAAAATGGAAGCAGCTTGATTCATGATTGAGGGAGCAGTGCTCCTGTATTGGAAACTTCTAGTAGAAGTAGAATTGCGAAAAGTAGCTCATGCTCTAACTTGCAATAATATATAAGATTTATGATGTGTCACCATGTTGCGCCATTAGTTTTGCTCGAGCAGACGGACCTTTACAAATGTTGAGTTGTGATATTTGAACATCTAGTGAGGGAAATGAGAGCGAACATCAGTACCTACCTAGTTCAAAGAGGACGTCGTTGAACTTGTACTTGCATGGACTGCGAGAATTGCGTATGCTCTGAGTGTTGAAGATAGCAAAAAGCAAGTGAAAGTTAACATACTTAGTAGAAAACTCGAGTTCGCCGGAAAATGAGATTTAGAATAGATGTTGGCAAAGCGGTCCTCTTCGAAAAAAGGAAACTTATGCACGACCACCCCACACGAAAACTTTTATGTTTTATATATAATTATAAATATAATTCCTTTACCTTTTTTTGTGTGTTTTTTTTATAACAAACAACATTTTATGTTTTATAACAAAAGCACACTACAATACAGTCAGGCTCACTTAGCACACAGGAGGAGAAGGGAGTGACCACTTTTTTTAGTTCTTATAAGTAATCTTGTATTCGTCGGTTCTTGCTCTTTGTCCTTTTGAATTTATATTTGAGCGCTTCTGCCTGTCTATGCATCCATGCACTCTGCGGCGAAAGGGAATTAAGTATAAGTTCCAATTTGGATATAACAATTTTTAGAAGTAAAACCAAAAAATATTAAGAGACATGTTCTTCATAAAGTACCGCGACAAGAAGAGGCTTGCGGAGGCTGCAAGATCCGGGCAGCACCGCCGCGGTCGACCACTTCATATGAAGCGCGATGCAGAGCAATCGAAGGGACCCCTCAGCCGCGTTACATCGCTGATAATAGCAGCGATGCTGCTGCAGCGCCGAATCAGTTCGCCGCAGAATGTCGTCTCTCCCGATGCCACTTGCGACGCATCGATGAAGATTGAATACTGTTACGATAGCGCGAAAACGAACAAGGGTGCGCCAGAAGGAGGAACAGATTGGGTGCTGCTAGGGTCATCCCCCTTCAGGCGCTGCTGGACTGATGATGTACACGCGTCTCTGAGTGCCTTTTTTGGAGCAGCAGGCAGCGCCATTAGCTTCAGCCTCGAGGTTCCTGTTGTGGCTGCACAACTGAATATTACCGTCCTTAGCAACACCGGCACCGCGGAGACACAGGCGCCCACTAAGTCTACGGAGACGACAGTGCAGACAACAACAGGTCCCGTAGTCGGATACCTCGACAAGCCTTCGCTGCCAGGGCATGAAATGCATCTTTGTTGCAAGTACTTACCTATGTGTTCAGTAGCCAACAAAATGCATCTTTGTTGCAAGTACTTACCTTGTTCAAAGCAAGAACTAGAACTAATAGATGCCTTATAATGCATCTTTGTTGCAAGTACTTAGTAAGTAGGACTTTGTTGTAAGTACCACTTACCTTGGGCAAACCAGGGCACAAAATGCATCTTTGTGGCAAGTACTTACCTATGTGTTCAGTAGCCAACAAAATGCATCTTTGTTGAAAGTAATTTATTACCTATACCTTGTTCAAACCAAAAATATTTATGACATAAAAGCATTGAATTCAAATTGCTTGTTTGAATTGAGAGTGTAAATATGATTTTGGTCTCCTTCGGTTTGTTGTATCATCATCGTTATTCCGTCTCGGCCGTGCTTTCGCGTCGTAATTTCACCTCCACGTCGTTTACTGAGAATGCATAGGAAATTTGTTTTTGCGATTTTCATCAAAAATTCATCGTGATCCAGCTACAACGACCTGTCACCCCGCTCCCGCGACCCTGAAAGCCAGTTTGGCTATAACGGGTTCAAAGTCACCGTCCCAGTTGCACGAAATGCATCTGCTCTAGTTGATGCCGGTTGCTCTAGCCCAAGCGAAGATGAGCCCCTGAACTTTCCACGAGAGTTCACTAAAGAATTTGCTGCCTGCGATTTTTGCGCGTGCCTGTGGTACTACGGCGCGCCAGCGAGACAACGCTGCTGTTCCGTAAAGGAGTTTGGCATGGCGGGAGTGGATCCCGACACCGGATGGGAATACTGCACAGAGCTATATCACGTGTACATTTGTTGGATGTCTGTATAAGCGAAAAAATGTTCTTAAGTTCTTGATTCACCTAGTTTTTTGCTGTGACTGTGAGGGCAAGAAGAATGACATGATTATGATAAGGATGAGAAGCATTTTTTGGGATGGCACACCTGCAACTCGGAAGGTGTCATCGAGATCGATTTTCATTTTCTCACCCTTTTCAATGATTATACCTCACTCTAACATCGCCCTCCTCGCGCTTCGCCGAGCTTCAATTTCCATCTTTCCTTTTCTTTCTCTCTCTTCTCATAACAGAATCACCGACTTCAGGCTTGAATCGGCATCCGGCGACAACAGTATCCACATTTGCGAACTATTCTATGACATTTACCCGTTTCAAGCGCTTTCCAATAGCCGACGACTGCATTCGGCCAACCCAGCGCTCTCGTTGTCTCTTGTCATTTTGTACCTTGCGTGGCTCCTGTGCACTACTAGTGGGCCGCCGCTTCGCCATGCTTCAGATTCATCGAGAACGAATTCGAACTCTTCGCTGCGAGTAAAAAAAGACACTGACACATGGACAACGAGAAGTTATGTCTGCAAACCAGTTTAGAAAAGACTCCTGGACACCGGACCGCGCATCGACGACGCCGACAAAGCGGAAACGTTTCAGATGGAGTGCCAGCGCTTGCAGTTGCCGAGGGTCAGGCGTCACCGCGAGTATCAGTGGCCAAGCTCGTGAGGCGATCCCCGACGTCGAGTCGTAGGCTCTTTGCCGGCGAAAATGCTCATGATAGGCACAAAAATGAGCCTTGCTCACATCCTAGAGGCAGGAAAGCTTCTTGTCAAGATAAATCTTCGTCAAATTTCCTTCATAACTACACACCCGTTCTATTCCGGATTCTTCTCCACAACAAAAGACCCACCTCTCCTTGACGTACGACTACACTAGACCGTGGAATCTGAAATGTATGATTGGAGAAGCTGCCTATTCTTTGTGAGGCCTTGCTCGTTCTGACGTGTTTTCTCCTCGCCGTACTCGTTTGCGAAAGCGGTAAAACGTCTATGTGGAGCGAAACTTCTGTAGTGCTTGAACTGCAAGACGACCATGCAGTAGCGAGCAAGGTAACCAAAACTGTATATTCGTATTAAATCTTGTAGTACTAGCTTTTTGTGCCTCTCGACTGTGAATCAAAAAAGAAGTTTCAACCTAAATTGAGAGGGTGGTACAACGGCATTGGTGCAGGAAACTCTGCTACAGGTAGTTAGTTCTTTTCTCAACAATAGTGAATTAAATCACATATACTTGTACGATGCGGATGCCAGTACCAAAAGAAGTCGAGTAGGGGGGGCGTGCCACACGTCCTGCAGTTATGCGTCTTCCAGAGACCGGAACTAGGGTCTGTGATCTCTCAGAGAAGCACTAGAGGTTGAATAGACATCGTCAAAATCCTGCAAACCGTCACCGGCCGCCGCAGGGCAGATGGGGGTAGGGTCGCATCACTCCCCTCCCGTGGTGCGACGGCCGCAGTCTCAGGGTAAACGAAGTCTGCTATCCATCCGTAGTCGACGAAAAACTGCAACATCTTTTTTGATATCGTTCGGCGGCGCAGCACACACTGCCAACAGCTTCTTGGTGTCGGCGAATAAGAGACACCGACAACCAGCGACATCGATACCCTCGTCGGGTGGGAATGCAACCGATAACTATAGTACAACGAGCTCTACAACTACGCCGAAGTATCCACTGCAGCAAAACGCCGCGCAATGGGTTGAGCCGTTTACCTGGAATCTAGCCACCGGTTTGACAGACTACGATACGGACAAGTGGGTCGTGGGTATCTTCATCTATCCTCTTCTACTCTCGTAGAGGTAGTGGGAGAGCAGTTCGAGTGTTCAACATCTATTCTAATTCTGGCTTCGTAAATCGCCCATTTTGTCCACTATCAGGCTAATGAATATTCTGTGAAGATGTTCTTCTTGTTACAAATTCTCAGCTCGGGGCATTCCAGCCGGCTACGTACTGTATCGAAAGTCTGGTTGTTATCTAGAAGGCGGAAGTAATGTGCAGAGCATCGAGGATGTGCCAAGCATCGGGGTAGAAGACGACCTGAGGGCGCCGCCGCTTCCCAGCAATCCGCTGGTCACAAGATCATTCGACTTCAACCGGCGAGGCGATACGACAATAGTACATTATGCCCTGTAAGGGTTAAAACTCAACATCTCCTCCTCACCCTTAAACTCATCGTGCACGCTACTTGTTGTTATGTGGCTCATCATGATGTATGTAGTAATCAATTGCTGTGCAGCGTCGAAATGACATGAGTCGCCACTTCATCTTAACTAAATGTTGGAAGGATCGATGAAACAGGGCCTGCTTGCCCTACTATACTAGTACCAGTAGAAGTAGTCTGGTTGTATATAACCTGCAAGTGCATCTCAGTTTCTATGATCTTCCATGCGAGGACGAGCAGGACGACTTCTAATATTTGCTGGCAGAGTGGTGCTCAGCCCGTGACGGAAAGTCAAATTCGACGCATTGGAGTGATGTTTGGACTGACCAGATGGAAAATTGTACTGCTATTGTCCTCCGACGCTTCGATAACGACAACGCATTTGGAAAAAACGCCAGTGTTGTGTATGAGGAAGATTTTTTTCTCATGGAAAAGTAACAGTCGTAGGTAAACACCAGAGTAGTATGAGTTTTTGACAGTGGTCGAATAGAAGGAGGGGTCGCTTCCCCTCAATTGCTCTCATTTCTTCAATCAAGCAGAGCAAGGCCACGCGCAGACGGAAACAGTCTAGAAAATATGACGTCTCTTTGTTTGCATGATACTTAGTTAAGCAGACTAAACCACATGGAATTCCGAGTTTCCTCTCCTGCCCTTGCACGTTCCCCAATTATCGCCCGAATGCCATCATTCATGATCTAAGGTTGCTTGGTGACGACCCAAAATTTACGCACGTAGCGCTTCGCCTCCTGCAAAATCACACAATCGGGTTTGTTAAGCAAGATGGGACCTGTGCGCAAGTCGAAAACGTGGCGACCTATGTGAAGCTTGCACCGTGTATTTTCTCCTTGATTTTTGTTCTCTTTCTGTGACTTTATGATCTGTGTCATAATTTGGGTGTGAACGTCTGAATTATTGAAAAAGTGTTTTATTAGCTGCCATCATTATTTTCGATTTTGCTGACTCCTGAGACTGAGACGACATGAACGAAATCAAAAATCGACCGATGCTATCGGAGTAGACTGCGCTTGTTTTCTACTTCTAGTACTCCTACGTTCTTGTACTACCAGATGGCATGCGTGGGATCTACGGCAACTTCGTCACTGGTTTGGGTACGTTGCGATCTCCACCGCAACTTGAAGAAGACCTACAAACCAGCATTGGCAATCCAACCACGTTTTCGAATCTTCCAGAAAAGTACGCGCAAACAGACCCGGCAGTTTGCACTGCGAAATGCGCCGCCAGCACAACATGTGTAGCCTTCGTCCATGCCGACGAAAAGTTCTGCTTATGACGCGAAGTACTTTTTAATTGTTGATAGGTCCATGAAAAAATGTCTTGAACGTGAGAGATATTTCTTGTGTAAATCTAAAAAATCTCTGATGTGGATGTGAAGCATTGTAGCAGGAGCAGAGGCGCACAGCGCGCCGTCTTCTGTTGGATGACAAGCACAACCCAATATACTTCTCGTCCTCCGCGTCCTGGTTCTATTTTCATTCCCTCTGTTCGGCACCGGTCTGCGCAGTAGGACGGAAATAGAAGCCGATGACGATAGTGGATCCTATTCGTGCAGCGGCAACGGGCTTACTGACGCAACGCACTGCGTCACCTACGTTCCTGATCCTAAAGTTGTGGCTGCTCCATCGACACTGCCGAGGTGAAGCACCACAACTAGGCTAAAGTTGCAGACTTCACATTGTAAATCATTTTAGATTTTTGCATGCCAGCTACAGACATTCAGTCCTTTTATTCCTTTCGACTGATTCCAGACTCGCCGTTCCGCAGAATCCATGGGAATTCCAGGTTTCATCTTCAAGACCATTCCGAGAATACTATGTTATACGAAACCGAAGAGTAAGAGTAAAAGTTAGTTTGTATTTGTAAGTGTATCCAGGCGACATCACCGAGGATGAGGCTTTTCCTTGCCCATTTGTGTTCCTTCTATAGTACAAGGAGACGAATTTCTTCCATCGATGTACAAGTCTGCAAATAGTTGTACACAGCACGAATGATGAAACCAGACAGTGACAGTTGTATTACAGCAACGCACGACACATCAGGCTTCCTACACGAGTTTCCATCCAACCCCTCCCTTGCGACATTTTTGTCGTCAAAGATCGTGTTGATTTTACTTTTCCCAGTAGATGCGCATTTATTACAATTAAATGCTGACGTGGTATGCGTTAGCAGTGACTTTTTTCCTGCTGCAGTAGCAGGTGCTCCTGAAGCATCGATAAGTCATCATGGTCACTTCGTCTGTCCCGCCTGCCGATCCGAGCACCACTGAAGCTGGTTCGTCGAGGTTGCCTCCGGACGGGCCTGCTCCAAGGGAGAAGAAGTATGTTAGACTCTACTATGCACCGACTCCGAATGGTTGGAAAGTTTCGATTTTGCTTGAAGAGGTGGGCATCCCCTACGAGATTATTCCGATGAATCTTGCCGCGAGAAACCAGTACAAGGAGAGCTCGCGATAAGTCCCAATGGCAAGATGCCTGCCGTGGAAATATTGGAAAGGATCGTCGATGGCAAAAATGCATATGAGGTCGTGGACACGTGCTTCGAATCAGGCGCCAGAATGTGGTGGCTGGCGACTCGGCACTTTCGTGCGCAGCTACGGCCATTCATCCCAAGAAAAGACGAGCGGGACGCTCTGGAGTGGCTTTTTTGGTTGAACGCGAATCGGGAACCTGTTGCCGGTACCGTGAGCCATTTTCTCTACTACGCCCCGCCGAAAATCATCGCTGCCTCCTCACAAGATAAAAAAGTATCAACTTCCTATAACGAGGACACTGAAAAAGAAAAACGTCCAGGAGATCCAGCACTCCTTGTGAAATACAGTCTCACGCGTGCTCGCACCGAGTATTCTCGTTTATTGCATGTTTTGGTCCGCCGCGTCGCAAACGGTCGATTCCTTGCCGGCGAGAAGTATACACTTGCAGATATGGCTGCTTGGCCGTGGGCAGAGCCGTGGAAACGATGGATGGGAAAAAGCTTAGCTGAAGCCGGCTTACCGAATGCTGACGAGTGGTTCGAGAAACTGCGGAACAGGCCAGCATTGCAACATGGGATCGCAGTAATGCGAAAAATAAGGCAAAAAAATTAGCGAAGAGTCCACTTGCAATTACAATAGTAGATGCAATTTGATATTGATTTTGAAAATCAAGCAACCACTTGCGTTTAAATGTATACATGGGCCTATTCTGCCTCTGCCCGTTCTTGAGCCCTGGTTCTTACCGATCAATAACATCATAACTGATCATGCAGTTGCAGAGTCAAACTGTGTACAGTATAATCTTTTTGAGAAAGCAGTCGGTCTCATGTAGCTGCAGTGTCTCTACTCGAGTCACAACGGAACGAGGCAGCTACCTGTAGTTGCTACGTGGTTCGAATGAATGAATGAATGAGAACAAACGTAATACCAGCCCCGCGTAATATCGTAAAAGATTACAAAAAAAACAAAGTGCTCTCTTTCATTTTCTGAGGCACAGCAGCAGCAGCAGCAGCAGCAGGAGAGATTGCGAGAATGCAAGTCAACCGCAAGCATTGACGATGCAAAATAAATGCGTCGAAGAAGCAAAATAAATCCTCTTTGGAAAATCAAAAATGTGATGGTGGCACGACAAAGACGAAAATAATGAAATGATGTTCCTACTTCACGCTGATGGAGGTGGTTCTTGTGCTACTACAAGTACAAAAGACCACCACTAATCATACTGGATATCAACAATGGCAAAATCAACGCAGTTGTAGAGTTTGGGTTCGTTGTGATGATCATGGTGTAAGGTGTAATTTCTTGAGAACCACAGAGACAGAGAAGATCCGATGAAATGAACAGCGCCTTCCGTTCCTCTCATGGAATGCGAAGATCACTAATGTTTATTATTTGTGGATCCGACTTCAAGTTTATGGATCAGAAAATGCTATCATCATCTTTATCCATCAATCAGATCTTCTTGGAAAAATATCAACACCAATTCTTGATGGTCAATCGACTAATTCTTGTCCCCATGAGCTTCTCTTACAGGTTTTCGGGATCCTGGTTTCTTGGGGTGTAGTAGGTCATGATTTTTATAGGCTTGGTTTCAGGAGAAGACGGAGCTAGAAGAAAAACGTTTTGGTTAGTTGTTCACTCCAAAATTGATTGACTTTGACGTCTCTCGCATGAATCTTTACCAAGAATTCCACTTTTCAAAATCTTGTGGGGATGCAAAGAAATATAGTGAAGATTTGGGCCAGGGGTGATCCATAGTTTGACCGACAGCTTCAGTAGGTCGTGCCAGCCTGTGCTTATATTTTCAAGTAGTCGATCCGGTTAGTATTCTCATCAAGTCACCACTTACTATGTATACAGTGATCTCGGAACTTCCGACTGTAGTCTCCTCTCCTAAAAATTTCTTGACACAATCGTTGATTCTTTGAATAAATGTCTTGGCTATGAACTAACGCATCAGAAAGTTATCTCGCAAAAAAGTTTTTCACACTTGTCTCTGGGCCACGCACAAGACCTTTTTGCGCGCATGCTGCCTGTACGAGACGTGACCACATCAGAAACTGTCCTCGTCTAGAGCCACTCATTTGCTAGTTGAGGTCTCACATCTGGTATCTCTTTTCAAACTTCCCACCCCGTGTGGAGTCAACGCAGACATTTGCGCGGATACTGATTGACTGGCAAAATTTTCGACGTATCCACCGATTCTCCTGTACTGCGACAATGTCAGAGCCAGTGGAGGTCCGTATCAACGAAAAGCCCGTCTTTGAGGAGGTGGACGCGGAAATTGTGGTTATCGCAGGATGTGCGTTGGGTTTTGTTTCAACGACGTCGCCACCACACGTCTTGCACATCGAGAGCGGGAGCATCCTTGATAAACATGGAATCGGCATGGACGACATTCTTCTTAGGGTACAACAGACTTCATTTAATGTTGTTTTTCTTATTTATCACGACGTAGTTCCATTTCCATAGATGTGGTTTTAGCAGGTATGCTTTCTAGTTTTTGGAGCACTGGTCCCTGCCTGGCATGACCGATCTGAAAAAACGAAAATGATCTACATGGTGCGGAGTTAATTTAGATCGTAGTTTTGTTCTCATCAGTGTTTGTCATGTGGTTTCAAAAACAAATCTGTGTATCTCAACTCGCATTTTCAAAAAAACAGGTAAATGGGACGAATGTCGGCAACCCATTCCTAGGAAAGGAGCACATTATGAAGCTCTTAACCGAGAAGCTGCCTCTCACGCTTTCATTTGTATTACTACTTACTTAGCTGATGATCAATATGATTAGGCTTCACGTTCACACTTTTGCTTACTTTGTGTCGGTAGGTAAGTTAACTTTTCGTTGTCAAAAAAACGCACCGATTTCCTTTCCTGGAAGGATGAACGCGTACGCGAATTCAATTGTTACGGGATTTATTTGTTGTGATTTTGAACAGGTAAAGCCGCAGGACGCTGCGCAGTATCTTCCAAACTACAAAGGGGGCGACGAAGAAGAGGAGGCACCGGAACCACCAGTAGTGAAGAAAGAAAAAAAGCGACGAAAGAAAAGCAACCAGACTGTAGAGTCAGAGTCTCCAGCCCCGCCACAAAGAGAGTATACTTTCTTTTTAAATATACTCCTGGCTGACGATAATTTTCTGAATAAATAGTTCGGCAATCGAAATCGCAGATGAAGTTGAAAAATGGATAATCTGTTACCGGCGGATTTAGTTGTTAAAGCCTTCACGTTCACCTGAACCCTCGTCTAATCAGGGATTCAATCTCTCTTATGAATATATATTTCCTGCATCAACAATCTCAGACCCCGCGGTCCGTTCGAGGACAGCGACGACGAGGCGAACAGGGAAGGCATTCGCGACAGTTGGACAATTAAGCACAGCGATCACAAGAATACCGGTGGCGTTGTGCTGGTAATTATTTCCTCCGATAACTGAGATCATATAGATATGTAGATGGTTTTTATAGTTCGCACTCACGTATCGCACAATGATGTTTGTTTCAGAAGCACAGAAAAGCGTGTAACTAATCGATGCATATTCAATCTCAATCTCTATTATTTTTCGTGACTTGCAGCCATAGTAGTTCTAGTCGTGGCCATGCATTATATCACTTTCGTCCCCTCAGGTCGAGCGAAAGAATGTGGCAGCTGCTAACCAGGGTATGCAAGTAGGCGGTGTGTGGATGCCCCCAGGAAGGGTACCCACATACTTGCAGCAGCCTGGTAAAGGTGGGATCAATTTGCAGCCAGCTCCTCACCACCAGCAGCAGCATATTATCCTTACACCAGCCGCGAACGTCAATAAGGGTGGAGCCTCCTCATCATCCGCACCGGCTGCGCCAGGGGAAGCTACCGGTACGAAGAAACTTGATCGATTTTTTTGTTACCAATACCATTCGTTACCAATACCATACTTATGAAAATTATTATCGTCGGGGGGACCCCATAGCGAATAAACCGGCACCCTACAGCGAGTAAACCTGTGCACACAACCAGACAGCTGAGCACTCACCGGAGGCGTTGCGCAGGGCTCCGGCCTGCCGTCGAAGGTGAGACCTATGGGGCTGACGGGACTACGAAAGCGCCAGCCTCTTCTTTTTTTAACTTTTCTCGGTTTTTGTGTTTTCCTAGTTAGGTCTGGTCTGCTAGCTCCACCACGAAAATTATTATCGTCAGGGAGCGTTTCTCAGGTTCATAGATGTGAAATTCAAATTTATGAATTTTTTTCAACTGCTACGACCTCGTGGTCGTGCTGTTCCCCAACTTCAAATTTTTGCTTAGAAGCAATAATCGAAGGAACGAATGTAAAAACAACTACAGACACGATTTTGCTGCAGCAGCTGCCGCCGCATCTGCGTAGTTTAGTGGCATTGACGCCGCATCTCGCCCAAATGGGTTTCGCAGACGTGAAGAATATGCGAGCTATGAGCTCAAATACGGCTATGGCAGTTGCCTTTCCGACTGCGGCACGAGCGAGTGAGTGTCTAGCGGCCATTAACGCACTTGGCGGCTTCGCAGGTGACCCGAATATTAAGGCAAGACCCTATTTCAAGGGCCGACACAAAGGAGGCCGAGGGGGCAAGAATGATGGCGCCGGCGGCGGCCATAAAGGCGACGGCGGAAACTGGAACGCAGAAAAGGGCGGCGATGCCGCAGCAAACGGCGCGGCCGCAGACGCGGACCAGAAGCCCGCAACAGGCCAGAAAACAGATAAGTTCGAGAATCAAACGCTAGAATCAGCGGAACTAGCCGCTAAACGGGTCGAAAAGCAGACAGTCGACGAGAAGAAGAAAGTGCTCATAGGTATCATCTACAAATGTAAATGCCGATTCGAGGTCGTTTTCATAGATGCACGACTGCTACTTATGATCAGTGAGGTTAGTATAGGAGGATCGTCTGAGGCGTCACGGTGATGGTGATAAGTAAAAAACCTTGAATACACTTACTACGCTGCCAATTCTTCCCGTTCTAGTTACTAAATACTAGTAAATGCTGAATTCGACTTCGACATCTCTGACAGGTCATGTTACAGAGCGTATGCAGCAGGTGATGAAGAGACTTCAGGAGCCATCGTTGAAGCCAGACCATAAGGCGAAGTATGAGAATATCCTCACACAGTTGAAGAACAAGCTAACCTCACTCTCAGCTCTGCCGAAGCGAAAGACCTACTCGGAGCAGGTAGATCTGATATGATAAATCTTCTTATTCATGATCTTTTCTTCTTATTCTGATATGATAAATCTCTTTTCATCTTGTTTTACAGATGCACTGTGACAGATCATTCTGAGGACCATCTTCGTCGTAGATGCACCACAGATCATTCTTTTTCTTACGACCATCGTAGGAGCGACGACGAAGTTCGTTTCGAATAAACTCATTCAAGACTCCACGAAACTACACCAAAGAAAAGAAAAAGAGAACACATGTCTTTCGTAAATCACAGGTTGCAGAGATTCAAGCAGCTCGTAGCTTCACAGATATGAAGGGCAGCCCCGAGCCACCAGAGCCCAAGAGTGAGACAGTCGAGTTGAAAATTCATCTAAAGGAGGCTGCGAACGTTACGGCAGACACTCCTGCTGATGCGACTTTGTTGTCTCAACTGGGTATAGACTCAGCAAGCGTAGCCTCCTTCAGTTGGATGGAGGCCCCAGTTGCACCTACTGAGGCTACAAAAGGTACTAGACTTTGCTGATCATCTTGTTGTTCTTGATGTTGACAATTTATTAAAACATATTCAGTGTTGTCTTATTTTTCTTCTTACCTTCAAAATTTTGAAAGTTCTCCCACCCCCATGATGTCAGGTCGCGGCGATCTCCCTCTAGACCAGGCGCTCCCGACGCTGACACTGCGACTCCCCAATATGGCTGTTGCGTCAAAAGTAATGGCGCAGGTCGACGACTCATCGAGTTACGCAGTTACACCAATGCTGGAGTCACCGCAGCACACTGCAGTAGCGAATCCGGAGTACAACTATTCCGGGATGGACCAGTAGCAACAGTTTAGGAGTACGAGTCGCGGAGGAGCAGAAGCTTGTGGGCAACTTTAGCTTTATACGATGTTGCTTTTGGGAGCAGGAATAGTAGTCGCGTATCACTGGTGGATAATCTTCGACCTGCATTAGAACAAGGATGGCTGCTGCAGTGGGCGAAGAGGCTCACTAAGGGACACTCTGATGCGCAGATGTATCTGCTACAAATTTTTAGCACCATGCAAGGCGACAGCACGCAAAACCTTGATATTTGTCCTGCGATTCGGGACTTGAATATCTTTTTGCCTTCAGTGGCTTTTTGAGAATATCCGTTATATTTAAGTAAAGTTGCTACCTACTTCTATTACATATGGCGGGCAAGCAACGCACCAGTGGCATTGCCCGCGAAACCGCGCTCCCGTGACCCGATTTATGTTGTAATACACGGGCAAAATACAACACTCGACTTCACTTTTCGCGATAACACTATCTTCCTTCATTTATATCAAGCGTGTTTGTTTAAAAATCATTCGTACAACATGAAAAATATCATGATGCGTTCAAGTATACAAAAGGAAGCGGAGAAAAAAAAACGATGACACTTATAATTCTAGTTATCTTAAAATAGATTTTGAACATTTCTTGAGTTATTCCGGTATACTACTCATACTCTTGATCTTGAATCGATTTTTATCTACTTTTTGTGACAGAACTCGCTCCCGTAATGAATTGCTTGATGCCCCGTTGAATCCTTTTCCTCGATTTAAACTCGGAGTGTATTGATACCGTCTGTGACGAAGCAGCAGAAAAGAGAAATTTCAACTTCTTCCAACAGTAAATTTTTGCTGGGCCTGGGGATGGATGTTGCTGTAACATGATGATTTGTGTTCAATTGGTCGCGCTCGGGTCCTTGTTGCTCGTAATTGATCTTGCTGGTGAAGCTCAGTGGATGTCGATGTAGCCATGCTGCGCCTGGGTGATCATGACGATCATGTCCGAAACCATAGTAAAAACGAAGACTTGGTGACCACGTCATCTCATAGCCTAAATTGAATTCGTCATGAAATCGAATATGAAATAAATTGTTTGTCTTTCTTCGAAACATTTTTTAGCGTGCTGTGTAAGTTCTGATGACCTAACCCCTGAAGCTGTATTTGTTACCTACTATGTCGAAGCAATTATAACTAAAAGCCGTAGAGACCAGGACCAGCACTTGCTTCGCTGTCGTCTTTTCGTTCTCACCATTCTTGCGAAGAGCATACCTCCGAGCACGTCACTCCAGCTTCAGCACTACGAAGATCCTTGTGTGACAGCAAACGCAGATACCTCCTATCCCGGAGCGAGTATCAGTTATTTTCCTTTTTCTTTCATCCTTTTTCTCCTCTCTCGGTGTCACTGGAAGATGCGTGCAACGCGGCAGAACGCCATTCGTCCCGTGCGGTTGCTCGTGGCGGCTTTGGTGAGCTCGCAGTCTGGGGTTGTAGCAAAGATACAGCCGCAAGACATAAAAGCGGTTTCGTGTGCAGTTTGCGAGCTGGCTGTGGAAAAGGCCATCGGCGCTGGACTTGACGAAGACAACGTGGAAGACCTATGCGAACCAAAAAATAAGCTCGGGAGGTAGTCGGAGATCACGATAGGCATATTAGACTTTGTAGTTAATTTTTGGATACTACTCGAAGTCCAGTAATAAATGATGAATGTGAAGCGGTGAGGACTTGTTCACCAAATAGTATCACCATTTTGTTAGGTTACGGGAATAAGCAGTAAGAGTATCGGTGACGTTGTGAAAGAAAAAGGTCGTCTGAAAAGTTTATTAAATACAAACTTTTCCTTGTGTATTTAAAAAGCAAAATACGGTATCCGGAGGTCCATGGGAGTTCATTTACTTGCAGGTGGCTCGCCCAGTTGGATTTGGTTGACGAAAGCGACGGACGGATTACGGTTCAAGATATGGGGACAGCGGGACAGTGTAGGAAGGAGTGCAGTACAGCGAGCAGAGCGTGCCGAAATTGGGCATTGGAAGATACGGGTACAACAAACATTTTCTATTTGTGTCTACTGTACCTATCTCAACAAAGTCATCAATGCATGTGATTACGAAGGATCCCTAAGACAATCTAAGCAGCCAAATCTCACCAATTTCTCAAAAAACAGACGCGTTGCTTGCGATGTTGCGCAAGGGATCTTCAGCTGGTCGCATCAAGGGAAAGCTGTGCAAGAAGAGCTGCAAACAGTACCGCAACTTAGTGGCAAACCGCCCTCAAGACGAGGAATTTAAGGAAGTCGACGCTAAGATTGCCGAGATGGAGGACATGATGAAGGACATGAAGGAAAAGACTGGCATGGGCATGAAAATGTACTCTCGTGAAGATTTCGCCTCGATGTCAGATGGCGACATGGAAGCTATGGCGGCGAGGGAACAACTCGCGCAGGAACGCATGGAGTCGCGCTACATGAATGGAGATATGCCAGAGGTGCCGCCGAGTCCGGATCTTTAACTGCGCGCATCTAAGTAACAAGGCGATACGTGACTAAACACATCTGCTCTGCTTTGTCATCTCGAATCTACTTGGCAAGAACGACCAGCGGTTCTGAGGTTGTAGTGCAACGAATCATCCCGCTGAACGACCGCGAAGTTAGAAGTAAATGATTGCTGATGTGGGAAGATAAAAGCAACAATCGTGGATGAGGAATCGCCTGCACAACGGCTGCGTCATCGCATAAAAAGAAAAAAAGAACGAAACTCAACTTTCACTAAATTTCTAAGAAACTTAAAGAAATTTTCTATAGCAATAAATGGTGATGGTGAATAATATATACATTTTGTTTACTAACAGGGAAAACAGTGGAAATGTAACGAATGAACAAAATGCGATTGTGACACAGCGCAACTGATGTCCTCGGTGATCCCAGTTTTTATCTCATATCATAACGAAGGAGCACTAACACCAAAAGTGTTGCATCTCTGCGTTCCATCCTCCTGACTCGGGAAGCTTCCCTAAATTTGATGCATGTACTACTTGTTTCTTCAACACATGTGAGTTTGATCAAGCCGCTGCACCGCCTCGCCGATGATGCCCTTGGTTATGGTTCTCCTAGGCGGTCGATGAACAACGCTCTTTGTCTTAGCTCCTGGGCCTGTTCTTCTCATACTAAAGAAAAAGATCCATCTTTCACGAACATGCTCAACAAGATGGTACCCGAGACACAAATGCATGCAGATCGTTGATACACCACTGATTTAGATTTACTGCTATTTAGAAAGCGACCCATTGTCGTTTGGATTCAGAAGTGTGCTTTATTAGGATACGAATGCCTGTCAATGCCTCTGTGTGGCGATTCCTTGTGGTGAAACTTCCCCTGTGCTTGTGAGGAAGGTGAAAGTGCATTCTGTAGACCTTGTCAGCGACTATGCAAGAACGTAGCCGCATTCCCCTTTTCCTGCTGTTTGCCCTTTGCTGATAATGTTGATCCTGATGTCGTGTCACTGTTTTTCTTCACACAGCATTCCATGAACATCGTGCCTTGTAAGAGTTACTTCCTTTTAATAATTAAAAAACTTTTACGAGTAGTGTCTGCGTTTATGGTGTTATCAACATCTAATTTTTGATTAGAAAATTTTCCTGGCGAATCACAAACAGGGTTAGTCGTTTCTGTCCCATGTGCTTAGTTTTTTCTTGCAGCAATTGTACGATAAGTAGGCTAACTACCTTTTGAAGTATCGAGTTGTAGATAATTTCGTAAATAGTTTATTCCAATTTCTCCTTCTTGTTTACCACTCTTGTGAATGATTTGTTGTCAGAGACCGAGCCATCCGTATGTAATAGAAAGTCGCGATGATGATTTCTTTCATCTGGTGTTCGCGTGTTATCTTCCACTTCGGGTGGTTCTTCTTAGTCTTTTCAGAACCCGCGTGCAGGTTTGATTTCGATGGTCCAGTATTTGTCTTTGCTGCCCGCCCCATATAATCATCCAGGGACGAAAAAGGGATCAATGGCGACCAAGATAATGTATCCGATGGACGACGCATTGCGGACGATGCGCGGGCGCCTCAAAAAAGTCCTAGCAAAAGGATTTCCTCATCTATTCGAGACTTGGCCAGCCGTGCAAAAACTGGAACCAGAATTGGAAGAGAAGATGAAGACAAGGGCCTCGCCGCCACTGCCGCGGAAGCGCAAGCCAAAGATGAAGGTGATTCGGAGGATCAACTCTTTCAAGCAGACTTGGAAGCACAACAACAACAAAATCAAATACGATCGGGGAGAAAGAGTGACGAGTTTGTTGAACAATTTAACGATCGCATGCAGCAGTTACAGGCTTTGCTTCAATTGGAAAAAGTGTTAGATACCCAAGAGGTTGCCATGAAATGGGATATTGATCCACTCTTTTTTTCGTGGATATATCGGCCAACCCCGCCTTCGGATAATGATGACCAAAGTACGGCTGACGCAGAAGGTGTCTCAGAAGAGCCTGCCACGCAGTTTGGTCCGGAAGATGCAAGACGGACGCCTAATCCGTCTCCCTCTTCAAAGTCATCAAAGAAAAAAAGGAAAGGGCAGCACAATGAAGCAGCAGCAGTGTCCTCTAGTGCACAGCCAGCGGGGTCCAGGCCAAGCGAAAACGTAGCAGGGGCAAGCGCAGCGAGCGACAGAGATGGAACGGCTACGGTTGCAGACGAAGGCTCATCTGCTCGAGGTCAGCAACAGCACTGTGACGTTGCTGAGCGTGGAAGTGTCGAGGCTCCGTATGCGACGATATTTGGCCGCAAGTTACCGAAATGGGCAGAAACTGAGGAATTCCAGCGTATGGCAACGCATTGGCCCTTTGGCGAGGTGGACATCCATACGGTCGCAAATCTGCGACGGGGTCAGATGTGTCGGGCAGATGTGAATCGGAGCGATGGCGCCTTTCAGCAACGAACCGCAGCAAATGGTGATGTATTCCACGAACGCGGACCTCAAGGCCGCTCCTCGCCAGCTGGACGTGCCGCAGGCCGATCAAATATTAATGCAAAGTCATTGCGCAAGCGCGAAGCTGCAGCCATAACGCGGATTGCAAATGCGCAGGCAGAACAAAAGAACATAATAGTTAAGTTTTACACGATGTCAATCACGTTCTTGTCCACTAGCATTCTTGGCTTTTTCTTAGAAGAAACAGAAAGCATTCTCTTCAGAATCAGATACAGATATCAGAATGTTCTCCAAAAATTTTATGAAGTACTAAGTACAATGATCTCTAAAATATCGACGTCCAAGAAAGAACTAAACGACCTCTTGGAGCTTCCAGTAGACCAACGCAGAGAAGCCTTTGCACGAATACTGCACAAGGATATCGGACAAGGCATCGTCTCCGATCTGGGAGGCAATAAGGGGCTTGCCATGAGCACGGACTATTTATGCACAAATTCAAATCTAGTGCATGCTTACAGACATTTCTCTTTGACCCTAAGCCCAGGCCCTACGCCCTAAGCAAAAGAGAGCGCGAAGGTGTCGACATTCTTCAACACTACCACAACTTTTGATATTTAGATTTATCTGAGTTAACTGTCAGACATCCTTTTCATTGAGGACTCATTTTCCTCATTGATGATGGAACACGAACTCAAGTCCTGCAATGCGTATAATTATTCGCACATTCTTTCATAATCCGCGCTACGATGTGGTGTCTCACCTGAAAACAGTATGCGAGACCTGGTTCGAAGTGGGCTGCTTTGTTTGCGCCAGGAGCTGATCCTCATTCGCAAAAGTCTAGCGGCCATGCAACTTGTCTCAAATAATGATTCGTCTCCTGAGGACCATATTATGGGTAGCACGAAGTCAGATGAAATTAAGGAGATCGTAGAATTTGCTTAACTGTATAAGTATTAATATAAATACTTAACTCTGAATCTTTCTTCATCTACTTTTACCTTTTTCTGCTCATAATTAAAGTGGTCATTTTCTTTGGTTTGTCTTTGAACATGACGATTATGAGGCAAAATTTGAAGATTTTCTTGTTTTCATTATGCTGATCATAATGATAATCTCGTATTCAGTTTATGTAACCATGGGACCCCCTGCTCCCCACTTTCATGGCCCGGACGCTCAATCGGGTGCTGAGTTACACCGAATTACCGATGCAAAAGCAGCCTTGTACCAAGATCGAATGGACGGCGCAAGACTAGTTGCAATGCTGGAAAGTATCCGTCGTGGCGCAAAAACGCAAATTGCTGATCGCCTCCGAATTGAAGGACGCGCACAGAGTATTCTCCATCTCTACTTCTGCTAGTTGTATTTTATCCCAGTATATTAAGCCATTCCTGTTCCAGGTTAAAGGTCTGTAGACTTTTTAGACTCCCAAAGAAAAATAATTTCGGTGACCAACGACAAGACCTCCTAACCCTTGTTGTTTTCATTTCATTCTTTTTCTTTCTTTTCCTTCTTCCTGCATCTTCTTCTTCTACACTTAAAAATAGGTGCTTCCTCTCCATCCCCGTCGAGCGCAAAGTCTACTGCGGTTGTGGATACGAAGTAAAATTTGCAGCTCCTGCGCGAAAGGCTCGATCCCGCTACGGTCTCCGTTTTGCCTCGCAGTGTTGGGAACTTTCGTGAGTATCTGAGTTGGCGCAAGGACGATGAGAACGAGAGCGCCGCGAAGCGAACAAACCACGCGAAGACACAAAAGCTACTGTCACAGATGGAGTTTCTGTTGCCGGATCCGTTTCTGCTCTCAAGAATAGGCGACCGTGCCTTGTTGGAGGTGCAGCTATGAAGCAGCGTGCAAGGATGTAACTCGGAGTCCTGTCCTGACATCACGAAAGAGAAAGAGAAACTCTACTGCAGAAAAAATTTTTCAACAACGACTTCTATCATTGAAAGACACAGAAAAATAGATGGAAGTGAACGTGGCGCTTCAATCTTTTTATGCGTGAATTGGTGAAGTAAAGTGTGACAAAGATATCTTATCAGAGGAAAACTGTAATGAATCCATGTTGTCGTTCTATTTATATTTATTTTCTCAGAAATGCGGCCAATTATTTTTTAGAATTTCTTGCATTTCTATTTTAGACCCAAACTTATCGAACCAGAATCGATGAAACAAGAAAAAAACCAACGACAAGAAAACAATACTTACGCGTAATTCTTTTCTGCAACAACAAATATCGACTCTTCTACAGCTCTGAAGGTGGCATAAGTTACTTCTGTTCTAGCAAGCCCCGTCAAACGTTTAATTATACGCAATATTCCATGTTATGGATGGAATATATAAAAGGAGTCTGAAATTGACTTCACTGTTAATGTAAGACTTAAGACGTGCACCAGGATTTTCTTCTAATTAATTCCCTATAACGGTGCAGATGGATTCAATTTTTCTAAAGCTTAATGCTGCCCGCCTGCTCATGCAATTTATGGGTCAATTTTCACTTTTTCACAGTCTTATTTTGGTTCGTTGACGTACCGGCGGGTACGCTTGTCGCGTTTCCGGTGAGCTTCCTGGCTGAAGCCTAGCGGGGCTGCAGTGCTAAAATAAGATTGTCGAGAAGGACATCGAATGTGTGATTATTCTGGTCAATGTGAGGTGTTGAATTTTTTGACTCCACGTCCAGTCTTGCAGCATTCGCTGTAGCGGCGTGATAAAAACGACCTAATATGTGGGGCAATGAATTATGTGAAGAGCAGTATTGAATCGTCTATTGGCCAATTCTAATGATTACGCAAGAGCCTTATAATATATATAGATACTTATTTCTTTTTTTGAATCATATTTGGCCTGAAGAAAATGCAACACTGGTAGTGCAACAAGCAAAAAAGACTACGTGCTTTGTTGATGATGAATGCGGAAGGACGGAGACGGTTGTGCCGCTACATAAATCATGATCTGAGCATACAGAGAAGGCAACCCTAACCGACGAGGGGTCATCATAAGCCAAACAAGCTTTTTTCTGTGTTCTACGCTCACGACGCGCACAGAAGCCCAACAATCGGAAAAGCGGTACTGTCAATTGGTAAAGATCCTAAGCCCAACTAACCTCAAGATTTTACTACTATCAATTTTTTACACTTCGATTCCTGCAGAAAATCTATGTATACTACGTCGAAAACCCAAGCTCTTCCGCCCGTTGTGGATCCTGATTCATCTACCGCAGCATTTTGGCAACGGGTACTAGTTATAAAAACTAGTACGCACTTCACAGGAGCCGACGATATTTTCGTTCTGCTTAGTTGAAGATATCCGAATTGAGCAACAGCGTACAAAAGGCCGAAACATATGCTAGGTGCAATAACCTATTAACAATCGTCGCTTAGGGCTGCTCGTTCTTTCGAATGAGCAAGTGAGCATCACTTTCACATTGGATTCATTCTTGACGAGGGTATCCTTTTGAGTTCATGACTCTGATTCTGTTCTTGCGTCAGCCTTTAATTGCTCTTCTTTTTACCGTTGCATGGCATTTACTAATCAACATAGACAACAGTGGGATAACCACTTGTACTTTTTTTGCATTTACTATTCTTTCTTGACGTGGTGCGAGTACGTAGCACATTGAGAACTTCCTTGACATCGAATATGCTGGTCCATCCTCCGCCGTACTGCCTGTGGATCCTGAACAAAAACGGGACGTTGATTTTCCACCATGAATTTCAAAGTATGAAAGGATATCCGAAACTCAGATGTTGACAGGCCTTATCCCTGGTATTTACATTAGGCCACGAGATATCATGACGCGACATGACAAGTAAAGGAAGTACAAGTGCAGTTGGAAGGACAGTAATATTACTATCAAAATATTACAGAAGATCGTGGAGCAATATCCAAATCCAACCTCCTCCGTTTATATCTATCTTGTCTTGCTTTTTTTACGAGATGAGCCTCTTATTACTCACAGGGGCATGTTTATTTCTCAATGGTACTAGCTTTGCTCGACGACGAGTATGTTCCTCTCCACCTGCAACAAAGTAAGCTCATAGAAAGGTCAATGGAGTACTCTTTCATTACACGTGTTAGATAGATACTCATACTAGTTTCAACTCCCTTTCCCACCTGTCCCGTGAATCATACTACGCGGTTTACGGCCAATGATCGAATTCGGCTGGCAAGCACCCTACATGGCATTTCCGTGATCTCCGATAATCTGGGCTCGACCGTCGCCGCGAACCCGAAATGCGTTGCACCATTAAGCACAGTGGTCTTTTAATAGACTCCCATAGTACCTACGTGTGTTGTGAGGCGTCATGGACATGGATCCTAAAGGCATTTGCACTCTGGCTCTGCCCCACGACGTCTTTCTTCTAATTGGATTTCGTCTGCGCAGTCGTCTAAGCGAAGAATTCGAACTGCAAGGGCCACGAGGGGGCAGGCACTATCCTGACACTTACTCTTACTCGGATCAGAATAATGGCAAGAAAACGTAGCAGTTCCTCTAAACCCAGACCCCTCGCCGCCTTGTCGAAATGAGGAACATGTTGGCTGCTTACCGCTTACTCCAGCCACCAACAACGGATCGGGAGTACCCTCGCAGCTGCCTTCAGATGATGCAATATTATCTTGCCCATGGCAGCCAGCTTATGGAGGAAGAGATAGTGAGAAGGTTAGAGCTTAAGTAAATTTTTAGTTTTCCCGTACGTATAATTAATGGTTAGGTGGATCTTTATGACGGACATCAACACTTTTCAATTGACTTTTTATATATCTATATATTATAGGATAGCTATCTGTATCAAGGTGTTCATCATCATTATTGCGAAGAAAGGAGCCCCTCCTTACTGTCTGATCCACGTAGTTGGATGTTCTTTACTCTCGCTTCATAACACGACGCCGCAAGCGCACGCAACAGCCGGCCAAAAGCTCTACAGGATACCCCGAGGCCTGCACTCGTTCCTGCCAGGCAACTTGACTAACCTTGTTGGCGCGGAGCTTCCAGGCGCTGTGACGCTAGCCTCCTTATCAAGTGTATGCGAAGGCAGCACAATTTCTTCCTTGCACTAAGAGAGACTAATGATCCTCGCAATAGCCCATTTGTTCTCCGATAAAACTGGCTCTGCCTTTGACTACGTGCGTCCTTCATTAGTTTTTCAGAAATTCAAATTGTGGGCACGAAATAGCTAGCGTTTGGTTTTCAGTATATTATGGTAGAAAACACAAGTAATATCAACGCCAACCAACTATTGTTCATACTGATCATTTTTTCATAGTAGCTGCGAGAGATGCCAGGACGTGTGGCCGCGAACGCAGGAGTGAAGAGCAGAGGCCTAGAAATCTATGAATCGGCGAAACCGGTGGTCAGAGCACAGGAATCAGAAGGAATATCGACAGAGCTCGAAGAGGTTGGCGGAGGAAGCTCGTCTGCGTCCTGCGGATATTCTCAACATCAATTGCGACAAATTTCACAGTATGGCACAAAAAGCAAAAGTCTCCTCTTCCTCATAGTCATAAGATGAAGGAACATCAAATACAATACTAGACCTGCTCCTTCTCTAATCGCAAAAGCACCAAGAAGAAAATCTTGCTGCCCACCGCCGTCATTTATGGTCAAGAATTGGCACTCAATTCTCTCGTCATTTTCTCGAGGGCATCCTCTTCCCATATACAATACAAGGGAAGAGGTACCGAGACGTGGGGTCATCTAAGTAGATGAATTGAAGCACGCTCTAAGCCATTGCAAAGTGGGGAGTGAATCGACGAAACCAGAGGGACTGCGAGCGTGTCTTAGACCCCGTGGGTTACGCCGAATTCAAGGCGAGGACTTCCAGATCTATATGCGGCAAAGTCTTTCACACATCCGCTTCATACTCATTACTGGTACCTACTAAGTATTTAGTACTCTACTAGCAACGGCGACCCGCCTCGTTTATTGTACCAGGCCTTTTGAAGATTTTCATGGTACTTCAGACCACACCTATGTATAGATATTGTAGGTAGTTGTAAGTAGATCATCTACAACTTCATATTTCTAGACTGTCATACTTGTGTCGTCGTGGGTAATTGTCGAATTTCTCTGACTGGTCTAGTCCCTCTCGTCAAACATAGCCAATGATGACGGGAGATCCAACTTGTCTAGAACTCGAAGATTCCTTTCATATAGATGGTCTTCAAATCTGTTGCACCACCCATTCTAGATTCTACGCATGATTCCCGGCGAGCGCAGGAGTACCTCGACAAGTTCTATGCTGCTTTTTCCGCCTACGTCATGCAGGATCCCTTCCAGGTCTCCCTGGATCTTCCGGTGAACTCAGAGTTATTCGAGCACACGATAAGGAAAATAGTAATGCAAGCAAGTTCGGATGAATAAGCAAATCAATGGGTGATGCGCGCAGGTGCGGAAAATAGCGACGCAGACAAGTGTCAAAACCGCTCTCGAATGTTCTGTCACTAAGTGGTCGTGTCTAACATTAACTTCTTCCTTCAACATGAGAGGAGAGGATATACAAGATATTTTTGTGCTAATTTCATATGGTGGAATAGAGTCTCATGCGTTAATCGCGCGGAACATCTTCCTGGAAAGCAGGTACAAGAATTGGAAGCACCTTTTTTCCTGACTATCAATCGCACAGTATTGCCCGAAGAGATGCTCGGGCTGAAGAGTGTCGCATTTGTCTGCTCTCATTACTCACGACACTCGTAAACCCTCAACTAGAGAAAAGCGGGAAATAAACAACAGGACACAATGATTGTAAAAACGGAATGTTCTACTATAGAGAACAATTTGGAAGAGAGCGACTTCTTGGCCAAGTAAAGGAGAGGCATTTCTGTTTTCATTACCGCAACAAGTAAACTTTTAGCAGGTATGATGACCACTGCGAAGGTACCGTAAAATTTCGAGAACCCCTCTAACTATGGCGCAGAACATTCAAAAAAGCAAAAGGCCTCTTCTCCAAAGAGCGGACCTCGCCTTCCGCTACTCCCACTTCTCCAAAAAGTATGATAGACTGACAACAGAAGAACATTCATGCAATCATTTTCTTGTCAAAATTGTTGTTAGAAAAATGAACAGAAATATGAGCCACAACGGAACGGATGATCAACATCATTACATATAACAGACCAACTATATTTGAAGATCTTGAACCGCAAGAAATGTATGTTCTCGTTGATAGTTCGGGACGATCGTTAGAGACGCGAGCATGGAGGTGGTAAGCATGAAGTTGCGAGGTCTCAGCGTGTCTTCATCTAATTTATTGTTCCTACACTGAGTAGGTCGCACGTCCCATAAGATAAACAAGATGAAGGGATCACTGTTGGCGTCGTGTGTTATCCTCGTACTGCGGGAGGGCTCCGCAGTCGATGCACATGCATTCACAGCGCTTTTTGCGCACCATCAACCGCCTCCGAGTAGTTCGAAGAAGAAGTCGGCGCCTGCTTCCGCGACGGCGCCGACACTTCACAGTAGAATACGGCGGAGAAAGACGCCCATGTATCGACGGTTATTATCTTAAGGCTGTGGAGGCTGACACTTCTACTAGTTTCTCCATGTGGTGCGTGCGTGTCCTTATAAGCAGTATTGTAGATACTTTTGCAGTCCGAGGAGGCAATATTTTGATGAAGGTATGAGTTCTGATTCGTGCAGAAAATGAAAAATTTTTATAGTACTCCAGCAAAACAACTACGAACAGCTTCAGTGATACTTAATCTTCTTAATCTGTAGGTTGTAGTTCGCCTTTGTGATTATGGCTTTAAAAATGATCAACAAGGAAGGAGGCGGTGCCCGAATATGGGAGCTTACCCCGTTCGTCTTCCATCGCTACTCTTGATCATGATTTGGAGCTTGAGAACGAGCGCGATGGTGAAACGATTATTAAGGGTAAGTAGGTTAAAGGTGTTCTTCTTACCGTTCGTTTTGCCTTTCTGAACGGGGAGAGGCATAACGAATGGGGTGAACGAACACCAACAGCTTGCCCCTAAGATTACAACAACCGACAGCGACGAGGAAATGGACGACGAAAGCAGTGACGAAGACGAAAGCAGTGATGAGGATGACGACGAAGACAGTAATGCACACGGAGACAGCGATGAAGACGAACAACACGAACAGACGTCCGCATTATCTTCCAAGAAGAACAGGCGAAATACGATTTCTCGAAAAATATTGAACAAATTACCTAGTAGTTTAGCTTTAGCATCATCCTACTCGTCTGGTGACGAAACGCTGAGTTTCGCAGAAGTGGGTGTATTTCCTCTGGAGAGGCCACAACCAGTGAGAAATGGTAATGCGGCAGATTGGAAGGCGCTACTAACGAAGGAATTTTTACAAGAGCCGTTGAGTTATGCCTTGCGTTTCCATAAAATGGCGTCTTGCCTTCTCCTCGTAGAAATAAAATGATCATAGCATAAGAATGCTATATATAGACATTCTTCTTTTATGGCCTAGAAGACTTCTTTCTCTTCTTTTGCCTGCACATTTAGTTCTAGTACTGACGATTTTCTTAGACTAGTACCTTCCGTTGCTCCCATCTATCTCGTAGTGGTGTCTCTCGAGACGAGTGAAGTAAGTACTTACAATCCTCAGTATCCGTTGCTCTCGTTGCTTTCGAGCGCCCTTTTGTGCTGCTCTTGCTCTTGAAGTAGAACGGTTGGATATCTTTCGGGGCCATACCTCGACTCGAATATCTACGGCAACAGTATCCATCTTAACAACTACCTCTAATGCAGCTGGCGAAGCAGAGGGTGGCTTGGGCTGATGAACAAAAAGTGTCTCGATGCTACTCGCAGTCTTGTTAACAAAATATGATTGGGCTCTTACCCGTCCGTACCTCCTAAGTTCCTAGACGTCGGACTTTCAAGCTTCGTCCCTCCGTGCCTATAATGTAGTACTTACCTTGACTAGTTTTTATAATACTACTTATACTCATTTATCGGGGCTTGGTAGGTCTAAGTTGTCGCACATCATAACGAGAGAGATGCAGGCTAGTAGTTCGCTGGGACCTCATGTTTTCACCCTTTGCGTTGACCGTGAAGATTTTTCAACAATGTTGATTATCGACTATGTATTTTATTTAGCGTGAAACAAAAAGACAGACTACTTACTAATTCAAACTACCGCTCTAACTGAAACTACTACGACCAACTACGACGTGGCTGCTTACCGGCACTGGAATGACTGGGATGGGACAACACAGGCGGGGACAGGCTGGGCGCGTGAAAATTCGATGGATTTTCCGGAAAGTGCGAATCGTGGAATCTTTAAGGGTCATCAAGGGTAGTCAATAAAATCATCACCCGTCCTAAGTAACTGCTGGACTATGCTTAGTAGGAGTGGATTCCCAATTATGATTTTAAGGGTGAGGATTGACGGGCAAATAAGGAGAATTCACTCGTCAACCCCGGATGATAATCGCCTGCTCACCTTTAAATTCGCAAGCGAGAACGCTGCCAAGATGATTTGCGGCACTGTCACTGAGCCAGACAAGTCCTACTGTTTATGTTCTACTTGTTGTACCATCTCCTTGTTCATAAATGCATCTTGAATCCGTGCCATGTACTCATCGATTTGAGGTAAGCATGCATAGGTTCTTTTGCAAAAGAATAGGTTGCAGTCTCGGAGAAATGACCAGCCTCACCGTACCACACAGATGAATATCAGAAGGTCTCTTCAGAAGCTTGTGATCGTCTTCTGCCGTCTTCTGTAGAGATCTGGTCTACTTCTTTCGATTTCCTGATTCATACTGAGTAGCTTATCCACCTTTCGTAGTCTGAGAAGCTTGTCCACGTTTCGATTTCCTGATTCATACTTTTGGGGTATACAGTTTGGAAACCCGCAAGCCGATCCCGTCACTCTGGTATCGGACCACCGCATCAAGTACATGTATGAAGTTGAAACCTTATGTACATTAACACTGCATAAAGTACCCGTATCAAGTTGAAGCCTTATCTATGTACATTAACACCGCATAAAGTACATGTATGAAGCCTTATCTACAATATTACTGCATAAAGTACAACATGTATGAAGTTGGAGCGGGTACATTCATTCACTCATTCTCATTCATTGTATAAACTATAAAGTACATGTATGAATTTGAAGCCTTATGTACGTTAATATTCACAGTATGGGGCCGGGCGGCTCCGGTTCATTGTAAACGATCCATACCTGACCTATAAATAGCTACATGTACTTGCGTTAACAAATAAAGTGAGTCACCGAGACGGAGACAAGCTTCAGCATCATAAGTGACATTCTGTATAATAATTAGGACTCTGATAACGCACAATGCGTTACTAATTAGGAGAAGCACATCATGGAGAACTGTTGCATAGGAGGCACATCATGGATAGATAGTACTAATTGAGCTTTCGTCGCTATAATACTAAAAGTCCCAATATTCTTGTTGAGATTTTTTGATATACCACACAATTAGCAAGGGTTAGTTTTATTATTAAAAGTCTCAATATTCTTGTTGAGATTTTTTGATATACCACATGCTTAACAAGGGTTAGTTTTATATACGGATTTCTTTTTATCCGAAGTGAGATGAACTGACATCATCAATATTTCAAAGGGGCGCAGAAGAAGGAGCTGCATTTTTGTTCTTTAATTTAGGTTTAGTGAAGACTAGTCGTTTCCCGTGTGTTTAGCGGTCCGAGAGGATGGAAAGGTGAACGAGGGAGACGGAGCTGCTAGGAGCAGGAGACACCACGGCGCGTGGGGAATATAGCCCGCATGAGCTCTTTCTTCAGGACAATGCCCCCCGGCGCGTGCAGGTTTCCCCGCAGATTCTCGGAGAAAACAACCCCACGGAGCTCTTGGGCGGGCTCCAGCCTCCGGCTCACCGTACCGCGGGCGATCTCTTCCCGGTACGCGAGCCGATTCGGGCCCCTTTGCGGTCCTGACGTTAGACGGCCCAAACGCGGCTGGCGGCCGCGTTAGAGCCCGCTAACGTCTTCGCGACTCGGTGAAACAGTGTCACACGCCAAAACTGTGACCCGCCGAAACTCTGAGGCGGAAAACCCAGACATGCCGAAACTCTGAGGCGCGAAACTCTGAGGCGCGAAACTCTGAGGCGCGAAGCCCTGACATAGCGCAACTCTGAGGCGGGAAACCCTGACAGCCCGAAACTCTGAGGCGCGAAACTCTGAGGCGCTAGACCCTGACACTACGCAACTTTGAGGCGGGAAACCTTGAGACGGCAAAACTCTGAGGCGCAAAACTCTGAGGCGCTAAAACCTGACCTGGCGCAACTCTGAGGCGGGGAACTCTGAGGCGCAAAACCCTGACATGCCGAAACTCTGAGGCGCGAAGCCCTGACACTGCGCAACTCTGAGGCGGGAAGCCCCGACATTTCGAAACTCTGACCTTCGAAACTCTGAGGCGCTAAACCCTGACCTGGCGGAAGTCTAAGGCGGGAAGCCTTGACATCCTGAAACTCTGAGGCGCGAAACTCTGAGGCGCTAAACCCTGACGTGGCGCAACTTTGAGGCGGAAAGCCCTGACATGCCGAAACTCCGAGGCGCGAAACTCTGAGGCGCTAAACCCTGACCTGGCGCGATGAAGCGGGAAGCCTTGACATGCCGAAACTCTGAGGCGCTAAACCCTGACATTGCGCCACTCTGAGGCGGGAGCCAAGCCCTGAGATGCCAAACCCTGAGATGCCAAACCCTGAGATGCCAAACCCTGACGCCGTTTGTGCCTGCAAAACCCTGAGAACTGGATCCTGACTTTTGTGCCCCTTTTTGCAAACCCTGAGATGCCAAACCCTGACCCGACCGCGATTTAGCCCTCCCTGGGAGCCCTGGGATTCCCTGGCTTTCCCCTTAAAACTCTGAGAGTCCTGGTCCGTTGATTTCTGCCCCTTGTGGTTCTCCTTGCTCGCCCTTAAAACCCTGACGTCAGACCTCGATTTTTGCCGATCATTAGTAAAGATAGAGTTAGTTCTTCGTATAGCTCTTATGCTGCAAAGCTAGACGGCGACAACCCGACGGTGAATATGGCAGCAACCTTTCAGTGGAAGGCTCATTGCGCAGACGCAGCAAATACCACGGACGGCGGGAAAAGCTATACGCTGATTCGCATGCCAGCTACAGACTACTCTAAGACCCCAAGCCCTAACCGTCGAAGGGGTACCCTCGTCGTCTCAGAACGAGTGCTAGCTTCTTATTTAGTTGATTCTTTCACTCGTTTTTTTTTATTTCTAGTTGCTTGGGGCTCAACCGGAAACATTGAATAACAATATACTTCATCAAATTTAATTTCTGCCGATCCGGTGCTGAATGCGCAGGGCTGAGGCAGGAGCCCATCTGAGTCTGAGTCTGAATACTAGAAATAGGTAACTACGTTCTCTGAATCTTTTTTTTATAGTAGATGCAGTCCCATCATTCACATTCGGAGACTGCTCTCACGTACACACCACTCAACATTTGGGTCGAACTTGCATCTACCGATGCTCCTTTTTCTCCCTGGATTGTATTTTTCTAGCTGTACGTCCAGCAAAGTGACTGAAAATCGGCAACATCATATTAAGTACTACTTTGATTGGGTCGGTAAGAGATGAACGAAGAGCGACGTGCGTAAATCAAATATTTCTACTATTCTTCGTTTTCCCACGATGTTCGAAGTTGTTGCAGTGCTATCTAGGGTGCAACTTTCTTAGTGGGCTCCGCAAATAGAATTCCCCTAGCACGTTTTTTCTTTGTTTATCCTTATTATGTCTTTGTTTTCTCGTCAAAATACTTAGGAATTTATCCTGTTGGAGGCTGCTCTAAACGCGTTCTCTTTCTTTTTGATTTTCTCGTCAGCATAGGCAATTATCGTGTTGGAGGCTCTAAGTGAAACTGGAGAACTCACTGCTTCAACGCCACATCGAGACTTGTCAACGGACACCTCCACTTTCGCAGGCGAGTAGCTGCGAGTCATGGCTGGGGATGCAACAACTGGAAAAATTGGCGACGTTGTACAGCAATCTGTACCTATCGTGTATGGCCATCTTCTTCTTCACCTGCTTCTACTTCTTGTTTTTAAAAAAACGCATCTTCGTCTAGTTGTTTTTCTTGCTAGAGCTAGTACTTGGTGAATTTGAATTTGAAAGTAATGTAAGCATCTTCCGAAGTCTTATCGCTTAAGGTTCGTCGACTCTGGCCAGGTACAACCGTTGAACACCAAATTGCTTCTCTGACTGCAGATGACAAGACCACCCTGCCCAAAACCTTGTTTTATTGCTAGGTGTGAGTTGTGATTTTCACTTTTTTGATTCTCGACGATCGACTCCTTACCACGGGAGTGTGAACCAAAAATATCTCAACAACCACACTTACTTCATACCTTTGCCTCTTCGATTAAGGCTAGCGATAATTCAGCATCTTTCTGGAGTGCGCGACCTTTGATTCCTGATGACAAATGGAATACTCAGCAGTCTGTCTGAGACTACGTGTTATGATTAATTCTCAAGCACGACAGCAACGGGAAAACGACCCGCATGAAAGTATTCCACTTCTGAAAACTTACTTGAATTTGAAAGAACAGGAATCAATACAAGAATAGCAAAGATTAAGGTCACCGTAAATGCATCCGCAGCATCCCCTACTTGGCTGTTTTTTCAGGTGAAAAAAGATAAGAAATTTTCTCAAAGAAACGCCCAAGGAAGCTTAAAATTTCAAGGAAGATGCAAATGCGGAAAATCTAAGCTAAAGGATGATGAATATCGGATAGCTATTCATCTATGGCTGCAACGACCTACAATCCATCTCCAGAACTGCAACATTTTGTATTAAGGCTTTCCCTAATCCATCTCTTCTATGCAGAGATGATCCCTCAAGCGTAGGCATGCCTCCCAATACAAAGGAGACATTCTTGAAACATACTGTTGAGGGATCTACTCCACAGGGATGCATTGAAGAGACCTCTAACCAGAAGCATCTTGGAGCTGTGGCATAACGGGAAAGCAGGTCCAAGATAACACTAAGCTGTTGGTTCCACCGAGATGGATTGGCATTTGGGTGAGCTCCAACTTAATTCGAGCTACGTGACTGTGTCGGGTTTACGTGGCGACGATTCAGGCCTGTGCGGTACATTGAGGGGGTTCCCTTAAGAATAAAAATGAACTTGCCCTGTGTCACGTTAGAGTATTATCGCACAGTCAGTACTGCATAGCCACAGGCCACTTTGTGTCAACACGAGGCACTACTTCACTGAGTGGCCTCATACATAGATGCGGAAGGCTTCAGTAGTTGTAGAAGATTTGTGCCGGCGGCTTACCGGTTTCTCGTCCCATGATTAATTAGCTGAGTGGACATTTTGCGGCGTGTAGACAGTTGGACAAGAAAAAATGGCTATAATAAAGTAGGGCCAATATAACATGACACGACGTGCCGCCAGCAGTGTACTTCTTATCCATAACGGGACAAGCTTCTCTTTACTGAAGAAGAAACAGCTTTTCTTTATCTATAACGGGACAACCTTCTGAAGTAAGAGACAACCTTCTTATCTGTAATGAGGAGACAAGGTTCGTATCCATAACGGCAAGGTGTTCCATAAGACAGTCGTGCTGAGTAAGAGATACAAGTTGTTGAGGCCAGGAGCAGAGCATATATTTGTACTAGTCGTGACCAGATTGATAAGACGATTGCGAAGAATTTTCGTGGGAAGAAACAGAAAGAAAGACTGCGGAGAATCAGGGAGCCTTTTAGCAGGGGACGCAAAAACACGCCGTAGCAGGGCTCGCGCTAGCGCGGGGACCGACATCCTGCCGTGCGCAAGTTGTCCCCGTACCCGAAACCCTGCCCCGCGATACTCTGGCTCGCCCGAAACCGTGACCCCAAAGCCCTGACTTCCGAAGGCCTGACTTCCGAAGCCCTGACTTCCGAAACTCGGACTCCTGCCGCCCTGACTGCCAAGCCCTTCCCCTCAAAACCCTGGTCCCCGCAACCCTAACCCCCGCTAGCCCAAACCCCGCAATTCTGATCCCCAAAACTTTGACGCCCCCGAACCTGACCCCCGAAACCCTGACGCCCAGGACCCTGGCCCCCGAAACAGAAACACTGGCCTGGTGCTCGCCCGCAGAAACGTCGCGCTTATTGCTTTCATGTCGACCCTTAGTGCGTCAACGGTGACACGATTCAGCCTTTCGTTTTGCTTTCGTGTCAACTCTGGGTTCGTCAGCTTTGACACGACTAGTAAAGATTTTGCCAACTCTGAGGCGCCTACCCTATGGAAATTCGAAAAATTTTCCGAGTCTGGGACTTTCCACCCTGGCACTGGCATCAAAACCTTGAGACTTTTCAGGCGTGGGAAAACTCTGGCGAACTCGGTCTTTCTTCTCTCTACTCTGTAGCCCTTGCCTTGCGTTCTCCTGCCCCTTGTGATTCTCGCAGCCGCACGGGAAAACCTAGACAACAAGTCTCGGCTTTCGTCGACTGTTGTAATATATAAAGAGGAATTAAGGTCTCCTGAGAACGGTAGTGCGATGTTTGAGCAAGCCTCTATATTCTACTTTCACTCTTTGTTTATATATAACGGAAACCGGAAGTTCCGCGATCGACATCAATCATATATACTGCTTAGCTCTAAGTATGGACGAGATGGAGCTTGCCAAAAACCCAAACGAGATAATGGGTCAGTGCGACTTCTACACACAGTTCAGGTTATGTATATAAAGATATAATTGATTCCTTCTAGTTGGGCCTGCTCGACCAGAATATAAAAAGATATGATTGATTTTTTGGCGGGTAGTTTTTGTTCACCATGTTGCTTGTACCATGCTCGCGAACGCTCACATCCGGATCCGCCGCACAGAGAAGATATATTAACAGAAATAAACGACCGCCTTTAGTAACTTCGTCGTACATCAAGTACTAATACGTAAAAGTAGAAGATAGAAGATTAGCATACATAGAGCTAGAACTAGATGAAGATGCAGCTCAGGTGCATTAGAGACCCCCTGCTTCTACTCCCGACGTGCTCGGCCCTAAAACGAAACCCGAAATGCGAGGTCTGGACAGGTAGTGCCGCGAAGGCGCAGTTTCCGGGAGGCATTGCTCTTCCACACAACTGGAGTGCACAGTGGGCAGAAGAGAAATTCTCACATGGAAGCGTCGTAATGATTAAGGCTCCTCAAGTCTATATAATTCTGTGTTATTCCTGCTTCTTTTTGAAGAGATTTTTCCTAGGAGATTTCTCTAGTACTAAGTATTCTCAAGAAAGGATGAATAACAATAATTGTAATTCATCTCTGAGATGAAGACGACCTGAGTCGAAGATGAAGGATCGCGAGCGCTAAAATGAGGACGGATACTTCGGAAACTCAACTGAACCTGTATAATGGCACCCCGTGGACTTATGAAAATCGTATGAAATTCGAAAAAAAGACTACCCTACACTATTCTCACAAGTGTTGAAACTACATCCAGTAGATGTAAACCCAAACCTCCCCAAAGTTGTAAGCATTTTCACTCGATATAAATCAACATATTGTAAGTGTTATTATATTTGTAAGTAGTCGTGCTTGTAAATTGGAACAATGCAGTTTCACTTCGTTTTATGACGGTATATCTAATGGAGAAGCCGGCACATTGAATCGGCCGACGAGAGATGCGAAACACGCGCGGAGGGTAGCGAAGGATGCACAAGGGTTATGATAGATATGCTTAATTGTATCCCTGTTGACTGTACTTGTCACCTCATTACGCTACAGACTTTCTCGGCGAGTCTTTGACTGTCGCAGGATATGTTTCGTCTTGCGGTTCGGTCTGACCACTTGAGACGCAGTGAAGATGATGAATTTTCCAGGGGCCAGAACTACACTTTCTAATCAGGGGCCAGCGCCAGACGGTCCTGAGGACCACGTGGCAGGGGAATTCCGATGGTACGAATCTGATCCAGAATTCATCCACCCGCCTGCGCAGGAGGATGACGCACAAGACGATAGTTAGATCTAAATTTGGACTCGTACTTCTAGTTCTACTTCTGCACCACCAGGCATTACGCCGACGCTGGCGCAGAATTTCTTTTTATGTTTAGGATGTATTTTCGCCATATATTTTCAGGCGCTCCTGAGCTAATTACACTGGTATAAATTACTTGTACCATAAATATTCCAAGCAGAATTGCGTCAAAGCCAGTTTCTGCTAGCTCTTGCCCTACGACTATATCAAAGCCTCAAGAGTATTCTTTTTTCACAACTGAGTGAGTCTGACATAAACGTGCGCGCCCAGGAGCCAGATTGCAACATCGAAAACGCAATTGCTTATTGCGGAGTCTTTATCTTCTCTGTTGTAGCTCTAATTTAGGAGTGCGACCACATTTTTTTCGACAAGCAGCTCGAGGAGCACATTGTGGACAAAAAAGAAACTGTGCTTCGGAAGTAAGTGCGGAATGGGAATAGAAGCATTGCTGGAACAACAAGAACGGTAGATGTATTATTGTCAGTAGTGTTCACAGAAATCTATGCTTCCACGCATCTTCGTCGAGTGTTAGTGTTTAAAAGGAAATATTAGGAGACAGCGAAAATGCGCCTCAGAAAGGATTCCTGGTAGTTCCTCCAATTGCATCAGCTGCAGCATCAGCTCACCACCGGACAGCGGATCGATAGAATGCATGTGAATCTAAAAATATTCCTCTTTCTACGCGCCACCACTAGAAGTAGTACACCACGGTTGAGATGCTCGTTTAGACTTAACGAAATTCGTTTACTCTTTCAACAGATCGAGATGATCACGGCAGCTAATGCAACTAGTAGACAAGAACTTACAAAAGCGTGCTTTTTTACTCTCTCTTGCTTTGCGTCTTCAATGTCAAATAGAGCAGCAGCGGGCGCTGCTCTAGGTGAATCACACGTGAATACCGAAATATGATGAACAATCACAACAGCGAGCAACTGGAACAGATGAAATTTAACGATGCCACAGAAGAATGTTTGAAACGACAATGAACTCGGCCGCGAACAATGTTGTCGCCGTGTAAGGCGACCGCCGCAGGCGGATCGATGTCAGCTTCGGTGAGCATTCCTTCGAGGAGCAAGTCCAGACCATAATAAGGTCACTCGAGGATTAATTTGATAACATGGACACATCGGGTTTTAGGTTCCGATTGAATTTGTCGAGCGAAGCCCTTCCCATCTCTTCCTTGTAGTTGCTGGGCCACACTTTCTGCTCACTGTATTGCTCGACAGCTACAGTGACAAAAAAAGGACGACGGAGTGATGAGAACTGAGGCAGACGAGCTGAGAGAAGTGATGAATATAGGCATGAGAGGAGGAGTGAAGTTGATATTGACTTTCTTCTAGACAGAAAATATCTATATCAGAGATGATGAGCTGAAATGAAATGAGCATAGAAGAAAAAGTAATAAGATTCGAAACTCTACGAGTACTTTTTTGAATTCGAAAACAAATGAATTTTGATGTTCAAACTAGCACAATCTTAGTCCAAGAATTAAATGATTGGTTTTGACAGGCATGACTCCTATTAAGAGTTAAGTAGTCGTGCTTTTTTGTGGTTCCTCGAACGCTTCTACCAAAATTTTCAGCATTGATGAATTTCTACAACACATACACGGAAAGACTACTAGGATTACTGGTGCTGGTGCGCCATCGTATCCAGTGATGTCGTCACGTGTGATCGAAGTCTGACACCGTAACACAAGATACTCGCTCAGTTCGAAGTTGATGATACAACTCCTGTGTAGAGAAGGCATCGGCGAGGTGGCTTCGACCAGCCGAATAAACAATCGAATCAAGGAAGTGCTTGGGGGTGGTGACGATGTCAGCTTTAGCGTAGCTGTGTGTCCGGAGTTGATAACATGACTGGTTTTTCTTGATAACAACATCGAAACTGGCACTGGGATATACTGTGAACGAATATGGAGACCATCTGGAAGGCGCGTTGTAGTAGTCCTCGATGATGTGGAGATATAAAATTAAGGCTGTGCCTGGCGCTAAAGCATGCTCAACAGCAAGATTATTCAACCTACTTGAAGGCTCTTCTTCCCTTTGAAATATGTGTCTTAATTCTTTTTAGCCAACAGTCACAGTGGCGTAATCAATATAATATCAAGGACATCTTCTGGACGAGAAATAGCTCAACCATTTGTGATCTCTGAAAGAGAAGCCAAGGAAGAATCATGTAAGGGATGCGCTGACCATGGTAGTTCATCTAATGACGACGTTGGACACGAAGATGCTGTGGAGGTATAGCATCGCTGCGCTGCAGTCCAAGAAATGCTGGTGCGCGGTCCTCGGGTGCCTGGTTCTAGCGTCGTCGTATTTGGCGCCAGGGAGGAGCTCAGTTGCAGTCTTAGATAAGGGCTCTCCCAGAACGCGGGCGGAAGCATCGACCTCGTCCGACATCGCTGGTGTCTCCTTCGGCAGCACAAACAACAAGGAACTGCTCAGCAACGGTACTAGTAGAACTAGTCCAACTAGAAATGTGAAAGTAAAAAAGCATCAACAAGAGGATCACGTGGAGCAGCAATTAGCCGCGGCAAACATCAAACCTCTGGCATTATTACGGATTCAGAAAATCCATCTTCTCCCTCGCGAAAGATCGGACATCTTGTCGCCGCTTTGAAGTAAAAACGAGCAACAAGATACTCATCCATCCGAACAATGGATTTTACATTTATTCATGATTATCGTCTGTTCTATTATAACTCGCGTTTCCTATATGATCTTCTGTCGTCGCCTCAAGTTAGTACTTATTTATCTATCATCGCAGCACTTCATGCGTCGCCATTTCTCTGTCCTCCTTTGCTTTCAGTTTTCCATATGCTTTTCAGCTTTGGTTGCGCCTTAGTTGTTCTACAAGAAATAGTCGAGTGTACGGCTCTTTCGATAGTCGTAGACTTGGTGGCCGAATGTGCGGCCTTATGCTCCCCCAGTATGCACCTATTTATTTGTTTAGGAGAAGTGTGTACTTAATTGATTAAAAGGGAGGCAGCACATATTCCTTAGGAATTCCTAACGAAAAAAAAATAGAGTCAACGTGGTTTTTTCGCGAGTATTGAATGAATGAATGCATGAGCGATCTTATTGATATTGTAAGGTGTATCTAATATTTTTAGATCATGACCACGTGTGGGCAGACAAGCGCACGAGAACGGGCCGGGAAGCGAGGCGACGAAAGCGTAGCACAGGCGTCAAGCCCCAGGACCTTGTGCTCCCGTCTCCGCTGGCAGATGACCCAGGCCTACGCGACTATGACCACCACGCATCACCCATAACTTAGCGATTTCATTCATCCCCCCAGATTCTCCATCTTTCCTCTCATCTGTTTCGCTTATTTCTTATTCACGAAGAACGTGAGAAAAGCACTAGATAAATAGACAAGCAAACAGACGAGCAAAGAACGCATTGCAGAAAAACTTGTTTTGCTCCAAGCTCTAACTACTGTTTGAAAACGAGTCACCGTTTTCTGTGACGAACACGATCCACGAGGCAGAGGCTCTCTCTCTCAATGTTAAGATTGTCACCGAGAGAGCATCCTCAACACCAAAATAATTATCCCACCTGGCCCTTTTTCTACCTGAACAAGAAGCGTCCAAGGATATGACTCTCAGGGAAGATGCGAACGTGGCAGCTCTAACAATGAAGAGGCGCAGCATGAGGATGCGCACCACGAGAACACCTATAATAGCTATGAAAAAAACTAAATAAAACCCAACAGCGATATTATCACGACTTCTTCAGGTCTATTTTCATACACTTAAATTTATTTTCCATTAGAAGTTTATCGCCATCTGATAATTCAAGCGCAATTTATCAATGGGTTTTATACAAAGGGGCTCTTAATGGTAATTGAATTATCTGAATTTCTTATTATTTTGAGAAGTATCTAGATCAATGCTCATACTACTTCCTGGTGCACTGATGATCAACTGAGCTCGTCGCTATAACGACTACACAGAAGCCTACGAGGGTGCTAGCAGTGTGGACGAAAAACAAGGTGGATTGGCAGCGTCTTTCTTAGAGACCATGTCCCTGGAGACCCACACCCATGCCGAGAGAAGCTTTGCAACTCCAGGGGACATCGTGTATGAAACTGCCGTAACCACTCTCGCGGATGGGCAGGACTATGTTGTTATGGTTCAGCGCTTGTTCCAGTTCCCGCAGAAAATTTTGGTTCTGATGATATTGCTCGTTTCAGTAAGCAAAAGCAATACCTCTAGGATATTAGAACTTCATCGGTTATACATTTTACAGGAAAAGATCTAGGACAATGTGAGCGTGCTAACTACTATGACTTTCAGGAATTATTGTTTGCGCTGACTTAAGCTTAGGCTTAGCTAAGTCCTCCTCCTACCTTAAAGAAGTGCGTACTTAGCTAAGTCGAGTACACTGATGCTAGTAGACTCCTCCTCCTCCTTGATGTGTATGTGAGTAGTACTCCTATTTTGAAATAGGCTTAGAAGATTATTGTCCTTGTCGATTGATTGGTTCTTCTACCTCACTCTCTCTCCTGAACAAGTTTTTGACTTCTTCGTATGAACAACCTACTAAGCCTTTGACTACGACGTATGAACAAACTAAGTCTTTGACTACGACGTATGAAGATGAACAACCTAATCCTTTGCCTACGGCGTATGAACAACCTAAGTAAGTAGGTTAGAGTAGCCTCACCGATCTTAGAAAGTAGATTGTTTGTGGCTCATCAGTAGCCTCAATTGTCCCTCCACGTCTTAGGCGGGGCGCAACCTAACGGCCACCGGTTTGCTTGTGCTTTGTTGATTGTGTACCTAGAACCACTCGCGACGTTTCCTTGTTTTTACTGAAGAGCTACAAGTTAGAGCAGGAACCGGAACAAAGCCACTGTCATGCTTGTGGTCTGTTACGATGCACATGGCCGATCGGGTTTTTTGCGTGCCGACCCATATATGTGGTATGCCTACTCGGGTGATTATCATTAAGGCTGTCGACGTGACTTCTCTACCGCTACTAGTTCATCGGCTGTGAGTTCTCTACTGCTGGCTGTGGGCGTTACTTCATCGGATGTCGACGTTGCTTTTCTACTACTACTATTATTTTCAAGGCTCCTGTCGACTCGAGTTAATGAGTAAGAGTACACGACTGGCATTTCTTGAAAGTACTACTCCACTGGAAAAGTACTGAAAAGCTTCATATATTCGATAAACTGAAATAACTTCTGAGTAAAGTGATCTAAGAGAGCTACTAACTTAGAACAGTACTCTTGAACTTCCTTGCTTATTTTCAGTTTTCGAATAACTAAGGGTCTTTGATTTCAGTCTCAAGAGGGCGCCCAAACCGCGGAAATAAAGAAATACATAGAAATGAATAATTAACTTCACGAAGAGAGATGAGGATAACGAACTATGGTCATGGACAGCCCTAATCTACGGCGCTAGGCGTCATCAAGAGATTAATCCGGAGGTATAAGAAAAAGTGGTGGTACAGAAAAGTGAAGAGGCTGAAGCTGTACTGCGATTAGGGCTCCTCGTCCTCCTGTGGGAAATGTCGTCGTCTGGGTGGTGAAAGAAATCTTCAAGAAGAAAAAAGTGCTTCTTGAATGATAGTACTACTTCATCGTCTTCCTGAGAAGATGACGACACATAAGTACATATCTATCCGAAAGGTTCATCCTCAGATGAAGGTGCATTTTTTCCTTCGGTCGCTAATGTGATATCGAGAACACCCGGAAATCCTTCCAGCGCCTGAGCTCCGGCTATTTTCTCGCGAAAACCTACAATTACGAGAAAGACTTTCTCTTTTTTATCGGAAATTAAGATTCTTGATATTCTCAGTAGGCTTACCCTCGAGCTCGGGTCGCTACGGAACCCGAACCGGGCAGCTCTGAGCTGCTTAATCGTTTGCATGCAGTTTTAGGTGCCTGGCTGTCGTGCTTGTTCAGCATTCTCGCGGGGAAGGCCAGCAAGAACAGTAGACCCCGGCCCCAAAGGAAAAAAAGTCTCGACGTGGTTTCAATCAATGAGTG